GTCTAGTCGCTTCTAGTCAACTCGCTCTGCGCCAATCTCACGGCGAGGAACCGTTCGATCTGGGTACCAGGTACTACACCTACTAGATATGTACGGAGTACCTACCTTGCTTCAGCTTAGTATCCGGGTTTTATAGACGGTGGCTGGTTCTGGTCGGAGGCGGATCAGTCCCGGGCGGACGACGGAGGAGGTCGTACGGACATCTCCGTCCTCCGTTCGCCAACTGCGTTGGGTTTGGCGTGGCTTGGTTTGGGCTTGGTTCGTACGAGAATACTTAATCTACTCCAGACGAGATGTGATGTCGGTCGGTGGTCGGGAGCTGATGAGCAAACCGGCCAGCCAGTCTCGCGATATGGATATATGCTTATTTCCATCGGCAAGAAATTAGATCGTCCTTGCATGTCCATCCGTCCTGCGCGTGTAATCAAATGTTACTTAACCTACTGACTACTCTACACCTATGTAGGTAGGTAGGTAGGTAGGTAGGTAGGTAGGTAGGTACTGTAAATCACTGGGACCCTTACGTCCCATCCATCAATCCCTTGTTGATCATCTCGGAACACAGCTTAAAAGTACGGTAGGTACAATTTGATTATGCGAGGGCTGCTTCCGATCTGCATCGGAAAGAATCTCATGCTATCTACCGGTCGGCCCGACAGGCAGACAGCAGACAGCCAGCAGACAGCCAGGTAATACAATGTTTTATTTTATTATTTTCTTCAACCAGAACCTGCCAGGGGCATTCATATTATCCACCACGGTGTATTTTCCATCGTCCTCACATCCTACCTACATAGAATAGATAGATCCTAGTGGTTAATCCACCCCCCGCCGCCCGTTCTAACTGATCGGCACGTTTTGGGGGGGGGGGGAGGGGGGAATGGTCGATCCGCGCGAGGGCGGTTATGGTTATCTTCACGGTCTGTCAAAGCTATGCTAGGCGCTTTCAACGGCCGAAGGATGAGCGTAAAATTCTGCCATCTATTTAGCACAAAATGGATATTGTTTATCCACCTACGGAGTAGATAGTGTGCTTCCTCTCTATGTAGGGACTCCTCAGGGATTAGTTATACTGTAGGGAGCGAAGGATTTAGTAATTCCGAGTTCAATTCCGGCCTTACCTTACCTTACCTATTTCCCTTTTCTCTCTTTCTTTCTGGCAGTTTCTGCCCGCCAGCCCCTCCCCAGCAATCTAAATTGAAGATCAACATGGACTTTTCATTTATGATAATATATTTAATATTTTCTCTCTGGCAACGGAGAAAATTCAAATTAATCGCGCTTGCTCAGGACGGAGGAAGGATCTTTCTATCTACTATAGTTACATTCTACACAGTCCTACGTACCGTATAACAATTTCGTAGGAAATGACAGAAAATTGGATAGATAGAAAATGTACCACCCAGAAAAGAAAATGAAAATGAAGAAGGTAATAATAATAATAATAATAATAATAATAATAATGAAAAGAGTAAAGACAGCCGTCCGTCCTCGACAATCCATTCCCCTCCAGGCGCACCCGAACCCTAATTACAAACCGCAGATGTCTCACCACTCACCACTCACTAATCCCCCTCTCGCTCCCCTCGGGCAGGTTCCTGCTGGAGCTAGACCAGAAATTCTTAATGCTCATAATGCTTGTGGTACCTGACCTGAACCTGAATGCTATCTCGTACGACAGAGCACACACACACTAGATAAATACTACTGGAAGTGGAATCATAATCAAGGTACCCGCGGTCCCTACTTACTTCTTGAGATAGTCATGTCTTAGTACCAACCAGTCTTAGCTACTTTAACTTACTTACCTACAGTCGCACACGCGCGCGCGGATGATCCCCTTTCCCAGGAACCAGGCAGGAAGTCACAGAAGCTAAACTGCTAGTCACTAGTCCCCTACATAATTGTACGGTACCTTGACACTACCCCTCCCTCCCCCCCCCTAGTGCAGATGTCAATCGCATGTGGTTTCCGTCTGTCCTGGACCCTGGTAGCACGCGGTAGTGGTACATACTACATAGCCCATCGCCATAGCCACAGTCACGTACATGGTCGACAGACCCAATCTCTACCACTGGGACGGATCGTGGCTGAGGACTAGAACCGCCACTCCAACTACCCACTACCTACTACATACCTCATCCAGTTGGTCGCTACAGCTCCTCACAAGTCATATACATTGTGAAGGTAGATAGCTAGGTAGATAGGTAGATGCTACCGTAACATCCCAGTCCACACCACACACACACACACACACACACACACACACACACACACACACACACACACACACACACACACACACACACACACATACACACGGCAAAGGTAAATCAGGGGGCAGGCAGGTGGGATGTGGAGGCCAGGGCCCGGGTGAAACAAGCTCGGGATAACTAGCTGAGACCCTGCCCTGCGTCCGTTTTCCTCGTGCCCGTCCCGAAGATAGCGTCAAACTGTGGCGTGTGGACTGTGGGTTTGGGTTTTCGGGACTGGGTAGGTAGGTACCGGTTTCTTCAGATGTTTCTATCACGTATATACAGGACGAGCAGCTTATCCTGGTCTAAGTGCGCTAATTGACACCTGGTCCAAGCGAGAGAGGCTCAGCTGTATCTAATAATAATGCCTATCTATAGAATGAGAATGGATCCTGCTGGCTAGCTAACTAGCTAGCTAGCAAGTCAGTAAGTAGTAAACATAGACAGAAATAGGATTCTTGAATTTTTGGCTAACAGTTTTTCCCTCCTATCTTGTTATTTCTTTTTTTTTTCCCGCGAGCAGAGCTGTTGAACCAGAACCAAGATCAAACCAAGACCAAGACCAAGACATCGGGGCGGTCTGTTGCTAAGTTTATCTTGTTCAAGCTTCAACATTTGCCGTATTAGGTACTTAGATACTAGATAGGGGGGTAGGTACTAGGTAGGTAACTCAAAAATGACAAAAAAAAAAGAGTATAGGAAAGGCCACACAGAGCTCCAGAATAAGCGAAGCCAAAGCCACTGATTCAGTCTCGGGATCTACATACTTACTGCAGGTAGCATCTACCGAGACATGGGCTATTGAACTATTCCCTAAGGCCGGTCGCTCCATATATCCTATCCTATTTTATCCAGTCGACTCGTGCACTACACGCGACCACCTTCTCAGCGCGTCGCACAGATTCCGGGATGGCGCTCGCCCGTCCGCCTGCAGAGCACGGGCGACAATCACTCAGTCAGTCAGTCATCGTCTACCCAGGACCTGGGACCTGGGCTGGATCGTCAATAAACGAGACAGTCACCAGAATACCAGACTGGTGGGTGGTTCGGGACATGCTACACACACCCATGTCTGAGCCCCGTCCCAGTCCCAAGTAAGTATCTCGAACGTTCCAAAGTCAAGCGGTTTTCGCCCTGCACAGGCATCACGCCCTGCAGTCTAGTCTGTACTCTGTAGAACGCATTAAGCTTTCGAACGGATCAGCTGGATCATCCCATGTATCTACCATGTACCATGTGGCGTCTACGGCTTCCCCCTTGAAACGTGTGTCTGTTTGGTGCGAGGCCAGGTAGTGTCTGGCTTGCTTCATGTGGGTACAGGTACAGGTACAGGTACAATGGTTGTACGACGGTGTATATAGTAGTAGGTAGTGTACTTTCCCCAACGCGGGAAAAGGTTGTGGGACTTTTGTCGAAGTATCCATAGTACGACCTGTTCCCTGGGAGAGGGGTCTAAATTCCTTCGATGCTGTATAGCGTGATCCTGCCTTCCAGAAAGATGGAAGGAACGAAGGAATGATGGGGGGAAGATGAGGAGTGGAAGAGGGTATACCTGACGCACACTACTTCATCCTTCAGCCCACCCAACCCGGTAATCCAAACGAACAACAACAGCCTCCTCCCCCTCCAGCTAGAAGCCAAGACCACGAATATTACCCCCTCCAATAGCACGTACAAAAGTAAATTAAGGAGAGACGTAAAGCGAAAAAAAAAAGTGTAAAGGGGGGAGAAAAAGAAAACAAAAAAAGATCTAGTCCAGAGCAGTCTAGCCAAAGAAAACAAACCCAATCCTAAACCTAAACCCAAACCCGAAATTATCTCTATATCAAAATCCGGACGTCAGTCCACGCCACTGACACAAATTAACAGCACAGGGATGATTGATGGGTTCGGTGCCATTTCAACTACTGGGAGGGAGAAGAAGAAGAAGAAGAAGATAATGGATAGGGGATGGATTTATTGTGGATATGACCGATACAGGCATGTCGGATCCTTCAGCTTCAGCTTGGTCATATCTGATCAGGAGATAGATAGGGGTTGGGTTGAATGCTACCAGTAGATACGAAGTAAGTGAGCAGCAGGACAGGATCATACATCGAAGAAAACGCTCACCATTAGCAGGCTCGTCTACAGCTGCAGTGCAGACAGAAGACACCTGACACACTCGATCAGCTGACACCTCGGGGTCTCTTCTGATCCATCCTCCATCGCCATCCATCTATTCATCAGTTTTCTCTGATCCGCCGCGAGATTGGCTGCTGAGGCATTATGTCATAGTAGACACAGAGATGAGATAGCGATGACGATGGTCGTCCTATTTTCCAGACCCGAGCTAATGGACAGCGTGCAACGACCACGGCCAGGCTATCTACACGGTGACACCTTGAGCGTCAGCCTAGAATCCCCGACGCCGTGCTGCAACCTGCACGGCCAAAGCATATCCTGCATCCGCTCGGCAGACGAGGCCCAACCAGACCGAAGCCCATGCAGGTCCTTTGCGATGGTCGAAAATACCAGAAACATGGCCAGTCAGAGGCACAGCCGGGCCATACTCCCTGGGATCGGCCTGCAAGCTAGCTGGGGGGTTTGAACTGGGATGGGTGCTGATGGGTCCTGGCCGGAAATAAGATGACCGGTGACAACACCACACACGCCTGCTGGAGATAGTGTCCCGGTTTTGGTAGCATGTCTCACTCAACCCGCCACGGCCACTGCAGCGCAGTGGGACGTGACGGAGCTTGTATTCAATGCTATCTATCCTGGAGACTCAACGACCAGAAATCAGAACCCTGAAATCAAAGGAGGCTTCTTTTAGCCACAGGAATAATATCAGAATATCTCGGCGCTCTCCTCCACCGACCGATTATAGCACACGGGGAACAGGGCGCCCCAGAACCGATACAGCCCCCAGTGATTCTCCTTTCCCGATACTAGCCAGCGAGCAAAGGCGCACTCCGTCTGGAACGGGTCCGTACTGCGCAGGTGGGCAACCTACGCAGAGAGAGACGGTCAGAACCAGTCAGAGAGCCAACCAGGGGCACTCACTTCCTTGTATCTCTGTAGAGCCGCGTAGTATACCCCCGGGAGCCCCATCTTTTTCTTCAGCGTCATCTTTCGGATTCTCCCTGCAGCGGTGGTGAACATCCCCGACAGTCTCTCGCGGTCGAGGTGGACGTGATCGCCGACAACAACACCACCGGGCAACTTCCAGCCTTGTCGTTCGTAGACCACTTCGACCAGCCGGGTCAGCGTGTCGGCCTGCCAGGTCACCAGAAGATCCTTGTTGAAGGCTTTCACGTGCTGCTGAAGCTTCGTCATGTCGGCATTCAGTCGCATGGCGTTGGAGCGTAACGCGTTCAGTTTGCTTTCCAGGTGCATGTTGCTGGTCTGCAACGCTCGGATGGCCGCAGAGTATCGCTGGAGAGTATCAGTAAGCCCATTCACCAGCTGTTAGCATCTATCTGACTCTGAGTCGACACACCGACTGGGACAATTCGGACGCGCTGGGAACCGTGCTCTGCTGGGGCGCCTTTAATTGGGTCCGATAGAAGGACAGACCGGGTCCATACATCTGGACGAGGTTGACATCCATGGCGGAGATCGAGGCACGACGTGCTATCTAAACAACAAGGAGCGGCTCAACTATCCTGCTATAAAACGATAACCGTGATGGCTAAGGAGCGGCGGCGTGGATCAAAAGACGCGCTGTGCGGACGTGAAGAAATAAAGCAACATCAACATCAACACCAGGCATCCGGGGAAAGAGCAACCATTACATTGGCACGGGCAAGTGCTTCGTCCATTAGTTGACACATCCTCCCCTCCCAGACCACCAGCTAACTGTTCAGCTCACACTCACAGCTTACTTCCGGTTGACTTTCCGAGCTCGAGAACCAGCTTCCCAAACTGCTTGCCGTCCTTCATCTCCTGGAACAGCCCATCGATGGCCGGGAGGTCATCCAGCTCCGCCTGCAACACGCGCGAGATGACCGGCCGGATCTTGTGCTGTCCGACAAACTCGACCATCTCCTTGAACTCCTTGCGCGAGCCCATCGTGGAGCCCTTGACCTCGATGTTCTTCAGCACGGCCTTCATGGAGAAGGGCATCTGCGGCGCAACCGTCATGCCATAGACTGACAGCACCCCCCCGGGCTATGCAATCCAGTTAGTATCCCCGCAGCATCAAACATCAACATCGAAACTCACTTTTAACAACCTAACAGCCTTATCCACCGAATCCCCCCCGGCGCCATCAATAACGGCATCAAACGCCGTCGTCTTCCCCTGGGGCAACAGCCCCAACAGCTTCTTCTCCCACCCTTCCTCCTTATAACTCACACCCCCCTTGGCCCCCAACTCCACTGCCCTCCGAATCTTCTCCTCGCTCGAACTGGTCACATACACATCCGCCCCCCTGGCGACCGCAAACCTCAACACCATTAGCGCCACGCCGCCCCCAATCCCCGTAACCAGCACACTCGCCCCAACTCCCGAATTCCTCTCCCCGCCCTTCACAACCAGTGCCCTCCATGCCGTCAACCCCGTCAACGGCAATGCCCCAGCCTCCGCATCCCCCAAATGCCCGGGAACCTCCTCCACCTCCCCCTCCCCGATGGTCATATACTCCTGCATCGTCCCATTGCGATACCCCTTCGTGCCGCCCAGGATGCGATACCCCGCTGCGTCCTCCGGTCCGTCGGGTGATTCCGCCCACCCCGTCCCCGGGTTCAGGAGCACCCGCTTCCCGATCCAGTGTTGCTGGGCGAGTGCGCCAGCGGCGATCACGGTGCCCGTGCCGTCGGCGCCGAGCGGCACGTCGAAGGTTACACCGGGGTAGAGGTGTTGGCGCAGGAAGACGTCGCGGTGATTGAGTGCCACCGCGGTGGTTTTTATGAGAAGTTCGTGGGCGGAGGGTGTGGGCACGGGCAGGGTTTGGGCTGTGAGGGGGTAGTATACTTGGCCCGGTCTGCCGGGGGCGGGGGCGATGAAGAGGGCTTTGGAGGTCATTTTGGGGGTGTTGATGCAGTGATTGGGTTGGTGGTTGTTAGATTTGGAGGGTGTCAGTTGTAGATTGTAGCTCGCAGGGTGTTAGATGTAGGAGGGGGGGGGGGTTGGAGTTGGAGTTGGAGTTGAATCAGCAGGTGGTAGACGAACGTGCGGGGAATAGGGATGGAGCTCCGTTGGGCGGTTATCGGTTGGCGTTGCCGAGGTATGGCTGAGAGTGAGTGTGTGTAGAATATAGGATAGGCAGTTCATAAAGTCGGCAGACCAGTCAATACCGAGGAGGATTTATTATCATTTTTCTATTTAGAATTTATTGAATCCTTCTTTGTTTGCGGTGAAACCGATAGATCTTCTAGTGATTTTTAACCTCGGCTCGGCCAATATATACCACCTATCTGGTGGAGTGGTTACTTTAACCACTGCAATTGCCCATGCTTATTGTTTACACTAGGCATTACTGAATCACTTCCCCCTACCAAGCAATTAAGAATTAAAAGACTTCTATCAATCCTTTGTTCTTTGAGCATAAATACCAATAGGTGTACTCCGTACCTATCCGCCAAGCCGAACGAATCTCCGGCCGCAAATCCGTAAGCCCGTAAGCCCGTAAGCCCGTAGATCCGAAGTATGGGGATTTTTCTTCACGCGGTAATCCGTACCGTACCGTAACATACCGTAATGGCGGGATTGACTATCTTATCGCCACATCACCTGACCGCGCAGCAGATGGGCGCGCAAAAGAAAAGCATCAATCAGAATGCCTGCCTGACCCAAGTTCTCATCCCACTTTCTCTCGGCTTTGTTGTCCTCTCCCCCAGTTTCTCCTCCACCCCCTCCAATTGACCGCTTCTGGGCCCTCATCCCGATCGCCCGTCTTTCCACCTCTTCGAACCGCTCTTTTTCCCTCTCGTCTTCTCTCACCACCGCTCTTTGGGTTGTCACCCCCGCTCCTCCCCCGCCTCCCGCCACCATGGATGGAATCAAGAACGCTTTTGCCAGAGCTAAGCAGGAGAAGCGTGCTGCTCTGGTGGCCTACTTCACCGCTGGATACCCTACCGTCGAGGAGACGGTAGATGTCCTGCTGGGTTTGGAAAATGGAGGTGCCGGTATGTGACTTTCCCCCTCTCCCCCTCTCCATGTGGCTGCCCGAGGACTAACGAGTCTGGTTTACGACAATAGACATTATCGAGATGGGAATGCCCTTCACCGACCCCATCGCTGACGGCCCGACCATCCAGAAGGCAAACACCCAGGCTTTGGCTAATGGCGTTACGATCCCGATTGTGCTGGACATGGTCCGTGCCGCCAGAAGCAAGGGTCTCCGCGCCCCTGTCCTGCTGATGGGCTACTACAACCCCCTCATGCAGTACGGTGAGGAGCTCATGCTCCAGCATTGCAAGGAGGCCGGCGTTAATGGCTTCATCATGGTCGATCTGCCCCCGGAGGAGGCCGTCCGCTTCAGAGACCTTTGCACCAGCAACGGGTATGTTTGACAGCTCGCGCGGCCCGCGCGCGGGTCGAAATCCTTGATCCGGTTGGCTGGCTTTGGGATTCCGTTTGTCTGACGTCTTTGTATAGTCTCTCCTACGTCCCCCTCATCGCTCCCGCCACTTCCGAGTCCCGCATGAAGCTCCTCTGCAAGATCGCCGATTCCTTCATCTATGTCGTCTCCCGCATGGGTGTTACCGGTGCCACCGGTGCCCTCAGCGCGAACCTGCCCGACCTCCTGTCTCGCGTCCACACCTGGTCTGGCAACGTCCCGACCGCGCTCGGATTCGGTGTCAGCACTCGCGAGCACTTCCTGTCTGTTCAGAACATCTCCGAGGGTGTCGTGATCGGTAGTCAGATCATCACCGTCTTGGGTGACGCCCCTGCCGGCCAGGCGGCTGCCAAGGCCCAGGAATACCTGTCCAGCGTTACTGGCCGTAGAATTGAGAGAGACGCCCAGGGCACCGTCACTGGTTCCGTCTACGTGCTCGAGCCCGTCCTAAAGGAGGCCGCCCCCGCCGTGTCACAGCCCACTGATGTCATCACCAACGATGACACCCCCGCCGGCCCTGGCCTGGTTGACCAGATCGATGCCCTGAACGGATCTGGCGACCTGGCCGCCATCCCGTCTCGCTTCGGTGAGTTTGGTGGTCAGTATGTCCCCGAGTCTCTCATGGACTGCTTGGCCGAGCTGGAGCGTGGTTTCGAGGAGGCCCGCAACGACCCCAAGTTCTGGGAGGAGTACCGCTCCTACTACCCGTACATGGGACGTCCCAGTAGCCTCCACCTCGCCCAGCGTCTCACAGAGCACGTCGGTGGTGCCAACATCTGGCTGAAGCGTGAGGATCTCAACCACACCGGTAGCCACAAGATCAACAACGCCCTGGGTCAAATCCTTCTCGCCCGCAGACTGGGCAAGACCAGGATCATTGCCGAGACTGGTGCCGGCCAGCACGGTGTCGCCACTGCCACTGTCTGTGCCAAGTTCGGCATGGAGTGTGTCGTCTACATGGGTGCCGAGGATGTCCGTCGTCAGGCCCTCAACGTCTTCCGTATGAAGCTGCTCGGTGCCTCCGTTGTCGCCGTTGACGCCGGTAGCCGCACCCTGCGTGATGCCGTCAACGAGGCCCTCCGCGCCTGGGTTGTCCACCTCGACACCACCCACTACATCATCGGGTCCGCCATCGGCCCTCACCCCTTCCCGACCATCGTGCGTACCTTCCAGTCCGTCATTGGCGACGAGACCAAGCAGCAGATGCAGCAGCTCATCGGCAAGCTGCCCGACGCTGTCGTCGCCTGTGTCGGCGGAGGCAGTAACGCCGTCGGCATGTTCTACCCCTTCTCGAACGACCCCAGCGTCAAGCTTCTGGGTGTGGAAGCCGGCGGTGACGGTGTCGACACGGAGCGCCACTCCGCCACCCTCTCCGGCGGCAGCAAGGGTGTGTTCCACGGTGTCCGCACGTACGTCCTGCAGGACAAGCACGGCCAGATCACCGAGACGCACTCCATCTCCGCCGGTCTGGACTACCCCGGAGTGGGTCCGGAGCTGAGCAACTGGAAGGACAGCGAGCGCGCTCGCTTCGTCGCTGCCACCGACGCCGAGGCGCTGACCGGATTCCGCACCCTTTCCCAGACGGAGGGTATCATCCCCGCGCTGGAGTCCTCGCACGCCGTCTTCGGGGCCATGGAGCTCGCTAAGGCTATGGGCAAGGGCGACATCGTCCTCAACCTGAGCGGAAGAGGTGACAAGGATGTCCAGAGCGTCGCGGACGAGCTGCCCCGCCTGGGACCCAAGATCGGCTGGGACCTGCGGTTCTAAGGGCTGGGTCGCGCTGTTTGTTATATACCTCGTGCGTGTTTGTTAGTTAAATCCACCTAGATTTCGGCTCTGCATTCTGCATTGACTGTGTCTGGTCTTGGATGGAGGACTGGATATAGTCACATTATCTGCTATCTGCTGTCTGCTGCTGTTTCGGTCCATGAGCGAGGGAAGGAAAAGTTGGTTCTGTTGGGATTCGGTTGGGGTTAGTTAGAGCACATATACCTATACAATGGGGATTTCTTTTGATCAAAGGACTGTACTGTAGCCTTGTATGTCTGGTGTGGACTCAGAAGAGGAAGGGTGATGGAGATAAGATGACAGGGCCCACCGAAGTGGGCACGGGGCCATCACGTGCGGGTGGCTGGTCACCGCCCGGGGGCGGCGAGAAGCGGCCAAAGCATACGTCGACACTCCATCGAGCGACGACGAGACACTAAGGAGCTGCTCTCCCCTCACCCTCAACCTTCTTTCCTTCTCCCTCTTCCTCCCTCCCCGTCGCTTCGGCAGGACTCCTTCACCATGGCGTCCGAATTCGTTGACCCCAGGATGACCAACATCAAGCCTCGCATCCGCTACAACACCATCGGAGGTATCAACGGCCCGCTGGTGGTTCTGGATAACGTGCGTCCCTGCCTCCTCCTGCATTGCTACCCCCCCACCCCCAACAGGAAGCGGGGGCCCAGCTTACTATCCCTCTCTTGACTGACCAGCATCGCCTTAGGTCAAATTCCCCCGTTACAACGAGATTGTCTCCCTCACCCTCCCCGATGGCACCGAGCGGTCGGGGCAGGTCCTCGAAGCTAGAGGTGCGTCTCCACCGACTCTCGCATGTGACCGCGGCCTCTCCCACCGCAGTAGCTGATATAGATCGTCTGGAACAGGTAGCAGAGCAGTCGTGCAGGTACGAGCTATACCACTGCCGTGGTTCTCAGGTGATGGCGAGCTTATCATCTGCGGGGGGCTAACGGGATGACCACAATTAGGTGTTCGAAGGTACTTCGGGTATCGATGTCAAGAAGGTAACCTAACCTATCCAGGCGGGGATCAGAACACATCACAAAAGAACAACCTCGCATGCTAACTCCATGCCAGACGAAAGTCGAATTCACCGGCCACAGCTTGAAGCTGGGTGTGTCCGAGGACATGCTGGGTCGTGTGTTCGATGGATCCGGTCGCGCGATTGACAAGGGCCCGAAGGTGCTGGCGGAGGACTATCTGGATATCAACGGTCAACCGATCAACCCCTACTCGCGTGTATGTACCCGCCGACTGCGTGGGGAGACGACCCCGTGGCTGATTGGATGATGCAAAGGTGTATCCCGAGGAAATGATTTCGACCGGTATCTCCGCCATCGATACGATGAACTCCATTGCTCGTGGCCAGAAGATCCCCATCTTCTCCGCCGCCGGTCTCCCGCACAACGAAATCGCCGCTCAGATCTGTCGTCAGGCTGGCCTGGTGAAGCGCCCGACGAAGGATGTTCACGACGGTCACGAGGAGAACTTCTCCATCGTCTTCGCCGCCATGGGTGTGAACATGGAAACCGCTCGTTTCTTCACGCGCGACTTCGAGGAGAACGGCAGTATGGAGCGCGTGACGCTGTTCCTGAACTTGGCTAACGACCCTACGTATGTGGATGCTGCTTGTCTCGGCTGCTGTTTGCGTGATATTGACGTCCGTCTAGGATTGAGCGTATCATTACCCCCCGTCTTGCGTTGACCACCGCCGAGTACTACGCCTACCAGCTGGAGAAGCACGTCCTGGTCATCATGACGGATCTGTCGGCCTACTGTGACGCTCTTCGTGAGGTCTCTGCGGCCAGAGAAGAAGTCCCGGGTCGTCGTGGTTACCCCGGTTACATGTACACGGATTTGTCCACCATCTACGAGCGTGCCGGCCGTGTCGAGGGCCGTAACGGATCCATCACTCAGATCCCCATTCTGACCATGCCCAACGATGGTATGTGTTTCCGTCCTTGGCCGCGTTCCCCCGCTAACGAGCCCAGATATCACCCACCCCATCCCCGATTTGACTGGCTACATCACGGAGGGACAGATCTTCATCGACCGTCAGCTGTACAACAAGGGTGTCTGGCCGCCCATCAACGTGCTCCCCTCGCTGTCCCGTCTGATGAAGTCTGCCATCGGTACCGGCCGTACCCGTAATGACCACTCGGATGTGTCCAACCAGCTGTACGCCAAGTACGCCATTGGACGTGATGCCGGTATGCTTTCCATCCCCACCAATAACGCATATATACTAACTGCCCGCAGCCGCCATGAAAGCCGTCGTCGGTGAGGAGGCCCTCTCCCCCGAGGACAAGCTGTCCCTGGAATTCCTCGACAAGTTCGAACGCACCTTCATCAGCCAATCGCCCTACGAGTCGCGCACCATCTACGAGTCCCTGGACATCGCCTGGAACCTGCTGCGCATTTACCCCAAGGACCTGCTGAACCGTATCCCCAAGCGCGTCCTCGACGAGTTCTACGCCCGCTCCGCCCGCAAGATCGCCAACAAGGACACCCGCGACAACTCCGTCCCCGAAGCCGCCCAGGGTTCGGATCTCATCGAGACGTAAAGCCCGCCCGCACACTCTGCCCGTGCTCGTAATTTATCTATCTATTGCCTCTAGATGGCGGTGGGGGGTCGTTCTTCCCCTTGTTCTGGGTCTGTCTCTCTCTGCATGATGTTCATACCGCGAGTCCGAAGCCAAGCCAAGCCAAGCCAATCTGCTTTTTTCTATCTACTTATGTTCGCCGTGTGAGGACGCTGCTACTGCTGTCGTGTCTCCGAGTTGCCTGGCCTTGTTTTTTTTTTCGTGATGCTGGGATCCTGCATATACTCGTTTATTTTTCGTAGTTGTATATCATATATCGTCTATAACTTGGTCTTTTGTTTATTATTTGTTTGTGGGGGGTGTATGGTCTGTGGGAGGGTATACTTGCATGATGGGAGTAGGGTAGAGTAGGGTGGAGTAGCTTAGTAGGCAGGTAAGATAGGTAGATAGATGCCTTGCACTCACTCACCTTCCATCTGTGTACTTTACACTCTTCCGTGTCCGGACGTCTAATACCATGACATCCATCAGAGAATCATAAGGGTACATTCATTTCCCTCCCTTCCTCCCTTCCCTCCTCCCTTCCTCACTTATCTACCACAGTGTGACCTGGCTAGCGTACTAGGAAGGTACCGACCATACCTACCCAAGTAATTAGTAAAGTAGCCCACCAACCACCAACCACCACCCTCTCTCTCTCTCTCTCTCTCTCTCTCTCTCTCTCTCTCTCTCTCTCAGGCAGCACGACGATAGATACACCTGTCCATATCTATTTTATTTATTTTATTTTACTTATTTTTCTTTAAAAAAAAGGACAATTCAGCCAAATAAACAAAATGTATATCTCAGAGGAGGTGAGTGCGTGAGTGCGTGAGTGCGTGAGTAAATGCCCCATAGACTGAGACAGAGAGTGAGACAGAGTGTAAGGGGGGGGGGAATGAGGGATGGGGAAGAAAAAAAAACAAAAACAAAAAGAAACGTCAGCGACAGGACTCGAACCTGTGCGGGCGAACCCAATAGATTTCTAGTCTATCGCCTTAACCACTCGGCCACACTGACTTGTTCATGGAATCTGCGGTATATTTAGTGATATGTGATGTTATTATAAATTAATGGCTTTGAATTGAGGGAGAGAATTTATCTAAGCTAGCTAGAGAAGAAAGAAAGGAAGAAAGAAAGGCGGGTGTGGGTGTAATGTAGTGTGGTGTGGGTGGTGTGGTTTGGATGAGCCGTGGTTGGTTCAATGGTTGGTTGGCTCTGGGTTTGGGTTTGGGTTTTACCTCGTGGCTGGTTGTGCGGGAGATGAGGTATATATGTGGCCTGGTGTCTGTCTGGCTTCTTGATTTGTAATGTTTATAATCTTTTTTTTTTCTTTACTAAAAGAAAGAGGGTTTGTAATGCTTGTGATTAGACTTTTGGGGATATTTTGTTTAGTATACCGTGGTAGTTAGGTAGGTAGGTAGGTAGGTAGGTAGGTAGGTAGGTAGGTAGGTAGGTAGGTAGGTAGGTAGGTAGATAGTGGATAGATAGATCCAGCTGGCGTATTTTAGAAGGTGACTCTGAATTTGGGGTTTACTATGTATGCCCCCAGCATCACTACAATCTAACAGGGAAAGTGCTGGGAGAAGGCTTAGAAGGCTGGCTCAATGTGGTCAAGTCATCGTCATCATATCTGTTCGTCGTGACAAGCAATCATAATCATACATGGATGGGTGGGTTGATGGATAGAAGGCTGGATTGGATGATGGATGAATAATCAGGGTAAGCGAATGAATCAACGAAAAGGCCCTTGGAGAATCAATCATATCATAACTATCAGGTTATGAGTTAATAAACAAACGCCGGATCGCCATGAAACTGAAACTGGAACTGAAACTGTCAAGGATCGCCTGCTAAGGAAAGACAAGATGATGAGATATAAGAAATAATAAAGAAAAGAAAAACGGGATATGAGAGAGGGGAGCAGGCACGATGAGAGGTGGGTAGATAGGAGAGGGGAGGGGGAGAAGGAAAAGATAAAGAGGGAAAGGAAAGTAGGAGACGACAGGCAGCTAGTCGATCTTCGCGAGCGCCAGTTTCTTCGGGGTGGTGAGATTGTTCGAGAGTCGAACGTTGGTTTTTTTGTTTTTGGTCTGCTTGAGCTTCTTGCGCGCGACCATCACCGGCACGGAGGAGTGCATGACGAGGTAATTGGAGAAGGATCCGAGGAGGACTCTGCAGTAGGCGGTTAGTTTCGGTCGGTGCGTTATGTAGTTGATAACTTGCCCCTTCAATGCACTTCGTCCGCGCGCGCCCACGATAACCAGTGTTGGGTCGAGTCCGTCGATCTGAATTTGTCAGTTCCCGACTTAAGTTAGAGGTAGATACGGGCGATTGGTTGTACTCACGGCTTCGGTGATCATGTGCTTCGGACTCTTGCAGTGGATGACCTCGACGGCCACGCGGACTTGGAGGAGGGTCTTTCGCAGCAAGCGGACGCACGTCTGGGAGATGACCTCTGCGGCGTGCACGCGCTCCGACTCGGCCTTGGACATCCCTCGGGCATCCACCGAGCTGGGCTTGCTGTCCGTCCCTAGGCGACCAAACAGCGCCCGGGGGAGATGCGAGTTCGAGTCGTTCTGGGACTTCCTCGCCGTCTCTGCGGTCTGCGAGCCGATCACGGCCGCCGCGTCCCGCATAGCCTTGGCCCCTTCGCCGATCTGCACCGACGACGTGGTCGCGGATTCGTCGTGCATGGCACAGACCGCAAACATGGTATCGCCATCGCGCAGGATGGTCCCGATCGTCCACTCCAGAGCGTACACGGACTCCTCGCTCAGGTCCGTGGCGACCAGGTACTTGCGCTGCCGGCGCCGGCTGCCCTCCTCTTCCTGCAGGTCGGTGTAGTCTCCGCGGATGATAGTCCGGATGGACCGGTGTTGGACCGTGCTGTCGATGGAGGACATCTGGATGCCGAGTTTCTGGGCCCGCTTGATGTCGGATAGCTCGGCCTCATCCTCGGATCCAAACGGGGTATTGGTCACGGAGGCCGATTCAAAGCTTGTTTGGGGATGGACGTCGGGCTTCTTCGGCATCGGGCCTTGTTTCGCGGAGTGTGATAGCTCGGTCTTCGCAGCGGCATCATCAGAGGGGCCTGTAGAGAATAAGTCAGTACATGCAACGGGTAGTAGGCAAAGGCCTGTGATCAAATCGGGGGAAGGACGGCACATACGGAATACAGGGGCCGTTTTGGTGGTCGTGAGCGGGCGGGGGACGACAGGAGGGCCTTCGTCGACAGCCTGCTTTCGGCCACGCTCGACACTCTCGGGGTCGTCCTCCTGGCTTGTATCATCGTCACTGGAGGAGTTGGACTCGTCTCCATCCTCGTCGCTGGTTTCGATGGGGTTGTTCTCGCTGTCGAAATGATCCTTCTCGAGCCGCTGCTCCCCGGGGGCAGACGATTTTGCATCACCCTCGGGCAACGCCTGAGGGGGCTCGGGCGTGGAGTCCGGCGTGGGATCCGGTGAGGGGTTCTTATCGCTGACGGCGGCGGCGGTGTCCATGGGGCTGGGTTCCTTCTTAGGGGTCACCGCGGGTTTGGCGGGATCGGGAAGCTGAATTTGAGCGCGGGCGTTGGGACTGAGCCAGCGGCGTCGCGGGGAGCTGGAACGTGCCGGACGAGGGGACGAGACGTGGGAGTCCAGGGAGGTGCCGCGAGTTGAGTTGCTGCGGCTGGAGTCCCTCCCTCTGACAAAACTCGGGAACCCGACTTTCAGGTCGAGCCCTGACATCACCGCGGCCATGCTCGGCAGCCGATTGGACGGCTTCTCCTGAGTCTGGGCGGAGCGTCTCGAGGCATTGCGATTGGCGACGCTGGGGGGCATGTCGGTGGACGAATCCCAGCGAATGCTGGGGCCAGACCGGGGTTCTGGCTTGTTGGGTTGAGTGTTGATGGTGGCAGTGTTGTCGCCTGACACCGGATCGGGGATTCGGGTGGGGGAGACCGAACCGTCGGATTGGACGGAGGATTTCCTCTGGACTGAGGGCAAGGGAGGGGCGACGGCGGAAGTGGTGGGAGTGCGAGGAAGGGGAGGAGCCTTTTGTGCGGTGGGAGTGGTGGTGGTGGTGGTGGAGGAGGTGGCGGTGGTTGAAGTGGAATTGGTGGTGGTGGTGGTGGTGGAAGAAGTGGTGGAAGCGGTGGAATTGGTGGACGAGCGGCGAGGCGAGGAAGAATAATAGTAATACGACGGGGGCGTCACACCCACGCCAATGCCGGCGATGGAGCCATGTCGCGGGGGCATCAGGCCGGGGCTCGGGGAGATGTCCAGCATGCTTCGGCGCCGGTAGTTCGACGCCGTCGACGGGCCTTCGCCCAGCTCCTCCAGCAGCTCCCGGCGCTCCTCCTCCAGCGCCGTCTCCAGCGACATGTGGGCGGGCTTCCGGCTGTAATACGGCATGACTGGCGAGGAGTGCTGAGTGGGGGGCGTCGGTGGCCTGTTTCGGACGGATCCAAACACTAGCAACCCCGGGGTCTGACTAGCCCCCAGCGTTGAGATTGCGGAGAAGGCGATCCTCTGCCCGTTCAAGTCTTCAAGCACTTCGAGAACCAGCAGGGTTGGAGTTGGTCTCCAAGTGAGAGCGAAAGCGAACGAGAGCAGGAGAGAGGGGTAAAGAGAGGGATTGAGAGGCCGACAGAGCTCTCTCTCCCCGCACAGGATGCGGATGCGGATACGGATGCGGGAGAGGACGACGAACAGACCGAAGCTGATATCCAGCTCGACAGGGGGATGGGATGGATTGAAGAAGTGGATGAATGGAGGATGATCCGATTCCCACGTGCAAGTCAACAGCTGCCACTCCCCACAATCTCACTTTATTTCCCTCGGTTGTGGCAGGGCAGAGGCCAGACCCCAACGGCGGTTTAGGTTCCTTGGTTGGCGGCGCGAAAGTTAAAGGAGGACCCTGGTGCAGCTGAAGAGGATGAAAAAGCAGCGGAGAGGGCGACAGGAGAAGAGGATGCGAAAAGGAGGAGGAAGAGGAGGAGGAGGTGAGGCCAGCAGCGCCAGTCAGCCAAGTTGTGCAAAAGCTCGGCATGGCGGGGTATCACGAACGAACAGAGCAGCAGCAGGCTGATCCTTATACGACTCTCGCATCCCTTGCATGGCCGATCCCTCCCCCCGGCCTTCACGCTGGCGATCATCCGGGGTCTTGGGCGCTTTTGGCTGGTGTCACGCCCGCCTGATGCCGCTGGAATGTGAACCTGTCGGCCCTGTCGCGTCTGTGCCAATGGCTGTCCCCCTGTGTACGCAGCATGCAGTTGACCGTCGGCTTGTCTTTGCGGGAGGTGAGCTGTTGTTTTCCCATACTCTATCTAGGGATGGGGAGATGATGCTGAGCTGGTTGCAGTCACCAAAGCAGGTTCTTCTTCATTTCGGCGGTCAGATCGCATGTATGCAATGCAATGTACGCCATGTCTGTCTACAGACTAAGTCCGGGGATATTTAATACAAGGCAGAAACATAAAATCAAAAATCAAAATCAACCATCGGATATCCCCATGCTGCTTGCCAATTCACTCCCTGTATGCTGCCGGAAAAAGGATGACCAAAACGCCCAACCCCAGAAAATAGCGCACAATCAGACCCATCCTATCCCAGGACCGAATCAATCAATCAATCAATCCGATGCTTTGGACTTCTTCTTCTTGCTAGACGCCTGTCGCGCCGCGGTAGCCTGGAAGGCCTCCTCGGGGGGTTCCTCGAACTTGGCCGCCCGCTTCTTTCCCTTGCCCGTCGCTTTGTCCTGGCCCGCATCCACATTGTACTTCTCCTCCAGCCGGTCAAAGAAGGACGCGGCGCGGGAGGTCTGGCGCTGCTGGATCAGCGCGGCCAGATCATTGAGGTCCCCGGCGCCCTTCTTCTTGCCGTTTCCCCCCTTGTTCCCCTTCCCCTTGCCGGCAGCCTTCTTCTCCTCGATCTCCTTCCCCAGCTCCTCCGCCTCCTCCGCCTCCCTCTGCGCGCGCTTCAGTCGCAGCTGGCGCTTCTTCTCCGGCTCCTCCACATACTTCTTGTACTCCTTGATGCGGTCCTCGGCAATGGCCGTGTCGATGATCGCGCGGAACCGCGCATCGTCATCGATCACGTTACTCAGCATCACAGAGTCGTAGATCTTGTCCATATCGCCCCGGAAATTCTCGTACGCCGCCAGAATATCCTTCACTTCGTCCTCGGAGCCTTGGTATTCCTGCTTCAATTTATCGAGCGCGTTCGTGTCGATCGCACTGGAGAACTGCTCGCGGTAGAAGTCCATCCAGTCAAAGTCGTCGTCCGCCTCGACCGCCTCCGCCGTGCTCCCGGTCAGGTCGAAGCGACGTCGGCGGCGCTCATCGGAGAGGATGGCGTACGCGAACGCGATCTGCTGGAACGTGCGGTTCGCTTCGTCCTTAAGTTTCGCGGGCGCCTTGTCTACGCGGTGTCAGGATCAGTAGTTTCCCAGGGTGGTAACTCGTGCCCGAGCAATCACTCACCGGGATGATGCTTCAATGCCAACTTGCGGTAAGCGGTCTTGATCTGGTCCGGGGTTGCATCCTCGCTGACGCCGAGAATGTCATACAGATCGGTGTCGAGGGGCGGTTCGTTAGAAATTGCGGGGATCTCGTCCTCGTTCGCCATGGCGACGCAGGGATTGCGATGACCGGCCAATGGGGGTGAGGTGAAGCGGAGAAAAGGAGCGTCGTGGTTGTAAATAAGATCGAGGGTGGAGGATGTGAGTCAATAACACCGCAGCGACAGGGCGGTGCAACCAAACCCAGAACGACGCGCGCCACACGCGCGGAACCCTTTGCCTTCCCGATCGGGGCTAGTGGGTTCGAGCTCCCCGCTGAGCGGTTGATGCGGTCATCAGTTCTTGCTCTCCCCGCCGACGCCTCAAGCTCATCATCATCTCCCCATTCCAGTTTCCCCCCAAACCTCGCTCGATTCCTCTCCCCTCTCACATCCCATACCACCAACAGATCACATCAACTAGCAAGATACCGACACAATGCCCTCCCCCCACCACAAACTCATGCGCACCTGCCTCTCCCTCGCCGAGCGATCTCCCCCGCGCCCAACCAACTTCCGCGTCGGCGCCCTCCTCCTCTCCCGCGCCGACCCCCCTCCCTCCCGGACTACTCGGTCGACGATCAGCTCCTCTCCAGCGGCTACACAATGGAACTCGCCGGTAACACGCATGCCGAGCAATGCTGTCTGTCGAACTACGCGGCCGTCCACGGCGTCCCGGACGACCGCATCGCCGAGGTCCTCCCCGCCACCCCGGGCCGCAAGCTCGTCATGTACGTGACCATGGAGCCGTGCGGGAAGCGGCTCTCGGGCAATCTGCCCTGCGTGCAGCGGATTATCCAGACGCGCGCTGGCGGGCGTCCCGGCATCCAAAAGGTGTATTTCGGGGTGAAGGAGCCCGGCACGTTTGTGGGGCAGTCCGAGGGGTGTCGCTTGCTGACGGAGGCGGGGATCGAGTGGGAGGTCGTGCAGGGCCTCGAGAGGGAGATTCTGATGGTTGCTACGGCGGGACATGAGAATTCGGACGAGGAGGTCAGGGTGGCTATGGAGGGGGTCGAGACGAATATTGTTGATGTTAGTGATGAGGAGAGGAGGAGGCAGGATCTTTTGCCGAGGAACCCGAAGAAGAGGATGATGGAGGTGTAATTGCTGCTTGCGTTGCATTGGGGAAGGGGGAGAGGTGGCTTGGATACCGCTGGCGGTTTGGGGTTTCCCCCCCCCCCCCCCCTGGGATTGAGTCCTGGGTTGAGATGGGATATTGGGATAGCAGTCTGTGTGTTGCGGAAGCATATGTCTGGAACTGCTAGAGCTAATTCTATATGTGTTTCTCCGTGTCGGTTTGCCTGCCATATGGGTGTTCCCTAGTGATAAAGGTACATAAGACATAAGAATACATACGTGTGAGTGAGCAAGCAGACACACCTAATCCCACTGACAGTAAGAAATCATATCCATTCCCGAGGTATACATCCCACCAACTGACATATACCACACCACTAGCGCAGTACATACCCAACCCAACCATTCCATAATGATTTACCCTCTTAAAAAAAATCTTCGCAATTCCCAAATAGGGTATATTATCAGCGTAAAGAACCCCCCCCCCTTCCTTTTTTCATCATCCAAACCTGATAGTAAGGATGCATGTCAGACGTCACCTCCTGCTGCTTCCCCGCCACCATCACCTCAAAGTCTCACTTATGTGCCCCGCTCAGACTTCAAAAACCAATAAGAAGTCAGTGTGGCCGAGTGGTTAAGGCGATAGACTAGAAATCTATTGGGTTCGCCCGCACAGGTTCGAGTCCTGTCGCTGACGATCTTTTTGCGTTTTGCCATCTGTTTGGATGGCGCATTTATGGGGGTATTGTTTCGCGGCATTTTCCATTTTTAAATATTTTTTAGTATAAGGCATACTTTCAAAGTAAATCATCACATGCTATATATCTTTTCAACCAAGCCAAGAATATTTAAATATCTTTATACCGAGATTCTATAATATGATTAAACTATCATCAAATTACCCCCACCATATCTCAAAACCCAATCCTTCTTTCTTTCTGCAACGAAATGCAAGATCCTCCCGGTCCGACTCCGGCTGGCCGGTTATCTAACCCTAACTCTATCTAGCATCGAACGTTAGCGTGTTCCGTCCGAGCTGCCGACTCCACACACCCACTAGTCGCCCATGGCTCATAGACCCTAGTATTTTGCTAATTTCCATCAACAGTCAGTGTGGCCGAGTGGTTAAGGCGATAGACTAGAAATCTATTGGGTTCGCCCGCACAGGTTCGAGTCCTGTCGCTGACGTTTCTTTTTTGCTTTTCATCTTTGTCTGCAGCGGGGAGGGATGCGGATGCTTTTTGGGCTGGTGTTCATGGCATGCCGGTATATATATACCATTTATATTCACAGCAAGAGTCCAACCTATATAGTACTGGTACTAGACTGATGTACGCAGACTCGGACTCGGATTTCTTTATTGTTATGTTTATTTTTTTTTGAACTTGCAATCAGCTGTAGGGTTCAAACGCCACTGGCGTAGTAATAATGCAGAACAGAGTCACGACGTAAAACAGGAAGTAACAGACATGATGCAAGCTTGCCCAATGTAAACAGCGAATACACACCGAGATCGATCCAGATATTACCTCTCTTGCTTAGGAATACCCACGCCCTTGAACCACATAACAGGGTGTCTAGATCTGGGTTAGAGACCCCGCGGGGCATTTGCAGACTAATTCGCTAGCATGGCCAGACCCAATAGACATGCATCTCCCAAACAGATTAAACCTGGATATAGTGCATCCATTCTGATAAACTATCACATACGACCATAGGGTGTGGAGAACAGGGCTTCCCGTCCGCTCAGCCGTACTTAAGCCACACGCCGGGAGGTTAGTAGTTGGGTGGGTGACCACCAGCGAATCCCTTCTGTTGTATGTTTTTTTGGCCGTTTCTCTCGCTATATTTCCTATAATTTTGATCAAGAATGAAGGTCGTGGGTGGGTGGTGTTGATAGTTGTTTCTTAAAGTGTGAGAATATAGTTAAAATGCCCCTGTCGCGGGTGTGTTACTCGAGATCCCGGCCTCTGCCTGCGGTGGCGTTGGTGACACAGATCTAACTAATAAATGCTTTCATACCGGCTGTCGAAGTGCAGGGGTGTTTTCAGCTCGGTGATGAATTTGATGTAGTCTTGACCTGCCGATGCTGGTTTATTCCTGGGGGAACAACGTTGACCACGCCTTCTGGTCTGTTGCTTTCTATCCTGTCCACCTGCGTGACCAATATCCCCTGCGAGGCGAGATACGAGGGACTGAGTGCCGGGGGGGGGACTATACGTCGAAGGTAATGTTGGCCGCCGTGCTCAGGTTCATATTTTCCGCAACAATGGCGAGGTATTTCACATCCCATCTCATCGGACACCTACTACCCAGTGAGGCCTTCAACACAGTGAGACAGAGGAATAGAGAGAAAATATAAACTTTCGACCTGAAAACATTCGTCTCTGATCTCACATATTGGGCAAGTCTGAAAGGGAAAGCGCAGGACCCGAATCGGCTAGGGAGATCCACTCCTTCCTTCGTTCCAGTAAGAAATAACCACAGTATTCTGTGTAGCAATTCCAAGAAATATGCCATCGCCTCCAATCTGACAGATTGGGCAAGCCCGGTAAGGCAGCGCCGGACCCCGAATCGGCCAGGGAGACTCCCCCCCCCCTTTTCTTTGAATCATAACAATCCCCAATGGTCTCTGTATACAATACAATTCCAAGAGATATGAGCCGTCTTGTCTCCAGAATCTTGGCCGTTAGAGTTCTTTGTATGATAGGCTTGCAAGTGCCCTATAGAATGCCCTAGCGTCTATACATATTGCGGTGGGCACCAAAGTATCGATGGAACATGAGAAATGGCACTGAGCGAATACTATGCTCTTGCGATGCGAGCCATAATGATAATGCTCGTCCATAGTGCTGCAGCCCAGGTCCAGCATGAGTAGATACATATATACATGCAGAGGCATATGGAAGGATCGTAAATCGGGATGAACAATTCTGTGGATTCTCATGTCCTGTATGTCGGTTGAGCATTGAGCCTTGAAGCCATATGCAGCATAGTATCGATGATACAGGAGCATAGTATGCACAATAAATAGGACAGTAAGTGTGTCTGACCAGAAGCGTGGCTCGTTATCCCATGGCGTATAGCCCAGAAGTCGGATCATCGCAAGAAGACCGCCACCGTATCTCGGCGGAATAGTTGGTTTGACCCTGCGTTAGACATTTGGAACAGCAAGACTCCGAAGCCATTTATTGTCCCCAGGGACGAGTGTTTCCTCTGCCATGTATGTATACACATGCGCGGATGATATAATCCAATCCCGACTCTAAATGGAAGCTTGGGCTCAATTCAGGTGGTATCAGCAGCGCCCGATCAAGATACTTGCCCATGGAACAAGCCATGGCAAGAGGCCAACGCGCGGCCAAGCTCTGATAACGCCCAGCATTTCACGTTCACAAGACTTGGGATTTGCAGCCAATTATTCGATGTGGCTAGATTCTGCCGTACCAGAGTATACTGTATCTCTTTATTGGCCGTAAGCATTCGCTTCAGGCACAGTCGAAGCCGTGAGCCGATACCATTCCAGTCAGAGTGCGTGATATCGTACGGTCGGCCAAGGACTGTATAGTTGCTTCCGCGGTTGAAATATTAGAGGAAAAAACCCTCAGCTAGGGTTCCTTAGAATTCTTTTGAAGGCGACATCTTCGGCTTCAGGAGGTATTTATATGGCAGTATACCTCGCATAATCCCGGTATTCCGATATATGCGGACCGGTGATTTCAGGCAAACAAGGCATATCGAAGTCCTGATTACTCGGGGACTAGAACGCTGCAGGCCACACTACTAACGAGCGTGAAAAAAAATTGCCGACGAAAAATTGAGACGACGATGACGATGACCCAAATATCCCGCCCTGCTCCTAAAAACGCCAACGGCAGACCATCACGAACTCGCAGTCGAGTTCGGTGGGGCTGCAGGTGATGAACGCATTCTTTGAGTGTTCATGCTGCTCATTCATATAGATTAGCCCATACCTAGATGGGGTCGTGTGTATCAAGTGGGAGATTCGAGTCCCGGAACGACCCTGTGATGCGATATACCACTCGTCATATGCGACCGCCTAGCAGGACTGGCAAGCGCCTCCTGTCCCAATTCATACAAAGCCGATAAGTCCGTGGTATAGTGAAGTCGAGCGCGATACATCGCTCAATCGACTAAAGAAAATAAGACAGGTGGCTCATATTGTTCTTCAAACCCCCCTAAGACCGCTAAGCGGCAATAAGATGTCGCATAAAGCAGCAATTCGGCATACGCCTGATAAATGACACCGATTCCATAGTAGTCTGGTTTTTATACCAGTGATACTTCATCAACAAGGCAGATATAAACGATCCCTCTGCATCAAGGCGCGTGCAATTCGTCATGCCACGGTGGTACGGAAAAGGCCGCAATTCTGGAGAGATTGTTCGGCCTCCAACAAGTGAAAGCAGCAACTCATTGGCTTTCTCGCCGATGCTTGGACATTTACCAGGGCCCGGTCTATGGCCCGAAGATTTGTTGAAAGCAAAAAGTCTGCTAGTCAATATCGGGGTCCTTGGTATAAGTATGGCGCAGCATGACTTCACTGGTCTGTGCCGTACGTTCCGACTGGCCGTCGGTTTGAGGGTGGTATGCCGTAGAGTAAAGCCAGGCGATCTTCAACGCCTGAAAATACAATTCCAAAGGCCGCTCAGAAGATAGGAGTATCTGCCTGATATAACAACATTGGGAGACTGCGATCGTGTGGCTGGAAGTAAGCGACCAAGCACTCATCCTAACTCCCAGAGAACCAAGTTGACTTTCCAGGCATGAAACGATCCATGTACCATGCAATGCCACCAGTTCGTTGGATGACCTGGTGTTGGAGAAACAGTGGGATCTGCATGGTTTGCAACACGATGCGGGCGAGTTCTTTTGCCCAGATAAACGATTTAAGCGCGTGAGCTGCTCTTTCGGGGTATTTTCATTCGGCTGCATACCATGGAGGTATATTCCTGAGGACTCGTACAAGTGGCTCTCCAATGTTCTTTACCTCCGCGGCCCATTTTTGCCATTTCTGCAGACACGGTGGCCGCCATCTCGCTGCTCCTCTCGTCTGCCATCTTTGCAGTTGGTTGAAAATGGAGGACTGGTCGTGGCATGCTTCCAATTGGAGGTCGACAGCTCCTCGACCTGGATCCCCGGATTCCAAAATGATAAAATGATACCAGCCGCACACTGAGCCGAAGCTGTTTTTGATATCTGCGGTCGGTAGCTAAAAACTTCCGTGACTTTCAGTCTTCCATGTTTGTGGTATTGGAAGCCAACGAATATGAACATTTTAATGGGCGTTTCTATGTGCTGCAAAGGTTCCGCCCGGCCAAAAACATCAAAAAACGACAACAGTCGGATTTGAACCGACGCCTCCGAAGAGAATAGATTTCTAGTCTATCGCCTTAGACCGCTCGGCCATATTGTCTTGTGATGATTACTAAGATCAATTGCGACATATCAGCCGGGTTACTTGGTTGCTTCTTGAAGGCCAAGACGGTGTGGTGTGTATTTCTCTCGATGTCCGCTTCGTGATGTCAGGAAACTGCCCGGGGTTAATCTCCTAGGTTAAGAACCAATCACCCACCAGCGATCGTGTCCGCTCGAGGTGGAATGATGGCAAGCTTTTGTGAGTCTAGCGTCAACAAAGGGGGACAAAAGGTGATAACCCCGTCAAACAAAAGGGACCAGTTCGGAGATGGCAGAGTAGCACCTGCAGGCCGCTGGCATGGTTATTCACCGGTTCATAATGGCCATCGTCCATATCCGGACAAAATTGTTTCGCCACTCTATAGCTCGGTTAATGCTATAGAACGGTGGCACCACGGACATCTGCCCCGTCTCTTGTGTAATATCCCCCACTGCTACATAGTAGCGCAAGTTTCATGAGGACGGGGGCGAGGTTGAACTCCATTTGTCCAATGTGTTTTGTCCGGTTAGCCCGGCCGACCATTTGGGCCTCAGTTGTGGCAATATTAGCAGTGCCCGATCAATAAACTGGCTCTGAAACCAGCCATTTCGGGCATGGCACCGTAGTATGATCGGGTCAAGGCCAACGCGCGGTCAAGTTCTGATAGTGTCCATGACTTCAAACTCGGAAGACTCGGGATTCGAGGCCATGAGTTTCGGGGAGAGCAGCGTGATGGAAAGAGGGCCGCCTGGTGGCCGCGGCCGAGAATCGTTTTGATGGCGTGGCCCTTTGCATATAACCCGCGCGAAGGGTCCGTTGACGACAGACGTGGATGGGCTGTCGCCTTCAGCCTTGTCGGATGTGTCGACATGAGATAATTGGGAGGCGGCTTTAGGAGGTGAGCATGGTATTCAATGCCGCATCGTCAGCACTGCTTGTTCGCGTTGACATTGGCCACGGGTGTCTAGGAATTGAGCGCCATATGTCCAGGCCCGATGTGCACTCAGAACAGCAGTCAAAATTGGTTAAATTGTCTTGGATTTGTCCGTATAATAGTTAGATGCCCCCCTTTGCAAATCGAAGGCGAATTGTAAACAATAATCGGCCACCACTTCTATAGAAAGAGACCCATCTCTTATAGTGTGTAGATGGGTGTGTGAGTTGGCCTGCGCTCTTTTCCTTTGCAAGAATGACCCATTGAGCAATTGCTGCTGTTCATGGCCTTCTTTGTTCTGGGTGAACCTGGGTGAACCACAAGGCGAAGTATCCAGCATGTTCCGAATCGCGAGTACATCCAAAAAGATCGGTCCCAGACCCAACCCAGCATCTTTCATAGCTAGAGTTCAACCAGCGACGATTGCACAATCGAGTAGACGACGAGTAGTTGTGTTGTTGACGCTTCGGCAACGCAGGACAAAAAAAACAAAAATAAACGTCAGCGACAGGACTCGAACCTGTGCGGGCGAACCCAATAGATTTCTAGTCTATCGCCTTAACCACTCGGCCACACTGACTTGATGTGTAATCAAGTCAAAATTGTGTATATGAGCGGTTGACTGTCTGTCAACAGTGTGTTGCATATAACATTGTTCCTTAGATCAGGCCTGTCCTCCAGGCTCTTCCCCAATAAATGAGCGGCGTAGATACGCACCGGGGCAAGAATTCGGTCTCGCTCTTTGACCGTGTTCTACTCCGTAGATCGTATTCCTATTGCTGTCTTGTGGCATATTTTTTATTGCGGATCATTTCTGTGTCGTATTGAGGAAGAAGAATCATTCGAGTCACTCGTACAACTGTAATGAACATGTCTGCTCCGGAGCACGATAAATATAGCTCTTGAGCTTGGAATAAATTGACGATATAGCCCAGACAGATACATGCTCGACTGAGCAACAGCGTCGAGTGGCAGTAGAAAGTGTCGTGAATCTGTATCTATAGCGAAACCTGCTGCCAGCCATGGGTCAGGAAGAGGAAAGAGTCTTGCATACGGGGAAAAATGGACTGTTTCTATACCCTATGGTGTCAGATACAACTGTCCATGGTGTGCTTGGTCGCAGACCTTCGGTACTCTATCTGGAGTATCGCATTTGTAGGAAGGCGGTTCAAGTCCAGGAATGTGTATATATTGTATGACAGGCTCAGAAGCTAGGCATAAGGTATAGAGGTTAATCAAGACATGGGTCAATATTATATCGCTCAATATAAGCATGAAGGGCTCGATGGTGTATATAAGTGAGAATATCATATCCCACCTAATGTCATTAAGAAGAGATGATGAGAGAGGAAAGAGGAAGAGAAGAGAGGAAGGAGGGGGAGGGCGTATTTAAGCGCCGGCCAGACCCGTTTCGTGAATTATCGTCAACATCGTGAATCCAGCCCGTTCCACTTCCGTGACTGGATTGAGGGGTAAATGCCGTAAAGAGCGGCGTGAATTAAGCGGCGTGAAGTTGTAGGGGTTTGCCAGCTTACAGCAAGTTAACAGGGTTACGCTGTTGGATAGTGCGTATTGGCTCTTTATCATACTGATTATTTCTAATTTTCAGTTTTACTTATTCATTTGTACTTGGCTATATGTTTCATGATTATTCCAACTTAGACCAACTTCTAGGCAGAAAAAGCAGACTGAAAGAAAGTCGGCCTGGCAGCAATATCTGAAGCCCAGTAAAGAGAATGCTAGGAAGTTAGCCACGGGGTATATGCATGAAAGGAGAATATCGATCCTTGTTCCTCTCAGTATGAGAGGGGCTAGTCTCTTTCATCTCGTACCAACGTGCATCCCGCATAATGTGTCCCTTATGGCTGCATTATGCAGCAGCTCTATCAGACCTTAGCTCCCAGTTTACCATCCTGAGAGAGCTAGTGTACAATGACAGTAGTGTTCCGAATGATTGTTCCCTGTTATTGACATCCAAAGGCCTTCGGGTACCCCTACCTACATAGAGGTGCAGTAGGCCCACAATCAAGGATGTGGTTTCCATATCAGAAGGGCGGTTGGCGCGGCAGAAGCGGTGGGCTCAATGAACTCGCGGCATTGCCACAGACCACTGGCCCGTCGGAAGTATGTACACGAGGCCAAATTGACACTACCTGCAAGAGGAAGAGTACGTTAGTAGAAGATCAACCAACAGGAGTGGGAATAAACAAGCAATCGACCACCGGCCATTAGATGTATATAGACGAAGGTATGCGTGGCAATGCTTGGAGGATAAAGCAGAGTGCTTGTCCCCCAGTCGACTCTCAATCCAGCTCAAACTGATGAGCTTTGCATTGCTTGCAAGTCGCAGTGGCGCCATCTTCTCTATTCCCCGAGGGACGACCTCCATATGCGGAGGACACGAAAAAAAGCAACCAGTCGGTGAAGCCAATCGACCTCAGGATTATCTTCCCTGTCTCGCCATGAGCGACTAGATCGAAATCCAGATGATCGCCATCGCAGGTGCCTGGTGTCCGTCAGCGACAGCGACGATCTCGTTGGGGGGTGGAGAAGAGCTGCAGTTCCCCGAAATCCAAAACCCCCCCCCCCCGGGTTTTAGTGCCTCACCCCGCATCATCATCAGTCATGCAGCTGCCATCCTCAACTACCCACACCACCTCTCCCCAATCATCCATACCCGCGTCTCACGCAGTGGATTCTCATTTCCTGCGCGCTTGAAGCCTTTCCCGGCCAACACCGGCTTATACCGGGTATCAACCAGGCATTCCCTGATCGCATGGCCGATGACGTCGACCACTGCGGAACCACGCGATCGATCGATCCCCCTGCAATAAATAACGACGCCCACTGAACCCCATTCCACGGACGAACCCCCTCCTTATTCCTGCCAATTCCCTCAATCCAGCAGAACGAAAGGGTAAAAAAAATGCCGTGGTCCATCGTTCTCCCCCAGGCGATCTTCGCCAACCCCCTCCTATCCGTGGTGACGCCCATCACCACCGGAACTCTGATCGGCATCCAGACCAACCGTGAGTTTTGCGGGCCCCTTTTCGCGTGAGAATCCAGATCCGATCGAGAGTAATCCTTCTAACCCATCTCATCTTATCTCAACCTAGGCCAAGCCAAGACGAAGCAGGTTTACAGCACGCTCAAGAAACCGCCCTTGTACCCGCCCCCTTGGGTGTTCGCGCCCGTCTGGACCATCCTCTATGGCATGATGGGGTTCGCGGCGCATCATGCCACGGTGTCCGGGTCGATTAATACGTACGCGTCTTCGACCATCCTGCAGGATTGGGCGGCCAGTTCGCAGGCGCTGTATACCTCGCAGCTGATGCTGAACTACCTGTGGATGCCCCTGTTCTTTGGGCTGCGCAAGCCGGGCTGGGCGCTGGCGGATATCTTGCTGCTGGGGGGGAATGTTGCGGTGCTGATGCACTCGTGGTGGAAGCATGATCGCGTGGCGTTCTGGCTGATGGCGCCGTATGCGGCGTGGTTGGGCTTTGCGACTTACCTGAATGCTGGGGTGGGGGTGTTGAATGGATGGACGATTGGGGGTCGGAAGAAGGAGGAGTGATTGTTGGATTGGTGGAAGGTCGACCCTCACACACTGTCATACCTATGGAGGTGTTTCTTTTTTTTCGGAGTTTATTTCCTGGTCAGGGATTCTGCTGGACATGATTACTGCTGCTACTTTCAACCGAAGTATATATCTGAATCTGATCCACCCAGCTGGTGGCTATCTAAGTGAATTTGTGCAATTTCTTCCAAAGCAAATTGAAATATCCAAATACAAAACAAATGATCTCTATTCACACCTTACTGCCATAAGAAATATCATTTATTCTTCTCCATGCAAGCCCACAACAGAGCACCTTATCACCACACGTACCCACGTGACCGATAAGCACGACCCCAACTTTCCCCTCACCAACAACCAAACCGCCATTCAGAATAGTAATCCCATCCACCAGCAATTCCCCCTTCCAATCCACTGGCACCCGCCACCCACCACTCACCACGCCATGAAAATGGTCCCATGGCGACAGCAGACGACAATGACCTCACCTTCTACCCGGCATACTGCTTCAAGGCATCCCCCACCCACTTCACCTGGGTGAAGATGGCGGCCATCGACGTGCTGAAATTGAAGAGGCGGGCGGGATATGGTAACCCCCCCCCCCCCCCCCCTTCCCCCCTTGACTCCAATACACACACCTACACACCCTACAACACCGAAACCACTCCCCAGACCACTCCCCACAACCACAATTCCCATACCCCCGACCCCCACCCCCAAACCGCAAACTAACACCCCACCCCCAAACAGACCAATCCACCTACTTCTACAAAAACCACCCCATCCAACACATCTCTATCCTGGGGCTAATAACCGCACGCACCGAACTCGCGCGCCGAACGATCCTCACAATGGACGATAGCAGCGGCGCCACGATCGAGATAGTGGTGTTGAAAGCCACCTCACCACCCAACCCCTCGAGCTCCCACAACCCCAATCCCAACCACAACCACATCTCCAGCACAACCCACCTCCCCCTCGACATAACCGCCCTACACCCAGGCACCCTGACCCAAATCAAAGCGACAATCAGCACCTTCCGGTCCACAAACCAACTGAACGTGGAGCGGGTGTTCGCGGTGCGGGACACGAACGCGGAGATGCGGTTCGTGGATCAGCGGAGCCGGACGCTGGTGGATGTGCTGTGCGTGCCGTGGGTGGTGGGGGCGGGGGAGATGGAGAGGCTGCGGGTCGAGGCCGAGGAGGAGGAGGAGAGGGTGGTGGAGGAGCAGGAGCGGTTGAGGAGGCGGCAGAAGAGGAAGTTGGAGAGGGAGGAGAGGGATTGGAGAAGGATTATGCGTGACTGGGAGAGGGAGAGGGAGAGGGAGAGGGAGAGGGAGAGGGAAGTAGAGGGGGGATGATATAGATCTTGAGGAGTGGGTGGGTGGGTGTGGGGTGTATGTTTATGAGTATGAGTATGAGTATGTATGAATATGTATGACTACGGGGAGGGGATGATGAGGGAGTATATACGACGTATTGTTATTATCATGCAGCGATTGACAGGTTAATATACGTGCTATGCCCGAAAGCCAAAGCCGAAGCCAGAGAAGCCAATAGCTGCGACTGTATTAATGATACAAAGTAGGGTAAATAAGGTACGTAGAACATAACCCAAACCCCCAAGTCTTATAGGCTCATCCCCAAGTCGCATAGACTCGTTCATTGCACGCAGAAAAACAGAGGACGTAATCATATCATCATCATGGAAATAATATGCGCGGTGGGTCATAGAACACCAGACACAAGACAAAGAAAGAAAACGGCAGCAAGAAGCCAAAAAGTGAGATAACAATGAAGCGCTATCGTCAGGTCATAACTCGTACATGGATATCTCATTTCCATCGTGGAAAGCATCATACTACCACTACCAAACAAACAAACAAAAAAAGACTGTGCCGGGGCCAAGAATAATAAATCAATCAATCACCGGTAGCCATACGTCTTATAATCATGTCCGGTGCTGCCGGAGCCAGAGCCGGAACCGATGGCTCCGCGGTAGTAATCCTCGTCACCACCCCAGCTGCTGCGCTTGCGCTCCTTGTCTCGGTCGTGGAAGGAATCGTACAGCCTTGGTTCGTCGCTCTTATGATCGAGGGTATAATGTCGGCGACGGTCTTCGATGATGTCTCCTGGAGAAACGGCGGAGGAATAATAGTCTCCGTCAGACAGCCCGGGGTATCGAGAGCTGCTGCCGTGACCGAGAAGGTCGCTCTCGGAGTGTCGGTAGTCGCCGCCTGTATTGAACCCCCGCACCGGACTTCGCGAGCGTCCAAAGGTCGTTGTGGGACGCTGGGATCCGCCGGTGCCAGTGCGGATGTGGTGGGGATCGTGGCTGTATGTCTCCGGCACTCGTGACGCAGACAAGGTCGGACTGTCGTGAGGAGCAGAACCCGTCGTGGAGGCCGCATGTCGGTGACTGGACGACCCGGCCTCGTCATAAACCTTGCCGCCTCCAACCTGTGCCGAGTATGGCTTCCTCTGGCGTTCAATTGGGCGCGACGGTATCTCTTTGTCGTCGTCATCGACAACGGCGGACGAGGACCCGCTATAGTAAGGCTGGCGATCACGCTCGCCCATTGAACGAGTTGAGTCGACCGAGCTCACAGAGGCCTTGTGCACAGACTGCTTGTGTCGCTTTGCAGCGACCTGTTTCAGGTCCTCCTCGGTGATTGGGGGCAGGTCAACCCCACAATGTTTGATTATGAACTGATCGACATCTTCTCTCACAGAGAGAATGGGTGTGTCGGGGAACAATCGACGAGGAATTTCCTTGGGAAACCTTTCTTTCCTGTTGTCGGGGTTGCTAATAGGCATGTTCAACACTGCCTTCTGCAAGCGCTCATACTCCTTCTCGGGATGAGCCTGGATCATCAAGGTTGCCCATCGCTCGAAGCCGCGAGGCGTCAGGCCTGGGATATCTGGTCTCTCGTCCAGCTTGTTTTGCACGAGATGATGTTCCGCCTCCACCTCTCGGTATAGCCTTGAGATTGAAGATGTACGATCGTCAAATATGTCTAAGTCACCGGTCAGCAAGGTTTCTAACGAATGAGATCTATTGCTGACCTTTCCATGGATAGGGATCCGACGACACGCTTGTATCTTCGTAAAACTTTTGCAACTTGTCCGGGGTCACAACCAGGGTATTTCCTGGAGCATAGTTCTCAATCTAAAAGAAATGATTAGCAAGTCTCCAATGCTCCTGGTCTCGAGGCTGCACCTACCAAATGAACTGCGATTCCTCGCAGGAACTGGCCAAGCCTCTCTGTTGGCTTTCCATCCTCAAAAAGTTTGCCCCATATCTTCTCCAGTGTAGTCATTTCCGTCACCGTGGCTTCCCTAGACGGTGGCTTTGGTCGAGACTCCATATTCTGGCTGTGGCAGCTGGCCTGGCTTGCTGGTGATCCTCGTCTCTCCTCTGCATGGCCCACAGATGGTCCGGGAAACAGATGGGGACTGCTAGGATGCACAGGGGGCGGCACTGGCGGCTGGTACTCAACGTTGTCCTGGGGTATCTTTGGCGGCGGCGGAGGGGACGCTTGTGGCCTCATCGGGGAGTAGAGCGATTCCCCGTGCATGGGAGCTGTAGCCTGAGGGGCCCATTGCGTAGGCGGCGGCTGTGGGGATAACTGTTGATCGCTTGGTATGTTGTCCAGCCCAGTAGCTTTCAGCTGCTGTATAACTGTTGCAGTTATCTGAGAAACGACCTCCGGAGACAGGTAGGCCGGAGAGTCAGCCTGGTGGAAGGCTGAGTTGACAGCCTCGTTTATCCGTCCTGTCGGCGGTGGTGGTGGCTGCTGCTGCTGCTGCTGCTGCCACGGAGCTGCCTCGTACGAGGGCTGTGGATAGTAGCCAGCCGGGGAAGACGATGGCGGCGGGGCTGAAGCCTGGGGCATACTGAGTTGGTCGGACCCATATTGTGATGGGTATGGAGGGGTGTAAGACGAGGCGCGGTTCTCATTGGGGTTGAACTGCGAGTATGTGCTGGGGCTGTTGGAGAAGCTGTTGTAAGCCATCGGGACCGCGGGAGAGGCGCAAGAGGCCGGATGAATAATGATTGCCCTGCTCTAGAACGAGCGCAATGATGATCAATGCCGGGCCTATAGATAAAATATTGGGATGGGAGCCGAGAGGATAAGCTATAAATAGAGGTTGGGAAAAATGGAGACGTGGTAGTGTTATTCCAGTGGGAAGAGCACGATTGTTCTTCAAGAGAAGAAAGGAGTGGAAACAAAGGTCAGGCAGAGGCGAGGGGCGATGGAGGGGCTGGCAGAGCGGATGGTGAAACCGTCCGTGTAGCGAGGTGGACTGGCCGGACTCGACTGGCCTGGCCTGGCACTCTGTTGCGCAACAACAACAGCAGCGAAGAAAGTGTGAGGCCAAGAACCAAGGACCAAGACCAAGAACAAGAACCTCCAAAAAAAAGAGGTGTGGCAGCTCCGGTGGGTCGTCGGGTGTGGTCCCTTTGCAGGGGAGAGGAAGGAAGAAGAAACGAGGATGAAAGGATGGCTGCCATTTGAGCTCCCGCGCGGACCGGAACATACGTCATGTCTGGCCGGGTTGCTGATTCGCCCGGCCTGCGGGGAAACGCTGGCCGTACCTCTTTGGACTTCTTCATTCCCCAACACGCGTCTATACTCTATGCGTTAATATTCAGCTACCCAGAGATTCTTCACTTTCGTCCCGGGAACCGGACGATCCCAGCGTACCAAGATCGTGGCATCCACGGTTGACCGTGCGGGTAGCGGGCTATGTCCTTGGGACGGCAGGATCATGATCCAGAGATTGTTAGAAACGATATCGCTAATACAGTAGTTGCATCATAGCCTCCCGTCTTCTCCAAGCAACTATCTTAGTACAATCAATCGATGATTACCAGCAGACTGCGGCCATCGCAGAAATAGAAAAAGGACCAGAAGGAACAAATTGGATCAGAAAAGAGTCTCCCCAGCCAGTCTCTCAACGGGGTGTCCTCGGCACTTGACCGTTTCTCAAAGATACTCGTCGAGCTCGTTGACATTATCCTCCTCCTCACAATCAAGAGCCTGACCGATGGGCTCAGGGACGCTCATGTTCGGGGCCTCGTTCTTCTCGTAGCGGGCGCCCTGGCAAAATTATCATTATTACCCGGGCTACTACCACCACTACTTCGCTCGAGAACTTACCTTGATTTTGGCGAATCGAGGCTCCTTCTTCGGTACACTGAGGGCAAAGCTGGTATTCTTGCGCGAGGGTATGCTCTTCACTCCCCAGGCTCCCCATCCACTGTGGACCGAACCTGTGTCCTCAGACTCCGCGACCTCCACGTGGACGGTTCGTTGGCGAGCCGTTCCATGCTCGGGGTGAAACGCGTTAAAGGTGCGCGGTTTGCCCTTGCTGGCTTGGTTTTCCTGACGTTCGCCCTCCACCCAGACACCACCCCCGATAGACTGTAGGTCGTCGTCGTCGTCATCATCATCATCGTCATCATCGTGGCTGGAGACAGAAGGGGCATCGTCTGCGTTGAGGAGGTTGGCTTCATCCAGAGGATTGGAGCCTGTCTGACTCTTCAAAGGCGTCAGTACTCAGACCACGATTTCTGTACATTTTATCGTGGCACAAACAGCAGTAGCAGAGTTGGCAGCTTTTTCGCCTTTAGCAATGAGCTTCGAATCCTCGCCGCCGAGAGGATCCGCCTCAGCGTGCTTCTGGACACAGTTCAGGCATCTCTGGCCGGAAGCCAGTCGTTAGAACTCCTATCCATACGTAGGTGTTCAAACCTACCGCATCGTCACGCTCCTGGCGCTGGTTCTTAGCAAAGTCCTCCATGCTCTTGATCTGGTCACACAGGGAGCACTTCATCTCCGAAAGACTTCCGCCAGTGCAGTCCCGGCATCTTGCAACTCCACTGGTAGTGGCACGAGCTCCCTGAACCACTATCGCGTTGCGTAAGGCGTCCAACTGACGGTTCGAAAAGCCGGTCCTGCTTCGAAACTTCTTGCAAGTACCGCACTTGATCCTGGGCTCTATTAGTCGTCCTGTAGAGCTGAATCGGAAAGCTACTTACTTATCCGGAAGTGTGACATTCTCCAGCCTGGAGTGATGTCAGTAAACCCAGACGAGAGTGCATCAAGTAAGTGACTGACTGTCTCTTGATAGACTGGCTGTAGCCTCCAGAGTAAGCGCTGCGGGGGCCGGAGTTTATCCTGCCTGAATACATTGCCTCGCTGCCTTGATGCAGAAAGAATCGCGGAGAGGGGAACGCGTCAACTGAGCGAACGAAAGCTGCTAGATGAGCGAGGGGAGATTCCGCAGGCGAGGGAAGAATGGTGAAGGAAGAAGGAGAAGGAGAAGGACTTTCTTCACTCTTAAGTATCAGTCAACGCCTCGCCTGTTTACCTCCTGTCACCATGGCACCCCGACCAGGATACACTGGTCTCAGTGAATATGAGAGTCTAGAGCAGTGAATCCCCAAGACCACCTTCAGATAGTAGTGTAGTAAAGATGTCACCGAGTAGCGGTCACCAGGTAGGATCCAAGACAACCGGTGAAGGCTAGGCAAAACAGCGGAGAGGTAGAAGTGAGTGAAGGTATTCCGGTCTCGCGCTCTTGACTGGATAGTCCGATTCTAGAAGGAAGTCAGATTTCGCTGGGCTTCCAGCAGTGGAGCGGCAACCGACATACAAAGTACACATACTGCCAAAGACAAGTCCTGAGGGCTGCAAACGCCGCCGTTCTAGCTGGTTCTCTCCTCTGAGTCGCCATGTTTGGGTTCTACAACCATCCCGGATGGAAACACAGCCGTTTGCTCCTGACAGCCACCGCCCCTTATCATTGAACCATTGTCCATGGCAAATAGGCAGCAATGCCGATGTAGTGCCTATCCTTGCCACGAGTTGCAACGGTAACCGTTTTCTTCAAACCAACCTCACGGAACACTCAGAGTCCGGCCAGTTTGCTTGTCATGTCAGAGAGACATGACACGACAATCGCACGTTCGAGAGGAATCGGGCCTCGTTCGAGCCGCAAGCACACAACGCCATGAGGAACATACCTATAGTACAGCAGGCGCAATGACGTAGGAGGAGAAGTATCAGATGAACAGATCCAAAACACGAGAAAAAGTAAAAAAAGGAAAAAGAAATAAGCCGTAAGGTATGCTCTGTAACTCGTACTGTGGCGAAGAGAAAAGCAAAGACCAAGCCGCAATGACAGACAAAGAAATTATGTGTGCTGCGCCCCTTTACAAACTCCTAGATTTGCCGAGCTGGAGAATCACCTTGGTGTTGAGCGCCATCTATACAGTAAGTGGTAGTACTTTAGTACCGTCTTGCCAAACCCCCTCTCCCCCCTTCTCATTCGAATGGGTTCCTGGACATCATAATCTACGTCTTTTTCGGAGAAAAAAAAAATAAGAAAAAAAAGGCGAAGAGGGGAGATCTGGCATACATCTTCGCGGGAGGGATGCAGTCACCCTCAGACTACTGCAAGGCCAGACGGTCAACCCGGCAATCATGTCTCGTTTCTGCGTCCAGACCTGTCCGATGATCCATTACCATTGGCTAATCACCAAGGATCCCTCTTTTTTAAAATCGACTTGATCCAAAGGAGGGGTCTACACAGCATCCACTGTGCGGCAGTGCGGTGGCTCCTCTGTCCGCAGGAGCAGAGTCATATGGATCATCATCAGGATGGAGACCGGAGACTGCATGTCCGTGTCGAACTGGACTGTCGATGCAAGCAAGTCGCACCCTATCTACTCTGGACTCCATAGCCGGTATCTCTCCCGTACCTGCCTAAGCCCATATCCGGGTACTTTTGGTCACTCCCGCGGATCTCAAGGACCAGAGCACTGGAATTATTAATCTGGAGCTCTAGTGGCGTTCCAGAAGCATGTCTAGCCGTCTTTGCTGCAGGGAATGCTTTGTTGATCCTCCACGGTGGTCCGTAGTCCGTACTCAGATAGTCGACGATGAGCAAGCACCTCATCACTCCATAGTATTATGGGTTGGATTTGATTGCCAGACTGCGGTAGTTTGCCCGTTGCAACGGCTCTTTAATCGACGATGAATGCCGTTCGATACGACAAGCTGCTTCCGCTAGACAGACAGCCGACCGGAGCGGTCTGTCTCGGTCTCCTGATCCTGCTCGCTCTCTTCCGTTTCCCATGAATCCCCTCAATCCTTCTGGAATGCTCTTGGAAACCGACGGCTTCGATAGCTGCCTCCATAGTAGCATGGCTTAGCACGGCTAAGAAATCCTTGGGAAGCCTTATGGAGTATGGGTAGGCAGACCGGAGCAGCTAGCGCGATATGGCAGGAAAGTCGAGCAGATGATTCGGCTGTTGGGTTACGGATTCGTTTGGGGGGGGAGCCCCGTCCGGTCCTCACCATCTGGCTGCGCGCGACACGACTGGGCAGGGAGGCAGACCGACCCATCGCCGGGTCTGTCGGGTAGCGGGGACGGGCCTCACGCCGAGTGGGGGTCCGCATTCCCCGGGCGTCCGGTGCAATCAGCAGGTCCACTGAATATCCGTATGCGGTCCACTGGCGGCCTCCCGGTGGAGGAAAACGGACTCCACTGCTGGGGCTTCTCAATAACGATGGTCTGGTAGCTCAGACGGCCGGCGGTCCACTAGGGCAATTGGCTCCGACTTCTGATCGTCCCAATTTGGTTCGGTCGGGGCCCAGCTCCAGTCGTCTAGTGCTCCGGTCCCAGTCGCGCACCCGTTCCCCCTTCTGCGCTGGTGCCCGAAAACTTTCCAAGAAACGCCATCATTATTGGCCTCCCCCGGTCTCACAAGGTTTTCGGTCCTTTGTTGTGAAGTTGTGACTAACACCGGTCGGATGCACAAACGCGTGAAGCGAAAGGGGAAGAATTAGATAACGGAAATAAAAGGGTGATGACCAAGAAAGCACTACTGTACAGTGTACAGTGCACAAAGTACAAACAGAGAGAGGGCGTTGGATAGCCCCGGGCAGGCAGTTGTTTCTCCGTGGGAAAAGGGAAAGAAAGGGAAAGGGAAAGGGGACATGTCATTTCGGCAGGATTACGAGTCATGGGGTGGTCCGACAACCAACTGCCCGTCAACCTCTCTGTTTGTTTTGGCCCTGGTCTTTCTTCTTGTCGCGTCCACGACAGCAAGGGAAAGAAGAAGACCAACAACTGAGAACTGAGAAATAAGAAGAAACACGAAGAACGGCACGGAACAGAAGGGCCAAAAGACGGTGACTGTGTCTTGCGACGACTCTCGACATAGTAACTATGGAGTACAACCGAAGCATGATGGCGGTCAAGTGACACAAGCGGTGACCGGCCCATAGACCCCTTTTTGGCATCATGTATGGCCTGTCATCAAAACCGGAAAACACACCGAAATCGACGGCTTGGACGCTGTCCATGGATCATACGCGTCTTGGGGGTCTTGGGTCCAGGCAGGACCATCTTCGAGACATGGCTTCTCCGTCCATGACCCATCACCCGCCACCGTGACAGGTATCTAGTCAGTAGCACTCCGTAAGGCGTGGACACTGGACAGCCCTCAATTTCCAGATCTGGAAGTCGGAGGTTGGTAGGTACGCAACTGGTCGGTACGGTATGTGAGATGATCATCACTCTAGCATCATGATGATGTGTCGCTTGATTTAAGCTATGGCACTCCAGGAGCCTAATACTGGTGATTACTCTGCTCCTTCACTGCCTCGAAAGCGATTAGTGGTGGCATCTTATCATGAGATCGGCCCTGGTCACCCCACATGGCAAGAGCGAGCTCGGTAGAGGTTTGGGAGAATGGCACTATCTGGTAGACTATCTATGGGGTATACCAGACCGAGAGACTCAAGAATTGGCGCAATCGGTGGCAAACCTGTCGCAAATAGATCGAAAATGTCGGTAGCTGTGGTAACAACAGCAAGCAAAAGCACCGTCGAGCAGGTACCTAGGCATCTACCGGACGGAGTACATTGGACAGGATCACAATCCTACTGGACAGACTAATCTGATCTCGCAGATGTAGGGATAAACCTTGCTTGATGTATGAAGAGTCCATACTTATGTACCTCCGTACTGAGGACTACTGGAGCAGAGCTTCAACTCAATCAATGTAATGAATAATGCCTCCGCCAGTATGCAGCAGCCACCATGACCCCGTACTTTCAGCCTTGCCTTCTGCTCCTGCTTATGGGGTAGCCCCTCGATTGTTTATTAAGATCCGAGCGATTTTCATGCAAGCCTCTGGATTTAGGTGCGCCTTGATAACTTCGATGTGATGCATATGCAGTAGATTTCCTAATCCACCCTGGCGCAGTATATGGGGAAGCGCAGATATCCATCGCCCGGAGAACTCCCACGGAGTATGCTTTGTTTAGATTGTTTATTGAGCCAAATACCTAAGTACTCACTATCTCCGTATTTATCTATCATATCCACTGGAAGTGAGTCATTGTAGCAGGTGCATAGCCATCATGCTCGACGGAGTACTCCGTCCTCCGTCCTGTCTTGTTGAAGAATCAGTCAGTCAGTCAGTCAGTCAGTCAATCAAGCACAAGTACGAAGTCGGTAGGTCAATCCGACGTCTTTACTTACCCCTCTCGGCCATCCTACTCTAGGTGTTCCTTCTAAAAACATTTGTTTTTCGGACTTTCTATTTTTTCCCCATTATTTTTTTTTTTTCAGTTCCATATCGCCTCCTCGGCTGAAGCGCCAAATAATCTAATCGCTGAAACAAGTGACGCCAGTCCTACCGGTATCTCCGGACCCAATGAAGCAGTCAATTTCACTCACGCATCCTTACTGTTTCAACCACCGATAAGTGACACACATGTAGGTAGATTATCAAGGGAGTGTGCCCTGTGCCCAGTCCACTTGCCCGCTGGCATGGCATGCACTGGGAGGGGCAGGGCAGGTATGCACGCCACATCTCTATCCGCTATCTATCTATCGAGTATCGACACCGGGCTAGCATTTCGGACTTGGGTCACAGTCGGCCGCCTCGATTTTGTGAAAATCAGTCAGTCGTTGCAGTGAGTGGGAGAGAGTGGGTATCGAGTTAGTACCTTAGTAGCGTAAAGCGTTGCCATGTTGGCGGTCAGCCACCCAAGCAACACATTGGACTACGGAAGTACGGGGAACATAGACTACTTACATGTCCAGCCACTGTTGGCCGGAGCCGTTGTGGTTTAAGACAGCAGATGATGGGATGAACTGAACTATCCACAGATCCTCCCTGATAACAACTTGCATGAACTGTAAACCAGTCCACGGCACCCACACAAAGCCTGGACTGTACTCCATCGTCCCGTGGACCCGACTCACCTCACCTCACCTCACCTCACCTCACTCACCTCCATTCTGGCGCGGGTCTGTCACTGCCAAAACGGGCGGCAGATATCTACTATGGCTGGCTCGGCTGCCGCCCATTGACACTCATATATCAGCAAGGAAGAATCTTAATTCCAATCTTGATCCGTGTGCAGTAAACCCCTCCCGTGATGATGTAGATGAGGTAATGCGGACATCACATGTAACCACTAGCAATTCCCCCTACTAAAGGTTAAAGGATCGGATATACCAGATCCGCGCGATAATCTCATTCCGACGAGGCGGACAATGTCCAGACACATGTCACATCGTCGAGGTCTCTCGCCATTGCTACCAAAATCTGACCATCCAAGATCCTGGGAGGCTGGGTGGGATGGTCGAGTTAGAGTAAGAGTAAGCCGAGCAACATCAGCATCACTCGGGAAGCTTGCAGCCCAGGAAGGAAGAGAGAGAGAGAGAGAGAGAGAACACACACCCACACACCCACCCAGCCCACAGGCCACAGCGACACAGCGACACGGAGAGAGAAAGAGACGCGGCCCAACCCCTGGCCATCGTTGCTAGCGCCCGTCTAACGATCACTAGAGGCGGAGACCATGTGGGCCCCATTAAGGCTGGGCCTTCCAAAGCCCAGAGAGTGTGTAGTGGACGTGGTGAGTCGACTGGTAGGACGGAGGAAGGACCTTAGGCTCTCACTCTCAGTCCCAGGCCGTTCATTCTTCCTTTCAACCTCTTTGACTGGGTGCCCTCCCCCAAACCCCCCGGTGTCAACGGGCTGGATGCGGAAGGGCGAACTCTACACCTCATCCTAGGGCGAAACTCTGTTAGATTCTTTCATACACGCGTCGCGCGTTGCATGGCTGTTTCCCCTGGCATGAACCCTCCTCCGCTCCTCCTTCTCAAGTCATAACAAAGGTCGTGCCACTGATGGGAAATATGAATGATCATGAGGGAGGGAATCGGGGTGTAAGTAAGTAGTCCGATCCAGGTGTATCGTACTCCGTAATATACCTATCTCTGATATGTTACGACTGGCTACCTCGCACCTAGGTGACTGTACAGGTTAGTAGTAGTCGGGACGGAGTATTAGTGTTGCTTTAGGACTGCCCATATAGACAAAAGCGATTGGTCAAGATCCCCAATAATGCTGACTGCCAACCTAACTTGCGGTAGGCGCACTTCGAAGTCTGAAAACTCAGCACTTAAAGGCAGGTAAGCAGTCGCTTAACAGACTACAGCGATGCATTCGGAAGGAAGCAGTCAGCAGAGATCAGGGACTTGAACAGGTACCAGGTAACAGAAATACGGTAATATACCACATTCTTCTGCCTTGGGAAACTCTAAAAACAAACAAACGGTAAACACCGGAAACCCAAAACCCAAAGCAACAGGAGAAGGGGAAACAAAAAAACAGTTTTCCCACCAAGAAAAGTTCGGCGAAACAACGGATCCTTTTTTTCATTTGACTTAGATACTCCGTGGAGAGTGTCTACGGAGGACATACCAAACTAGATGCTGACCTACCTAGCTAGGACTTACATACTTGTATGCTTGCTGTTGATGCCGGAGGGAAAATGTTTGGTTTTCCATGTTTTCATGTTTTCATGTTTTCATCTTAACATTTTCGGCAATTTCCCACCGCCGCGGCGCCTGTTGCCGTCTTCGAATCGAGGCGCGCCGTGGTCCGCCCGTGTAAGCACGGTAACTCACCTCAGCCAGCGAACCTCCTTTTCATTTTCCCTGGGTGGGAGGCGACGGAGTGGATCTCCGTTCCTCGACCATGCCTCTCTCGGCCAGCCTGCCCAGACTCGGGGCACTAGCACGGTGGAGGAAAGGCGTGCCAAACGGGGTTCCGTCTGGGTCGTTGAACCTGATTATTCATGGTTATTATTATTAGTAGCTGGTAATAATAATAATACGGATTCAGTCGGTATGGGATGGATCCATCCGTCCATCCTGATGGTGGAGGACGATTACGGAGGCCGACTTGACGCAGGCGCCTTAGTGGCCAGGCTAAGCACGGCGACTGGAGCGAATGAACCGAATGTTTTATGATTTTAAGGATTTTATATTTTATTATTTCTATTCGGGTTTTGCGATTAATCGCTAGGCACTGGGGGAATTAGCTCGCCAGTAGGCTAGTTGACTGGCTCAGACTCGAGGTACCGTACCTAGTTTAGTGGGAGTTAACTTACTGTTAGAGTATTGAGGTCAGTCAGTCAGTCAGTCAGGTAAGGTCCTCTCAGTGTTGCTCTCTCGCTCGCTGGACCACTCGCGTCGCCCTCCGTCACCCATATTAGCACCTCAATTGTTGCCTTCTTTTCTGCCCCCCTCCCACTTCCCCCCTCTCTAGTCCCTCAGTCTCCCGATCTTCCCTCAGTCTTTCTCTTCCCCCCTCTCTCAGTCTCTCTTCCCCCCTCTTTATCCCCCCAAAAAAACAACACTCAGCCTCGAATAATGGGCCTCAGGACTTCTGCATGACCATCGCATTCCCCCCGTCGTGCGTGTGGTGCCTGTCAGTACCAAAGGTCAAAAACAATTTATAAAAAAAATAAAAACAAGCACAATTCCACCCTTTGGTCCATGTCAGCACCAGTCCCTCCTCTTCCGACCCTTTTAACCCCTCAATAAACCCACCTGCATCATTATCCCCCCCCCCCCCCTCCCCTCTCCCCTCTGAGGCCCGGAGTATAATAATAAATTATTATTATTATTTCCTGTGATCTGCACCATCGCTTTGGACCAAACCCGCTTTGTCGTCGACCGCCTCTTCAGTCCCCACGGCCCGGACCCAAGTGCTCTCTCATCCTCCTCTCTCTAGCAGCTCAAGCTGTCACCGCGTCAGGGGCTTGCTATTCCCATTTCCTCCCCCCTCCCCAAGCCGGCCTCCAGTCCGATCATCCTTTCGTTTAGCTGTGTCCAGTGTCCCACCCAGACGGATCCGCTCCTATCACTACAGTGATCACGTCCAATCCTCTGGGCCTTCCATCTGGTTTCCAGATCTTCCTCTCCTCCACCTTCGCTTCGTCTCTGAGAACTACATGACTACCCCTTTCCCCCTCTTCCCTGGACCCAATTTCGTCCCGAACCCGAACTTCATCTGCATCTAAACTATATCGCACCACCCTGCACCCTGCACCCTGCACCCTCATCCTCATCCTCATCCTCATCCTCATCCTCATCCTCACCCTTCACCCTCGCCCCCATTCTCACCCTCATCCTCCACTCTCACTCTCACACCCTCTCACACCCTCATCTTCATCATCGACTCTCGCTCTCCTCCACCCCCGCCCTGTCCCTGTCCCTCCATCGATGGGAAAAAAGAACAACCTCCCCCGCGGGTACGATATCCTTGTCTGACTGCGAATGATGAGCACCTGATCCAATTCGACTCTTCCGACAATCACTGGGAGATCCGTCTACTCCTTCGAACCCCATTCCTGACCTCCGTCGATCCAGACCTATTCGGGCCGCGAAATCCCTCTTAGATTTTCTGCTGGCAGAGAACGACCGGAGAGACACCATGACCGTCAGCTACGATCACACATCCCGGACCGCGGCTCCGACGTCAGTCGCCACTCTTGAGGACCGGTTTGAAGTTCTCAAGGAGGTCGGCGATGGCAGCTTTGGTAGCGTGGCTGTCGCACGTGTTCGGACAGCTGGTTCCAACGTTGCCCGGAGGGGGACCATGGTATGTTGACACAAGCCCACTGATGCTCGCTGGCTCGGTTACTAACCCCTTACCTAGGTCGCCATCAAGACGATGAAGAAGACGTTCGACTCCTTGACCCCGTGCTTGGAGCTGCGGGAAGTCATCTTCCTCCGGACCCTACCGCCCCATCCCCACCTCGTTCCCGCCCTCGATATCTTCCTCGACCCTCTCTCCCGCAAGCTGCATATATGCATGGAATACATGGATGGCAATCTCTACCAATTAATGAAGGCCCGGGACCACAAGCCCCTCGATGGCAAGCACGTCAAGAGCATTCTGTTCCAGATCTTGTCGGGCCTCGACCACATCCACGCTCACCATTTCTTCCACCGTGATATTAAGCCCGAAAACATCCTCGTCTCTACCTCCGCTCCCAACGACTCAGCCTTCAGCCGGTACTCCAACCTCGTTACTCCTCCTTCGACCCCTCCCACATATACCGTCAAAATCGCCGACTTCGGCCTTGCGAGAGAGACCCACTCCAAGCTCCCCTACACCACCTACGTCTCCACGAGATGGTACCGCGCACCCGAGGTTCTTCTGCGTGCGGGAGAATACTCGGCACCCGTTGACATGTGGGCTGTCGGTGCCATGGCCGTGGAAATCGCGACTCTCAAGCCGCTCTTCCCTGGTGGTAACGAGGTCGACCAGGTCTGGCGTGTCTGTGAGATCATGGGAAGCCCTGGCAACTGGTACAGCAAGTCGGGCTCCAAGATCGGTGGTGGGGAGTGGAGAGAAGGCTCTCGTTTGGCTCAGAAGTTGGGATTCACTTTCCCGAAGGTATGATCTATTCTGCAGCTTTCACGTACAATGGACACTAACAATCGATACAGATGGCCCCCCATTCCATGGATAGCATCCTTCAGGCCCCTCAGTGGCCTGCGGCTCTCAGCCAGTTTGTTACATGGTGTTTGATGTGGGATCCCAAGAACAGACCGACGTCCACGCAGGCTCTCAACCACGAATACTTTGCCGATGCAATTGACCCTTTGAGACCCAAGTCGTCAACCGCTCGTCTCCTGGGTCGGAAGCAATCGGACAAGAGCTTCAAAACCCCCAGTCGGGAGGCAAATGACTCGCCAACTTTTGGCAAATCTTCGTGGTTCAGGAGGTCATTGATCGGTCGGTCGGAGAGTCCCGCCCCGCCTGTGGAAAGCGACCACTCTTCTAAGCAAGCTGTGTCGTACAACTCGGAGATCCACGTGGCCAAGACCAAGCCCGCAGCTACTAAGCGTGCCACCTGGGCGAGCGGAGCCCCGATGCCTATCCTGCCCTCGATCCGACCAGTCTCCCCCCTGTCAAATGCAGTCACAGCGCAGGCTAACTCATCGCTCGCACACTCTGACAGTGGCAAGGCGAGCAAGAAGATTGGCAGGCAGCTATCTGTTAATTCCCATGGAAATCACTACGCTGATATCCACCGGCAAGAAGCGGAAAGGGCGCTGAACGGCGGAGGAAGTGTCAACATCGCAATGACCCCAAAGGAGAGCTTCTTCTCTCACCTTCGCAAACGCGCCCGCAGATTATCCGGCCGTAACCAGGCCAGCGCGGCGACCGATGATGTCGAGGCCAACGCTGGCTGTATGCCGTGGTCTAACCGGTCTTCCCTCGCTCTGGACTCCGTGACCGTCAACGAGGGCAAGCAGAACGATCTGTCCGAATTGGACAAGGCCCTCCAAACGGTGAAGTGCTCGCTCGACTCGTCCGCCCTGGGCAACGTTCCGGTCCAGATTACTTCGCCCGTTGATGGCACCAAGCGCCAGTCCATGCCCCAGGGATCGATTCGCAGCATGACTGACAACCCTGCATCAACCAGTGGCACCGGAGGCCCTATCTCCAGCAGGACCAGGCGCGCAATGCACATGTCTAACAACCCGATCCACCGCTACGAGACCCCCGAGGAAGAGGATGAGCTTCTCGATGAGGTCCTGCATTCCGCGAGCAAGGCCTCCCGGCGTCTAGCGCAGACCGAAACATCATCTGATGGTTCGTCTACCTACAGCCGCCCGGGCCAGGGAAACGACAATTCTCGCCCTTTGCCGAGCCCTTATCCTACTCCCTCGCCATCAGCCAAGTGTGATGGTGTGTCTTTCGGCCACTCGGAGACAACCCCCTGCAGACGACTGCCCTTACCTGAGGAGAAGACCGACGCGAACTCCAGTCGCCAATGGCCTACTCCTCCCTACGAGGATGGAGACTGGGCGCCCCCAGCCCCGCCAAGTTCCTGACCGGATCAGCGACTTACCGTTAGCAAGTCCCACGCGGGATTTGACGCGGGCATTCTTTTCTTTTCTCCCATACTTTTCGATCTTGTTCATATCTAGTCAAAAGAGAAAAAATGCGGTGGTCATGCGCGGAATCGGCGGATTTAACCGAGCAAGGCGTACGGGATCTGGTGTCAACTCTGTTTTATATCTGTGGAGGTCTGGTGGTTTTTCTTCTCATTTTCCCCTTCTCCCTTTCGTCTTTGTTCCTCCATCCTGCGCATTTACTTCTACCCATGTTTGTATAGGCCATGGTTTCAGCCCGGGTTTCCTTTCATTTGTCTGAGTGTTTTCATACCCCAAAGGCCCTTTTAGAGATATAGCTGGCCTCGCACCTTGTTTTCGGTATACCGTTTGCTCGTGTCCTTCGTTCCTTGATATCCTGATATCACTTCACCTGCACATTGCTCATCTTTTCTCCTGATACCACTCGCGCGAGTCGCAATGTTTGCTACCATTCCTTATGTACATCTTTACCCTCCCCCCCCTGAGCATGCATGTCCTAATTCCCTCGGTTGACCACACATTTCCTTTTGTCAAACTCCATTCAACCCTATGTATATTTTCCCGGGCATTTATCATCACTCCCCATTCCTTCGCATTTCCCTCCCCCCCTCATTCCTTTCCCCTCTACATCGCGCGGATTGAAAGTGTGACAACACCTTTCAACGAACAAAAGAACTTCCATTCACCCACTGTACAATTTCAAAATTTGCTGGGAAGGAGCACTGGTGGCTGGTTCTGGGCTTTCAACACTATTGTAATATAGGACTTATTCCTGACGGGCGACCGTCTGTTTATATATACTCATTAATAGAACAGGCAATACAGCACTGTATCTGAAAGAATCTGATATTTTCCCCTTCAATTATTAAATTATTAAGTGTCACTGTCACTGTCACTGTCACTGTTACTCCAAGTATTGCCGACGCGGAACAACTGTTTCCCCGTCCGCCGGCAGATTTTCCGGCGGCGCAGGGCTCGAGCACTACGTCAAAAGGTTTCCATCGAGGCGGTTGGCTTTGATCGCATGCACGTGGGCGTCTGAACTGCCTGCTGGGATGCTTCATTGATCCGGCAGAAGCCTTGAAACCGAAGAAACCGAAGACTTGCTGTCCGAGCTGTTTCGACTCCAAGACAGCCCGTCCACCAGGACTGAAATTGACCGTCGCTTTGCTGCTGTATACGGCTACGTGATTGATCACCAGTCAAGCCGTCGGCCACGACAATACCCCTCATTCTTTTCCATCACTCTGTTATCCGCTCCCTCCCTCCCCTCTCTTAGCCTCCTCGTCAGACGAGGCCTTCTTTGCCCACAATGGCAGCCCAGCGCCAGGCATCGTCCGCCTCCCAAACCCCCCTCATCTCTCCCGCAGAACTTGCCTACCTCTACACCTCACTGTCTCTCCCCGACGGCCCGATTCGCCCAGATGGCCGCTCAGCCACGCAATTCCGCCCCTTGACCGCCGAGACGGACATCCTTCCGGGCACCAACGGCAGTGCGCGCGTCGGGTTCGCAGACGGCACACAGGCGATCGTCGGAGTCAAGGCCGAGGTGGAAAAGACCGTTGTTGCGGCCGAGGCCCTCAATCTGTCACAGCACGGCTCGGAGGACTTTGCAGACACCGACGGCAGCGAGAGGCAACAGTCCCCCAGTGCTGGACATGGCTCGTGGGTGCAGATGTCCATCGAGATCCCCGGGTTTCGCGATGACGATGCTCTGCCCGTCTTCCTCTCGGAAATGATGCGCGAGCCGCTCGTCGAATCTGTCTCCGGTGGACAGGGTGGGAGTGATGATATGGCGGGTGGGCTTAAGGGGAGATTGGTTATCAATAAGCGGTGGCATTGGAGATTGTACATTGATGTGAGTTTCTTTCTTTCTTCGTTTGTCTTTTTTTTTTGATTCGCAGTTGGAATACTGTTACTAATGCTTTCTCTACAGGTGCTGCTCCTCTCCCAGCCTCTGTCGTACCCTCTTCCTTTGCTCTCCCTCACGACACATCTGGCGCTCCTGTCGACCAAGCTCCCCAAGCTTAAATCGCAGGGCGAGGAAGATCCTTTCTTCGACGATGACTGGAATGCCGCCGAGTACCTATACCCCCGCAACCTGAAGTCGCACCTGTCTTCCACGCAACAGGTCCGTCCCCCGGTGACACTGCTTGTCATTGCGGTGGGCGAGAACGTTGTCTTCGACCCCAACAGGGAGGAAATCACCGTCGCGGACACCATCCTGGCGGTCTCTGTCACTCGCGATAGCGACTCGGATGGTCTGAAGCTGCTGTCCATCCGCACGATCGACCCCCCGTCCCGTCTGACGCAGCCGGGTGTACCGAACTCGGAGAACGTCGCGACACTGGGCTCTACAGCGGCCGCTGAGGAGGCGCTCGAAACAAACCCGTCCACCGGGGAGGAAATCCCTGGTGTCTGGAAGCCTCAACGCGGAGGTGTCAAGCGGCGCACGATTGCCAAGATGCTCAAATTGGTCCTGGAGAAGGGCGGTGTCGGCGAGGAGGTTCTCGAGGGTCTGGAGGGCGTGGAGGTCGGCTGAAGCGGTTCGCGGGGCTGTTTGACGGGTCCCAATCAATGCACGATGTCTCGGGCTTTATGTACGACCTGTCCCCGGATCGATTGAGTGCTGGATGTCGTGATGGTCGACCGTGCTGTCCCGGCCAACAAGCCCACAAGTGTTCGAGCACGAACCATCCATCCCATGTGTTTGTTGAAAGACACAGACCTCGAAAAGAAAGCTCGGCATTTCAACCGCAGCGAAACACGCAGGCTGGAGCTGAGCTGAGTGGAGATGACGACGACTCATCGCCATGATAGAACAATTGACTAGAACCAAAACTTGTACATAGGCAGATAATACATGGGGAGAGAAGAAACATAGTGCCCACCAAAACAACAACAAAGGCCAAGGCTAGTATACAGTCTCCGTCTCCCCCACCACCCCGCAGTAGCATACACAACCATCCCCTCTCTCCCTCAACACAAACCACTAAATAAACAAATCACCAAATCACCAAATCCCCAACCACCTCTTCGCGGGCCTCTTATTCCCCTCCCAATCCACATACACATTCTTCCCGCTACCCCCAGCGGCACCCTGCTCCTCCACCGCCACCGGCGACTGCTCATCCACCACCACGGCATCATCACCACTATCAACGATCTTCCCATCGCGCTTCTCATCCGGCTCCTCCAACCCATGCGCCACGCGGTACTGCCGTCTCTTCTCCGCATCGTCTACCCGTCGCCGGCGGTTCTCGCGCGTCTGCATGGACGTATGCTCCACGTGCATCCGGAACACAGACACCGCCTGCGAGATCGTCGAGAACGGATGGCCCAGTAGCGCCGACCACGGCGGGAGGAGGTGCGCGAATGGACTGTTGCGTTTGAAGTTCACGGTGAATGTGAATGTTGCGAGGGAGATGAGGACGCTCTGTACATTAATCACAGAGATAGAAATTAGCATGGATGTTCCTTCATTCATTCATTCATTCATTCATTCATTTGTCCGTTGATGCGTTCCCGAATTGATAGGTACGAAGAGGAGGTTGGGGTTGGGGTTGGGGTTTGTTGGCCTTACCATCGCAATCCAGATATGTATCCACCTATGGGTCAAGAACTTGAACATGACCGTGCCCTCCGGCGGGAACATGTTGGGGTATTGTTTGGTCTTCTGCTCTTCGATCTCTTGTTCGCTGAGTTTCGGGCCTGGGTAGTTGATCGGTCCTCCTCCGCCCGTTGCTTTGCCATTGCGGGGTTGCACGACTCGTCGGGCCGGGTGCGAGGGGGGCCGGAATTTGTCGGGTTTGGCGAGGACGCGTGGGTTGTTACCGGCGTTGCTGTTGCTGCTACTGCTGCTGTTGTGTTTGTTGCTGTTGTTGGAGGTGGAGGCGCATCTTGCTGTTGTGCTGGTTGTTGTGGTCGTCGTGCGGAGGGTCAGGGCGCGCAGGGTCAGTGCGGAGGGAGCGCCCCGCGGGAGGAGGAATCGGGGGATTGTCATTGCCACTGGGGGCATTGTTGTGGGTTGCGAGAGGCCGATGACGGGTGGAGGAGGGTGAGGGTGAGCGTAAGGCGTGGTGTTGCGGTGCGGTGCGGAGATGGTGGTTTTTTCTGTTGGCGGTGTTGATGCGGATAGGGTCACGTGATTGGGTGTATGATGGGTTTGCGCTGGGGGTATGGATGTGGGTGTTGGGTTCTGGTGTTAGGTATAGTAATTATTGTCTTGGATTGGGTGGGATGGCTATTGTTTTCTTGGACTAAGGTACGAGGCTACACATGCAGCTAGGCAAGTACTTGGAGCATGGATGCTGTCAAGCAATGCTTCTACTGGTAGTTATAGTTAGTTATACAATGGGATGCTGCTTAGTACGGTGGATAAGGCACCCGTCACTAGTGGCCTCAGGCGACATCGGCCCATGCGGGCGGAGCGGAACAACAAGCAGCCCCCATAACGAGTCGGCCAAACTCGGAGGACAAATGACGATCCAGGGATTTCAAACGCCGCCTCATCCAAGCACCTAAACAGCCATTGCGGTGGTCCAGCTCCGTCTCAAACCCGCGCTTTCTCCGTACCGCACTTTGCGACTCCGTCCAGCGTGGCCGGACCCATCGCGACGGCGAGGATTGGAAATGGAAAATGGAACAGGCGGCTGGTATGCGCGTAGGATGAGATCATGCCGACGGACGACGGACTACGTCAGCGCCGGTTCGCGACGGGAATGGATTGCAGCCTCAGTCTCGCATTTGGGTACGGAGTACTCCATACAGGGAGTCAGTAGTGGTGCAGTAGTCCTAAGTAACGAGCCTCGATCGATTGACAGGGACCGCACTCGATCAATTGACGATTTCCGATGGCCCGGACGACTGGAACACGGATAATGATGAAAGGAAATGGCTCAAAAAAGACACCGGCATCGTGTCCCGGAAGCGCCCGTTGCGCTGAATCATCTGGGCTGTGATTGGCCGGTTCCCGGATCACGGGAGGCGTTGGGGGCAAAGGCTGGTCGCTCTTGTACAAATTGATCGCAAGTTTTTCTTCCCTCGTCCGAATCCTCTCCTCCATTGCTTCAATCTTCCCCAGAATCTCCTCCGCTCTTCCAATTCTCTTGTATATTCCCCTTAACTCCTTTTAATCCCCTCTTAAAACCCCACACACACATTCAAAATGGGCAAGGACGCTAGCTTCGCTCCCGGTAAGCCGACCCTGATCATTCCCTGTTGTTTTTCTTTGCTCCTTGTGCCCCCGGGGCGCCCGTCTGCCATTCACTGGGTCTCTCAAACAAAGCATTCACTCAATGCTGTGAGAGATTTCACTGCATGATGGCTGCCGCTGGCGGAATCCTACCATGGCTGCTTAGTCGCTCGCTGTTGTCCCCTGGCGACACTGGTGACTTTGCGCTTTCACTTTCACTCTGGCTTTCGCTCTGCCTCTCTCGCTCTCTCGCTTTCTCAATCCACCCTTCCTTGAGAGACCATCTCCCACACATCTCCCAGTTCCAGCGTCACAAGCATCACACTCGTTATCATGACTAGCTGGGACACCTTCTGTTTCCTCACCACCATCGACATGCGCGAGGCCGAGCTGGAGGCGGCGGAAAAGGCCCAGCGTGAAGCCGTCGCGAAGGCCAAACAGACCGCTAACATTCTGGCCACTCCAGGTGATTCCGCCAAGGGTGCTAAGCTCTTCCAGGTGAGTACAGTCGATCTGCGCCGCACTTGGCTGCAGATGGCCTTGATTGAGGAACATTTGGCTGACAGATTCACTAGACTCGTTGCGCTCAGTGCCACACCGTTGACGCCGCCGGTTCCCACAAGGTCGGCCCCAAGCTCCACGGTCTCTTCGGCCGTAAGACCGGTTCCGAGGAAGGCTACGCCTACACCGACGCCAACAAGCAGGCCGGTGTCACCTGGGACGAGAACACCCTGGTATGTTCCGGTTCCTACAACCGCGCGAGGGAAGACATCGGTGGCTAACGCGCATTCGCAGTTCTCCTACCTCGAGAACCCCAAGAAGTTCATCCCCGGTACCAAGATGGCCTTCGGTGGTCTCAAGAAGCCCAAGGAGCGCAACGACCTCATCACGTAAGTGGCACCCGTCGGCGGACCGTTTGAAGAAACACCGAGCTAACGCGTCTTCTCCCACAGCTACCTCAAGGAGAGCACCGCTTAAATCACCTCCCCGACACGAACCTCCTAGAACCCGCCTGTATGGAAGCCGGTCCGACTCCGAGTGCTGGAAACAGCCGTCGACTCGGCAACCCGACAGCCAGGGACTGTAACATTACTACCCTTGTTTCTCCGCGATAGACTTTCTGGTGTTGGAGCGTGGGACGAATGCGGATGCCATAGAGTCATGTCTCCTTCGCGACCGTTGTCTACAGATTCCCTTCTTGTTTCCTTTTTCCACCGTTCCCTATGTGACCTCGATGAACGTGCTTCTTCCAGCTCTGTGTGTATCATGGTTAACTACTACTACTATTGGTTGCTTTCGACCATAATGAATTGAAGAGATCTCCTCTCGTGATGACATACTTGTGCCTGGCCTTTCTTTCTTCCTGCCTAACACCCAACCTAACACTTTACGCTAGTCTAGTCCCGAAATCTTTACTCACTGCGCAGACCGACCGAGGGGTTGGCCGTGCGCTGGCCGGTCCCGTGTTTCAGGTGAATCACGTGCCACCACCTCCGGCCGGGGATTGGAGGGGACATGGGGGCACCGGGGGATGAGAGATGAAGGATGCGTCTGCACGACGGCCTCCACGTATGCGGTGCATATATCTAGGCCGGGAGGGTGAAGGGTGAGGGGTGTGGACTGTGGAGGGGTGGTGGACGGTCGGGTTGTCTGGCTGGGATTGTTTCCTCGTTTCGTTCTGTCCCTCTCTCCCTCCCCGGCCAACGGTGGCCACTGACTGCACCGGCAATCTGGCGGATGATCCTTGCAGCCGTGGAGGGCAGAGCAGCCTGGTCATTGGACCGGCCGTTGGGCCAGTTGTCAGGCCGTTTTTGATAGGCAGATGGTTGACTACTACTAGTACTAAGGTACGGAGTAGATACCACCGCCCATCCCTCCATCCCTCCATCCCAGACCAACCACTTCGGAAGATCGAGGGTGTCCAAGCACCGTCTCCCGTGACCGCAACCGATTCATTCACTTGTCTGCTTTTCGATGCCGTTTCACCCATCCATTCACTCCCGTGGGGGAGAGGGGGGGGGGGGGGATTGGGGGATTAATGGGCAGATGGTGTGGACTACGGGAACGACCGGTTTGGGTCGGAGTCGGAGATTTGATTGATATCGTGGAACGGTAACGGTGGGTGGGAGGAGGAGGAGGAGGAGGAGGTCATGTGTTCAGGCCAAGGGTCCTACTACTCCTACTCCGTACAGGATAAGGCTAATTCCCTTTCTTCCCTTTCTGTCAGTCTATCTGTCTATCTCGTGGTAACATGCGGAATCCTCCGAAGGGCAGGCAGTTGGTAGCAGAGATAACGAGAGTTGGGGTTGGGTTGGGACCATCTGTCGGTCAGAGAGGGTTGGCTGTGGAGGTGGATGTGGAGATGGTTGTGGTTGTTCTCTACTCGCACGCAACGGCTCTTGGGAGCCAAACCCTCGAAGCTTAAGCGTAGATAATCATGCGCGGGCAAACCTAACCGATCGATGGGAAACGGACAGCGTTCGTTCTTCACTCGGGCTCCGACCCGAGGGAGCCTTTTCCGCAGATGAGCCATGGATCGGGGCAGTCTGGCAGCCATGCTCTCTCTGTGTCTGTGTTTCCGTCCTTCTATCACAATCCATCTCTCGATCGATCTATTTCTGGCCTTCTGCAACTCGACAGACTGGAGGCTACGACGAGGGGCTGTAGGGATGAGCATCCCATGATCCCACCTGACCCGTGCCGGGAGCGTCGCCCGCTGATTGGCCCAGCCACCACGCTGCGCCCCTCCGGCTCACCTGCAGTTCTGGAGGGCCTGCCTGGGGCTGCCTGACTGCCTGCGGTCCTGATAAAACCCCAGCCATGGAAGGAAGGGATGCGACGGGCGGGCCGTATCCTGTACCTCTTTGTACTGACTGACTTACACCTGCCGACCTTGCCTTCTGTACCTTCGCCGTACCTCGTACTTCTTGTACTCCCTGTACTCCCTGTACCTCCTGGGCCTGAAGTCTGCAAGACTACGCGTTTCATACTTACCCCCGCGTACTCGGTACCCTCTCACATACCTCTATCTACTACCCCGTACCTGCTACCCAGAGTCATACCCATACCTGATCTATCTATTGCTTGACTCGGATACTCGAGACGCGAGACGCGAGACTCGACTCCAGACTCAGACTCATCTCAGATCCAGTTCAGGCAGACCTCGAGGTCCCCTCCTCCACTAACAGCTCAACAGCCACCCAAGATCGCGTCCAGGTGGCACCTCCAGTGGCCTGCAAGCGCCCCTGTAACCCGCCGTGACAAGTCACTGACTCTTTTTGCCTCTTGTCGGGCCGGCCTGGTCTCTTCTCTGCCTGCCAATCCTCAGGCACCCAGGCCTTCCCCCGGGGTTCTCGTCCCTCCCGCGCCGCGCATCTACTTCTCCCTCCTCCCATGTCTAGCATCCCCTCCTCCTCCCTCTGTCCTCGATCATACTCGCCTCCTCGTCATTAACCAGCTACCTGTACTCTTCATCCCTTTCCTTGCCTATGCTTCCCTCCCCCCCTTTCCCTCTCCTCCTCGTGCTCTCTCCCGGCGCATTAGATTCTTCCTCCCTTGACCGTATCTTCGCGCGCTTGCGACTAACCCGCGATCTATCGCCCTAGCCACAACCTCCTTCCACCACCAACCACCCTCTGAAGGTACTGTCTTCGCTGCACAAGCCGTCGTTTCCCGACGTCGCCGCGATCGAAGTGGCTTTAGCTTCTCTGGGGTTCCGGTGCGCAACGCCGTCTATCATGCTAGACGAGCTGGACAACACCTTCGACGATCATCCGTCATTGGATGCGTCGCTCGAGGACTTTGAGAACAACAGCAACGCCCGCCGCTCGCCCATGTTCGGCCTCCCCTCCCAGCATTCCGGGTTTCGCTCCGAGGAGTCGGAGGGCGAGGAGGAGGAGCTGACGCCCAACGGGGAGCGCTGGTCGCCGCCGGGCTTACGCAGGTATGACTTCGTGCAGGGAAGTGGATGGTACCGCCGTCAGCCCTACGTGCGCACCGTCGATCACGACCGCCTCTGTCTCAAGCCCACCGTGGGCCTCAGCCCGTCGCAATCGCGCGAGCCCAGCCCGCAGTATGAGGATGCGCTCGAGGGGCCGACCGCCAGTAAACGCAGCCAGTCTACCGAGACGGCAGATGTCACCATCGCAGCCAGCGTCCCGCTGCCGATGGATGCAGACACCCCGCAGAAAGGCCGGTCGCCGAGTCCGCGGCCAGCAGGCGCCCGGACCAGCCCTGACGCCGAGGCGGGGGATTTGGGGGCGGGAAATAACCTCAGCAACTGTAGGCTCTACCTTGGTTTGCGACCCTTTGTCTGCACTTCTGCAGCTTCCTGGCACGGGTGACTAATCTTTGACTCTCGCGATGAAGATATCCGCTTCGCCGTGCGCGCCGAAGTCCAGCACCGCGAACCGTTTGTCGCGTTCTTTAGTTATTTGCGATCCAAATTCGATAAGATCACTAGCTCCAAATCAAATGCAATCCTCTCCGTAATCGTTGCTTTCACGTCGATCGCGTTCATGCGCGCCTTGTTCCTGCCCAGTGTGCCCGAGGCGATCCCCGATCTGGTGAAGCTGTCGGGCTTTGCGCGCTCCTTCGAGCCACTCATCTACTACTCGGAGAATGGCGCGCATCAAATCACCGCGCTGCAGGAGACCGGGGTGGCCGTCTGGGATCTTGGGGAATCGGTGCGTGGCACCAACATGACCAGCGCGCCGATCATCGTGCGCCAATTGGACGAGCTGTCCGAGTCGCTCAAGTCGCTGTCCCTCGAGCTGGCGCGCTTCTTCTCCGATGTCGAGGGCGACATCGACTCCATCCTGATCGCCATGGACTGGGCCAAGCGCGAGCTGGAGACGCTGTCGTTGCAACCGCCCAGCACGCTGCCGTCGATCGTGTTCGACAACCTCCATGACATCTTCGCGCGACTCGGGGCGCTGGAGCGGCTTAGCGGCGCGAGTGGGGAAGGGTCCGGCAGCGATCTCACCAGCACGCCTACGACCTTCGGCAACTTCGTCACCACCGTCTTCGGCCAGACCTCCGCGCAGCGCACGCGGTCCGCTCTGACGCGCGCCTTCACCGAGATGCTGTCGGTGCTCGAGGAGGCAATCAACAACGAGCTGACGCATTCGACGGCGCTGTTCGCGCTCTTCGAGTCCATCGACCGGCAGTTCCTGAATCTGCAGCGAACGGTGGTGCGCGAGGAGGACGCCCAAGAGCGCGAAGAAGACGAGATGCTCAGCTCGCTGTGGACGCGGGTGCTGGGCCCGAATGCGGCGGTGGTGCGCAAATATGATAAGAACAAGCAGCTGCTGGCCAACGTCCGTAGTCGCACCGTCACTAACAAACACCTCCTGATGGACCATCGCGGCCGCCTACTAACCCTCAAGGTCAACCTCGAAACACTACGACGCAAGCTCGTCAGCCCGCTGGTGCGGCGCAACGATTCAGTCAGCTTCACAGGGGCAGTCGAGTCCAGTAGTCGTAGCCATGGGCGCATGCTGGGGCCGGTGGGGGCGGTGATCGAAGGCCAGATCCGCGGCCTGGAGGGCAGCTACGACTACCTGCAGTCGGTGCGCGAGAAGCAGAAGGCCAAGACGCTGGAGTTCTACTACGGGTTCGGGCGCCGACTGCCACAGAATCCCGTGCTGGCGGACGGATCGGACGATCTGGGCGACGGGGTCTGATGATGCGATGCCGACAGATTCGGTCAAGCATGCATGGGCAGGCGTTTCCTGGTTTCTCCTTCTGCATCCATCTGCATCATCGGCTTTTCGTCTGCACGCGCGCAAGCATCGCATCACATCGCATCGCATCGCATTTACCCGGATACATGGCGTTTTCATCTGATCAGGTCTGATCCTGTCTGCTATGCACATGGTGGGCGTTCTCTACGGGTTGCTTACAGGTTACGGGTCACGGATTTGGCTCGGTTCTCACCGGCGCGTCTTCTCGGTCTCGGTCTCTGGCTGGCGTCTTCTCTCTTCTCTGTCTATCTATCTTCTATTCTATACTCCATCTAGGGCTCATCTGATTGACGGCGAATGCAGGCGATGAGGGAAAACATAGACGAGATCTGGTTGGCGTGTCTGGTTTTTGTTCTTTTTCCGTTTTGGGTTTTCGAAAGGGTGGGTGATAAGGGCGACAAGGTAAGAGCTGGAATGGTGGTTGTCGAGGCGCTTGGTATTGTGGTGATAGTGTTAGTCATGGATGGTGTTTGTGATGGCATTGGTGCTTTTGGATTTGGATTTGATGTTGGTTCAGTTCTGGGCTTTCTTCCTGTTTATAATTTATAGTTTGTGATGGTTGTTTGGTATGCTGTGGTATGCTGTGGTGAGGTGTATTGTAGCGACTACTACTACTACTACTACTACTACTACTACTACTACTACTACTACTACTACTACTACCACCACTACCACCACCTCCATCTCTATATCTATAGCTTTCCTATATCTATATTCAATTTTGACATGTTTAGAGTGTACAATAAATAACTTATCAGTTCTTATTAAGATCCGGCAGCCAGTCAATATGGATAGCATGGGTTTAGTTACAGATAGATGGATATATATGACCACCTACCTACCGACTAGTCATAGTATCCATTCATTATATTCTATTCTACTCTCTCCTGAATATAAATATAAGTATAACTACAACATGAAGTTAAATCAGCCAGCCAACCAGCCAGCCAACCAATCTAACTCCCACTCCTCCAACTCTATCTCCAAACCAGATCAAGCCAAGCCAAGCCAAGCCAAGCCATGGAATTGAGTTTGATTTGAGCCTGAGAGGAATCAATCAATCAATCATAGATCGATCAGATACGGGTGGTTCCTTTTTGGTTACTACCTTGGTATTAGTTAGGTGGATGGATAGAGTATACATGGGTACGTACTCAATCCAATCCAGTCCAGTCCAGTCCAGTCCAGCCCAGGGGAAAATAAAGTAAGCTCACCGCACCGGGGAGAGTGGGAATGACGGCTATCCGTACTACTTACTTACTCTAATGAAGGCGAGAGGTACTTGATTAGGAAGGATGTTCATGAATGGATGGATGGATGGATGGATGGATGGATGGATGGATGGATGGATGGATGGATGGATGGATGGATGGATGGATAGATAGGCAGGCAGGCAGGTAGGTAAGTAGGTCGATAGATATGAATAGGAATTGAGAGCTACTTAGCACTTATATTTGGGCTTGGTTTTCTTGGTTCTCCTGCTTCTCTGAGATGATATGATATACTGCAGGATCGGAATCCGATACATAATAGACAGCCAGCATTTAGTTGATAAAGCTGCTTCATAGTAGCGAGTGCATGGTGCTTGATTCATCTACCTAGCAGCCCGGGAATGCAAGAATGGTCATTTGTTTGTTTGTTTGTTTGTATGTAAGTAAGTATATTGATTGGTATTCATAACCACCAAGGCTAAATTATACAGATGGAGCTTGCAACCTAATAATTTGAGAGGGATGGGGGGAGGCCTTAATATTGCAGCGGAGCAGTAGGTATTCATATCATTTTCCAGATGGCATTCATCCATGGGGCCGGGCCGTCTTTTGAAGCACCTTTGCCGGGACTCTGGAAGTCTGGTTAAGGGCATCTTTGCTCCACATTCAGCCCGATAGTAAGCCCCCAAAGACAACGCAAGGCAGGAATGGACACCATAACTCCATGGACGCCATATTGATCCCATGCACGCGCCTGTAATGCATCCACAAAGTGCTCTGTAGACCGTTCCACTTGATATTTGTCCCAAGGTTGGAAGGAAGATGCCGAGCCGGTCTTCAGTGACGGGGGAGAAGGTATAACGGTATATCGTGAACATGGCGTGTGCATTTGATTGAGGGTAGCTTACTCAGGCCACTCCATTCACCCCTGCAAGCACGCGCTGGCTGCGATCTGCGACTCCGCGCCCTGAGCACAGCGGCGATATGTGCATGTATGTGAGCCCTTTTCTCGTTGTTGTCTCCCCGAACGCATCACCGGTAACATGCAACATGGTCTTCCACGCGACGCCATTTCTCCGGTCCGGCAAAAATAGAGGAAAGAGATGAAGAGTCTAGAATCCATATCCGCCCCCGTACGGCGTAACACCATACGGCGTCGCTGCACTGGCGCCCCATGCACTCGTGGCTCCCCCGTTCGCATACGCTGTGAACCCGCCATCCATGCCCTCCGGTGGTTCGTATGCATCCGGACTGCGCACACCCATCATATCCTCATCCTCGATGCCCATGGCGCCGCCCCGATCTGCGCCTTCAGTGCCGGAGAGAGACGAAATCGCAGAGGCCAGTTTGCGCTGCAACACCACGATGCCCTGCTGGATAATCATATCGGGATCCAGGGTGCCGATGCTCTCGACATCCAGGTAGAAGTTACTCGGCTGGGCGTCGTAATCGAAGGGTTGGTCGGGAGGAGCGGCTTGTTCCCAGGCTGCATTTTGGGAGACGGGCCTACCACCATCACATTAGCACAATCCTCAGACATTGCCTCTGTCCCCAACCCAAGACAGAGAGAGAGAGAGAGAGAGAGAGAGACAAAGCAACTGAGAAAATACATACCACTCCTTCGCCGGATCCTCCTCATACCAATAATCGACATGCCTCAAATTATTATGCGGATCATACTCGAACCCCACCGCGGCCGTGGGCGCCCACTTGGCATGTTCCTTCGCGATGCCCTTCTTCGCAATACACGTCATCTTGAGCTCCTGCCCGCGCCTCAATTTACAGATCAACGGCCCATTGCCCTCCGCATCCATGAGCACCGGGTTTCCCACCCACTCGTTCGCCCGCTCGCCGCTCACCGCCAGATCGCGCGCATACACCCGCATGATGTCGTCGCCAGTGCAGCGCGCGTGGAGCGTCAGCGTCACCGAGCACCGCGAGCAGTGGTCCTCGCATTCGCAGTCGCGTGTGTACTCGACGTCTTGGTCGCAGTTTTTGCTGTTCAGCGGGATCAGGCCCAGACGGTGGGCGAGCATCTCGTCCGGGAGCACGGAGGTGTTTTTTTCGACTTCGACAAGGTCGATCGCCATCGTGGGGATTTCGGAGAGCATCGCGCGCCGGAGGGAGTTGGCGAACGCGAGATCGACGGAGGTGAGTTTGAAGTCAACGCGGTTGGGTTCGGCCTGGGTTTTGGGAAGGGAGTTAGTGAGGTGTTGCTTGGCTGTTTGAATGGATGGCTGGCTGGCTGGCTGGTTGATTGGGGTGCTCACCTCGCGGACAGTGACTTGAGGCCCCGTGGGCTCGATGTCCATCTCGTAGTCCATTGTGAGGTCGGGTAGCAGCGCGGAGGCGCCAACTATGAGAGAGGGAGGGCTGTGTGAGAGGTGGTAGTGAGGTGAGATGGGAGTGTCGAGGATGGTCTGGAGCTGGAGGCGGAGATGAGACGAGGCAAGATGAATGGGATGAATGAATGAACGACGGGCGGCGGAAGCTGAGTTCGTCGCCGCCCGCGCTTTGCCCCTTCGGGTAATGCGCTCACTGTGCCTCAGGAATCACGACGAAAGAAACAGGTACAAGTACAAGTACAGTACACCAAGAGTATACAAAGTATACGGTTTACGCGCTCGTCTACATCTTGTCTAGATCATACAACTACGAACAGACAGCGTCCGTTAATCATGATGCTCGCTTCTTGCAAGTCAGATTCCTAGCTTTGCAGAGGCAAATGTCGGCTGCTCCGGGCCAGAGCCAACCACCCATGTCGTCAAAGGGTATATCAAGCTGGTAAAGAAACCTCCCCGAGGTCCAAGAAACCCCTGTCCCAAATCAGATGCCCGCTCCAACCGTAGAATCCGATCCCAAGTGTCAGCTTGACACCAACTTTTGCCCTATCCGTCGGCATCACTGCCGCCAGACCGTACTCCTCTAACATTCTATTCTGACGCTCCGTCAGGAATTCTATAGTGGTGAGTGCGCGCCGTGCGCAAAGCCATCAAGCCGCCAATCGATCGTGCAGAGAAAGAAAAGAAGAAAAAAAAAGATTAAAAAGAACCCAAGCAATATAGCCAACCAGAAAATAAGGGGAAGGTAGCTTTTTCGGTTGCAGAATCATTTCAAGTCGTGATGGATGTTCCCGCCCGCAGGCGATTCTCCAACCTAAAAATTCCTCTCGGCGAGAGAGGAATGTGGCGCCATCGCTACCTCCGCAGGGAGCTGCGATTTAGCGCTTCTAGAAGCTCTGGACGACTGGCCAGAGCATCGGCAGCTTGCGCGTAGCTGACCCATTGGCGCTTCCGCTTGTGCATCTCGGGCCACTGGTCCTCTTCCCGGTCGACCGTGACCTCGAAAAACTGGTATGATGCCTTCGGGGCGTTGGACGTCAGTAACGACGACGGCCGCATGTCCGGGATCAACCCCAGGTCCTTATGCACCGTGCACACGATTCCACCCTCCTCCCAGGCCTCTCTGCAGGCCGCCTGTTGAGCGCTCCCTTCATCGGTCTCCCAACCGCCTTTGGGGAGCACCCAGCCTCCGCGCCCGGAGGACTGGATCATAAGCACCTTTGTCTTATCCGCCGACAGCGGAACCACACCGGCCACGAGTCGTTCGCCTTTCGATCCGTACCCTAAGCACACGCGAGTTAGCGACGGTTGCGCGACACGGGAGGAAGAATGACACAGAACGGACGATTTGGAAAAGGGGAACGGGGAATCGCGTCATAGGGCGATCGATGTAATCATTACTCACGTTGGTTTGTGCGGCCCGTACGGGCCTCCATTGAGCGAGGTTCCGACATCTTGGCCGGAGAAAGGAGAGAGGATGTATAGGGGGAAAAGTAGAGACCTCTTAAGACAACCGCCTAGGAGATGGTCTATATGGACAGGAATCGGGTAACCGGTGGCACACCGCAAAGTTGCGCTTCACGCGACACAGGTGTCAAAAGGAACGAAAGAGGCGCGGAAGTTTAAAGGTCAATGACACGGAGAGCCAGGCCACAAACGGGGGACAAGCTGTCAGGATGGAGGGAGGTGTAAAATGTCAAACGAGAGGGATTTGAAACAAAAGACCCAGCCTGGTGGGATGGGGGAGAGCTGGCCGGTGAGCCGTTTGTTCGTTTCTGTTTCCGAAGCGAAACCGCGAGGCGGTCGAGGACAAGAAATTTTTTGGGGACAAAAAACTGGAAGAGAAGTTTCAGGAATTAGGTATCCCCGTTCACTCCCGCGACGGACGGGAACCTCGAAGGAGACGTGTGAGGGGAAGAGAACATCATAATCGGAGGGATATCAGGAAAATAAGGGAAAAGGATGGGAGGGAGGAGGGAGAGTGGAGGGAGAGTGGAGGGAGGGACGGAGGGGGGGGGGGAGGCGAGAGGGACGGAGGGGATGGGGGGGGGACGCCAGAGAGACAGCTTGGGGATAGTCATCGTAGGGTAAGTAATACTGAACGGGCGGCGCGATCCGGCCTGGAAGATGGAAGGCCAGCCCAGCGCAAATCCGCTCCGGGCCAGCAGCTGAACCACCATGGGCGGTACGGAGTACATACCGTGACGGCCACAGGACGTGCCGTTTGCTGGCGGGTGCGCGTCCTGGGCTGATCCATCCGCTGTAATACCAAAACGGTACGCGTCATACAGCCCATACAGTCATGGTCTCGCTGTACCCAGTACTTACAGGTACCGCGCGGTGGTGGTACAGTTGCTGTGGTTGCTGTGCTGGTTGGCACCGTCCCCAATGTTACTTTTTGTTACTGCTACCGTACGGAAGAGCACCTGCCGTTTCAATGTCATCATCCTGATCGCTGGGATAGTTGTAGTACTCTTCGTGTTCCAGGGGCGCTCTCTACTCGTCCCTTTTTTTGATTGATCTGATCCATTAATAGTCCGACCCTCCTATATGATTGTATGTATCTACGTGCGACCGCCAACAGTGGAGTGTGCCGAATGTCATCCATTCCTGGGGCCTCCCCATTCGCGATGCCTTCGTCTGGGTAATTTGGATCATCTTCGGTGGCTCAACGCCCCCGAGGGACGAACTAGGTCTGTTGCCCTCTCATGAACTGCTCCTGAGTCTCCCGAGGCCTGCGGGCTCCTCGGGGTTCCACAACAACCAGCCGGCTGGCCCAAGGGATCAAGAATTGTCGTCCACCACAGTCCACAGTCCACAGTCCACAGCCCACACACCGGCACGAAATTCGTCGGGCGATCTGTATGTATGGACAAAGTAGCACAACCCACTGCATCGCCGTCCCCTGACTTGCCAGCAAAAGCTCTGCTCGGGACACTCGGTACTTACGGACTGCTGCCGTGTCTCCGTCAGCAGCGACGTCGCTCATTTACCTCAGGGCCTTGTGGCACTATCAAACTAGGGCCCCAGACTAGTGGAACAGAAGTCCCTTCGACACTTTCGGCCATTAGCAGCGAGTAAATTAGGTTAGGTTCAATCGCGTCTCCATCGGTCTCGCAGGCCGAGTAAAGCAAACGGTCTTGTCTTGTCCGTCCGCCGTAAGCGCAGCGGTCGAATGGTGAGGTTTCAGGGAGGGAATTTGGGGTCAATGATAGATGAACCATGAAGCCATCGTTTCTGCCCGCATGGCTGTTTGCCAACCCCTTTCTTTTACCTTTGCTGTCTCGTTTTTCTTTTTTATTTTTTTTTTGCGCACTGATTAAGATTTGTCTATTATTGGTGCCCTTTTTCTCTACATCGCTACTCCGTACTGGTGCCAGGCCCAGCGCCAGCAATCACGGTGAGAAGAGCAAAACCCGAAGGAAAACCGGGTTCGGTCCACCTCGTTTACCAACTCTGGATGCGGTACTGCGGTACGGCGGGACCTGCCCTGCCCTGCCCTGCCCTGCCTGGTGGAAGTGGAAGTGGAAGTGGAAGTGGAAGTGGAACAGTTGCAGACCATCTGCTGCGACCTAGGTAGATACTATTAATGTATCTAGGCTCCAACGATTGATCCATACTATTATCCACTTCATCAGATCTGCCTGCCGGCTGCCCATGGCACAGATCACAGCATCGCGTTTCATGCAGTAGAGCTTCTAACGCGTCTCTCCCACGAATGATATCAGATATGACTTTCACATGCAGTGCTGTGGTACGGAGTACGTGGGACATGTTGCGCTCCTTCCGAGTGATTACTCTGTCTGGGAGCTCGACGAGGCAGCGAGCAGCGGTGGTAAATCAGATCCTATTTGCCATCTGAGCATTCATTATTGCAATCATTCTCTTATTCCCCGTCCAGCCTGCGCGCAAGCCAGCTACGGATTGGATACCGTAAAATGCGACGGGCATGCCCTGCATACATTAGGTCCTCGGATCCGTGCTGGCTTATTGGAAGGCACACCGATGTCACTGGCTGACGGGCATCACCAGCAAGCAACCAAAGGGGGGGGGAAAAAGGTTGCTGAAGCGGATGCGGGGCACCACCCTCCAGCCGGCCACAAATCCTCGAATGGCCGCGAGGGTGGCTTTCCGAAGTTTTGAGCTACTCTATTTCCTGCAACCTCCTGCCAGAAAAAGAACAAGGGGGGAGATGCGCGGGAGACCGCCCAACAATGAAGGCAAAGGGCACCCGGATTGGCAGAGCAACGTGCAGGGCGTTGCGTTGCGTCCGGCCATGGCGGTTGCGCGGCAATGATGGACGGGTTGTCTGCGCCCTCCAGACCTCCACCGTGAACCATGGGGTCGATCCGAGGGATGTTGATGTTGCTCGGACAATGCGGTGGCTAACTGAACTGCAAAGGAATGGGACTACTGAGGTAGCCTGCACATAAGATTAATAGTGGCTTGAGAAACTCCCCGGTGGCGATTGGATCTGGACGCGACAACACAGCAACGATCTGTCGAAATGCGGATCCGCAGATCCTAGCATCGACGGCCGTGGTGATGCCGATGATGCGATGCTTGGACGTTGGGGGGGGGGGGGGGAGATGCTGCACGTGATGTCATTGTCTGGGGATTCGCGACGGAAGGGCAGGAGGGATTCCAGGATCGTTGAGTCGGACACTTGTATGTTAGGTAGTAGCTTGGGTTGGTACCACATTCCGTCTGGCTTGAGCCCCGACGGGCATCGCCAGACCATCACCATCCCCATCACCATCAGGAGGATTATTGCCGGACACTTGGCCAACTTCCGCTTTGATCAAAGTCCAGGTACCGCCCTCCTTACATACGCGTATCGTAACGGGGCCTGTCCGTACCGCCCCGGACCAGACCGTACCGTATCGAAGCCCTCTCGGCCTCATCTGAAATCCAAATCCGACGCCCACGGTATATTAACCTTCCCTGGCAGGTTCTCCTGCGGAAGTGCGGATTGTCTAGTCGTCTGTACATGAGTGAAAGCAGTAATGGAGCTACTGGGGACGCCATGATCAACTTGCGGCACGGTTGGTCGCCCAATCCTGGAGATTCTCTCCTGCTACTGATTCAGTCTTGGATTCCCTCAGCATCTTCTGCGACAAAAGAAACAGCAGCAGTAGGAGGAGGAGGAGGAGGAGAAGAGGGAGGAGGATACGGGATCACGGAATAAGCCTCGCTGCAGCAGACCAAGAGACCAAGACCAAAGGACCAGGCAGGGGTCGGTTCTTACATGCCGCAGCTGCTGCAGCAGCAGCTCGGGTCTTCTTCTAGAAGCATCATCAACAACTCCCCCTCAACCTTGTTTCTACTTCCGGGGAGGGCTGCTGGGTTGGTGGTAAGGCACAGGGCGTCGCAGCGACTGTAAATATACCACCACTACTGGGATCAGTAGGTTTGTAGTAGATGTCGATAGAGAGATCCGATCTCCATCTGTCAAGTCGGCGATGGTCTGGCCAGTCAGGCAGTCGGTGCTGCCTGAGGGAGGGCGTTTGACGGCGTAGTCTTCCCGCTGAACATCCAACTCTGCCTCCACCAACTCACTCTTTTCTCTTCAACATCCTCCCTACTTCCTTTATCACCGGACCTGAACTCTCGGTGGTTATCATCTCATCCGGATCCATCTGTCTCTGCCTGTCCCGCCGTGAGTGCTGCCAGCAAAGCCGTTCCCCATCGCACTAGAGAGAAAGTTGCTCTCCTCGACCCCTCGACACGCCATGGAGCCCATTGTCGATGCCGAACAGGCCAGGAAGCTGTCGCTCTTCCGACCTCTTGGTAAGCAGCCAGTTAGAATAGCCTTCTCTTTCCCGTGCAGACATCATTGGTCCCAGTGGCTCTCTGCCTCTCACCGATCCATCGTCCATCTCTCCATCCATCCATCCATCCTGGGTGATTCCCGTCAACTGCCCCTCATGTACTTATCGCTGCCCCTCACCGTCCCCATCCCCATCTATGCCGACGGCAGCAATTGGCAGACTGTCCTGGTCTCATCCTGATCCACGATGTGGATATTCTCCGATCAACTAATGACCGTGCATTTTCATCGTCCGCCGGTCATGGATGCTCCCAACATTCCCTAACATCAACATCTAGGCTACCAGCGAAGCTCTTGCGGTTACTGCAAGTCTGATAATGGAAGTGAGTCTCTCCGGGCCCACCTTCAACTCCCCCATCACAGTCCACCGCGGATATGCCTTCATGCTGCCGGATGGGACCACTGATGTGCGTCTACTGCAGGTGCCTCTTACTACACTAGCTCGCTCTCCGTCCGTCCGGCGCATTATGAAACCCTCGTCAACAGAGGCTGGAGAAGGTACGACGGTTCGCTGTCGCGATGCGAGCCACATGTCCCCCGTTGGCAATGCTCAGTCGCTGATCCCGGTCTAGGTCGGGCACGCTGTACTACAAACAGAACCTGCAACGATCATGTTGTCCCCATTATACGATGAGGTGTGTAATTGCCTCCCCCCCGTTTCTCATTCGCGATTAGCTCCGCTCACTTCCCACAGGCTCGAGGCACCGGCCTTCACGCCTCGGAAAGACCAGCGGAAGGCCATCAACCGCTGGAACAAGTTCGTTCTGGGCCCCGAGTACATTCGTAGAGCGGCATATCTTTGTCCCAAGACGCGGGAGTAAGTAGGAGTCATATCATCCAAGAGACCGGGGGCGTGGGCTGACCACCCGGTGTCGCAGTGAGAAGAAGCACCGGAAATGCAACTTTGACCTCCTCTCCACGGTCCACGAGGCTGAATACAGCAACGTCAAGCGGCCCATCGACCCCAAGACCAAGAAACACTTGGAGCCTGCTCACCGATTCGAGGTCAACCTAGAGGGTGACTCCGTTTCTCAGGCTAAGTAGGTACCATCACAACCTGCTCATGGCGCATGCTTACCTTGTCCTAGGTTTGAACTGTTCCTCAAGTACCAGACCACTGTCCACAAAGAGGATGTCTCCAAGTGGCAAACCAAGGACTTTAAACGCTTCCTCTGCTCAGGCATCACGCGGTCCCCAGCCAATGCTGCCAAGTCGGACGAAAAGAAGCTGGGCTCCTGGCACCAGTGCTATCGATTGGACGGGAAGCTCATCGCCGTGGCGGTCTTGGATCTGATGCCAAGCGGGGTGAGCTCGGTCTATATCTTGTAAGTGATCGATCGTCGATCGTCACCCTAGTCACTACTCTAATAACCAAAGCTATGACCCCGACTACGAGCAGTGGGAGTTCGGAAAGCTCAGCGCAATGAGGGAAATCGCCTTCGCGATCGAGGCCGAGTACCAGTACTACTACATGGGTAGGCCGCCACCATTTTTTCCCACGCCATTCCCCCACATACAAACAACCAACTAACTCCAACAACCCAGGCTACTACATCCACTCGTGCCAGAAGATGCGCTACAAGGGCACATTCCGCCCGCAGTACATCCTAGGTAGGTTCGATCCCATCCCGCCCACCCACCAGAGCTAGAAACAAGCCGAGCTAACTCATCCCAGACCCCGAAAGCTACGCATGGGACCCTCTCGACGGCGAACTATCCAAGAAACTAGACGAGCGGCCATACGTCTCCCTCTCCCGAGACCGCAAATCCCAATCCCAATCCGCCACCTCTGAACCATCCACATCAACAACCACCACAACCGCCACCGAACAAGTCGACGCCGAAGCCGAAATCAACGACGAAGACGTCTCCCTCTTCGACCTGCACATGCCCGGAAACATGACAATAGACGAAATCAAAGCCATCGATCTAGATCACTGGCTTCTCCTTGTCCATGGGTCATTCGTGCATATGATCGTAAGCATCCTCCTCCCCCCCCACCTCCTCATCATCTCTGTCTCTATTTCAATGTAATCTGTACCTCATATACTGATAGTTTATGTCAGGACCTCGTGGGCTGGGAGCGGATGCCCCTGGATAACCCGCAATCGGTCAAGGGGATCGTGGCTGAGTTGGCGGCCGTGTTGGGTCCCGAGGTTATTCGGAATAGTGCGGTGGTGCTTTTTGATTAGATGCTATCTCTATCTCTACCTACCTACCTACCTACCTACCTACCTACCTACCTACCTACCTACCTACCTACCTACCTACCTACCTACCTACCTACCTACCTACCTACCTACCTATCTATCTATCTATCTATCTATCTATCTACCTACTAGTTAATTAAGTAGCTGGGACAGGATGATATCTAACTAGGTATTTGGTGGATAGATGGATGGATTCGATCGATATGATCTTCACGTAGTTTTATCATTCATGGTAGTATACTACGCCCTCTATGCTAGATATTATGTGTACTATGTACGGTCCGTTATAACGGATCTGAAACTAAAGCAAAGCAATGCAATGCAATGCACGGCCATTCCGGGTCTGTTCTGTTTATTTGAATACTTACCTAGTGGATGGACGTGATCTCCACGCAACCTTATCATGATGATGGTGTTATAGTTACTGTGCTCGACACAATGTACTACCTACCTACCTACCTACCTACCTACCTTAGCCCTGTAGATGGATTTGAAACCAAACCAAACCAAACCAATACACAATTATCTCAAACCCGAACCCGTCTGTCTACATGTACATGCGAAAGATCTACACAATAAAAAAAAAAAGCCAAAACAAAAAAAAGCCGGATATTAGAGTAGTGAGGTAGTAAGGTAGTAAGGTAGTGAGTGGGTGAGTGAGTGAGTGAGAGGGGTAGTGTGATAAAAATGACTAGTAGGAGTTCAGGTCATCAATTTTATGTATGCCACGATACGATGTATGTAGGTATGTAGGTAGGTAGGTATGTATATCGGACTGGCCCAATCAACCTAAGATCAAAGCAAACCAACGATGCTGGAAAGAAAACATGCTTCATGAGGAATCCAGTATGTGCGCGCAAAGACGTTCTCCCGTTCCATTCCACTCCATTCCATCCCAAAACGCCATCCATGAGTAAGATAGAGCAAAAGCAAAGCAAAAGTAAGAACAAAATCCCGGATGGCCGAACGATGCATGCATCCCAAGCATTATAATGAAAAAACGACCATGGAAATAACACCGTCAAACTGTACAGCAAGAATGAAAGAATAGAAAAGGAGAAAGAAAAGAAAACAAATGCCAGCGTGCTGTGTGTGTAATCACTCAATGCATCAACTCGACGGGCGGGCGGGACGTCTTGGGCGGCATCTTGGACACAGAGACCATCTCGATGGGACTCATGTCCACATCATCGACATCTATATCATCCGCGGCCCCGGCACTGGTATCCTCGACCATGACCGCCGGCAGATTGGGGCTGCTGCCATGCTCCTCGGGGTGGAAGATAAGCGTGCTGCTCCGACTGCGGGTCTGCGAAAACGACACGGGCCAGCTCCCCGTGCGTTTGTCGGAGGTCATCGACATCGGCGTCCCCGGCTGCTGTTGCTGCTGCTGCTCGAAAGCCCCGGGGTACGCATCGCCCTCACCAGTCTGCTCCGTCTTCAACTTCGCCAGCGCCAGCGCCAGATCCGTCGCATGTACCTCCTTATTCGGGGGATCTTCCTGGCGCATGACCCAGCCGTGCGGCGGGGACGGCGGGGGGCTGATGAAGAACAGCTTGTCAACTTGCGGGGCTTCGAGGAGCTTGGGCCGCGAGGCGTCGAGGATGGGGGTGGGCTCGCCGAAGTAGATCTTTGGGTGGAGGGTTGGGCGGTTGAGCAGGGGGAGTGGCGATGCGGTTAGGTCTTTGCGGATGCGGAGCGCGTCGGCGTCCGTTTGGAAGGAGCAGACGATTCGCCGGAGGGAGGGAAGCGGGGAGAATGAGTTGAGAGGGCCCAGGATGGAGAGTTGGCTGCGGAGGATGGTGAGGGAGGGGGGTTGGAAGAGGGTCAGGTCGTTCAGGTCCGTTATGATCAGTGTGTTGGATGCGGTGGTTGGTTGGGTGAGCGGGGGGAGGTTGCTCATGTCGAGGGTGAGGGAGGGGCGCGAGGTGTGTCGCGCGTGTGTGCGGGGGGAGGAGGCGAGGGATTGTGGGGGGGAAGCCATTTTTGGATGGTGTTGTTTGTGTTGTTGTTGTGGTTGTTGTGGTTGATGAGAGAGAGATGGAGGAGAAGTGGTTGTTGTGGTGGTGTTGGTGGAGGTGGAGATAATAAATGGACGGATTCGGTTGATTGCCACCAACAAGAGGAGAAGAAGAGGAGAAGAGAGATAAGCTCGAGCAGCACGACTGGAGGGCGCTTATTCAAGGAGAACCACAACCTTGGTCGAGTCAACTGCAGTGCATTAGAGGAGTAGTTTTGTGTACTGTGTCCGAGTGTAAGTGTCATAAGGAAGAATGCGCCCGCGTCTTATAAGCGCAACCCCCCAATCCGTGTTCGTCGTCCGGGGAGGCGCAGCCACTGCTACTACTGGCTTGCACTGCCTTCCCCCATCGAAAAAATTCGGTCGCCGTTCCTGTCGATCTCCGCAGTCGTCCGCACGCATCCTGATGCTGCATTCGCCACGGTCTCGCCGTGTCCGCGTGGCTGAACACCCACTACCCACTATTGCCACTAGACCCTCCCATTATTGGTCTATTGGTCTATCCTGCTATCCTGAGTGCTTTGTGGTTTTTACAAAGTGTTATTGACACGCAGATCGCCTCGATGATTCACCTGACTGTGGCTGAAGCGGTGGATTCCAATGTGGCTTGACGAGAATGCTGGAGGCTGCGGTATGGGGATGGGGACAATGCGACACTACACAGTACTCCCATCACCAGCCTTGAACCTGTCAACTCAGGCCCGCTGACAGTGACACCTGATTGCTCCTACTTGCTCGCTAGTTCCTTCCCCTATCTGGCCATCTCAGAAGGATCCCGCACATTCCATGGTTCAGGCTTCTCCGCATCCTTCGGCCATGCAGCTCCGCCCCGACAGTGGGGAGCCGACGCTGAATAGCAGATCGTGGAATATGGATACCTACCAGTGCTGCCCCCAATCTATCTGCGCTTCGCTCCAGGCAGGCAAGATTTTGACCTTGCTCATACGCAGCTTCTTCTCGGCATACATACGGGCCACGTACTTCGCCCAAGCCTCCCAAAGCCTCCCAAAGCCTCCGAGCCCCCGAGCCCTGATGTGCGGAAGTCGGCTGTCACTTTCACCAGAGCCCCATTACCAGGACCCTGGGATTGGCAAAACCCTATCTGCGGCCTCGTTTGCATTGCACATATCTACTTCACAAGACCCTGTCGGAGTCGGCTGTATCTCTATCCTGACCGTTGCAGGTCTGGGCACATTCCATACCTTCGGCGCTGCTAAAAACCAGGCTCTGCAAGGCTCATGACGCCTCGAGATCCTTCGCTTTTCCTTTGCTCGTCTCACTCGTATCCCATTCCCTTCACCTCCTATCCAGCGACTGCCTGGACACTGTGTAACGCTGCAGAGACGGGCCAGGCTAAGCCTTGAGCCCTGACCATGTCCGGACTACGGACTACCGTGTACTGGCATAGCCACTCGGTTCCCTCCCTCGATGTGTACCGGTCATGCAATTTATCCTCATTAGGGTCCATCTTGTTAATTAGCCAAGTGGTTCACCATCAATTCTATTGCGGTGGCATACTCGGCTGGGCATATGATCTGAGACAGCAGCTGTGGGCGCACGGGTTCATGGCGATGTCTCAACTGCATACTACCACAATGAGGCTATCATTACTGCGTAACCGGTTGTTTCACCTCATTTCATTTCATGAACTTCCGGTCACAGGGCGAGGCTCTAAACTGACTCAAGAGCCTTTCTGGCTAGGCTTGCTCGGAGTTTATACGCCTTGGCCGAGTAGATGTGACCCGGGTACACGAGGCAGCCAACATGGTGTTAGCAACTACACTTCTAGCGATCTAGGGATCTCGTGTCCTGGAACATGCTGCTTGGCAGTTGAACATATACACCAGCCTTGGAAGCCACTCGGCAAGTCCCAACAGAAGGAACGGCTTCTCCTCATCCTTCGAGTGGGCTTGTGTTGGATTCATCCTTGGCATTAGGGCGCAGTCTGGACCACAGCTTGGGAGGGTCCTAAAGCTTACATCCTGCGAGTACAGATGACGGTTATGTTTACGAAGAAGCCCCGCCGGTTGGAGCTAGTCACACTGCCATTCTGGATTGACTTTCAGTCATGGCGTAGGACCTTAGACAAAGCTCAGAGCAGCGGACTCGACCATCAGATCCTGCAATTCCCGTCGTGAAAGGGGCCTTCCAACTTCGTATGAAGAGACTTAGCTTCAACGGTAAGCGAAGATGCGCTCTGCTTTACCTGACTGCTAATTGCTATGGTTCGTAGCCATCGTAGCCAACAGGACGGGCTTTGGCTGGGCTTTTGTGTCCTATCTCAAAAGTAGTTATACTCAGTAGGGGCAAATAACCGCAGAAGCTGCGAATTGCCGACCAGGGACGCTCTGGTCAACAGCTAGTTACTATATGCACGTCCGATGTTTGCTTAACCCCATGCAGTCACCGATAAAGTTGCGCGATGGCGGCAGTACTCCGCCCGCCTTTTCTGCCGCCTTCCTATATCGGAGATACGTCACGACGGTATCCTGCATCTCAGCTTGCTAACCAGCACCGCCATTGATCATATATAGTGCAATTCCGTATACTGGCATGACATTGAAGGTATTGAGTCTCGAATTCTGACATGAATAGCACTAAAAGCCTGCAATTCTTTGGCGAAAAGTGCCAATTGCTCGGCCCGAGGATTCTCCCGCTGAAGGCGGTCAGGTGATGCCGCGGAAAGTTCTGTTTCCATCGATAACCATCCAGTTCGTCCCTACAACCTCACTCCTCATCCAGACCTTACTCTCAATTAACTGTCCATTCGGAAAATCCTCACCCCTTCCTTTCACCATGTTTCAGAGAACCTTCCTCAGACAGGCCCAGCGGTCTTTGCTGTCCGTCCGCTCGACGTCAGCCACCACATCGGCCCTCCGCACGTCACAGCTCTCCCAGTCGGTTCGCCCAATTGCCCGTCAATCCGCCTACCGTCTCTACTCCACTGAGAACAAGCCTGAGAATGGCGAGAAGAAGGAGAATGAAGCTAAGGAGGCTGAGGCCGAGGACCCCGTCCGCAAGGAGCTGGAGGAGAAGAACAAGGAGGTCGTTGACCTGAAGGTAAGCTCTTGCAACTAGGGCTGTCGCTCTATCTTTCTATGCCAGGTTATCGCGTGGGCTCTTGCTGATCTTCCTCAATAGGACAAGTACCGTCGTTCCGTTGCCGACTTCCTCAACCTCCAGGAGCGTACCAAGCGCGAGATGGACAACTCCCGTAACTTCGCCATCCAGCGTTTCGCTGCCGACCTCCTCGAGAGTATCGACAACTTCGACCGCGCGCTGCTTGCTGTGCCCAAGGACAAGCTCAGCGCTCCCCAGACCGAGGAGAACAAGGACCTGTTGGAGCTTGTTTCCGGTCTCAAGATGACCCAGAACATCCTGTTGAACACCCTCAAGAAGCACGGTCTGGAGCGGTTCGACCCCAGCGAGCCCACTGAGGACGGAAAGACCCAGAAGTTCGACCCCAACGTCCACGAAGCCACCTTCATGGCTAAGGTCGAGGGCAAGGAGGACGGCGACATCATGTACACCCAGAGCACTGGTTTCCGCCTCAACGGCCGCGTCCTGCGGGTATGTGACTTCTTACCCACCAATTCCACAGAATATTGATGCTGACCTTTTCTTTCCATAGGCTGCCAAGGTCGGTGTTGTCAAGAACACCTAAATCGTTCGACAGATCCTTTGACCTTCCCTCCTTCCGCGCCACCCTTTCTATCTTGTATTCTTGTATAATATACCAAATATGTCTTCGCTACGATGGGGATTGACTTATGTTAATTTGATGGGGCTATAACATCCGGGTGCCCCGGATCCTTTCTGCTTTGTCCATGAACGCATGTGTATGATACACCCTTCCTATGTGATGGAGGCGCATGAGTCGCCTCCTTGTGAGCTTTTTTTCCCCTGGTCTGTTTTCCCGGCGTTGTTTCCAACTCTCTCCTCCCTACTCTGTATATTACCTCATGGCTGGTGTCTTGTTCCTTTTCTTTCATGAAATATGGTGTTCTCATGTTGGGATTGGCATGGGCACGGATGTGGATGACGGTTGCATGGCATTGATCATGTTGTTTTTCCCTTGCATCACTCTGATGGCCTGGATGGCGATGCAGAGCTTTTGATCTAGACGACTAATATAAAGTCCTTTGATCAATGAAATAAACATACTATTCGTGTTTGTCAATAAGTGATGAGCGTTACATATAGGATGTATATGTGCAGACCAATTGCCAAGTGCGAGTTCTTCCAGTAATTTGGGCAACGAAATATTTTAATTCCAATTGCAATTGTTTTTTCACAAGCAATCTCTTCCCATCGGAAGTATCTTCAAACCGCTGCGATCCGTGACCATTTGGGCTGGCTCGGGAGCTCATTTTCCCGGCCCGGGTGGTTTGGAGACGGAGCTTTCCAGCGCCGCCGCATCGAGCTGTGGATTGCTCTCCGAATCAATTGCTGCCTTTTTGCGCAACTCCCAACCATGCGTCTGTTCGCTACCGGTCGGGCCCTGCGCGCAAGCAGCGCCAGGTGGGCAATTGCATCTCCCCGTCGAAGCATCCGCCTTCCGCTGTCGCAATTCTCGGAGCCTCTGGCCATCAAGCGGAGAGACTGGAGCTCTACGGCAGTTCGCCGGACGAACGAGAAAACAGACGACGCCGATCAGAAGCCCACCACCCGGCCCTCTGTACCGAAGTCATTGACCATCGAAGGCCACTCCTACCGAACCGATGAATGGACCAACTCCCCCGACACAATCCTTTCCCACGTCGGACGCCGGCTATACCTCGATGAGAACCACCCGCTCGCCATTACGCGCCAATTGATCGAGAGTCAGTTCGCGGGCCCGACTTACGGAAACTACACCGAGAAGAACCCCGTCGTCTCGACGGCGCAGAACTTCGATGTCCTGGGCTTCCCTCTGGATCACCCCGGCCGCAGTCGCACGGATACATACTATATCAACGATAAGACGGTCTTGAGGACGCATACCAGCGCCCATCAGCAGGCGTATTTCCAGCAGATCAATCGCAATGAGAGCACAAGGCCGGAGGAAGTGGGTTATACTGTTGTTGCGGACGTGTATCGGAGGGATGCCATTGACCGCAGCCACTACCCGATCTTCCATCAAATGGAGGGCGCGATGCTCTGGAAGCGCCCGGATAACGAGCCTTTGAAGCACGCCAGCCAGACTGCTGCTGCGATCATGAAGGATGTCAACAGCATCCCTGCGCATGACGTTGTCGTGGAGGATCCCAACCCTACCATGGACCCCCAGCGGAACCCACTCCAGGCTGAGCACCACAGCGCGGAGGAAGTCGAGGCCATCGCGGCGCACCTCAAGCGATCTCTCGAACGGATGGTGATCAAGATTTTCACCGAGGCCAGCAAGGCTGCCGTCGGTGCCACCGAGCAACCGGAGCCCTTGAAGGTCCGCTGGGTGGAGGCATACTTCCCATTCACGAGCCCCTCTTGGGAACTGGAGGTGTTCTGGCAAGGAGACTGGCTCGAGGTCCTGGGCTGCGGCGTTATCAAGCAGGAGCTGCTGATCAACTCGGATGTGCCGAACCGCGTCGGCTGGGCGTTCGGTATCGGCCTGGAGCGCATTGCCATGCTGCTCTTTAACATCCCGGATATCCGTCTGTTCTGGTCGCGCGATGAACGCTTTCTTTCCCAGTTCAGGGCGGGAGAGATCACCCGCTTCGAGCCCTTCTCCAAGTACCCCGCGTGCTACAAGGACGTGGCGTTCTGGCTGCCCTCGGCTGCCGTCAGCGGCGGCAGTGCTGCGGGTGGTGCCGTGCCCGTCCATGAGAACGACATCATGGAGATCGTCCGTGGGGAGGGCGGTGACCTGGTGGAGGACGTCAAGCTCATCGACGAGTTCACCCACCCCAAGACCCACCGCAAGAGCATGTGCTACCGCATCAACTACCGGAGCCTGGAACGCACCCTAACTAATGAGGAGACGAACAATCTTCATAAGAAGGTTCGACAGCAGCTTGTGGGCCAACTGCGTGTCGAGTTGCGGTGATCGCAGCAGCTCCCTTACTTACCTTACCACCCCTCAACGGCACCGATGTACTATAACCAGCAGGAGACTGCCGGGCATGCCCTTGTGTACCATAACTGTGTATAAACCCTGCCCAAAACGATAACCACCTATCTCCATTCAACACCCAGCTTCCAGAACCGATTCACTCTAAGCGCTGCTCTCCATCGTTCCGTTCAGCCGCCGCTCCAGAGCTTAAACCACGTAGCCGCATAGGAGATATGCAATGTGACGTAGCGACTCGAGACAACTTAGGTCAGATGAAATAACAAACTACGACCCAGGTCATCCGACAAGGAGAAAGCCCGACCCCTCTGACCAGTGCAGACTGGCCATTCCTCACCACCATCAAGCAACTGAAACACTGACCGTATTGTAACCAACTCCTTCGTTGAACGAACCCCATTTCCCTTCTGCCCTCGCCCCGCCTGCCCTGAAGGCGAACCGGCGGCAATACAAATACACCATTAGTACCGATGATTACCACTCGGCATCCGCCCGACCGCCCGAAACCGAGCCGCTGATTGGCGGCACAGGTCCGGGATCGGTTAGCGCAACCGAGAAGCAGGGCTTCGGGGAGTTGATCGATGTTCCGCCCCCCGAGGTTTGTTACCAGGGCAGTGTATTGAATTACTTACTATCCAGTGCCGTCAGACTGGACTGCACCGGTAGTGAGACAAACCAACCGGACGGACTTAATTCTTATTCTTCGTCTTTCCCTCTGCATCTTGCCTCTCACTCACTCACACTCTCTCCGCTCCTTCGCCCCCCCTCCCCCCTCTCCCCTCCGCTGGAATGTCCACCACCATGGCAAGCAGCGCCAAGTTGGAGGCCTCGCAGCCTCCTCCTCCTCCTCCGCGGACTGCGACCGCAAAAAAAGTTCACTATCCTTTTTGGTTTGGTGGTTCGGCGTCTTGCTTTGCGGCTGCCGTTACGCATCCTTTGGATCTTGGTAAGCTCTAATTTTCTCATTTCCGGCCCTCGTGGGAAAAATGCTAATGTCTGGCTGATGTATAGTGAAGGTAATTAATTATTGAATTCACTCCCTCCCCCTTCTCCTCCCCTCCCCGGGTCGAAATCGAAGCATCGTCGTCCCGTCTCCTTATCGATCTATCTTCGTTCCTTTTCCCCGTTATCTCCAGACGCACGCAAGACGCGCATCAACGGACGGCCATTGACGATGAATTTTATTTATTAGGTCCGTCTGCAAACTCGCGGGCCTGGTGCCCCGACGAACATGGTGGGGACTTTCGCGCATATTTTGAAGAGTGATGGGATCCTGGGGGTTTATAGCGGGGTATGTGATTGCTTGCTTTTTTTGTTTGATTGCTTCTTTGCAAGAAGTGCTTTGTTCAACGACAATTGGCAAATTGTTCGGGGACTGGGCTGCTGAATTGGGATGGCTGCTAATCCAGACCTATGTGTATAGTTATCCGCCGCCATCCTCCGACAAATGACCTACTCGACGACGCGATTCGGCATCTACGAGGAACTCAAAAACCACTTCACCTCACCCTCCGCGCCCCCGAGCCTGCTCACTCTGCTCGGAATCGCCTGCGCCTCCGGCTTCATCGGCGGCGTAGCCGGCAACCCGGCCGATGTGCTGAACGTGCGCATGCAATCGGACGCCGCGCTCCCTCCGGCCCAACGGCGCAACTACCGCCACGCGCTCCACGGGCTGGTCACCATGACGCGCACCGAAGGTCCCGCCAGCCTGTTCCGCGGCGTCTGGCCAAACTCCACCCGCGCCGTCCTCATGACAGCCTCCCAATTGACCACCTACGATACCTTCAAGCGGCTGTGTATCGACCGCCTCAGCATGTCGGATAACCTGGGCACGCACTTCACGGCCTCCTTCATGGCTGGCTTTGTCGCGACAACCGTCTGCAGCCCCGTCGATGTCATCAAGACCCGCGTTATGACTGCTTCCCCCGCTGAGAGCCGTGGGCAGAGTATTCTCGGCCTCCTCCGTGATATCTATCGCAAGGAGGGCTTCGCGTGGGCGTTCCGTGGCTGGGTGCCCAGTTTTATGCGTTTGGGACCGCATACTATCGCCACGTTCTTGTTCTTGGAGGAGCATAAGAAGCTTTATCGCCTCTTGAGGGGGATTCCCGATGAGGCGCATAAGGCGTAGACTTGTGCTGTCTACTCCTTTCCTTTCCTACTCTTTTCATCTTCTTTGACTTTGGTTTCTTCTTTTTTCTTGATCTTCTCCAGGATCTTGTCTTGATATAATATCCGCCTCAAGTTCTTAGATCGTTGGCTTTTTAGACGGCGGCGGCGGCGACTGCTGCTGCTGCTTCTTTTTTTTCTTTTTTGTTTGTTTGTTGGTTGGTTGGTTACATCTCATTCGTGATCTCAATTGGCGAAGCATTACCGGAAGGACAAAAGTCTTGTTTGATTTCATTTTGATTTTGATGCTGATTTTGGATCGTCATTATATGATCTTTTGTATATAATATAGACCACCACCGTTTCCCTTTTTCTTTTTTTTTATTGTTTGGGCTGAGTTGTTGGATACTTGGCCTATCCTGTCCTGTCCTGTCCTGTCCTGTCACCCGGTTTGGGTCTGGGTCTGTGTGGCTGTCTGCTTTTCCTGAGGGGTAGATGGGTTGAGATGATGGATGGATGGATAGATGGATGGATGGATGAAAAGCCCGTTTGGCTAATCAAATAGACTGAGATTAGATCCAGATACCCTTTCTCTCTTTCTTTCTTTCTTTCTTTCTCTCTTTCTTTCTCTCTCTTTTTCTCTCTCTCATCTCAACTAATATGCCAAGACCTTTGATCTGGAGACCTTTCCGGGGAAGAGGAACGGGACGACACATTTACTGAAACCGACATTCTGGCACACTTTTGTATGCTTTTAGTTAGATGTGCTGACGGATATACAGCTAGCCTGTTCCCTATACCCTATGCATATAGTACTTAAGTACTACCTAGACAGTGATTCATCTGAAGCCAAAACCGATAGGATAGATACCACGAATTCGTCTGATCGCAATTAGGTTGGATATAGCTATTTCCTGAGTCCTGGAATAGATGGGATGGATGTTAGAGGTTGAGCTGTTTTATACTGTATCATTGCAGTTGTGAAGAATATATTTCGCCGGTGAGTATGGTGGGTAGGTACTATATATACGTAGGTAGGGTGGAGTTTGTGTCGAGAGAGATGAGCAGCTGATTAAATCAGATTAAATCTGATTGGACGACATGAGATGAGATGAGATGAGATGAGATCAGATCAGATCGACATCATTGCCTGACAGCCGTTAACTACCTACCCTAGTTACTGTTATCAAGAGGTACGAAGTATTAATTTACCCATGTCCACCGGACGAAAGGAACAAACCAGAAATATCCAGGTACTTACCGTAGGTAGGTAGGTAGGTAGGTAGGTACCTAGACACTCAGATATTAATATGAGTAGCAGCACGGCCAATCAACCCTGGTACATAGCACACGGCACACAACACACAACACACAGCAAGCCTACATCACAGATACCAACACCATACCAGATTGACAGACATGCGCACAATCGATTCCAACTACGCGAGTCTATATACATACACCCATCTCCCTCCCCCCGGCTAGCCGTCTATCCAGCCTCCGGGGAGGGAGTCCGGATCTGTATCAATTCCCCGCTGCATCAAGGTATGGGTAGAGTACACGTTTGACACCACGAAAACAACACAAAAATTCAATCCAATCCATTCAGTTCAGCCCAGCTCAGTCACCAATCAGCATCAGCAATCGCGGGGGCACACGTTTACTCCAGACGGGCGGGGAAGTTGCCGGCTTCTGTCTTGGGTGTTAGTCGGGTGGTGCTTGAATTTGCCTGGGTGTGCATATGTAGGGGGGAAGGGGGAATGGAGGAAGGGAAGTAGATGGGAGAGAGGTATATAGGGAGAGAGGGAGGTAGGTAGGTAGGTAGGGTTTGTAATTGGGGGTGCGTGATTGGGTGGGACTTTATACGTACCGCGCTGGCCGTCCCATCTGTCGGTCCAGGCCTTGGGGCAGAGAGAGCGGAAGGCGTGGTAGAACTGTTGTGGGTGGTTAGCATTGGCTGTAGAATTGGCTTTGTTCGGTGCGTGTGGTTGTTGGATGGGTATATAGGTAGGTAGGTATATGGCGGTGGTGGTGGATATGTACCTGGCGGCATGGGCGGAAGTCCTCGCCCTTAGCGGTGACACACTTGTGGTAGTCGACGTAGTTCTGCCAGCAGTGCTTGGTCCTGAGAAGGTATTAGTTGAGTCCATCAGGTAGGGTATAATCTGAGCTAGATAGGGCCTAGCTTGAAGTATCACGTACTGGTTCTGCTGGGGGAAACGGGCGTCATAGCCTAATCAACGGTTGTCATGTCAGCCAACGCACGGCGAGAGAAGAAAAATCTCGACCACGAAGGCGACCCAATGGCTCCTAAACCTAGAGTAAAGTAAGACGTACCAGCTGCGAAATAGTTAGCCATTGACCTCTGTTTTCACATATCGCATTTCGGCGCCAATGGGCCCAGGGAAAGCTCACCTGTCACGAACTTGAAGGGCTTGGTCTCGACGGGCTCCTCGGGGTCGTACTCAGGAATGGCACCCATTTTGGCGATTGAAAGGAGTTGACCTTGTTGAGGGGACTGGGGAGGAGGGGGTTGGCGAGGGGGGTGAGTGAGGGGGGTGGAGGACTGGGGTCGAAGAGGTGGAGGGAATTGGGGGAAGAGGGGAGGTTCTGCGCCGGTAAGGTTGGAGTGGAATGACCCGTGAAGCCGTGAAGCCGGGTCGAGTTCGAGTGACCGCCTCAGGCTAGCGAGCCACTCATGCGCCAAGGTTTCCTAAACACCACCCGAACCTTGCCTGCCTTACCTAAGGAAACCCGACTGTCACTGACCTCCCCTTCCCAAGCTCAGACTTCCGTCACCACTTCCCGATCTTGCCCATCCCACCTCGAGACCACACCCACCCACTACCTCCCTCACCACTCTTCGCCATGTTCCCTACTCGTGTCCTGCGCATGCAGGCCTCCCGGCCCTTCGCTTTTCCTGCTCCTGTGAGTTGTCTCCGTGCTTGTGTTGGGGTGGCCTTGGGGAAAAATTAGCCTGGCCGGTTGCATGATGGCTGACAGACGTTGCAGAAGGAAAACCACAGCGGTATGGGGTTCCCCGGATGCGCAATGGGAGATTGATTGATGTTGGATTGTGGTGGATCATGGCTTTGGACTAACGCGAGGCTTCTAGCCCACACTATCTCTCAGCGTCTGCGCACTCTGAAGAGAGTCCCCCCGGAGTTGATCCCCCTCGGTACGTCGCTGATAAGAACTCGCTGCCATTGACTGACGACGTGGCTAACCATCTCTTCTTAAATACTACAGGCGTGGTCCTTGCGTATGTTCATTTCCTCATGTCCTACGGTTTTCTAGATGACAACCAGACTCCCCTACCCCCCTTCCCCCCCCAGTCCGGTGCTCCCGCTGACGCAGTCCCATTAGTGTCGCCGTCGGTGCTGCCATCTACTCCAGCACCCACAAGCTCCTGTCCGACAAGACCCTCCGTCTGTACCGCAACAGCCCCGAGGAGCGTGACCACTAAGGATGTACCATCACATTTGATGATTTGATCCAAATTGCAATGGGCGATTCTTTGTTTGATTTTGTCGGCGATCTGTATCATTCTTGGGGGAGTCGGGTAGTCGAGGGGCGTGTCGCGCCGCGGCGGAAGAATGGAAAGCTCGGAAAATCTCAGGCTCAGGGTTGGAGCGCGTGTGTATATAGTACGGCTGTTCTGATCGGGTAATATCGCACGCAATATTACTGTCGCCGCTTCTAGCTTTCTCTCCCGTTTCGCCAATTCCCCTGGCGTGATCGTGCTCATTCTGGCTTGGGTCCCGCCACGTCCAGCTCTTCCAGTCCCTGCATGGGGTCTTGACGTTCTCCGTCCGCCTGCCCGTCTTCGGCTCCCAGCTTGTCTTCTTCGCTGACGGCGTATTTGGCCAAGTAGCCCTCCTGTAATGTCGCTTGTAGTTAGCCAATGATCCGTAACGGCCCAGAAGGTCTTCCCGCGCACCTGTTCCCAGATAGCCGTCTTGCTGCCGAGTCCCTCGTTGCTGTCCTTCTGCGGCTTGGCGGCAGCCACCTTGATCGTCCGCCCGTACAGTTCGCTCCCATCCATGTTGTCGATCGCCTCCTTAGCATCCTCGGGCAGGTCGAACTCCACGTATCCGAACCCGCGGTGGGCGTCGTTCGAGTTGGGCAGATCCGGTTTGGGGAGGGTGATGTCGACGACTTCCCCAAAGGGCACGAAGGCCTCGGCCAGCGTCTGCATGGTGACGGCCTGGTCAAGACCTCCCACGTAGATGGTGCATTTTAAACGGGCCTTTTCGCTCATAGTCTGGGTGTCGAAAGGGGGAAAGGGAAAAGGGAAAAGGAGGGATGGACGATGGAAGACGTCACGCGGGGGAGGAAGAGGGACCTGCCTCAAGACCAGAGTGCCTAGACTTTCGCCGGAGGAACCGCCCAACCTGATATCACGTGCGGGCCCCCGGGCGGTGTTTTGGCGAGGGCCCAAAGCGGTTTAGGGGGCGGCCTCAGTGGCCGCCCACCCCGAGCACCGCCAGGAGGACACTTGGTTGATTGCAGTGACGCCCTCGATCGCATACTTGGCCACTTACATGCACCCCTCGGTTCTTCAGTAAGTAAGAGAGGGGAGGTCTTTTTCGGACGTTTCTGTTGCTCCTGTCCGCGTTTGGGTTCTTCTGTACACCCCCGGTCTTCTTTCCATCCCCCGCTCCGCTTATTCTATGACCTTACCTGGTGCCAGACCCTCCTAATTCCAAGTCCGGTTCTCTCCTAATCTATACCGTTCCTTTCCCTTGCCGCTCATTTTCCCCCGTCAACATGGTACGTCTGAGGGAGATCCCCCGGACGGCCACTTTCGCCTGGTCTCCCGGGGCCGCTTCGCCCCTGATCGCTACTGGTACTCGCGCCGGTGCCGTCGACGTCGACTTCTCCAATCAGACATGTCTGGAGCTCTGGGATCTGGCCCTCGGCCGCCACGAGGCTGGTGGGGAGCTGCAGCCGGCTGCTAAGATTGATACGGACTCTGGGTATATGACCTTCGTCTTTTTGAATTGTGGAGATAAGTGAGATGGATGTGCTGACTGGATCTTGCGGATAGCTTCAATGACCTCGCATGGACGGAATCCGACGATAGCTCGCGGGGTGTCATAGCCGGTGCCTTGGAGAACGGCTCGTTGGATCTATGGGATGCTGACAAGCTGCTGAACGGATCCAGGTGAGTCCGTGGAAAGGCAGTTTGCAGGGACCTCACAATTGGCTGACTGTCTGCAAGTGATGCCGTCATCTCGAGGACCAACAAACATTCAGGGGCTATCAAGGCTCTCCAGTTCAACCCCAAGCACTCGAACTTGCTGGCAACCGGTGGCTCAAAGGGCGAGGTAGGCTACACAAGGTGAAGACTACTATGGTACTGTGATGCTCATGATGGACAACAGCTTTACATCTCCGACTTGAACAATATCGCGAATCCTTCCCGACTCGGCGGCACGGCGGCCCGCGCAGACGATATTGAGTGCCTGGATTGGAACAAGAAGGTTGCACACATTCTGGTCACCGGTAGCAGTGCGGGCTTCGTGACAGTCTGGGATGTCAAGACGAAGAAGGAGAGCTTGACGCTCAACAACATGGGTAGGAAAGCTGTCAGTGCTGTGGCCTGGGACCCGGAGAAGGTATGGAGCCCAATGCTATTATCCAAGGTCATCGGTTTAGGTCTAACGCGGCATAGCCCACCAAACTTGTTACTGCGACACCTCTCGAGTCCGACCCTCTGATCTGCGTCTGGGATCTCCGTAACTCACACGCCCCGGAAAGGACCCTCCGCGGCCACGAGTCCGGCGTCTTGTCGCTCTCCTGGTGTGCCCAGGATCCCGATCTGCTCCTCTCATCCGGAAAAGACAACCGCACCATGTGCTGGAACCCACAAACAGGACATGCCTATGGCGAATTCCCCGTCGTTACAAATTGGACCTTCCAGACTCGCTGGAACCCCCACAACCCCAACTTTTTCGCCACCGCTTCGTTCGACGGAAGAATCTCCATTCAGACTATCCAGAATACGGGCACCGAAGCCGCCCAGGCTATCGCCGACCAGAACCAGGCTTTGGACGGTGAAGACTTCTTCGCCAAGGCACAGACTCAGCCTCAGGTCTCGAGCTTCTCGTTGCCCAAGACCCCCAAGTGGCTCGAGAGGCCCTGCGGTGCTACCTTCGGCTTCGGAGGCCGGGTGGTCTCGGTCAACCTGATCGAGAAGGGTCAGCGTGCGTCCAAGGTCAAGATCAGCCCCTTTGAGGTTGATGAAGCCGTTGGAAAGTCGACGGAGACCTTCGAAAGCGCCCTCAAGGACGGTGATCTGCGGAGCATCTGTGAAACCAGAGCTGCCAACGCACCCAGCGATGAGGAGAAGGCCGACTGGAAGGTCATTGAGGCCTTGATCTCGGCCGACCCCCGCAAGGGCCTGGTTGAATACCTCGGCTTTGCCGACCGCGCCGACGAAGCTGCTGATAGCCTGGCTAAGCTTGGACTGGATAGGGAGGAAGAAGTCAACGGAGAGGCAGCGAAGGAGTCCCGCGGGTCGGGCGCCAAGAAGCACAGACGCCTGCAATCGATGTTTGACGCCAACCCCGAGGCGGACAACTTCTTGTCTGACCTGGCTGCATCCAAGGGAGCCAAGACCAACAACCCCTTCCATATCTTCAATGGCGAAGAGACCGAGGCCGACAAGGGCATCACCAAGGCTTTGCTGCTGGGTGACTTCAACAAGGCTCTTGACGTCGCCCTCAAGGAAGACCGTCTGTCCGACGCTTTCATGATTGCGATCTGCGGAGGTCCCAAGTGCATTGAGAAGGCCCAAGAGCATTATTTCCAAAAGCAGACCAACAGCCCTAACTACGTGCGCTTGCTCGCCTCCATCGTCGGCAAGAACCTCTGGGACGTCGTCTACAATGCCGACCTGTCTAACTGGAAGGAGGTTATGGCGGCGCTCTGCACCTTTTCCGAAGAGAAGGAGTTTGCTGACCTGTGCGAGGCTCTTGGTGACCGTCTGGAGGAGGAACTCCGCAACACTGACAACAAGGCACTCCGCAAGGACGCCTCCTTCTGCTTCTTGGCCGGTTCCAAGCTGGAGAAGGTTGTTGCGATCTGGATCGAGGAGCTTCGTGAGAACGAACAGAAGGCCATTGACACGGCCGCCGACGACTCGGCCTTCTCCATTCACGTCCGCGCTCTGCAGGCACTCATCGAGAAGGTGACAATCTTCCGCCAAGTTACCAAGTTCCAGGACACCGAACGTACCAAGGAGTCGGACTGGAAGCTCAGCACTTTGTACGACAAGTACATCGAGTATGCCGATGTTGTTGCCACGCATGGTCGTCTCCAAGTGGCGCAGGCGTACCTTGACCTTGTTCCAGAGAAGCACCCCGAGGCTGAGATCGCACGGAACCGGATCAAGTTGGCCACGAGACAGGCTGCTACTCCTCAGAGGACTCAGGCAGCTGCTCCCGTGAGCAGGGCAGCCCTGAACAAGCCTCTGCCGCAGCCCAACGCCTTCCAGCCCCAGAGGGCTTACTCGCCGGTTACAGCAGCTCCTGCTGCGAGCGCCTATGCTCCTCCTGCCGCTGCTGGTTCCGCCGCCGCCCCGAACCCCTATGCCCCGGCTGCCGCGGCGGCCGCTGCCCCCAACCCGTACGCCCCTCCAGCTGCCGCTGCCAACCCTTACGCTCCTCCCACTGCTGCTGCGGCACCGGCACGGCCTGCCAACCCATACGCACCGGCTGGCGGTAGCGGCTACACGCCTGCAGGATATCAAGCACCCCAGGCACCTGCTTATGGTGCTCAGCCCCTAGGCGGTGCTGTGCCCCCGCCTCCACGGGCTACCAACCAGTCTCCTGCTATCACCACGTACACCACCGCTACAAACCTCCCCTCGTGGAACGACTTGCCGGAAGGCTTCGCCAAAACGCCGGCGCCACGCAGATCAACCCCTGCTGCTGCTGTTGCCGCTCCGATCGCCTCGCCGTTTGTCAACTCCCCTCCTATTGCCCAGGGCCCTCCCCCAGCCGGAACCCCGATCGGCCAGCGGGCACCTTCAGTTCCCCCTCCGCCCAAGGGCACTGCCCCTCCCCCGCGTATAACGTCGCCACCGGTCGCCCCGGCTTCGGCTGCCATGCCTCCCCCGGTCAACCCCTACGCTTCTTTGACCCAGTCTCCTCCCATGGCCTCCACGATGGGTGTGCCGGCTGTTCCTCGGGGCCCTTCTCCATACAACGCACCGCCTACCGTGCCGCCACCCTCGAACCGTTATGCCCCTAGCCCGGCTGCCCAGGCTGCCAGCCCTCAACTGCAGACGCGTGCTCCTATCCCCCCCCCTCCTCAGGCGGCTGCCTCTCCGTATGCCGCTCAGCCTCCGGTTCAGCCCCCGGTAGCGGGTCAGTATGTCTCGGGTACTCCTCCGCCACACGCGCAGCCGCTGCAGCACGCCCCGCCGCCCCAGGCTGCTCCTAGCTCCCGGCCCAGCACGGCCTCGTCGCAGAGAAAGCCTGCGCCTGTAGCGCCCAAGTACCGTAAGTGATGCCGCCGCACCACTTCGGTTGTCCTAACTAATCCCGTACAGCTGCGGGCGATCGTTCTCACATCCCTGCCGACGCGATGCCCGTCTACGAGATTCTCAGCGCAGACATGCAGCGCGTGAAGTCCCGCGCCCCGTCTTCCTTCAAGGCACAGGTCGATGATGCCGAACGGCGGTTGAGCATTCTGTTCGACCACCTCAACAACGAGGATCTGCTTCGGCCCAATACCGTCGCTGACATGGCCGAGCTCGCCCGCGCCATCCAGGCGCGCGACTACGAAACTGCCCGGACGATCCACATTGACATCATGACGAACCGGAACGACGAGTGTGGCAACTGGATGGTGAGCCTTCCATCCCCTCCCCTCCCCTCTTCTTTCCCTCCAACCCAATTTCTAATACCATAACAGGTCGGTGTGAAGCGCCTCATCAGCATGAGTCGTGCCACTCCGTAGATTCGTAACGCGTGACATGAGAGAGACCATGTATGGGGCTCAAAAACGTTTATGAGTTGTATGTAAAGGAAAGATTCCGTCTTCTACCTTACCTTACCTAGGGTTATTGCTGCTTTACTGTACTGGTCCAATGCCCATTACCGATTATTTATATGTGCCCCTGTCCCTGTTCCCGGTTCTGATTGGGTTGGGTTGGGTTGTGTTGGGTTGGGTTGAGGGTTGCTGAAATTAAAATTATCTTAAGAATTATTGCTTCTTCATATGTCAATGTTATAACTATGTTTTTTCTGCTGTTGATATGATGCTGTTGACCATTTATTTTATTAAAGAGTGGTTTGAGTAGATTATACTACAGTATATACTCGTTCACTATAGATTAATGATGCATTGCATACCTAGGTTTTTTGTTGTATTTTGGGCGTGGATGTGGGTGTGGGTGCTTGGTCTGGATCTGGATTTGGATCTGAATCTGGATCTAACTGCGTGTCTGTTTCAATCCTTTCCTAACTATGTTATGCCTGTAGTATGGATTGGGTTTAATATTTATCCCATAATCAATGGATGCTTGTCAACAGACAGACCAGACGGTTTGGATGCTCGCTTGCTTGAGATCTGCTTTGCTTCTACTATGAGAGCGCCAGTGCCTCCCTCCCTCCCTCCCTTTCTTTCTTCCTTACTTACTCACTCACTCACTCCCTCACTCCCTCACTAACCCACCTAATAAACCTCCATTATAAGCGCTCATTTGGAATTTTGTCTGCTGGGTGATGGTGGTGGTGGTGGTGGTGGTGGTGGTGTTGTCTTGTGTTGTGATGTGCATTGTATATGACATAACATGATGGTTTGTTGAGTTGATGGGTTGAGGTTCTAGGTAGGGGATGGTTGTAAGGGGGTTTTTTTTTGGAAATGGATTGCAGTTATTTGGCTTGGGTGAGTGGGTGGGTGGATGATGTCTCTATCCAGATGCGGATATGCTTGTCTGGGCTGGTTATTGTTATACATTATTTTCATATAGTTACCCAATTACATGAGATTGAAGATAAGGAACTATCATTCCATACCGTAGATAGGTACGTATATCAGGAATCCTAGATATTCAAATACCTCTTACCTCCCACATATATAACATCATATACGTCTTGTCTTCTCTTCCTCTCCTCTCCTCTCCTCTCCTCCCTATCCTATCCTATCCTATCTATCTACCTCCCCAACCCCCACCCCCCACCCTCCCCCCTCTCCCCGCCGGAAAGTTTCTCGCGCTCAACATCGCCCCCTTCACGCCCCGAATCTCCGCCCGGAACCCCGCAATCGCATCCTCTTCGCCCTTCCCCACGCCCGTCGCCGCTCCACCCCCCGATTCAATCCCGGGCGTACTATACGCCCCGTATCCGGCTAGCGGATTGAACCCGGCTTTCGCGTAGATCAGCCCATCCAGATAATGGTGTAGCTCGTTCAGCCGCGTGCGCAGGGAGTCGTCGAACGCGCTGGAATCTTTCTCTGTGGACGAGAAGTCACGGAGCTGCGAGGTGATGGATTCGAGACGGGTGGTGTGTGCTAATACCTTTGCTGTTGGGGTGGAGGCTTGTGTGTCTTGGGTGGATGGGAGGGAGGGGATGGAGGTGGTTGGGGCGAAGTCGGAGGTTGTGGTTTGGGTTGCTATGTCGCGGTGGAAGAGCTCTGTTGGGTCCGAGGTTATGGATTCGGTGTCATCGGAGGTGGTGGGGTGTCGGAGGTGGGTTTGGGGGTCTGCAGGCTGGCGGGGATCACGGAGACGGTTTTCTCGAGCTTCTCGTTGAGCCTTTGCAGGTTCAGGGTTGCGGTGGAGGCCAGCTCTTGTCGGGCTGAGGTTAGGTTCGCGAGCATTGGCTTTATTAGGAATTCGCTCGCGCCGTATAGGCTCGCGCTGAGGCCGGCTGCGCCGTAGAGAGTGTAGAGGACGCTGCGGAGAGTGACGAGGGGTGGGGGTTGGGTGGGTGTGGTGAGGAATTCGGGATAGGTGATGATCGGGGGCATGTCGCGGGTGGTGTTGGTTTTGGGGGTGCTTGTTGGGGTTGGTGTTGAAGATGAGGCTGTGGCTGCTGGTGCAGATTCTGGTGCAGAAGTGGTGGAGGATGAGAAAGAGGGTTGGGGAGAAGCCTGGAGGGTGCTGCTTGTCGGAGAAGCTGAGTCGGTGCTCGTAGAAGTGCTATCTGGGGAAGCGGTCTTCGCATCCTCGGTCGTACTAGTTGTCTCCTCCGGGGTGGGCGATAAGCCCAGCAGCGTGTTGATCTCGTCTTCTCGAAGCCCCTTCGTTTGCAAGAAGGTCACTTTGCGATCGGTGGGGCGTCACGGATGGAGTCATCCTGGAGGAACTTGGCTGCTTGCTCGACGAGCGTAGACCGTGAGGGCTCATCGGAGGTCGGCGATGAGGTGGAGGTGGAGGTGGAGGTGGAAGTCGAGTCATTGGATTTGGCGTTGGCCTGCTGCCATGAGGGAATTGAGGGTGGCTTGGGCTTAGAGTCAGCCATGATGGTGTCTGGCAGGTTGAATTGAATTGTAGGGAAGTGGCCGAGAGAGAGAGAGAGTGGGGGAGGAGGATGAGGAGAAGCGTCGGGCCATGTGAGTGAGGAGGGAAGACGCTACGGCTCGATGAGCGGCGGCGGCGCTGTTGTCCGACCTCGGCTGTATGCATGTATGTATGGGCGCGGTACGGCCACTATGGTACAACGTTGTACAGTGGTATTTCTGGTAAGACAAGACGGCAGAGGGGTATAGATATAATTAGTTGGAATTAATTAAGATTATGGCCTGCCATGTGGAGAGGACTAGCTTATTTTCTTGATCATCTTAGGTGCTGGGATGCTTAGCAGAGTGGCTATCTATCGATCTATCTTACTGCTCCGGTGCTAGTTTGATGCTATTGCGACTATCTGCAATTAGATTGCCCTGGAATGTAGTTATTGTTTGATGTCTGGGACATGGGCTGATCGGAGTACAGAGCTGGGTTTCCTCCCCTGGTGTTACACCCGAAAGCCCCCAATTGACCAGTCCATCGCCACTGTATTTTGTATCTCAACCCAGGTTTTCTGAGAAAAGTGATGAATAGTACAGCGTAGTACTCCGCAGGATCCCTCGATTGTTGAGTTGATACCAGAGAGACCAGACAATGGGCCGAGAATACCCACCGCCTGGCAGAACGGGTGCCTGCCTTTGCGGTGGCCACCGGGGACTCGCCAGCCAAGTAAGGCAGGCGCAAGACGGTTCTTCATTTCATTTCAGCTCGTTATTCCAATTGCTATCGATCGCTCCATCAGGTACTCACTCATCATACCCGCACGCGGACCGCTCACTGTCACCTCATCCCCCGGTACCTTTCGACTTCCACTGCTACTGCCGTCCCCAGGCAGTAACTTTGCTGTCTCAGCCCAGGTCTTACTCGGGTTGCATTCACTGCCACTGCTACTACACGGTGAGTCGCCCTCTCCCTCTCCCTCGTATTGTCCAACTCTGGCTATATCCCTCGCCCTCTGCTCTGCCCTCCCAATCCCCCATCTCTCCTTCCTCCATCCTGCCAAATCTCGGATGAGAACTGTTGAATTGTTGCACCGTTGCGCCGCCCCCTTTTAATTGCCTGGAACCCGCCTTTGAAGAGTGGGAAACCCCTGCTGGGCCAGGGCCCCTCGGGGTTGCGCGAGATACGGCAGCGCCGTTGGAGGCACCGGGTCTCTGATTCCTCCATCGCCCTGGACATCTGGGGTCAGAATGCTCCCATTGGCTCCGTGGGAGGTTCCAGTGGCGTCCGTCAGAGTGATGATAGGGGTGGAGGTCCTGTGCCTTTCCGGAGTGCATGGCTCATCCTGAACACTGGCCCACGTAGTCATTCTTAGCGGTGGATGATGCTGGTCTGGCGCTGCTGCTGCTGCTGCTGCTGCTGCCCTTCTGCCTTCGCGACCTTCTCCAGATGCGCTCATTCACTCCCTCACACACCCTCTCTTTCCCCTCTCCCCTCCCCCTCTCCCCCTCCAGCGTATCCTGGGATCCTCCGTCATCATCATCCCAGCGGCCCCATTGTTCCTCCTCCTCTTCCCTTCCTTCCCATCCTCCCTCATCACCGCCGCGGCCTTTAAGTTTTGCTCTCCCCAACTGTCTTTGTTTGCTTTTTCCCCGGTGGTGTCCGTCGGGCAATTCTATTTATTTGCTCATCGCGCCATCCGCATCTTTCCTCCGTGCTGTTAAAGCGATTTTAAATTTCGTGGTCGTGCCTCTGCTATTCTATCCTTGCCGCTGCGGTGGTTCTCTGCTCACGATGTCTTTGCGTCGCTCTCTACGGTCTCGCGCTGGGCGGGATGATCAACCGAGCATGGATGCTAACACAAGCGCCAGGCCCACGAGAGTCACCCGGGCTGCCGCTTTAGTCCCAGCCGTGACGGTCCACCGAGCCCCGTCGGGATTGAACGGAGATTCCAAGAGGTCGATCCATCTGACTGTCAAGATGCCATCGAATAAACTCCGCGAGGTTACCGGTGGTAGCACTCGGAGCGGTGCGTCAACTAGACGCTCGGTCAACGTCTTTACGGAAAACCCCATCATAACGGGACCCCGCACTAGTAGACCTCGGAAGAAGCTCGTCGAGGTGGATACGAGCGATGAAGATGACCTGGAAGACCAAGAGGAAGATGAGGTCGATGACGAAGACGCCCCCGGAGAAGATGACGACGATGTAGACGCCGATGGCGATTTGGACATGGATGATGCACCGCCCCAGCCGCCAATGCCCAGAAGGCATGCGAAAGCCGCGGCAGCGGCAGCGCCCCCAGCAAAGTCAGCAAAGAGCGTAGAGGCGAAGGAAATGGAGTTGGAGAATGAGGAGGAGGAAGACGACGACGACGATGACGACGAGGAGCTCTCGGAGCTGGAGTCGGATGCTGAAGGCGAGCCAGACGACCAGGACGAAAGTATGCTGGCCAATATCAACGGCGCAGAGGATCTGGAAGAGGAGGAAGACGAGTTGGATAGTGATGATGATGAACCGGGCACCGATTTAACCCGGATGACCAAACGGCAAAGAGGAAACCTGGGCAACGACTTTTTGCAACTTCCCATGGGTGAGTCGAGATTCCGTGATGGGTTTGACAGCATAGGTCTGACAATGAAACAGAACCGCAGATCAAGAAGCACCTGACCGCGGAGGAGCGTGCTATGCGTCGTGCGGAGATGGCCCGTCGAAGGAAGAACCTGAGTGAAAAGCGAAACGAGGAGGAGAAGGTATGTCTCTTGATTTAATGGATAAAGCCAGTTGATATCTGGCATATGGCCTGTTTTTGTCCCGATGCTAACGAAGAAATACAGATGGATACCATCAACAGGCTTCTACGGAAGCAGGCCCCCAAGAGACGAGGCCGCATTCCAGCTGGCGAGGCCGGCGAAGGGGGCTCTGGCGAGCAGGAAGGCCAGGAAGTCGAAAAAGCGGACCCGGTGATGGCGAGATGGGTGAGTGGCCGCGAGGGCAGCAGGGTAGGCGTGCCAGAGGAGTGGCTGGGCATGCCCGCGGGCCGTGCCTTTGGTGCTTTGGGAGGCAATGGCTCTGGCAAGCTCGTGCAAGAGGTTTAGTTGATCCGATGGATTACGGGCGCATCTGGACTGGGCGTTTGGGAAATGTCTCCATAGGAAGGGCATAGGCATAGTGTACTTGGGTAACGGATGAACATTTTCAGAATGGGTTAAATATCTTATTGCATTTTCAGTGCTTGCCGGCCAAGATGTAGATTTCCGTCATACTTCATTTGCCGCTCACTGGCGCGGGCTAGGAGCTGGTTGATTGTATGTGCAATATGACGAGGGTTCTATATGTAGTCGAGTCGCACTTATAGTTCGGGGGTTTCAAGTCTGCAGCTACCCCAGGGGTTATCAGCGTAGCCTTTGGCTGCCTGTATACTGCTTGCTGCATCCCACCAACTCCGCGGTGCTCAACCGGTATTCGACCCCAAAGACGAGCGCTTCCTATAAGCCTCGTCCGAGTCCGGCCATCGGCACCCTGGCGAACGCAAGCCATTCGCATCCCTGAACCCATATCTAGTCCTTTCCATGGTCTGCCTACCTCATCTATACCGACGGCTTGCCTGTCTCCCCATTCGAAGTAGGCTTAGAAGGCTGGTCATGATCGGTCTTCTGACCTTGCGACGGCTCCGCATGTTGCGTCCTCCTATTTATCCAATTTCCCACCGATCAGTCCAGAACATAACGCCCAGTGTCAATCAAGGTATCCGGCAGCTGACAACGTACACCGACTCTCTATCTTTCGCTTCTTGCGCTTCCTGGAAGGCCGGCTGGAAGGTATGGAATCCTGCACACCCAGCAAACGCACCGATTAGCAAACTGTGGCCATCCCAAAACTATCCCGCAACTGAGCATTGGAATCCTCGCACTTACCCGTCCACACCCCCAGACCGATGGCCAAGACCGCGGGAAATAGATTCCGACTCATGATGCTGGTGAGTTTCGCGGTTGATGAGGGTTAATAAGGTGGTGGAGAGGCGAAGACGTGAGCGGGCGCTGACTGTAACTGCAACTGCAACTCCATGTCCGGAGCAACAATAGTACTAGTGACGAAGCCAAGACCAGCCCGGCCGCCGCCGCGGCCTCGCATCGCCAAAACGGCGCCAGACTTTCACTTTACCACTTTAAGCCCCGTCCGTCCCGTCGCGTCTCCTTCCTCCCCCCCCCCCACATTTCCGACGCGTCGAATCGACCAAACCACCCAGTCCACCAACCAACCACCCACCCACCACCCACCACTACCGGGACAATTAATCAGATTTACTTACTTTAGTACTACCTAAGGGCCCAGTCGCCGGTTGGTCGGTGGATCACTCACTCGCGCGCCACCCAGTTGACCGGTCACATACGCAACGCAGTTTTTCTTTCCGCAAAGCACACATTAGCACACATTACATTATCTATTCTATCAACCAGCGTGTGTGTGTGTGTTCTGGTGTGTCCTGTCCTACGTGCGCCCCGAGGTCATGAGATGATATGACCATCTAAGAGAAATGGGCCATCCGCGCCGACAACACAAATGGAATCATGGCGGGAGCGAGGATTTGTACCGGATTCGGACTCGGACTCGGAGGTTGGACTGGATAGCCAGGAGAGCAGGAAGCTGAGCGAGGATGTTGGGGATTCGACTGCCGCGGTTGCGGTTGCGGTTGAGGTGGTGGTGGGAGTGGAGGGGGAACGATCTTCGTTGGATGGGAGGGATGAAGGTGAAGGACAACGACAACCGGATGAGGATGTACAAGTACATGCACATGCTCCTCAGGACGACAATGTCGACTACAATCGCCCTGTGACTCCTTCGATCCCTACACAGGAATCTGTTCAGCCTGAACAGGTTGAAAAGATCGAACTGCAACTCCCTCCTGTGCTTCCGTCAAATACTGCCGATGATGGTGTCGGACTCGATCCGCCCTTGTTGGGATTGGAACCTCCGGAGCGCGAGGTGACTCCTCGCGCCGGTGAAAACGCTGTGGACTCTCAAATGCCTAAACACTCCCCAGAACAGATGAATGATCCTTCCCATGGTGCTGCCGATCTCGATATGCCCTTGTCGACACTCCCGGAGGATGGGGAGACTCCTCGCGCCGGTACAAAAACCGACGACTCTCGTTTGCATCGCGCGCAATCCTCAGAACCGATGAACGCTGCTGCCGATGATGCCACCCCGCGGGCTGAGGATAATGGCACGATGTGGGATATGCCAAGCTCCGAGGATGAGTTGCAGTGGGGTCACCGACTCCCAAAGAAACCGTCCCATGTCTACTCGAGGGCAAAGCGCGATACTCAGACGCAGCCGCAGCCTCAGCCTCAGCCGCAACAGCAACAGCAGGAGGAGAAGGAGTACGAGATGGACGATGTTTCGTCTCCATCGTCGCCCTTGTCGTCTGTTGATTCTCTGCGTTTGGTTGGGGATGGGGGCGAGGATGTGAATGAAAATGGGGCTGGGGATGGGGATATGGATAAGGGTGTGACTGCGGATGTGGACGAGAGTGGTCAAGGTGGGCAGAAACAACCCGAGGAGCCAACAGAGGATATCATGGAGCAACTGCTACAAACTATCGACATCCCAGAGGAAGTTCTACAGGAGATGTCACAGCCAGCACGAAGATCTCTGCGAGAGCGCAAAGCCATCCAGCTACATCCTTACATGCTGGAGGATGCAAAGTACAGGGGTCTGATGCGCGCACGAGGCGTCAAGCCTGTGCGTGCTCAATACGACCTACCTCCCCCCGCAGCCAGCGAGAGTCAGAACAAAGGCTATGTCGATGGCGCTGAACCGATTTCAGACAGCTTTGGAACCGATTTTCAGTTTCCGCCATCATCTCCGGTAGAGTTTTGTCGGTTATCGGAGAAAAGGCATTTCAGGGGCTCGCCTGAACATTCACGACATGGCTCTCCACAACTGGGCGAATCTCCGCGTATCCTTACCGGCCGCCAATCTAAGAGGCGCAAAATTTCCAAGCCTCAGAATGACCGCCCCCCTCAAACACAATACCCGCAGCCGAGGGTAGTGATTCAGAATCCTTCGCCAAAGCGTTCAACCGCCCATGTTCCCAGCCCACCACGTTCAGAGGAAAATATTATCTCCTCGCCTCCAATGGAGCCTTCCAACGTGTTCCGCTTTCTTCCTGGCTTCACACCGTCGTCAACTACAACGAATGTGGAGCCGGAACAGACTAATGCCCCGCAAGATGTGGATTCCATGGACTGGTCTGAGGCAGATGATGGCCCCGAAGATATTCATATGGAGGGGACCCAGACGGAGCCAAATTCTGAGGCCGAAGATGCAATCGAGGTGGATGACAACCAAGACCAAGATGACGCTGCTGTTAGGAGATACCAACGCCGCATAAAGGGTGTGCTACCAGCGTCATGGCTACGATTAGACCAAAGGAAGCAAGAAGAACGTACGAGTGCTACACAACAGCGCGAAAGGGTTTTGGCAAGGGAAAACGCCAAAGGAGTTGCTCAGAAAATCACGAAAAAGAACGCCACCTCGAAAGCTTCAAGATCCAGCGCGCATCTCACATCGCTAAGACAGCTTGCAGATTCAGACAGTGGCGATGAGAGCGAGGATAGAGACAGCAGAGGCCATGACATCAAAGACAATGCTTCACGCCAATTACTCGCCCAATTTGGCATTCCAGAGTTTGATAACGAAGATGTTGATATTGGCCTCGATATTCCAGAAGACAATCGCATCGATTACATGTTCCCACCTATGCCCCGTGGCCCTTCAGGACCTAGAGCCCCAAAGCAGGCAAAGAAACGGCCCACGTTCGAGACGGACAGTGTTCGGTCTGCTGGTGCACCCAAACGAACTCGCCTCAAGAAACAAGCACGAATCACCGATCATGTCTATGGGACCCAAAAACAGAAGCGGCCTCGACCCAGTGCGCCTAGACCCTCTCTGCCCAAGCTTGGAATTTTGGATGCCCCGGACGTTGCCTCTCGGCCTCGCAATACGCAGCCGCAATTTCTGAGGATTGCTGCAAGGCAAGCACGTTCCCGTCAGGATAGGGGAAGGCGAAGCCCCTCGCGGAAGGTCTTCAACCTGAGTTCCCATGTGGATACAGAGGATGCCAATAGTTCATTACGGGAATGGCGATCTGGTCGTCTTAAACAGACACAATTGCCGCAGCCACAGCCACGGCCACAGGCCAAACCTTCTCGTCGACAACCGCTCATTGCCCTCTCTACAAATAGACCGGCTGTCTTCCAGCGTACGAGAGATAGAAGGGTGACTGAATACATGACTGATGCTTCACCGGCGCCTCACCATGGGGAAGCTAGTGAAAAAACTCCCAATGCAGATGCGCATGATCCGGATCAAACCCCCAAGGCTGTTACACACCCCATGCCAACACAACAGGCGAAGCAGCGAGCCAATAATAAATGGGTTGTTCAAAGGAACCTTGCCATCTCAACACTAAAGCGGCGAGACCCGCGACCTGCGATGCTCGAGGTGGAAAATCCCAGAGGCAAGCCTGTATCGGCCTCGTCCTTTCAAAAATCTTTATCTCTGCTCAATCGCGATTATCGACGTAAACGCCTACCGGAAGTCCAACGAGGCAACTTGGTTTTGGATCGTTTCATCTCAAGCCGCAGTTCGACTCCTACTGGCGCTCAGCATAAAGACACAAGTCGACCCCCCAAGAAGCCGGAAAACAGCAATGATCAAACCCAACCCCGACGCCAGCTGAAAAAACGGCCGCCCAAGCGGCTCCAAATCACTGCAGTCCCTGATCAAATCCCGGTGATAGAACTGACCGACGTTACGCCCCAATGGCAGGACATGCCCACTCGCACTTCGGTGGGCGCGTTGCATGGTTTTCAAATTTCATATAGTATAGAATTCAACATCGTTCCCCTGTACACAGGGACTTATTTCCACGAAACCACATTTCTTGGGAGCGGGGAGTTTTCTCGCTCGCTTGATGTCCTGAAGCGCAACCTTGACGCAGATGCTGGCCTTCTCTCAATCAGGGTTGGAGATATGGGTTTTCGTTGGGGGGCATGGAATGACACTGTCTCTTCGGAGTTGGGGACGGTTTTCGACAGGATGATTGAGTGGTTTGAAAAGAACGATGTGGACTCGACGGAGTCTCCTGTTGAAAGCCCCGAAAAGCATGGCGGCAGCCTGTATAGGTCTGTGGTCAAGTATGTTACTAATATTTTGTCTTTTATCGACCCTATCGACAGGACGGGGTTTGTGACACGAGCCCATAGTCTTGTCTGCAAGCTTTGTGATGCGCTGTCAATGTTGGTGCCAAAGACTGAGCGTGAGATGGAGCTTTTCGCAGCGATCTGTTCATATAACACGGTGTTCACCTACCAAGTGCTCCGGGTTGCCGAACATGAACTTGTCGATGACGCCCTTGCCAAATTAGTAATGGAATCATTGGACAACGCCTCTAAGCAAGCCATCGCAGTCATCTCAAGCCCGTTGGGACAGGCAAACATCCGCAGATTCCTTACAGATATGGATTCCTCTGAACGACGCGATGCAGGGATCCAGAGGGGCCAATGTGCTGTTGAGGCGTATGTTACTGTTCGACACGTACTACGTGGTGTTGATAAACGCTTGGAAGGTCTTCTGACCGAGACTTATTCAATACCAGACAAGGATATTGAATCAACAGATGTCAGCCGGCTGGAGGGAGTCTGGCCCTGCATATTCACCACACTCCCTTTGGACGAGTTCGATGCCTCTGGCATTGCCCGTGTGGGATCCCGATTTTGGCAGGGCAATGGCAATTGGCCCGTCATCAAAATGTTGCTTCGTCCGGTGCTAGAGAGCTATGATGCTACATCGGCGACGCAGCCTGTCTCATACTACAAGTACTGCAGGGCTTTGTTACATAGGTGCTTTCATCTCATTACTGGATGGGGCTGGCGGGATTGCAAGCCAATCCTCGATACTCTCTACGATTTCTTTGCCAGGTATACTCTGTACAATCTGAAGCAGGAGGAGAGTTTTAAATCTCCTGCCTTTCTAGATGAGTTGGACAGGAACCCATCTTTGGAAGTGCAGCCCGGCGACCCCTGCTTTCATATCCTGCTGAAAATCATCGCGAGTGGATTGCGGTACTTATCGAAGGCCTATGACAAGAAGAAGGTTCGGAACTTCGCATGGCGCCTACTACCAAACCACGGCCGCGTGTATCCAAAAGAAAAGCCCATACACCAAACCGACTTGGATGCATTGAGGAACCATCACGATCTGTTGTGTACACTATACTACGCTGTGCCTGACGGATGTCGGCCTCGCCTCGAGACGATCAAGAATCTCGTCCACCCCGCCAGCTCCCATCGCGAAACCTGCAATATCAGCCTTCGGTCATGGGGCAGGCTTATCCGCTTTAAGCTCTCGACGGACGAGGATGTGTCTGGACTTGAAGCATTCGCTGACTGGCATTGCTATTTCGTCACGGAGTTGCTGAAACAGCATGCACTTGCGCGCCAGGAAGTTGAAGCGCAGAACACTGCGGATAACAAGTTCTCGGATCAGTTGATTGAGAGGACAATTGCCCAGAATCAACGGCAGATTGAGTCTTTACTGAAAACTGCGTTGAATGGCCTGCAAAGTGCGGTTCAGTCAGCGCCGACAGTGCAACATGCTCAGAAGCTTGTCTCGGGAGCACCGGTCAAAGCGTTACTGACACTTTTCAATCCCAGGGTTGCTCGGGTGAATACGACTGTCTCTGAGACTCTACAGGTGATCATTGCGTATATTAACAAGTGCAATTTGACGCCGGCGGCTGAAGAGGCAAATGCCCCTGTGGCAAATGCTCCTCTTGCGGTCGACGAAGACAGCCAGGAGTATGGAGATTGGGCCGATATCGCGGCCGTGTATGATGAGTCTCCTCCAGCACCACCGGAAATCGTGCATGTAGAAGAAGTGTTTCATCCGGCTGTGTTTCGGCTGATATCCAACTGCTTCGGTGAAGATTACTGTCCCGAGGATGCGATTCTGCTGAAGGTTGTTGACTGCTGGACCTCTGTTGCACATACCCTTGTCAAGCATGGTCTGCGACACTGGGACAGCTATCTCAGTCCATATAACGGTGACTCCTGGACGTCACTTCGTTTGACTATACAGACAAGGAAGTTCACACCTCTGTTCTTGGCTAGTTGCATTGAGAAGGATACCAAGTTTACAACCGAATGTAAAGTCCAAACGATCGGGATGTGGATGTCCAGTTTGGTAGAACGGGTGTCGATGTTGAAATTCCAGCACCGTCTTACAGAAGCTTTGTTGAATCAGGAAGGGACTGAGCCCCTGCTTCAGAATCTTCCTTTCGTCAGGGAACAAAAAGGATATACGATTACCCTGGAGGATCTCAGCCACCGTCGGGTGTCTCTCATATCAAGTCTCCTGGCCAACATGCGTGCGCACCTTCAAGGACTGGAAGACATAGGGGCTCGAGAGCTCTCGAGTACAAAGCAGGAATACAGGGAGATCATCCAGAATATGATGTCGGCGATGAAGGCAAACTATCAAGAGCTGGGTAGCGGTGCAGCTAGCGCCCAAGGCGCCTACGTCGACTTTGTACACAGAATAGTCGGGTTCCTGCAGCAGCACAGCCGGGATATCTGTCCTATCGACTCGTTCTTTACTGATCCTGCCTCATTCCCTCTGCCCTCCGGGGACCCGACCTATATCGTGGCCCGATTGAAGAGCTATGAGCCGAAACTGTCGTCCGAGAAAGTCGCCAAGACGCTTATCATATTCATTCAGAGCGTATCCGAGCGAGCGGCAGTTGACGGACAGCAGGATTATCTTGTCAATCAACTCCACGCATCTATTGCAGATACGTACGAGTCTGGTCTCCCTGAGAAGCCCACCCTGAGAGCCACCCTACTGCAGGCCGTCTTTCCGGCATACCTTGAAGCTTCGTTGAGCAACCCAGCCTGCTGGATCCTGAGTCGTCCTATTATCCAGACCATTTCCCTCGTTCTCAAGGACCTCCTCTTCAACATCGACTCCACCGACCCTTCATGTGTTGCATCCGTCCTGAATATCTTCACCTCCGTCTTCCAAACCTCGTATACCGCTCTCTCATTCATCACGACGGACGCACTCACCGACCCGGCAGTCGCCACTACCGCCGCCTCCCTCCTCAAAATGATCACCTCCGCCCTCCCCATCATCGACTACATCGACCGTGCAACCGATCTCGACGAACGAATCCTCTCCCAACTCCACACGTTCCACACCTTCATCCTCTCGACCACAGACCCCGACAGCCTCTCTCCCGAACCCTTCAACGCAGACCCCATCCCATCCCTCCCCACAATCACCACTTTCACCACCCCACCCTTCTTCCCTGACCTCCGCCTCTCCGCAAGCCGCGAACTCCGCTCCTATATTGCAGAAAGCTGGTCCCGCCACCAGCGCAAATACTACTTCACCCGTCGCGGCGGCTATCAGCCGCAGGAAATCGATATCCAGCCTCCTGTCGCCGCGGAGCTGAAGCAGCCGCCAGATCAGGTGTTTGGGTCTGCTGTTACTGAGTTCTTGGATGTGGTACGCGGGCTGGATCTTCTTCCTTCGCTTTCTTCTGATGTCGATGCGCAACGTGGTCTGGAGTATGGGCATGGGTATGGGGTCGATGTGTTGTATACACTTGATCTTTGCTCTTGATGACGATGACGATGTCGATGATAGTTGAGAGTGCATGGGTATAGCTGGCTATAGCTATATGGTTTTTTTTTTCGAAGGTGTTACGGTTCTGTGTGTTGGTTATGTATGCATTGATTGATGGTATACGCCCCCGGATATCTTCACCTATCTACCCACCCACCTGCATTATGTTCCTTAGTCTTTTGATATAGCATGTTGTGTGTTGCATTGGATGTGTACGGTTGCATAGCTAGCTAAGGCTGCCTATTCTGGATTGGAGTTTTATATAGATAGAATTTTACTTATTTAATCATGTCATGATTGAGCGAATTAGAGATGCTTGGTCTGCTGGTTTTTTCTAGATTGGGTCTGGTTCTGTTCTCATAGTTATGGTGTGGGTTTGGGTATGGCGTTTGTAAGAAGAGACTGCATATTCTGGCAGTGTATGTACGTATCTGATTGCCACAGCTAGTGAAATTGGAACCAGTTATGTTATGATATACTCTGCATTACCTGGTGCTTAGTTCGTTCCTGCCTGTAACCACTGCAGCTTTCTTATACCGAGTAGAGTTGAGCAGCCGACTTCAGGTCCCGAGACCAAGGGCAGTAACTAATTAAATAAGTACTATGTCTTTTCCGCCGCCGCCCCCCCCCCCCCTCACCAGTGCCCGCTTATACTTTGCGCGCGCGTGTAACCGCAAACGATCCCTACTAGGCAAACCATCATCATATTGATCAAAGACGGAGGTGTCATCTCCTCCTGCCCTACACCATGGATGTTCCAGGCGAGTAAGTACCCTCAGCTCCCAACTCGGACGTCACCATATATAAACCCGTCCCGAAACATGAGGTTTACCCCCCAGACCCCTTGCCACTAGCCAGCCTTTGTACATCAAAACGCTTCACCTGGTCCCGGCGCCCCACTGCCTTACATATAGTCATCCTTTGATTCGGTTTGGTCCCTCGTTGCTTCGCTCCTTGGTTGCTGCGTGCTTTGATCGGGGGTGTCGCCCCGTGGCTCGTGGTTGCTAGAGATGGATCATGTGCTTTGCGACCTTGTTTTTTTTTTTTTTTTCTTTTTTTTTTTCTTTTTTTTTTTTTTTGCTCTGTGGCTGTGGCTGTGGCTCTTGGCTAGTTATGCTCGGGAGCTGTATACACAGGAGATATCTTGGGTTATCGAATTTCGTACTTGGTGGGGTGGCTGTTGGTAAAAGGAGAGGGGGGGAAGGGGAGGGTCTTTGGTGAATAAACTGTAGCAGGGAATATGTCTCATCATGTGGTACTAGGTATATCTTCGCAGACTATCCAGGATAGGGCAATTGACCTAGTAAGTATATACAAGTTTTCTCTAGTGACTATCTAAAAATTCATAACATGATAACCACTACCAGCCATGTGATTGAGTTATGTATAATGAATGCATGGATATTAGGTTCCCGATAGATAATTAGTAGGTAGTAGGTAGTAGGTGGTAAGTAGATCTACACCCCAATAGCCTAGATCCCACCACCAAGCAAATAGCCAACATACACAGACAACCAGACAACCCACCACCCTAGAAAAACAACCGCAGGATCCCACAGAAACAGATATGATGACCCCCATCATGCAATTTTCAAGCAGACATACATGCATAACACATTACATAGTACTCACTCACTCACTGACCCACTGACTGCCTCAATCAGTCAGTCACTCGCCAGCCTAGACTAGCAAGCATCTCATCACTGATGCAGATGCATCCGTCCGTCTGTCCATCCATTCATCTGTAACACCGAGGGAAACCGTACTAGCGATGTAGAAATCCAAAGAAACCCGCCGTGTACGGAGGATAATCAGACCAGACCAGATCAGACCAGACCAAGCCAAGCCAAGCCAAGCCAAACCAAGCACGTCCATCTCATCTCGTCTCATCAGGTCAGGTCCGATCAGATCCAGCAATTCATCCCCAACAGCCAAGCAAGCAAGCAAGCAGGAATCAAGTCATATTTACAAACAAATACAAGCACCACAACCAGTCCAAACCCCAGCTCAAGAATCATCCTAAATCCCCACGCCCCCCTCCCCCCCCGCCCCAGCCCCCTCATTCTGCTGACTACTCGACCCGCGCCGATGAAACGGATGATGCGGATGAAACCCCGAGAAATGAAACACCTTGCGCACGGCACTCGCCACGCCGGACCTGCGTTTCGACTCCGGCGACGACGGCGGTTTCGCGTCCCCCGCCCCCGCAGCCGTAGCAGCCTGGAATTGGTCCTCGGGCTTCCTCGGCACGGTGGCATCGTCCTGGAGTACGAGGTTGGTGTTGGCGGGTTTGGGGGGCCATTGGCCGTCGGCTTTCCAGCCTTGGACCATCGCCTTGGTGACGTCGGCGAGGTTGATGGGTACGGTGGGCGTCAGGCCCTGCACGACCACTTTGCTGTAGATCGAGGGGAACATGGCGGGGGTGATGGACGCGCGGATGGGGTTCGTGTTGGAGATGAGGGATGGGGCCACGGGGATGAGGGGCTCTTCGGTGTATTGGTGCGGGGGGTGGTGGTGGTGGTGGTGGGTTCGGGTTCGGTGATCATGGTGTCGGTTGAGGGGGAAGAGGCATGATGGGCTGGAGGTGCGGGGGGTGGTTGTTCGGCCGCGGTGGAGGGTTCCTCGCCGTGAGAGGCGGGGTGTTGTAGTTGTTGTTGTTGCTGTTGTTGTTGCTGCTGCTGGTCATCGGCGATGCTGAGCGAGGCTTCTGTGCGGAGGGCGAGATCGGTTTGCGAATTGAACGAGGAGGCGGAGAGGGGGGGACTGGCAGCCGGGATGGAAGCGCTCTGGCGTTGGAGACCCTGATCGTGGTTGTCCGAGGATGAGGCCTGAGCCTGTTTGGCCAATTTCCTGGCGCGGATCTCGTCTTTCGTGAGGGCGCCGGTCCAGGCATCGCGACGCTCGACCCAGGTGCGCAGGCCCCCGTTCCAGCGCATCTCGTCCTCCATCTGCCGGCGACGCTTGCGCCGTCGCTCGGAGTCGTCGCCCAGCGGGGTTGCGAGCGGACTGGACAGATCTGATGCATCGTAGCCCGGGTGTGGCTGGCTGGTCGCGCCAATGGCGGGCGATGCCTGCGGTTCCAGCTCGGAGCCGGAACTGTCGTATTCGCGCAGTCGCCATTCCAGCACCTCTTGGTCGGGCGTCTCGGGCGATGCGACGGACGGCGTGCCTGCGTCGGGGGACTGCTCGAAGGCCCAGTCGTTGCGGACGACTTCGCGGACATAGCGCTTGGCTTCTCGGATGGCGGCGTCGCGGGACTCGGTCATGGTGGAGATGTGGTGCGGTACGGTTGGTGGGGAGGGGTATTTCGACTATTTCGTCGCGTGAGGGGATCGGAGAGGATGGCTGTTGGCTAGAGGAACCGGAAGAGGCCTCGGGGAGGAAACACGAGGCAATGTCAAAGAGAACAGAAAACGAGGGGAGGGTGGCAGGGGGGGTGAAGAGAGTGAAGAGAGAGGAAGTGAGGGAGAGAAGAAAGAGAGAGCGGAAAAGAGAGAGAAGGTTGGCAGATCCAAGGGGCTGGCGGTTTCGTCGATGTCATCCATCATCGCCCTCGCGGGAAAAAGTACGACGCCCGCTTGGGCCCAGCGTTGCATCCTGCCCGTGCCTCGATCGACGCGCGCTGACCCACATGTGGTCTGCTACATATCTGACGGTGGAAAATTGTATATGGGTGTTGGTACATTGAGGTTCGTGTCGCTAATAGTATACAAGTCCAGCCAGTGCCTGCCATCCTTCCCAGCCCCAACCAACCCGCTCCGGCCCTACAAACGGAAAACAAATTCTGATCTATGTAACACCCAAACCGTGCGATTCTATAGATTATTCGAATACAGGTCTACCCGGTCTCTTCATGTGCGCACGCGCGCCGCATCGACGGCATTCGCCGACTCGTCCACGCCCGCCGGCGTGAACCCCCAGCCGGCACTCTTCTTGCGCCGGCCCTTGCGGTCGCCGTACTGCTCGTCGAACTTGCGGATCGCGGACAGGGACGACATGTCCTCGCTGATGGAGGCGCTGATCTCCTCCATTCCGCGCTCGAAGTGCTGCTGGGTCAGTGTGCGTCGGGCAGGATACTGGTACGGCTCCTCGCCCTTGTGCTGTGCGGCCAACGCGTTCTCCTCCCGAACGCACGCAAGAGCGGCCGCTACGGACAGGTTCTTCAGGTCGGAACCGGAGTACAGAGGTGTGCGGCGTGCCAATTCGGCCAGGTCGACCGAGGCATCCAGAGTCTCCTCTTTCAGGTGGATCTTCAGGATGGCCAGGCGATCTTGCTCGGTGGGAAGGTCCACAACCAGTCGCCTGGGGAGACGTCGGAGAACCGCATCGTCCAGATCAAACGGCCGGTTCGTCGCGACCATGATGAAGGCCGACATGTCGTTCATGCCGTCCCATTCCCGCAGGAACTGGTTGATGAGCTCGCGGTGAGACGTGCGGCTGCTGGCTCCGGTGCGGGAGCAGAAGATGGCATCGGCCTCGTCGATGAACACGATACAGGGGCTGAGCTTCTTGGCCAGCGTGAAGATGGCCTTGACGTTCTTCTCTCCCTCTCCAACATACATATCGTAGACCTCGGACCCGCTGACCTCAAGGACCGTCGCGCCGCTCTCGCGGGCCACGGCTTTCGCGAGGAGCGTCTTACCCGTACCGGGGGGCCCGTAAAGCAACAGGCCAGGGATCTTGTCCGTCGCCAGGACACCGTAGGTGAACGCCTCGGGGCGGATTAAAGAAAGAGAAGTAAGGGTCTTCAATGCGTCGATGGTTTCGGGAGGGACGTGCACGTCCGCGAATGTGGTGCGGATGCTGTTCGCGTCGACGACTCCGTTCAAGAGCTTCTTCTCGTGTGTATTGCAAGTTTTGCGTAGAGAACTTATCAAGCGTTCCCGTTCATTGCCGGGCTCGCTGGTCTTCGCTTTAGGCGTCTTTTCCTGCATCCAGTCGTCCTTGATCCGCTCGGTCTTCTGCATCATCTCCATCCCTCGTTGAATGTGCTCGAATCCAAACGGTTCATCCGACTTGATAGAGCCAAGGGCAAGAGTTGTAGCCCAGTGGACCTGGCTGTAAGGCCAGTAGCGTTCCTCAAGTCCGCTATTTTTAACGAGAGTCGAGTCCAAGGGCCAGGCACGGTCACGGAAGATATCGTCTTTCACCGCCGAGGGGTGTTCAGTGAGCCGTGTCCGCAACAGATCTTGGATGTGGCGAAGGTTGATGTCGAGGGTTCGCTTCTTCCGGTCTTCGGTGAATGTGGTTTCTGCCGCTTCGGCCTTCATGGCGGGAGTGATGACCAGCATCTGTGAGAATTGATCATCGAAGGCGTTCTGGATGAGCCTGGAGGCATCCGAATCCAGAGGGGCCTCCTGTGCGGAAGTACCAACGAACAAGACCCGGGATCCGTTCTTCCTCTTCTCATCGATAGCTTTCTGTAGTAGTTTGATGAATTTGGGGCCTTCCCGAGTGCTTTGGATGTCGCCGTAATCTTGGACCTGAATGATGACATCCCGCCGAGGGATAGGGTTGCGGTCTTCTGAGAGCTCGGGGGAGGTTTCTCCGCTTTCCTCTACTACTGGTGTCGAAGGCTTTGATGGTTTGCTGGACAGGGAAAGGATTTCGCGCAGTAGCCGAAGCCGCCTATCTTCTGTTTGGTCAACGGCACCATGCGATGAAGAGCCAGCCGCGCTGTCCACCGGAACATTAAACGAGGCCACCAATGACTTTAGGCCTAGTAGATTGGGCAGAGAGGTTCCACCGGAGCTTGGAGGACTCTCAATAGCAACGAATTTGGGGGATTGAAAGCCCGATCGGAACCCGCGCGGCATCTCAACGACATCGTCATCGGGCTCCTCTTGGGCGCCGTCCTCTTGCCAGGCATCCGAGATAGACGGCCGGTATACCTCATAGCTGAGCGATCGGATGGCCGACGTCGTACCGACATCCGCCAAGTCCTGTTCACTGCACAGCTGGGCAATGTCCTGCGCATTCAGTGTCACCAGATCCGCACCCAGCTCCTGAGCCAGCCTCTTCACCACCGCATCCAAAAATAGAATGCCATCGACGCCCGGGTATTGAAGGACAAGGTGTGACTTGCGCGCGGAGGGCTCTTTGGCGTACTTCATCGGCGGGAGTCGCAGTCCTGCCCGCGCGGACGCACAAAGCTCCTCCCACAGCGCTTCGGTCAAAGCATACCGCTGCTCTAGAACGCTGGCTCCATCCGAGGGTGGTGGTGTTTCGTTTCCATTGCCGCCTTGACCCTGTTGTTCGGCTGCTTCGTGTTCTTGTTGAGCTTCGGACGACCGTATCTGCACGTGTTGTAATGATTCGGCGTGGCCCGTTGCTTTCCCATCGTTGACAATCCGGTTTCGCTCGCGAAACCAGTCCGGAATAGTCGCCACCGGAGCAGAACGCTCTGGCGTCGCCCGTCTGTGTCTTCCTATCCTCCGGACCGCCGAACCGTAAGGACTCGAATCCTTCCTCCCAGATCGCTCTATCGGAGGCGCCGTGACGGACGCATCGCCGCTTGACGGGGCGGAGTCGGTGTTGTGGGTGGGGATAGCACCGGAGATGCTTTCCGTGGTGATATCCCGGGAATCATGAGGATCGGAGGGGGTTGAGGTTAGCCATGCTCGCGAGAGATGGAATCGACGGGATTGCGAGAGAACCGCGGCGGGATACCGGCGATGCGCGACGAAACGGCAGGGTCGAGCGAGGGACCAAAGGAACCGGCCTTGGTGCATTGACGGATACATCCAGGGCAGATGATGCCGCCGGAACTGGGATATGAAATTACGGCCGATGCTGCAGGGTAGGCGGGTGGCTCGTCTGCATCAGGTTGCGTGTCAACGAGGTCAAGGAAGGCTTTGATCTTGCCCTTCGTCGGCCCCGTTTGTCAGCGGCCAGGGTGATGTCACGTGATGAGATGGTGGCTGCAAACCCGGCGGTAGAGGCAAAAATAAGCTTGTTTCCAGTGGAATCCAAGACAGGATTTACGAACGAGGTCGCTGATGAGTGACTGTCAAGATCTACAATGTGTTCTTGTTTACTAGGTAGATGGAGATACTACGGACATTGCCATGTCCAAACTACAGCATACTGCAAAATAGAGTAAAATCACTGATGACATATCGTCTATTCATGGTCTCGAGTATCTAATCTGCACAAAATACCCGCCCCTCGGCAGGGAAGATGATCGACAGCGAGGAACAGCCTGATGCAACCAGCACCCAACCTGACGGCCAATCACCCCTCCGCCCACCGATTATCGATCAATCGATCTCTCAGACGATCGGAGTGCTAGGTAGATCTGCTTTGGGAATTGTTAGCCAATGCCCACACATACATATCATGCAGCAAGAAGCGTAATGTGAAGTTTCTCAGATAAGATATACTGGCAAGTAGCAGACCGACCGGGAATGGAAGGTCCGAATAGTCTCCTCATGGACGATTCAGAGGATTAAGAAGTAAAAAGGGTTTTATCATCTTCGAAACGAGGGGGGGGGTGATGGAGCAACAGCAGGGACTAAACTAACCTTGTGAGATGGCTTGAGCCTCGCAGGATAACCTGATGCGTTAGTTTGAGTGGTGTGATACATGTATCAACCAGACTGCAGACAGAGACTGCGGACGGGACTGAAAATGACTGATCAGGTCCCGATCCACGGCTGGCGACACAGGAACCACATTAGAGTCCTGAAGGAAAAAACCTTTGCCCTCGAAATCTCTTCCGGGGGGGGGATGAAGAGGGAAGAAGTGGGAAGAACGAGCAACCGCGACGGAAAATATATGGACGCCCGCCCGCAACAACGATGGGCCGAGGACGCCACGTGACCACACCAGGCTCCAAGCGGGCTAGTGAGGAGGACGCGGTGGGCGGCCATCGGCGACCGGCCACTCGCTCAGAGGGAAAAGAAAAGCCTCAGAGCAGGATCTCGCCATGAGTGACTGACTGACTCTCTCCCCTTCCTGTTCCTCTCTCCATCTACTCCCTCCCCCCCCCCGACCCTAATCTTTCCTCCCCTCAACCCTCCCCTTCCTCCCCACCCCTCCTCTCTCCCCCCCTCCCTCTCTCTCCCCTTAAACTCTTGGGCTTGTGGTTGTGTTGTGTGTGTGTGCGTGTGTGGTGTGCGCGCTCTTGGGTATCTTCTGTCCCGCGAGTCTCGGACCAGCACGCCCCCCGTTCGTTATCGAGCGATTGAACTGGCGATCGCGACAGGTGCCCGTCTGTCTTTTCGTTGGCCCCTAGCCCCTCCACACCTCCGTCCTCTTCCTCCCATATTCCTTCCCTCTCCCTCTCCGTCCCTGCCAACTCCCCCGTCGCCCTCCGCCCGTTCCCGTTGAACATTGGAGGCGAAGCCGTTCTCCCTCCGATCCGGTGGGCACAGGTGATTTGGCCGGTCCGATCCATGCTCCAGATCTCGTGTGGTCCTGGATGATACCGACCGCCGCAGCAAATCGCCCCGTCAGCTGCTGCGTCTTGGCCTCCGCTCCGGCACTAAAAGCGGCCTGTTGTGCCTCCACGTCAAGCGCGCTCATCGAGTTCGACGCCCGCCCTCTGCTGTCTTCTCTCTCCCAACCCCCCTACCCCCGGCTGTTGACGGTCTTTAAAATTTCTTTCCCTCTCTTTCTTGGAGAGTCGTGTTTCCCTCTATCCTAATCTCGCTGCCCTGTATCCCGCCTCCTCCCTTCCCCTCTCCGACCGCTAGGAGTCCCGTTATCGGTGACTTCGTAACCACGACATGATGATGGCGCAACAGTTTCCAGTTCATCAAGGCATACCACAGCACCCGAGTCTGCCTCCAGGTCACCCAATGGCCCCCGGCCAGCACCCAAACGTCCACCCCGGGGCCGGGATGGTTCAGCAGGTGCACCCAGGAGTGTCGGCACCCGGAGGACCTCAGGTCAGTCAGGGCGGTCCGATCATGGGTGGCATGCCTCCGGGGGCAGGAACGACCGGCCCTGGTCCTGCCCAGGCCCATGCCCTCTCCCACCTGGGTCCCACCCAGGCACACATGTTCCAGCAGCCGCATTTTGCACAGAACTGTAGGTGCTTACTTTCATCCGCGCACTTGCCGGGTCGTCGCCCATCAACTGGGTGTCTCCATGGTCCACATTACGTGCTAATCCTGGCCCTTCTCTACAGTTGCGAATAACCCCCAACTTATGCAACAGCACCACAACCAACTTCTGAGGCAGCGTGCGATGCTTCATCAGCAGCATCAACAGCAGCAGCATCAACAACAGCATGGAGGGCTCCCGGTCCAGATGGCTAGTGGCGCGCCTGGCTTGAGTGCAGCCCAGCTCGCGGCGATGCAAGCGAACTCTGGAATGCGCCAGGTTAACCTGCAAATGCTACAACAACAACAACTGCCTAATGGGCAGCCGCAGAGCATTCAACAACAACAACAGCATCTCTTCATCATGCAACAAGCTCAACAGCAAGCCCAACAGGCGCATCAGGCCCAGCAGCAAGCCCAGCAGCAGGCCCAGCAGCAGGCCCAGCAGCAGGCCAACGCAGCAGGACAACCCGGTCAGCACACGCCGCAGCAGCGTGCAGCCACGCAACCCCAGAGCGTGCACGATCAGAGTGTCACCCCGCAGCCTCAACCAGGACCGCCACCACACCAGGGAAGCGCCACGCCGCAGCCGAATCCCCAACAGGTGCCCACGAGCCAGCCCCCGCAGCAACAACCCACAGCTCCTCAGCCGCAACCCACCCCCAACCCTCCCCCGCAACAGCTGCCGCAGGCTCAGCAGGCCGTCCAGCAGCAGCAAGCGCCCCAGATGCCGCAGTCACAACCTCAAACACAACAGGGCCAACACGTCCAGCAGCAGGGCCAACAACAGCCACCCATGACCGCGCAGGAGGCCCAGCTCAAAGCTCAGCAACAGCAAAACCCGGGTGCTATGATGATGCAACAACAGCAGCAGCAGCAGCAGCAACGGATGAAAATGAACGGCGCTGCGATTTTGCAACTCAACTCCTTCGCAACAGATCTGTCCAACTTTAGTGTATGTTCCGTTCGTTGATTTGGAATATATGGTCTAGCAAGCAAATGCTAACCTCTGGCAGAGCCGCTCCGAGGCACATGATCTACACTACTGGCAGTCTTTCGTGAACAAGTTTTATGCGCCTGGTGGCGTCCTACGACAGGGCACATATAACCCACAGTCTGGCTCCAAACAGTTTGAAATCGCCACACCCGCTCTCGCGCGCTATTACTTGACCCAATTTACTAGCGGGATCCGCCAGATTCAGATGATTGTTGACTCGGCACGGGACAGGGACTCACCAAACGGGGGCCATATTGTGGACAGCGGCAAGACTTCCTTTATCTATTGGTTCACGAATGACACTCAGGTATGCAATCAAGAGGCCTCTTCAATCAGACCGCCCCGACTGACCAAAGCCCAGCTTTTCACGACTGGAAGTTTGACAGCCCATTTTGATGTTAACAACAAGATTGAAATGCTGGATGTTGTGGTTAACAGTCATACCGAATACCTCCCTCGGAGCCAGTTGCAGGCGTTGGAGTTGGCCGATCAGCAGAAGCAGAGTCCCAAGGTCTCTAAGAACATGGGCAAACGAGCCCAGGCCAAGCAAGCGCAACAGCCGGCGTTCACATTGCCCGAGTCCATGGTTACTCAAAGCGGGGTTCCCACCGCCGTAATGAGCTTTCTAGAAGTGAGTTTTGCGGTGCTATCAAAGCAAGGCCACCTCTAACCGTTCTCCTCTAGGTGGCAGAGACTATTTCACAAATGCAACTCTTGTTCAATTTCTCTCACCAGTACCCCCACCTGACCCCCTCCGAGGCTCTGCGAGGGCTTGTGGCCGGGCTGCAGAACCACCAGCAGGCTTCTAATACCGCTTATATGCAAGCGCCCATGAATCAAGCCATGCAGCAGCAGATGCAGCAGCAGATGCAGCAGCAGCAGCAGGGCCAGCCCCGAGCTCCTAGCATGAACGCGCCCAACCAATTTGCATCTCCCGCGATGGCGCATCTGGGCCTTCCGGGCTCCCAAGGCTCGCCTCACCTGTCCGCCCACCCCAGTCCAGCCCAGAGCCATCTGGCGGGGCCGCCGGGCATGGTCCCTCAGGGTCAGATGCAAGGCAGCATGCCGCGGGGCACCAGTGCGAGCGCCAGCCCCAACGTCGGCAACAAACGTCGCCGTGCCAGCACCGTGAAGATGGAGAATGACGACACTGGCGGCCCCGAGGTCAACGGGAACGTTGGTCCCGCCCCCAAGGTGAAGGCCAGCCCTCGTGTTGGGGGCAAGAAACAGAAGGGTGGCGGTTAATGCCACAGTAATAATGCCGATGCATTCATGCGGTTGCGGATTTTCTTTTTCCTCTATTTCGATATCATTTCAGTCTCACTAGGCGGGGATATGGCGTACGTTCGGATACCTGTGCGAGGCTTTCCTTCTTTCTATTATTAGTACTATTTCATCTGCGGGATTATTGTTATTTCTTGAACATATCTGTCGGTTTGCTTTTTATTTCTATTTGATGTTTTATGCGAAAGATGGGTTGGTCCTGGCTGTTTGCGTCGCGTTCGGTGGTCTGACCTGGATCTCAGGTGCTGCCAGCCTCGTGTACAACTCTGGTCTTTCTTTGCTAATGTTGTCGCATCAGGCTGTATCCCAATCATGTTGCTTTCCTTGGTTTTTTTCTTTTCTTTTTTTTTCCTCCTTTGCCTCTCTCTCCATGCGCTTTTCCGAGGGATGATGTGCAGTTGAAATGTTGAAGTTGATTCCCGATAGCGTTGTCGGATTGCCTTCGATGCTGGTCCGCTGCTTTGTTTGATATCCATTTTCCATAGGCGATTGCAGTGTTTCGGCGTCGGGTCTGCTACCTGGAAATAATTGTCTTGATATGATAGTTGCGCGTCGGAAGATCACTGCATTGAGAACTTCAATTCAATTCAATTCAATTCACTTTACTTTGCTCTACTTTCCATTGACTTTGAATTCGATTGCCAGACTGGATAATTGGGATGTGATGTGATTGTATGTCGACAGACGGCAATGAAGACGTGCCTCATTGCCTCATTGCCTGATGAACTGATTGAACCGATGGCCTGATGGCCTGACCGAACCTTCCCAATCGGGCAACGGGCGGCAGTGTTTCACATTTCCCCACATTCCTTCCTCCCAAGTTCCTTGACCACCGCCTGCCTCCACCCGCCTGCAGACAAGCATCGGATAGATACGAGATGCCGTTGCCGTTGATCATCATGGATCCACCCCCGTCCGTCCCTGGTGATCGGAGCTTATCTGTCCAGTTTCCACGGTCATTCTTCCATATGCCACATAGTACTCGCGAGGCTGTTGTTAATCACGCATGTATCATTTCATGTTATTGTCAAGTGAGATTACACCTACTCTCTTGTCCCTTCCACTCCGCTGTCCCAGTGCAGGGGTAGGTGTAGGTGCAGGGGACTGCTAATTCGGATAATCGTCATCGTTCCGGGGCGTATGACTGACTGGCTCCTTGCTACCGACTCGGGAAGGGATTGGACGTCTGTATGCTTGTGGTATGTGGTGCTGATTCCTGGGAAAGTGTGGGTGGGAATTCCTTACGGTGCTGGTGGTTTGGGGTTGGGGATGGGATACATTGGGGGCTGAGATGGGGTATATATCCTGTTTTGGTGGTAAGAAAGGGGCATTCAAGGATAAGTGTTGGGGGGGGGGGTAACGCGGATTTGCCAACTGAGGCTATAGTATGAGCTAGTTCTATACAAACAGGATGGATTGCAGTTAGGTTAGGGTGATAGACGGGGACTGGCTTGAATCAAAATTCATTCAACTAGATAGACAGACTTGGTATGATCAACATGATCAACAATTCAAAGTAACATGGGCTGGACTTCTTCTGCTTCGGTCTTTGTTTCGGAAACCTTGACATTCTGATCCGCGGCTCTTTTCGCGTTGAGGAAAGGCATCAGGATTGACTTGTATGCCCGTTGATTTCTTTCTGCAAGCTGCAGAAGGTCGTCCGTGAGTTCGAAAGTGGGATTTTTGAAGAACAATCTCTTGATGTCATGCGCCTGGCCCAATTCGAAGAGTATCTTGGTGATCATTTCAGTAGCAGGAGCTGATAGATCATGCTCAGTGTATAGATCGACCAGCTCATGAAGGCCCTCTTCAGTCAGGCTCTCACCAGTCAGGCCCTCTTCAGTCAGGCTATCTTCTGACGAGGACCCGGAATCGAAGTAACAGAAAGGATCGAAGTAACAGAAAGGAAGAAATTTCAACAGTGTCTGTGAAATAACAAAATCCCCAGTTTTTGGAAGAATATTTGAGATTAGCACTTTGTACTTATCAGAGATGTGGTCATTCTGCCATAGCGCATCCAAAATCGTCTCTGTAATGGGTACCGCAAACCCCGGTCGAGTGATGATTTTGAGGATGGGTTTCGCGCGGCCTTGTCCAAGCAGTATCTCTGTGAGCACTTCAAGGGCTGGGGCGGACATATCATGCTCAGCATAGAAATCAGCCAATGTCTCAAAGTCATAATCGTCGAGGCTTTCTCTTCTATCTTCCAATAGAAGGAAGTCCAGCAGGTTCTGTGAGATATCAAACTCTCCATACTTAAGAAGGGTATTTGCAGTTGTCACAATATCTTGGACGTAAGTATTATGTCGCCAAATCGTATCCCAAATCTTTTGAAGATCCCAGTCTCCCCCCTCTTTCAGCAACAAATCAAAGAGTTCGAATTCATGATTGAAAAAAGCGACTTCCAAAGTCCTCTGTGTAACAGCTACTGCGGATCCCAGTCGATCGGTGAGTAATTTCAAGGCTTCATGGTCCACATGAACTTTATCCAGAGCCTTTAATACAGCCTCTTCGTTAACTGTGAGATCATTTCTTTGTAAACCCAACAGCGTTTCCATCACATGGCGACTTTGAAATGCCACAGTAAGAGACTTTTCGGTCCCTATTGCATCCACAAGATTGTCATCGAGTTCAATCAGTCTTTTATGAAGCAGCTTCGCAATCTGCCTTAATTCCACAAGACCATGCTCCAAAAGTGTCCCTATCAATTGGCAATCCTGTACATGACGACCTTGTTCTAACCAGAATGTTAATAAGTCGAACAGACAATGATTCTGATAAGCTGTCTCAAAGAAACGATATGTCAGCGAAGAGCCTGAGAATTTGTTGAATAGCAATTTCAATATCCCTTCCCTTCTTAAACTGTTTGTTGCTGCGGAAATAATTACTTCCTCAGTGATCAGCAGATTCTCATCAAGACCAAGCAAATACTTCAAAGCAGATCCTCCTCTGAGCCTGCTGCGAACTGCCGAGCATAAAACCTCCTCGCTGATCAAGATTTTTGAGTTCGCGTTGTTAATGACCAGTTCCATCATTTCTTGTGGATTTGTGAAGTTAGAAGCAGCTGCCATCATTGTTGCCTGTGAAACATCAAAAGCAACCAGTCCTGCCTCTCGTTTGTCCAAAAGCATTCGCATCACGGCAGGCTTAGAAGAATGCCTTGCCACTTTTTGGATTATTTCCTGTTCAAGGAAATAGCCTTTATCACATCCCGCTAGTAATAGCTCTGCATGATCTGATCCATGTGAAAAGGCCGTAATCTGTGATAGAACCTTTCCGATTTTTATACCAGACGCCCTTTTCCAGATAGAGTTAAACACTGCACTGCTGTTGCGCTGACTACGAGAAACAAGGACTAATAAGTCCTCTGTGACTTGAATTTTATCACCGTGGATCTGAAAAAGCAGGTCTACTACCTCCACCGATCCATGTATCACGAAATTCTCGATCATATGGTAATCCAAAGGAACAGTAGCGCCGAAGCTTTGTAGAAATAGAGTCGCTATACTGGGAAGTTTGCCAGAACCCAAGGCTATCCTGGATATGATGTTTTCAGTGATTCGAATGTCTTTTTGTTTCCTGTCACAAATTATTCGCATCATTTCTTCACCGCAAAACGTATTCTCTATCACTTGTAGAAGAACACGTTGAGTAACTGGAACTTCCAGATTGTCTTGCATATTCAAAAGAAGGCGCATGATCTGATGACCTGACTTGCAGTTCTTCGCTGTGGCTGTCACAAAACCTTCATTCAAACGAACACATCCATTTGCGGGCTTGTCGTACAATGCTTCAGTGCTCAAAAGTATGTCTAGAAGGGATTTGACTTCTTCACGCGAAGCCTTGTTGAGATTAATGAACTGCACAATGCTCGATGCTATTTCCAACGAAATCTCAATGTTTTCCAGCAACAGCTTTACGATGGTAATATGACCATTCCAAGCAGCCACTTCAAATGTCTTTCTGTAGAGGTCGGTTGAACGATAACGAAAAAATCCCGCACAAGGATCGGCCCCGTGTAAGAGTAGTCTCTCAACAACACTCTGCATCCCCAATTCACAGGCCATGTAGATGGGTGGCTCAAAATGAGTATGAGCTATAACCCATAAGCCAAGCACAAAATTATTTCGAGCGATACGCCGCCAGTTCAAGTAGACTATGGGCTCCTCAAATAGGCAGTATATCTTGTGTTCTAGGTCCGGGAATTTGGCACCAGAACCAGTAAGCTCCGAAAAATGTGCGCCCCAATAATCAGCGCTATATTTCAAAAGCGGCAGATCGTCTGCAGACTCTATAGTCAGATCAGTAGTCCTGCAAAGTAGCTCATCAAGGGCACGATTAGCTATGTCGAAATGACCGTAGGCTACAGTCAAGTGATACCAAGGGCTTGGCTGCTCAGTGTCCAAAACCAGAAATTCTTTCACCGAGAAATGGGCGAGTTTAATAGTGCCGTCTGATGGACTAACAGTGACCAAACTAGTAGTGCAAATCTTGACAACATCTTCGTGACATGGAAAGAACACTGCTGCTGCAACTGCCTCTAGCTTGAGCGGCACGAGAGAGAAACTGAGCCATGTGAGTATCAAGCGCGCGTCCACCTGGTCTTCTTGATGGATTTTTCGAAGGATTCCACGGTATGTCTCTTCCAGAGTTCTCGGAATTGTCTTAAGGCTTTGATTAACTCTGTCCTCTTTTGTGCAATCTTTAAGTCTTTCGATTTGTAGATCGGTCCAACGAAAACGCCTGGCAGAGGGCAAATGTTAGTAGAATACTCTTTAAGAATAAGAGAGAGCATGATAGTACCTTGGTTCCTTTGTGTCCAATAGCGTTACCATGATTTGGTCTTTGACCCTTTCATTCTTTCCCCATTTGCTTAGCCTTCCTTCCTTCTCGAATGCTTTGCAGACGAAAGCTTTAACATCGTCTTCCATTTGGCGCTCAAGATCTATTCTTGAACTCCCCTCCAGGTGGCAGCGAATATCCTCTTCAAATCGACTTGTTGCCAGAAGATGGATCTTTTTTCCATGCTTATTTATCAGATCCTTTAGAGTCCGAAGCATCAGATCCCTCTCCCGAACCTTATTATCGGGACATTCATCGAGTGCATCCAAGATAAGGAATATATGATCTCCCGTATAGCTTTTGATAACATCATCGAGAACTGTCAAGAACATGGCTTGGTCTGGAATGTGATTGTGATTAGCATTTTTTCCCCATAGACTCACAAGCGATTCTGGAAGCTCTTCAGCTACCAGTTGTCGAATAATAGCCCTGGTCATGTTTTTCACATCTTGTGTCTCATTGCGACTGAATTGAAAGTACCAGTAGGCAAATATACTTGACAAATCATTGCTGTAATGATTTTGGATATCTTGAATGATGGTAGAGCTATATTTATTAGATTCTGATCTTATTATCATTAATTTACATACCAAAGAATTGATTTTCCGCAGCCAGCTGGGTCCATTTAGTTAGTAACAAGATCAGGATTGAGAAAAGAGTCTTACCAGGTCCATGTAACCACAAAAGATTGCCTGGTGTAATCTTCCACTTTTTATACTCATTTGAAGACAAAAGCCAACCCCCAGTGTTGTCTGTTCGAATCTTTTGGTTGTCATTCTGAGTCTTAGAGTATTGGTCTTCATTGAACAGCCAATCGAGGATTTTGTGCTTTTCCTCCACTAGAAAAATCAGTTCAGACAATGAAAGAAGATAAGGATGGGCCGTACAATTAACTTTGACTAGTATCGTCTGTGTATTTTGATAGACCTTTTCAAGACTGGCAAGTATTTCGTCTGCCTTGGTACTTTGATCTTTGAAACATTAGCGATGAGAAAAAGAAGACTCGAGTGCATGACTTACGTAGAATATTGTTGATGTGGCTCCAATATGTGACTGTTTGATCCTGTTTCTCCACGGCCGACTGAAGATTTGACAATTTTGTGTCGGAATCCGGAAAGATACTGTTCCTCATGCGATCTACCGCTTATCAGTTTGAGCGATCATCAGGAATACTAACTATGGGCACGTACCCAACTTGGTTGCTCTCTCTCGCCTTTTGACCTCTGCTGTGTATTCGAGAATTGCTTTGTATACTCGCGTAACCGCATTATCAAGCCCATCAGAGCTGGGTAGCTCTTTTGTACGACAACATTTATCGAGTATAATGTATCGAGCCAGTATATCGGCAAGAAACTCAGATGATTGGAACGCGGCCTCTCTTTGATCGCTATAGTTTGTGGCCATCTGATTTTAGGGTGAACTTGGGGTAGTGGTAACTAAAAACAACACTTCTTACCTTCAACCCAAGCGATATAATCGTCCACGCGCTTGAAGCTATACATTGATCAATAGACATCCTTAAGACCGGCCCAGAGCTACTTACCATGGCCACTAGGGTCAAAAGCTGCTAGCCCTGTGACAATTTCCGAACATTCGATAGCCGAGTTGAGAATCTTTTTGGCCACATCGCGAACATTGCTTTCTTTTCCATCGCGCTTCTTGAACTTCAGTCCCCCGTTTTGATATGCTTCAAAGCTTTTTTTCGTTCCATCAATAACCTCCTTGATGGCATTTTCTGGTGATATAGCTTTGTCTTCACGTAGCTGTCCCTTCAAATCATCATCAAGTTCGTCAAAGGCTCTTTGCCAAAGGTCTGCATTGCCGGGTGTATTGTTCCCCTTGTTCGCTTCCTTATTCAGGGGCGTTGTCTCAGATACTGGGCACTTGGAGGTCCTGGCTTCGTCATGCTTGTGATATTCCTTCAGTTCGTTGTCTTTTCCCAGACTATCTTCCTTTGGATGTTGCTTGCGTATGGGAGACACGTCGGCATCGACCCCATCATGCTCGGCCTGCTCCAGACACTTCACTTCGTCTTTTTGATCGGAATTTTGAGTTTTCAAGTTTTTTTCGGTTGCTTTTTTATTTAGATCCTGCGAATCATTGACAGGTCGTTCGACATTCGCGTTTCGGGTGTCCTCAATCCGAGATTTGCCCCCTTCAAACACAACCTCATCCTTATCCTTTGGGGACAAGTTGACAGGGCGGACGTTTTCTTCGGTACCGTCGTCTCTTTCTCCCTTGCCACCACAGCAAAGCTTTTCGCACAGTTTACCCAGCATTTTTTGGCTTGATTCTTGGTAAGAAGAACTAGTTTTGATGGCTCACATGAATGAGAATGATGAGAACAGGGCTCACAGGGGCAAGATTAACGAGGGGAGTTTTCAGCTCGGCGCTGACCCCTGGGATAGAACAGCACATCTTGCATAAGCGCGAATCGCGGCGCCACTCTCATCTCATACGGTGATTCTGCTAAGATGTTTGCTCTCGGCGTTAGATGGTCGATTGGTATAAAAATGACAAAATCGAGACTCTTATTGTAGAGTGTGAATATAACATAGTCCAGAGGGAGAGTTGAGCTCTAAATATGCGACTTGTACGGAGTATGAAGTAGGCTGATGAGTTGTTTGTACAATAGTTGCTCGATCCGACAAGCGGCTAAGTTCTCTAGCGAAGCCGGGAACGGACTTCAGCGTGAAGTCCGGTCCACAGACATGAGCGGCCCGTCCCGCCGACGGACTTAAGACCGTCCGCCGTCTTCGTTCTTACCACCATCCATGCTCTGCTCTCGCTCGTACAAGAAACGACCAGCCCTCGATGCAAATGCCCTAGCTAGAAATGGAGAAGCGAGGCCCGACCCCGGGCTCCGGCTCGTATGGCAAGGCGTGCATGCAGTGCTCCAAGGCAAAGAGCCGATGCGTGGCTCGACCTGACAGCGTTGGATGCGAAAGGTGAGTAGTGAATGGGCTTTGGCCCATCAGCCAAACTGCGAGTGCGGGACTGATTGTTTCTTAGGTGTTTACGTCTCAAGAAGCAGTGCCAGCCGTCAGACTCGACTCGCAGGCGAACTCTTCGGAATCTCGAGTCCGGTGCGCACATCGCGAAGCTGGAGGGCAGGATCGATACCCTCACGACAATGCTGGAATCCATCACCAATGCCACCGGATTGACATCTACCGATATACAGCATAACCCAGAGGAGTCCGAAGTGAGTACTGGGCTCAGATCAACCGGGGACATCGGCAACTCGATCAACTCTGATAACGATGCGGTGGCGCCATCCTTGACTGACGCACCGTCACATTCAAGTCCGTATCGTACCGGTGGCACTTCCAGATCTCCGCAACCACTGGGCGACCTGGCTCCGGAGGACGCGGCGTGGTATCTAGATCGCTTCAAAAATCATATGCTACCATGTTTCCCTTTCATCTGTATCTCCCCCGATATCACCGCGCAACAATTGCTGCAAGACCGGCCTTTTCTTGCCGAGGCAATAATCGCGGTAGCCACCCCCTCGACACAAGAGAAGCAGGCTCGCGCCGATACACTGAAGTATAATCTGACCAAATCTGCGGTGCTAGAGAACCAGTCCAGCATCGACATGCTGTTGAGCATACTGACTTACATTGCATGGAGCACCGATCCGTTCTTCCAACGCGCAAGCAACTTGTCACGCATGATAATGCTCGCTATGTCCCTGGTCTATGATCTACAATTGGACAAACCGGCACCACCCCCACCAGACACGCAATTTATAGCAAAAATGGCCCCGGGACTTAGGAATGCGGAGCAGGTCTCTAGCAACAGTTCGGCTCAGGGTATTCTGGAGCAGCAACGGGCAGTCCTGGCTTGCTTTGTCCTCAGCTCCATGTAGGTCTTACTCTGTCCATGACTCGAGTCTTACAACTCCCCGTCATGTCCTATTTTGAACTCATCCTCACACTGACATTGATGTGATTGATCCAAGTATCTCGTCTTCCTTCGGACGCATAGTTCCTCTACAGTGGGACTCGCAGATGGAAAAAGCAGTTATTGCTCTCGAGGTGAACAAAGGATCACCATCAGATGAAAGCTTCGCGATCCAAGTTCGCCTGCAGGCTCTCACACAGAGGGCACTACATGTTCGCAAACCGCAAGATGCAGATAACGCCGGCGCAACAGAGGCGCCAACTACCACCTTCGCAACTTCTATGTATCTCAAGGTGCTAAAGGGTCAACTTGAAGAGCTCAGAGCCTCGATTTCACCACATCTCCCTCGACAAGGTAGGTGACCATAATCCGAAGCCACGGACGTAATCTATGCTTGCTAACATGCCAACGGAGAGTCAAAGACATGCTCACTGCACACGCGCACTACGTCGAGCTGTGTATCAACGAAGTAACCCGCCTAGCTAGCTCAGAAGCCCCCCTCCTCCCTACATCAGGGTCTAGCAGCAGGACTATGGCCGGATGCGAACCCCTCGAGAGCCTATGGCGGTCCCTACATGCCGTCAAATCATGGCTAGACGTCTTCTACACGATACCACCGGCTGCGTACGTGGGATTTCCATTCTTCATCTGGTTCCAGCTCGTCCGGTGCCTCGTGATCCTGAAACACCTATCGACGTTCGATGATCCGGCGTGGGACTGTCAGGCCGTGCGAAACACGGTTGACATGCTCACGTTACTGGAATGGATGGCTGAAAAGGCTGAGCTAGCAAGTCGAGAGGCGGAGGAGCGATCGGATGACGATGTCTTTCGCCGTGTTGGGAAGATGTTGCGTCTGTCTCAGAAATGGGTGGCTGAGAAACAACAGAGGGCCGCAGCGGAAGGTTCCCCCTTGATATACAATGATGGTCCTGGCTTAGTCCCTATCGGAGATGACATGATAGACATGACCGAGATGGCGTGGATGGATGCGCTAGAATCTGGCTCCGGAACGTGGCTTGAGGAGGTTCTAGGGTGGTCTCCGATGGCGCTTTAAGCGTGTAGAACCCAGCGGTGGGCCTGTTTCTATACTTTGGTCTGCGCTATACACTGACATCTGCTAGCCAGCATCATGATCATCAAGACATACCCGTTTATACCGTTATGATTATTCCAACGACACAATAAGACAGTTATCAGACATAGTGCAATTAAATATAACTGACAAATTTCACAGAGCCCCTAGTTATATGATATCTTAACGTATAACGTGGCATCAACTCCCTCCCACCCCCACCCTCATACTCAAGCTCATTATCATGCAGTGGTATATCTACCGAAAGGTTGGTCACCCCACCAACCATAGTCTTCCATCTACAAGCTTTAATACTAGAGGGTTTCCTGCCCGAAACTCCCTAAATCGCAGCCGTTCTCCTACCGCCCACTAAGAATACGGCCCGATCGTCTCCTGTGTCTTGCGCCATATGATATCCCCCGCATTCATCGCCTCAAGCTGTGTCATCACCTTCTCCTGATACAACTCTTTAACCTTGTCATTTACCAAAAACAACTCACCCGCCCCCTTCATCTTTGCCATATTCAGCCCCGGACTCTGGCCCGCAGACAACACAACCCCCTTCCCACCATACTTAGCGCTAGTTAGCAAATACAGAACCTTCTCTGCAGCATCCTCCGGCGAGGTCCCGAACATCGACATTACCGTGCCCACCAGCGGCCAGAACCACTTGTCTCCCCAGGCCTTCTTGAAGGCACCCGTATCGACACCGCCAGGATAGTGGTGAAAGAAAACGACACGGGGGTTTTCTTTCGCGAGTCGCGACATGGACAATGTAGTGTATGTCGCTGCCGATCTGGAGAGAGAAACGAGCCCGAAATTGCCGGGCTTCTTCAGATCCAGATCGTCGAGGTAGATGGAGGTAGTCTCGTTTCCTGCGGCAAGGATGCTGACGATGCGTGGGTTGTTCGGTGATGCATTGAGCAATGGTAGTAGCTGGGCCATCATCAATATTCGACCATAGTATGTCAGGGACTGCGAAAGTCCGTTGCCTTCGGATGTTTCTGTCGTATATCATCAGTGAGTTGTTGTCGATGCGACCAGGCTTGACCAGGCTTATGGTGGGTAGGTAGTAAGTAAGTACGTACCGACCCGTTCTCCGGATGTTATGAATCCAGCGCTCATGCACAGGGAATCAATGTACGTCTCGCGTGATCTGATCTCGTCACAAAGCATCTTGGTCTCCGCGAGAAGCGAGAGTTGACCTTCAAGCCAGATGATGTCTGCCTGCTTGTTGACTTCCCGAAGCCGGTCCAAGAACCCTCGATGCTTCTCGCCATTCCGCCCGAGAACATAAACTCTGACCGGCACTTTGGTCATAATAAGACGTGTGAGTGTCGCCTTTCCTATCCCGTCTGTAGCGCCAGTAAACACGGCCGTCTGAGGCGCCGTATCTGCGGTGATGCGGACGTTGGATGCCCTGATGTCGGAGATGGAAACCATGTTTTAGGGTTTGTTTGGGAACGACTGTGACAATTAAAGGAGTGAGCAAGTAGAAGGAGAAGCGTGTCTGATTGAAAAAAAGCGGGCGATCCATCGAGTTGGACAAATATTATATATGGCAAGGGGAACGGACTTGAAGTCCGTTCCTCGCGGTGGCGGCAGAGAAATCGGACGATTCGAGCCGACTTGACAAATCCGCTCACACAATTCCATGAAAATGCTTTAGTCCGCATCATAAAGTGATTTTACTTTATAATTGCCCTGAGCAGTTCCGTTTGCTGACTATTTCTAGCCGCTGGATGTGTACTTACGAAGATTACCGAGGAGGAAGCGGACGCGAGGGTCCATCCCGAGCCTAGCCTTTGCCCTAACCTGGCCATGTGGTTTGGATGCTTCTACACTACGCATCCATACTGTTTTCTATTAAAACTCGCAAAGCCCATATACCTGTGGTATTCCATTTCCCGCCTATAGTACGAGAGGTTGGGTGGGGATCATGATAGCATCATGACTATGTAATGACTATATATCTGGTTCCTGTTCCATTGCTATACGAGTAGTAGTGGTAGTAAATTCAAATAGTCAATTTTAACCTTGTAGGGTGGCTAGTATGAGTTACCTCTGCATTGCTCGTCTTCTCTTCCAAATTTGTACTGAAAGTTCCTCAGCCAGGTATCTTTAACGTAACTACCTGAACTATCATCTTACTCCCACACTACCCTCCCTCTTGGGCACCTCATCACCATCACCATGTCATCCACCTGATTCCACCTGATTCCTACAGAGAGAAATCCATCCACGAACCATCGTCTAACTCACCTCGCAATGGATCATCAGACAGAGACTAATGAGCACATCGACAAAACCTCCCTTTCCGATCGACCAGACCCTAGACGGGTTGTCGATGGCATACACCAGGCTTCTCTGTCAAAGCCTCGGCCCTGGTCCACGGATCCAGGGACACATACGCATGTATAAACAGACTCCCATCAAAGGGATCGAAACCGAAGATGCTGCAGTCATGGCCCAGCAAGCAGCAAGGACATGGACTCCGCCTGAGCTCAAGGCACTTCGTGCATTGACAAGACACCACTCGACAATAACACCGCGTCTGTTGATTGTAAAGAAATCCAACCAGGGGAAGGCCGGACTCGTTCCAGGAGGGGTTCTCTCGTCAGTGGTCTGGGAAGTCGTGCCGGGGATCCGACTGGGTACTGTCTTTGGCACGGATGTGTTCTGGGCTATGTCGGAGGGGGAGAGACATGTTATTAGGGAGACTTTTAGGGAGGGGCTTACGTATGTTATGTTATGTTATGTTATTTTTTTTTTAATTTTATGTTTTCAAGGATGTCGTTAACTGATAGTTACAGGAAGCTTTCTAAATGGGGCGATTGTCCCATCGAAAGCGGAGGCGAGAGTCTCGTCTGGGACCGCGCGACATCAACCCTGTAAGTGTGCAAAAAATACCCAGTCAGTCAGTCCTTCTTGTATTATTATATTTGCTGGGAGATAGATTAAACTATAGCTATTTCATTGGGTTTTCGAGCCAAATACGCCACCGAAGACGACAACCTGGTCCCCAAGCTTTTGGGACAGCTGGCAACTCGCGAAGCCCTCCGATATCTGCTACTACCGGTCGCCCAAATGGGATGGATCTGTGGAGGGATGGCAATGGTAGATGGGGTTTGCGTTTGTTCGGCAGAATGTTCGTACGTATGTCGTTGTGGCTTTTGAGGAGAGGTCTGCCTGGTCAATGGGACTTTTAATTCAGCGTGCTGCTAGGGGGAATGTCCACGGCGTTTCGGATATCACTGACCCGGGCACCGTGGCCCTGGGGACGCGTAGTGCTTGAGTCAGATTATGTGTTGCGCAGTCCCTTGAACCCAGTAATTCCAAGTCAAGTGTGGGGAAATGTAGCACAAGTCATAACTCTATCCACTATCCGTGGGGTTAAGCTTATATGCCTCACAGAGCGGCTTCTTTCGGCGTTACACACCCATCCTATTGCGCCAGTGTAACCGCTGCAAATGCAGTCAGATATCGAACTATCTGTGAACACACGTTGATAATTCAATTGCACATCCAGATCATGTCTTCGTCATTTTGTCAGAATCCGTGATATAGAAGGGGGAGAATTCCCACGGTGAGATATCCCTCTCCAGCATCTTCAGCATCCTTCTGATACTGTTCCAATCTCAATCAAGTTAACTCAAACCCAAACCAAACCCAACCTCAAAATGAAGTGGGAATCTATCGGCGTCCGTGAGAAGTGGGACCTCACCAAGCCCTTGACCGTCGGCTGGACTCACGTCGAGTACGTTCACGTTCATCTCCTATAAGAAAACAATACTAACCCACACCAGCAACGAAGACGACCAGACCTTCTGCATCTACCTCACCAACCGAGTCGACTACCCCCCCGTCACCGAGCTCGTCCTCCGCTATGTCCGCATGGACCAGGACCGGGTGACCATCCCGCCTCCGGGACCGCTGCATATCCCGTACAAGTACGTCATGTCTGTCATCTGCCTGAGACTGACTCTGGCTACTCTGGTCTGGCCTTTGAGGGGTGATGCTAATTGATGTGTCTCTTCGTAGCTGCAACTATCGCCTTTGGGCTAGCGCTTGCGGTGCTCCTGAGACTATCTTCGCGGAGACCGATGACTTCTGCATTGATTGCTCCAGAGGTGATCGGGATCGGGATCGGGATCGGGATCGGGATATGGAGGGAAAGCCGGGAAAGGACAAGCAGGGTAAGAAGTGAGGCAGAGGAAGAAATGGATCTATGCTCCTAGATTGGAAAAGTGTCGTGACATCTTTCTAGCGGGATGGTCCCTTTTTCTGCGTGATGGGTGGGGATTGAGGTAAGGTGAGGTTGCTGCGACAGGGACAGGGACTCGGGGAGGAGGCAGTTATATCGGTCGTTCATTATTTGGGGGTGATCGCAGCAATGAGAATATGGACTTCGGGAGGTGAGATGTGGAGTTCTTGTGGTGTTGGGTGTAGCTGTTACTTTGGAATGAGGTTGTTGTAGATTGTATATAGAGTGTAGAATGTAGAGCTAAGTTACCTAACGGAAGAGGCGCGGCAGTGTCATGCAGTGTCTGTCCCGCGGGGCTCCACCGCCATCGGCAGTCTCCGGCGGAGTAGATAATTTAGTAGTACTCGGATCTATAGATTAATCAAAGCTGCCCCTCCTTCCGCCCCTCCGGCTTGCATTCCTGCATTCTTCTTCCCCTCCATCCCTCCACACCAGCCATGTCTCACTCCCACTCCCACGACGACGGCGTCAGCCATTCCCACGATGACTTCGGCGGCCATGGCCACTCGCACGAGATCCTCGACGGGCCCGGTTCGTACCTGAACCGCGAGATGCCTCTGGTCGAGGAGCGCGACTGGCGGGACCGTGCCTTCACCATCGGCATTGGCGGGTGAGACCAGACCATCATGCCTTCACCACTATCATAGTTCAATCGAATCTAACATGTGCTACTAGTCCCGTCGGCTCCGGAAAGACCGCCCTGATGCTCGCTCTTTGCAATGCCCTCCGCGACGAATACAATATCGCTGCCGTGACGAACGATATCTTCACTAGGTACATCATCTACACCACCCACCCTCCCCCCCCCCATCCCAATCCCAATTCTTCCCCACAAGCCCATCCACTAACAACAATTTTTTTCTTTTAAAAAAACAGAGAAGACGCCGAATTTCTCACCCGACACAAAGCCCTCGCGCCGAACCGAATCCGCGCCATCGAAACCGGCGGCTGCCCCCACGCTGCGGTCCGCGAAGACATCAGCGCGAACCTCCTGGCGCTGCAATCCCTGCACAAGCAATTCCAGACCGACATCCTGCTCATCGAGTCCGGCGGCGACAACCTCGCTGCGAACTACAGCCGCGAGCTGGCCGATTTCATCATCTACGTGATCGACGTGGCCGGCGGAGATAAGGTGCCGCGGAAGGGCGGCCCCGGCATTACGGGCTCTGATCTGCTGATCGTGAATAAGATTGATTTGGCGGAGATCGTGGGCGCCGATTTGTCGGTTATGGAGAGGGACGCGGCCAAGATGAGGGAGGGGGGGCCGACGGTTTTCGCCCAGGTTAAGAATGGGGTCGGCATGGAGCATATTGTGGGGTTGATTTTGAGTGCCTGGAAGTCGTGTGGTGCGTATGAGGCTAGTTTGGAGAGGTGGAAGAATGGGGCTGTTAGGGGGTCGGGGAGTGTGGATGCTTGAGGGGGTGGTGGTGGTGTCTTCTATGTATGTAGTAAGTACAAGGTGTCTGTGGTGGTGGAGTGGTGAGGGAAGACATCGATCATGTACAAATTTGCTGGTTCAAGATTCTATAGCTATCACTTTTATTTATATCATATCCCATCCGGTACCTGACCCAACAACGCCCTTGGAAATGCAGACAGGCAGACAGACAGACAGATCGACGATTCGGAAGTCGGAGAGGCGTAATGCTCTCGCGCGATAAAGCAGGGTATCTGAAAGCTCGACTCAACGACCGAAGAAGCAGGGGAAACGCAAACGCAACGACGAGGAGGAAAGGCTTTACGTCTCCCGCTTGGCAAACCGGCCCAACGCAGGGCCCAGATCCTCCCGTTCGGCGCGCAGCTTCTCGCGATGCCGGTCCTGGTGCTCCTTGCGCAGCATCTCCGCCTTGACACTCTTCTCGTCGACCACGTTGCGTCGGCCCTTCTTGCGCAGGTACTTGCGCAGGGCGCTGTTGCGGCCGCGGCCACGGTTCTTGAGCTTCTCCATCGGGTCCTCGGGCCGGGCGTCGAGATCCTTCTCCTCGCGGTTCTTCTTGTCGCGGATCGTGTCCAGACGACCGATGATGTTGGGGTCGAGCGAGATCATGTCCGGTTGCAGCTTGGTCAGCAGGCTGCGCACCTCCGCCTCCTGCCGCTGCTTGGTGTTCTCGTACGGGTTCGCCTCCAGGGCGTCGAAGTTGGGTTCGCCCGCGCCCGGGACGATGAGACTGGCGAAGCCCTGGTCATGCGCCACGCCCAACACATCCTCGAACGGACACCAGCGCATGTTCTCGATCCGTCGCCCGTCGCCACCCCACGACATGTACGGGCTCTGCACCTTGCCCTGGTCGGCCGCCGCCGCGTCGAACAATCCCCGCCACACGCTGACCTGCGTGCCCCAGCCCACCGCCGTGAGACCCCGGTCACTGATGGACACGGACGCCCCCGGCTGGTAGCACGAGTACGAGTGTACCTCCCGGAACATCCGAATATCCCACACGTTCATCTTCTGGTCCTGTCCCGTGGAGACCATATACCGTCCTTGTCTGTCGATGGCCATCGAGCGGACCGGTCCGCGGTGGACGAGCGCCTTCACGAGCGCTGTTTGGGAGTTGGGCGACCACAGGGTCACGGCACCGTTCTGGTGGCCAACGTGCATGATGGCATTCCACGGGTTCTGGGCGAGAGCGGTCGGGGCGCCGAGGCGGGTCGGAAGTTCCGCGATCATTTGGCCGGTCGAGGTGTCTGTGTATTTGAGGTGGCCGCTCATTTGCTAGAGAAGGAGTTAGACGACTGGTATCGCTATGTTCCGGTGAAGGTGTACTTACAGCGCCCACGAGAAGGAAGTGGTAGGGCAGGAAGTCAAGGAAAAGAGGCTCGAGGTGCTTGTCGAGACGGTGCAGTTCCACGCCGCTGTGGTCGTAGATGTAGACGGCCTTCTTCTGAGCGACCGCAAAGTACTGGTTATTGTGCAGCCAGCGCGCATCGCGCACCGTTTCGTTCAACTGCAGCTCGCAACCCAGCGTTCCATTCCGCCAGTCCATCGTCGCGACATGTCCCTTGCGACCCGCCAGTAGCAGCTCGCGACCGTTCCTCGTGTAGTCCATGCGGTACGGTCCCAGGTCCGTCAGCTTCAGCTCGAATCCCTTCTTGGCCGTCTCCAATCCGACGTTCTCCCGGATATCCTCCTGGCGAACTTTGTATGTCTTTTCCAGCTCGCCCTCCGGTTCGAGAAATCCGGCTTCGTGCTCGAGCAAAATCTCCGCATCCTTAGCCCGCAGCGCGGCCTCCTTGTACTTGGCTTCGACGGCTTTCAGGTTGCTGCGCAGCTTCTTGTCCCGCACGCTGTGGGTGTGGATGGATTTGCCCCGGCCGTAGGTCTTCTGTGCCTCCATCGCTCTCTTGCTTTCCTTGCGCTTGTTGGCCGGCGGCGCAACGGCCGTGGTCGGCGCGGGGTCCGACATGGGGGGTGGGTGTGAAAGGGAGAGAGGGAGGGGGAATAGGAGGGGAAAGAAAAGAAAAGAAGGTGTCCGATCACCGAGGGAAAGAGAGTCTGAAAAGATCCAGCCAGTAAAAGAAGAGGTTGAGCGAACGGAGGCTCGACCGCAGCTTTTTCTGCGGGTCAAAAGAGGAAAATCCGTGCCGAGCGGAAGGATTTCTCCCTCGCTTGTTCCTCCACCGCCTAATTTTTTCCTCTCCCCAGACGCCGGCGACATCGACATCACCAGCAAACCCCCGTTGGGAGGCCAATTTTCTTGCTCGTGCGACTAGTCCCGGGTGCCTTGATCTTCGCAGCTGTCCACTATCCACCCTGGATTCTCTCCCCTTCCGGTTCAAAGGGTCCAGCGGTGCCAACATGGCGCCCACCCAGACGGTGCAGCATCACCACCGGTCCACCACCAAATCCACCCAGAAATCCTACAAGTCCCGCCATGCCTCCAAGAGCGCCCTGAAGGATAAGGCCAAGGGTAGGTCCGCTGCAGGCCCCCCGTCCCGGGCCCTGAAACAAATTCCTAGAAGAAAATCCCCGACTCACCGCTTGCAGGCAAAGTCGAAAGACAAGAGCGGGGCACCCGCAAGACCCCTCACCAGCAGCTCAAGTCGAAACTCGATCGCCGCAACCAGGCCCGTCAGAAGCAACAATTGAAGCACCAAGAGAAGGCTCAGTCGCTCAGCATCTTCTCCGGCCAGTCCGGCGCCCCGCGCCATGTGGCCGTCGTCCCGCTTTCCGTCGATATCGATGTCGCGGCCATCATCCGGGCCCTGAATGAGAGTGTCGACGTCTCCGCCGATATTTCCTCAGACTCGCCCTCCCGTGTGCGCGTGGACCGCTTCCGACAGACCTTGAACTACATTCCCGCCAAATATGACCTGATGAATGCGTTGGACGTGTGCCGGATGGCGGATTTCGTTGTCCTGGCGCTCTCCGCCCAGGTCGAGGTGGATGCGCAGGGAGAGCTGTTGCTGAGGTCCATTGAGGGTCAGGGTATCTCGAACGTTGTTGCTATGGTTCAGGTGGGTGAATTCGGACGTCTGCGATGGGATTACTCACTGACTGGACTTCGTTAGGGTTTGGACCAAATCAACCCGGCCAAGAAACGCCCCCAGGTGGCCTCTTCCCTCAAGTCGTTTGCGAATCACTTTTTCCCGGCCGTTGAGAAGGTTCTCTCGGTCGACTCTCGGCAGGAATGCTCCAACGCTATCCGTTCCCTATGCACAGCTACCCCCAAGGGTATCCGTTGGCGTGACGAGCGGAGCTGGATGCTCGTTGAGGATGTGCAGTGGCCGGAGAACAACTCGGACGTGGTAGACGATGTCGTGATTACCGGAGTCGTCCGTGGAAAGGGCCTGAAAGCGGACCGTCTGGTCCATCTTCCCGGCTGGGGTGACTTCCAGGTCGGTTCCATCACGGCAGCACCCCTTGCTACTGCCCGTGGCAAGCGTGACGATGACATGAATGTCGACGAAAGCGAGGCACCGCAGCTCCTGGATGCACCCTCCGCGGACTGCGACGATCTGGCCGTCGTGGCCCCGGAGGAGATTGAAATGGAAGATGACAGCTTCCCCGTCGCGGAGGAAGAGCGCAAGGGTGTTCTCCTGGATGACCACCACTACTTCTCCGACGATGACTCTCACATCCCCCCCACCCCCAAGAGACTACCAAAGGGAACGTCCACGTACCAGTCTGCTTGGTACCTGGAGGATGTCTCCGACTCCGGTTCTGACATCGGAGACGACGACGACGAGGACGAAGGTATGGAAGTGGACGAGGACACCACGGGGGCACCAGAAGACGGTGTCTTCCCAGACAACAAGGACGCCATGACAGAGGCAGGCCAGTCAGAGTATCCCCAGTCTGAGATGTTTGTGGACAAATCGCCCGAAGACGACGCCAAAGACCTGGAAGAATACCGCAAGAACCGCCGAAACGAGGCCGACGAAGACCTGGAATTCCCCGATGAAATCGAGCTGCACCCCAATGTCCTTGCGCGGGAACGACTGGCCCGTTTCCGAGGTCTCAAGAGCTTCAAGACCAGCCCGTGGGAGACATCAGAGGACCGCCCTCACGAGCCGGAGGACTGGCGCCGTCTGCTCCAAATCGGCGACTACAAGGGATCCAAGAACCGGACTATGCGCGAGGCCCTCGTGGGCGGCGTCGCCCCCGGTGTGCGCGTGAACGTCCACCTCCGCGCGGTCCCGACCACCCTCCGCAGCCGGCCCCAGCCCGTCTCCCTCTTCTCGCTCCTCCGCCACGAGCACAAGCAGACCGTCGTCAACGTCAACATGCACCTCAGCTCCAGCGTCGAAGAGCCCCTCAAGGCCAAAGAAGAACTCATCGTCCAATGCGGCCCCCGCCGTATGGTCGTCAACCCCATCTTCTCCGCCGGCGACAACACCCCCAACAACGTCCACAAGTACGACCGGTACCTCCACCCGGGCCGGAGCGCCATCGCCTCCTGGATCGGCCCTCTCACCTGGGGCGCCGTCCCCGTCCTGGTCTTCAAGAACATGCCCATCCAGGACCCGGAGGTCCTCGACTCCGCCGACGACCACGACCAACAACCCAGCATCGACCGCCTGGAACTCATCGGCACCGGCACCGTGGTCGCCCCCGACCAGGCCCGCGTCGTCGCCAAGCGCGCCATCCTCACCGGCCACCCCTACAAGATCCACAAGAAGGTCGTCACCGTCCGCTACATGTTCTTCAACCAGGAGGACATCCACTGGTTCAAGGCCCTGCAGCTGTGGACCCGCCGCGGCCGCTCCGGCTTCATCAAGGAATCCCTCGGTACCCACGGCTACTTCAAGGCCACCTTCGACGCCAAGATCAACCCCCAGGACTCCATCGGTATCAGTCTCTACAAGAGAGTCTTCCCCCGCAAGTCTCGCGCCCTGGAGGATGTCGTCTACTAAATTTCCTTTTACTTCCCGGCGTGTTGAATCTGAATCATATACAAATGGCCTGGCTCGATGTGTGCGTGTTCTGCTTCATCATCTCATCATGTCCATATTCGCGGTGAGCTGCTGGACTGGAATGGATCGATTTACATACATAGGTTAGGTTAGGTTAGATAGATACTTTCTCATGATACCACAAAAGTCGCTTCGCATGAATTGATGAATCATTGATTGATTGATATTGATTGCTCTGGATGATTATGATGATGATGATGATCATGTATCTGTCCGTCCGTCCGTCCGTCTGTTTCTCTTGTTTGTTGTTTTCGGGTTGATATTGGGTGGGGGTAAGTGGTATATAGATTGTAGGCGTTTGGAATGAACTTGCTTATTACGGAGTGCCTTGGTTGAATACTAGTAGACCTAGGTTGTAGTATTGTTCACAATGAGAGGAATGTAGGTAAGCTCCTTTGTTCAGGGCATCTAACTTTTATTGCCTTCTGGCTAATCATAACGATAAACAAGAGGCGTTATCATGTCATCATTCACGAGAAAGGTCCCCCTTATCTTCCTGGCCATCCTGTTGGCTTTGGCTATTGATTATTGCTAGCTCGATGGTATCTATATCTCGCGGGCCAAAGAAAATGACCTGTACAGTCACATCATCTCGCACACGCCGGGAGAATGGCGGACTTGAGGCCAGACGGCCGGCCAGCAATTCATGATGGTTTCCGCCCCAGGCATTGCGCACCAGATGGACGGCAACATTATCGTCCTCAACTGTTGTTCTCGACTCATCGTATTTCCACGGGGTGTCAGTCCAAAAGCGACTAAAGTTGAAGGAATCGTACGTTGGCTCGGGGTCAGTATACTGCTCTTCTAACCATTTGGCTACCAAATCGACACATTGCTGGTTGGTCATCATGTCCCACAGGCCATCCGTGGCCATGATTACGAACGAAGCGTTGGTCGGGTCGATCTTGATACTTGTCACCACTGGCTCCGCTGTCAAATATGGCGGCGTTAGAACCTCATAACGTGGCGTCAGGGGTGGTAGGCCATAAAACGCGCGGGACACATCCTTCAGGAATTTCGGAGGCCATTTCCACTGACTATCGCCGAAGGCTCGGGAGACTGCTAGCCCTAGCACCCTTCCATCTTTGACTATGTTTTCTTCGCCAGGGTGCTCACGGGAGAGCCTAGCCACCTCATCTTCGTTGTGGCCAGTCTGGTCTATTGACAAGGGTATTACTTCCAAATTGCCGTCTGGGCCCTTGTGCCCGAAGATGGCTCTTGAATCGCCAGTACACGCCACATGCAAGATGCTTGTGGCCGGATCGTACAGGGATAGCAGGGCGCATGAACCCGCCCACGCAGGAGCCAGTCTCTTCATCTTATCCTGCAGCGAACTATCGCTCTCAAATATCCCCAGAGCCGACCTGACAAGACAATTGTCAAAATTCACGAACCCATCCACAATAGCGGATTGAACCACCTCCACGGGGGCGGGCTTTTCCTTCTCGCACAACTCCACCTGGCCCAAGCTGTGTCGCACGAACGGCACAAGCTGATTCTTCAGCAACTCCGCCGTCTGCCAGCCCGCATGTCCGTCGAAAACACCCCACGCCATCCACTGATTCCCGTCACCCCACGGCGACGGAATCTTGCCATGCACGAATCGGTCCTCGCACTGGCTATTAGACGCCACTTGCGTGAGATCGTACCGCACGACGCCAGGCACATCCTGGACTCCGAAAGAGCATGCATTTTCCGAAAGCATGCGCGTCACTTCGCCTCTACCAGGACCCGGCTCGAAGACCAGACGCTCCGTCGGCGGACTGTCGAGACGGGGCACATTATCAGGGGGTAGCTCGACACGTATCACATCGTCATAAGTGCCCTTCAGACGGACCACATCATCAACAATCTCAAGAAATGACGCAGCATCAATGTCCTCAAGACGGACCACATCCTCATCATTTTTGCGGTCCCTTGTTGTCATCCACCAGATGCTCGGTATGCCGACGCACCCGGCTATGGCCACGTTTCTCATAAACTTCGAGGGCTGGCCCCTTCGTGTCCAGATATTTGTGGCATACGTCCGCACGATTGACCTGGGAACGCGGCCTAGACGCGTTCGGGCCCCGATTATGCCCCGGGACAGCATAGTTGCTAGGTTGCTCTAGTTATAAACGTTATAAAGGGAGGCGGGGGTGAAAACGAGTCCAGCACAGTTTGGATATCTACTCTGTTCAATCGGCGGTAAGAATAAGAAGGCTGGAAGTCTGCGTGAATAGCAGACTCGACCTGGCTACGTGGAAGGGAGAAAGCAGGTGAGGCTGCCTGCAGTTGTCGCGTCGTATACAAAGGATCCACGTGACTCTTTTTCCCCTTTGGGAAGGGGCGCAGGGGATCATTTGCATTGCATCACATCATTGGGTCAATGGACTTCAATTCTCGAGGAATACTTACTGGCCTTCAATTTAACTTGAATGAAATAGTTTACCATACCAGGTAACCTATTTACAAAGCACAGGCAACTCCAAGTATCTCGGACATTAAAGTGCAGCTGCAAAAGTTCTCCTTGGATATGATATCAATCGAGAATGGCACTCTTTCACGGATATAATTAAATACGACGAACTTGTTTTCCGGGACCAGGATCAAGATAGCCAGTCAATTGCCCCGTGAATAATGTCGGTAATCTGCTTTACTCGTACTTTTGGTCATGTCACCAGAATGATACTTTTGCTCATTCATATACATCGACATCACTAGGTAGGAACCCACGTCCTGATGAGTCAGATGAAAGGTAGGATACTAAGGGTCCAGGCAAGTAACAACACCCATATATCTCTGTACAAAAGCAAGGCAGCTACCATGCGACAGCTCCCAGAACGACAAGAACCATGACAGTAGCATCCATCTAACATGGAACCAGCCAAGATAAAAACGATGGATGGAACAGCAAGCAGCAGATGATTCTGCCTTGCCTATCGACGTTCAAGTATTACTAAATCAGACAGATACAAACGCAGACTGATGAAAACAAAAAAGGGGAATCTAAGAGAAGTCCTCCGTCTGCTCCTCGATATTGCTCTTGATTCGCAAAAGCAGAGTGGTCTTCCATTTGTCCAACTTGCTGAGCTGGTCGAACTGGAACAGCTTATCGGCGAAGGCTTCCTGGTCACCACCCTCGATGGCTTGCACCAAGTCGACGAGGAGCTGGTGCTCTCTTGTGGAGGCAAAAGTTGTGTCGATGTCGCGGTAGTTTTCGAGGGCACGGTTGGCAGCGACCAAATCCTGGGAGGATGAGCATGACTGGATAAGGACGGAGGTGGGAGAGACTTACATTCGTGGCCAGATGGCAAATACCGGCCTTGAGGAAGTAATCTTTGACGGACCACTTCATCAGGTTGTTGTTGATGGATGAGCGGCCGATCCGCTCGTAGTGCTCAATAGCCTTGTAGTAGTCGCCTTCGAGGGCGGCCAGGTCCGCAGCCTTGAGGTAGTGCTTGTTTGCGAGGCTAAAAAAGCTGGGGTCAGTTCCTTTCACCAGAAGCAAGAGACCAGACATACGCTTCAGCATTGTCACCGTCAAACCACTCCGCCGCCTTCTCGTAGGCCTCCAGGGCCTTCTTCGTATCACCCAGCTCCACCTCGTACACCTCAGCCAGATGTTGCTGCTGCGTGGCGGCTCGACGGAGGTTGCCCTTCAGGACGTAATGTTGAATGGCGCTGGAGAGCACGCGAGCGGCGTCCTCGGGGTCGGATTTACGGTAGACCTTGAAGGCCTCGGTCAGGGTGTTGGCTGCATCGTCGGGTTCATTGAGGTTCTGCGTTTGGATGGTGGCAGCCTTTTCGAAGGCGATACCGGCTTCCTTGTCTGATCGGTTGGATATCGATTAGTATTGCAGAAAGGCGAGCGTAACGATAGCAAAAGGCCATGAGTCCAGCCTGCTCGACTTACTTTGCTTCTGAATCCGGAAGGCGTTCGCAGCCTGTGTATAGAGATCGGCAGCGTTCTCATACTTCTCCGTCTTTCCGCCGAAGAAGCTAAATCCGCCAGAAGCGCTGCTGAGCGCCTTGTCGGCCTAGTGTGCGTCATGGAGGTTAGCGATCGTCGTGCTTCGGGGTAGCGATAGTGGGCAGCGGGGCGGGGAAGATTACTCGTTGGAGCAGAACTCGGGGGTCTAGAGCCATCTTGCTTAAATGTTGCTTGGCCCAGCGGGAGAGGAGAGGAGCGACACTGGAGGTCAGGCTGAAGAGTAAGCTGGGTATGAGGGGGGAAGAGGGTCGAGGGGATGAGAGATGGGGGGGGATGATGACAGCGGGCGAGATGGACGACTGCTTGATTGTATTGCGAGCTCCCCGCCGGCCCGTCAACGTAGGCGGTGACCGTTTCCTGTCCGCCCATTGGACGCCACGGCTGCTTCTTTTCTGCGTCTCCCATTGCCCAAGTCCCTGTCTGCTCTCCGCTCTTGCGAGTCTCCAAGAGAAAGCTCAATCTACTCAATCGCTCAGTTTTAGTCTCTGATCGTTCTGCACCTGATACTCTCTATCCAGTCATGTCCCTTCGCACCGGTTCCGTTCGTCTTTCGGGGTGGATCTGTCGCCAACCACCACTACGATTCAACCCGACCACGCGGCGGATGTACTCTTCCTCTCAATCAGACGATGCAGACATCGATGCCATGCTTGCCAAACCTACATGGTCCGTCCGCTCGTTGCTCTCAGACGAAACCACAAAAGCGTCCTCACCGTCAGTGACTCCAGCACAGCTTCACCACCTGCTCCGGCTGTCCGCTCTCCCACAGCCCGCCAACGAGGAGGAAGAAAAGAAGATGCTCGAGACCCTGGAGGCACAGATTCACTTCGTGAAGCAGATCCAGTGTGTCGATGCCACCGGCGTCGAGCCTCTGCAGAGCATTCGCGACGAGAGCCCGGAAGCGGTGAAGGAGAATACAATTGGTCTGGAACAGCTGAAAGAAGCCTTGTCCAAGGAACGGGTGGTCGGACGCAACAAGCGGATCCAACGCATGGAGGGCCCGAAGAACGATCGTCCCGATGGGGATGCCTGGAATGGAGACGCGCTTTCCTATGCCTCCAAGACCAAGGGGAAGTTCTTTGTTGTCGAGACAGGGAACTAAACGAAAGCAATATTCCTACGGAGACTCCGTACTTGAAGCAACAGCTCGGCCGGTCGGACTGTTTCCAGCACGCGTAACGGTCAACAAAACAGGTCATCTAAAATGTGCAACATTTGGGTCCGTGGCTGTCTGGGCGCTGAGTCATCCATCTATGATCTCATTGCAAGGGCTTCTGAAACCGACAACCTCCTTTTCTCCGTGCAACCCGGTAATTCCTCTACGAACCCAGCGTAGTTGAAGTGGAAAAGCTATACAAAGTACCTGTTCTGGAAGCGACGTCGCGGCATCTGCATATATGTGGAAATCACTCAGGGAGAAACATGCTAGCAAGTTCGGAGCGGGGCCCTCGCAGGCTCCGAAGAGCGACCGCGACCAGGACCTGACCACCATCTTGGACCGGCCCCAACGCGCCGATTTGACCGTGCTGGTCGCTGAGATCACGCAGCATATGCGAGATGCGATCAAACAGAACTTCCATGGCCCTCCGCCAGAAAAGGATACCTTACGTGACCAGACAACAGCCGAGTCGGACAAGGACGCTGACCCCTTGTCTGCTCAATCGGACGCGCAGGAGGAGGATACTCCTGCTGTGACCAAGCCAGTTGAAACGAAACTCACAGCCCAAGACCTCAAGTCGGAAGCCAAGGCGCTCAGTAGCTTCGATGACTGGAGGGATTCGCTCCTGCTGCGAATCGGAGAAGTCGTGAACAGGGATGACGAGTCCCTTGACCAACACACCAGCGACGATTCGCTACAAGAACCCGATATAGATGAGGACCAAGGCTCTTTGGAGAAGCTGCGTGAAGTATATCCGCCAGTGGAGACTCCTCTTATCCAGCTACCCAAAGCTAAGCGACTTCTGATTCTCCACTCGCTACTTCTTCTGCTGCTTAGCCTGGAACACTACAATGCTCGCTCGCGAGTTCTCATGCTCTATGTATCGTCCAGCCTGAACCTTGATGTCAGCATAATCAACGGCGATGAAACCAAGGTTGCCCGTGGGTTGCTTGACACTGCACTTCTTGCAAATTCGCAAGAAGAGGGCCAGGGCAAGAAACGCGATAATTCTCGAAAGTGGAAGGTAGGCATAGCCTCTGTTGCGGGAGCTGCCCTGATCGGCATCACGGGCGGCCTCGCCGCGCCCCTTGTTGCAGCTGGCCTTGGAACTGTCTTGGGAGGACTTGGTCTCGGTGCCACGGCTGCCGCAGGCTATTTGGGAGCTCTTGCCGGCAGCGGTGTTATTGTTGGTGGACTCTTCGGCGCCTATGGAGGCCGGATGACTGGGAAAATGGTCGATAAGTACGCCCGTGAGGTCGACGACTTCGCATTTTTGCCCATTCGTGGTACTCGACAGACGTCTGAAGATGAGAGGGAGGCTGCGCAAAACGATCACATGCTGCGGGTTACCATCGGCGTCACTGGCTGGGTGACTGAAGAAGACAACTACGTTGTTCCATGGCGGGTGATTGGTCCTGACACTGAAGTGTTTGGTCTACGCTGGGAAATGGAACCGTTGGCCAAACTCGGAAATGCGATGAACTATCTAGTCACTAGCGCTGCCTGGGCGGCGGGTGGACAGGTCATATCCCGGACCATCTTTGCGCAAATCATGAGCGCCGTGATGTTGCCTCTGGGTCTCCTGAAAGTCGCCCGTGTGGCTGATAACCCGTTCAGCGTCGCCAAAGCCCGCTCAGACAAAGCGGGAGAAGCACTTGCTGATGCGCTGATCAGCAAGGTACAAGGGGAGCGGTCTGTCACTCTGATCGGGTACTCGATGGGCTCTCGCGTCATCTTCTCCTGTCTGCAGAGTCTGGCCAAACGGGGCGCCTACGGCTTGGTGGAATCTGCCATCCTCATGGGATCACCAACCCCGTCCAATGCGCCGCACTGGCGTCGTATGCGGAGTGTTGTCAGCGGACGGCTGATCAACGTGTATTCGGAGAATGATGCCGTTCTCGCCTTGCTCTACCGCACCAGCAGTCTGCAGCTCGGCGTTGCAGGTCTCCAGCCTGTCCAAGACGTGTTTGGCGTGGAAAATCTCAATGCTAGCGACCTTATTAGCGGTCACTTGCGGTACCAGTACCTGATCGGCCGACTCCTGGCTCTGATTGGGCTGGAGAGTATCGACATCGATGAAGTGGCCCGGGAGGAGATAGCACTGGCTGCCAAGGACGAAACGCAGGAGCAGGAGCGGAATGAGAATGAACGTCGTGCAGGGGTCAAGGGCGATGACGAATCGGCGCAGCGTGTCTTGGAAAACGGGGATGGGATTGGTGAAGAGGCGATGCAGGCTGAGGTGGAACTGAAGACTAAGAGCCGTTTTCCGAGATTTAAATTCTCCAGTGATCGGGAGTCCTCGGGCTCGAAGGATGAGGGACGTCCGGCTCCGTATGCTGGGACTTGATGTTTGGATTTAATATACCAGGATTTAATGTCGAGTCTGTCTTAATTGTTTCGGGTGAATGTTTCCGTCAGGCGCTGCAAAGAATATTCAGCATTGGTGTCTGTTTCGTTCTATCTTAAACCAGTCTCGCCGTAATATGAAATCCATGATTATCATGTCTGTTCCTTGAATTTCATGCTTCCACTGCGATTAACCCGACCAAAAGAATCGTGGAAATACACAATCTTCCATCCACGACCTGTCAAATAAGATCCACTCCACTAATTGATAAAAATCCTCCCCCATGCAAGACCTGCATAAGTGTCAACGGTCTGAGGACCCTATCGACAATCAACGGTGGTCTAGTCTACTGGTTAGTGTCGCGAGTCTAATCTGACTCCGATCAATGTTGTTCGCAGCCGCAACCTTGATCTTTTTGTCTGTTCCAAACCATTCGATGAGATGAGTATCTGTAGAACGAGCGAGGATTATACCCATGGCAATGATGTGACGGCCAATGTCCCAGATAGTAGTAAGTTACACTAGATAGACTCGCGTATTTCTGAGCAAATTTTGAAAGGTTTTCGGCAGATATGTATACTGTATTTCTTTATATTTCTAGGTAGTATGGTCACATCCGTACCGCGGTAGTATCCATCCATCCATCCATTCATCCATTCATCCAAACACTCCTATTTCAAAACCAACCCACAAACCCGCACCCGTAAATGTGATAAACAAAAAGCAACGAAAAACCAAACCCGCAAACGTCATCATCCCACGCCGCATGACTCGCATACTTTCCAGGAGAGGGTTCAGCTACCTGGCAACCTCAGCCACCGCGATCTCGCTAGATTTGACTGTTTTCTGTCAGTGCAAAATCGCAACTAACGCTTTGGAGAAAATGCTGATTAACGAATGGATGGATGTGTCTGTTTGTTTGTCTTTTGGTGTGATTGCCTGGATGTGCCGGTTTTGGATTCTTTGCAGGACAGTATTTCTTTTTTTTTTTTTGGTTTTTCTGTAGGTAGATAGGTAGGTTACCTGAGGCTGAGGCTGAGGCTGATGTTGCCGTTCGGGGATGTTGTTGGGTTTGAATGTCCTGACTCCTGAGGGTAAAAGGGTTTGAATATTGGGTTCTAGTGTTCTGGAATCTGGGTTGAGAGATTGGTGATTGTTTACGGAAGACTGGAAAGATAATATATACCTTAATGGTGATATGCATTGTTTCTCGCAAATCCGCTGCTGGAGAACCTGTACATCCTGCTTGAGGGGATATCCAACCAGAGAGTATCTACTACGGTACTTTCTAGCCACGAGGGGAAGAACGGTAAAGATACTTCCGCCTCTCTCTACATAGTAGTCTCTAGACCAAAACCCCCTACAGTGATCCGTACTTAGGAGAACTTCAACCCATATCCAGTTAAACACAGTGTATATATATCTAGTACCTACTGTGTCCTCCTGTCCCATAGAATAATAGAACACCCCCCTTCTCTCCCAAACAAGTACCTGTACAGTACATGCAGAACCTATTACCAAATAAAAACCCCACGGGCGCAATTTCAATCCCAGACTTAAGTCTAGTCAATGTCAAATCCCCAAGCTAACGTCGCTAGCCCACGCTGGCCAAGGAGCAATTAGCTCGGGGGGGAGGGGGGGGGGCCGGTCAGCGGAAGTCGGGGATCGGGTTCCTCGGGGAAGATGGCCCGACTGTCCTGTCTCGATTCTCGAAGAGAAGTCAGTGGGCAATATTAATGGGCAATGGGCAATGGCGATGGGGGGTGTAACTGGATTGAGGCTAGGGTTGGTGTTGGTGTTGATTGCGATGGGGAATGGCGTGTGGCTGTGGGGGTGGTTAATATATGTTTTTTTTTCTTCTTCTTTCATTTTTTTCGGGGTTCGGTTGCCGGAGTTGGGAGTTGAGGGGGGAGTCGCTTATTTTTGCTAACCTTAGTATTTGGTATGCGGTTTGTTGGGGTTGGTGGGTGGTTTGGAGGGCTAGGGGGAGAAAGGATTGTATCATATTTTTTTTTTTTTTTTTTCATTTTGGAGAAGACGTGCGGACGTTGGTTTAGACCGTTGGGTTATTGAACTCGCGGAAATAATTGTGACATGTTGTCGTGTCGGTGCATAAACAGTAGTAGTCTACTGTAAGACATCTTGAACCCAAACTAAATGTATATTCAGAGTCTTGTTCGGAATTATCGATTCCAGGATCCCAGCCCTGGTAGGTTGCGGCAGGTTCCTCCCCTTCTACCAAGGTTCAACTGCCGATGAGCAATTCTCTCTCGCACGAGTAGGAGATACTGTGATGCCCACAAACCCCTGATACATGATGTCTGGACGAAAACAGAAATTGCTCCATCATGCAAGTCGGAAAAGCGGATCTGAAGCCGAAGACCTAGCCCAACCCGGCATGATCGAGGAGCTCCCACTCCCAGCTGACGAATCGAGGTCGGCTTTGGCCGAACCATGCAAACCTTGAAGCGGACCGATATTGTGGAACCCAATCCGGTTGCTCAAGCTTTGATCCAAGTGGGGCGGATGCGCCGATCGTGATGCAGGAGGCATGTCCCGGGGGATGATTGGCCGGGGTCGCGCTTCACGGCCGCTTCGTATCCTGGTGGGTGCTGCTTGGTGTATCACGCCGTCTGGACAGGCGGATTCTAAACTCACTGGGCCAAGAGGTCTCAAAATGTAGCTGTCCGTCAGACTATTAGATGCAAAACGCCAGGGGTCTCATGATGGATTAGAAATTAAACAACTAGTATACTGGGGTATGGTTATCATAGGGTCTCTCATGACAGGAGTCGTTGCAAGTATATAGAAAACAAGGGAAATAAATGTAAAGAAGGTGTAATGATTTGCGCGGCCAGCCTGTCTCTCCACCCGCATCACCCGCTGTGGCGACCCCTCTTCTGGAATTCTTCCGGGTCGGCTGGCTCGTGCGAAATCTCGATCGTCGTCTCCTGGTACACTCCATGACCAAGGTCCGCCAGCTCCATGTCGGTCTTGCGCACAATGTCGTCGGTAGATGAGTCACGGTTGTCGTTGACCGTGTCGTTCATGCTTTGCATGCCTCGCCGGAACTTGGACTTCTTGTTGTTGCGTACGTTCTTGCCGTCCCTGCCCGTGGTGATATGTGTTTGGTATGCGTTCGACTCCGTGTACGCGTACAGCCGATCCGTGGTTGTGAGTTCCGTCTCGAGCAGCAAGTGTCGGCGAGTAAGCGTGTACACGAGTACATCCACCAGCCCCGACAGCGCCATAAGTGATCCGGCCACTGCAAAATATGCGCGACTGGGGATGATATGCCGGGCCGTCGACATGCGTCCGGCGGCCAAGGGAAGAGACAGCACAAGGTAGACGAGCGGATAGATGACCATGTAAACAACGACCCGGTTCAGTCGCTTCAGGTTCTCCTGTTGACCTTGTCGGAGCGTGGCTGCCTGCTTCATCCGGGTTCGTAAATAGAAAAACATGACACCGTACAGGATGATGGTTCCGAATTCCGAAAGGAAAATCCACAGATAATGCACCCAAAGTCGTTCAGTCTCATGATCCGGGCCAATCCAGCACTGTTATGATCATTAATATTTAGCAACTTGAACGACTGGAAATAGTTTGCGGAGTCTTACCCAGCCGGCCTCGGAGATCACAAAGGTTTCGGCACCAAACATGCCAACAGGAATCAAGCCCAACACGATGATAAACGCCCACAACCCAATGATGCAGGCTACAAATATCGGATACGGCAGTTGATGCCCTCTGAGGACGACGGCACCTGTGTGGAGTGCAATGGCCAGCACGAATAAACCACTCCCTGGGTCGCCGGTCTGAATCCACCATCCTTGAAGGACGCAGGGTACACTCGGATAATAGACATGGCCCTTCGAAATCCAGTGAAGGCATAATAAGAACGCTATCGCTTGCTGGATGTCGACTATGAGAAGGTTGTAAATGAGGAGAACGTATTGGTTCTCCGCCAGAGGCCGTTTGTAGTATCGACGCCAGAAAATGAAACGGTAGGTAAGGAAAGACAAAAGGCCGAAGGCCGCAACGAATGAACAGAGAGCAATCACTCCCATGGCAATGAACCCAATTTTGTCGCTGCCCTCGATTGCTTGCGCCATCGACCGCCCAGCGAGGTGCGTTTTGTCGGCACCATCGCTGGACAGCAGCTGTGACAATCGTGCTAGAGCAGACATCGCCTAGACTGGAACTTCTAGGGAGGGAGTGTCCAAGAGTCACGCGAAGGCCTGGGAAGGGATGGTCGTAGTGTTTATATTCTAGTGACTGTGTCCAAGCATTTACGGACCAGAAATTTGGGTCTCATGGATCTGGAAGTCTGGGCAAAATTCCGTCTCCACGAAAGCTGTGGGATTTGTCAACTCAATTCCTCCACTTCCTGTTTCTGTAGCAGATTAAGATTCGGAGGGAGCCACAGATCGCTAGATGATGTATGGTACATCCGGATGAACAAGAAGGATTGACCGGCCCTTAGTGAGAGGTAGCGTGTGTATGAACGGGACCCAGTCTTGCATAGGCTATAGCGAGTATTCTATTTGGGTATAGCCAGCACGGGGCCCTTTATCAAGATCCACCTCTTTGGGTCAAGCGACATGGCATTCTCCATTGTGCAGCCCCGATGACTCAAGAAAGTGGTCGAACGTTCTCACACTAGCGAACAATTGCCGATCTTCCAATGGCGTTCCGTGTGGGAAGGAAAGGGGTGGCCATGCTGAGCCTCTAGCATTGTACCCTGCGGATCAATTGTCAATCCATGCACTTGACAATGACACTGAGTAGGTTTGCAAGTACTGTGTGGCAACCCGGAATCAAGATAGTCCATGATATCTCGAAGACATTGTTTCTGGCCGTGCCTCAGGGACTATTATCTGAGACTTTGAGGGCTGCATACGGAGTTGTGTAGTAGCGACTACTGTGGAAGTGACGATTGGTGTACCCCGTAAAACGAATGTATTGGACTCCTGAACGGTATCCTGGAGTCTGGCCAAGGGGCGGAAGTATTATTTCGCAGGTCGACTGCAGTAAAGAGACATGATCAGCAAAGAACGCGTTAATAAGCGACGCTAAGGCGCCTCTCCTCTGCCGCCGCGTGAGGGATCTCCGCTGGAGGCTGGAGCTCGATCTTTAATTGACCGGAAATAGCCCGCCGGACCCATCGCCCACATCGATGACATCCTCATGGTCTGATTGGAGGCAATGGCCACGGAGATTGGGACAGCCTCGGGTCAAACACGGTGGCGGGCGTGTCCAAACTCCAAGGAAAGCGACTGCGATCCAGCGAGCTGGGACCAATCCCAGCAGGCAAAGAACTCGGAAAACTACTCCTTTTATATAAAGCAGTAGTTGTGTCTTTAGCCGAGTCGTGTGGGGACCAGACGTCGTATTCAAGGGTGGTGTTGCTCAGAAGAAGATGAGGAGAGGAGAAGGCACGATGAAGATGAGGCGCTGGAACTCGGGATCGCCTGAGGCCCGGCCACTCGAAGGCCTCATTGCCTTAGGCCCCGTGCCGCCTTCCCAACTTCGACTTCCACTTTAACTTCAACTTCCTCTTCAAAACGCCATCTCCCACCGTTTCCCTTCCTGTCAAACTCTCCTTCCCCCCGGTGGTTTGTCGCATAGCAGCAATGTCTAGTACCACCTGGACAATATATTCCAGACAGGTACAGTGTGCATGTGGTCGGATGTCACTCCTCTGGAACTCGGACGAAGAACCCGTGCGTTCTGCACTCGGTAGGATTTTCAGGGGAGAGGAACGAGCCTGGAGAGTTTGGTGACTGTGACCGAAAGCTTCAACCATTAGATTCATGCCGCTCGATTGCTGATCTGACGGGTCGATACGATTTAGTGGTCCGTTCCAAGGGCAACAGCAGTCGGCATTGCAATGTGAAACAGCCACCAGATGAGCTCATCCATGGTCGCTAAGCTGTTCTGGATCTTTCACCCTGATCCCGTCTGGTTAACTACTACCGTTGACCCGTGGTTCACCCCTTCGCGCGGGACTCCCACCCATGGAATTCCTCCAGGGTCAGTATCTATATTCCGCTTCGATTTTCCCTCCCCAAAGGCATTTTCGCGGTTCCAGTGTAGTTTTTATAAAATAATGACGGGAATGGGGCCTACGAACCGGGAAACCCCCAAACGATCTACGGTGTTCGCGCAATTCTTCCATGATCTGCTTGATGGGTCGGTCGTCTTGGCCCGGGCGTTCTTGAAGAACTTGTGTGGCCTCGCCCAACTATCACCTCCATGAGAAAACTCGTCGGATACAACCGTGACTGGAATGGGGTGACATCGGACTGAACTTTGCTGAACAATTACCGGTCTTGGACTCATGGGGTTCAAATGTTGGAAATTGACTTCAGGAGCCCTAAATTGTAGCCTCACCCTTGAAGAACTTGTATGCCGTGTCTCGATTTCGGAAGCTGTGAAGCAAATCGACTCTACTAAAAGAGTGTCTAGATGTGATAGCGTCTGACTGAAGCCTTAGGCATCCAATACGTGCGTATCCGATCATCCGAACTTCGGATTCAGAAGGTTGATTGATCGACGGGGAGCTATGCTGGTTTGATACCCATAGCTGTTCAATCCTTTCAGCCTCTGTGTCTTGGCATATGAATGCCTCGTTTGGGTTGCACCCATGAATCCTTCGCTGCAACAGTGGGAAGTCCGGCTTGGAACATCGAAATAGAAACTCTCGAGTCAGACTTACAGGGCATGCTGCACGGTTCCGGGCCTGCCGGACTTCACTGATGCCTGGGAGGCTGTGAGCATGTTTGTCGGCCGAACGAGGGATTCTATTCTCCCTGGCTTGGCGGACTGTTGCATGACCCAAAGACTCGAAAGCGGGCAGTCGTGCCATTTGACTGGTCTACGAAGAGGAGTATCCTTGATCTATAAACAGACTACCTGGCTGCGTGCATTGGACAAGTCACCCGGCTCACCCGGCTCGGAGACACCGGGTGGAAGGCAGTAGCCTCTAAGGCTGTATGTCTCATACCAAGCCCGAGTCATGCCTGTCAATTGGCCCGGACGCCCTAAATCGCGGGCCCTGCGCCCCCCGCATGTCTCTCCGCTCGCTGTTGCTGCGGCGTTGCCCGCCGTGGGACAAGGGCACTGTCTCACTCGTCGGGCACATGCTTTGCAGATCTATACCTTTCAGTGACCTAGTCTGGCATACGAGAGTGATGTCTATGACGGAGTTACTATTCAAGGCATCAGGCCTCCAGCTCAATGTGATGGTGGCTTCAATAAGGCGTCCCGGGGAAAGACATGCTCAACAAAAGCCTCATTGCCATATTCACCGCTACTGCAACGTCAGGGAATGAAGCGTGGAAGACAAAGATATATAAGTAGCACCACCACCTCCCCTTCTCTGCTCCTCATCCACTCAACAAGTCTCAATTCCTCTACTCCTCATTTCACTCACAAACAACTCATCCATCAACCAACACCACAACCAACGAAGCTCATCTTCAACCACCATCCCATCACAATGAAGTCCTTCGCCTCCGCTCTCCCTCTCCTCGCCCTCCTCTCCTCGGCTCTGGCGGCACCCGTCGATGCTGCTGCCGACGCTACCTCCGTCTCCGTCTCCTACGACACTGCCTACGATGTCTCCACCACTTCCCTAGACACCGTCTCCTGCTCTGACGGCACCTACGGCCTGGTGTCCAAGTGGCCTACCTTCGGTTCCATCCCCAGCTTCCCCTATATCGGAGGCTCCCCCACCATTGCTGGCTGGGATGACCCCAACTGCGGCAAGTGCTACGAGCTCGACTACGCCGGCAACGTGATCTACATCACTGCCATCGACGCCGCTCCCGGTGGCTTCAACATCGGTCTGACTGCCATGAACGCCCTGACCGGTGGCGAGGCTGAAGACCTGGGCCGTGTCACTGCCACTTACACTCTCGTCGACTCGTCTCTGTGCGCCTCAGCCATCTAATGAAGTGGGAGACATCATTGGCCCGTCCAACACGGGATACATGAAGGAACGATCTGGGATTTCGGGGTTCTTGTGCATTTCTGCGTCTGCTTATCGATTAATTGTTAATGTCATGGCATGAGACACACATCATAGTAACATAGTTGAATATGAACATAAATTTGGTACCAAGCTAATGCTCGTAAAGGATGGATCTCTAGTCTCGTGTCTATTGTACATGTGTACATGTCTATCTGCATATAGTAATCATATCGTATCACATCATGCCAAAACCTCCAGCATCTCCTCCACACGACCAAACTTATCGCGAACCTTGCCCTTCTCATCTCCACGCTGTCGCTCCGCACGGTCAATCCGCTGCCAGTCCGCCCACGACGTCGGGCGCAATCCGCGCTTCTCCGCTTCCGGCCGGACTCCCTCCCAGCCAAGACCCGAGCTGTGGCCCGGAGCATTCAGCAGAGGCGCTTTAGCTTCCCCGCGCTGTCCGCTCACATCCGCCGCAATGGCATCAGCGGTCGTGAACGCGTCCGTCATAGTAGAAGCAATGACGCCGGTCGGTCCACGCTTAACCCAGCCAGCGCAATACAAACCGGGCAGATGCGAGATCAACGACCCATCAGGCAGCGGTTCATTAATCCCCGTGTTCACGGACGTGGTGATTCTCCCGAAGCCATCATTGGGGATCACGCCGCGCTGTTCATTGAATTGAATCCCCAGGTCCTCGAGACCAGGCAGTGGGAGGGACTTGTACCCGACGCTGCGGAAAAAGGTGTTCGCCGGGATGTCGACTTCGGCGCGCTGGCCGCTGGGCAGGTACTTTGGGGTGACTTTGGCGGTGGAGAGGAACGGGTCCGTGGGGTCGAGCTCGTTGCGGGCAAACTTCACGTGCGAGAGACGGTGCGGGTGGGCGGGGGACCCGTGCAGGCTTTCTGGGGAGAGGAGGAAGTCGAGGGACCATGATTTGGGGGAGGTGGAGGGGTCGTTGGTGGAGCCTTTGGCGAGGAGCTGGACGAGACGTTTTTGGGCGCGCGGAAGGGCGGAGATGGCGGCTTCGGTGGGGAAGAGGGTCCTAGGGATGGGGTCGAATGATACGGAGGGGAGTTGGAGTAGTTCGCGGAGTTCTTTGATGGTGAATGCGGCCTAGAGGGTGGGAAGTGTGAGTGGGTTGGGTTATGGAGGAAGTATGTTGATAGTAAGTAGGTAGAGCGTACCTGCATTGGCCCACGACGACCGATAACCCGGACGCGCTTGATCTTGCTGCGAGCCAGTTCTGCTACGGCGTATTCGGCGATGTCTGTCTTGCGCAGAACATCGACATCCGACAGCAGGATTCGGGCAACATCCAGAGCCACGTTGCCCTGTCCAACCACCACGGCGTCCTCGCCTGCTGTCAGGTCCGGCGCGAGGTCACGGTGTTCCGGCAGGCCGTTATACCATCCGACGAACTCCCGCGCGGAGTACACGTTCTGTGTCCCCCTTTCGCCTGGAATCCCGAGCTCCTTGTCCTTCGGGGCTCCGTATGCGAATAGAATGGCGTCGTAGTGCGGTTTGAGGGTGCTGAGGGGAAGAATTGTGCCTAGTTCGACGTTGCCGATGAAATTGAAGCGCGGCGATGTTGCGACTTCCGTGAACTTGTCTTCGCAGTTCTGAGGGTGGGATACAGGTTAATTTGCGGTGTCTTCTGAGTCATGGTGTCGGGTCACTTACCTTGACTTCTGGGTGATCTGGTGCAACGCCGTACCTCGCCAGACCGAAGGGCACAGGGAGCTTCTCGTACATATCCACCGTGGCATTGTCTACCTTTGCGAGCAGCCGGTATGCGGCGTAGAAGCCGGCGGGACCTGACCCTACGACGGCGACGCGGACCGGCCGGTCATTTTGAACCACCTGGCTGTAGTGACGCGGCTGCCAGATCGATCGCGAAGGGAACTGGGCCTGACGTCCAAAGCGACGCAGCGGGGCACGGACAGTCCGCGCCGTGCAATGGGCGCAGATATAAGGGGCCCGTTGGAGGATCATGACGCAGCACTGTGGACAGGCGGGGAGGAAGAGGAAGAGAGGACGCGGAGGAGCGCGGAGGAGAGCCGGTTAACTCCGAGGCAGATGACATAAGCGGGCACTTATCGGTGGTTGCCGCGCCGACAATCGGGTTGTTGACGATCCTCCACAAGCACCACACTTGGGCTTGGTTATGCTCCGGCTGATGCACGAGGAACTGCAGGTGCTGAGCAGTTCCTGTCGCCTCCATTCCTCCGAGTCCTTGACATACTCCGCCCGTCCCACGGTTCGTACATCTCTTTTCCGCGGTTTCTTGCCACACCGGACCTGTCTAACCCAGCATTCTTTCTTTAAGCTTAACTATTCACCTGCCTGTCTGTGCACATTCCTTTCCCCCGCTCGTCGCGTGGGTCGATGCTTCGAGATTAATTAGATTGGGGCTTCCACCGTCGCGATCATGGGCGACAACTCACCTCCATTCCTTTACGACCATGTGTCCCACAACCGCTTCTACGGTCAGCCCGAGGCTCCCTTCAATCCCAAGGCAGTGACACAGGCGAGCTGGACTCGGCCGGAACCGAAGCCCCAGCCAAAGGCCCCGTACGTGGATTTAAATCGTCATCCAGACTCGGTAGGTCCCGATAACTCTCTAGTGTCTTCGATTGGTAATTATCTCACTGACACTTGTGCTAGTACTTCACCCTCCCCGATGGCAAGTCGAAATGGACTCCGATGAGCCCCAAAACAAAGGGTCGAGTGATCAATGGGAGAAAGGTGCAACTTGGCTTGCGTGTCATTGCTCTTCTAGGGGCTCTCGGGTCCTTGTTTTGCTCCATCGTGATCAAGAATGTCGCAACCACTGTGGTCTGGATAGTCAGAGTCGGAGTAAGTGACACGAACCCCCGCTAAGACAAGAGCTAACCCCCCTCCAGCCTGCCATCGCAATCTTACATACACTGTATGGCATCTACAACCTGAGCCGCCCCCCAATCGCTAGACCTCCCGGTACTCAAGCCACTTATATGCTGTTTGCCGCCACTTTTGACTTGGGACTAATCCCGTTCTACGTCTTTGCTGCCTATCTGGGCTACGAGGAATACGTCTTCAATGATTACGATTGGACTACGCTGTTAAGCTCTGATCCTCATGTGACCTTCAAGATTGCAAGGGCCATGTTCCTTCTGGGTATTATCGATGGAGGTCTTCATGCGATATCTCTTGGAATTTCTCTCTTTTTGGGTAATATCTTCCGCCAAATCACCCGGTTGCCTCCGGACATGAACCCGCTGGAAGACAACTTGACTGCCCGTCCCCTTAAGCAGACCAAGTCGGAGATCATGGAAAAGCGCGCCAGCAAATCCACTTTGGGATCAGACCATGTCTCCAGCGAAGATCCATTGATCGGCGTTCCTCCCAATGTGCCGTTCACAGAAACCCGCACCAACTCAGCCCTCAATGGCTACGGCCGATTTGCCTCTGACCTTGCAGACGCAAGACGGCCACTTCAAGTACCAGATGCTCCTCCTATGCCTCCCATGCTACGCGTTGACTCCATGCCCTTCCACCGACCGAATGATATGACGGATGACCTCACCACGATCGGGTCGCCCATAGAGGGTTCAGACATCTTCACCAGACCGACGACAACGATTCCTCGGGCCTCCCCAGTTCGCGAGCGCACTCCTTCCGTCCCCATTCGATCGCAATGCGGCAGTCCCGCTTCGGACAACTGGATTGTGTTTGCATCGCGATCAGGCACGCCGGTAGAGGAACCACAAGATGAGCACCCAGCCCCTCGTGACCCGTCCTCTGTGTACAGCAGAGAACAAGAAGCCGCAGCTCCTTCCAAGGGCGGCGTGATGGACTGGTTCAGCCCCCAACGATACGGTTTGAACATTGGAGAGGCGATTACTGAAAACGTACGCGGCGAGTACGAGTCCGTCGCGGTCAACGAACACTACGGCACCGATGACGACGTCCATGACATGCTGTATCAGTCTGGACTTTACGACCATGTCGAACAGGATATTGGGGATCACCACATTGATATTTTCCAAGACCACGAAGAACTCGACGAAGACACGCTCAACTCCCTTCGCGTCAACCCGTTGGCGCTAAACCCGCCCTCCCCTCAACCCAAACCAGACGAGCCCCAGAACCGCGTTCCCAGTGGCCGCATAGCGCTCACCGACATCCCCAATCTCTCCCCCAAGCCTCCAGTTGAAGAGCCCGTCCTCGATAGTCCGCAGAAAAACGGAAACTTCTACGGAGACCTGGACACCAAGCCTGCCCTGGGCACTCCTCGCAAGGCCAGTCAAAAGAAGAACAGCAAAGTCACGATCAGGAAGGGCCAGAAGTTCAACGCCTACGGCGCCCTCAAACAGCACGATGATAGCGATGAGCACGGTCTGGGCGTCCCCCACGCCGACCCCGCTACAATCGACGGCGATCGCAAGGGCCGCGTCGTTAGTAACTCCGGAGCTGATACCATAGGAGCTGGCCCGTCCCTATCATATGGCAACTACATTGCGGGACTTGGAGTCGGTCGGAGACGAGACGTCAGCGGCAAAATGGCGGAGGAGGGCCGAGTCGAGATCACTACTGACCCCCGAGACGAGACTTCCACCACTCCCATCCGGGCTGCTGGCTGGGCACGCTTCGCCGGGTTATAGTTGGAACTTTGAAAGCCTTTACCCCCCTCCCCTCAATCGGAAGATACCCACCCCACAGGAATGAAAAAAGAAAGAAAACTGAAACGATATGGGATTCTCTACTGGAATTATGATTTTGATGGAGATGCACTGACTGGTTATGAGAGGATTTTTGTCTACGATTGATGTGATTTATGGATGCCTTTTTTTTGTTTTTATTTGTGATACTCCCCTTTGTTTCTGCTTGTTTCTGATGTAGACAAGTACAGATAGGTAGCTAGCTTAGCATACATACATACATATAACCAAACAAATAACAAGAACATAACAAAAGACTGGACTGCGTCAGAGTATATTCAGTGAGATGATTAGATACAAGAAGTGAATAGATACAAATCACATCGCACAGGTAGATAGATTATTATAGATGGCAACCCACACACCCACAACAACAAACAGCCACCCCATCCCAACCACCACCACCACCACGACACAACCCCTCAAGAGGGAACCCCCTCGTACTCCCACCCCTTAATCAACCTCTTCCCTCTCCTCGAATTCCTCCGATTGGCATTACATTTCACAAATAGCGTCAACGCCGCAATAATACAGATAACGATCCCGGCAATAGCCGCAACCAACACCGTGCGTCTCTCCAACTGCTGCGGATCGGACGCATACGGACAATCGACGTTCGGGCCGCCGGTCACCCAACACGACTCGACATCAATGGAATTAAAATCGAGCCAGACTTTCGTCATGACCGGATTCTCGGACGAGGGGTCGAGCACGTCTGTCCGCGTGAGCAGGTACTGGTAGAGGTAGGTGTTTTCGAGCCCGGTGCGGGGAATGGCCATGGAGCTGTTTTTGGGACACGAGCCGGCGGAGTACGCGTTTGCGAAGGTGTGGGTGGATGGGGAGAGTTGCCAGGTGAACGGGTCGTTTTGGACCCGGCACGCGGAGTAGTGCGATTCGGTGCAGTTGATTGCGTGCCAGTGGCCGCCCGGGGTGGTGAGGTCCATCACGGCGCAGCGGTCGATGGATCCGTTGGTGGATGAGGAGGAGGAGGAGGCTGCGTCGGCGGGTTGGCCGATCGCCCAGGCCCAGCTGGTCGAGAGGGATATGTCTGTGTAGGGCGCGATGGCGGAGTTGGCGGTTTGGTTGAAGAGGGTAGTGTTGAGGGTTGGGGTCAGGCCGCAGGCGGTGAGGTTGGAGATTACGAGGGACATTTCCGTGAGGGTCATGTTGCGGGTTGGGGCGGAGGGGATGGGGATGTAGTTGGATTGGGCCCAGGAGGAGTTGGCTTGTGAGATGGTCGTTGCGGAGGGGTTGTAGAAGCAGCCGCTTGTGGAGAGGGTGTTGTCGGCGTCGAGGGAGACGGAGATGGTGGAGGTGAGGTAGTTCTGTGGGAAGATGATGTCGGGCATGTAGGAGAGGTTGTAGTCTTGCATTTGGGGGTCGATGGTGCCGTATTCGAGGAGGAGGCGCTTTTGTTTGGCCAGTTGGAGGAACTTCGTGCAGGGCCATCCGTCGGGGGTGCTTTGGTCGCCGTTGGCGGCTTCGTTTATCGTGAAGTACTCCGTGATGGGCTTGTAGTCGTCTTCGACCTCGTACCAGGATTCGTTCAGGTTTGCGCGCTCAGCAGCGAGTTGGGATGGCATATAGATGTAGGAGGAGAGGTGGTCGTCGAAGAGAGAGCTGATGTACTCGGATCCGGTGGGGAGGTGGGAGCCGGTTATGGTTGAGGCAGGTTTCTCCGGAGTGGTGGCGCTGGCGCCCGCGTGGAGGTTGAGAGAGATGTATCTCGTGTAGACGGTCAGCTCGGAGCTGTATGTCCGGAAGAAGTCGTGGAAGACGCTGATCAGGTCGGAGAGATTGAGATGCTTGGAGCAGCGGTAGGGACCGAGTTCGTACACCGTCGACCCCGATGGGGTTGCCGTCTCGGTGACGGTGGCGCGGGCTGCATCGGTGGTGGTCGTCGTGGCGGTGGTATAGGTTGATGAGACCGTCACGACCGTGTCATCCTGAGGGATGGAGACAGGGCAGAACAGCCAGTCCCGTTGGTCGGGGGACCAGTAGATGTCGACGATGAAGTGACGGTACCCGACGGCCAGCAGGTTGGAGATACACTTCCCCGCGGCGTGCTCTTCGTAGACGTTGTCTCCGAAGCATGCTGACTGGAGGTTCACCGCGGAGGTGGTGACAAAGTTGATGGGGATTTGGCCGGCTACATCTCGTTCGCTCTGAATCGTGTCAGTGAGGGACTCTGTTGGGGGGGGGAGAGGTGTTGATTGCGGACTTACGAGGAAGACGGCTGCGTCAGTCGCATTTAAGGAGACATCGGAGTCGAACGTCAATGACATGGAGCTGCGAGCCGCAGATCGCGTAACTGGAGCGCATATGGCACAGTATCCGGCATGACAGGGAGAGAGGGCGGATGAGTCACATGGAGCGAGGATTGATCGAGGTGAGTCTCATGATTGATATGATGCGACGTCGAGATGGTTGGAGTGGCCGAGGGCTCCGGGCGCATCCGAGGATAGACGGCGGGCGGTGGGCAGGGCGGTGAGGGGCGGAGCGGCGGACAGCCCGCGGAACACCATCTGGCCTTTTTGTCTCTCACGCCCGGCTTCCTTCTCCCCGTCTCCTCCTCCACTCCACGACACAACCACCCTTCTATTCCCCCGTGTGCTGTGGACGCTGGAAGTCATCACTGTGCCCGTTTTATTGTCTATTTTCTGTCTGAATCCCCACCCCCTCCCTTCCCACCCCTTTCACCATGGCGGCGCCCGGCCCGTCTCCCCAGCAGATGGCCGCCATGCAGCAACAGTTCGCCGCTGAAGCTGCAAAGCGCGGTCTGACCCCCGAAGAGTTTGCCAAACAGCAGCGCGAACAGCTGGCTGCCGACGCTGCGAAGCACAACATGACCACCGAGCAATACGTCGCACAGCTGAGGATGCGAGCTCTCGCCGCCCACCAGAGACAGGTCGAGGCTCAGCGGATCGCACACGCTCAAGCACAGGCTCAGGCTCAGGCCCAAGGGTCCCAATCGCCAGCTCAACCCGGACAGAACCTCCCGGCGCCTCCCCAGCCTCAGCCACAGCAGATGACTCGTCAAGTCCCGGTGAACCCGTCCAACCCTCCCGACCCCAAGGCGATCGCCGTGGCCCAGTTCCTGCAGTCTCAGAACCTGAAGACGCGCACATGTATCATGGACGGACAGCGCAAGCAACTCTTCAAAGGTCGGCTACACCCAGTACCACCACTAATCCCATCGTTTCGCTGACAGCTCCCAGTGAAACGTGCCATCCGCGCCATCGAATCCCCCGCCTACGCCAAGGCAGCTGCCAAAAAGAACTCGATTCTCCCCCCCGTGACCGACCGCGCCTCGGCCGAGAACGTCTTTAAGCTGCTTCCTCTGTCGCTCCTGGCGCTGCGCGTGTCCAAGGTCGACCCCCATGCCGGCCACAACCATGCCAAGCCCAAGAACCGCACCAAGGGCCAGTGGACGGTGCGCATCGAGCAGCACCAGGAAACCGATCCCATGATGCACTACGTCTGGCTGTACGAGGGACCGCAGTGGAAGCAGAAGGTCCTAGCAGTCGGTGTGGTGGCTGCCATCTTTGCGGTGGTGCTCTTCCCTCTGTGGCCGATGTTCATGCGTCTGGGCGTGTGGTATCTGAGTGTCGGTATGATGGGTCTGCTGGGTCTGTTCTTCGCCATGTCGATCTTCCGTCTGATCTTGTTCTGCATCACTGTCTTCGCTGTGCCCCCTGGTCTGTGGCTCTTCCCCAACCTGTTCGAGGACGTTGGATTCTTCGATAGTTTCAAGCCTCTGTGGGGTTGGCAAGAGGTAAGACCCAATACCCTTCCCCAAAAAACATATTCTAACCCTCCCCCAGGAAAAGAAAAAGAAGAAGTCCAAGAAGGTCGAAGCCGGAGCGACCGATTCCACCCCATCCGCCACCACCACAGCCACCGCAGCCTCGGATGCCTCAAGCGCCGTGAAACGCGACCTGGCCCCCCGCGTGGAGGAAGCCGAAGAGTAATGTAGCATGTTTCATCCATCCACTTGACCATAAACCATAAGATCAGCACACGCTACAGACCTAGTATGCGGGGGTTGAACGATCCAAACAAAACAAAACAGCATGATCCGATGTTTTTCCCGCTATATCCTTTTGCCATCCATCCTTCAATCAATCATCTTTCATTCTCATACCTCTGTGCGCGCTCGGTAGTTATTCTGCATGATGTCTTTGCTCTGTTTGTTGCTCTTTACTTTTTTTTTTCCCTTCTTATCACTGCCCGAGCATGGATTCGGGGATTCAGGGATTCGGGTACTTGGGGTAACAGCTATGAAATGGAGTTCATTTATTCTGCTTCTGCCTGCCATTAGTCTCTATTTTTTTTTCTCATTCTCTCTGTATAATGTAGTAGATCTGCTCACTTGGGTAGATGAATTAAATTTTTTCCCTTTTCAACACTGAAATAAAGCAGATCTACTCACTCATATAATAGAATATACTGTGTCCATTATCGAATAGTAGTAATTACTAGTACTACTGAGTAGTTAGAAATCCAAATCCATCCATAACTATCCAGAGTATGTTACTAATTGACTATATAACCGTCATCTTAACCTCCTCAGGACTCCCTGATGTGTGGCCACATACTATATATAGACACCAACAAACAGGCTTAGTTACTATTATTACCGTCAACAACTGAAGTATGGGGGGAAAGATCAACCCTGATGGATATTTAGCGAACATTTCATGGCCAAAAGCTGATGTTTGTATGTTAACCTGATTCATGATCAATCAACTCGTAGTTATTCTGACCAGCAAACCAACAAACCAACGAGCAAACAAGCGAGTAAACAAGCAAACAAGCGCAAATGCGGATGCACGGATGATTGATTTTCTCTGCGGGCCGAGCCGGGGGGCGAAAGAAGGGGGTCGGGATGGGGAATGGTTTGTTTGCGGTGGCGAATATGCTAGTGCTTTTCTTTTTCTTTTTGTTTTTTTTTCTCTTGTTTCCTCTTTGTTTTCTTTGTATCACTGCATAGTAGTTATATACATTTTGTTAGATTGAGTTGGATGGGGTTGGATTTGGTTTGGGTGGTTGGGACTGTATTGAGTTGAGATAGATTATTATGTGTTTGTGATAGGTTATAAAGCTCATTGATCTATGATGGTGATTTAAGACTTCTACATTCTACAGTAACCGCACAGCTAATCTAGCAGTGGAAGAGTAGACAGACAGACATAGAGCAGAAATATTAGAATGTACTTATTTTTGATCAGCAGACATAGACAACTGACGACTGACAACCAACAGCCAACAGCCAGCAACCAGCAACCCATGAAGTAAACTAAACTAGATTACAAAGACACACAGCACACAAAAAGGTAACGGGAAAACCAAAACAGCGAGTAAAGTAAAGTAAGCAGCAGCATCTATCGTTCAGCCAAGCATGCATCCAAAAATAAAATAGAAATAAAGATAGCCTCCCAAAGCAAACAGTCCATGGCCGTGAGGCAAGTTCACATATATGTATGTTGATGAGTATGTGGATGTGGGTATGTGAATGTGAGTATGTGTATGCGAGTATGTGAGTATGTGTGTGTGTGTGTGTGCATGTGTAAATACAGATCAAGAATGGTATCAGGAAGTATGACTGGAGAAAGATACAAAAGAAAAAGAGCGATAAGAAAATAAATAAACACACGCTGGTTCGCTATGTAATGTAATATAATGGAATGTGATGATACTATGATCGACCTCGTCGACTATCAAAGTCGACGGAAGGGAGTCGTGCCGTGGCGACGTGGAAGCATAAGGAAAGGATGGGAGGAGAGGGGGAAAGGGATCGACTCGGACGAGGCGTGGAAACCCCCCCATGCGAATGTAGGTAGGTAGTAGATAAGTGGAAGAAGAAGAGGGGGAGAGCAAGGACAGCTAGATGGGAGGCATTCTGGACTGTCGGGAGACGCTGCGAGGCGTGCTCTGGCCATGGCCAGCCAGGGCTGGGGCCATACTCTTCCGTTGTTCCCGGATCGTGGTCAGCGGTGGAGGGGAGATGCACTGGCGCAGGTCTGCGGGGGGCTCGTTCCAGTTGGGAGGCTGCGGGTCGACAGGGGAGGGGATTTTGGGGAGGGGGCAGTTCGGGGGAGGCGCGGCAGGTGGCCCGATGAGCCCCGGCATGCTCTTCCGACGGCCCATGGATACTGGCGGTAAACGGGCGCTGGGGTCGGGCTGATACATCATCGATCCCCGGGGTCGCGATTGCTCGCGGCGCGCATTACCTCCCTCGGGGCCGAATTGCGGCTGTGGGGCAGGCCCTTCGCTGACAGCAGTTGTTGGCCGTGGGACTGGGGCCATGTTGCGGGGAAGGCGAGATAGTCGGTTACCCTTGGGTTCTACCATTCGATGCGGGTCAGCCAGTGAGTCTTGGGAGCTGGAAGCCCGCAGTGGTGGTCTCTTGGCTTGGCCCTGATGAAGCGGCCACTGCTGTGGGTTTGCTGCCTCCTGCGGGAACCCGTTCTTGAGTTTGCCAGGAGATTGTGGTGGAGAAGGGAAGGAAGAAAGCGCCGCAGCCGCAGGAGGATCCTTACCGGCTGTTTCTTCCAGAGCTGGAGGCAGTTGCGAGGTTTGGGGAACCTGGAGAGGACCGAATCTTGCCGTGAATCTCTTGCTGAACGATGGCACGCTGAAGTTCGGGGCTGGCGGTGAGGTGCTGCGAAACAAGGGGTCTGGCTGCGTCGACTGAGCCCGAGGGATCTCAGCAGCTAGCTCCGCAGCCGTCTTTGCCGTCGAGGGTGACGGCATATGCAACGATCGCCGCTTCGGGCTCGTGAAAATCGGGCTTTCAACGGAAACTGCTGCCGCATTGCCATTAGAGGGCGCGGCGGGGATGCTCGCAATAGGTACCGACGAGTAAAAGCGACCAGTCCCTGTCCCACTGACAGGCGACGTGATCTCCGTATGGGTAGTGGACACTGACCCGGAACGAGACTCGGGCGCCGGGGGCAGAACTATTGAACGGCGATTGAGGGAGACATAGGAGCTCCGGCGGGAGTGGTCACTGACTCCTGGGTCCTTCTCCTCTCCAGACAGTGATTGTTGGGGTTGCAGCAAGGTGGAAAATCTGTTCGGGTCCTTGGTTACCAATTGGCGGACAGTAGATTTAGCCTCCAACTGAGTCTCCGCGTCCTCGTCCTCGGCCTTTTCAGAGACATACTTCTTGCCGCCCCGAGCCTCGATCTGAGCACGGACAGCCAAGAGCCAAGAGCTCATGTCTTCTGGGTGGTCGAAAACCAGTAGGAAGCAGCGCTCCACCCGCCGAGTGTGTGATCTGTGGAACCCAAAACGAAAACGATGAGATTTGGTCACATCAACGCCATCTTCGTCGGTCTGTGACACCTGCAGCACCCAATGCTTTCCAGGGATTGCATCACTAGCGAATGCGACTGACCGAGGACCAAGCTGTAGCATTTTCTCCGGCAGGCGATCGTGTTTCCCTTGGCCAGAGTACTGCAGGATATACCCAGCAGTGGCTAGCACATAGACCTTTTGGGTCCACTCGATTTTGTTAATAGTCTCCGACAGGGTGCGCATGTGTCTTTTCTTTTCCTTATCCTCCTTTTTCTTCCTCGACGCAGGGTCCTCCGCGGATGGCTCTTCGTCACGAGAGCCACCAGCCTTCGCCTTCGATGTAGCTTGCAGGCGCATGATAGCGTCCACCGACATGGCAGGAACTGGGAGGCAATCATGCTTGATGGACTGCGGATATGCCTGGAAAAGTGGGGGAGGCTTCCATCCTAGCTCGCCCGCTGGGGGCTTCTCTTCGCTGGATTTTGTGCGAGATTTCGCGGGCAGCTTGGGGCGAAGCGAGCTCGCCGTCGGAGATGTAGGGATTGTCGCCGTTGAGGCAATCGTTTTGGGCGTGGAAGTAGTTGTGGGTGAATGGGGCGCTGGTGCCGTCTCGGAAGCAGCGGGCGTCCCGTGCTGGTGTACCTCGTCGATGCCCGAGAGCTTGGCCTCTACGGGTTGTTGCTTGCGCGAAGACTTCTCGCGCCCGAAGATGTTCCGCAGGCTGGATTTGGATGTCTGGCGCTTAACCGGGGTCGCCTGCAACGGGACTCGCTCGCCTGATTCCCCATCGGTCTGGTAGTCCGTCGGCCGTGGACGCGACGGCCTTGTAGGTACGACCTGCACTGGTCGCGCGGTTGGCCGGCTGAAGTTGGTTTGCAAGGGGGCCAATTGCTGGCCTCTGCGCTCGCTGACCGATTGTTGAGGGGAATGAATGTCCACCGTCATCCTTCCCTGACCTGGATGCTAACGTCGGGAGTGCGGCAGTCTGGGAGGTTTGGGGAGGGGTATATCAATAGTGTATAATGTCTGTCCACTGGGAACAGCAGGAGGGGGTATATTTAACGAATGGAACGAAAAAATGACAGGGTGCTGGGCGCGGGCCTCATTGATCGAGAAAGAGAGATTATGGAGCTCGGAACGAACGAGATAAGGGTCATCGCAAGGTGATGATCGTAAACTAGGCGTGGATCATCTCCGACCGTACAGGTGTAAAGAAAGTTGCATGCAAAGGAGGGAGGCTGAAGGGACTGTGGTAGATCGCACCAGAGATAAATTCGCGTGGGTGGTGGATACAAACGGGATGGAGGTCCTGGGGCGTGCACGGCACAGGGTAAGGATTCTGCCCAGTCGGATCAACAAACAGAGAGATTATGGCTGAGATCCGGTCGAGATGCATCCCATTGTTGACAATTGGGGGAGGGGGGGGCTCGCGGTCGGTAGGGAAGGTTGGTTCGCCAGAGAGAGGGAGAGAGGGAGACCGTTGAGGTGCGAGCGAGGGAAAAGAAGAGGAGATGGAAGTGTGACAAAGAAAAAAGGACGAACGCGAAACACGACGAAACAGGCCGCAGGCGAGCCAGCAGCCCAAGGTTTCTGGGATTAAATTAGATTATTGATTGTTCGGCCATAAAACCTGCCGAGTCGGGCCTAGCCAGCAACTAGATGGCTAGTGGTGATGACAAGCAGATCTGAAACGGTCTGCGCGCGCAAGCGAACCCCCTGAGTGGAGGGGAGGGGGGTTGAGGGAGCTGGGGATGGGCTGGAGAGAAGAGGCGAACTGGACGGGGTGGACCGAGGAGGAACAAAGGCATCTGGGACAGTTGGGGGAAGCCTGGAGGAGCTGGAGATGGGATGCAAATGCAGCCCTGCGCCTGCAACCCGGGTTGATCGCAGAAGCAAACCCCCCGGGGCGGCCGAGTAACCATTAGGCAATGCGAAATCAATATTTTGATGCCCCTGAATTGAACCAAACCTTGCAGTCTCCACTTTCCGGGCAACGGCTGCGGTTGATGGACAAACTAGAGGAAGAGAGAATTTGGTTAGCCAAGCCAAGACTGCTTTTCTCCGGAAGCCCATATTCGGGGGGGGGGGGGGGGGAGCTTACTGCCGAGGGTGACAGGATCCGTCACAGCAGGAATTGGGAAGATCGACCGAGTGGTTCTGGTTGGATGGATACGAGGGAGAAAGGAGAGGAGGAACTGGAGGAACTGGAGGATGTGATGTCTCTGATTCTCGACTTTAGTTTGTCTCATCGACCACGAGTCAAAAGACCAGACCGCTGACTAAGTCGTCAGGGCGGTAATTTACAGTAACTACGCCCGGTGCCCGGACACGCCCTGACAATGAACCTGAATCATTCTGAACCGCTCGAGCTCCTCCTTACGCCACACGGTTCCAGCACCAGCAATAACAACAGCAATAAATTATCACCACCACAACACAAGACCAACAAATGAATCAATCCTTCATCCCCCTCCTCCTCCCCACCCACTGCAACCCCGGTTCTTCATACGTTCATATAAACGAGGGATCTCGATCCCTTAGGCTTTCCCCGGCGCGCACTTCCTTCCCTGGCCTTGTTCCACTGCCCCCATCAGCTCCGCTGCCTCGTCGCAATGCTGCGCCATTTCCAGGTCCTTCGCACTTAGGCCCCGGGGATGGTGGGTAGTCCAGTGGATATCGACCGATCCAATCCTCTATGGAGTAGTTATTCCAGTCAGCCTCAATTTTAATTTCCTTCTTCCCCTCTCCACCCCCCCTTTTTTTTTTTAGGTGTGTGTGTGTGTGTAATGTGCATGTGTGTGTACGTGGAGTGGGATCAGTCAATCAACGACAACAAACAAAATGCAGAGCTTACCACAGTCATGGTGGGATGGTGTTTCTTGACTGAGCTCTCGGATGCGATCACGTTGAGGAAGGTCTGGAATATTCATGATGAGGATGGATTAGTGGATCGTCCGTGTTCTTGGTCTTGGTCTTGATCATGCGTATTCATGTCTTGTCCTTGTCCTTGTCCTTATCCTTACCCGCTTCCGAGGTTGAAGGCACATGTGTGGGGGGCAAGGCAGGGCAGGGCAGGGCAGGGCATGTCTTACCACTGCCTTAAAGTATGATTTAAAATAGTATGTCTTCTTCACGCCCTGTCCGTCCTCATCCAGCGCCCAGCCCTGCTGTTCCTGCAGTGCTTGCAGTCCCAGCCGCGCCTGTTCGGGGTCAGTGCCCTCGGAGAATTGTGGTTCGGCCATCGTCGATGCGTAGCGTGTGAGGGTTCGAGTTCGAAGTGAGGGGGTGTTGAAAGAAGTGCGAAGGTTGGTGGTGGTTGCGGCGCGAGTGCGGAGAAGAAGCGGTGCTGGTCGGAGATGGAGAGGAGAGAACGAGGGCGACGGCGAGGATGAGAAACTTCGCGGGTGATAAGGGCGACTGAGGGTATGACGTTGGAGGCGAGAGAGCACCACGCGTGGCCGTTGAGCCAACCTAGATACGTGGTCCATGCTGGACGGTGATTAACGAATTGTCCATATGGGATGCTGGCAGCACCCGGAGGCGGACAGTTGGAGCACCGCGCATCGGCCAGCGTTGCAGGCACGTGACCTGGTGTGGCTGCGGACGGGTCGATCTCCCGCCGGGCCTGCAGCTGCCCTAACAGGCAACATGCACAGCTACCAGCCACAGTCTCTGATGGATGCTGTACGCAGAATGAGAAATAGTATAGGAATTAAGAAAAAAAAAGTATTACAGCCCATTTTCTCTTCTCCAGCTATCTAACTGCCTGATTCAGCAAATACTCTGATCGTCACCAGCAATTGAATTTATGAACTGGTTCATCTTCGTTTGAGATATGAAACGACACCATTCAAAACAAGTCTCATGTCTCGTGCTGATCTTAGAGCTTGCTTGAGAAACCTAGTAGTAGAGGGCAGAGAATCCTTCAGCTCAAGTCAAGAATTAGAGTTTCCCTTCGGTTTCCCCTTTCCCCAGAATTCTGCGCAGTCAAGCTGTCAACTGTAACATAACATCAAAGTGAGTACTCATATACACCCCCAGATAAAATCTGCTATATCCAGAATCAAGAATTCGGGTTAACGCACCCATTTATCAAGCCCCCTACCTATTCACCTACAAACTATCTATTCCTATTCATAACCCTACTTTCCCCCTGTAACAAAAGGAACACCCCAAACCCCCCTTTATCTGCACCAGCACAAACACCCAAGAAAACACCCGCTACACCAACCCCCCCACCCCCCCCCCTCCCCCTCCCCTCGCCCCTCACCAAAAGACCCCTATTTAACCCAACCCCTACATTCCTCGAAAAATCTAAATTTTTCGATTCGCTTCGCTTCGACTCAACATTCCCAACAAAGATGGCGACAGCCACATCTATCTACGGAGTACCCGGCCCTACCTCCTATTCACCACCTCCTACCTACTATACTATCAAGTACTACCATGCCCTTAGTATATAATATATATAGTACACACCATCCAATCCGCCAACCTCCCAAGAACCCGGGGTTCCAGAAACATACTTGCAGCAAGCTCCCACCACTGCACCACTGGCACTCCGATAAGGAACTCAACCCTCTGATGTCATTGCTCATTGCCATTTGGTCCAATCCCATGACTGGTCGTGACTGGTGGGTGGGAATACATAGATTAGATAGTAAAGTAGACATGCATGCCAATGCGGAGTCAGCCAGAGCCAGAGCCAGAGCCAGAGGCGGAAGCATGTCGGAGTCGGCGTCTGCCCAGCCCTGCAGAGTGCAGATCACAGAGACACAATGACTGGTTGGTAGTTGAGTGGGTATCCCTTGACTGCTGCATCGGGCCCGCCGAACCGGACGGATACTCCGACTACCGTGCGCCGGATCTAGAAGGTATGCGAGAAGCAAGCAACCAAGCAAGCCTTGCAAGGTTGTCCCCACATGCCAACCATCGGAATGGGCCGGCACTGCAACGCTGCTTACTTACTGTACCTTGCTTAACTGGTTACCTTGCTCTTGCTTACATTGCTGCAGCTGCTGCAGCTACTGCGCCCCTCTCCCGCCATCATCCGGATCCGCTCACTCAGACTTTGTAATCGGTGCTTTGGCGGTTCAAAGCCCGGGTGGCTGCATTAGGATGCGATGCGTTCATCACTTTGTACATCTACGAGGCTATAGGACAGGATGGGACTGTGGCGTGTGGTACTCTGTACACTCACTTGATTCGATTGTGTGGTTCATACCTCCAAGATTCTATCTACACTGGCTGCAAACGGTTGGATCTGCGGGAATACCGTATCTAGGAGCATTGTACACTACTAGGAGATGAAGAAGCTATCCAAGATAGACCAAACAAACATAGGAAACTAACTAATCCTAAACTACTAGTACACGTTGGAATGCCAAAGTGAAACGTTTCTCAGCCAATATCCAACACAGAGTTCCCGACTAATTCGAGAAGTAGTGGTAAGAAAATAGTAGGTGAAGCAGTGACTTGCACCCCTGTGACTATATAAACGCCGAAACAAGTTTCTCTAGTACCTATATACTGGTAAGAGTTCGGAATCATCGCCGAGAAAAAGAAAAATCAAAACATTATGACCTGGCGGCGCCTTGGCCATTTTTGGTATCAACGCTCGTTAATCGTCTCAGAATATCATTATCATGCAGACGGACAGCCTGGGGCCACATGCCAGAAGGGCATGCAAGTAACGCTCAGTGAGTGAGGCTGTTTCTGCGCGAGTTGGCTCGGGAGTTGACGTTCGAAGCTGGGCGGGATGCGACATAACTTCCGGGACGGCTTCCCATGGTCTGCCGAACACGCAAGTTCTGCTGCGAACGCGCGAAGGAATTCGCCCTCGAGTGGGAGGGGATCTTCGAGAGCCGGCGACCGTTGGTCTCTAGTTCCACTCTCGCATCGGACAATTGCTGGGCAAATGGCGAACGCTTGCGAAGCGTTGGTCCGTACCAGTAGATGACATACACAGCAATAACGAGGAGGAAGGAGATGCAAACTGCCGCATATACATGTCAGTCACTAGTCTGTTGACATTCACGGAAGACGTCAGGTGCAAACTCACATAGGATGGTGGAAGCATATTCCAAATGGTATTTGCCGCCGATGTCTGTACGTTTAGCGGTCAGAATCTGCTGAACACCATGAATCCTAAGGCTACTTACTTGTGAAAAAGGGTGTGGCAGGGATGGTAAGCACACCAGCCAGGAAGTCTCGCGACCACCCGTTACCACCCGTCGCAGAGGCCGAGTATGGTCCGTACGCACAGATCATGTAGTCGATTGTAGCCATATAGATGCTGTAGTTGGCAATACCGACAATGGCGGAAAAGACCATGCTTCCGATCCAGTGGACTGGAGGGCCCAGGCTAGTCCATGCAAAGCCAATGAGGCCAATAGGTAGGCAAGGAGCAGTGTAAAGCAACCACCAGAGTCGCGATTCATACTGAGCCCGTTCGTTGTCGGGCTTCATGCGGCGCTCTGCGATATTCCTTCTGATGACGGGGATAAATGATGCCCATGCGATAAAATATCCCACCAGGATTGGAAGGAATGACAAGCCCTGAGTCACAGTGTCAAAGCCCCACTGCTTGTATACCAGACTGAATGATTGGATGAACATGAAGATCAGGGCGTCACTGAAGCCGCTCAGCAGCGATAGGGTCAGAACGATGGGTTCGGTCAAAAACATCTTGAATGGGCGAACCCAAGTCACGAGAACCTCGCGCATCGAGAAGCGATCCCTGAATGAAACGAGCTCGTTGGGTCCGTAGATGTTGGGGTTCTCTCCACTCTCTCTCTTCTTTTTCGCGATCTTGTCCATCATGATCGTGGTCCTTGTCTCGGGAACCAGAAGGAAGTGTGCCACTTGAACAAAACCTCCAAAGATGAGTTGAATCCAGATGTTCCAGCGCCACGGAAGATAGGCCTCGACAAATCCTCCAACGACAGGACCAACCACTGATCCACCAACTGAGGAGAAAACCACACAGGCGACCGCGTATTGCTGGTCATCTGCTTCCCAGAGATCCGCGATCATACCCAGGGTGACCGAGCCACCAGCAGAACTGAGGCCTCCAAGTGCACGTCCCACCATGATGGTGGCAAAATTGGGCGCGAGAGCAACGGGAAGTTGCCAGATATTCACAAGGAACAAACTCAGCTGCAAGATCGGCTTCCGACCAAGCTCCTCACTCCACGGAGCCCACAACTCGCAACCAAAGGCATACAAAACCAAGAAAATCATGGCACCACAGCGAGCAGCTTGCATACTGACGCCGAACTCCTCAGATATGCCACTAAGGGCATTGGAGTACAAACTGGTGTTGAAATTCATTGACGTCTGGACCAGAAAAATGACCGAAATGATCATCCACTTCCTCCAGTTGGGAAAGGAATATCCTAGTTGATCGTAGCATTCGTTCTCAGTCAGCTCTATCTTCTCGGATGCGGTGTTTTCCACTTGGTGGAGCGTGGTTCCGGCAGTTGGGGCTGACGGAGGCACATGGATTTTCTGCTGATGCTGCTCCAGGGCCTTCTCGGTTGCCGGATCAATGTATGCATCCGTGTGGGTGGAAGAGGAGGCCTCCGAGTCATGAAGTTTTTCATGGTTATCAGCGGCTCTGTCGGAGAGGGAAGCCATGATGCGCACTGCTACATATTGGATTAGCCGCTGCATAATAAGAACTAAGCTGCAAATAGTGGAAGAGTGGGATGTGGGAAGAGATATGCATAGACAACAGAGGAAGATAGATGTGAAGGACGTCCTGTGCCAAGGCGACGGCTGGCTAGTGACTGCAAGGGAAGAGTGGTACTTACAGTCACCCCAGACAGGGGAAGCACTAGTAGAGTAGTACTAGAGCGAACAATATGGTAGTACCGAGATCAGCAACTGCGAAAGCGGTACGGGAGAAGGAAAGAGCAAGGCTGGTGTATAGAGATGAGTGTTTGGGTATGGGAAGGAAAGAGGGTGAAAGAGAGGAAAGAAGGAGCAGGAGAGGGGGGGGAAGACGTGGTAGAAGTACTACCTATGTAGTAATGTAGTAATGTAGTAATAGTGACAGAAGGGAAGGCACGACAGTGACTAAAAGGGAAGGCACGACAGTGACTAAAAGGGAAGGCACGACAGTGACTAAAAGGGAAGGCACGCAGCACCTGGCCGCACCTACCTTGTTGGGAAGTGTACCACGGGCCTGGACGGGGTCAGGCAGGAACCTCAGTCGTATTAGCCAAGGAGGTCAGTGGATGATGTTACCGCGACACCCATGGATCGTATAGGTTGTCTGCACTTGTACTGCAGGAAAGGCTCTTCTTTATATCGATGCGCCAAGTGCTCGATTTCTCCCAATGAGACTAGTGAGCCTGCTTAGAGTTTCCACCGTTCAGGTGTTGCCGATGCCCTCGAGACATGGGGGGTTGGCGGCATGCATCGACCTTCCTCGTTTTCTCTCTTTTTTATTTTTATTTTTATTTTTATTTTTATTTTTATTTTTATTTTTAATTTCTGCCCCTCCCTCATCATTTCCCCCTCTCTCGGTGGGTACATTCCCACATGGTGCTCTCAAATGACTAGACAGAATATGGAGAGTAATCAAAATCCGCAGGAGGATGCCTGGCAGGCCGCGGGCCGGACGTGCCGAAAGAACCTGGAGGAAGCGGGTTGCCAAATCAGGACCGACTGCTACCACCCAACCCGGACTACCAAAACTACTCGCCACGCTGACCGAGCCTGGCCAGTCATTTTGCATGCCGGTCTGGGACGGTGCTGCCGGATGGATCCATCGTCCCCAACATCATTCCTTTATCACTCATCGCCTGACCTTTGGCGCGAGCAGTGGACGAATCCCCAGAGAAATAGTGGCCGGGGAGGGCACTACGGCTTCCCCACTCCGGGGGGGTCGAGACACTCTTTTCCCACTCCCGGACTCGTTCTGGGCCGATGGCGGCACAGCCAGGAATGCCCGCTTCGGGAAGTCTGCCACGGCACGCGAGGGTTACTGCGCTGCGCATTTGCGCAGATGTCGAGGCGACCTTAATCAGACTTCATCTCAGAGTCAATAGGAGACCTCCGAGGGCAAACTCCAGCGGTCTAGGCTGTCAATAATGCTCGCGCGAAGGTGGTGGACGACGCAAGGAGGTCGAGATTCCAGGTGGCCCTGGCGGTGCACGGCTGCATGGTTTCCCGATGGGATGGACCGGACCACGAAAGTAGTATCTGGGAGTTTGATATCGATGATAGAGGCTTAGCGGCGCTGATAATTCCTACTTCCTGCCCATGTTTTGAGCCGGTAGATACAACTACTGCGGGCGTGGGTTAGCGCATTCGTTTTTAGGCCGGTCTTGTCGGGGACCCATTTTTTCTCCCTTTTCCCTTGCGGTGCCCACGGGGTCGATGGGTCGCGGGGTGACGTCAAGTCATCCCGAGCCAAGCGATCGCCAGCCACTGTGCTTTTTCTCACGTACTGCAAACACCGTCATCGGCTTGCTTGAACCCTTGGGTTTCTTTCGGTTGCTTCTCCCACCGTCATGATTACTATATTATCATGAGCCCCAGGTATGTATCAGGGTCCAGGGCAATGGTTTGCCTCTGTCCCTGGTTTCCAGAACGATGTGTCAAAACCTGTCAAGGGATCGTCGGTTTTTGGGAGTCGAGCCAGGGAAAGAATCCACCGCAGCCCCTTGCAAGTGTCGCAGGTTTTACACACAGTCCACCGTCCTCAGTCCACCCACAGCCATGGCCACCAAGTCACTAGTAGTTGCCCCCCCCCACCCTCCCTGGTGCTACGGCACCTGTGGTGGGGAAGGCGAAGAAGTAGATATGAGGCCACTGGACTCTCTTGAGTTAGCCTGCTTCTTGCAAAGTGCGCAAATTACTCCATTGGATGCAATCTCGGCCCTCATCAAACTCCGATGTTGAAGGATCACTGCAGTCAGCCACTGCAGCACTCCGACGTAGGACGTAGTAGTTGTGGCTCGTAGGGAACCGGGGTACGGTCACGGTAGGTACAACCCAGCGCCGCAGCCATGACTCAAGTGGTTAATCGGATCGTGCCGACAGCCACCGTGTCCTTTGAGTCTTCAAGGCTGGATAAGAGTTAATGCCAAGGTGATGTGGCGGTTGACCCCCTGGACAGATAGGGCCGCAGGAGCCAGGAGTGGCCGACGACGTAGTATAGTTACTCGGAGTACCGCGCACCGCGCCTCAGTCAACATTCTTCTGGGGCTCAAGAGAGTGTTCGATCGCATTTTTGCTATGCTACTTATCCGTCTCTGTAACCACTGAGAAAATTTCCCGGGCCGTGGATACATGGGACAGGAAATGAGATCGATCTGTTCACGTGCGTGGGGAGGGAAGCGGGAGTTGGCCGAACCCTCCACTTGCGTCCAGGTTATCCCCGGTCGATCGCCGCTTCCAAGGCAGAGCCCGATCATGGCCTGGGCGCCTGGCGCCATTCCGCATTCGGGCACCCCGTGACCGGGCCTGTCATGCTAGCTGCCCCTCACCGCCTGCCCGGGACGGACTCCCCGCCTTTCTTGCAGGAATGCGGCGCCAGCTCTGCAATCGACCGCAACCACTGACCACTGTTGACCTGAGCCGTGGAGCGTTTGCAGCAGCATCGTGTTCTCTTTGGTCTGGACGCGTCTTTAGCAACCGAGATACTGGCTATTCTGGCTATTCTCCCCAGGCGTGACCTGACATCGTCACTTCCCCTACTTCGTGTCTCCCCCAGGCCATGCCGCCCGATCTCAACTCGCTGCCCCCATCCCGTTCCGCGTCCACTTCCCCGCGTCTCCATCGGCTTCCCCCGACTTTATCCGATCCCTTGTCGTCGCAGCATCCCCAGCCGGGTGTGGTTAATATGAACAACGGCTCCTCCAACACTCATAACAACACCATTGTCACTGACCTGCCTCATCGGCCTTCCCACAGTCATCGCACAAGCATGACAGGCTCGGAACGTCGCCGGTCCGGTCCCCTCACGATCCTGAACAATGGCAGCGCCAACGCTAGTGACTCGGCCTCCGGGGAACCGCCTCTCGCCCCTCTCGACCATCGGACTTCCTTGGGCCACAATGTGTTTCGTGGAGGCAGCCCGACCGTTGCCGCTGGGGACCCGCACCATCAGCGTGCGCCGTCGCTGGGGGAGTTGCACCAGGAGCTAGAACAGGAGCAAGAAGCACAAGTGGTATGATCCCCCTTTCCGGCGTCATCCAGCCCAGTCCATTCTTATGGTCGTATCAATTGAAGTGCTGCTAACCATGGCCATTGATGGCTAGAATCGGCTTTTGCACATGATCCGAAGCCAGCAAGCCCAGCTGCAGCAACTTCAACAGCAACACCATCACTCGCAGGCGGTGGTCGACGACCCGAGTCCGCCGTCGGAACGTCTGACCCCATTTCCCCCCATCCCCCCCGCCCCGGTCCCCGCAACCAGCAGCCGGGCATCCACCCAAATCACTTCGTCCTTGTCTAGCCGGCGACCCTCCCGGCCCTCCAGTCAAACCGCTTCGCCCAATCTCCGACCGCAGATCGATCCATCGCGCGGCCTGGAGGGTCCTGATTTGGCAGCGAGCATCGTCGACAACCCAGTCCGGCGGGGGAGCAGGGATGAGAGCGCATTCTACCAAGCCGAAGCAGCGATGTTGACGCGCGAGAACCAAATGCTCCGACAGCGAATACGCGAATTAGGTGAGCGATTTTTGTTTGTGGCTCTTTCGCGTTCAATGCGGATGGCCTTACTTCCCAGATCGTTTTCATTTACGTTAAACTTTGACGCTGACGACGGATAGAACGCCAGGTTGGTGAATTGACGGCTGATGCGCGGTCGAGTGCGATCCCCGCGACTCCTGCCGCACAAGGAACCGAACCCGCTGATCACCAGGTGTCTGTGGGAGTGGGATCGGCGACCGAGTCGTCAGACAAGACATGATTGACTGCGGCATACCAGCCACATGGAAGCCTCTGACTGCGAGGACTGTTCTCCAGATCTGCAGCGATCGGCACATTCTCGTGACCGGTGGTGCGCTCGCTGTCTGTATGAACATTAATGCAAAAGCTTCCGACTAAGGTGATGGTGTACGGAGGACTATTAGGTATGTCTGCGATGGCATGCGGCTGTGCGGGCGCACAAACTCAACCTGGGATCTTATTATTCCTACACTGCATCCAAACGTGGTCTCGGGTCAGGAAACGATGGCTGCTTTGCTGCCAAATGGGCGATTGTCAGATCTGACCACCGTCGATTGCTTTGGGTTTTGTGGAGCGCCTAACTGGTGGTCACGAAAGGCCTGGGGTAAACACTACACTATCGAAGATAGCCATCGAAAATGCTATGATAATCATTCAAATTAACCTTGACGTCGTATGCTAAGGATATACTCTTAGTATTTCTCCCTATCTAAACGGATCTTCCCGTCTACTAACCCTTCCAAGGACACACACCCTTTCAGTGCTATGTCAATCAACTGAATCCCAAATCCCGCGTCTATAATGGTCATCTTAATCACCACACCGGAGCGTAGTCTCAACCTCAAGCAGTAATCATACGGTGTTTCCACTGCCCAGTACGCTTCTTTCCGGTTTCCGGCCCCTCCCACCACCAACCCACCGCAGGCATCCTTCCACATATGAAATCTTCAGCCTTGAGCCAGTCTCACTTAGATTGATAGATAAATTTCCAACCGCATATTGTACGGAGTAGGATTGGGCAAGGGAGGCGTCGGTCGAACCAAATGGGGTGTCGATTCAGCGCGACCCTACTTAGACCAGAGTCTGTCACCATTCGTAAAACGTCAGAGGCCCCAGTCCTTATACTAACTCGATTTTTATTATTTTTACTATCTTTCTTACTAGAATTAGCTCACCAGGAGAATAATACTATAGTATCTTTATAAATAGACTATATACAATTAACTACTTTAATTATATATAGATAGATAAAAAATACACAGGGAGGCAGGCAGGCAGCTACTAAAATAGCTTAATTTATAGTATATTATTTAATTGCTATAGCTTTTGAGTATCTGAATTTTCTTTATGGAAGACAGTGAATAAATAGATATATAGCAATAGCCTAGACAGTGTGCCAGAAGCATAGTCAGTATGGCAGGAGCCTGGCTGGTGTGGCTGTAGCGGCTCCCTTGATAGAAAGCTAGTGGCGAGGGGTTTGGGCGAGAAACACCATGTTTATCAGGTTAATGAATTCTACTGCTGCTACTAAAGCAGCGTTTAAATCAGAATGGCCCGGATTAAGATTAGGTTAACCAAGTGAATAGAACAGCGAGATGTTGTGTGTTAGACTCTCTGCATTCTGCTCTATCCTGGTTAAATTATAACGTGGACTAAGGTTTGACCTTCTTTACAAGGAGGATCGAGCAAGCTATGGTTGTGTCATAAGAAAGTAGAAGCACACATCACATTGGAGATATAATAAATAGCACCCCGGAGGCTGTCAACACTTGGAATAGCTTTTAGATACTGGCATCGGCAGCAGTTTTCTTACAGTCTTTGGCCCCTAAAAGGAATAGTGAGAAAGAACTACTAGATCACTACTGCGCGTGATGCTCTATACTACTATATGACCACTGTACCATTCAAAAGCTGAGAAATGTTCTGGACAGCAAGCAAATGGCAATTCAACAGGAGGTCTTGTAGGACTCAATAGAAGTATAAACTGAACCACGAATGAGTGCTAATATGTCTTCCGGATTGGACAAACCTGAAATTAAGAGGCTACTATGGCCTACTTGGTCGTACAGAATCAGCCGAAATGCTTAGTGCCCTGATATGGAACAAACGGAAGCGTTTCAGGAACGCGACCTTGGTCATCTTCGACAAGTCTGTGACCACCAGGATAAGTTTGACCTACATTACAGTCAGAGTTGTCGTTATAAAAAGATACAAACAAGAAGATGACTTTCGGTTCCATACCATATTTTGGATGATTTAGCACACCAGTCTCATAGATATTGACATAGCGGTTCTTAAACCATTCCTGCAAGTGATCCCAATTGACGCATTGATGGTAACCGAAAAAGTCCGTTTCGGGTACTCGGCTGACATCAGTCCACCAGTAAGTAATCATCGAGGTGTCTGCTCGGCACATGACAGTTTGGCGAAGAATATCAATGCAGTGCTCTAGATCTATTATAAGAGCATATCCAGTATTAGGTGTAGGTGCCTTCACTTACCAACATGTGCATTCAGATCCACGAGATCTTGCTTTGACCAGTTGTCCATATATTCATCACGGTGATAGGCCCATCTTATCTGCTTCTATATATTGTTAGCCAAAGAGGCTCACTATGTATTAAGTCAGGGTCTTACCAAACAGTGAAGTTCATGATAGACAGTAGGCATGGCAAGATAGCCGCCGTCACCCAAGGCCACAGATGTTTGATTCATCTCCAGTAGCTCTTCTTTCGTTAGCCGAACATTATTGACTAGTATTTTGTTAGCCACTAAGCGTCAAACAGAAGCTTGCAGTATGCGGACATTCCATGAGATCATGCCAAGCTTTGTCTACCTCGGGGGTTCTATGAATATTCATATATTCATTCAAGTGTCGACCAGAGGTATCCATTTCAATCGTCTCATACTCGAGGTAGTCGCTGGTCGGAGCTGAAAGGATGTTATCATGGTGCTGTGGCTTGCGAGGAACAAATGACTTACTATAGATCATGTTATGTGGCCGATCAGGCTTGCATGAATGACTTTGGCGGTTAAATATCAGAATAGTTGCGAACAGGATGGTCGTTGAACAATTAAAGAGAACGCTCTTCCAATTTTTGGAAATCCATGTCTTTCTTGTAAATGAAAATTGATACTCATTGAAATCTGAGATGGACTTTGGCGATTCTTCGTCAACCAGAGGCATTGCCTCCAGAGATTTAGCTTCGGAGTCCATAGTGGCCGGCTGGGTGCGTAGGAAAACCAAAGCAGAAGGGCAAAGCTTCCACAGCATAATTATGAGACTCAGATGGGTACCAGCGAGGAGGGTGGACTCTAGAGTCACAGGATTATAATAACACCTACGGAGGATTACCAATCCTGCTCATTACGCGTAGCCTCTTGCATTCAATAATGACATGGGTAGGTAGTATCGAATATGCAACTATCATGGCAGTATCCTGCCCTCCAATCGGGGTTCTTTCGGAAGTTCTGGTTGTAACAGAGATAATGCACCAATGGTCTTTCCACTCATGACAAAAGCGCACTTGCGATATGTCTCTATCTATAATTGATTGAACTAATTGCCGGCTCCATTCACGGAGGATAAGGGCTATCTCGTACTATGTTGATACGGCTACTGCTGTACTGACAGACCAAAAAGACCACTCGGCTAAGAAGGTGTCCAGACACCTAAGGGAGTGTGATACTGAATGATACTGGGTTTGACATGTACCTGCTAGCCACATTCACTTCGTATTTAGATTGATCTTCGCAGGTTGATACTAATACTTATCGAATCCGCAACGCAGCTTTCATGTAAGATTAACTTGCAGCAGCTGTCGAGCATTGATAATAGTGAGACCAGCCAATTATGGCGGCGATTGGCCTTGCAAGTGAGGCTAGTAGTACTGGGTATCGGACGACTTTCTCTTCCGATGTCGGCCCGCCGGAGCTCCTCTCTTGGTAAGACCACCCCCATAGTACTATTTTAGTACGTATTGCCTACTTAGGAAATGGGAAGGGCCGTACCTTAAAGGCTGTATCGCCTAGGAATATGCAGTACTAGTTTATTTTCAACTTCGACCTTCCTCATTAGGATACGCGACTCGATAACAAATAACAACTTCCTGCATACTGGCAGCAATACTACCGCAAGTATGTACGTACCATCACCACTGTAAGAAAGGAAAAGTGTATAAACAGATCTCAGATCTACTAGGGCCTAGACTGGTTGCAATAGTGGAGGTTCGGTATGGAGAGTGGGAGGGATAGGTAAGATTATGTATCCCTTCTGATACCTGATTACTTGGTTCATGCATGCTTCAGGTAAGATTGACAGTACCACTGGCAGCTGGAAGTAATTTTCAAATCCCTTTCATACCTTAGTGAATATTGTGACTCCTCTATTAGATTCACACCCACTGCTTGCTTCCACGGACTGAGAAAAATATCTCTCATCCTGTTCCTTTGCTGCAAGAAGAAATATCCTTGTGCTTGGGACCATTGTCTTCATTGTGTTGCAGACAGCCCTTCTTATTCTCCGATGTATTCAAGAAAGATTCTGACGCCAGTAAAGGCGTTTTTAACTAAAGTCGAGAAGTTGTTTTCAACAAAACGGACTTGGAAATATGCCTCTTTGTCCAAGACAGACCAGGCTGAGGATGCCGCCGAGAAGGTTGATTGGAAAAGGAGAGGGAAATGGCCATTCTACCAGCGCTGCTTGGTCTTCCTTCTCCTGGGTTCCATCCTCACTGGGCTTACTGGTATTTTGATATTTGTCGGAGCCAAATATTCTCATGCGAAAGGTTCAGGAACAAATCAGGTAACAAGTATTAACGAGAATCCCTTCCAACCTGCCAAGTCATGCCAGTACCCTTCCGTACGTCATGAATGGCGTACTCTGAGCAAAGGGGAACAGTTCGAATATATCAGAGCTGTTAAATGTCTGACGCACAGGCCATCACGAGTCCGGACAAATGGGACACTATATGATGATTTCCCATGGATTCATGCAACTTCAGGTTCATTCTGTATGTGCTTCTTTAATGCCCCCCCCGGACCTCCTGCTATGCCATCCAATATCAACAGCGTCTAATATTCATGTCTGGACTGAAGCACACCACGCGGCCGCTTTCTTGTCGTGGCACAGGTATTTTATTCAAGTGTTTGAAGACACATTAAGAGAGGATTGTGGATATCAAGGAACACTGGTGTATGTATGTTCTACCCTCAACTAGATACCAGACTTTCTAAAAGTGTTCTCCAATATAGGTACTGGGATTGGTCTCTGGACTGGAATAATCTGACCGGTGCCCCGGTGTGGGATCCCGAGACGGGCTTTGGTGGAGATGGTGATATGGCTGGAGAAATAACTATTGGCGAAGGAAGATGTGTTACTGATGGTCCCTTTGCAGGACACATCAACATGTTCTACGGGCCCAAAGACCATCCCCATTGCTTATCAAGAGGATTTACGGATGGCGAAGGCCACTATGGAACTATTCCGGGCGAATCGGTGCACCCGGAACGCATCGAGGATATCCTAAGTCAGGAGGATTATGAATCATTCTTCTTTGCGCTGGAGAAGGGCCCACATGACACAATTCCGAATGGTGTTCGTGGAGATTTCTTTAGTTTTACCGCTCCATATGGTGAGACAGCATCCTCCTTTCCCCATGACACATTCTTACAAGTGGCTCGTTGCAGATCCTGTGTTTTACTTGCATCATACCCAACTTGACCGCCTCTGGTGGCTTTGGCAGGAGCGCAACCCAAGAGAAAGACATTTCGAGTACACTGGTCCTGCGTCAATGGGTAGTGATCACATGGCATCGGTCTATGATCAGCTCCCAATGTCTGGATTTGTCGAGCCGTTACGAGTCACGGACATTATGAACACGGAGTCCGATTTCCTCTGTTACAGATACTGAGTGAAACTGAACGGATTTCTTAGCAATATGATAGTATTGCAGTAGAGACGCTTTCTGAAGTCTTAGACGGTCATTGAATCTTATAGCCGTGAAGTATGACCTTCGTAATGTCATTTTTCTCCCACAATGTGTTGGAGCCACCTTTATTGGGGCCAGGAATGTGTGTGGCCATGTAGGCCGCACTCGGAAAAGACCAAACAGGGAGTTCCCCTTTCGCTGGAGAGGTATTCCATCATATTTCTCGGGGTCTGGGTACCTACATAGGCACTCATCATACCCAGTACATTCGTCTCTGTATCGGTATGGGGCCTTGAGTAGAACGTACGGTCAACAAAGCAAGCTCTATTCCTTACTTATAACATTTTCATTTCATGGTTATCCAACATAATTCAATCTAGTTGCGAATAGGTTCATCCGCAACAGTGTATCGACTGACACTACATAGAAAGTGAAAGCAACTGCCATGTCCAACAATGCCTACTTATAAAGCCTGAGCAGCCCTTATCTGGCTCCAGAGGAATGTTTGTGTTCGACGCCGACCCCATGGTTGCTACCGTCAGGAAATGAGGGACCTTGGGCGGTTAGCCTTGTAGCGTCATCTGCTATGGCATTATAACATACCTAGCGACGGATGCTTCAAAAAGTTTGGCCTCATCACATCAACAGAATTCATACGAGTCCATGTTCGTAGTTTCTCCCAGTTAACACACTTATGTGGAACCGAGAAATCGGCCTCAGGAATGGGAGAGAATTCATTCCAGTGCATTGGTATCAGAGAAATATCTCCATGGCACATTGATGCTTGTCGCAGAATTTCCAAGCAGTGATCTGAAGGTATTAGAAGGTATCTAGTGAAGAGATTGGAGAAGATTTGAGACCTACCCGTATGCATGTAGTTCAGCTCCTCATCTTCAGGCGAAAGATCTGGAAAGTAGTAATCCCTGTGGAAGAATTGGTAGAGTCTTTTCTGTGGCGGAGTGTTAGAGGTTGAATTGCAAGGCTCGCAGAATGTTGGAAGACCTGGGGGAATAGCCATACAATGCAATGCAGTTCATGGGTAACGCTAAGGTCTACCCAGTAAGAATCTTTGGCTCCGGGAATCGGAATTGAAGTCTTATTCAGTCGGCTGAGGTCGTCTCCAGATACTGCAATGCTAGAATCTGCAAGGGCGTTCAGAAAGGGTTGTCATCAAAGGCCTTCGGGAGAGCATACATTGAAGTAGGTCAGACCAAGCCTGATCAAGTTCTGGACGAGGTTCCCCGGTGAAAGGACTCTCGATTTTCAACGATGCATTGAAGTATATGTTTTCATAGGTTATAGCCTCGCTTGCAGGTGCTATAAATGGGACTAATTAAATATGGCCTCCATTTTCAGGAATGGAAGTGATAGCACTGACAGGCCACATAATTGTCCGATTGGTTTTTCATCATGATGAATAATGATAGAAAAACATTGAACGTCAAAAGAATCAGATGAACATAGCACGGTGAAATGTAATTGTGATACCTGTGTTTTTTTGACGGGGTAATATTGAGGTCATCGTCCCCAAGGGAATCCTCCCCCGACGGAAGTTTCTTAAATTGGACCTCTCTCGAGGTGAAGCGTTGGAGGAATTCCATTCTCAATTCCTGTAAAGTGTTCGATGAGGGGGGTGGCAGCGACGGGTCTCAAGGAGTAAACTTCCTAGGCTTAAAAGTAAGAGAAGCGAGGGTACGGAGGTACGGGATCCTAGAGAGCTACACAGTATTTGTGTTGTACGAGTGCCGCCCTGATTCCCGAAAACTTACAAATTACAAGCGTTGTCGTTGGCTTTCCCTTCTCTTCTTCTTTTTCATACAGCAATGGCGTTATGTATTGGACCTCTGAGTGTATCAAGTGAGTTGGAACATGCCAAGATAATTGAACCGATAGCTAAGAAAAAAGTACCGTGCATATATCTCTATAGCTTAGGTACGGAGTAGCCTCATACTAATGCTCCATACCGTAAATAAAAACCTGTCTAGTACTGTATCCCTGCAATAAAGCCTAGGTACTACTAGGCAGGTAGGACTGTCTTAGTCGTAGTGTGTCACTAGTATGTTACCCTGTAGCTAGTACATTATACTCCGCAATTAGTCCGGGCCAATCCGGTGGGTGAAACACTATTTACCTCATAGGTCTTGGCAGTCTGTCACTAGGCACAATACCCAGTGCTCTCTAGCTTCATTTGGTCTTCCGAGGTAATAAAATTCCAAGGGGTTCATGGTCACTGGCACGCCAGTAGGTGAAAAGGGTGGCTGAACAGAAATCAGGAAAGCAAGAAATCAACAAGGAACATATACTCAAGGAAATCATGCAACTGCCTAGGGAGTCGAAGCTTACGAGGCAAAAGATATAAGAAAAGGGGGGCTCCGACAAAGTTTGCTTGATCTATGCTATGCTGGCGACTTAGGAAGAGCCCAAAAAGAAGAAAGAAGAAAGAAAAGAGCTACTTAGAGTAGAACGCAATGGTCAATAGAACAACCAATCAAGTTCCTGATAGTAGCATAGGACATGTTGAAGATAGTCACTTTCCCGGCTTGAATTGCGTAACAAATAAGACACTTGCACAGTACAGGTTGAACTGATACTGAATGCAACCTTAGTGCATTAGCCGAATTCACTGCCACCAGCATCTCGGCCGTAGGGAGCATATCAAACGTTAGGCTCTACAAAAAGCCGAGATAGACGTACTCAGTTCCTGCCACATCTCTTATCATGAAGGGGCCGTCGGACTTACAACCGGTGAAGCGAGTCTTGCGGTGATTGAAAGATAGCAGGTGACAGGGATGCTTGGGGCTTGGATGCTATTTTAGTTTCTTTTGCTCGTTTGTATACCCTCGGAAGACCGAGTTCTCCTCTTTACCCCTCAGCTCAGCTGTTCTAGACAATGATGGCTTAGGAAAAATGAACCTTTAGCGTATCTCGTCCTTGCTATCGAGAATGTCATGGATGAACTATTTCTTGAATAGGAAGTTTTTTGCGTAGTTGTGGAGGGCAAAGTAGGAAGTGTTTGCTCCTCCGGGACAAAGATAGGAGGTTCCCTTGGCCATGGGGATTGCTGTTCATGAATGCTCCGGTATCGAAAGCAGTCACCGATTGTGCTGAAAGATTGCATACTCCGTTCGACCGTAGAGGGGATTGGTGATGGTTCTCAGCATGGAGCATTAATCTTAAGAAGAGGAGAGGTATATATACCCGCCTTCCCCGTCCCAGTTCCTGCAAGGCCAGGAGCCCAAGTAGTTTGATTCATATCAACATCGTTGTTTGTCAAATCCAAATACCCACTCGACGTTTTCAATTCTTCTTCCCAGTCCCCCAGTCCATTCCATCAAAATGGTACCGAAGAATATCCTTTGTGTGTTGGCTGCTTTTTTGCTGGGCGCAAGTGCTGCCCCCGTTCCTTCCGAAGGTATGATGATCCCAATCCCAGTGAAATTTGTAAACGAGGATTAAGTCGTGTTTCTCCAGAGGCCCCAGAGGTCAAGAGGGATGACGCTGACGCCGCGTATCTCATCGGCTACCCAGCTAAGGCCAAAAGGGACGATGCCGATGCGGCATATCTCATCGGATACCCGGCGAAGAGGGATGATGCTGATGCCGCGTATCTCATCGGCTACCCAGCCAAGGCGAAAAGGGACGATGCCGATGCGGCATACCTCATCGGCTACCCAGCAAAGCGAGATGATGCTGACGCCGCGTATCTCATCGGCTACCCAGCAAAGCGAGATGATGCTGATGCCGCGTATCTCATCGGCTACCCAGCCAAGGCCAAAAGGGACGATGCCGATGCGGCATACCTCATCGGCTACCCAGCAAAGCGAGATGATGCTGACGCCGCCTATCTCATCGGCTACCCAGCGAAGAGGGATGATGTTGAGGCGGCATAGTTCACAAAACATCGCAGGCGAAGACGGCTTCCTTGAAGGTGCATAGCAGGGTAAGACGATAAGCAACGGCCTAAAGATGGCCTTTCAATATGCTTACCAGGTTTTCAGATTAGACCGGCATTGAGCGAGATGCTTTGGTTCCATGCAGACTTTCTATGTAGGACAACCCAACTTCAGCATTTTTGTGCCATTGCTTGGTGGCGGGGGCGACTTCAACCAGGGTGATATGGATGTCTCTTTCTTGCTTTGTTATTTGTGGTTGTGTACTCCGTAACGAGTGGGGATCGTACGCTCCAGGAAGTAGACATAATATGACAAGTTGAGACACTGTTAATGTAATATGTGAGTAGAAGCCCCGAAACATCCTGTACCGACAGGAGAGAGGTTACTCCGTGATATCTGCCACCTAGCCACATTTCCAGTCCGGGTATTGACCTGGATCCAGCCCTAGATAGAAACCAGACTAGTAACATTAATCTAGTTGGTCAGCCTACCCAACATGTTCTAGACTTCTGGACCCCTGTTGAACCTCGGTGGCGATTGGATAGTAGGCCCAGCGGTTTATCAGAGGCCTATGAACGCATGCGCTACGTGAATTAGCGCATTGGGCCTTCAGTCACGCCCTCCATGGACTTTCCCCTTGCCTCCTCCTCCGCCACCCTTTGAACATCCTTTGCACCTCCACCACCGTTTCGCATCCCACATTTGAAGGACATAGGACCGAGCTCCCCGAATGGATTCGCTTAACGCAACCGAGTTCTGCATTCTGGCAGATCGTCACTTTGGCCCTCAGGTCCAAGTTCGCTGCCGAAGCTTTGATTTTACGGTCGCATTTGAAGAAAGCATTTTGTCTGTTCTCCCCTCCGTGCTGTTTATCGTATCGGCCGCCTTCCGCATCGGCATCCTTTACAGAACGAAGCCGAAGGTCGGCGCGAAACTATGGCAACTGTTCAAGCTGGTAAGCGGTGGCGAAACCCACATCTCATGAATGGAAACCAACTGACACCTTCAAAGTCACTGGGGGCGGTTTTCGGTTTGTGTCAGTTACTTCTTCTTGTGTTCTATCTTTTACCACACGGTGGCAGCCATCAGCCACTTGCGATCGCGTCATTGGCTCTATCTGTAGCAGACGCGACATTCCTCTGTGTGCTCTCGTACCTTGAACACGAAAAGGCAATCGCCCCATCAAGTGTCTTGCTCGTTTACCTTTCCTTGTCGACATTATTGGATGCTACCCGCCTCCGAACCCTTTGGCTACTTGGTGATGGCAGAGTACCATTCAAGGCAATTTCATCCATCAGCTTGGCCGTTAAACTGTCTGTCCTTCTTGCTGAATCACTGGCGAAGACGAAGCACTTTCTTGATCCAGATGCTGCTAGCCTGTCCCCGGAAGAAACGGGGGGGATATTCAGCAATGGTTTCTTCCTGTGGACAAACTCCTTGCTCTTGAAGGGATTCAAAAAGGTCCTCTCTTTAAGTGACCTTTACCATCTGCCGCAGAGCTGCGTGGTTATTGGACAAGACCCAGCGTTTCGATATGCCTTCGAAAAAAGCAAGACAAAGCACTACAAGCTCGTCACGGTTACTCTGAAAATGTTCAAGTATAGGTTGATGTGGCCAGTGATTCCCCGGCTATTCCTTCTGGCATTTACTTTGCTACAGCCCGTTTTGATGCTGGAACTCCTTCAATGGCTAGAGGAATCATCTTTGAGGGACCAGAGCATCGGCTATGGTATACTAGGCGCCTACGTGATCGTGTATATTGGCTTGGCTGTTGCCACTGGGTCATATTGGCGTCTTCAGCTAAGATTCATCACACTTCTCAGGGGAACTCTTATCTCAGCAATATACCAGAAGGCATTCACGTTAAACGATGCGGATGCAAAGAAAGCTACAATATCCTTGATGAGTACTGATGTTGAGATGGCATGCACCGGATTGGAGCAATTTCACGAGATATATTTCAGTCTATTGCAGATCGGCTTAGCAATTTGGCTCTTGGAGCGGCAGGTCGGAGTTGCCTGCGTATCTCCCGCCATAGTGGCAACTGCTTGTGCCATTGCGACTTATAAGCTATCACAATATGTTGGTCAAAGCCAGAAAGCATGGCTGGAGAGTGTACAGCAACGACTAAGTGAGTGCTCCTGGGAAACAAATCGATAAATAATGCGACATTCACTGATCTTCTTCCTCGATTGTTCTTTATCCATATCATGTCTCAACAGACGGCTGCATATTGGCATAGACGGTCGCTTCGGTAGACTGATACTTGCCCAATACGGCCTTTCTGTAGGGGTGTGTATTGGAGAGGGGCATTTGAGGAGAATACACTCTTTACAGATGCTACTACATCAATGCTGTCATACATGAAAACTGTGAAAATGTCTGGGTTTACGAGAAACCTTTTCAATAGGATTTACAACCTTCGAGATGCTGAACTCAATGCCGCCTCAGGATACCGGGGCTTACTAGTATGGGTTATGGGTTTGGGTAAGTGTAATCCCTCGTATAAGAAAATGGCGATCTAACCATTATCAGCATACGCCCCTTCGGCAATATCTCCAGTTGTCACCCTAGCTATCTACGCTGCTATACGATCTGATACCTGGAGTACATCTAGCGCATCTAATATCTATACAGCAATTTCATTGATAGGACTCATATCGTCTCCCCTTGTTACTGTCTTCCAACAGGTACCGATGGTTGTAGCTGCTCTAAGCTGCCTGGATCGAATCGAAAGGTTCCTAGATCTTCCAGTCCACAACGATTACCGGGAGCCATTCAGCTCACACGGGTCTCAAATTGCATCGGAAAAGCAAGCTACGAGCTCCGTTACGCCCCTGCCAGACCATGAGGATACGGGTAGATCTCGTATTGCTTTGACCCTCCACGACGCAAGCTTTTCTTACCCCGAATCACCGTCCATCGTGCTTCAGAATATGACAGTTAGTATCCAACGGTCACAAGTAACACTGATCATGGGGCCTGTTGGCAGTGGAAAGTCTGCGTTGTTGCGAGCCATGATTGGTGAAATGAATTTGCTTACAGGAAGCCTGCGGAAGGACATTGGCGACTGTGCATATTGTGACCAGAATTCATGGCTTCAAAACGAGTCCATTCGTACCAATATTGTTGGTAATAACGACGACTTTGACACCGAGCTCTACAAGAAAACGATTTGGGCCTGCGATTTGGAACAGGACCTAAGTGAAATCCCCGAGCGGGATTCAGCCAAGGTTGGAAGCAACGGCATATCGTTGAGCGGGGGGCAAAGGCAAAGAATCGTATGCTACCATTCCATATGCGACTACAACTACATCAACTGACATACTGACACAGTCCATAGCCAGAGCTGTATATGCCCGGAAAGAGCTTTTTATATTGGACGATAGCTTTAGTGCTCTCGATCCCCGGACGGAGGAGAACCTGACTCGGCGTCTTCTCAGACCTAATGGTATGATGCGAGCAAACGGACAGACAGTCATCATTGCTTCGAACAAAGGTAAATAACTAGCTAGAAGCTTTTAGTTTACTACTAACGCCACTACTACCACAGAAAGCCTGCTACTGTCGGCTGACTTTGTTATACTGCTCGACACCGATGGCAGAATCCAAGCACAAGGATCTCCACAACAGCTGGCGCCGCTGTTCACTGTTCAGGCCAGAGAATTAAGCCTGGACGATAACAAGTGTCATGCCTCCAGCCAAACAGACTCATTGGCTCCAGATGTCTCACCCCGCCAGCAATTAAAACCGACCGAAAGGAAGGAATTCAAATCGGATATAACAAAGGTTTCAGTGTATGGTTCCTATTTGCGATCGATGGGCCTCTGGAAAGGGGCAGTGTTCTGTGTCTTCCTGACACTCCAGACGTTCTTTTCCAAATTCCCAAGTACGTGAGTCCTAGAATATCTGAGGAGACATGGCTGACAGAATACCTAGCTGTCTGGCTTCAGTGGTGGCTGGATGGAGAACCTCACAAGATGAGTCATTCGTATGCGAAGTACATTGGGATATACAGTCTTTTCCAGGGTGCCGCCTTGACTTTTACACTTCTATCGGCTTTGTGAGTGAAGATGTTCTTCTCGCTCTCATTGTTTTGAATACTAACCTGTGATGAAGCCAGCAGCTGCGCATCGTTATGCCAAGAACAAGTCGCTATTTTCATACTCGTCTCTTGAAGGCGACTGTGAGGTGAGTATTACCGGCCAGGATTAGGTCAACTTAGCACTAATGCTTGTAGCCTTCCAATGTCTACTTTTACAGTGATCGACACAGGATCAATTACAAATAAGTAAGCTATAGTTCGTCTTTAAGCGAATTGATCTTGGATGATGTTGACAATCAGCTTAGATTTAGTCAGGACTTGCAACTGATCGACTGGAATTTGCCGATCACCTTTTTGAATGCCTCGGAAGGTAAGGGTTTTCCCTGCGCAATGATCAAAACCTTCTAATTCTCTTCCAGGAGCTCTCGGAACTTTGGCACAAGCCATTATAGTCGCAAGGTGAACCAGGCAGCCATGATGATTGAGTGTGTATTGACAGCTGGCGCAGTTCTTCTCCGTATATTTTCATTGCATTCCCGGCCCTTTTTCTCGCTGTGTTCGCCATCCAAAGGTTCTATCTTCGGACTTCACGGCAAGTGCGCGCAATGGATATTGAATCCAAAAGCCCGCTGGTGTATGTTTTGACATAAGATTTCGAGATACTATAGTAGGGCTAACTGTTCCTTCTTAGGACCCACTTCCTCGAGACTATCAACGGGCTGCATACTATCCGTGCGTTTGGCTGGCAGCGCAGAAGCCAACGCAGCTATCAGACTCTACTCAGTGCCTCTCAGAAACCATACTATCAGCGTTTCATGCTCCAGAGATGGTTGAACTTAGTACTCGACATGGTCGCTGCAGGTGTCGCTATTCTTGTTGTCGGGCTGGCCATAAAGTTCCAAACTCGCTCCACACTGATCGGATTAGCATTGGTCAATGTCATATCGCTTAACGAGACCTTGCAACTCCTGATCGTTCAATGGGCAGTTATGGAGATATCGCTCGGCTCTATCACCCGACTAGAGGAGTTCACAGCACAAGCCAAGTCTGAAACGAATCCTCAGCAGCAAGACGAGCCCGCCCCCCAGATGATGGGGCGCCGATGGCCCCCACAGGGATCAATCGAATATAGAAATGTTATTGCTCGGTACCATGAGAGTGGCCCCGATGCGCTTAAAGGCATCTCCCTGTCCATACCGGCAGGGTCGAAAGTTGGGATATGTGGTCGGACGGGCAGTGGAAAGAGCACCCTCATTTCTGCGTTGTTCCAGATGATTGACGTAACATGTGGCTCGATTGTCATCGACGGCGTCGACACTACAAGCCTCCATCCGGAGACAATCCGATCCAGTCTCATCGGGATCTCTCAGCAAAGCTACGTCATACCAGGACTTTCGGTCCGAGACAATCTCGGTCTGGGGTGTCCAGAGCCGTTGGATGATTCGCAGTTCATAGCGGCCTTGGAGAAGGTCTCTCTCTGGGAGACAATCTCCAAACGAGGTGGCCTTTCAGCAGTCCTGGACAACGATACCCTGTCTACTGGACAGAGTCAGCTGTTCTCATGTGCGCGCGCCCTCCTCCGACCCGGGGCTGTGGTGGTCTTGGATGAGCCGGCCAGTAACCTCACCTCTGAGACCGCGGATATGATCCAGCGGGTTGTCGTGGACGCGTTTCGGGAGCGTACGGTGATTGTCATTATGCATCAGATTGAGAGACTCCTGGACTTTGACCTGGTGGTGGTGATGGAGGACGGCCGGGTAGCGGAGATGGGACGGCCCCAGGAGCTACGCGAGGGAGCAGGGCCGTTCCGGATGTTGTTGGACGCGAGTCAAGGGAGGGCGTGACTTAGTTACTATGCTCTCAGCTCGAAGATAGTATGGTATTCTACCTAGAACGAGTCCGGAATTCATCTCCCTTCATTATCTGATCCCAATGGCTGGTGTACCGGAGTAGAAGAAGACCTGCCTTGTTGCCTTATTGCCCTATTGCCATACTGTCTTCAGATGAGCGGCTATCGGTGAATGGCAAAGAAGATGAGTCAATCCCAACCTCCCAGCCACCCCATTATTGACTATGTGTCATGGTGTTCTCCACCCTGGCTTTGTGTTCATGGCAGTGAAGGGGGGGGGGGATGAGGGCTGATGCCGGCCTTGTCTTCCGGCGGATACCGTATTGTGACCCGGACAGCGGCCTATTTTTGGGGAAGGCTCAAAGGGAACCGCCAACTCCTCCTGTCAATGGTCTTTGTGTGTTAGTCCCCCGTCGTCCCCCTGCTTTGAACCCGTGCAGTATCCTAATCCCTGGGTACTTCCAGACGTCTGTGCCCAGAGGGGCTTTATACCATTCACTCCTCACTCAACATGGGGCAGGGGTATTGTGCTTACAGCGCAATACGTGGCGGGGGATAGGATAGGAGCCCACCTCGACCTGGCCAGCAACACCAACCACTTGGACGGTGAATGAATGAATCCATCACGGTTTCAATTGTGGCCTCTGCGACTGTCCTATTCTGGGGTTCGTGGTGGCTACTATAAAGACCTTGGAGCCCTCCCCTGGCTTTCAACAGTCTCCTGTTGGTCTGTTTCCTGATCTCTTGCAACTTCCCATCTTCCACCGCTTAAGGCTCTTCTTTCTTCGAATCTCGCATCTGCAACGGCCTCGTTGCCCCTGCGTTGACAGCTACGACCCCATTGGACCAGCGTCCACCATCCGCACCTCCTACAACCAATTGTACGACTGTACTCTGTCCCTCCAGTCATCGCCTCCTGTCCTGTACCTTGCTCCTTGCTCCTTGCTGACCGGGGTGAATCCTGCCAGATCCCAGCTTCCCACTGGACCACGCGGGTCGTGGTCTTCAGTGGTGGAGGGTTTCTAGAACAAAAGTGAGTTGTTCTTCTGTGGTGTTTGAATCTGTCCGCCAACCAGCGGGCGGGAAGACGCCTGACTAACCCGCTGGCTGCAACGGAGTCGGATTTTCTTTTCCCTCGCCTTCTTTCGTCTGTTCTTGTCTGGTCTTGTCTTGTCTGGCCTGGTCTGGTCTCTCTCTCTCTCTCTCTCTGTCTTGTCTGTCCCTCCAACTTCTTGAACTCTCTCTCTCTATTCTGTCTGGTCCTTTTCGTCCGTCCCCCCCCCTCCCCTCAACCCCCCCCCCCTCCATTCCCTCTCCTCCAATCTCCTCCGTCATCGCCCTTTTCTAGGTTCTTCCCTTTCGACTCTCCCTCCATCCACTCATTTCTCTCCCCGACCTCCGTCTGACCTTCCTAATTTCCCCCACCCCCCCAATTCTAGTGACGAGCCCCGTTCCAAACCCACCCATCGTGTCACCTCGAGCTGCCACGAAACGTGCGCAGCTCCCCGTCACGACGTCTTCCACAAAGCGCCGTAAGGTAGCAGAGCCTCGCGGACCAGGATCGCTTCCGGGTTTGTCGTCTGCCTCGCAGGCCGGAAGACGTCACGGCTCCGACAAGTCCTCCTCCTCGCCCTCCCGCCGCCCTTCCTCTCTGCCCCGATCGCGTCGCAGTCAGAGCTCCTCTACCTCACCTCGCCGTTACGTTCCCGCTCATCTTCAGGGCCAGACCCTCGGAACCAACGCCGCCCAGCCCACCGCGCGCTCGCCCACCCCCTCCGCCGCCTGCGCCGGCCTGACCCTTCACAGCGATCCCGCGACCGACATGTCCGGCTCCGACGAGAAGGGGGAGATCAACCTCCCGCCCGCCTCACCCGACGCTCACGAGTCGCCCGAAGCCGACAAGGACTTGGATATGGACCTGGTTCCGACCCAGAAGGACACCGAGCCCCGGTCCGACCTCCCGGACGCCATCGAGACCGCGGGCTCCGGCGACGACAACTCCACCGGAAACGACCACAGCTCCGCGTCGGACGCCGTGTATCCCACCCCTTCCAGCACGTCCACCTATACCGCCCCTACTGAGACCCGCGCCCAGGCCGAAGCGGAGGCCGGCACCAAGTCCGCCGAACAACCCTCCTACGATGACCAGGTCGCGCAGGTGACCCGGTTCATGATGCAGCCGGTCGAGGAGATGCAGAAGGGATACGTGGTGTCGACATCGTGGCTGAAACGAGTGTATTCGCGCAGCGCGACCCATGCCGACAAAGCGGACAAAGCAGCGATGGAAGGAGAGATCGGCCCCGTGGACAATTCCGACATCGTTTTGGTCACGGACCCTATGAATGCGGGCTTCAAGGACGAACACGACGAGCCATATGTCCCTCTCCGGCCGGGCTTGCAAATGGGAGAGGATTTCGAGATCATCCCGCAAGGGGGCTGGGATCTGATCATGCAGTGGTACGGACTGGCAGACCAGTCTCCGGCCATCGTCCGCTACGCTCACAACACCGCGCCGTCCGGCGACCATATCAACATTCAATATGAAATCAACCCTCCCATCTACACTATCTTGAAGCTCACCAACTCGTCCGCGGGCACGACCACCAAGGCGCTGAAGGAAAAGAGCATGCCCCCGGCGAGAACCCTGGCCAGCCGACACGCCAACTTCCAAAAATGGTTGAAGCACGCAAAAGAACTGGCATGTGTTGACATGTCGACCAAGGTCCGTGTGTGGAGGGTTCTCGGGGGTCTCGGCAGTGCCACCGCATCCGCCGCAGCCACCCCGGCCGCATCTCGCAGTGCGTCACCGGCCCCGTCCGCATCCCTTATGGTCAACGCCGGAAACAGTCTGGTGCTCGATCTGAACACCTTCCTTTCACTCGCCGAGGGATCCCAACGCGAAGTGCTCGAGGGTATCAAGGATCAGACCGCCAACCCCAATTACAATGGTCGCATGACTCTGGATGGCGCGGGCCTCGGCGGCAGTGAAGTAGTCGTGCTGGAGGAGAAGCTTCCGGGAGCCAACGGCGAGTGGGTGTCCGAGGCCTCCAAGCAGACGCTGAACCGTCTGGGTGTGCCAGCCGGCAATCTGAAGGCCGCCGCTGCCACCAAGTCGAAAGCGAAGAGCCCCGCCAGCAGTGGGCGGTCCTCTCCGGTCTTGGAGCCGCTCAGGGGAAGACGTAAGGACGGAAAACCGCGCGGCTGCACCGGTCTGAGCAACCTCGGCAACACCTGCTATATGAACTCTGCTCTACAGTGCGTTCGCAGTGTGGAGGAACTCACCTACTACTTCCTGAGTGCGCTTGGCCCCGTGATGTTGGAGATATCGTGCTAACTCTACCTAGATGACGTCTACAAGCAGGATCTCAATCCCCAGAACCCGTTGGCCCACAACGGCGAAGTGGCCAAGGCGTATGCGAACTTGCTGCGCCAGATATACGATGAAAACGCCCAGTCTTCCTTCGCGCCGCGCCAGCTCAAACATACCATCGGCCGCTACGGTCCGGCGTTCTCCGGGTACGGGCAGCAGGATTCCCAGGAATTCCTTCTGTTCCTTCTCGACGGTCTGCAGGAGGATTTGAACCGCATCATGAAGAAGCCGTACATCGAAAAGCCGGACTCCACCGACGATATGGTAACTGACAGGGCGAAGCTCCATGAGTTTGCCGACACGTGCTGGGATATCTACAAGGCCCGCAACGACTCGGTCATTACCGACCTGTTTGCTGGCATGTACAAGTCGACCCTTGTCTGCCCGGAGTGCAACAAGGTTAGCATCATCTTTGACCCATTCAACAACCTCACTCTGCAGCTTCCGATTGAGAACATGTGGGGCAAGGAGATCTTTTACTTTCCTCTGGGCAAGAAGCCTGTGCTCATCGATGTCGAGATCGACAAGCATGCCAGCATCAAGTCGCTGAAGGAACTGGTTGCGAAGAAGATGGGCTCTGACCCTCAGAGATTGGTCATGTCGGAAATCTACAAGAACAAGTTCTACAAGCTGTTTGACAACACGAGCTCGATCGCGGATTGCCAGATCAGCGGCAATGATGACATTGGCATCTACGAGGTGGAGTCCGTGCCTACGAACTACAACCCGGACCGGTCGCCCAAGACCTACGTCTCATTCAGTCGCTCCGACCACGAGGAGGTTCCCGCGATTGACTCGCCCCGGGCCGACCGGATGCTCGTCCCCATCTTCAACCGGTGGGAGAAGCCGCGCGGAAACAACCCCAACAACCCCAAGAACATGCAGCGGACGCTGTTCGGCGTGCCGTCGTACGTGGTCATCAACCGCGAGGAGTTTGGCGATTACGACACGATCTTCCGAAAGGTCCTGGCGCAGCTTGCCCCCATGAGCACCCGCAATGTCCTGGAGGAGCAGCGCGTGATCGATGCCAACCAGGAAGACTCCGACACCGTCGTCATGAACGAAGATGATGCGGAGTCGGCGGACTCCAAGATCAAGACGGCTTCCGTAGACGGCGAGGACGGCATGGTCGACGTTTCGATGCGCGAGTCGGATGACTCCCCCAGCGACCCCCCGGCTGGCCCTGAGAGCACCATCCCCCCCAACCTCCGCGGTCTCTTTGAGATGAAGATCTTCAAGTCGAACGAGGTGGTGCCGTCGGGCTTTTCGTCTCTGGATGAACACAAGGAGTACCCTAAGATGTCATTTAGAATCAAGGCACCCGTGGCGAAGAAGCCGAAGAAGGTAATTCTCGATTTGTGTCGTATGTTACATGAGTCTAACCTGGAGCAGGCTGCGCAACAGGCCAGTGACGAAGAGGCATCTGCCGACAAGGGCTCCGACAGTGGTGAGCCGGATAGCCCGACACCTCCCAAGCCCAAGCCTCCGATGATCCGCCCCGGTGAAGGTATTGTGGTGGAGTGGAGCGCCGCGGCCTATGATGCTCTTTTCGCCTCGGTTTCCGGCAAAGAGACTGAACTTCGTGGTGCGCCGACCTGGACCGACGTGGAACGGTTGCCCGATCCGGAACTCTCCAAGCGCCGTGCCCTCCGTCAGCACCGCAAGAAGAAGGGAGTGACGCTCAACGAATGTCTGGACGAGTTCAACAAGGAGGAAGTCCTGTCGGAGAATGACGCATGGTACTGCCCTCGTTGCAAGGAACATCGTCGGGCCAGCAAGAAGTTTGAGCTGTGGAAGACGCCGGACATCCTCGTCATGCATCTCAAGAGGTTCAGCGCTAGCCGCGGATTCCGTGACAAGCTGGACGTTCTCGTCGACTTCCCGGTGGAGGGCCTGGACATGACCGGCCGCGTCGAAGCGCCAGAGGATGGTAAGGGCTTGATCTACGACCTCTTTGCGGTTGACAACCACTACGGTGGACTCGGCGGCGGACACTACACGGCGTATGCGAAGAACTTTATGAGCGGCCAGTGGAACGAGTACAACGGTAAGCTGGATGTCTGAGTGTGAAGAAATAGCGGACTGACTGACTGACCATTGCAGATTCTTCGGTGTCCAAAGCGATCGATCCCGAGGCCGTGGTCACCTCGTCGGCTTATCTGCTATTCTACCGGCGCCGTTCGGAGCGGCCGCTGGGCGGCAAGGTGCTGGAGGAGGTCACGGATGCGTCGACGCGTCCAAACAGCGACTCGGAATCGCTCACGGAGTCTCGTTGTCCATCCCCGTCGGGGGAAGGCCGGCGTCTCGGCGGCTCCTCCCGACTTGGGTCGTCGAGCGCCTTAACCGGAGCCGGAGCAGCTCACCAATCGGGAGATGGTGGTTTGCAAACTGGAATCCCAGCGAAGAACGATGATGATGATGATGATGATGACGCGCCCCCGGAGTATTCATCCCGACAGGAAGGTATGGATTTCGAGGAAGAGTTCGGCGACGACGCACCACCCAGCTCGCGCCAGCCCCACCACGACCCGCCCTCGTGGTCGTTCGATCGCGCCGCCGATGCAGATACAGATACAGATGCTCACGCTCACGGCCCTTCACAGATCCACCCAGCCGAGCCTGACGACATCTCGTCGTGGCCCTTCGATCGCGTCGCCGCCGGCACGGACCGTCAGATGCACATGCACCCCAACACCGACGACGAGGACCTGCTCGACGACAACGCCAGCAACCAGGCCGTCGGCGACGGCGACGTCAGCGACCCCGACCTCCGCATGGCCTCGCTCATGGACAGCCCCGCCGGCGCCGCCTACCCGGGAACGCCCGTCGAGGAGACCTTCCAGGATATCTCTCCCTTCGGGGACGGGGATGACGATGAAGACGAGCTGCCTGTTGTGGAGCTGACGGTGACGGATGAGTAGGAACTGCAGATGAAAAGGGGTGCTTGCATTTGCATTTGTGCTTTGTTTTGGAAATGTGTTATGAATGAATACAGAACAGGTGCTTAGATATCGTCCGGGGCGGCGATAATGATCTTGATCTTGATTCTTGTGACTGGATGACTGGGTGATTGAGTCGAGATCAGATAGAACTCTCTCATCATCATCATCATCAACATCATGAACGTCAACATGATCAACATCATCTTCGCCGCCTGCCTGGGTGTTTGTTTTAATAGGAAATAGGACGGGAGGTGGAGGTGGCTGGACAGATGCATGGCGTGGAGTGGAGTGGTGTGATGTGGTAGGCTGGGGATATCGACTGATTGTTTCTAATGCATGCATATTAAGGGTTGGGTTGATTGAGGCATTGAGGCATCGAGACATGACTGCATGGACGGATCGGATCATGATGGTTTGATACACGGATGACGGATGACTACATGCATGCATGCGTGGATGTATGTACTATGTACGATGGGATTGGCGGCGTCGTCCTGCTTGCATCGCATCGCATCTACATTTACATCTACATCTACATCCTGCTTTTCTTTTTACTTTACTTTTTCTTTACTTTTCCTTTCTTTCTCTTTTTTTTTTCTTTCTTTCAACTTGTTCTGTGCCCGTGCGCCATGGCGATGTCTTGTGTTGTGTTGTGTTGTTGTGATGGGATGGCATGCCTGGTCGGGTCGGGTTTAAATTAAAAGCTGGGTTGGGGGGGGGGGGGGGGTTAGGGTTAGATGAATGGAATGATTCCGTATTTACTGTTGGGTTTTAGTTTTGTAGGGGGTGGGATGGAATTGGTGGAACCTCCTCTCCTCTTGTTTGTAAGGTAGGTAGGGTAGGTAGTTGAGGGGTATGGGTAGGGTAGTAGTAGGTAAGTAACTAATAGTAAGTAAGTAGTAAAGAACCTATGTGGCTATCTGAGTTAGAGTTAGAGTCAGAGTCATGCGGGCTGGCTTACTTGCAGTTGTTTTCAGCTGGGTAATGACGATGACGATGACGATGAATGATGTTGATGTTGATGTTGATGTTGAAATATGACTAAGTAGTGGCTGGCTGGCTGAGTGTCTACTTCGGACTGGGGATCGGGGATTAACGATTGAATCTGGTTGGGTGAGTGTATACTTTGTTAGTATATAGCTTTTATTCCATTTATCTTTGTTTTTTTTTTTTTTTTCCCAAAAAAAAAGATTGTTCAACTGTTTAACTGCAATGGGATGGTTGAATGGATCTACTTCTTCTATAGTCTATACTGTAGTCTAGTCTATAGACAGGGGAATCAATGCAGCTAGTTCTGTTGCATCTGTATCGATTGACTGGGACTAAACCAAGTAGTAGGACCCAACTGGACACTCTTTCAGTGAAGGTCATCCCGTTTCTCATAATCGGGTTCTTACTTTCCAGACTTTCCAGATCGCTATCTAGAAAGATACTAGATAGATACTAGATAGATACTAGATACCGTGTTTGATGTTAATGACTTCGACGAGTATCTCTGCTCTTTAAATCCATTTTCCATCGGGTGAAATTGCTGGACTGTCTTACCTGAGACAGCAGAGCAGTACTCGGGATACTACTCACTCTATGCCGGTTACTGGTTACTCCCTCCCTCCCTCCCTCCTCCTTCCCAAACCCTCTTCCCCCACCACCTGCCCGAACCTGCTGATTTGCACACCTCAGGCCATACCACAAGTACTACGAATATCCAAGCTGTAAGCCTCTCCCCCCACCATATCACATCCACACATCCACACATCCTTACCCACCACCCACACTCGTTCACTCGTTCACTCGTTCGCTCGTTCGCCAAACCTCCACTATCCATCCATCCATACTCTACCAAATATCCCAATCTCGACCCCACAGTCACACTTACCATCACCAAATATATCCGTGTCCGTGCACGTGTCCATGTCCACATCCACATCCACATCCATGACCATGTCCACGTCCACCAGACGCATCCCCACCCACCACCTCCACAACACCACCAATGCGAGCGCAAACCCAAACACAGTCTCAGTCTCATCGCCATCTCCATCCCCATCCTCATCCACAGACTCCACCGCAAACCCAACCCCAGCTCCAACCGCAAACCTAACACCCATTCCAAATCCCACCTCCAGAACAAAATTCTCCCCTAGGGATATGGTCGTGCCGCTGCCCTTTACTTTCCACTCCGGAGAGACGCAGACGCAGCCGCTTTCGAGACGGGCCAGGAGGATAAGGAAGCGGAAGGAGCGGGGAGTCGAGAGGGGGAAGAGTGTGGGGGTGTTAAAAAGGGGAAGGGGAAGGGGAAGGGGAAGGGGGATAGTAGTGGTGAAGTGGTGGATTCGGGCCGCGGTCTGGATTTGTGTCCTGGGGAGGAGCAGGGACAGGCTGATGGGGACGGTTACAGTGCGGATGCAGATACGGAGAGTTTCTTTGTGGGGGAGGAGGGTGGGAGGGAAGTCGAGGATCAAGACCTGGGTTTGGGTCTGGGTCGAGCTGAAGTTCAGTCTCGGGATCAAAATCAGCGTCAGGATCAGAATCTCACTCAATTTTCGGCTCATATCCGATCTCAGGCTGGGGCACAGGCGCAGGCGCAGGCCGAGCAGGCACGACTACAGCTCCAGGAGCAAATACAGATCTTCTCCAGTCCGCGTTCAGAGCCCGTGAGGCCCTGTTCTCGCCAGCGACACCGATCCGTCGCCCGCTCGGATCCCGGCTCAGCTGTCGATCTCAACAGACAAGTTACCTATTCTGATGGCGACGGGGTTCATCGATGGGCTATGGTTGCTGGCATGGAGGCTGATGAGAACGTCGACGGTAATCACATCTCGTCTCAGAAGGAGAGTATCAACCAACCCGGACATCCTGGGGAGATCGACTCTAGCAGAACCAAACAGGAAAGTCTTCCCCTGCCACCGGGTCTACCAAGCAACAGGGATCACGCATGTAACATGTCCTGTCAGGACGGAGGCCTTCCTCACCTGGGATATCTTAACCAGGAATTTCTCAACCCAGGACATCCGGGCCAGGGATTTCCCGACCAGGACTATCTCAATCAGCTCAGAGATCTAGTCAATCAGGAAATCAATCTCAATGGTGGCTATTCCAGTCAGGAATTTTATGATCAATATCCCAGCCAGAACGGGGCCTCTGCCAATCAGGCATGTTCTGATCAAAGCACGTGCAAGTGTCATCCTGAGCCGAATGAATTTGTTGATCGCGATGGCTTCAACCAGAACAGAGTCTACAGCCAGGGCTGCCAAGAGGGAGACCACTCCAATCAAGATCATCTCAATCAGGAAGGATTCGCCCACCAGGGATTATCGAATCAACATGCACAACGTGCCAACACTAACATCCCATATCCAGACCTGCCTCGTGAGGGAGGTTCATCGACGCCAACTCCCACCCATCGGAGCCATCTCGATCAGCCCGGATACCGCTCCAACCAAGACCATCTCAACCAGAGAGAATCGAACCAGCACGCACAACGTGCCAACACCGACACCCCATATCCAGCCCTGCCTCCGGAAACATGCCCGTCCAACCCAACGCCTACCCCCACGACAACCTTCAGAACACTAGTAACAACCACTGTAACACCCACCTCGACTGAAACGACCATGTCCTCCACAGTGGAGGGTGACGAGCTGCAGAAGGTGATCGCAAACATGCCCACACGCATGGCCCTTCCTCCGCGCCACCGGGATTTGTCTCTCAGCGACAGCGAGATCAGTCTGTTGGAACTAGGGCCGAGCTTGACCAAGTCGGCGCTTCTTTCCAGGAACGTGATGAAGGCACATATACCGGCGGGAGATCAGATTGGACGGACTGTGGTGGAAAATCGAACTTATGAGAGAACTTGGGTCGGGGATCAGACTTTTGAACAGACACGGCAAAGGTATACCGTGAACTGGGGAGGCGAGGATATCCACGCGGGAACTGGTACAGAAACGGTGCCAATTATCCAGACTGATGCTCCTGTAATCGGTGGAACCGACGGCACGGGCATGAGAGTCGGGGATACATCTGGCGCTGGGAGCGAGACCGGGACTGAAACCATATCCACTGCAATGCCCGGAAGACGGTATCCTTGCCGGTAGGAAAAGAGGATGACGATGCTGGAGGATCATGTCGGGGTCTGATGAGTAATGATAGATAGCATGGCTACTATACCTCATGTCATTCGTGAGACCGGCTGTTTGATGGAGATAGCTAGATTAATAGATAGATAGATAGACAGGATATTAAGTATTAATACGATGCGGCTTTTATATTTTGTCTCTAACACTGCCGATGCTGCCGATGCTGCCGATGCTGCTGTATACTGTATACTGTATACTGTATACTCTCTACCCTATACACTCGCTGTCAATATACTATATACCATCTGTATACCCTATACTTGAAACATACAGACCTGAAGCGTTGTATCCTAAAGCAAGATGAATACTTCCCTTCTAGGTGTAGATAGATGTATTCTGTTCGAAACGTGCGACTGCGACATCTGATAATATATCGTATCGTACCTTGATCGTGAATTGTGAAGAGACCTGTTCTGTGGGAAAGATGGAAGGTGGAACTTGCTGGTTAAACCGGGTGGGGGGATGGGTGGATGGATGGGTTAAGAGATGGATGAGTGGATGGATGAGTGGATGGATGAGTGGATGGGTGGATGGATGCATAAATCAAACAATCAAGCCCAGACACAAAGGGAAACTATAGGATGGTATTTCTTATATTGTATGGTATGGTATGGTATGGTATGGTATGTTATTTTATGGGGTGGGGTGGGATGGGATGGGATGGGATAGGATCGGATAGGATAGGATAGGATGGTGTAGGATGGTGTAGGATGGTGTAGGATGGTGTAGGATGGTGTAGGATCGGATAGGATAGGATAGGATAAAACAAAACGCATCATTGCGCAACAGGCCACCCGTCAACGTAGACTAGGGGATTGAAGCCCAGTCGCGCGTCCTGGAAGCAGTTGTTTTGTTAGTATAACTGGGCTGGGTGGGGCTGAGTTGGGTTGGATTGGAATAATTGGGGAGAGGAGAGGAGAGGGGATACGATATAATACATACATGAAACCCATATCCGATTGATTTGTTCACTAAATCATAAGACAGTATATCGTAGTTAGCATCGCTCGAGTCCAGATCCAACGATACAACTGCCACTCTGCCACTCTCTACTCCAGGAATCGGATGCAATGCAGAGTGCAGTGCGCAGAGTGTAGTCAGTAGTCGGGTGAGGTAGATAGTTCAGGCAAGGTTACTACACTAGTGAGGAGATGGGGAAAACTCACAATAATGATAATAAAGTACATCCCCCCCTCATCAGCCAACACGCCCTGTCCGCCCGGCGCATAGACATCGTCGTTGGACGCGTAGATGGTTTCTCCGCCGCCGTTGAGCAGATCTCTTCCTCGTTTGTCGTGGAAGGGGCCGCGCGGGGAGAGCGAGCGGCCGAGGCGGATGCTGTATCTATTATTTTTTTTTCTCTCTTAGCTGATTACTCATATCTGAGGGGGGTGAAGAGAGAATTGGGGGGGGGGGGTGAGAAACGAGATGATAGAAGTGTGTGTTTTGAACACAGGGGGGCAGAAATGATAAAACGATATGGAGTCAAGATAGTCAGAGCAAAAGCAAACGACAGTGAGAGTAAGAGAAAGAAAAAACATACTCCATCCCCTCCCTCGGCAACCTCTCCGGATCAAAATGGCAACACTTCCCCCAACTAAACCAGAGATACCACCACGGATCGCGAAACGAGACAAACGCCCCCTCAATCGGATGCATCCCGGTAGCATCGCCACACACGCCATCCGCCTTCTTGGCTGGCGGATGCACGGCGGTCGGCTCGAACGCGAGATGCCGCACCTCTTCAACCCGCGGATCAGCCCCCAAAAAGTCCCCCGTCAGCGGGATCTGCCAGATGCCCGTCCAGAAACTCCCGAAGGACATGTACGCCGTGCCGTCGGTCGTGTGGTCGATGACCACGCTGATGTCGATGGCGTTGGCGCGGTCGAAGGGGTAGGTTGTTATCCCTATGCCGGAGATGCCGAGCGGGAGGGCGCCGTGGTCGGTCCATGTGCTGGGGCCGGAGTTTAGGTCTGGGCCCGGGTGCGAGGAGGTCGCGACGCCGAGGGCGCTGTTCCGGCAGCCGCTGTTGCTGGTGGCGTAGAAGCAGTAGTAGACTCCGTTGAGGGAGATGGTGGTGGGCGCCCAGGGCGCTTTGGTGTCGCCTCGAGGCAGCTTGCTGTCGTGGGAGAGGACGGTGCCGGCGAGGGTCCACGGGCCGGAGAGCGACGGTGCGGTGTGGATGGGGATGCGGGGCCCGGAGCCGTATGCGTAGTAGGTGTTTGTGGTTGCGTCGTGGATGATGCTGGGGTCGTGGATGTGGAGGTCGGTGATGTGGGTTGGGGGTAGGGGGGTGGGTTGAGGAAGGGGATGTCTGGGATGTCTGGGGGAGTATCTGGGGGCTGGGATGGGGTATGGTAGTGCGTGTAGAGCAGGTAGGTGAGGAGGAGGAAGAGGGTCAGGAACGTGATGCTTCGGATGATGCGGCGGAGGAAGGGTCGGGGTTGGGGGAGCATGGGACCGGGCTCGTCACCGGGCTGGGTGATGGAGAAGGTGGGGAGGAGAGGCCATTGAGTGGTGGGCATTGTGATGAGGATGAGGGGTCATTTTAGTTCATGGCTTGGATGCTGAAGTGCTCGGCTGCAGAACTGCTCGGCTGCAAAGGTGTACTTTTATAGGCCAACTGGCGGGTTCAGTGGCGACGTCGAGTTGGTATAAGTATAAGTATGGATGGGCACAAGATCTGTACAGTCACACTGCAGAGATCTGACAAGGTGGCTTTAGCTGAGCTAGCCTAGCCTAGCTTCATCAAACGTCAGCGGTTGGCGACGATCCGATCCCAGCCAGGGCAGTCAGTTGTCATGGATATTGCCGAGTCCAGCGGGTGTCTGCGTAGGCATTAGTCTGGTTCCTGGCTGGGGAGGGAGAGGAAGTTATACTTGTAACTACCCGAGGGCAGTCCACGGGCATGTGAATCGGTAGTACAGAGGAGGTAGTGTTATGTAGTGTTATGTAGTGTTGTGTAGTGTTGTGTAGTGTTGTGTAGTGTGTAGTGGCAAGTTGAAGAAAGAGAGAGACCGAGAGACGGACAGACGGAATTCCCGCGAGGGATCGGCGCCATGTGATCCCCCCAGCCAATCACCAGGTGCCCCCGGCAGTCAAGCAATCTACTTCAATCAACGCACCGCTTAAAATAGACGGCGATGTTGCAAATAGCAGAGTATCGACAGAGGAGTACGACTACTCTTGTTCATAGCATGAGACCGCCTGAACTCTTATCCAGAGGACGGACTTACTTTAACACCTACCCTAACCAGGCCTATTCCATCCATGGATACAATATTTCCCGCGGAAAATAAAACTCATTCTCTGCCATTGTACTATTTGAATTTGATGATGGGGTTATATCTATTCCAGAGTATTTCATTTGTAGGTCTGGATGGATTTGCGCGAATAGCACAAGGGATATATATTTACGGGCGGGACATGGTGGTAGTTATTATCAGAATCAAGTGGAAGCGAAGATAGCCGTTCGAAAAAGACTTCAATCCAAAGAGAAAGGACAACACGGTCTGATTAACGGAGCCAAGGAAGCCAGAAACTGGTAACAGTCCACTGTCTACTCTAAAGACCAGACCCGTGCGCCATCTCAGCCATGACATCATATCAGATAGCAGGAAAGTATGCAATTAATCACCATCCGATCCCCGACAGCAGCCAGCCAGTCGACCCCCAGCTCGCCCGATCCCGATTATACGAATCTATCCGTGTCGTCCGATCGAGCGCGAGCCCGAGCTTGATCCTGATCCTACCCACTGCCCGAGAAAAAAAAAAAAGAAAAGAAAAGACAACCAACGCCCAGCGCTCCAAGATCAAATAACCTGCCGCCCTACCGAACCTCGATCTTGTCCACCTCGTCCTTGGCCTCCGTCCACGTCTCCAGATTTTTGCGCGCCCAGTCCAGGTGGCACCGCGCGTACGCGACCTGAGGGAGCGGGAGCCAGTTAGCAAGAACATCAAGGGCGGATGTAGAGGGCGATACAGAAGGATGGCTAAAAAGGGATAAAGAGGAGAACACACCATATACCGCCGCAAATCCAGCTCCTTGTCCTTCTGGAAGCGCTTGAGATCCTGCAGCACACCCGAACTGGCATCTTTGACGTCCTTCTCCGACACCCCGAGGGCTTGTTCCAGCTGCGCACGTCAGCATTCTTCTCTGCTCGGAAGCTAAAAAGGCGAACGTACCTGCTGCAAACTCTCCTTCGTCTTGCCGATCTGGTCGCGCCGGGTCCGCTCCGGATCCACGTCCACAAAGCCGTGCACCGCGTGGCTGATCCGCCCGAAGATCTTGTTCGCCACGAACGTGCCGCTCGACGTCTTGCGGTGCGCCGGCGACGCAGGCCCGAAGTCCGCCCGTCGGTGCGCCGGGTTGGGAGGGGCGTGGGGACCGATGGACTCGCCGTGCGTGGGAGGGAAGTCCGAGTCCACCGAGGCCGTGTCCTCGGAGCCAGCGGCACGGGCCTCGTTCTCAGACCCCCCGGGGGCCACTGCCGAGGAGGCCGACAGAGACCGCTGCGTGCGTGTGGGCGCCCCGGACGGTGTCGTGCGGTTGAGATACTGCTCGATGCGCTTCGCCTCCATCTCACTGCGCTCCAGCGAATCCAGCAGCGTCTTCTTCTTCGCCAGCTCGTCCCGCGTCATCTCCTCCTGCACCCGCTTGAGCACCCGATACCGCAGCACGCTGCGCACGACGCTGGCGAACTGGGCGCTTTCCCGCATCGGCTCGGCGAAACTGGCGCTCAGCGCGGATGACAGCTCTTCTGTCTCGATGTAGGAGGTATCGGCAGCCTGACCGACACGTTCGATGGCCGCCGCCACGGTCGGCGACTGTTCCGACAGAGAGAACCCATTGTACCGGGCCCCGAGCTCCATCAGGTCGGCAGACAGGGATGATAGATGGGCCAAGGTGCGCCGGTTGACCTTTTCGATGTTGCCCTGCAGAAGTAGCTCGAGCTCGCGCGTCGACGCCTCGAAGTTGATGAAGTACGGATCCAGTTCCTTCTCGCTCAGCTTCCGCGACTCCGGGGGAAAGCGACCGACCACATCGGTGCTGGGCGCCTCCACCGACGCACTGGGGCCCGTACCGCCCGTGGACTTGAGCTTCGCGGAGGTCGCTGGCACCGGGAGCCAGGCATGTGCAGGGGTGGGGTTGGCGGGGTCCAGCGGGGGAGCTTTCAGGTTGTTCTTCGGTACGGACGATGCGGGATACGAATGCAGGACCTCACTCTAAAGATTGTCAGCGTACGCTCATGAATGGGGCAGTCGCACCGACCCAGCTGACGTTGGGGTCCAGGAATCTCCACCAGACCCCATCCTCGCGGACCTCCTTCATCCGACGGCACCGATTCAGAAACACCGCCAACATGCGCTTGCGGAGATCGATAATCGCGGTGTCCTCCTTCGCCTTGGTGGGCTTGGCGGCATAGTCGGCCATGGTATGCTTCTCGGGGATGGGCGGGACGACGAGGGTGGGATGGAGATTCACGAGGGTCTGCCGCAGCGACGCGAACTCGGAATACCGCCGGCGGACTTCCAGATCCTGCACTCATTAGCCTGGGAGTCTCGAGAGCAGGGCCGACCTACCCCGGTGCGTATCGTGTAGACAATGTAGCTGCCGCCGCCCTCGTGGTTCTTGCCGGCGTCGGTGATGAGGATGGGCATCTCGGGGTTCTCGTAGAGGATCTGCTCGATGCGGCTGTCGTAGGCGGCCTTGCGGGGGTAGCCATGGCCGGGGGGTTGGGGGTCGTACGCGGCGGGGTCGTCCTCATCGCTGAGGTCCTGCTGTTGGGAGAGGAAGTCGGGGGGTTGTCGGTGGAGGAGCGGCTGGAGGGAGAGGGAGGGGTGTATTCGCGGTCGTAGAGGGCTGGGGACATTAGAGCAGATCCAGGCAGACGCCGGGCGATCGGCAGGAGAGGGATGGGCGATGGGGGCTTACTGGGCGAGAGGTTGGCCGAATGGAGGGACTCGGAGAGATGCGCCTCGTTATCGAATGCGCCGTACGGGTTGTTATCCTCGTCGTTCCACATGCTGGCGGGTGGTGCGGGCTGGGCGGCAGCCTGATCAGGGAGTGCGGGAGGACAGGAAGAGCATGAATTGGACGCGATGAGGGGGGGGGGGGGGGAGGAGAGGGAGGAAATGGTTGGTAGACAGACAGACAGACAGGCAGCAGCAGCAGAGAGAGGAATTCGAGTAGCAGCGTGAGGGAGAGTGAAGGAAGCAGCGGAAAGGCACCGCCTGCACTCGGCGGGGATCAACGTCACTGACTCCGGCGCGGCACAACAACCACTGACGACAGCGTATAAATAGCTCAACGGCTTCATTTGACTAAGTCTCCTACATAACTACACCATCACCATTCAGGCTCCGCTCTTTCTTCCACCTCCATCTCATTCTCCGCGCCTCCCGCCTGCTGTAATGCCGCCGTCAGTGCATCCGGGTTCACCCCAACATCCCCCGCCGTGCTATTCCAATCCTTCTGGGAACCCTTCTCCGGACTCGCGCCTTGTCCCCATTCATCCTGGGAAGGCGGCTTCGTAACCGGCAGCGCACCACTCATCCGATGTGATGTACCTCCCTGCGGTGCTCCCCATCCATCATCCTGGATACCACCCTGCTTGTCTCCCCAGGCCGGCTTTCGCGATCCCCATCCCCTCTGCCCTGCTCCATCTCTACTCCCCTGCGGAGATCCCACCTGCACCCCCCACTCATGATCAGAAGGCGGTTTATTCGGCGATGCAGGCTTGTTCGGACTCCCTCCCCAGCCATTTGGCGATGCAGCCTTCGCAGGACTCCTCCCTCCTCCCCCTCCCCAATTATCCGGCGACGCAGGCTTACTCCCCCTCCCCGGCACCGCACCAGGCGGAGACGGCGCCGGTGGTACTACTCCCCACTCATTCTGCGGCGAGGCCTGCTTGCTCCTATCTTTCTGGATCGGTGGACTCGGCACTGGCACTGGCGCTGCCGCCCACTCATTCGGCGAAGGGGGCTTACTTCTCCGCGGACTCGCGGCCGGTGCTGGTACCGCCGGGGCCCATTTATTCGGCGAAGAGGGCTTGCTTTTCGCTGGACTTGGTGCCGTGACGCCCCATTCCCCATTTCCATTTCCATTTCCATTTCTATTGCCATTCCCATTCCCGTGTCCTCTCCCGTTTCTGTACCCTCCTCCTCCCCCTCCCCCTCCCCCACACCCATTATGTCCATATCCACCCCTCCCCTTGTCATCATCATCCCTTGGCTCCCGACACTCCACCCAGTGTCTTCTTCCGCTGAGATGCGGCAGGGGTGTGAGTTCCGTTCGGTAGACGACTGTCTCGCGTGCTCGGGTGCGTGGGCGCTCGAGACGGTTGTTCCGGTGGTTGGTGCGCATGCGGTCTCGCCACCAGAGGGTGATTGTGTAGCCGAGGATCGTCATGAAGATGGTGATGCAGACGAGGATTATGGCGATTGTGGCGTTGGGAGGCATTCTGGCTTTGATTGACTGGAACTGGGGGAGGTTGTTTTGGATAGGTTGGCAGGATTGGGAGCTGTGGAGGTGGAGGTAGATGGGGTGAGGTGAGGTGAAGTGTTAGTGCAGATGAAGCTGAAGCTGAAACCAAAGCTGTAGATGACGAAGTAGACGGCCGGCTTGCCTGAGATGCTGAGAATGGACAGACACAACAGATAGACCGTGAGTTGCGGAGACGCGTCTACATCAATATGCAAGCTGAAGCAAGAAGGCAAGCAAGTAGGTCGTGGGATACTTAGACAACAGCCAGAACGTAAACAATAGCCACACTACACCACAACAAACACAGTGAATACCACGTACAATCCAGTATGAGATGCGTTTGTCTGCTTTGCTTTGCTTTACTCTGCTTTGCTTGCTTTGCTTTACTCTGCTTTGCTTTAATTTGCTCTACCGTCTTGCCTTGACTGTCTGTCTATCTTCGTTCCCAACACTAATGTCTAAACCCCATCCGTACAAAAACAATGACAAGTGAAATTTCCTCTATGTAACTTTTCTCTATCACCATCCCCATCATCACCACAGCCAAACCATACCATACCATACCAAATCTACATACAACCCAACAAAGATACCTAGGTAGGTACCACACCAAACAGTATATAATATAGCAGCTCCCTTAACCCCTCACCCCAAAATTCTACTTACATACCTTACCTATCCTCTCAATCCAATCCCTATGCACCAACCCCCTCTCAGCCCGCAGCAACAACCCTCCCAACCTCTCTTTCAAAACACTCCTCTTCTCCTCCGCAAGCATCTCCTTGACGGCCCCATTCGCAAGTACCCCAGCGACGCCGAACAGCCTAACGCCTAGCACGAACGTCTGGGGCTTGGACACCCAGCCCAGCAATCCATCTCGGCCTTCCTCTTTGTCGAGAATTGCAGTCAGACAGGAAACGCCATCCAAGATCCAGTCGTACATCGTCTCGACTTGTGTGGGGTCGAAAGCGGAGACAGAGAATTGGGAGAGAGACGAGGACCAGAGGTCGATTTCGCGCACTTCGTCGATGAACAGGTTCTGTTTTTCTTCTTCGAACAGGATGGTGCTTTCTTTTCTTAGGTCGGAGAGACGGGTTTCGACGGGGAGGTGGGGCGGTTGGTTGGGGTTGGTGCTGGTGCTGGTGCTGGTTCCGGCGCTGCTGAGACGTGGCGCGTCGTCGATCAGGTAGGACGTTATGCGGGTGGAGAGGGGGCGGGAGGAGGCGAATGTGGTGGTCAGGAAGGTGGAGAGCAGGGTGCTGGCGTTGAGAGGGGAGAGGGTGACGGATTTGGCGGGCGAGATGGAGGAGTATGACAGGATCCAGGAGGCGGTGGACGCGGCGAGGTCGCGCAGTTCTTCGTCGTCGTCGTTCAGGATGTCGTAGAGGACGAGGTAGATTTCGAGGGTGGCGCGGGTGGTGAGCGGGGTTTTGGACGCGGGGCGCAGGATGCGTGCGAAGGTGCTGATGCTGGTTATGGCCGCGAGGCGGGTGGTATATTCCTGAAGGGGTATTAGTGATGTTTGCAAGGGGGGATGGGATGGTGGAGAGGGGGGGCATACTGTTTCCTCTTGCATGGCGGACTGCAGCCGGGTGGCCCATTCCAGGATGGCGATGTCGGAGGTCTGCTGGCCGGAGAGCGTCTTCAGCGCCAGGAGGGCTCCCTGAAGGATGAGTTCGGCGTCGGAGCGATCTCGGTTCCAGATGTGCTCGGTGGAGGATTGCTGGAGGTGCGTTTCGAGCGTCTCCCAGGATAGGTCGATCTGGGGGATACGTTCGTTACGGAAGTCAAGGACGGACGAGAGGGCGGATGCCAGACAGGAGATCGCGGATCCCTTGACTTCCTCGGGGTAGACGCCCAGGATGACGTCGTAGTAGATCTTGACCAGGGAGGTTCGATACTGTTCCCTCTCGCCGAAGAGCTCCTGAATGCGCTCCAAGACCCATTGACCAGCATTGGGGTCGAAGCGCGAGACAACGCCGAGGAGCGGCTCGACCTCGTCCAGCTTGTCGGTCACGAACATGTGCAGCACGGTGATCCACGAGATGGCCCGGCGGAGCAGCGAAGAGGCACGGGTGGTGCTCAGCGTCTTCCAGGACGGGTGGGACGAGTCGAATACAAACTCCCGGATGTCGTGGAATGAGTACGTCTCGGAGAGATAGACCAGGGTCGGGATCATTCGGTCTGGGAGGTTAGTTGATAGTCTTGTATTGAGAACGCTCGGCTTACCCTCGGCTCCGGACTCGATGCTCTTCTCCACAACGTCGCTCAGGATCTCCAGCAGAAGGGTCGCGACGAACGGGGACTCCGTGAACGGGAAAGAAGAAGCGAAGATGTCTTTCATGGTGGAAGACACCTCATCGATGTGATCTGCAGTCGTTAGACAGGCCATAGTATAAGACACGTGAACATACCGTTCCAGAAAGAGAGAGAGCTTGATGCGAATCTCCGGAGGGAATACTTGATGCAGAGAGCCTCGCCGTGGAGATAGTCCTGCGTCTTAGTGTCCCTCTGGACATCCAACAACGCCTTGATGCTGCTCAGGACATCCGCACGATCCAGCAAAGACGCATACACGCGGGCGGCATGCTCCCTGATACCCCAGACCGGGCTCTTGAATTGCTCCCGGACGAGTCCGCGGAGGACCTCGTCGTCGACTCCAGTCACATTCGGGACCTTCTCGGCAATCAGCTCCAGTGCCGGGAACACACGTTCCGTGACCATCGCCGTGTCGCTTTCATTGCTATCGCTCTTAACGGACGGGCTGAGGAGGGTGGGCAGGAGTTCGAACAGGCCCGGATATTTTTGGAAGGACACTCTCGCGCCGGGTTCCGAGCCAGAGATGCCACCGAATCCGAGACCGGTACCGGTGCGGCACATGCGAGTCAACAGAGCGCGGAACAGCATCAGGCCGGAGTTGCGAAGGGCCCATCTGAGACGGTTAGACAAATAAGATACATGAGGACCACTGCGGAAAAAGGAGGACTCCCCGCCTGGGGCTATAATCGGTGGCCATACTCGACAAGATACAACAAGGGAGAACTTACATGGGCGATCCCAGCCGCTCCGCCGAAAGCCTCAAAGCCGGCATGATGAACGGTTCCGTGTGGGGTCCAAGTTTCGTGTTGGTGAAGATGTCCTTGAGACAGTTCATCGCATGGACCTGGGGGAGAGGCATGTCCTGTCGCGACTGGTCGTGCTCTGCGGGCAGGTGGGAGATCTCATGCAGATCCTGGATCACACTTTGGAACAGCGGCCCGCCTGGCTTGGAAGACAGGATACCCGCAACAAGTGCAGGCAGACCAGCTGAGCGGCGTGTGAGTTTCGAAGCCGACTCGAAAATGATCTTCTTGGCTTCCTGTGAAGGAATGAGTATTTGATATCTTCCATCTCGGGTGTTCTTACCTGGTACCAGCGACTGGGGAGGGCGGAGATTTCCGGACTGCTGGACTGGCCGCATCGCAGACAGCAGGTAGCGAAAGTTTGCGACACGGTCGAGAATGCACCTCGGTGCCGGAGTTCAGCAAGCTGGATGAAGCTGAGCGTTCCAATGTTCGCGAAGTGCTCAACCGTCAGGCCGGACTCTTGCGGACCGTACGCTTTGTTGGAGATCGTGGCGTGCAGGAGAAGACTACTGACGTTAGCGATGAATTGGAAAGATGGGGAAACACGCACCTTGACTCGCGCAGCGCTCTCCACGAGTAAGAGAGGATATCTTTGGGACCGACACCAAGCTCCTCGATAGGATCGTCCGTGTGTCCCTCCGGTGAGTCGATGCAGAGGACAGGCTTCACCTCGTTCCAGATCCGGTCGCACACTTGCACGATTCTTGAATGAATGGACTTCCAGCTGTCGTACGCGGGCTGTCCGTTCGAAACCAACGAGTAGAAGTTCGGGGTCGCAACGATGTATCTAACTTCGTCAGTCATCTCTACACAGCATCAACCATGACTAAGTACCTGAGAGCGGACACGTAGCCGTGCAGTGGCGCATCGCGCATGGAAGAATTAAACAAGCCGCCGGCAAGGGACAGCTTCTGCTCGAGCTTCTTCAGAAGAGTATCAACGACCATGGCCTTGTTTCCCCACCATCTGGAGGCTTCCATTTCACCGTCCACGGCTGCTGCGCCAAAGAGAATGTGATACAAACGGGCAACGGTGTCGGCGTAGTCAGCTCTGCTGGTGTTGCTTGCCAGCTGCTCCGCCTTGATCAGGCCTTCAATGAACTGCGGTGTCTCTGCAGTCTGGCCTGAGAGCGTAGAATTGTTGAAAAGGACGTCTCGTGGGAACAAGTTGAGAACATAGAGCGATGTAGCGCGCACTTCCTCGAACGGATCGAGCAGAAGATCTACCAGCAATCTCAGCAAGGTTGGCTCAAAGACTTCCACATTGGTGACCCATTTGGTCTTGATTCCGTCGGTTGCGCCATATCTGTAGTCAAGACCGGATTCCAAGAAAAGAATCAATGTCTTCAATGCGGAAACATGGCGAGGGTAGGATGCCGTGGGCCGGAGATCCGCCTTCAGCAAATCCAGATATTCTTCCAGACATGCCCGAGTCGCAGTGTCGTTACGGGCAAGCTTGGGTTTCTTGTTCGCCGGGGCCTTCTGCTCAGCGGGACGATCCTGGTCCTCCAAGAGCCCGCCCTTCAAGCGGACGATCAACTTGCGAATCATACTCAGGATCTCGCCTCGTGAGTATGAGTCCGACTCAGTGCACATGGATGGGAGACCGTTCAAGATCGCCTTCATGGTCGCAGAAGAGACCGGCTTGGTGGTCGAGGGCGCGGTGATGAGCAGCGACAGGGTTGCAATGCGGATGGTGAGGTCGCGGTGGAAGAGGAACTGGCCGATGACCTCGCTCTTCAATACGAGTGCACTGTCGTCGGAGCCGGCCTTGGGGATGTAGTCTAGTAGCGTTAGCATCCCGGTCTCAAAAAGCATGAACGCACTCACGATCCTCATGGATGAGACCGATCTTCTTCGCAATCTGCAACGACGTGAACAGCAGCATGAACTCGGCCAACGGCGCATCGCTCATGTCACCCGCGAGGAGGCTGTTCAACGGCAGCATGCCAATGAAGGCCTTGAATCCCTTCGGGTCGTTCCCAAACGAGGGTTGAAGAACATAGTTGGACATATACTCCAGGTTGTCCAGGTTCCTCAGCAAGACATGGCGAACGGGCGCTACCCACGCGGACAGCAGATACTGTGCCTCAGGCACGGCCTTCACCTTCTGGAAGAAAATGGACATGGTGTCACCCGCGGCGGCGGCAATCTCGGCCTTCGTTCCCCGCGTAAGCATACCCAGAACCATTACACTAGTCGCAGTCTGGTACGTATCTCTCTCCGAGACACTTCCTCTCCGAAGGTACTGCGCAATGTCAATCGACAGCGCGTTGCAGTCCTCATGGACCAGAGACGTCCAGTTCTCCGGGTGATCCAGTAGCCACTGGTTGGTCATCGCGATCAGCTCCAAGGGCAGGATGGCATTCTTGCGCAGGAGCATCTCCAACGAGGCGAAGGAAGCCTTCAGCCGGGCGCGGGGTTCACCGGTGATGACGCTGGGGATGGTGGCTTCGATGATCTTCGTGCAGAGCGCGGAGCGATCCAGCTCGCGACGGGTCTTGGCCAGGAGCAAGACCAGCGACTCCAGGACCTGCTTCATGGGCTTGGGCTTGACGTCCTTGTAGCGGGCCATGAAGACCTCGAATACGGACAGCCAGGTCTCGTCGGAGCGGGCAAGCTGGCGGGTGCCCTCGCACGACGAGACGAGGGCCGCATCGAGAAAGGCGCTGAGGGCATTGCATGCGGTGGTGGTGTGCGCATGAGAGAGCGAGGCCGTGGAATAGGTCTGCAGCAGAGACTGGAAGACCCGGCTCACTTTCCTAATTGGGAGTTAGATCGATTCAATTACCGTCAAAGGCGAAGATGAGACGTGACAAGTAAGAACAAATAAGAATATGAACTCAGGTACATACTCGGCATCGTCACATGCATGGGTGAACTTGACTAACGGGCCCTTGCCAATGCGGGCGAGAGTGTCTTCCGGCACGAGTTGTATATCCTGCGCAATGTGCTCCATGTCGACGAAAGACACGGCACCCCCTGGGGGGGCGGCTGGGGATTTTTGGGGCATGGTCTCACGCAGCTAGCATGTCCGGACAGCGACAACGTCCGACGAGGACCGAGAGAGTCGAGAAGAAGAATAACGGCGTGAATATCAATTCCCCGCGTTTCCAGCGACTTTTGCGGCGGTGGATTTTCGAGGCGGGTCTCCGAATCCGGTTAGCGCCGGGACCACCATTTTCCGGCACCAAAGCTTGCGGAGGTCACGTGGGCGGTGGGCGATGGGCGGGATGTCACGGGATGTCGTGTCACGGGGTTTGCCGGAGCGTCGAAGTTTTTGATCGGTTCGGTCATCGCTGAGGATTATTGCTGTTGCTCCGACCTCGCGCAATCAAGTCAAAAGCACGTCCTCGTCCTCCTCCTCCTCCTCCACGTCCTCTGCCGAGTGATCCTTCCCCTTCTGTCGGAACTTATATCCCCCCCCTGTCTCCTCGATCCCCCTTTCATCCACACACCCTCACAATGTCCATCTGGGATTCCATCAGCGGTCGCAAACAGACCACCGGCCCCGACGCCTTCGACCCGACCACCACGCAAGATGCCACCTCCTTCCTGTCCGAAGCCGCCTTCCCCGATCCCACTCAGCTGCACCCTCTCGCCGGCCTGAACCAAGATACGCTCGACTACATCACCCTCGAAGATTCCGCGCTCGACCAGACCCCCGGCTCCCGGTCCCTGCTGCCGTCCCGCGGCTGGTCCGACGACCTGTGCTACGGCGCCGGCACGACCTACCTGGCCGCCCTGACCCTGGGAGGTGTATGGGGTCTGTCTGAGGGTCTGGCCAAGACGCCGGCCACTGCGCCCCCCAAGATCCGTCTCAACGGCGTGCTGAACTCCATCACGAGGAGAGGTCCCTTCCTCGGCAACTCCGCCGGTGTCGTGGCCATGGTCTACAACGGGTTCAACTCCGGCATTGGATACGTCCGCGGGAAGCACGACGCGACCAACAGCATTGTCGCCGGTGGCCTGAGCGGTATGCTGTTCAAGAGTACCCGCGGGCTGAAGCCCATGGCCATCTCCGGCGGGATCGTCGCCGGTATTGCGGGTGGTTGGACTGTATGTTCCATCATCCCGTTGCTTGCTTTCCCCTCCTGCATCTTCATAGCATAACATCGCATCGCTAACCCCCTTCCCAGGTCCTGAACAAGGCCCTCTTGTAAACGCCCCCCCCGCCGCCGCCGGGTTGTATTTTAGCACTCGGGCCCCCGAGTCGACCCGATCCGTCCACGCACGCCACGCGTCCGAACCATACCAACCTTCTAGGGAGGGATGATTGTATTGTATGACCCGGTCTCGGACACGCGGAAGGATGGGTTTTCACTTCTCTTGGTCACGCTGTATTAGAACGGTTTTCTTCCCTTTTGTCTTCACAGATCTCTTCGCTCTGGCGTACAAAGCATCGTTGTCGCATTATCCATGGGTTGGGACCGGCATGGTAATGGGTTTTGTTTCTGATTCTATTATTTCTTTCCTTCCCCTCCCCCCCTCCCCCCCTCCCCCCCATCTTGTACATATAGCGGTCTCCTGCGGGTTGTGGGTTTTGCGGGCGAAAACTGTTGCATGGCAGGTTTCGATTTGAGCAAAGCAAAAACCAGCCTTAATGTCATTAGGAGTTCAATGAAAAGACTTGACTAATGGTTTGGTTTGGTTCTGTTGGATTGTGGTTTAGATGGTTTAAGACGGGTTACAATGACTGACTCGATTAATGCTCTGCTTTCATTGGCGTTGACTGGCTAATTACAACTTCCAGCCCTCCATGCCATGTCTGCTATCGAATGAAAGACTTACCGATGTCAGCTTTTCCCGGGCAGACGGCCTCAAACCTCTCTCCATCGGCAACGTCTCAACCGGCCACGGGCAGCTTCTCAATTATCCTTGGATACTCTGACAGACAGACAGACAGACAAACAAACAAACAAACAATATCAGCAACCCCCAGACCCACAAGCAACCGCCGTCTCACCTCTTCGCAACCAGTCCTCCACTCCACCACTCCGCCCTCAACTTCTCAACGCCCAGCAGACCCGATATCGACCTCTCAACCTCCTCCCACGCAACAACTCCTTCCCTCACCCCAGACCAACGACCCCAGACTTCCCCAGACTTCCCCAGACGATCGAATTGCTGTCTCCAGGCAAACGAATTCTCCACTTCCTTCCTGCAAACCCACAACTTTCGAATCTCGAATCCCCGAAAGCCAGAAGGAACAGTTTTAGCTCTCCACCCGCAACGTCTCCCCCCCCTCAGCTCAACCAGATTCAGTATGTATGATAGACGCCACCTACTCCTGCAGCCACCCCGGATGCAGCAGACGCACAACGTCAAGATGACCACGCGAAGTACAAATCCCCAACAACTCCTGCGAGCAGCGACGCGTACGCTCAAAGACGACGCCGTGGTCCAGCAGCAAACTCACAACACGGACATGTCCATTGCGCGCTGCCGCAAACAGCGGGGTATTGTGATTGCGATCGACTTGATTGCAGCGGATACCGTCCTGCTTGAGCAGAATCTCGACGACCAAATCATGGCCCGCCGCGGCGGCAACAAGCAGCGGGGTGCGGAGATCGTCGTCCAAGGTATCGGGATACACGCCCTTGTCGAGCAGCTGCTCCAGAATGGCGATGTTTCCCAGCCGCACCGTCGTCAACAGGAGGTTGGTTCCCAGCTGCGAGCGTCCGTACACGCTGATCATCGGCGATTCGAGCAGCTCGCGCACGATGTCGGGGTGGCCGTGCTGCACTGCTAGCTCGATGGCTGAGTGGCCGTATTTGTCCACGGCGCAGACGGCGACCTTTTTCTCTCCGAGTAGGCGGCGCACGATGTCGATGTGGCCTTCCTGGGCGGCGATCATCAGGGGCGTGGCGTGTTGCTGCTGATTGGGGAAGTTGGGGTCCACTTTGGGGTGGCGGAGCAGCATGTCGACTACAGAGAGGGTGCCCTGGCGGACAGCCATGCCGAGGGGCGACTCGGGGTGGTATGCGCTTCTGCATAGGATGTTCGGGTCGATGCCGCGGGCGTTCAGCAGGGCGTCCACCGCGTGCAGGTTGAATGCGTCGACGGCTGCGTGCAGCGGAGTGCGGCCTTCACTGTCGAGGAAGTTGACGTTGATGCCCCGGGCAGCGAGCAGGCTGTCTACCACCACCTTCGCGCGGTCACCGCAGCCCATGTGCAGGATCGACTTGCCTTCCCAGGTGTCGTTCACATTCCTGCAGTTCTGCAGGACGCGCAGGAACACGTCGTCGTATCGATACCGGATTGCGTACACCAGCAGGCTCATGCCATCTCTGTCGCGATAGTTGGTGAAGAGTGTACGTCGATCTTGGAGGAGGAGCTGCACGACGCCCGGGTTCTCGTAGCTCATCGCTTCCATGAGCGGAGTCTTGCCGCATGAGTCGGGGATGTTGGGGTTGATGCGCCGGTGGGTCAGGAGGACCCGGACGATGTCTGTATGGTTCCAGGCAATTGCAATATGCAGCGCTGTCCGGAGACCAGGGATGTCCTGGACGTTGACATCGACCTTACTGCAAAGCAACACTCTGCGTAGGACACGTATGAGGCCCTTCCGACACAGTGAGAGCAGAAAGGACTGGTCCTCTCCAAAATCCAGGATGACGTCGCGACGCCAGAGCAACAATTCCACGACATTGATATGACCGTTTACCGCGGCCACCATAATAGGAGGAACTCCGACCCCATCGAAGTTGATATCCAGGTCCCCGCGCTGCATCAAGACTCGGACGATCCGCGCATTGCCCGCCTCAGCAGCCATCCACAGGGGAGTGGGTCGGTTACGCGAATGGTCCAGCCAATTCACCACGACTTTCGTAGTATTGACGAGCACGCGCACGGCATCCTCATGGCCCTCCTGGACCGCCATCTGCAACGCCGTCAAGCCCTCCTCATCTGTATTGTTAACTTTCATCAGCGGCCAGGAAGCCAGCAGACTGACGACCTCCGTTCTACCACACCGAGCAGCCCACATCAGCGGAGTCCTGCCCTTGGGCCCCGGAACGGACGGATTCGCACCCCAGATGAGCATCCGCCGGGCAATCTCGTCATAACCTGCCGCGGCCGCCGCACCCAGTGGGCTACCAAACGGTCCATAGCCGGAGGTCATGGTCACAAACAACCCAAAGCTCTTGTCATCCAGCATAATGGTCCTGATGGCGTCCATACTACCCCGGTACGCAGCCAGCTGCACGCAATCGCCGAACGCGCCCTCATACTGTCTCACCTCCCCGGCGGCGGCGCTCACCAGCATCACCGCCATGAGCGCGTCGTCATGGAACGCAGCAGCATACAACGGCCGGCCGAGATAACCATGAACATCCTGCGCCGATACGCCGTGCTTGAGAAAGTATTGCACTACGCTGCGCAGGCCCATCCACGCCGCTACAATGCACACCGTCTGGTCATCCCATGCGTCCGTCCATTCCAGCGCGCGGTTGTTGTACACGAACGTCCACGATCGCCCTCTCTCGGCAATTATGGCAATGCTGATCGCTTGCAAGAAGTTATCTTCTGTGCAGAACGGGGCGTCGTGACGATCGGCGACGCTCTGCATGCGGGTCAGGATGTGACTGATGCTAGTGTGGTTCGCCTGGTCCTGGTATAGCCTCTCCAGGAGGGCACTTGATACCAGCTCGTTGCTATAGCGCGTGTCTGGGTTGGCGATGACGAAAAAGTTGGTGACGATTATGTTGTCGGTGTTCCCTGGATGTTGAGATCGTTAGTATGGTGGTGAGGCAGGATGAGGGGGAGGGGGGATGGAGGTGATACTTACGGCATACGAGTCTCATGTTCAAGATGTCTTCGAGATCCACATGTTGGAGCGTCTGGATAACGAGCTCGACGGGGAGCATACTGAAACTCATTTTGCTCGGAGGGGGGGGGTGTATGAGGAGTAGGATGAAGTGGTATTTATGAGATGAGGTATAGGGTGAATGGGATGGTGCTGTTGAATTGAATGTCGAAGACTAGATCTAATGTCGACAGATACAGATCGCCTCAAAGGATGGAGCGAGATGCTTCTACTTACGAATGTCCAGGTTAGATCCGAAGGCCCCAAGACACAGAACAGGACAAGACAAGACGCTTACCCTTCTGCTTAACCGAACTCTCTAAGACCAGATCACCTCAAAAGAACAGGTCAGGACAAGCGAGGACGCGTCTGCTCAGTGCGAGTCTCCAACGAGAAGGGCTGATCCGATGGCCTCAAGACAGAACACAGACGACGTTAAACGTCAAAAGAACCAAACGAAAAGCCGAAACAAGACGCTCTGCTGGACCTAATTCAAGTCTTCAAACCAGCAGACCAGATCCTTCGACCTCAAGACACAGACACAAACACAGCCCGACGACGTCCCACGTCCAAAGGACGCACGCGTCAAGTCGGCCCCGCTGCGCTGTATCTCACTCAACGTCTCGTCTCGTCTTCAGACTCGACCCTCCGACCTCAAGACACAAATCTCGTCAAACGAGAGAAACAAGACGATTTGACTTGATCTGATAACTAAAGACTCGATCTGATGCTCAAAAGCCACGAAAGTCACGAAAGCCAAAGATAGTCGACGGAGTGAGAGAAAGAAGTCAGAAAGAACAACAACAACAACAACTCCCCCCGCCAGAATTTCCAAGCCCACAATCATCCTGATCGGGAGCCCAGGCAGACAGGCAGAAAGGCAGGCCGGCCTCAAGTGAGTGAATGGGTTTGGCGGCAGGCAGGCAGGCAGGCCGGCCGGCCGTACTGGGGAGGAAGGATCATGTCGCCAAGCCGAGCCGTATCGTGAGCAGACAGACGGGAGTTGCAAAGCCGTATCATGGACATGATGATGGGAGGGCGTATCATGAATGGAAGCCGTATTGCGACAGTGGGAGCCGTATCACGATGACGGCGCGTATGGGGGCCAGCGGTGGGTTTTGGCGGGATGGGACGGTACTGCACGCGCAGTATGGGATTGAGGCCTCATTTTATCTTTCTGCTTTTTCTTTGGCGTGGGTGTTTCGACAGGGAAAAGTGCCTGGGTGGGTTTACTGATGTTCGTGTCTGTGATTTTATATGGGACGGCGGGAGGAGAGGAATCAGGAATCAGGGCTGCAGAAGGGAGTATATCTGCTCTGCCAACTAAACTCAAAAGGGGAATCCTTCACGACAGCATCATGAACTGCACAGACGGGCAGAACAAAGCCGTTTTTTGTGGGGGCAAACATCAGACATAATGCGGGTTCAGACAGACGTCCATAGTTCAGGTATGGAGTATGGAGGGGTGCTTTGAGCAGCCGCGATAAAGAAAGGGTTCAAGAAAGGAAGTGTCCCAGGTGATATTAAAACAAATGTCAAAGCTAATATGTACTAGAGGCAGACAACTTGAGTCTTTTAGCCTCACACCATATATTGTACAGCAACAGCAACCCTTTTCAAGCCCGCTATCCATCCCTCACCCCATAACCAACTCCCCAACCAATTCAAATTCACAAGAACGTCCCCGCGGCAGCCCCAAAAGCCAACATAGCCAACACGCCCACGGACTTCGCACTAACCCCGACACTGGCGGCACCACTGCTGCTGGTCGAGCTGCTGGAGCTCTTGGTACTCGTGCCGGAGCTGTCGCTGGAACTCTTGGTGCCGGTCTCGCTGCTGCCGGTGGCGCTGGCCACGACGGTGCCGGCGCCGGTCGTGGGGATGGTGGTGCCGGTGGCGGTGGCGTTGGCGTTCGCATTACACCAGTAGTTCCCGCCGCCGACGATCTTGTCCAGACACTCGCCCAGGACGTGCACCTTCTGGTCCTCGGACAGACAGTAGTAGTCGCAGCTGTCGTAGGAGACGACCTCGGCGGAGCCGCAGCATCCCTTCATGATGGCCGAGCTGTTGGTGTAGGCGATGGGCATGGCGCAGGCGGCGTCCTTGATGGGGATTTCGTACAGCTTTTGCGCGCAGGTGGAGGTGGCGGACGCGGCGGACGCGGCGGAGGTGACCGTCGTGGAGAGGGTGGTTGTGGTGGACATTTTGGTGGTTGGTTGGAGGTCTGTATAGGATAGTGTAGTGTAGGTAAGGTAGATTGGTTTGTTGGAAGTCAAGTCAAGTCAAGTAAGGCAGTAGAGTAGGTAAATCAAGTTTCTTGAACGAAAGTAAGAAAGTGAATGCAGTAGTCAAGTATGCAGAAGCAAAGCCAGAAGGAAGGAAGTCTGTAAGTAAAGCCCGGCCAGGTCCTGCTTATTTATACCTTCCGTCCTTCCTTCCTTCCCAGCCCGCCCTACTTACCCTGCCTACCCTTCCTACCCTTCCGACCCTCCACTACCTACTAGTACCTACCCTACCCTACCCTACCCTGCCCTGCCCAGAAAGTGGGACTATGCACTTACCTACTTACTTACTTTTACTGACTGACTGACTTATTCACCTACCAACCAACCATCCACTCTACTGACAATCCACCAATCCACTATCCACATCCACTAGCCTCAAACCCATCCATCCATCCATCCATCCATCCATCCATTTATCCAGTGATCCACTACCTGGTTAGGTAAACTCCCTACCTACCTACCAACCTACCTACCTACCTACTATTAAAGAAAGGGACCCCGAAAAAAGCAATCAACCCAAACCAATCCAATCCAAATTAAACCAATCCTGAACAGAAAACAGACAATCCCAGACCACAGACAGACAGGCTAGGCAGGTTCACCGCTACGCTACGCAACGCTAGATACGCCCCCGGCTCGCCCCTGATAATTCTCCACCCCCCCCCCGGTGCAGTCAGTCCCTTTGGTCGAGTCGAAAGCCCTGAGTTCTAATTATGGGTCTTCGGGGAGGGGGGCTTGGGGGCTTGGGGGCTTGGGGCTTGTGGGCTTGGGAGCTTGCTAGGCTGCTTTAGGGCCGGATTGTCGGGTCTTTAGTTGCCTGTGCTATGTCGATAGTTATTGTTTGCCGCTTACAAAGTATTGTAAATAGATGGTAACTACACTTGTGTAATCCGTACGTACTTGGACTGGAGTGCTGTGGTGTGGTGGGATGTGATGGGGCGAAGTGCAGACAGACAGACAGCAGACATGCCGGTAAGCGGGTGGATGATGATGGACGGATAATGGATATGGATGGATATTGGATGGGTTCTTGCGGGCTAGATAGGTTACGGGTATATGGCCCTACTACGGTGGCTGGGCACCTAACCTACCTACCTACCTACCTATGTACCTAGGGTAGGTAGGTATGGCAAAAGTACCAGTGGTATCCGTAGGGCAGACATAGACATGACTTTTCTTCTGGAAGGCCTCTTGTCGGATGATACGGGATAGAGTAGATAGATGGTTAGGTTCTGTTTGTCAACTCCCTAACTACCCAAAATACTAACCATCGGGTGATGAGTGGCTGCACTCTGCAGTGTCGGTAATAGTGATAGGACAATGAAGTTTCTGCTAGCATCTACTCCGTACCTACCTAGTCAATGGGGATGGATATGCCGACTACCCAACCCAGAACCTAGAAGAACTACAAGTGGAGACCGCCCACTCGGCGCAGCGGGATGCCCGGGGGCAGATGGGGATGAAGTCACTTCCCTCCTGTCGGGTCCGGTATCTTACCTAGTGTAGTCAGTCCTAGTGACTAGTCCCTGACTCCCTGACTCCCTGACTCCCTGGATCATGGATGATGCAGGCTGCGTTTCGGGTTGGATCCTTTACCAGTTGGTCTGGCCTGGTCTGGTCTGTCTGATTAAGATTGGGGTCTGGCAAGTCCCTCGCCCTTATTTGAGCAGTAGCAGGGTTCAGGATGATAGTATAGTACTGTAGGTTGGTGGTAGATGCTGGACCAACGTGATATCGGAGAATGAAGCTGCCTGATCTGGTCTGCAGGGCGCATGCATGCATGGATGGATGGATGGCCAGCCCGTCCGTACCTGAGTGAGCCACCGCCACCAGTGCCTGCCACTGCAATTCCGTCTGGCACAACCACTCGGGACGAGCGGTTCGATCCGACGGATACGGATGAGGCTGGCAGACTGTAGTTACTATGACTTAGTTAGGCAGCCAGCCAAAGTGCCAAACAGACAGCCAGCCAGTCGGTCAGTCAGTCAGCAGTCAATCAATCAATCAATCAAGCAACCGAACCGTAAAAACAAGATGAGCAGGCCGTCTTGGCAAGTGTGGCCGTGTACCGTCCAGTCAAGAGAAAGAGGATATAACTTTTCCCTGTCGCAGGTCTCTCCTCCTTCGCAGTTTCTGGATCGCCGCATCGCTTAGAATCCAGCCAAGAAATATTCGAGTATTCGCCCCATGTTCCAGTTCCAGTTCCAGTTCCAGATCAAGAAAGCACCGCCGCGCCGGGGATGTGTTCTGTGTTCTGTGTTCTGTGTTCTGTGTTCTGGGTAGCCAAGTAGGTAACTTCTTTAAATAGGCGCGTCGGCCATCTATCAATAGACTCAATGGATGTGATCTAGGGAGCTGTCAATCAATGGACATTGGACAGGGCGAGTGGAGCGGGTCAGCCGGGAAAGACTTCTGGACGGTGGGTGGGTGGGTGATGTGGATGTGGATGTGGTGTGGTGTGGACGTGGGTAAGGATGGGGATGGGAATGGGGATGGATGGATGGATGGATGAGACGTTGTGTGGAGAGGCGGGTAAATACTATTCAGGGCTGCGTCTCCCCACTCCATCCATCCATCCCCCTCCCATCCCAGGTTCCCGCAGGTGGGACTTTGTATGATTGTTATTGTTATTGTTATTATTATTAGGTATGCTTGTGAGGGTTTCGGGTTGAGGGTTGGCTGATGAGGTAGTGGACTGTTTCTTAATTATGGGTGGGATTGTTGTTGTTGTGTTTAGACTTGGGATGGAGGGAGACTCCCTCACTCAAGACCTTCCACTCATCGTGGAGGGACATTTCCTCACATCTCATGACAGAGTACTCTGTCATTACTACACAGTCCTTGACTTGCCTCTTGACTGTGGACTGATCCAGCCACGATCTACCCAGCTCAGGAGATATATCCAGGCTATATTAGCTAGTATAGCTACTCCGACCCGAGCAACCTTGCACTTAACCCTGAATCGGATGATCGTCTTGAAGAACGCAGACAATCCTTCCCGAATCCCTGACTGACTCCTGAATCCCATCCACCGATTGCGCAAGTCGCAACGCCTTTGCATGCAATCTGACCCTCAAGCGCCATCACATGTAACTAACTCTGGACTCATAAGTCATAACGTGATAATTCGAGTGAGCGCGACCCAAACCAAGTCATCAGCCAGAAGTAAGCCGTGAGCCGCGGCCCACTTAGCCGATCAGCTCGGATCTCTCCAGGGTTGGTTCCTCAATTTGAATCCCCAGAGCAAAATGAAGCTGCCTGAACTCGGATCAGACTTCTTGCGATAGACCACACAATAAATAAACAGAATCCCAGCCACCGTGCCTGCGTCCAGACAGACTTACCTACCTACCCAACCCAAGTGCCGCCCTTAAACAAGAGTGATGATGTGTTGTTCCCCCCCCCCCCCCAGACCACCCCTCCGCTGAAGTTAAAGGATCAGCTCTAGTCCTCCTAGCGGAAGGTCCGAGGGGAAATCCGTCCTGATCGGCTGGATTTGAAATATTGTGATATGATGAGGTAGTCGGTGAGCTGGCGGGGAGGAAGCACAGGGCTCGAGCTGAACAAATAGACTTAAATCAAGGTTGTGCTCTGCGGAATGTGATTCTTCAGCTTTCCCCTGTCTCTCCATCCATCCCACGATTGTACATAGACCCAACACCAGTCATGTTCAAGTCCCTCCTGGCCGGTCTGGCCCTCCTGGCCACCGCGACCGGGTCCGCCGTGAGCATCACCCCGACCGTGACGAATTCCTCGTTCAGCTTCGGCGAGCACTACGCGGTGCTCAACCTGGACCTGATCAATGACATTGTCGGCACGGCGAACACCACCGCGGCGGGCGCGACGTGGATTAATAACACTGCGACATGGATCGATACGTGAGTTCTCTCTGCGGAGCCACGCCACCAAACCACTTCTTTCCCCTCCAAAGCCATCACTCGGGCGACATCCAATCTAACAAATTCAGCGTCCACAAACAGTCCCCACCCCCGTTGAGCATCTTCACCCGCATCTACTTCTCCAACGTCCTGCGTCCCGAGATCGGCCCTGACACCCCCTTCGGCCAAGCTGTGGCCACCCTCGGAAACCTGACCGCGTCGAGCCCCGGCGCCCAGCTGTACCCTGCCTTCAAGCCCCTGGACAACTGGGACGTCGTGCTGCAGAAAGCCCGCTACTACGCGGGCGCCGGAAACCCGCTGGAGGAGATCCTCAGCAGCCAGAAGATCGACACCGTGGTGCTGGTACGTGGACAACCGATGTAGTATTGTCTTCTCGCAGATAGGCTGACGAGCCGTAATCAATAGTCCGGGGCGCGGACATCCGGGGTGATACTGAGCACAGCAATCCGGCTTTTTGACCTGAACTACAATGTGTAAGTCAGAAAAAGTCAGCCGGTGCAACACGAGTCCTCCCTCTAACCATCTGTCAGCTACGTCATCTCGAACAACACCTTCGAAACGGCGTCGACCTACTCAACCCAGAACCAGAAGATCATCCTCGAGGGTATCCTCCCCCTGCTCCCGGTCAACATCATCACCATCGAGCAGGCCATCGACGCGCTGTCCCGGTCCGGTCCAGCGGTCTATTAACCAACTTTCTGCCCTAGTAGGCGAAACACGGATGGATGGATGCTTACGGACGACACGCTGCTCTAATGTATGTTAGCACTTATATAGCAAACATCGTTGCGACCGAGCAAAACCCGACCCAACCGGACAGCTGGCCAGCCCTTGTATGCAATGGGCGCTAGATTGGGATGGCGCAAAACATCGCATGTAGTACAGGATATCGGGGAAGTCCCCGTGCGTGATGCATGCACGCAGTGTCATCACAGGGTGCAGGTTCCGGTGGTTGCAGGTCTCCGTCTGTGTCACCTCCGGGGCGAGGAGCCAAACAAAACCAGAGGGAAAAGACATCCACCGCAGAGGAAATCTCAACGCATTCCACATCGACCAAAGGCGACAACGCGAGCATGCCGGGTTTGGGTTTAACTCCATGGCTCGACAGTTACGGATCTTCATGGACTGCGAGGGAACTCCCCGGTCGCATCGCCCGCCGGCCCACCAGGGGTAGAGTGAGACTCCTCGAACCGCGACCAATGAGCCGCCCCTTGCCATGGATAATTGCAGGTCCGGGGGGGAGGAGGAAGCGTCGTCAACCGCATGGGCCGTCGCGGGTGGCAGCAAGGCGGGGGGGGGGGGGGGGGGGCCGCCAAGGCCGGAGGTTCAAGGGAGTGCGTGGATACTATAACCACATCCTCTGTCGGTTGTCGACTTGTCGATAGAATTCATAGTAGAGATCCTCCAGTCGTTCGTGACTTGACAGCCGGGTCATCTTGGCGGCGAGGCATGCGAAGCTCTGACGAACGACACGCGCGGACCGAAGCGAGTCGACTGACCACTGTTAATCCGAAACAACACGACAATGACCTAAGGAATGATGAAATTATGGGTAGCTTACGTAGGACCGGAGGGCCTGCGCGTCGATCAGTGCAAACCCTGGAAGCGAAAAGAAAAAAAAAGACAGCAAAGAATCCCTGGCAACCAGGAAGGACTTGCAATTCGGGTGGATAGCCTGTGGCTAGCGCAGGCGCTACGGTAGCGTGGTCGGCGATGTGCACAGTGCGTCAAATGATCTCGAGCAGATAGCAAATTAACGAGATTAAGCTGGCCGCGCTAATTGGCCTGGAACCGGATGGATTCGGTGCTTGTTGGTGGTGCTTGTCGCAGGGTTGCAGTGTTGCTATTCTGGGACGGGGCAAGTCTGGTTCACTGACTCCCCACGGGAGGTCTGGATGAGTCGGAAGAGAGAAGTTGGCAGTTGGGCAGGTGAACTGGGAAAGGACCATGCGTACGCATCCGGAGGGAATTCTGGCCGAGGGCTGAAGTGGACACGATCGGGAGATTCAGCCATGCGCGATCGAGGAAGTAAAGTAAAGTAGAGTAAAGTAAAGTAAAGTAAAGTACAGATCGCCACCGGGCGTGACAGGAAAGCCTCAAGAGTCCAGCGTCGCGACACCTCCCGCATTGATGATGGGGAGGGGCCATGCTTGCTTTTTTGGGAACTCTCCTGCCCTCAATCTTGCCCCATCGGGAAGCCACGACTGACACCTTTCGGGTTAGCCAGCAATTCGCTGCGAGGCAAGGACAGAACTATTACTATTCCGCAATTCATTTCACTCATGCAAGGCATTGATTTACCGAAGCGTGTACTGTATACCTACTACCAGAAAGGGATTGTTTTCGCATCTTATCAAGGACAAGCGCAGATGCAGATAGATATTAGATACACCGTGATTACGCACTGCACTACGCTGTCGACGATAGATTAAGGAGATAGCGAGATAAGTTACTGGGTACGTACTTACTCCGTCCTCCGTCACTGGCTGAGATTAAATCCTCAGATGCCGACGAAATCTTTCCGGCCAGTCGATAGGGTCACCGCCCGGCCCCCTAGCCCAAAGCGGCAAGATCTGGTCCTCTTCTGGCCCTTCCGCCAACGGCATTACTGAATGCGGGGTAGCGTGTTTCCTCGTGGCGGCTAGACTCGAAGCAGCCGGTTTGTCAGCTGACCCCCGCGTGGATTTTTCCTGCAAATCGAGCAAATCGCAGCGTCATCCGCGTTGCTGAACTTCCTCCTCTTTTTTTTAATCAGGCCTGGGAAGAGTTAACTGCCCGGTTTCTGTCCCTCCCCGCCGTCCGGTCCTTTTCTGCCTCTCCTCCCCCTCTCTTCCCTCTCAACACTTACCTTCCTTTCCTTTCCTCTTTCTCTCTCTCACCTACCTAGAATCCTACTACATACTACTACATACCTCCCGACTCATGCTCTGACTCGCAAGCGCCTTTCCTCCTTCCGTCCTCCCTCCCCCTCAGGGTCGTTCACCACCACCGCCAACGCCAAGCACCCCGTGGTTTGCTTAAGGTGTCTGACCCGAGGGATTTGCATCTGCCATCTAGACCCCCCTCCCGCGACCTCTCCCGCCGGCATCGCCACGCCTCGCGCCACCGATATCCTCCGCTTTCTTCCCCACAGCGACAAAGACTCCCAGACAACCCCAACCCGCTCCTGCAGAACAAAGCATAAAGAGCCTGCGTGCTTTCGTTCGATGGTTTATCCGGATACCACGCAACCGACCGACCGGTCAGGATCGGCCCATCCCTCCCAGTTACACGCCGCTAGCAAAACCGCGGCCTCGGGTAACCATGAACTTTGCGCAATCTCCTCCATAGTCCCTGGCAAGGGAAGCCCCGATGCCCTACCCCTATATACCAGGCGGTCCCCGCCCAGCCCTCTGCACGATCCGTCACTGCAGCACGAATCGCACCCGCATCACCCGTTGCCGTCGCTTCATGTTCGCACCGATATGCAGACCTCCAGTCAGATGAGCCCTCCCCGGGAGGCGGATTCCTCGGTCCGCCAAAGCTTCTCGTCCAGCAGCCTGCCCCGTCGCACCCCTAGCCTGCGGGGTCTGTTCGTCGGCGCCCCCGTCAGCGGAGGCTCCCTGTCTCCGGCGTCTCTCATGTCCTCCCCCCAACTTATGGCCATGGGCGATATCACGCCTCTGCCGTCGCCGATCGGCGGGGCATCCTCCTGGAGGCTTCCCCGGCGCAACTCACAGTCCTTATCTAGGACCCCATCCACCGCCTCCAGAAGCGGCTCCAGCCTCGGTCTGCGGCTCAGCGACTCGTCGCAAATGTTCAGCGCCTGCGAATCCCGCCCACGCAGCAAACAGTACATGATCTCGGATACGCTATCAGAAACACCGATCGAGTCCCCGACCAAGCCTTGCCAGGCGTCTGGCGCCAAACATGCTCGCAACCGCAGCTTAAGCGAATACGTTCCTCCGAGTAGGGCCATCCCTGTGAAACCGCGCCCGATCGCGGTGTCGGGAACAGGCGCGCCATCTGGGATCACTTCCTCCTCCAGCACCGACTCGAGCACAAACAACCTCCATCGCGAGCAGTATCTGGCCATTCACCGGGGGATTGCGTTGCCGACGGTGCGCCCTCCGACTCCACCTCGTAGCAACCGCAGTGGATTCGACGAGAGCGACAACGAACCCGTCATCACACCCTCAACAGGTGGCCCCGACGAGATGTACTCTGTGCGCTCTATCCGGACGCAGCAGCGTCGCAAATACCGCAAGCTGCGCCAACTCGGTCAAGGAACGTTCAGTCAGGTCTCATTGGCTGCGCGCGTGGAGATGCGAGACGTTGAAGACTATAACCACACCTCTAGTCTGCAAGACGTGACCCTGACCCAGAAGCTCGTGGCAGTCAAGATCATCGAGTATGGACCGGCTGGTGGAGCGGATGAGGAGCGCTTGGAGGTCTCCCTCAAGCGCGAGGTGGATATCCTCAAATCGGTCAACCACCCGTCCCTGGTGCAACTGAAGGCATTCGGGAGTGACGAGAAGCGTGCGCTGTTGGTTCTGGACTACTGTCCTGGTGGCGACCTGTTCGACGTCGCCTCATCAAGTCCCCGTCCGATGAGCCCGGAAATCATCCGCCGCATGTTCGCCGAACTTGTGGCGGCTGTGCGCTATCTTCACGAGCATTATATCGTTCACCGCGATATCAAACTCGAGAGTGAGTACGCCTGCCTATTCCCGTAACCCAGACTGACACAGGTTCAGATGTGCTGGTGAATCTCCCCGTGCAGGCGATGGAAAAAATCTCAGATTGGCGCACATACGACCGCGCGGTCATCACGCTTAGCGACCTCGGGTTGTCCCGACGAATACCCGAACCGCCGGACAGCCCTCTGCTCCACACGCGCTGCGGAAGCGAGGACTATGCGGCGCCCGAGATCCTCATGGGCCAACCCTATGACGGGCGGTCCACGGATGCCTGGGCGCTGGGTGTGCTGCTCTACGCGATGATGGAGAACCGGCTCCCGTTCGACGCCTTGCCCGGGACTCGAGGCGATCCCGCGAAACTACGTGCGCGCACGCCCCACCGTATCGCACGGGTCGAGTGGTCGTGGTACCGATATGCGGACAGCGACGGCGAATGGGACCCGGAGAAGGGCAAGGACCTGGAAGGCGCGCGCGCGTGTGTCGAAGGCCTCCTGAAACGCAGCACGAAACGCAAGACGCTGGACGAGATCGCATCCATGGAGTGGGTCAAGGGGGCGATCGACGTACCCGGCGAACTGAAGAGGGGGGACAAAGAAGTGCCGTAGAGCTGGTCTCATGGTTTCTCTTGCTCTCCGCTCACCTTCTTCTCTTTCTACCTACACCCATTTACCATTCTTACTGTTCTGTTTTAACCACCTTTATTTCTTTCTATCCTTACTCTCGCACAGCGATGATATATAATGGCGGGTTGGGTTCCCGGGATCAGACCGGGCTTTACTTTTTTTTTCCCCTTTCATTTTCACGTTCCCACTCGACTCTCGCATTTTCTTCCTTTCTCTGCAATCCGCAATCTGCATAGGTATCACCGCCCGCCCTGCCTACCTGTCTACCGCTCCACCGGCCAGGACCAAGATGTTATACCCTTTCTTTACCTTACTTCACTTTACTTTACTTAGCTTAGAACTGCCCTGGCGCACTGCCTGGCCGAGGTCACACCACCACTTTTTTTCCCTTTTTGTTGTGTTATGACGTGATTGCGAAATGATCGCTAGGTTTACTTTTCATGGAGGAATGCATACATACTATTAGAGAATCCATCCCGAGGGATTTTGAAGTCTACATAGGTACTCATACTCATAAGTAGCCATTATGGAATACCATAGCTGTAGACGATAGGCACAGCAGGTTATTCCTATTCCTACAGACCAAAGACTAAGTAGACATATATATACCCCCCTAAACACCAGAACGCTAGCAGGAGTAAGAGAGCTAGATAGATGGATTAATAGCACAGTACATCCTTCCATCGAAATGATTCCAGAATCCAGGGCTCGACCTAAACAGTGCAGCCTTATTCCCAAAGCACCACGCGCAGCACTATCTACCATTTATCTATCTCACATTACAAATTATTAAGTTATAAATGGATAGAGTACTTACTAGTTCTACTATAGTCTAGTAGAGTGTAGAGTCTAGTAGAGTCCAACTAGTCGAGATGATCTAATAACTAATCCACCCAGATGAACAATCAATCAATCAATCTCATAACTACCAGAGTACAGAGCACGGAGTCCTACTATCCTATCCGTAACTAGATACTAACTAGATAGATAGATAGATAGGTATCTAGATAGTGGTAACTAGATGGATGGATAACTAGTGAGTTGCCTTACAAAAGTGGATCCGAAAGGAGGCCCTGAAGGCTTATTTCAACTGGATTGCCATGAGCCGTTCCCCCGTCCCCCTGCCCTGCCTTATCTTTTGGCCTCTGCGCTCCCTCTGACTCTGAGGCTCGTGATGGGTCAGATGGATGGATGGATGGCTGGCTGGCTGGCTGGTTGGTCGGTTGATGCACGGGGGTAAATTACGTTACCTGGGTTCAGGTCGACGGTGGAGTTTGATTTGAAATGGCCATACGTGACAGAACATAGGCAGGATTTTCCTGATAATTATTTCATAGGGGATGGGTGGATGTTACTTTGTCCTTTGTCTTCTTCTTCCTTACAGAGTAGAGTGTATGTAACGAACTAGAGTGTCGATAGACCGTAGAGTATGGTAACTATGGTATGGTACGGAATAGTTACTGTGAGTGAGTGAAGACTGAGGAATAAGTAACTAAGTAGTTAATAATAATCCAACCCGGCTCTCCCGCCCGCCCACTTACTCCCGTCCGTCGGTTTGTGGTTTGGTCTGGTCTGGTCTGGGTCTGGTTTATCCCCCTGAATCCTGAATCGAGCCTGAAGGAAAACCCCCCCCCCGCCCCACCCGCGCCCCCCTGATTGGACCGCGCACTTGACGTTTGCAGGGATGGCGACGGCTGTTTCGGTTCGAGAAGACCAATCGAATCCGGTGGCTGCATCATCGGGGGGGTTGACTGGTTCGAAGGGACTGTATGAAGATGAAGGCGAGAACTGTACGGAGTAACTAACTACTCTGTAAGCCCTAAGCGTCTTACCTATTGGGGGAGGGTCTTGGATGGTGATGGTGATGATGATGATGATGATGATGACGCTGATGAGATGAGATGAGGCTGCGTGGCCTTTCACTTTTTACTTTCTCACTGCATAATGATAGCTTTAGTAGGTAGTAGCAGCATACCTACATACATACATACATAAGACGCGCCAGCTCCCTCCTCCCTCCTCCCTCCTCTTTCGTCTTTCGTCTTCCCTCTCACTCTTACTGCAGAACCCTCGAACAAACCCTGACGGAACCTCGCGGGAAGAGGAAGAGGAAGAGGAAGAGAGAGGCCCCGTAACTAGCTCTACCTAGCCCGAGTAGTTTGCCAATTGTTTGATTTGGTCTTAGGTAGGTCGGTCTAGGATCCGTCGTTCGGGTTGATTCGCCCAAACAGAAAGTCCCTCAGATGTGTATCCGTATTTATCTATTTGTCTCAATTCGACGCTCAAAATAGGAGACGGAAGTCGGCCCCATCGTAATCGTAAACTGGCTCTACACTACACAGTATCTATCTAGATGGTAGGAGTAGGCTAGCTGGCTGGCTGGATTGCTCATACCCACGCCTGGGTTAAATGTTAATTGCGAATTACGAATTGCGAATTGCGAATGGCTGCCAATTGTTAATGCCCACGCCTCCCTAAGGTCCGTCCCAAAGACCTAGATACCTAAAGTAGGATGCCGGATGCCTAGCAGTAAAGAGGGTCCCTCCCCCCTCCGCCCCCCAATCCCCAATCCCCCCCGGCCCGACCGGTCTTCTTCTTATATTGGCGTTCCCCTTCCCGGCGGGTTTCATTTCAGTCTCCCTCTTCTCTCTCCTTTCCCTTACGCTTTCGCTTTCCTTCCCCTCTTTCTTTTCCCTCTTTCTCTCCCCTCACCTCTCTCGTTTACTCCCTACCTACCTATCTCCTTATTTACTATCTGCTTACTACTTGCTATTTGTGTCGGAATTCCCATGGCGCGGTCGTCAGGGTGTCTCACCGCTTAAATGAACTGAAAAGCACAAAAAAAAAGAGAACGGAAATTCGGAATCGGATTGCAGTTGGATTGGATCGCGTTGAATCGAATCGAATTGAACTGGATTGGATTGGATTGGATTGGATGGGCTTGTTCGTCCATATGTAACCGACTTACCTGACGAACCATCCGTACATACTACATACCACACGCAGCGCAGCCGCAGCCGCAACGCAGCGACCCCCCCCCCCTTTCGCTTCCCCATCAACCCATAAACCAGGCAATGGTCCATCGAAACCATGCCTCTCAAATCTGATGAACACTCACACTCACACGCTCACGCTCACGACCGCCCCCCCTCCCTCGACCGCGAAGACGCCCCATTCCTCGACGCCGGCGAACCCAGCCTCCCGCTAGACGACCAGGATGACGACTCCGCCCCCAAGCCCTACACCGAAGAGCGGCGGGAAATCGACCGCAAGATCCGGTTCCGGCTGATGGTCACGCTGTTCGCGATGATCCTGGCGGTCGAGGTCGGCGTGTGCATGTCCAATGGCCCCGTCACCCGCATCTACGAGTCCATCGCCTGTCGCGAGTACTACGCCCAGTATGACCCGACGCAGATCGCTGCTGATGGACAGGTCCCCGAGGAGTTGTGTAAGATCAAGGCGGTGCAGCAGGATCTGGCCGCCGTGAAGGGGTATATGGAGTTTTTTGATGGGATTTTGAGTACGTGATCATGATTATATACCCTGCTGTGTTTTGTATGCGCTGGGCTGCATCAGTGTATGCGATGTGCCTGTGCGCGGGTGGGGGTTTGAAGGACTGGTTTAATGATGTGTCTTTTCTGCAGGTGCCGTGCTGGCTATCCCGTACGGTCTTTTGGCCGATCGCCGTGGACGAAAGTCCACTATCTGCCTCAGTATTCCCGGTTTCGCTCTCAATTGCATCATGCAGCTGGCCGTGATGTGGTTCCCGGATGTCTTTCCGCTAAGAGCTGTGTGGGCGTCGTCCCTGGCGTGGTTGTTCGGCGGAGGTCCCGTGGTGGCGTTTGCGATTATCTGGACTATGATGTCTGATGTGTCGACTGAAGAAGAGAGGTATGTTTTTGTGTCAGCATCCCAGGACGTAGGCTCAACAAATCTAGGGCGGCGATATTCTTCCGTTTCGGTGTCGCGAGCATGGGCGCCGATTTCGCATCCAGCGCCGCCAGCTCCTGGCTGATGTCGTTGGACCCGTGGCTCCCTCTGCTGATAGGATGGTCGCTCGCGGTCATCGGCATGTTCTTCGCCCTGTCGCTACCGGAGACCATGCATGTACGGCCGGTGCGGAGTGAGAAGCAGAGCATGGAAATGAGTCAGGTATCCCCCGGAGATTCCGAGTACAAGTCCGTCCCGAGCAAGGAGCAGGAGCAGGAGTCGTTCAGCGATGACGAAACGATCCAGGGCGAAGTCCACGCCTTTGCGAAAACTACCACCCGCCGGTCGTTTTTCGCCATGATCAAGTACCGACTGCGCGCCTACTTCGCGCCGTATTCGTTCATCCTCCGCAACAAGCAGATCATGCTCCTTCTCACGGCCTTCCTGGTCTACCGACTCAGCCGCGGCTCGTCCTGGTTCTTGGTCCAGTACATCTCTACCCGCTTCAAGTGGACACTGGCCGAAGCGAACTTCCTGATGTCGTTCAAGCCCGCCTTGACCATCCCCCTGTTCCTGTTCATCCTCCCCGCCATCTCGCGACAGCTGCTGAAGAGCATGAAACCCACCCAGAAGGATCTGCGGCTGATGCGCATCAGCATTGGTCTGCTGGCGGTGGGAACGCTAGGCATTGGGTTGTCGTCGAGCGTTTCGATGTTGATTCCCAGTCTGGTTCTTCAGACGTCCGGGTCCGGCTTTGTTTTCCTGACGCGGTCCCTGATCACGACCTTGGTCAACCGCGAGGAGACGGCGCGGCTGTTCACCATCATCGAGGTGCTGCAGTCGGTGGGTAACGTCATTGCCAGTCTGTCCATCACGACGGTGTTCCAGATCGGTCTGGAGATCGGAGGGCCCTGGATCGGCCTGGCGTGGATGATGACCGCGACCGCGTTCACAATGGTCGGCGTCGCTGTGTGGATGTTCCGGCTTGCCCCGCGGCACCAGGATAAGCCGGAGACGGAGGAGGCCTGAGTGGTAGACGCTGTATATAATAGATTTGCTTTTGGTTTCTTGTAAATATTGAATGCTGAATATTGAAGTGAAGATTGAATACTGAAGGTTGATGAGATGAAAGGGATGAGATGAAGGGACTGCGATTATGCCTCTGGTTGACGGGCGGTGAGGGTGGGCGGTGAGGTCGGCCTCGGATCCGACGCCTTTGGCGGCGTTCTTCCCAACGCGGCTAGTCGGTCATCTGGCGGGCTCGCATGTGAAATGGCCCGTCAACAAATCCATCTTTTGACCTCCATCACACCCATCCCTTGTCGCGCGCTTCACAATCTTTGACGACTCATTTGTAAAGTAGCGCGGTTGTCAACAGTACATACATTCTCTCCATCAACCCTCTCCTGCTCCACCTCCCACCACCAACGTGATCGACCCACCCTCGCTCCGTGGACTGGCGCAAGCTGCAGTCTTCCGTCAAAGCTCCGTCAACGCCAATCTCTTTGCCTGACCAACGAACAGGTCAACAACATTCCTGAGCGATGGAGAGATACGGGCATTACCGAGATCCAGGTACGTCCCCCACTCCCTGACTGGCCATCCCCGCCACTAACGCAGGGCCCTGTTTAGGTTCGGGAATCGCGCCTTTCCTCCCCCTCCCCCCTCCGCGTTGGAGCTTTGTCCAGCTTCCCCTGCGGTGGCTCCTCTGGTGGATACGTCTCCCGCTGTTTATCGTCGCGCTTGCCAGCTATTTTCTGGTTCTTCAATGGCTCCCGATAGGATCGCTAGGTCGGAAGGCATGCCTGTCGTGCATTCTGAGCGTGCCCAGCATATGGTGGATTGATATCCAGGTGGACGGAGTACAAAGAGGGTGGGTGGCCTGATACGATAGCAACGCTTTTCATTGCCAGGAGGCTAATTGAGACGTTGCTCATAGAACCCTCAACATGCGAAAGCACCAGGGACGTCTCCCCGGCCCCAGCTCCATCATTGCTTCGACCTTCACCTCGCCCATCGACGCGGTCTACCTGGCCGCCATCTTCGACCCTGTCTTTGTCGCTGCCTATCCCGACTCCACGCTCGTGGTGAAAATCTCTCTCTGGGAAGCAATTCTCCGCTCTTTTGCCAGCCCGCAACTGCGGCCCCTGCCCGGGTCCAATGCGGTCGACTTCGCCACCGTCATGCAGCAATACCCCGGCCGGCCCATTGTCGTGTTTCCCGAGTGCACCACCACCAACGGACGTGGAGTCATGCCCCTGAGCCGGTGTCTGACAAACACCCCCGCCCGGACGCCGATCTACCCCGTTGCCTTGCGATACACCCCCCAGGATGTGATGAACCCGATACCAGGCTGCTATCTGAGCTTCCTATGGACCCTGCTGAGCAGACCCACGCATTGTATCCGGGTCCGCATCGCGCAGGCCGTCGTGGCCGTCCGGGAGGGCGAAGATGCCGATATTGAAGACCCTGACAACACCTATCTAGATACTCTGGACCAGACTGAACACGCCAACGGCTTTCAACAAACCCACGTCGTGGTGCCCGAGAACAAGGTCATCGGCCATGTGGCTGATTCCCTGGCTCGGATTGGCCGCGCCAGGCGCGTGGGATTGACCGTCCAGCAGAAGAGGGAATTCGTGGACATGTGGAGGAAATCCAATTTCATATGGTAGATTGCTTGGGGGTGCCCCTGTTTTGGCAGGGGATGTCATTTAGCAGTAGATATGTTATTTAGTATTGGCTCCAGGCAAGCCGGTTGCTTTTATTGGCGAGAATCCTGATTAATGGATCGGTATATATCCTAGCATAACAGCTCGGCTGGTCGCGGGCAGTTAATCGGCACGCTTCGATACTCGTGTAATTTGACACTTAAGGTAGTATTGATATCCCTCCATGACATATGGGATGCTTTCTTCGCAGTAATTAGCTGACTGGCACTCATAACTGCAGATAAACCGCATAGTGTATTTGATGCTCTGGCTGCGCGCCAGCTACTACCTGGTAAACAAACTACCCCGAAGGAGTGGTGTAGTATAGGGAGGTTGGATTGCTAGATAAATAAGCAATGGGTATTATTTACCACCAAGCAGAGCGGTGTTCGAGAGGTTGTACTGTTATCTCACCTGACATCTACAAGCAAAGTGCTATATTATATTATACTGTACTATCCCCTTTGTGCGTCCGCCTAGGCTCCATCCCCATTGGCCACGCCCCCCCTACCTCTACTTGTCGTCGGTTGTTTTTCATCCTTCCTCATCTACCTCCTTCCTTCTTCCACCATCCCACTGAATCCATTTATCCATCCATCCATCCCCGTCGTCGCATCCATTCGCTAACCCACCACATCCCCACTTGATCATCATGTCTAGTAATGCATCTCGACCGGTAAAGCAACCATCACCACCTTCCTCCCCCCCTGACCCTTCTACTGTTTTTATTGTGTGATTATTCGTTTTAACGAAATCTCCAGATCTTCCCACTTAGCGGCTGGACCGCCGACCCTACGAGTTTCTACGTAGAGGGGGCTTTGGTTGGAGATCGGGTAAGAGATTTGGATCTGACACTACTACATCAGGACCGTTGAGGTCAGACCGAGATACTGCACTGTTTATCTGAGGAAAATATGCTATGTGAATGCCAGAAAAGGTGCCCGTCTCTGTCCGAGTGAAAAATGACTGGCAAAACGGTTGGACATGACACTGCTATGGAGGGAATTGTTCATGTGAGACCGAAGTACCGCCTTTCTTGACCCGAGTTTAAATGCTGACCGGTCTAGAAAAAGTGGATATCTCTCCCCGAGTGAAACATAACTGGCAGGAGGATCTTGTTCGCGTCCAGATCTTTGATGGCTGCGTGGAGATTGACCGGCACCTTCGCCAGAGCGTCGTCTTCGAGATGGCGCTCCAAATACTTGGCCCAATGTTCATCAAACGCCCACCGGATACCCCAGCCGACCATTTTCAGTACCTTGCTAGTTGTTGTTAACCCGTCGTAGCCTCTGGAGCTCTTTTCCTTCTCTGCCGGCACCCCATTCCCTTCAGCTCTATCTTCATCGTCACTCGAATCACGCCAATGCAGACTGTCCTTCAGCCAGTCGGCATAGTTGCCTGCCTTCTGCGCGTCCAGGAAATGGTCCAGCATCTTGCACATGGTCACCTTCTTCTCATGCAGGAAGCGCTGCCAGAACTCAACCAGGCCATTCTCCGGGACGGCGTGGGCAAAGTCGAAGTCGTCGGTGGCAATTCGATGCGCGTAGAACTCATTGCCCGATCCCAGCCCCAGTCGGCAGAGAAACCACTTCGCTCCAGGTGAGCCAGAGAACCTCGCGAGGACCCATTCTCCTGCTATAGCGTTGAGGTTGGACTCCGCGACGAAATCGATCATGCGGGAGACTCTCTTTTGTTCGCTCGAGGTGCCATAATTACCGAGCTTACGCTGTTCCGGTCCGTCGGAGGTGACCGGCTCTGCAATGCTCGAGAGCGTCCGCTTGGGCTGTGGAGGCCTGTCTGTGGATACCCCAGTCGCATCGCCTGAGGGATCTTCTCGTGTTTGTTGCCCAGATTCTCCCGAGGCTGCGTCTGACTGGTCATTGCTCGTCTCTGTATCGCTCTCGTTTTGGTCTATGACGGTCTTCTCGATAACATCCACCAGATCCAACTGCCTCTCGAGAACGTGCCGCTCACAGGAAAATGCCACCATGGTGAGAGCAAATCCTGTGCTGATTGTGCACCACCCGTCGATCTTCTCGTTGGCACTGACGGCGTTTTTAACCTTGGCACGGAGCTCGTTCTGCTGCAGCATCTTCACCACGACACGCTGGATATCGAATACACCCTTAATACCCGAGCTGTTGACCACGATGGGGTTGGGGCAGACAATCCGCTGGTCAAGGTCATGGCCAATCCCGTGTTCTGGGTTGGTAGGAGCTTGGATGTCGAGGGCTAAGAATCCATTATTGTCGCGAAGCCCCTTCCAGGCCTTTGCCTTTTCGAAAGCGACCTGTATATCAGCTCCCAATTGCTTGAGCGTTTTACTATGGTTGTCCCGCTCCTCCTTCTCCATATGATGGTCTGATTCCTTCCTGAACGATGGCACCCGGGGAAGGTTTGACAACGAATTGGCGATCCCACCGAGCCCTCCCAGCCCGCGAGATCCCCTCCTCCCGTGCTCAGCCGCCTTTTCATCCTCCGTTGCCTGTTTCTCTTGCTTCTTCTGTTGCTCTTCCTCCAACTTACGCCTGTTCTGGTCTTCTGTGTGCTGCAGCGCATAATCATGCGCCGCCTTCATGGCCGCAAGCAGCTCGGGCGACCCCAGCTGATCCTTCAGAGTTTCCAATCTGTTGTTCCTGATAAACTCGGTCATGTCTAGTAGCGTTGCGACCACCGATTCCTCCTGATGAAATGTTGTGATGAACTTGGTGGCATCAAGAAGCAAGTTTGTGACACCCTTGGCGACCTTCAGGTGCTCAATGCGCCTGTCCCGGAGGATACTGACGAGCTCAGCGTTGACATCGGGACGCTTTTTGGGCTCTTCATCCTCGGACTGGAAGGCTTCGATGTTAGACGCGTACAGAGATCGCCCGCGTATGGGGCTACTGTTGTGCTTGCCCGTCCAGTTAAAGACTGAGACGTCATTCGAGCCGATCACCACTTCATCCACCAGCCGCGACAGGGCCTTGGTGAGTCCCTCTGCCGGAAATGCCGGGAATTGGACCCCCAGAATACCCATCAACGAGTATGCCTGGTCAATTGCCTTGGTGCACTCCCGATGTGATGCAAGCTTCATCACGCTGTGGGCAGAGAAATTGTTCTGCTCGGTACCTGAACACCAGCTAGCCAGGTCTTTGACGTTGCTAAAGCCTGCAATGTCGCTGCGATCACTTCGGATTGGCCCGTTTGCCCTTAGTGCAAGAGCTGCCAGCAGGATATCGATTGTCTGTTTAACTTTGTCGGGGTAGACCGCACCCCAAAGATTCTCGACGATCAGCTCTCTGGCCTTGCGGATCTTTCCATCAAGCGAGTCTTCATCGCTCTTCTCGTCAAGCAAGTCTTCATAGCTCTCATCAAGCGGGGACCCATCACTTTCCTCATCAGCTGAATCATTCTGGAGTGCTTTGACTGCCACCTGGACAGAGTAGCTGATCTGAGCTCTGGCTGTTTCCTTATCCAGCTGCCTCGGGGCAACATATTTGAAGAGTTCCAGAGCCTGCACGATTCTTTTTATATTGAGCTCCTTGAAGGCAGTTAGGACGATTCCAATGGGGGGGGGCTGTAAGGTGCACCTTACCTCTTTTCCCTCACTTTCTGGGACTGCCTTCATCTCCTCCGTGTCCGACTTCGCGTTCAATGCTGCCAGCTCATCCAGCGCATCCTTCACCTTCCCCTCTTCTAACGTCGCGTCAATGTCTCCCTTCCACCCCTGAACATGACTCAGATTCCGAGTATAGTAGTCGACGAACGGGCAGAAATAGTAGTAAGACCCCAAAACATCAACCGGTCGTGGCAGGAAGCTCCACTCGGCATTCACATAGAAAGTCATTTTACTGAGCACCAATTCCTGCAGCGTCCAGCCACGAGTAGACCACTTTGGTTTCCACTCTTGAATATTCTCAAAGCTCATAACAGGTTTGCTTTTAGGGTCTGCCTGTCCGATCGCCTTGGCCACTGAGTCGTCATCTTCGTGGTTTTCTTCTGCATTGGACGCTCTGCCATTCATCTGACACCATAGGTCCCATTCATCCAGCCATTCGCGATCGTCCCAAGTGGTATCCAGATGCACCAGGCAAAAGTCGGCATTCGCATACCATTCTCCCATGCGTGCCAGGGACTCAGTCAGCTCGGAATTCTGTCTCTTGTCGATGCAGCAGTTGTCCAGCCAGATGTACCTCTTGCCTGTCTTTGAGAACGGTCTGTTCTGAAAGATCTCTCTCGCCCGGCGGAGAGACTGGTCAAGCTTGCGGGCCGATCTTCTCTGCTGCAGAGCTCTTATCAGGTCATCGATCGCATATGCCAGCAAGCGGTTCGCTCGGAACCCGTTATTGACTGGCTTTTCTAAGATATAGACTTTTTCGGCTTGTTTCCATTTAGCCGTGGCATCCAATTGCTCTTTCTTTGCGTCGGCTTCGCGCTGCTCCAGACTCTTTACTTCTTCAGTCACCTGAAGGAACTTCAACAATTTGTCATAGTTATTTTGTTCCATCTCAGTCTGCCTCATCTTGGCATCTATGGTGGTTCGGTTCTTCTTCGCGTTGGTCAGGCCAAATTCCAACATGGATGCCCTGAGAGACTTCACGAGTAGTTGTCGGATAGTCTGCTGCGGGTTTGAACTCGTTTCCACCAGCTTGTCCACTTTTTCTGCGATGCTTCCAATCTTCTTCTCGCAAGAAAAGAGAACCCGGCTCACATCGTCCACGTCTTCGGGTCCAGAGGGATGCTCAGCACGCTGGGCATCATACACATAGGCGTAATCGACCTCTGCGCCTTTCCAGCTATGAGACAGCATACAGTACTGATCCTCCTCTCCCAGGCCATTGATCGAAACCATGTTCTTCGTGTCGAGGTCGAACATGCGGAGGGGAAACGAGCTGTCATCAACTTGTGCCGCAAATGAGCTCAGTAGCAGGTCGGAGTCATCGGAAGTCGACGATTTTATCCAGTCGTTGTCGAAGAAAGCTTCGCGGCGCGACCTCACAAGATGATGCAAGAGGCCTCGGAGCTTCTCATCGTTGGTGCTGTCCTTTTTCGTCAAGATACCTGTGATCTTGTTTACCTCGTTCAATGCGGATTTCCGCATGTCCCGGGCATTATTGACGAGGGTTGAGTCCAAGGTCGCCTCGCGGATGTCATCGAGGAAGTCCCGTTTATGGACCGCTGACCTCTCCCGGTTCAAAGGGCTTTCGACTGCGGGAGCATCATTAGTAGGGGCTCCTTGGACAGGGACATCGCCAGCTGGGGCATCCGATGGCGCATGTTTTTCATGAAAACTCCCTCCAGTCGGGGTTGGCAGGTGAGGGAACGAGAGCTTGTGTTTGAACATGGTAAGCTATTGAAGCAGAAATATCAATATCAGCGGTTGCAATGGTCAAAGAAAAGAAGGCAATAAGCGTCGTGTTCAAACAAGCCTTGGGGCTGGAAAGCCAATTTCTAGCCCCCAAGTTATACGAGGGTGTACTTTGTGTAGCAATGCCCTGGCTGACGGATGTATGGTAAGGCGAACGGGCCCTAGATTGAGACGGGTCTGCCGATTGGTGGATATCGGAAGCAATGGGATTGCTCCGATTGATGCATGTGGTATGCGATTGTTTGCGCGAGTTGACAGCTCACTCGAACTGCGGGGCAGCTACATCGTCGTGCATCTCAGCTGAAAGCAGATCCCGACAAGAGGTCCCCGATGATGATGCGTCTCGCTGTGATGGGCTCGTTCTGTGTTGGGTACGTGACGGATAAGCGCCCTCGCAGGCGGATATATGATGCTGACCTGTCAGTGGCTCGGCCTTGCCGACAGGGCTGCAAGATGCAGATGTGCCCGTGAAAGGCATTTTGCATGTCTTTCAGCTGGGAAGTTGCCGCCACGACCCCGCATTGCTCTGGAGGACGATAACAACATGACTGGGCTCTTGCTGATAGACTGGCGTCTTCCTAGCTTCCTAGTATCCTCCCGACGTGCCGAGAGAAGAGCTAAAATTGACCATCTCTACCGCGGTTGAACAGGTTCATCTCCAACTGCGTTCATCCCACGATGGCTTCCTATCACCGTGTCCTGGCGGTATTCGGCCGCTCAGTCAAAGACAAAGCCCTAGAGTGCGACTGGTATGTTATCCACCTTCTAACCACAACCACTGCTAATTCCATCAGCGACATCCACCCCTGGGAGATCAAGATCAACGGCGAGCAATGGCCAGGGAAGATCCGGCTGATCGGCTTCGTGGACGTGTTCTTCCTGTTCTCCTACTCGGCCAATGCACGATTCGAAAGGGGCATCATCGTCTACAGTGAGTGAACTGCCTACCTCAAAAGCCAGCACTAACACCCTATAGAGGAGAGATACGATATCGAGAGACTCCTCAAACAGATCGAGGACGCCCGTTCCGCCGCAGGCCCCCCACCCACAGCCCCTGGAACCTCCCCAGCCCTCGAGGACAAAAAGGCAGAAACCGTCACCACGGTGACTGAAATTCCCCCTATCCCATCGGAGGACAACCCAGGTACGTGCCCCAGCCATTACCCCCTTCAGCCAGCCATACACACAACCTAATCAAGCCCTCCCAGCCACCGACTCCGACCAGCACCGCCGCCTCAGCTTCGACAACGACACCTCCTACAAAGTCACCAGCTGGGGCCACGAAGTCGGGCTGAAAAGCAACTACCCGATCTCCTCTGTCGGGGAATGGAATATCGAGATTAGCAAGCCGTATCATCGCGCGTTGAGACGTACGTCTCTGTATACCCCCTGCCCCCTTGTTTTAACGTTATACATCTGCTAACGCTTATGGATGGGAGGGTAGGACGCATCAAGCGCGCAATCAAGGAACACACCACCACCGAGCTCCTCGAGGATGTCGCGCGGTGCGGGTTCATCGCCCAGGGCCAGTTCATCGGAAATGTGGCTTCAAAGTATCTGGTTGGCGGCGTGTTGGATGATACTTTGACGAAGTATATGGAGGGGCTGGTGTCGGGGGATAAGCCAGGACATGTGGCGTTGGCGAATGAGGGGTTTTAGTTCTAGTTTGTTGGGTGTGAGGAAGCCGGTTCTTCTAGGAGTTATGTGGTTTTTAATATGAATCCTATTTGTGGTTGTTCCGTATGACTGGGCATGATGGGTGGGGGAATTCCTGGATCTAGTAATATGTAGCTCACTCGAACTATCCCAGTCCACTAGTGATCTACCTACCTACCCTTTATATCCAAGAAACTTGCTCAACCGTATCCTACTCCAGCGCAGACACAGCAGCATGTCTTTAGCTGGAAAGTTGGCTTCGCCACGAGACACTCCTTACTTACAAGACCTTTATCCCTTGATACTACCATACCCAGATACATAGGTCCTCAGTATCTTAGAATCAACCCCCCCCCCCCCCCCCCCAAAATCCAAAACCCCTCCCCGTAACCACCCAACCACCCCCTCTCCTCCCTCCCCACTCCCCACCCACCCGACTCTGTCCCTCTCCTCCCTCCACACAAACCCTAACCACCCACATCCTCCAAGCCCTCCGCCCTCGTCCTCCCCTTCCCTCTCGCCTTGTCCTCCCCCACCTCAACCCCCCCCCCCAAAAAAAACCCCTCCACCCTCCCCGCCTGCCTTTCCAGAGTTAATCCCCGCGTACATACACACAACTCCCCCCCGCACCCACGACACTCCTCAGCCCGACCAACCCGCCCTCCACCCTTGTTCGGACCAACTCCCAGTTTCCCTTCGTCTCGAGCCAGCTCCAGAGTGCTTCGAAGCCGCGGACGTGCCTGCTCAGTCCTTCTATGGGGATGGTGCTGTCTTGGGGTTTTAATTGGCTGTTTAGGAGCATGGTTGTTGTGTGCTGGAGGGGGGGAGTGTTTGGGGGAGGGATGAGAGGGAAATAGATTGAGTTGGGGGTGGTGGTGGTGTTGTATTCGGTTTCTGTGCCGAGGCGGATGGCGGTGGAGAGGACGGTGGGGAGAAGGGAGAGGGGGGATGGGGATGGTAGTGGTGGTAGTGGTGGTGGTGGTGGTGGTGTTGGGATTGAGATTAGGGTTAACGGCGGTATTGGTAAAAAGCAGCGAACATCTCCCGGGCTGATTTGACGGTGAGAGGGTCGTTTGACTCGGCTGCTACAGCGAAGAGGAGGGATTTCAAAGTCACGGTAGAGGTGGGAATCGGATGGATGGATGGATGGATGGATGGATGGATGGATGGTCTAGCCCAGAGTATGCGATAGAGGGGCGATGAGGTGGCGGGTGAAGTTCAGGAGGGAGGCGTGGTTTGTCTGGTGGAGGAAGGCGGAACAGAGGGTTGTGAGGGAGGTTGTGAGTGGTTAGATGGGATAGCAGGGTCAGTCAGAGTCGGACGTACCCGATGGCGACTTCGCCGTGGAATTCAAAGGTCTCGAGATCGGGCTCCAGGGTGAGGTCGTAGTGGAATGGTTGAATGTTGTCTGGGAGGAGACGGTCTGGTTTTGCCATGGCTGGATGTGGCGATGTGCTTGTTAGATGTGTCGGAGTGTCTGGTCACCTATTAAGTCGTGTGGTCGAGTGGTTTTGCTTGACAGGATGGTGGGAAGTTGTTCTGAGGTGTATGTAGTGAGATGGACGACGGCTGTCCAATATGATAATTACTAATAAATCAAGACATATTAGACATCACCATTCTCCGGGTGATTCTCGAACCTTAACCAGGATCTCGGACAAAGAAAACAGATAAGTAACCCTGTCAATGGCTTTCTAACCCCTGTCATATTAGCCAGTTATTGACTAACTAGTAGTTAAACCGAGATCACTTACTAAGGTCCGGTTAGGGCTGGAGGAGCTCTCAGCCATCCGGAAAAAATCAACGGATGATTAGTTCATAGATGTAGGACCTGCCTACAATATCCCTCCATCCATCCTACATATCCGTAGACATAAACGTACAAAGTACCATACACATACATATTATTCCTCAATCTGAGATACACCGACACCCGCACCCACGCCCAACAACCCCGAATCCAATCCAGAAGCCATCCCATGTCCCGAATCCAAACTCACCCCCAATCCTGAATCCAGCACCGATCCTACACCTAATCCCGAATCCAGCCCTACTCCCACTCCCACTCCCATTCCCACCCCCACTCCTACCCCCGCCTCTACTCCCATCTCCAGTGGCAAACCAGGATATCCCGCCTCCTCGAACAACGTCCCCCTCGCCTGGACGACAGCCGACGTCTCCAGGAGGAACTCGTACAGGATGACCACGTTGGTGAGCACATGGCCCAGGGTAGCAATGCGGGGTTCCTCGTCCACGATGGCGGAGTCGCCTGCGTCGTCGGCTTGGTCGTCTGAGTTGTTGTCGGTCTCGGGTGAGGCATGCTCGCTGGGCGCGCCGATGGAGAACGGCTGCTCCAGACGCTGGCGGAGTTCGTTGGCGGCGGTTCGGCGCGCCGAGGAGCGGTCGCGCGGGGGCCGGAAGGGGAGGTCGCGCGGGGGCGAGCTGAGGGTATCGCGGATGGGAGAGGAGGGGGTGTTGGAGATGGAGAGGTCGAGGGGGCGGCCGCGGGGCGATCCGTAGTCGGTGTCCAGACGGGGGCTTGGGCGCTGGGAGGGAGAGCGGGTGGGAGGCTCGGAGGTGCGTTGGGAGCGGCTGGAGGCTTTGGGCTCGTCGTCCTGGTGGAGCAGGTCGCGACGCGCGGCCACGAGAATGTCGAAGTCGGGAACCTCCTGGCGCCACTTTTGGATCTGCTGCACGAGTGTCTGGAGGACGCGGGTGAGCGCCGGCGTGTCTGTGCTGGACCAGGAGGGTTCCTCGTAGGCGAGCTGGATCTGCTCGAGGAGGTGGCTCGAGGGGGTTTCGGTGGCGGTGGGTGTGCTGTAGATGTACTTGGACGGGTCCACGAGAAGCCAGCCGTCGAGGGAGATGAGGTGGGACGAGGCGATGCTCCCGAGGACTTCGGTCAATGCCAGGTTGACGATGACGCTGTTCGTGAAGAAGTTTTGCAGGCAGTTCAACAGCTCGCGCACGATGGGGTCGTCGTGTCGCAGCTCCAGCGGCAGGTTCTCCTCCGGGTCGTCATCGGCCGGAGTGCACAGGCGGGCCTCGAGGATCACCATCCCATCCTTGAGGTAGTTGTCGTACGACTCATCCAGGGTAGGATCATTGACAATGGATGTGGCCATGTTCATCAGCTGGCCCAGCTCCACATTCAGTGCCCCTACGGTGCGCTGCTTGGCAGGCTGGCCGGGGATAGTGCGTATCAACGACCGGGCGAACGAATGGTGTCGTTGCAGCAGAATGCTCATCAGCCGCAGCGTCGCCAGAATGGTCTGTCTGTTCACCGACTGGAGTCCCAGCAAGGCGAGGTCTCTCAGGTTGAACAGGGACGGCGACGGTCTCGCAGCCTCCTCCGAAAAGGCAGCCAAAACATCCAGCGACTTTCGCCGGCTCGAAGACATGTGTGTTTTCTTCGGCCCAGAATCCGACGGCGAAGCAAGCAGGAAGTTCAGTATACGGTGAACCAAGTCTTCCTGCTCTACCAACTCCAGGATGCGATATAGGTAGGTAAGAACCGCGGCCGTCGAGCCGCCCTGCACATCAGACGACTCCAGCAAAGACGGATACCTGCAAACAATGAGCACCATTCCATGCAGGAAAAACAACGAGGAATTTCGGGGCACCCCCAGCGGGACCTACAGAAGCTGTTCCAGGAACAAGACCTGAAAATGATCCAACAGCGTGCCATTCACCTCCGCCGACTTGCAATGATCAATGGTATCCTGCCAGAACAGGAGATACGACATGAACGAGTCCATGGACGCGCCCAGCAAAGGCGGAAGAGCCGTATCCTGGCGCGCATGGTCCGACAGCGCAATGATATGCGGAATGGTCTCGTCGGTATTCTCCTGAAACGTCAAGCTGCACCCCACGTCAGTACCAACCCCCCATATGAATCTAGTGTACTCACCTCCCCAACTGACTATACAACGCCCCCAGCCCCGTCGCCATCAACGTAGCCAGATCACTCTCGATCAACCACCGCTCCAGATTCTTCGACCTCGACGCCGTCTCAATCAAATACAGCAAACCCGTCCGAGCGAAATCCCCCGCCCGCCCAGCATGATGCACATACTCAACCAGCAGATAAAACAACGGGAAATCATCCTTTCTCATAGCCCCCGCGAACTCCGCCCCGGTATTCCCCCCCTGCTGTTCGCGATCCTGGTCCTCCGACCGCGGAGCAAACCACGCGGGGAGAATATTCGGCTGCAGACGAATATTGTTCGCCACGCCGAACAGCAGCTCGACGAGCCGGCCCTCCACATCCTCAGAGTGTTTGTCTGCGCGGCGGACCAGGTCGACCAGGGCGCGGGCGAAGAGGCGGTTATCGACGACGCCGTCGACTTCGGAGTCGATGAGGGTGTTGAAGAGGACGGTGGCGGAGCGGAGCATGTTGTCGTCATAGGAGGAGAGGGCCAGCTTCGTCACCGTCACGAAGATCTGCGAGGACGAGGCATACGCGAGACAGGGGTGCGGTGCCGGGCCCCGGGATTCGTCGCTCAGCACCGTGATCAGTCGGTCGATGCTATTGCGCGCGTTCACTGTCGCGGATTGTTCCCCCGTGGGGGAATTGCTGGAGCGCCATATTTGCTGGGGAGGGAAGGTGAGTGAGAGGGTCGCGAATTGGGGGAGGGAGAAGGGGGAGAGGGAGGATGGGAGACTCACCTGGAGGGTGTTGCAGGTCCGTTTGAACGATGCCAATCGCTCGGTGGGCGTGGTGGCTCGAAAGCTCTTAGTAGACAGCGAGCGCGAGCCCCCGATTAGACGAGACCACTGGGAGAGATGGGTTAGCTGGGGATGGATGCTATGTCGAGGCAAGGGGCTTGACGTACAAAGTCCATGATTCTGTCGGACCGGCATGTTACTCCGGTGCTGCGTCCGACATGGTCTCAGCGGGCGGGGAGAAGATGACGGCGAGGGAATCAGTGCCTGGGAGTGCCTGGGACATCCGCCCCGAAAAGGGGTTAGTGGCTGGCGGTCGGTCTGGTCCGATCGGGCCTAGTCCCGTTCCCACTCCGAGGCTCTCAGCAACCTTAATATGTTCGGCCTCCGGGCGATGCACCGGCTGGTGAGACAAGCGTCGCACAACGACCCTCATTGTTGGGCCGTCGGACGGATGTCTTACTTTATGGTTAGAGATAGTCACCAGGAGCAGTCCCTCCTGTAGCTGCAGCCTGTCTATCTATGCTACGAGTCTCAACCGCCCGTCCAGGCCTACAATTACGCAGCACCCACTCACTCTGCAAGCACCGGATCGACACCCATCTCCATTAGTCGAGACGAACCCAGCGTCTGCCGGATCAACCGTAATAAATAAAAAGAGACAGCCAAGATAAGAAATGGTACCTATTCACATCGGAAGATGCAAGCCCAACCATGCCCACCACCGCAACGCCTAGAGAGTATGCGCCCGCTCTCCGTCCAGTCTAAAAGATATCGCCCAGCAAAGTCGTCGAGTATAAAGCAGGGAAAGAAGCAAAAAACACCAGTCGTGGTCCCGTTAGTCGCTTTCGTCCTTGGGCTTGCGACCGCCCCGCTTTCGTTTCGGTTGTTGTTCGTTCTGATCGCTCGCGTCGTCGTCGTGTTTCCGGCCGGCGGGTTGGTCAGGGACCTTGGCGATGATGTCGGCCAGGAAGTCGAGCACCTCGTCCTTGACGACGGCTTGCTTGAGGTGCGACGCGGTGACGCGTTTGGAGTTGCGGTCTTTGGCTTCGCGGGCGGCCTTGGTGACGAGGGAGATCATGAAGAGTTCAAGTGCTTTGGCTGTGCGACCGAACCGATTAGCGACGCGTTTGCAGGGTATTGACCAGGGGTGAGGGTGGGAAACTTACAAACAGCGATTGGCGTGACCTGCGCGACCTTGCCAACGTCTTCGTCCGCTTGCATGATGCGTTTTATGCGCGCGACCGGGAACTTCGTCTTCACCTCGATCGGAGCGGCGACGATGGGCTTGGGAGGCTCCGGCTCCTCCTCCTCCTCCTCCTCCTCCTCCTCATCCTCGTGCGGCGGCTCCTCCTCTTCCTCCTCTACCTCCATGACAACCTCCTCTTCCTCGGGGGGCTCCTCTTCGACGACAGGCTCTACATACTTGGAGACCTGCACGGGGGCGACCTCGGCGGCCTGTGCGATGCGGGACGAGCGGCGAGCCATGTCCGGGTCTAGGCGAGAGTCGGGGAAGGGGGGGATGTACTGCTGGGGCACCCTGGCTGGCGGGGCCGGGGGTTGTTGATACTGCGGGGTGAAGAAAGGCGAGGCGTCGTAGGAGGCGCGGTGGGCGAGGGGACTCCCGAATTGGTAGCCGGAGGGCGGGAGGTAGTGGTTGTTGTGGTTGGGGTTGGGGGGGTGGTGGTGGTGGTGGAGGGAGTGGGTGAGGGGGGAGAGATGGGGGAGTGGAAGGTGGAAAAGTCAGGGGATCGTGGTCGGTAGGAGTTGTCTTGGTCTGTCATTGCTGTGGGGATTTTTATTTTTTCCTCAGCGATGGGATCCAAGCGACGGGCGGCGATGCGCGTGCGCGCCTAAAGGGAAACGGGCTAGTATAAAATAAATATGGGGAACCAACCTTGGCCGCCAGTGGAATTTCAGGAATAAAAGTGGGAAACCGTAATGGCAGTAATTGGCTGGGGTCTGGATGAGGACAGCAGGGGGCTTAAATCGGTATTGGACAGAATGCCCGCGACATAACAGCCAGATGCCTGTGTTTGCACAGAATGAAGGAGGAGCAGCAGTAGCAGCAGCAGCAGCAGCAACACCGCAGCGCGCCGACCATCAACAATCCGCGAGGGTTGGGTTGGGCCGATCGCGCGGCAGGTGGCCCGAGCTTTTTTGGCTGGTGTTGTGCTATGGAGCGTCCTGTTGCAAGTTGCAGAACGGGAACAGGCAAGAGGACGGCACTAAGAAAGAGCTAAGAAGACTAAGAAGACTAAGCCGAAGTGCGTGTGTCCAACGACAGCCGGCAGTGGCCCGAGCAGCCTTGAGGAGAGAACGACCGGGACGCTTTTGTTCCGGGGGAGCAGCAGAGCAGCAGCGGCCCTTTTTAACCCTGGCCTCCGTTACACTCTCCCGCTAAAAATATGTTTTTTTCTGTTTTTTTCTGGTTTTTGATTTTTTTTTTTTTTTTCTTTTTTCTTTTTTTTTTCGTTCTTTCTTTTGGGTCTGCCGGGCCAAACTACTAAGCCAGCCGCCAGTCTCACTCACTGGCCAGGAATCCGTCGACTGACTGACCTGACTGACTGACTCCCACCAAACAGACGCCCGTCGTAGAGTCATCCTCCTCCTCCTTCCTCCTCATCCCATCCATCCATCCATCCATCCATCATCATCATGACTGACTGTCTGTCTGTCTGTCCTATCACTGACTATTCTGATGATGATTCTCGCAACTAGACCCGGACTTCAGAGATAAATTAGGATTTCTCTTACTTCTGTCTGCTTAACCATATACTATCCCAGAGATCGTCATCCGGTCGGTCTCATCCCTTCCCCCTTCCCTTCTTCCCTTCACCATCGGCCAGCAGGATGAAGAATCATTGAATGCTCGCCACCCCGCCCGGAGGAACACCCTGGATGGCGCGCCTGCTGATTGGCCACCCTCGGCATTTGGCTTTTGCCGCGCGTGATTCCGTCCCTCGAGGTTGCGTCAATGATGCACTCACTACTCTCTTCCACTTCCACCTCCCCATCTTCCATCCTCAGTACTAGTGTCACCCCCTCAGCCTTCCGCTGTCCCTGGCGATCCGGTACCAGGGCTCGAATGTGAGCCCCGGGTGGATGCTTGCGGTCACGTTACAGCCCCCCTTTGTCCGTCGCGTTCCCTTCCCCTCGTTTCCTTTGACCCCTTTTGTCGCGCGCTGCCGCAGACGCTGAATGATGATACAAGAGCTCCGGAGATGGGGAGAGGCCGGCGTTCGTGCAGAGACCCGTCGGGGTATCGCCGCCGTTGGACCTCTCGGGGCTATTACATGGCCGTCCCAATCGCTGACGGTGAAAATTACTTGATCTAATCTGACCGTGCGTCCGTGGTGTCTCCCCGATGACCCTCTTCCACCCTGGTTTTGATTTGCCTGTCGGAGATGAAGGGTTGATACGCCAGCTGGAATGTGCCAGAGTGCCAGAGTCTAGAGAGAACAGTGGCAGAGCCACCGGGCTGAGAGAGGTCTAGTGCTTACCTCCCGCAACAAAGCCTTCCACCTGCATGGCAAAGGGCGGGCTATCTGGCTGCCTGGTGCTGCCATGCTGGATGCCGTGTGATAGATAGCAGCCAGGAACCTCGGTGGAGGGCGGTGTCATGACCTGTCCAAGCCCGATGCGTGATCGCCAGGGCTGGCCTCCAGCTCAGTTGGAAACCGTAGCTAGCATGCTGTACCTGTAGTCTGGTAGTTAAAATGTATCTACCTACTTGAACTTCCCACCGACCTACATGGCTATTCTCTCTGCCCAGCATGCCATGACAGTTACATGGGGAGCCATGCGGGCGGGGCCGGGGCCGGGACGAGGTTCTTCCGCTCCGTCCGCCGAACGGCCTCCAAATTTGGTCAACGGGCAGATCGATGGCCTGTCGCAACATTCACCAGCCGCAAGCAATTCACGGCCCAGATTCTGTTAACGAGTGACGCCAGCAGGCATGGCCACCGTCTGTTATTGATGGCGAACTAAGGTGTCTCCTTCATCTCCGCCATCCTGGCCACCTACCAATTGCGAGCGCCCCCATCCTCTCCCCCTTCTGGACATATCTCTTTTCCCCGGACTAGCCTCCATCCGCCATGGCTGTCGCAGATCAGCCCGCGGGCTTGATGGATATTGCCAGGTAGGTCGAATCGGGGACTTCTTCTGATGCCTCTCGTCTCGCCTCGCCCCGGTAACTAACCGTCTGCTCCGTCCGCCCGCCAGCTCGCTCACCCAAGATGAGATCCCCTTCAAGCTGCGATGCGCCATGTGCAATAAGCTGGCCATGAACGCGTTCCGCCTGCCTTGCTGCGATCAGGCGATTTGCGATGGCTGTACGCATAACCCACCGTTCAATGTTTCGCCCCGTTCTAACCGACTCCGACAGGCCAGGCTTCGCTTCCAGACACTTGCCCCGTCTGCGCGCACACCCCCCTCTCCGCCGATCTATGCAAGCCGAACAAAGCGCTGCGGACGACCTTGAAGGCGTTTTTGCGCACCGAAGAGAAAAAGCGTGAGCGGGAACGCCAGTCCGCCACCCCCGCGACGCCCGCGCCCACAAATGGTGTGACTCCGGCAGACGCGACCCCGGTGCAGGAGACGCCCGTGGTGTCCGGTGCCCACGAAGGTCCGGCGCCTGATGAGGCGCTTCCTTCTGTTGAGGCTGTGGAGGAGCCAGCTGCCGCTGTGAACGCCCCCGACCCGGACGCGGAGAACGCGCCGGGTGATGAGGCTCCCACGGAGGCTGCAGCTCAGGTAATCCGTCCAGGACACATGGTCTCGTTCCCGCTGACATGCAGAATAAGCAGTTGGAAAGCGTCCCTGCGGATGCGCAGGATAACGCCGGCGATGCGGAGGTCGTCGAGGGCGAACAGCCTGATGAAGCGAACTCTGCTCCCGTCGATGGCGAAACGCCAGCACCCGGGTCAGGGCCCGCGTTCCCCAACGGCATGGGCTTCAACATGGGCAACGGGATGTTCCCGAATATGGCCTGGAACAACAATGGAACCTTCAACCCGATGAGCCAATTCATGAACAACGGGATGTTCAACTTCCCCAACGCGATGGGTAAGATGCCCACCTCCCCCCCCCAAAAACGAACCCCGCTGACTGGTCACCTTCAGGAATGGCCGGCATGGCGATGGACCCGATGGCCGCGAATCAGGGTATGTTTGGAGGCTACGGGATGAACATGAATGGCATGAACATGGGAATGAGTTACGACGCAGGTCAGGAGATGTACGGGGGATGGGACGGCTCACAGAACAATATGTGGAATGGAGGCCAAGATAAATTCAATCCAAATGCTTTCGCAAATGGTATGGGTCCGCAGTACGGGGGCCCGTCTGGATTTGGTGGATATAATATGTCTCAACCCAACGGAGTTCAGCAGTTCCCTAGCCAAGATTATCAGAATGGCTCTTATGCCGGCTACGGCAGAGGCAATTTCCGCGGCCGAGGCCGGGGTTTCTTCCCCGGTGGCCGTGGCCGTGGCGGTTACGCTGGGCACCTGCAAGCCAATTACCCTGCGAATGCTAACTTTGCAGCCTTCCCCAACCATAATTCTCCTAGTGACAATCCGGACCTGACGCAGTCTCAGGATGGTGTATCTGCCGGGGTTGACGAGGAGGGCCACGAGGATGGCTCCGCGAGGGATGCTACGGGGGAGAAACTGGGTGAGACGGGGGAGCCACTGGAGAACGGGGAGAACGGGGAAACCGACCCTGTCAATAGAGACCCTACCACCGCCACTCCCAGCGAGATGCCCGAGTCGGAGGACACCCAGCTGCGTGGAATCCCCACCATTGATAGTCTAGACCAGGTCGCCGCTGCCCAGGAGATGGCGTCCGGCGCGATGGGCATGGTAGGCTCCATGGGACCCGGCTTTGGCAGAGCTGGAGCTGGAGCTGGCCCTGGCTATGGCCCTGGCTACATGCGCGGTCACGGTGGTGCCTTCCCTGGAGGGCCGGGGGGCCTGGCGGACGGCCCGGGGGGTTCAACGGAGCCCCGTTCATGGGCATGCCCGGGGCCCCCAACGGCTATGCCGAGCCCCGGGGCCAGGGCGTGGAAGGCGCCCCCGCCGCGCCCCGAGCCATGCGAGAGGGTCTTCCCAACACCAGCGTTCTGCGCCAACGCAACTATCAAGGTGCTGCACGATCCTCCGCCCCTCCAGTGAGACCAAACGATCCCTCCCAAACGTAAGACTGACTCCTCCTTTCCTCCACCCCCTCCACCCCCTCCACCCCCTCCACCTCACCCGACTCACTCACTCACACGATCTCCAGCGCTACTCCAACTGGACAAGAAGACATGCCCCGCTCAACATCCCGATCCAAATCGCGCGCCAGATCAGCGTCGAAATCAAAGACGCGGTCCCGATCCCCCGCCCCCTCACGATCCGACAGTCGGCGTCGCTACCGTCAACGCTCCACGAGTGTCGACCACGCGGCCGACGACTCCGAACGCAGACGAGACCGCCCGCGCAGACCCCGTCGGGAGGACAAATACGAGGAGCCTGCTGCCGAAGAAACGGCCCGCACGCGCTCATCATCTCTGGAGTCTCGCCGGTCCACGCACCGTCGGGACAGGGAGCGAGACAGACGCAGCGGTCGCCGGTCGCATCGCTCCCACCGACACCGCAGCTGGAGCCGCAGCCCGAGTCGTGACGGCGATGCCCCCGACGAGCGTCTCGCCTTGATCCCAGAAGATAACGGCACCACCGCCACTACCACCACTGGCAACGCCAACAGCAACGGCACCAGCTCTCGAGCCAAACCCACCGACCCCACGGACTCCAGCCGCAGCTACCGTGGCAAGGACCGATCCCGTCGCGACGACGACCGCGAAAGAGACCGGGAGCGAGACTCTCGCCGTCGAGACCGAGACCGGGACCGTGATCGTGACCGTGACCGCTACCGCGAGCGAGATAGAGACCGCGACCGCGAGCGAGACAGAGACCGCGACCGCGACCGCGAGCGTGATCGTGACAGACACCGTGACCGTGACCGCGACAGAGAAAGAGAAAGAGACAGGAAACGTCCCCGTCGCGACCGCTCCCAATCCCCCGCGAACAGCGAATACTCCTCGCGCCGCCGCATCAAGCGCGATCGCGACGCAGAAGCCCGCGACACCAAGCCCGTCCCCAAACCCTCCGCATCCGCAGGACCGTCGACGACTCCCGCAGAGCCAGAGAAAGACCCCCACACCCTAGAACGCGAGGCCCGCAATCGCGAGCGTATGCTCAAGGAGCAGCAGCGCCGTGAGGCCATGCACGCGGACCGTGATGGCGGTGGTGGTAAATCGTCCCGCAAACGAGACAGAGGCGGCCGTCGATTCGGATACAAGTATGATGATGATGCTGGGGATTCGAAGGACAGGAGGGATGGGGGGAGATGGAAGTGATGGTGATAGTGATAGTCATTACATACATACATACTTACTCACCTATCTTACTATCTTACTACCTTACTTACTACCTTACTACCTGTCTATCCATCTCTCTGCCTCCCTGTTTCTGTTTACTACTTACTTACTGCATATCGGCTACGGGCTGGTACATGCATGCATATTTATTCCCTCTTCTCTTTCTTTCTCCTCTCTTCCTCTTCTTCTTCTTGTCTTCCTCTTGTTTATTCTTGCGGATGTACAGTGCAGTACAACACGGTACAGTATTTAGCTTGAATGAGTATCAAGAATTTAGAGGAGATGTGCGAATGGATTACGATGTTTTCCTTCTTTCTTTTGTTTTTATTGATGATGAATTGAGTTGGGGATGGGTGAGTGAGTGGGTGGGTGGTGTTACTCTGTAGATCTTTTTTATTTACTTATTATTTATTAAATTTCATTTATCTCCTATTCTTCACGTCACTATAATAGGCTGTACTGTTTTTTCTTTTGTGTTGTTGCTTCTAAACAATTTAAGCATAAATAGCACATATTATTATATCACAGCTAGTAGTTAACTAGGTATATAGACAGGCAGGCAGGCAGCTATCTGATTCTAATACTCAGTCTACTTAGTTAACTACTTATAATTATGTATTAATCATGTTTGCGGGATGGATGGGTTTGTATACAGACGGAGTGTATGTAGTTTCAGTTGAAATTGGATTGTTTAAACAGTAGTTAGGTAAGGTTGTGACCAATTGTGGAGGTTTTTATGTAGTATAGTACTTACCTATGCAGTTTAAAATATATGGGGGCATTTGAATAGGTGGTTTGGAGTAACTATGGGTAACTATAGATAGGGGTAAGGTAAACTATATTTATTTAGGTTGAGTCAGTCGCTTTGGTTGGCTTTGGAGTTTGGTAAGTACTAGTACTTATAATATAGATCTAGGTTTGGTGTGGTGTGGTACATTATACTATATATTATTCTCGGTGGTGTATGTGTGACTGGCAAAGCATACATAGAATCGTACATAAGAATGATAATTTAGTTATTACACCCTAAAGAATTAAGTTCGAATCAACAGATGAGAGAGAAATAGACCGTGTCAAAAAGAAAACGTGTTCCGTGTGTCCCGTTCCGTACGTGAGGCATAGGTAGGTAGGCCCGAGTCTGCCCCGAGGTAGATATGGCCATGGCAAGCTGACACGCACGACGTCGAACTGGATGAATTTCGTTTCGTCGTCGAGATCATAGCAATGCTCGAGGTGGTCCATGGAGTAAAGGTTGAAACGTGCATGGGAGATGGAGATTCGGGGGTGTTTTTGTCCGGTTTGGACTGATTCCTGGAGGAATTCGTAGACCCGCTCGACTTCTTCGATGAAGGGTCTGTCGTGTTTTCGTTCATGGTACCGTCCTTCGTCTCGTTGTATCTGCCGCTCAAACTGCTCCTCATCCTTCCCTGTGATGTAGTCTGAGGGTGTTGGGCTCTCGTAGGAGTCCAAGTCAACGCCACCGCCCGATATCTGTTCGTCTGTGTGATGTTCACGGGACGCATCGGAGAGTGCTTCATCCCCCGATCCGGGGATCTGAGATCTCGGTCATGGTGGATAGCGATATATCCCGTACGGCCCCCATCCGGGGAGGGGTTTTCGCTGATTTGAAACCATCAGCTGCGCCTGTTTCTGCTCGCGGTCCCATCTTAGATTCTGCTCCTTTCGCTGTTGCTGTGGCAGCTTCTCCTGCTTCAAAATCTGCTGTTCCTCGAGTTTCTTTTGATGCTCAAGCTGCTTCTGGTCATTGAGCTTCTTCTTCTTCTTCTTCTTCTTCTTCTTCTTCTTCTTCTTCTTCTTCTTCTTCTTCTTCTTCTTCTTCTTCTGTTTCAGGATTCGCTGCTCCTCGACCCTCCTTTCATGCGCGAGCCTCCTCTGCAGCTTCTTCTGTTCCTTGAGTTCCTTCTCTTTTATCTTCCGTGCCTCGACTTTCTTCTTGTTAGCCAATTTCTTCTCTTGTTCAAGTTTCTGTTGTTGCTCAAGTTCTTCCTGGCGGCGTGTCTCAATCCGGAGCTGTAACCAAATTGTTTTTCTTTCTGTGATAGAGTTGCTCCCTCTCGCGGTGGTTCTGATACAGCGTCCACTCGTCTCGTTCGAGCCACTCCTGCTGCTCAGTCCACTGATGTGCCTCAAGCACATACTGGTGCTGAATCCCCTGCAGTTGCTTAGCCCACTGCTCGTGCCCGATCCGCCCCTGCCGCTTCATGTCCCGCAATTCCATGTGTTTCTCATGCAGTCGGTCCAGTCTCTCCTGCTGTCGTAGAACCCGTTGTACATGGGCCTCCCGTTCCGGGATTTTCTCCTCCTCCATCCTCACATGTTCCTCGTACATCGTGTTATACTCAAGCTCCAGCTTTTTGTATTCCTGCGTTTTCTGTTCGCATTCCCGCTTCCTCTGCTCCTCCTTCAACCTCTGCTGCTCGTCTTCACGCGTCTGCTGTTCCTTCTGAAGCCTCTGCTGCTCCTCCTTGAGCCACTTATCTTCCTGCTCCTCCGCCCTTCGTGTCTCCTCTACCCTCCTCGCATATTCTTCCTCTCGTTGCGCTTGCTCGTATATCCTCACTGCCTCCTCCGGACAAGGAACATATGTCCCACGCGGTAGTCCCAGCCTCCTTACGGCCTCTTTCCTTTTCCTTTGGTTTTCACGGTTTTGCGCCTTCTTCTCGCGTCGCAACCGCCGCTTCTCAAAAGCCTTCTGATCTTCCTTGATATTCTCACCGTTTGCCTCTGCGGGGGGTTGTTTCTGGATCTGGATCTGGATCTGGTCCTGCATCCGCATCCGCATCCGCATCCACATCTGTTCAGACTCCACTAGTCTGTTTAGCTTGTTCTGTACCGCTTAGATTTGTCGTTAACTGTAACTCATCCTGATGCTTTCTCTCCTTCTCCTTCTCCTTCCTCTCTTCTATCTTCTTTTTCGCTTGTTTCCTTTGTCGTTTTCTTTGGCTTTTGAGCCTCCTGTTTAGACGTTTTTGGGGCTTCGTCATTGTTATAGTTGTTGTTGCTGTTAGTAAGGGGTGGGGGTGGGTGGGTTCTGGTGCTGCGGTTGCGGTTGCGGTTGCGGTTGTAGTTGCGCTCGCTCCATTGCATCTGTATGTAGTCCTGAATAGGTGTATACTTCTTTTCTTTCTTTTCTGGGGGGGAAAGGGGAGTGGTTAGTTGATGAATATAAACAGGACAGAACTACAAAATCAAAACCTAACTCCGAACAATTCAGAACGACAGATGGATGATGGGGTTCAAAGGTACGATGAACTGATATCAACTGATTGATGTCTGTCTCAGACACATTGATGCATCGACTCCGAGACGCGACGCGACGGCAGGCACAGACGCTCCTTATAGTAGTTATCGGCCGACCGCTTAAAGTACCAAGTAGTTAGTGGTGCCCTGCCTGGCGTTTGTTGTTTGTTGTGATTCGCGACACGCAGGCTGGATCTGCTGGGTACGGTAGGGATATCTCGGTCTTATTAGATGGGTTTGGAGAGGACACGTAGAGAATAGGAGATGTGCTGGTCTGTACTTTGTACCAAGAATAAAATTGAAAATGTTGGAATGGATGTGGTATATTTCTACCCCGGATCACACGCATCTATCCAAACCCATCCACCACCACTACCACCACCCATCGCTAGCAACAAACCAGAAAAAAAAAAAAAAGAAAAAAAGAAAAACAAGGTTGGTATTCGTATTGACATTGACATTGACATTGATCATGTTGCAGGTCATCAAGAATATCACAATCACAATCACACGCAACGATCACAGCTATGGACAGGGAAAGAGAGGCGGGTCTTTTGAGGAAAGCGCAACACACGGCAAAGAGCGTAGAGAAATCAATACAGTACATTAGGTAGGGTCCGGGTCAGGTCAGGTCGGGTCGGGTCAGCAGGCTAGCCCAGCTTAGCCTTCAGCGACTCGATCTCCGCCGTCAGGCTCTGCATCTGCTGCGCCTGCGACGCGATCGTCTTCGTCTGCTCCGCGATCAGGTCCTTGATCGCTCCGATCTCGCGCGTGACGGCGTCTGCGGCGACCGCGGCGACCGTCGAGATGGGGGATGCGCCGCCGGGGGTGCTGGTCGTGGAGGCGGCGGGGCGATGATGGGGGAGGGCTGGGGATGTTAGTGTAAGTATGAAGGATGGTGATGGAGCAGTCTTACCTTCGGGCTTTGCGTCTTGGCCTCCTCCTTCTGCTGCCACGCGCTAGGCTTGATCACCGGCGACGAGGCCTGCGGGGACCGGGTGGGGCGCTCCACCGGCTTGGAGAACTCGTCGAAGCTGGACTCCTCCTCCTGTGCGGGCTCGGCCTCTTCGTCGTCGGCGAACTTGTTCACCATGGCGGCCATCGAGGCTCCCTGCTCCTTCATGGACGGGGCGGGCCTGGCCACGGGGGTCGGCTCCGGCACGGGCTCGGGCGCCTTCTTCACCGGCGTGGGCTCGGCGGGCTTCGGGGCTGCCTCGGGCTCGGGCTCGGGGGCTCCCATCGTGGCGGTGGGCTTGTCCTGGATGCCCGTCACCTCGTGCAGGCCCTCGCCTTCGTACAGGTTGGCCATGGAGATCTTGGGCGGGATGGCCTCCTTGCCCGCCAGCCACTCGGCGGGGCCCATCGCGGGCTTCAGACCGAAGGTGGGGGGGTAGATGTCATCCTGGAAGGTCTCCGCCCGGCGGGGCACGATGAACGAGACGGGCTCGATGTAGCTGTCGTTGACGGTCTTGAACGCACGCGTGATTTCGTTGTCGTGAGTGTTGACACCGCGCTTGGGCATGAACGCGATACCACGCTGGGGGTCCGCAGACTTGTATTCCGCAAGGTATTCGAACTTGTCGTTCTCCAGCTCGAAGTACCGGATGTTGCCGTCACTAAACAGTTAGACATGTTCCATCTTGGGCCATTGGTGACTTACCCTCTGCCGGCAAGGTACAGGCACTGGGTGCCGTCGTCCCAGAACGGCATGCACACTCCGGAGATCGAGTCAAGGGTCTTGAAGCCGTTGATCGGCTCCCGGGGCGCGCGGATATCCCACAGGGCCAGCTGACGGTCGCTCATCTTGGAGAAACCGGTGGTCGCGATCCGGTCGCGCTCACCCAGCCAGACCGAGCGGCTGTTCTTGGCTCCCGAGTGTCCCTGCGCCTCATGCGCGGGGCGCTCCTGACGCACATCCCAGATGCGCAGCTTCTTGTCTCGCGAGGTCGTGACCAGGAGGGAGCCATTGGCGCTCCACGATTGTGATTGCACGATGTCGCCCAGGTTGAGGGTGAGCTTGGGGGCGCCCGCTTCGATATCCCAGATCTTCACGGTGAAGTCGCCCGAGGCTGTGGCGAGGATGTTTTCCGCAGCGGGGTTGAAGAGGACGTGGCCGATCTTCCTGCTGTGGGTTAGACCTGACCGGGAGAAAGAAGAACGGCACTAACTTGGGGTGACCAGCCAGCTTGCCAACCGGGGCCACATCTTGGATCTCATCGGGATCGATATCGTTGTGGAGGGAGAAGTTCTCCGGCACGCGCCAGAGGAAGACCTAGCAATTTGTTAGCGCGGACCTCGCGGGTGTCTAAAGGCCAAGTGTAGTACCTTGCCGTCGTCGGAACCGGAGGCGATCAGGTCGTCGTTGAAAGGGTTCCTAATGAAGTTGGCGCCCGCCATCACAGGGGTTGTTTGCCATCGCTCACCAGTCGGTGTCAAGGACCACGGCAGTGTGACCCCGGAAGAGAGGGACCTTCTCGGGGATCTTTCCACGCTCCTCCAGAGGAATAACCGCGAAGGCGCCGCCACCACCGGCCTCCCAGTTCACGGAGAGGTACTTGGGGTTGACCTGGTTGTAGCGTTAGACGAGTCGGCGATCAGGGGCGGTAACGGCGAACGGACCTTGACGAGGTTGGTGTCCCAGGCATTTCTCGAGACACGAAGGTTGTCATAGCATTGCTCCTGCGCAGGGTGTGAGAAGAGAGCGGGTTGATCGATCGAGGGGGGGTTCGCGCACCTTTCTCGTCGGCCGTCCGAAGACGTGTCCTGCTACCTGTCAGATTGCGGGCAGGGGGAGGGGGGGGGGGGGGGGGGCAAGGGGGAGCTCACGGTATTTTGAGGAACGCACGAATCGCCCGGACATGACGCTGGTAGTGAGGGGTGGAGCGGATGGAGAAGAGACAAAAAGCAAATAACAATGGAGGAGGGGGAGGCAATTGAGAGGGAGAGAGAACAAAGGGTCTGGATGACCAGCGACGGGGAAAGCTTGTCGGTCTACGGAGAGCACGGCAGCAGTCAGTCGGTTCAGGGAGAGAAAGAGTGGGAAGTGGGAAGGGAAGTGGGAACACCCGCGTCTGGCCCACTCGACTAACCACCACAACACAGCCAGGCAATCAATGGCAATGGATGGGAGGATAGGAGAGAGTCAGCGACATCAACAATACAATATTGTCCATCTACTGGCTATCAAGTGTGTAATTAATTCCCCAGCATCGCCAACACAAACACCACAAGCAAGTGGCCGTGACGGAATGATGTATTTTATCCTCGTAATGCTGTAATGACGGTAATAGCGGTAAGAAACGCACTAACCCGATGGGGCAACGACGCACCCCGCCGGCTCCGGCTGAGTCAGCGCCGTTTGTTTACCGCCCGCTCGTCACTCCAGAAACGCCCGGAAGATCGCAAAGCAGAGCAACTGTTTAGATTCCGCCAGCCAAGCCAAAGCCAGTCTCTCTCCTGCTTCCTCGACCCCCACAACGACTCGCCACGTCTAGACGTGCCTGCAGGCCCGCTCCTCACAGCTTGCAGTCTGAATCCTCTCTGGCCATCTTCTTTCTCCTCCCTCACACCCTCTATTGCGTCGCTCGACACGATTTTTCCGTCAGGGGAACCCGCCCAGGGACGTCATGGAAACTGAGAACATGGTAATGAATGGCACTGGCGACTGATCAGGACTCGTACTGATGCCTGGCAGATGCAGCCCAGACCCTCCGCCCGTACACGCATCCCGACAGCTGGTCTGCGAGAGATGAACCCAGCCTCGACAAATGCCCGCTCCGGTCTGATGCAACCCGGCACCATTGCAGGCGCCGCCACCAGCAAGTCTTCGACCCTCTCGCGTATGTGCCAGGAGCTGTGGAGGCGCAGCCAGACGAAGCTGACAGTCACAGAACCCTCACGCCCGCGAAGCACCACACAAGCACCCGAGGTTGGCAGAGCCGGAGCCGGAGCACCGTCGCGCGTCGGCAGCAGTACCGCAAAGCTTCACACTCGCGCCAACTCGCACTCTACCCTGACCCGATCTGCCTCCACCACAACACGAACGAAAGGAGCGACTTCATCTGCCCATGGCCCCCCACGACCGCACACGAGCATGGCGCGTACACATTCTGTCGCCTCCCGAAGACCACATGGCCAGGCCATTCCCCGCCCGGCGACGTCGATGGATACACATAATGAGGAGGATCCAACCGCCAGCGTTCTAGGAAAACGTAAGGGTAGGCCAGAATCCCCCTTTGTCCATTTCCCCGCGAACCCCCGAGCCCCATGGAACAATGTCACCTTACGGAAGTCTCCCAAGGCTCGACGGGAGGCATTGTGCACTCCCATGCAAGAGCTGGATCTGGACCCTTTTCGGATTGGCACATTGGACCCTGTTTCTTTGCTGCATGAGCCCGCTGGTCCATTGCTTTCAATGATCGCTGCCATGGCTACCCCCGTCAAGGCGGCCCCCGGGCCATCCCCATCCAAGCACTCTGCCAAGAGAAACCCACCCCCTTTGCCGCGATTCCTTACAAAAGAGTCAACGACCAAGTTGTTTAACTGTTCTACAGGTACCGAGTGGGACCAGGAAAGCCGGGAGAAATCCATCGAAGCCCTGATGAACACCTTCATGACGCAATTCAACCAAGCCGGCCAGGAGAGCTCTGGTCTCAAGGAGGCACTCCAGATGTACAAGTCCAGAGGTAAGCGAGTCATATAGGTTAATGAACAAGGCTGACAAGATGTAGTCACCGAACTGGAAGGAGCACAAAAAGAACTCATGGAGACGAATGTGTCGCTTCGCGTTGACCTCGAATCCCTGAAGAGCCGACTTGGAGCGACGGGGGATGCCTTTAGAAGCGCGCAGAGAGACCACGAAATGGAGATGGACGACCTCAACTCTCGCCAACAGATTGAGTTGGAGTCAGTGCGATCAGAGGGTAGGAAAGAGTTGGAGGCATTGAACTCACACCATCAGGAGGAAATCCGGGAGTTGAGACGACGCTTTCAACACGAGCTAGAAGATCAGAAAGCTGTCCAGTTCCGGGAAATCAGTCAGCTCACATCGCAGACAGCCATTGACACGCAAAGGGTGAACATTGAGCTTGACAAGAAGAACCGGGAAATCGCGACGTTGCAGGATGACATGCGGGTTTTGCGGGCAGAACTTGACCGCGAGCGCAAGAACAACCGGGACCTCCGACACAACCTGGATACGGCTAGCAGCAACAGCGTGACAATGGAGTCGTCCGTCCGGGCGCTGAAGGCACGGATCGAATTCCTCGAGGGTGGACGAGAGGAGCAATCGCAGGCCTTCGAGCGCCTGAACCAGCAAATGAACGACGCATTGTCCGAGACCAACGCGACAAAGGAGAAGCTGCGCAAGGAAGAAACGCTGAGAAGGAAGCTTCACAACCAGGTGCAGGAGCTCAAGGGAAACATCCGAGTGTTCTGCCGAGTCCGCCCATCACTGCCCTCCGACCCTCCCACGGCAGTGGCCCAGATCCAGTTCCCCGACGAGGCGGAGGACAGCAAGGAGATCGCACTCCAGGGCCCCGAGGAGAAAAGCAGTCTCGGTGTCGTCTCGAGGAAGAACAGCAACTTCGCATTCGACCGCGTCTTTGGTCCGTCGACACAGAACGCGGAAGTCTTCGATGAAATCAGCCAGCTGGTCCAGAGTGCACTGGATGGATACAATGTCTGCATCTTCTGCTATGGTCAAACCGGTAGTGGCAAGACGCACACCATGTCCTCGCTGGACGGCATGATCCCTCGAGCCGTGCATCAGATCTACGAGACCGCCCGGGGCTTGGAAGAGAAGGGCTGGAGATACACGATGGAGGGCAGCTTCGTGGAAGTGTACAACGAGAACCTGAACGACCTGCTGGGCAACCCCGAAGAATTGGATAAGAAGCGGCTGGACATCCGACACGACATGCAGCGCGGAAAGACGATTATCACGGATGTCACCACCGTCCGGTTGGACTCGCCTGAGATGGTCGGGTCGATCCTCAAGCGCGCCGCCTCCAACCGCTCCGTCGCGGCCACCAAGGCGAACGAACGGTCCTCCCGGTCCCACTCGGTGTTCATTCTGAAGCTGATCGGCGAGAACGACATCACCGGCGAGCGCAGCGAGGGCACGCTCAACCTGGTCGACTTGGCGGGTAGCGAGCGTCTCAGCCACAGCGGCGCGACTGGCGAACGGCTGAAGGAGACCCAGAACATCAACCGCAGCCTGAGCTGCCTGGGCGATGTGATTGCGGCTCTGGGACAGGGCAAAGAGGGCGGACACATTCCCTACCGTAACAGCAAGGTATGCCCCATTCTCTCACAAAAGCGCTGCAGAACACTAACCCTGATGTTACAGCTCACCTACCTCCTCCAATTCTCGCTCGGCGGCAACTCCAAAACGCTCATGTTCGTGATGGTCAGCCCGCTGCAGGCGCATCTGTCGGAGACGTTGACGAGTCTCAAGTTCGCGACCAAGGTGCACAACACGCACATCGGCACGGCCAAGCGACAGGCGCGCGTTCGTGATTCCTGATGATACCTTTTTTGTTTCTGCGATGTTTGGCGGCCTTCATGATCCAGGCCTTGGCTGAGGCGTTTGGTGTTTCTTTGGGACTGAGATATCGGCCCGTGTCTGTTTGTATATTGGATTGGCGGGTCTTGGGATTTATGTGTTTGTAGCGTGGCAGTTGGGCTAGAGAGGATGTTGATTGATTGAGAAGTTTAATTGATGTTGAGTTGAGATTTCAAGGCAGTGTTTGGTTTACTCTCTTAAGCTGTATATTTAACCGTACTTGATTTCAGCAAAGGTACTGCTCTGAAGCATATTCACGGGCTGGTAAGCCTCCAGATAGCCTGCTGACGAGTATGAGGCAAAAGTCTGGGACGGAAGATATAGACCTACTAGAAAGTTCAAACCATAAACATACGGGTACTAAGACGATTGACTGTCTAATGATCTTATTTTTTTGTTTTCTCTTTATTTTCCTTCTTATCTTTTTTCTTCCCTTTCGTTCTTTCTTTTCTTTTCTGTTTTTGGTAGTTTTCCTCTTTTCAAGAGAAGTAAATAATACATCCATCACTGCCAACGATAAAGAGTATTCTTTCCATACTCAGTAGAGTGGACTTTTTCAATGTATCTTTGAAACAACATCCATCCACCGATCCATCTATTCATTTAGTTGGTCAAGTGAAGTCAAGTCCAGTGAAGCTAATAGGCAAGAATAAAGACAAAGAACTATAGTTATTCCACTCTTAGTAAGCTGGAGGTTGAATAATCCTATTCCATCCGTGGTAGCCAGTTGCATCATATCATTTGGCTTGGCGTGATGACTAAACATCATAACAAACAACTCTGTTCATCCTCCTCCTCCTTTACTCCTCCTTCCCTCCTCCAGCTTCATTCAAAAGCAACTATTGGCACGGTGATCGCCAGGATACCAGTACGGGCCTCATGTTTGATGCCAATCCCTGGGGGAGTGACTCGATTCACCCTAGCTCGATCCGATCGCTCCACGTCTCCACATTCTCTCGGGCAACCTGGAAAGCGCTCCTCTCGTCGGCCCAGTCAACAGACAAACTCCCTGACTCATGCAGCGATGTGAAGGCATTACTCCACCACACTCCATCCATCCCCAGGTCTTCCGACATCCCGGACCGCGCAGATGGGAATAAGCTGTTCCTGGAAGGCTACTCGAAGTGGTCCGTCTCCCCGCACAGCACACTGTCATCCGGCCAAAGATGCGACTTGAACCCCACAAAAACGTCCTGTTCGCGGATGGCTTACATCGGCTTTACCAAGCCCAATGCTTGCGACTTATCAGATGATTACAATCCCCACTGGGCTGGCTTTCAATCCTCTCCACAATCGTCCGGGAATCATTTGTGTGTGTTCGTCCTGGGCTGGTCCTATGTTTTCTCTGCTCGGCTAGTAGAGTTGCGTCAGATGACAAAAGAGGACCAGGTGGTCTACAAAGATGGTATGATCTCATGTATTATCAAGGAAGAGGCTTCCTCATCAAGCTTCATTCCACTCGAAATAAAAGGTAGCGACCCAGACGAAATCAGATGGTGGGCCGCCGTCCTCGCAGCAGGAAACGGATGGCAGGCAACTCTTACTCGGAACGGCAAACAATATTATCCACCATGGGAGTGCCATTTGGGAAATAGCCCGTTCGTCTTACAGCTACGCGATCAAAAACTTCTCTTGGCCCTATCGGGGTCGACTTTCAAGCCACCATCATCAGCGACGGCGCTAGCATACCTATGCAACTTCGCCCTGTCCCATGATGCGTTTGACCAACTGCTTGCTGCGTTTACAGCAATCATGACATTTCCTCCACATGCTCGGTTTGGCGCACCTATTCGATTGCCTCCGCCATTACAGGGCGCCTTTTCTCCACATCGGACCACCGAAACTGTGTATGCTGATAAAATACCAACCATAGCCGAAATACCCCACTTCATGGCTCTATCATGCATGTCGGACTCTGTGACCTCCTCTTTAATGGGATGCTTCTGGGAGCCTGGTATCAAGTGTAACCTGGCTGGTGAATGGCTAAACCCGCCGCTGAAGGAGTTTCTACCATCTCTGGCCGAGCAAAAGAGGTACAATGAAATTGTCTCTGCGATGTCCCAACGCAGGCCTAGACTGGCATCGCTGTGGCTTGGCTCTGCAATAACAGGCCTATTACCCAGGGTTCTGCAAGTCAGCAGGACTTATATGCCGTCAATATCCTTGGAAGCCGCCGTATGGACAGCATCTCCTCAGTCTTTTATGGACCCCAAATTTCACCGCCGGGCTGAATTGGTTAGACACCAAGAACACGATGCAATTTTCCGAGAAGACGAGTTTCGTCTCTTGTATCTCACCGACCTCGAAGCAGAAACTTATCGAGCGCCACCATTGAGTCCGTATGCCCCTTTTGGCCGCGTCAGCCTTCAAGATGCATCTCTTGAAGTACGCCTTCATTTTGCATGTGGACACGAGTTACATTACATTTCGTGGCAGTGGAAAGGAGAACACGGGGAAACTATGAGTGACTATGGTATATGCTGTCAAACCGCCATCAAGCGGCCAAAGGCTTGTTTCTCAGTACCACTGTTGGTGATTTTGGGGCCATGTGTTGCGCTCCTTATTTCACTTATTGACTACCATACGTGGCTAGTAGATGTAAATTTCGGTGATCGCGCACGGTACTTGGGACTGGCTAACACATTGCCGCCGCTTAAGCTATTGAATGCTGTTGTGTTATCTTCAACATTGTTCATACTTTACCTACTCATGCAAATGTCTACAAGAACCCTTGATTTTCAATTAGGAACCCATTATGTACGACTGTTCTTTTCAGCAGTGATTTTGTCCAGGTGGTCGAAAGCAAAAGCATCAAGTGGCGTTAACCTCTCTGAGGTAGCTACGCGGAATACATTTTCTTGGACACTATTTTCCGACGGCATCCGACAAGAAGAAAAGAAACTCTGGAACCACGAATGGCTGAGCTTTCTAGTTGACCGCGAGGGTTATACATTTCCCCAAAATTCCAGCTCTTCGGATGACAGTGACCAAAACAACGAGAAAAACAGTATCTATATACGGAGATGGCTAGAAGGGGCTATCATTAGCAAATAGAGGAGGAATCTGCTGAATATATGGCGCATTCAATCCTTTTGGCCGGCCTGCCTAGATCATCAGGGCATGTTTCCTCTTGTTTAAGACTGCCTTACTACCACAATTTCCCATACAACATAACTAATGAGGCATACTATCAGATAATTGAATTAATCTGGTCAAATCGCTAAAGCATCTCCACTAGAGCAGTGGCTTGCCCGGCTAGGCTACACATTCTGCCTTCAGACTATCACAAGAAATCAACAAGTCCTTCTCCTTGCCCAAGTCAAAGTCACCCAGCCCCCATAACCCAAAGTTGGCAACACCAAACACAAAGAACTTTGCGCAACTCGAACGGATTTAAGTACGTTTTCTCTGCCCTAGACAGCCTTCCTGCAAGGCTGTATGGCGTCCAAAAAGTGTCTCGCATTGGCTAATAATAGGTAGTGGGCGCACGGACACCTCTATAAGCGCTCGGAATATCACTATGTATGCTAACAGCCTTGTCGCCTAGTCTGACTACTACGCACTAGCTACCTCGCAACATGTATGTCCAGTGTGCGAATAGAATGGGGTATTCTTTGATTTAGAGGCTTGGTTGTTTGGAATTGGCAGGGGAGTGAATCTGGTTGGATGCTCTTCTCGCGCCAATTGCATGGGAGCTGACGATTGGACTGGCTGGTATCTCCGAAAGAATTCTATATCTGTGCGCGCAGCTAATGATTGGGAGGGGATCGGGTCCATTGAGAAGGATGCCTACTTACTAAAAGTTCTTTACTACTTGGACAGGACAGTATCCTGCCAAAGGGGTTTTGTGTCATGGCGGTAGTAAATGGTGTGGTGTTGACATTTGTTGAAGCCCACCAGCGTATATATGCCTGTCAGGTGACCGCCAGCGAAGATGAAAACGTCTTCTTTCGTTTTTTTTCTTTCTTCTTCCCCCTCCTCGAATCCCTGTCTCGACTACCAAACAATACCTAGCTACAGACTAGAAACTTGAATCTTGCTCCCTTTCTAAGCCCAGCTCAGGGAATATTCGAGGAAAACTTGACGGACGGAGCGGATGTTCATTTGGATGGATGAGATCGCCGTTAAACTTGCGATGAGAAGGGACGAAACTGGCTGTTGGCCATGGCACAGGTAAGGTAAGTAATCCAAAAGAAGTACCATTAACAGCAATCATTTACGCGTAACTAACTATCTAGAACAACCAACGACAACAGCTCCGTCTCAATAAACATACTGATACCCCTCCATCTCCCCGTCCGTCCGATCCAGCAGATACAAATCCGCGACATCATCCTGTTCCTGCCCGACTGGCATCCGGGCCCGACGACGCTTATTCTCCCAGGTTAGATACCCTCTCATCGCCAGGATGAAGCCAATGTCCAGAACAAGACAGACCATCATCCCCGCGAACCCGGACGGGTAGCTCGGTGCCTGATCAGCGAAGAATAACTGCGGGCCGATGATGTTGCCGGTGCAGTAGGCGATGAAGCACTGGTTTCTCTGTCAGTCATACTCTCATACTCCTTCGACCCAATGATAGTACGCGCATTTGTGATGGGGGTGGTGGTGGTGATGAAGCACTAACCATAGCATTAACAGTCGTCTTCTTCGTGATACCCGCAATATTCGACGCATTCAGCGACAACAGCAGCGGGAAGTTCGCCGTATATGCTGACAGCAGACAATACCCCGAATACCGGGCCCAGATGTGCGAGTTATCAACCTGGCGGATCACAACGGCTCCGACCAGCGCGATGGCCGAACAAATCGTCATCCAGATCGTGCGGGTGTTGGGCAAGTACGTGCTCCCGAGGGTTGAGACGACGACAAAGAAACCCTGGAAGCCGGTGACAATCATACTGACGAGGAAGGTCTTGTCGGTGGAGAAGCCCATTCCTTCGATGACGATCGAGGCGAACTGCAGACATGAGGATGGATTAGCTGTGTGTCAGGGAAAAGGGGGAGGGATCATCGTACGCTGCTGATTCCTCCGTTGGGGATGTTGGCACATAGCATGATGAGAACGGCAAGCCAGGCCTTTGGGTCTCGGAGGGCCTCGAACATCTGCTCTTTCTTCCATTTGGAGTGTTTGGTGCCGGTAATGTCTTCTTTCAGGCGGTTGACTGCGCTGACTTTGTCGACGTCGGATAAGAACCAAGCCTGGGCTGGCGAGTCGGGGAGGAGGAAGATCAGACAGATGCCCCAGACGAATGTTATGGCGCCGAAAACAATGAAGACAAGCTGAAGAGCTTAGCGAGTGAAGATATCGCACCAAGGATGGATACATACTCGCCATGGGGGAAAACTATGGACATGTCCGAACGCATACATCAACGGTCCGCTGAACAGGCCGGAGATGACGTTCCCCAGGAACCACACGCCATGGCGGACTGGCTGTTCGGATCGCAGATACCACATCGAGGTGATGATGCTGAACCCGGGTGCCACTGCCGCCTCGGCAAATCCTAGGAAGAATCGCGTCGCTAGCAGTCCGGCGGCGTTGTGAGTTGCCGCCATGCAGCAGAGAACAGCTGCCCAGACAGCCCTGGTCTGGTCAGCTCAAGGTCTTGAGCCTTGGGGTTAATTAAGGATGTCGGTAACATACACAGAAACAGCCATGAATTTACCAATGGGGAATCGCACGATCAAGAGTGCAATAGGGCCCGAAGCTGCCAGGTAGCCGAAATAAAATATGCTCGAGGCCCAGGAGTATTCAGAGCCGGTGAGGTGCAAGTCAGTACGCAGTCCGAGGATCGCGGCGTTGCTCATGGTGGCTTTGTCCAAGTACTGCAGCATGTAGGAGATCACGAGCACAGGGAGCATACTGAGATGGTCAGTCCTGGATCATTTATGAGAAAAGTGTACTAACAAGGCATCGATTCTTCGCAGAAGGCGACGCGACTCAGCCTGTCTGACAGGGGAGTCAGGCACCGCTTTGCAGGAGATCGTCTCGACATCGACGATCTTGGAGAGCGAGAGTTCATCGTTCTTGGGTGCCTCCATAATGTGATACTATCTGTGAGACTCGACACGACAGTGAGGACTCGAAGGAGGGAATCGTCCCGGACAAGCCATCATATATGCAATCCACTGCGACGGCTCAACCTTATTTCGCAGCTGTTATCTGTTGGCTTATCTCTGATCCCAATCCCCAGACTCTTGTTATCTCCAATCAGCCGATACCCGACGACTTTGGCCGACGAAGCGAGAATCAGATCATGAAGCGCTCCAGGGCGCCTGACTGAAAATAACCAAACATATCGACTCTCGCCTTGCACGCTCTCTGTTCAGCTAGCAAAACAAGCAGAGCTCGCTCAGCCCGTCGGTAGTTTTCGCCTCGGTGTCGAAGATGCGCGAAGCGCAGAGACACCCAGTCTTGATGGGCCAGGTCGTCGGTCTCGAGCGCAGCCACGAAGAGTGGCCAGGCGATGCGCGCCATCGCCGTCTCACCTTCGTCTTGATATGCCTGATAGGCGAGAGTGAAAATTTCGTCAAGGCCTTCCCGCTGTTTCTCGTTGACCTTGAAGGGCTGGTCAAATTCCGTGATGCGGAAGTACGCTAGGATGGCCGCGTAGTACATGGGCACCACGAAGCGCACGTTCATCACAAAGCGACGTCGCTCACCAGCGCTGGCCAGATCCAGCCGTCGAGCGACCGTCAGGATCTCGCTGTATCGCTGGCCGATGTCCCGCAGCGCGCGTGCCACAGTCAGGGGATCGATCTCTGGCACGTCCGTCGCATACGTGTTGGCGAGCTGGACAAGAAAGTGACGGATCTGTCCGCACTCCCCATACAGATATAAGACCTCTCGACTCTCCAGATCATCCAGCAGCTGGGTCTGAGGGTATCGTGGTCCCCAGAAGGTAGTATGCAGCGACGTAGAATACCGATGAATCGCGTTCAACCCTCGCAGCCGCGAAAGGATCTCATTCTCCGCCAGGCCGCTCATCGCCGCCCCCAAAGCTTGATTGAAGTCCCCGCCTAGATTATGCGACTCCGCACTTGCATCCAAGAAGGAGATCCAGACAATCAGCCGACCCGCAAGCGCAGAGATACGCCACTGTTCATCCGGCTCGGAGAAGTTTTGCTCCAGCAACCGACGGAGATTCCCCAGTCTGTGCTTCAACACCATCGCCGCGCCTCGCAAGTGCGCGACAAGCCCCTGTCCGATCCCGTCTCCATACCGCTGCTCGTACAGAATCATCAGCCACAGCGAAGCTAGGATGCCATCGAGATCTGATGCGCGTGTCCGGGAAGGACTCTGTACCGCCTTAGCCAACAGCACCATCGACGCGCTGTAATGTTTCACGGCGGGGGATGGATCCACCGCTCGCTGATAGCACCGTTCCTGGAAGCCCAACGCACAAACCATATGCATGACCATGGGGTCTGACTCGCCAAGGGAAGCAATAATCGCCGGGACCGAGAATGCAGGGTCCTTGGTGTCGACCGATTCGGAGATAACGGTGCGGAAGTAGTGGATTGCTTCCTTATCAGCGGACGAGGGGCGGAAACTGCTGGGAACAGGTGTGTATGGAGTGATTGCAGACGGGGAGGTGAAGACATCTCCGTGCGATAAAGATTCACTAGGGACGACCGGGCTACTCGCCAGGTTCCCTTGATGCGTCTGCAGTGGGGAATCGGGTCGGCTTTTCTTCGTATAGGGCTTGCGGGATCGAGGGGCATAGTCGCACTGCCGGCCCAAGCGTTGGCATCGCTGGCATTGCGGTCGTTCCTCGTCGCATTTGACCTTCTTCGCCCGACAGGTCCAGCAGCCTTGCCTGGACCGGGCGTTGGGTCTACTACGGGCCATGATCACGGAGATGGGGAGCGGGGAGAGAGAAACGGTCGTCTAATTCCGTTTAAATAAGCCGACGAGCATTGCTGACTGCAGACATGACTGACTGGTGGCCAGTGACAAGCAGAGGAGCAATCAAGACCGATCCATCTTTGCTTGGCGATCGGTTATTTGGTCGGCCAAAGATAACGACGACGGCCCTAACTATCCATATCGTTATCTCGAGGACGACGCCATATCCATATTAAAGATAAACAGCCCAGCAAACACCAAATGCCCGAGTCTCTTTCCGCCATTCTGCGTTCGTTTTTGGATTCAAGTACCAACAATCACAATCACAATCACAATGTCTCTCCTTGATACTGTCCGCACGCACATCGCATCCGCCATCGACACCGACGCGGAACCCCTCCGCCAACTAAACCGCGACATCCACAGCCACCCCGAAACGGCGTACGAGGAAGTCTACGCGCACGACACCCTCGCCACCTTCCTCGAGTCCCGAAACTGGGCCGTAACCCGCCACGCGTACGGGCTCGCGACGTCCTTCGAAGCCGAAACCTCGACCTCCACCACGGGCCCCATCGTGGTATTCTGCGCCGAATACGACGCCCTGCCAGGAATCGGCCACGGCTGCGGCCACAACCTAATCGCGACCTCCTCGATCGCAGCCTTCCTGTCCCTCTCCTCCGCAATCCGCCAGCTCGACATCCCAGCCCGCGTGCGCATCCTCGGCACGCCAGCCGAGGAAGGCGGCGGCGGAAAAGCCAAACTCATCGACGCCGGCGCATTCAGTGACCCGGACATTGTCGCCGCCATCATGGCGCACCCGATCTCCCTGCACGGCCTGCCGGACGGTTACCAGGGGATATCGGGGTTCCGGACCGTCGCGAGCCACAAACTCCGGGTCGAGTATCGGGGGAAAGGCGCGCATGCGGGCGGGGACCCGTGGAACGGGAAGAATGCGCTGGATGCTGCGGTGGGCGCGTACAATAACATCTCGCTCCTGAGACAGCAGATCCAGCCCGATGAGCGGATTCATGGAGTCATCGAGTCCGGGGGCTCCGTTCCCAATGTCATCCCGGATTATACACGCATGAACTGGTATATCCGCAGTCCGACGACCGCGCGGGCGGATGATCTATTGGTTCGGGCGAAAGCGTGCTTTGAGGCGGCGGGGATAGCGACGGGGTGTGAGGTGAATTATATTATGTGAGTCTCTCTGTCACATTAACCTTTGGGGGGCTAACGTGGATCAGGGCACCGACCTACAAGGACCTCGTCCTCAACGACACGTTCTGTGCCGTCTACAAGCAGGAAATGGCCGTCCTGGAGCGGACGATCCTGCTGAAGCAAGAGACCACGGCCACGGTCTCGACCGATATGGGTATGTCTGCGACCTTCCCCACTGGTGGTGACATACTCATGAATACCGGCAGGAAATGTCTCCCATGTGGTCCCCAGCTTCCACGGGGTATTTGGCATCCCGACGCCGCCGAATATCCCCGGGCATCATCCGGAGTTTGCCAAGGCGGCGGCGCTGGATGAGGCGCATGAGGAGGCGATTCTTACGGCGAGGGGGATGGCCATGCTGGGATGGAGTGTGCTGGTGCAGGCGAGGTAGGACAGGAGATACATGCAGCGTTATGCCACCCTGAGTGTTGGGACACCTTTTGAGGAGGGTTTGTCTGATAGATAGGGAGTAGTCTGAGTATAGTAAAAGCTAGTTATACATAAATAGATCTCTGGTTTGACAACGAGTTACCTCCGTACACAATCTGGCTACTGAACCCCATAGCAGCAACCAGAACAGTAACCGTTCCATGCAACGCTTCAAGAACGAGAAAGCACCACAACTCCCCTCGAGTCGAGCAAGATAGACAACAAGCAAGTCCACATCCAATCCACAGCATGAGCACCGCGGGTCCAACCGATCGACAAGCCAAGGTCGCTAAAACGATTATCTGCAGGGAGAATAGCCGGCCAGCGGGCCCTCAGCGTATAGTACTGGGGCTTCAAATAGCCGAGCATCAGCCCTCAGCTAGCCGGTTACCACTGCAGCCTCAACACGATGTATAAAGCCAACACTTCTGCAACATGTCTCAAGTTCAACAAATCCATTCAACAATACAATGGAATCACCAACACCAACACCGTCCAATTCGTGTAAACAATGCAGCACAACCAGCACGCCGCTCGACCCCGATCCTGGCAAGAGCCTGGTTGAATTCGAGGGGCCTGATGATCCTGCGAACCCCCTCAACTGGGGCTGGAATAAGAAGTACTTCCTTCCCTCTCCCTCATAACCTTAATCTCACCCCACCACCACCAACACTAACCCTAACGCAGACTCCCCATCTCCCTCTCCCTGGCCTTCTCCACCTTCACCGTGGGCTTCAACTCGTCGCTCTTCTCCAGCGCGACGAGCGCCATCAGCGCCGAATACGCCGTCAGCCACCTAACCTCGACCCTCGGCGTCTCGCTGTACGTACTCGGCTTCGCGACGGGGCCCATATTCTGGGCGCCTCTCTCCGAATTGCACGGACGCCGCACGCCCCTCCTGCTGGGCATCCTCGGCTTCTCGATCTTCAGCGTAGGGGTAGGGTCCGCGCCGAACATCCAGACGATCATGCTGTGCCGGTTCTGGGCGGGGATCTTCGCAGCGTCACCGATGACCGTCGCCGCCGCCGTCTTCTCGGACCTGTTCTCCGGCCTGGCGCGCGGCCCCGCGACGTCGATCTTCTGCATCAACGTGCTCATGGGGCCGATGCTCGCGCCGTCCATCGGGGGATTCATCTGCTCCGCGCCCTCGCTGGACTGGCGCTGGACCGCCTGGCTGGGCAGTCTGATGGGCTTCAGCGCCCTGATCCTATCCGTCATCTTCCTGGGCGAAACCTACACACCCATCCTCCTGACCTCCAAAGCCAAATCCCTCCGCCTCACCACGAACGACTGGTCCCTCCACTCCGTCCACGAAGAACACCTCCTGCGCATCTCCCCCAAACACCTCCTGACCATCTACCTCGCGCGGCCCCTCCGCCTCCTCCTCACCGAGCCCCTCGTCTGTCTCATCTCCATCTACCTCGCCTTCATCTACGGACTCATGTACCTCTTCCTGACGGCCTACCCGCTCGTCTTCGAGACCGTCCACGGCTTCTCCCCCGGCATCGCGGGACTGGCTTACTTCGGGATCGTCGCGGGGATCCTCATCGGCGGAGCCTACGTGATCTCCACGCAGCCAGGGTATCACCGCAAACTGAAGGCAAACCACGGGGTGATCGTGCCCGAGTGGCGCCTTCCACCGGCCATGGCAGGGAGCGTCGCCTTCGCCGTGGGCGTGTTCTGGTTCGGGTGGAGCGGATATACCCCCCACACGCACTGGATTGTGCCCGTGCTGTCGGGCCTCCCGACGGGGTTCGGGCTGTTTTGTATCTTTCAGCAGTTGCTCAATTACCTCATTGATGTGTATTTGCCTTAGTGAGTCCGGTCCTGTTCTTGGTTTCTGACATTGACATCAACAATCACCATCTCAATCTCAATCTCAATCTCAATCTCACACACTGACTGACTGATTTGATCTTGGATGGTTATATATAGCGCCGCATCCGTCAACGCCGGCAGCTCCATCCTGCGCTCGCTCTGCGGGTTCGGATTCCCGCTGTTCGCCCAGTCGCTGTTCGACGCCCTCGGTATCAACTGGGCCAGTACCTTGCTCGGCGGCGTCGCGGTGCTGTGTATCCCCCTGCCGTGGATCTTTTGGAAGTGGGGGCCGTGGTTGCGGGGGAGGAGTGGGTATGTTGTTTCTTCGTCTTCTTCTTCTTCTTCTTCTTCTTCTTCTTCTTCTTCTTCTTCTTCTTCTTCTTCTTCTTCTTCTTCTTCTTCTTCTTCTTCTTCTTCTTCTTCTTCTTCTTCTCCGTCTTCGGGTTAGATCACCTGGTTTGAAGGGGGGGGTGGATTTCAGGTGGGTTTGAGGTGGGTTTGATGGGCTGAGAGTGTGGATGTGTGTGCGCGTGTGTGTGTGTGCGTGGGTGTGTGTGCGTGGGTGTGTGCGTGGGTGAGAGTGAAGGTGAGAGTGAAGGTGAGAGTGAAGGTGAGAGTGAAGATAAGAGTGAAGATAAGGGTTAGGTTAAGAGTATGGGTGTGGTAAAGGTGAGGGTGAAATAGTTTTGGAAAGGAGGAAAAGGTAAGGGGGGGGAAGTGGCAGTTGGGTGGTGGACTAGTGGAGGAAGAGGGCATAGAATGGGAATTGACATTTGGCGTGTTTGTGGAACATACGACTACTATGACTACTACTACTACTACTACTACTACTACTACTACATATTAAATATTTAGATGTAATGGGGATACAGATGAATTACTATGATGATCTATCATATCTAGAGATATATATATTTGTTCTTGTCTTAATTTTAGACTACTATCTTGACTTCACTTGCCTTGACTAGTAGTAACTGCATAAATGGATGGATGGATGTATGGATGTATACATACAGAAACAAACTGTCGATGCATGGATTCTCCTACATCGCAATCAAACAATGTTAAACTACGGGGCATCCAGAATAGTATAATCTACACTTAATTTATACTCGTAACAGGAGACATCAAATCCAATTGTTATCACTATCATTAATAACTGAATCACAATCACAATCAACCCTCCGCATTCGCGCAACAGCACTGGAAAATCCCGGTGGGGAAACCACTGTCAAGGGACAGGATGAAGCCAAGGAAAAACTAGACAGCTCTAAAAAAATCACTTCAGATCGACAAGGCTCTGTTTCAGCGCCTGGGCCAGATTGGAGAGTCGGGTCCGCCGTGCGCTCTCATGCTCGGGCTCTGATAATTGCCTCGCGAGGAGGAGGAGGAAAAGAAATAGGAGGAGAAAGAAGGAGAAGGAGAAGGAAAGAAGAGGAAAGAAGGAAAGAAATTCCGGAAGAGGTGGCCGCGCAGGCCAGCCAACCTCAGGCACCGCTGACAGATGAACAATTAATTCCCTCACTCCAGCATTCACTACTGCTTGGTTGTGACTATAGCATTAAAAGCAGACGAGACTGTTTTTTACTTTTTTTACTTTTCCATACTCGTCCCATCTTAAATACCCCGAGACGGGTGAATATGCAGGAGCTGTCTTCTGGGTAGAAGTTTATGCAGCTTTCATGGTCCATGTTTCCCTTCTTGCGGAGGGAGTAGAGACAATTATTGGGTTCTTGGTTGTATGATGCCAGAGCTGAGGACTGGAATAAATGATGAAGGCTCACTCTATAGTTGCAGGCAGGCTGGATTGTCCCAGTCCAGTATTCCAAATACTACAACCCTATCCGCGGATTGCCAAACATGACCACCAGACTAAGTGTCTATTCACCCCCATCCAGTCCTTCTGCTGCCCTGCCTGTTCAATAGGAATGAGAATCAAGTCTAAACATCATCCTATTTACAGATCCTCAAAGTACCGATTGACCGTCTCCGCGAGGTCATTCGACTTCTCCCTTATACGCCCCCCATCCAAAACGCCCTCCTCACTAACAAACGCATCAACCATATACAACGGCACCCACTCGAAGTAAACATTCTTGACTTCCACCCTCGACGAGCCCTGATCATCGACAAACTCGCCGTCCATGCCCTCCTCGAGCACGCGCACCGCCTCGACCCCATCATTGCGCCAGGCACTCACCACCTCCGCGGGATCATTCTCCTCATGGTGCTCATCATCCACCACGCTGCCGGGACAATTGATCTTCTCGAGATCACTCAGCACGACGACCTGCGCCTCGGGACTGGCATATCTGACACTCAACACGGCGGGCAACGACCCCGTCTTATTACTCACGCCCTTCTCCACCGAGATGCGATCCGCGCCCAGCAGCAACAAATCCACGCCATCGGCCGCCACCGCCGCCGCGGCATCCGTATACACCTTCACCCGGAGATCCTTCCCGGGGACATCCTGAACCCGGGACCGGAACCCGGACACCAAGGACGCGGCCACACTGGCGCCCTCAAACAACGGCCTCGACTCCAGCACCCTGACCTCCAACGTGTCGATGTCCAGCCCCTCATACGCATCGAGAATACTATCCCGGATCGTCGAACTGGCCGACACCGTCAACACGACCAGTCTGTCCCTGGACTCGCCGTGGTGGAGGAACCGAAACCGGACGTAATTGGCAAAGGCATCGCGCACCTGCTCGGCGCGGCCCTTCCGACTGGCCAGGTGATGGTCCAGCACCGTGAGCACGCGCTCCCAGGTGTGATTGCCGCAGTAGGCGCCGGTTTTCTCGTCGGCGAGGATATCCTCGATCTCGTCGAGCACGGCGACCAGCGCGTTCATGGTGGCGGCGCCCATGCTCTCGCGGCCGTTTTTGATCAGGTGCCAGGCGGCGAGGCGGACCGTCTCCCACCATTTCTCCGGGTGCGTGAGCAGCAGGTCGCCGGTGTGGATGATGAAGTCGCGGAAGAGGACCAGGGCGATGGAGGTGAGTTCTTGAGAGCCGCTGGTGTGGTCGGTTCGGAGACGGTCGAGGCCGGCGGAGAGGGTTTTGGCGGCGCGCGCGGGTTGGAGCGTGCTTTCGAAGTAGACCCGTTTCAGGGACGTGCGGAGACGGGGCACGGTTGGGATGCTGTTGTTGGTTGTGGTGAGGATGGTGGATGGGTCGTACCAGCTCCAGTTGGTGTGTTCCCAGTCGGTTTTGATGGGCGGGGTGGTGGTGGTCGAGGGTGAGGTCAGTTTGAAGGCGAACGGGTGGATCGTCCATTCCCGGTTGATGCTGGGGTCCAGGAAGGTGAAGGGCTTGCCCGTCCGCCAGTGTGTGAGGGTGGTGCTGTCGAGGGTGGTTTCTTCGTGGAGTTCGCGCCAGGCGGCGGAGAGGGGGGTCGGGTCGGTGGTTTCGATGCAGCCTGCGATGGGGGCGAGGTGGTGGCTGATGGGGTTAGTGAGAGGACAAGATGGATGGATGGTGGATGGGATTGGAGACATACGGATAGGTGCGGACTTTGTCGCTGCGTTGGAAGAGCGCGACGACGGGGGGCTCGGAGGGGTTGGTGAAGCGGAAGATGAAGGAGGAGACGACGGAGCGTTTCTCCACGGGGGGTTGGTCTTGGTCGGGGAAGTCGGGGGGCATGGCGGTCGATGATGATGATGATGGCGACTGGGGGGAGTCTGAATGGGTGTGGCTATGGCTATGGCTATGGCTGTGGGTATGAGACGGTGTGCGGGGACCGCAAGGATCTAAGTTCAAGCAAGTCTTTTGAATATGAGCGGTCATGGTGTGTCTGATGGTCAGGAGAGAGTGATGGTAATCAGATAACAATCATATAGCAAGCATCCGAAGAGAAGGATGGAAGGCAGACGGAATCTTTATATGAGCGGAGAAGAAAACACCGGACACGAGACAAGGAGGGGCGGATCAAGGCCTCATTCGATGGAAAGCATTGCCTGACGATAGGCTTGCGGGACCGACAGGCTAAAGTTGACGTGACAGGATCGGACCAACTGCCGGAGTCTCTAGAAGAAGCCTAAGTGATGCTGCCTCCTCTTTAGTCTTCTTCTCCCGCCGTTGTGACGTCAACATTCGGCAACGGTTATACGAGCCATGCCATGCCATGCCATGCCATCACATCAGACAACAGTGACAAATGATCATTCCCCCCCCGGTATAAACTGCCTCAGACCGGTTCAACCCTTGCAATTGTTGCACCTGATAACCTGACAGCCTGTTCATCTGTCTATCTGTACCCTCACCCTCCCACTCACTCTCTCCTCCCTATCTCTCTGCCACTGCTCCAGCCGCAAGGTTAGCCAGCCAGCCAGTCAGCAGCAGCATCATTCTTCTTTTTCTTTCTTTTTTTCTTCCATCCCCCCCGAACAACCTTCCTCAAACTTACAACTTCCATCAACTCTATCCTCCCCATCCCCCACCCATCCCATCCAGATCACCCCATTCAACATATTACACAATGTACTCCATAGTATACTTACTATACATAACATCTCACCCAAGCCCCGTATCAACTAACTAATAACTCACAACCCACCCAATTACCATCCAATGTCTCCCAGGAACCCTTCGGCACAAACTAAAGGCTCACAGCCAAGGAAGGTTCTTAGAAGTAAAAACGCGGCGCAGATCACCGCCGATCGGCCCAGGGAATCTGTTGGCGGGAATGGGTCCGGGAGTCTGATTCATTGGGAGTTTTGTGGCGAGTGTGGCTGCCTTGGTGGGGAGTTTGCATCCATCCATTCATTCTTCCTTCCTTCCTTTCTTCCTTTCTTCCTTTCATCCTTTCTTCCTTCTGGGTTTGGTTGATTGTGTTGTGTTGTGTTCTTTTCTCGGGGATTATATCATCCTGTTCTATCCTATCCTCTTTTATTCCATCACATCACATCACATCACATAACATCACAACACATCACATAACATCACATAACATCACATCACATCACATCATATAACATCACATATCTGGCATATTATAGCCCTCCCCCCCCCCGCGGTCCCCAGAGTATATGATATACCATAACTAACAATCAGATCCCCTCATCCCCCATCCGGACATCACCAAAGACTCCTCCGTGCGTCCATAGGTACTTTATGTGGTAGACACTAGACTAGACACAGGAGTGATTCGGCACTGAGACAATGTATGTACGATGTACAGTGTACGTGGGGCTCCGGCTTCTGCTCCTGCGGGGGGCCATTTTGCTGATCCGGGGTATCTGGTATATAAGCATCTAGTCCTATATAAGAATGGCAAATGGCAATACAATAAGAAAGCAGCTTTGTTGTGTTTGTTATGTTAGTGTGGTGTTGCGGTTGCAGCTTGCTTTCATCTTTTCCGGGTTAGTAGAGGTAAAATAGAGTAGAGTGAGAATATCTTGGTAGTGAGATCTTCAGCTATCATGATCATGGTCATGGTCATCTTCTAGGCCTTATCCATCTCCATATCCATATACATGATATCAAGATCCATGTCTATTTTTATATCCATGGAAATCGCAACCGAGGCAGTGGCATATCCCACCATCCCCTTACCTATAGATAGGAGTACATAACTATACTTTACTCCCTCTACATCTACCCTACCCACCCCATCTATCCCCCACCCCAAGAGCAAAAAAAAAAAAAGAAAAGAAAAGAAATTTGTATATAACAGCTAAGTAAATCATAAAGTAGTCCAATAAGATCGATCCATGTATCCATCCATCCCCGCCCCTCTCCGCTAATTCGCCAACAACCCCCTCGACGTCGAATTCGAATTCACAACCTCCACATGCGCCGCCCGCGCCTTTGTCGCCGCAGACACCGCCGCGCGCTTCATCGTCGTGGAGCGCCGCACCGGCGGCGCCACGTAGAAGCACAGGATCTGCTGGTCTAGACAATGCGAACAGCGCGGTTTCTGGCGATCGCACGTCGAGCCCCATTTCTGGCAGGCGGTGCAGGGGTAGTTTTGTGGGGGGGGTTGGGGTTGTTGTTGTTGTTGGTGGTGGTGGGGGTGGAGGTGGTTGTGGTGGGGTTTGGAGTGTCGGGGGACTGATCCTGCAGTCCTGACTGTACTGTGTCGGAGGCGGAGGCGGAGGTGGGAGAGGATGAGGTTGAGGTAGAGATGAATGTGCTAGTTTTCTTTGTTGCCCGGTTGGTTGAATCTGTTAATGAGTCGCGGGTCTCCGGCCCCGCCATCATCCAGGCCGGCCAGAGCCATTGCGAGAATCGCTTGAGGATGCAGTCGCTGCCTGCGCCCCCTGTTTGGGATTTGGGTTTGGGGTTGGGTTTTCGGGATAGTTCGCACCGCATGGGGTCTTCGACTGTTTGGATGACCGTGTTGGACATGGTGGTGGTGGTGATAATGGTGGATCGACGCTGCGAGGTGGGGCGGTCGGTTGGTCCAGATCTGAAGAGTCATAGGATGAGATGAGATTAGTCTACTGATTGACTGACTGACTGACAGACTGGACTGGACTGTTGGACGTGATCATAACGTCGGGGGGTTGAGGATGCATACCTGAGATCTGAGGTATTGAATGTAGCGATGAATGGAGTAGGCAGTCGCAGTGCAGTCACAGTCACAGTCACAGTCACAGTCGAGTGTCACCTCCCGTCAACAACAGAGCAGACAGACAAGAAACAACCACCAAAGCGTAATCACCGCAAGACAGCGTACCCGCGCGATCTTCCACAGTACAGTCCAGTAAAAACGTGGCAGTCAGAAGAAATGAAAACCCCCGACCACTCTGGCACTGGGCGAACAAGGGAGAAGGGATCCGAGCAGCGTTTATACGGAAAGGAATGCCAGCTCACGGTCCGCGTCCGCCATGGCACGGGGCCCAACTCGGACTCGCCCAGGATGGCGATCGTCCTTACGTCACCCCGACGGTGACACGGTTCGTTCGCTGCGTTGGGAGCCGTTCCCACTTGGCCTGATGTGGCGGGGGATTCATTGGTTCTATGTAACTGCTTGGGTGCGAGGGGGGAATCATGAATTCGAGGTGTTGTTGGAGGCGGAGGGGGAGGTCCAAAATTGGTGTTCGTTGATAGAGGGGAAGATCGGATCGGCCAGCCCATCGACGTCGCCAGCGAACGAAAGCTGCATCCGTCCCCCGGGCATCCAGGGACGCCCAGCCGCCCATTGATTGAGTCTCTTCCGCCTGCCCGAGGCCCTTGCGTCGGCTCTAGTCCCCTTTCCTCCTAGCTGCCTCAACTTAACTTGGATAACAGTCACGAAAATAATAAATGACGAACGCGGGGGTGCTCTTTCTACCTACTGTGGTTACTGGGATGGTAGTATATACACGAATACCACAAGAAGCACACCACCCACCAGTATCACGATCTCGGGTCATCCAGCCCACGCCAAGGGGTCAGCGCTGTTGGCACCTCTCGAGGAGGGTCAATTGGTCTGTCCGTACCTGTCATGCACTGATGCCGGGTAACACACGTGTTTGTTTTGGATATAAAAAAAGCTCCGCAGTCATGGATGACCGCCCCCCCTTGCCGTCGGCGTCCAACAAAGAGTGCATATGTAATCGGGTATGATGATAATTAATACGAATAAAAATAATAAATCGTCCACCAAATCGATAATCATCAAGCAATTTATCTATCTATCTGTCTATCTATCTATTATATCCATCATCATCCAGCATGTCTGCCTGTCATTTGTTAAAAAAAAAAATGCGACCCGAGCGAAATAAGAAAAAAAGAGAAAGATCGGGGAGATAAAATAAAAAAGAAGATGTCAAGGCCCGAGCCGCGGATCGAACGCGGGACCTCTCGCAGATATGCTTGGGTTGTAACCCTAAGCGAGAATCATACCACTAGACCACCCGGGCTTGATGTGAAAGTGGCGTCATACTTACGCAACATAGGCAAAAATCAAAGACAGAGAGAAGATCCATCTGACATATAAACACGCGCAACCTCTCTATCAGAAGCTTCCGATATTCACCGACATTCGGCATAAATGAGATATAAACCACCTCATCATTACAGCAGTAGAACCCACTAGTAACTACCAGATGGAAGATCTCGGGGTCTCAACTCGCGACATGCAGTGCTATGCGAGAACGATGGGTGAAACTCTGGCGACGTTGCATTGGTTTGGGGAGGTCGATGCGAATGATATCGAGTTCGTTCTCTTTCGATTGTTGTCGGTCGATGTCGATGGATCTGGATGGCGTCCAGCAGGCTGTTACTGCCTTCTGGCGAAACGACCCTTTTTATCCTCGGGCGCAAACGGATCTGTGGGCTGGTTTTCGGGAGCAATATCTGAAAACTACACAAGATAGTGCATCCGCATCTACGTTTCCAGAGGAGCGACTGGTCCTGGCTCTGCTATTCATTGGGCTCATTGAGGGGAGGGCCAGAGACTCCTGTGAAGGGGTTCTTGGGTCACAGTGAATGTTACTTGGTGCTATTCACTGCACATAACAAATCCCTTCCCTCCGAGTGTTACTAGTACGTAGCTTGAGGGATTTTGTCTTATACTCTCCAGCTCTCCCTTCTCCCTACCCGTCCAAGACACGGCTTCAAGACGTCTTCACCTCGTTGAGGGCAAAGCAAGAAAACCTCTATTACGTCCCGAGCCAACGCCATCCAAGATGTCAAGCCGTCGAGAGGCTCAGAGAACAGACAGTTCTTGGTCGAGTTCACTGGTCGACGCATTACTTGCAACAGAACCTCCAACTCGAGGACAAACTCAAAAGAGAAACCGACGCCCCACAAGAGCGACTGGAATGCTATCTCTCTACGAAATCGGCCATCTCGACATCGTCTTCCTTTGCTGGACTATATCGGAAAATTCATGGCAGGTCTGAAGGTTCATAGCAGGTATTTTCACGCCGTTATATCGAGACAGGCAAAAAGATCACAGCTGGGACATCATCGCAGTTTATCCAAGACGTTATTGCAAACTTTTCGCTGCGAGATCAGGCTTCGGGCTCAGGTCCTAGCAGCCGTATATCCGATGCTGATGAGCAAGGCTCCGCTCGCGCTTCAAGAGGAGACGGTCGGAAGCATCGTTGAACCGAGCTTGGTACGGTGTCTACTTAGGGTACTTAATGTCCAGGCCGGAACCCGAGCTAGCCAAACCCAATCGAATCTAATACGAGATCAGATGGTCGGTCCATATAGGAGCAGTTGCATGAGCAGGCAGTCGTTGCTGGGCCCTCGTCGTAGTGAGGATTCATCGCGCGGTCGACCTCTCCTGGCTTTTCTTTCTCTCTCTCTTTCTTCCTTTCCTTCTTTCTGAACCAGCTATCCACCAAGCATCCGGCTAGCTCCACATGAACGAACCCCGTCTGCTCGACCCGATTAAACTTCCCCGACGATGGCTCCAAAGCTTCATCCACCCTCCCTCCTGCCCAACGCGCACGTCCTTCACAAGAGAGAAAAGAAAGAAAGAGCGCACCCACCCATCCAGCAACAAACAGACCTTGCCTGTCTGTCCTGTCCATCCCCGCGCGATCCAAGTCATCTTCGACCCTAATCCCACCCAAACAAGGTTCACGTGTACCTTATCCAGCCACCCGCACCATGAATCCTGTTCTCGCCAACCAAGGCACCCGAGCCCATCCAGCAGCAGACGTCGCCTGGCACTCGATGACGGCGTCAAATGGGCACTGGCCCCCTGCGCCCAGACGCCCCGTCCGCGGTTTCGCACTGATCCATCGAACTCGTTCTATTTATCATCTGATCGCTGGATCCGCTCGACCACCTAGACGCGCTCCCCCGTGGGGATTTCCTCGGGTGGGAGAACTGGTAGCTGGTTTCTGATGTCAAGACTGGATGTTGTTGGTTTGATGGTTTGGTGGTTGGTGGTTGGTGGTTAGTGGTTTAGAAGCGAGGATGGGATGGGTGGTGGGATGGGCTCGGGGGTTTATAAATTATAATGGGGATGGGAGGTGGTAGAGTGAGGTAAGTTGAGGTACGAGAATGGATAAATAATAGGTGGTCGTTTACTATTTACCGACTGACTTACCGACTGTGATGTGAACACTCGTTGCTCCTTCAGTTGTCTTGTCTCTCTTCTATTTAGGGCATCGGGCAGAACAGAACAGACCAAACCAGACCAGATCAGATCAAAACAAACAGATCAGACCAGACCAGAACCAGCAACAGCAACAGCAACAGCAACAGCAACAGCAACACCCCCGTCGATATCCACCCACCATGTCTGCGCCCGAAAAGGACAAGGTGGGCAGCGTCACGGTGGAGGTGGGCGTCAACGAAAAGGCAGATCCCGATCACAGTCACAGTCACGATCACGACCTCGTTCAGGATCCCACCACTTCTGCTGCTGCGGCGGCGGCGGCACATGGCCTCATCGACGCGGTCCCTGATGCCGAGGAATCGTCGCCCACGTTAGTCGAAACAATCGGGTATCTCCTTTCTATCCAGGATGGATGTACGTATAGCGTTCCTTCATCTTGAGTTTACTTCCCTTCATCTGCCTTGTCTTGCCTCGAACGACGATCTTCCTCCTTTGCTTCCCTGCTTGCTTGCTGCTTTGGGTTTGGGAGATGGGGAAGAAACGTTGGTTGATTTGGATTCTTGCTTGACAGATGGTCCGTTGTCGGACTCGACTTGGGATATGGATGATTTCGATTGATGGATATAATTGTGGGTGATGGATTAGGGGGATGGATTAGGGATTGGGGTTGGCTGTTGTCTATCGTCTGTTGTCTTTCTTTCTCTTTTCTCTTGCTTCCATCGGGGTCCGAATATTCATTCACCTTACCTGCCTTACTTAATTTGAGACTGGCGTTTAATGAACTGAACTGCCATGGTTGGCTATCCATCAACCATCAACCATGTACGGGGATAACTCGGCATAGTAAGCCCTCCCACAGGACGAGAAATATAGGCGTGCATCGAAAAGGAAGGAATCCAAAACACCCACCAGGACGTAAGCAGAACTCTTACCTAGAACGGAATAGACGCACACCATCCCATCCAGTTTGCCTGTCCAAAGGAACAGGTTTGGTCCGGCTCTGATGTCAGCCCTGGTTCGGGGCGTCGGTGGCAACCTTGGTATACCCTCGCTATAAGTATCCTGGTTGGATGTTGATGTTGATGGTTTGTTTCCATGCATCGCATCTTCATGTGAATATACGGATACAGACATAGACAGGCAGACAGGCAGACAGACATCTCTTTCTATCTTTTCTATCTCTCTCTCTCTCTCTCTCTCTCTCTCTCTTCTCCCTCTTATCTATCTACCTCGGTCGATCGATCGATCGATTCATCCATCCATCCATCCACCCATCTATCTATCTATCTATTTATCTATCTACCGTCCGATCGACCAACCGATCGACCACCCCAAGATTCTATGACCATCGCACACAGACGCTACGCCATGTCGAGCCAAACCGTCGACGACAAGCTGTCCCTCATGGACTTCCTGAACGTCAGCAAGATGGCCGCGCGCGTCGTGAACACCGAGTTCGGCAGCGTCAATCTTCTGAAGGCGAAGCGTGATAATCACGATCATGACCGTATGTTTTAGTAGTATCATCTTACTATATCCTGTTACCATCTTAGGTTATATCCTGTTACCATCTTGGGTATATCCTACTCTCATCCTTGATAGTTCTCTTATCATACTATCATCCGTGATGGGGAAATCAAGTTCTATTCTTTATTATATGATGTGCTAATCTAAATCATCGCAGGAGATGACCATGTCTTGATTTTCGATGCCCCGTTCGGCAACGACGATGCGGAGGATGATAGCGACGATGTTGATGATGATGATGATTCATTAAGTGGGCCGTGCAATTGAGTGGGGGGGATTGTTTTGTTTTACTTTCTTTGATTTGATTTGATTTGATTTGATTTGATTTGATTTGACTTTATGGTGTGTGGTGTGGGTTTTGTTCTTATTTTCGACATCGGAGACTAAACTGACCAGGACTATGAACTATAAACTATGAACTATAAACTGGAAATAGAATATGTAGATAGTCTAGGCCAATACACATATACTATCATATCATACCATATCATATTATATCATATCATATCATATCACGACTTCCCCCTCCAGACATCAAGAAACTCCCTCACCTTAATCGGCTTCAGATCCGGAAACCTACCATTCAGACGCTCCTGGGGCAGATCAAACGCCCCGGAGATCGTAAGCCGACTCACCAACGCAGTCATCTCGCGCGCCTCTTCCTCGGAATACCCATCCGGTATCGCCGGGACAGTGACCTCTCCCTTCTTCACCTTTTCAATACTATCGTACACCACTTCGAACTTTCTCCCTGTTCCATTTCAATCATAATCATCATTAGCTCAATCCACACCCATCCACACTCATTCCCCAAATATCAAAAAAAAGAAAAAAAGAAAAAAAAAAAACAAAACAAACAAAAGAAACAAAACCAAAAAGGGGGAAGGAGGGACATACCTGTAACACCCTCCACTATCCCCAAAAGCTGATTATACGTAACCTCATCCCCCACCACCACACTAAACTCCTCCCACACCTGCAGCTCAAGAATCCTCACCAGAAACGCCGCCATGTCATACGTGTACGTCATGCACAGCGTATCGTTTCCGTCCCCCGGGATCGCTGCCCGGCCGTTCGGGATGTCGATCCCGAACACGTGCGGCGAGAGATGGCTCCGCGCGTGCGGCATCCCCCAGTAGTCCATGAAGAAGCCGGGGATGATGCGCGTGTATTGCAGGTTGCTGGTTTGGAGGGCTTTCGCGGCGGAGAGCCAGTATTTTATGCTGGGGTCGATGGGGAGGAGGCTTTTTTATGTTAGTGTTGGTGTTAGTGTTGGTGGGGGTGGGGTGGTGGTGATGGTGATGGTGGTGATGGTGGTGATGGTGGTTTTGCTGGGTGATGGGATGGGCTGGGCAGAAAGGGAGGAGGTACTCTTCTGTCTGAACGAACGAGTATTCACTCGGAATAAATCTCTTAGTCGTGGTAGCGTTGTCAGCGGCCTGGATCAGGTTCAATTGCGCTTGACTGTTCTCGTCGTCGAAGATGGTGATCGCGGAGATGATTGTGTGGATGGCGTGTTGTTCGAGGGTTTGGGTGAGGGCGGAGATGTTGCTGTAGTCGATCTGTACGTGTGGGGCTTTTGGGAGGGTGCCATCTTCTTTTTCTTTTTCTTCTTCTTTCTCTTCTTTGGGTTCCTGGTTGGCTTGTGAGTGCGTGTCTGTGGTGGGCTTGGCCGGTGGTTGGTTGGGTGTCTGGCTGGGGGACCTACGTTGCGACTCAGGATGATGATCTGGTGCTTGGGTTCTTGGAGCAGTGTCTCGACGATGGTCTTTCCTACGCCGCCGGTACCGCCGGCTACGGCGATGATGGTCATGATTGGGTTGATTAGTTGGTTGGGGGATGTTGGAGGTGGAATGGAGTGGAGTGTCGATAGACTATGGGTTGAAGTTGGTGGATGGTGGATGGATCGGTGCGGGCAGCCCCACATTTCTGGTTGATCACGATGTCGATGTCGATGTCGATGTCGATGTCGATGTCTGATTGTCGGGTGGTTTGACAGGGGCGCTGCGGGTTTCGAAAATTTGGGGGGGGGGCTCATTAGGAGATTAGTGCTCCTGGTTATTACTAGGCAGGGGTTATGATATTTGATGGAATTCATTGTATCGAGCACAAATTAATGGGGTCACGGTGTGACCATTTGGGGATTGGGTATCGCTGTGGATATATATTGTCCGGCCTGCGAAACGATAGAGGCAGGCAACATATGAGACCAATTCAGTGCAAAACTGAGTCTTTAGTTGATAAAAAGAGCTATGTGGACAGTCATATATATCTGATATAGAAACCAGAGAGCAAACTGGGCAGGCGAAGATGATTTGTTCTATACTACTGTGTTGGTCTTGCGTGAGAAGTCCAAAACCTACTACGTAATATATAGCAAATCCCCGATGGTCTAACGGTCATGATTTCCGCTTGTCACTCCTGAACAGGAACAAGCGCGGGAGACCTGGGTTCGACTCCCAGTCGAGGAGATTTCTTTTTGCACTTTTTGCATCTGTCGCGCTAGACTGCATCGGGAAATTCCTCCTCCGCCCGTACGGAGTCCGCGTTGTATCTCGACTGTCTACATCTACTTAGACACCAGGTCTCTGCATCTTCCGGACTGGGAGCCTCCTGCTTGATCCGTTCCTGTGACTGCCTCCCCTTGCCTTGTATCACCTTGATTTTCCCTTCCACCTCCCACCGAAGAATGCAGCACAATGCCCTCCACCCACCCAGTGGCATACAGCCGGTCTCGGAGCCGCCCAGCTGTCCGGGTGGGGGGGGGGGTTATGTAAATTCCCTGTCCCTGCAAAAGTGACTCACGATCGCGAGCACGTCACCCAAATCCCTTATCCTCCGCACGTCTCCATCCATCCCCAATTCCCCAGCCATCCCCGCCGCCATGAGAAGAGAAGACATCACCTACCTGGGCGCTGGCCCGGCCAGCCTCCCCACCGACGTCCTCGCGACCGCCGCCGACGCCCTGCAGAACTACCAGGAGACCGGCCTGTGAGGGGCTCCGATCCGCCATCTTATCTGCGACCGTCTGTCTAACTGGCTTTCCTAGGGGTCTGGCTGAGCACAGCCATCGCAGCGAAATCGCGACCAACATCCTGAACGCCGCCAAGGCCGACCTGGCCAACTTCCTGGACATCCCCTCCTCTTATGAGATCCTTTTCCTGCAAGGTACTTTCCCCCCCCCGGTCGCATCGCATCGCATCGCATCGCGTCGGCACCCCGCTGACGCCTCGCAGGTGGTGGATCCGGCCAGTTCGACGCGACCGTCTACAACCTCGTGGGCATCTGGGTGGAGAAGCAGAGGCAGCAGATTGTCAAGGAGCGCGGAGATATTAGCGAGGAGGAGGTCTTGAACGAGCTGCGCAAGAAGGTCGAGTCCGACCTCCGTCTGGACTACCTGGTGACTGGATCGGAAGTACCCCGTCCGTCGATGGCAGACTGCCCATACTAATTGGCTCTGCAGATGGTCGCTCAAGGCCAGCCAGGAAGCCCTCCGTCTTCTGGGACCCGAATACGTTAACATCGCGAGCGACTCGAGGACGGCCAACGATGGCAAGTTCGGAAAGATCGCGGACGAGTCGACCTGGAAGCTGAGCTCCAAGGCTGCTATGGTCTACATGTGTGAGAACGAGGTGTGTGGTTGTCTTATCTGTGCCGCAAACAGTTGCTGACGATCTTTGCTCGCAAGACCGTCGACGGCGTCGAATACCCCCATTTCCCCAAGGTCCTGGAGCCCAAGGGAACCGACGAGGACCCCATTGTCATCGGAGACTACTCCTCCACCATCCTGTCAAGACGGATCCCCGTCAAGGTACGCACATCCCACGTTCGGGAGCGACCAAACGCTAACTGTGGCTAGAACTACTCCATCATCTTCTTCGGAGCGTAAGACGCCGGTGCCAATATCCCTACCCCTCGCGCTAATCCCTACAAGTCAGAAGAACCTGGGTGTTGCTGGAATCACGGGCGTGATCATCAAGAAGGATCTCCTCCCCCCGGTCTCTCCTCTCGCGTCTCCTGCCATCCTGCGCAAGCTCGGCTTGCCGATCGCCCCCGCCATCCTCGACTACTCCGTTGCGGCCAAGAACAACAGTCTCTACAACACCCTCCCCATCTTCGAGTAAGGCCACAACCGGCTTGTGAATCCGCTCGCTAATGCAATCCAGTGTCTACATCGCCGGCCAGGTGCTGAAGAAGCTCCTTGCCACGTACCCGGACAAGGTTGATGGCCAGCAGGCCGTGGCCGACAGAAAGGCCAAGCTCATCTACGAGACGCTTGACGCCTACCCGGAGGTGTACAAGGTTGTCCCGGACAAGAGCGTGCGCTCCCGGATGAACGCCTGCTTCCGCGTGATCAAGGTATGCCCTGCATATTCCTGACCGATAGTGATACCCGCTAATCCCAACAGGGCGGAAACGTCGACGAGGCGGAGAAGGCCTTCCTGAAGGGCTCCGTCGAGCGCGGCATCACCGGACTGAAGGGCCACAGAAGCGTTGGAGGTGAGTACCGTACCCTTGGCCATGACCCATCGCCAGTACTAACTCCCTTCCAGGCATTCGCGCGTCCAACTACAACGCCATCCCCGAATCCGGCATCGAGAAGCTGGTGGTGTACCTGAAGGAGTTCGCTACGGCATAGAGTGACGCAGTAGATGTGTAAAAGTGGCATTTGCATCCCCGAAAAGCATTAATATTGGGTACGACCGGGTGTTGTGGGTTACATACAGGCGGGATTTGGGGGCAACATGTTTGAATTCAACTTTGGAAGACTAGCTAGCCTCGTAGAATGGCTGTCTCAACGACAGTGTGATCCGTTGACTGTGTTTGTGCACGTAAAATTATGAAATATGAATTGATCAAGACTGTGTCATGATAGATAATGTGTTGTCAAATCTATGAACTGAATAAATAGCCTCCTGGATGATCAACTTGGTGATGTAGTTGGCTGCTGGGGAGTGATGCCTCAGGCCGGTGCCGATCAATCATTGTGCGACGGGACGGTCGGGCTGATCGAATAATCGCGAGTAATGATTAGTGAACACTCCGAGCCGAGGTTCTTCTTCTCCCCAACTCTCCCCAACTCATCCCCATCACCTTCCCAACCAGGAACCCATCCCGCCCTATCGGCCTCGGGGCCTGTCCAGACTGGCTAGACCCTTGCGTGCCTGATCCCGTCCACGCTAACAGAGAATGAAAGACTGTTGAGACGGGATGGCTCGATGGCTCCTGTGACAGGTGGCAACGGGGTATGTCAGCAATCAGGCGTTCAACACTAGTTATTTCTGATCGCGAGTTCGATCTCCCCCCTGCTCTCCGTCTAAACAGGCCACCACCACAAACGATGAAATGTCGCTCCAGTACTCGAAAGGAGACACTCTGGACCCAGACACCGCCCTAGTGCCCTGGGAAAGTCTCAACGAGCACTTCTTCGGCTCTCGATATGTGCCCTCGGATACTTCCGCCACGCAGATCACCTCGTTGCTGTCCGCTTGCTCATACCCCGTGCCGGAACGCATGCGACAGCCGCAGGGAAGACCCCGATTCTCACAGACGCCGCTACTTCCCGGCCTTGTCGTAAATGGCTCACCTTACGAGCACGATCGCAACATGCAGGCCACTCAGCCTCCGCTTCCGCATCCGCCTCCGCCTCCGCAATCGCGCCAGCCCGCGACAAAGCCTCCCAAGCGCCCTCGCAGCAACGACCCCCCCACTGCGTCGTCCGTCAATAAACGAGGTCGCCCGCGGAAAGTCGTCGAGGGCTCCATGGCCGAGGATCCAGAAGAGGTACGCGCGGATCGCTTTTGTTCTTGTTTCTCGTCCGCGGCTCATTGATATACCTGGGCAGAGACGCCGGAGACAGATCCGTCTCGCGCAACGCGCATACCGCTCCCGGAAAGAGGCCAACGTCTCGCTCCTCAAGAGTCGCATCTCCGAGCTAGAGAATGTTGTGGAGAAGATGAGTACCGCGGTGCTCTCGTTCAGTGAGGAGCTGGTCCAGTCGGACATGTTGGCGTCGAATGCGGTTATGGCGCAGCATCTGCGCGATACCGTGCAGACGTGTCTTTCTCTGGCTCGAGAGGCTAGTAAGGATAGCGACCATGAGTCACCGATTGTTTCGCCGCCGCAGACCGAAGAGGCCTCGCCATCGATGACGCATGAGCAGCATAGTCAGACATCTCCGCTCGTGGACCTGGAGAGTCTTCCTTCCAGCTTCGACTCTAACTCGTACTTGAACATTGGAGGATTACACGCCAGACAACACAGCAGCTCCCCGCGGTTCTTCGAGTCGCCGGAGACATCCGAAATGGATCTGCTCGTCTTCATCGATAAACTGCACATGTCGTGCGTGTACCAGGGGTGCTTGGCCCTCACCGACGAGAGCATTTCCCTGGAGCGGCTACAGAAGCACTTTTGCCTCACCCTTCAGATAATGGACCGAAAGCGTCTCGCGTCGTATTTCCAACTAGCGCTGAACCAAAAGGAAACCCGAAAGCGCTTCGAGAAGTGGGGAGGGATTCCGTTCTTCAGTCTCGGTGGTGCTGGGACCCATTATCCTCGGGCTTTGCCCAACGGCCAGCAGTCTCGGCCCGGTCTGCAGCCGGTTTCTGCTCAATCGCTATCGCACCTCCCCCAGGATATACAGCAGCAGCTCCAAGGAGAATGGTTTGACATGGGGGACTTGGAGGGGCATATCCGCGAGAGGGGCATTCGTTTTTTCTCGTATCCTCCGGAGAACCTCGCGCAGTATCCCGCCAGAGTTGCGATTAATGAGGCGCGTCTGATACAAAGTATGGTCTTCTTTCTGTTGAATTTGCCGGTGGATACTAATTTCTGGATAGCGTTGACTGCGAAAGCCATCTGCCTTGGGTGGACGCCGGGCTTCCGTCGCGGGGATGTGGAGGAGGCTATACGGAGTTGTGCATGGGTCTGAGTGGGATCGCGTCTAAAAATGACGGAACATTGCACTCCCACCATCAACCGATACGGCCGACAACACCAGCCTTCTGTACGCTTCGAATCAAGCTCCCCGGTCGCGGAACTCCGAATAGGAATAAGGACCAACCGCCCAGACGGCCTTACGTTTCGCTCTACGCGGGTTACGAGGAACCAGAAGATTCTGGTCTTTCCTCAACATGCATGACGCCGCCGATCTGCACTCTCCACGAGCGGGGACCATGCCAATCTTGACTGAAACGGCAAATGGCCATTGCATAGGCTCTGGCCCGCACCCACCTCTTGCAAATCGAACAACTGCCCCGTGTCCGTGTCTAGAAGCTTGACGTCGGGCCTATGAGACACAGCGGGACAACCTTCCGACCAGACCAGACCAGATCAGACCATTCTCGAAGATCATGATCTTCAGAAGCAGAGGCCTGCACAGTCCTATCCCCAATCGGCGCGCCGGGTACCCGAGGATGCAGCGCCGTATGCAGTGTGCAGCCTGCAGAACCGCCCTGGCACCTGGCAGCTTTCGCGCAGCGGATCCTTCCCCGTGAAGAACTCGGCGACATTGTGTGACTGTGTCACCCTACTACCCGTGAAATTGCGCGAGTCTGCAGCTTTAGAGCTAGATTTCGAGCAAGCGGGATGTGGTGGCCCGACCGGCCAGCCAGCCAGCCAGCCAGCCAGCGATATATTTAGAACTGGTCTGCAGGGAGTCGGGTAGGGTAGGCACCCAAGTCAACATCGCATGATGTACCTGCCTACTTACTTACCTACAGGCTACCTACCTACCTACCTACCTACTTACGGAGTACGGACTACTCCTACTTCCGGGACTGGAACTGGAACTATTAGTACTCGGAAATTAGCCCCCCTGAATGGCGTCTTGTCTTCATTTCCCCTCTAGACTCTAGACTCTAGACCCTACCCTAGACCTTCTGTATCGTTCGACTGTACTCCGTACAGTACAGACAGGTCATGCTACGGAGTAGATATGTACAGTAGAGTAGACTAGATGGACTGTAGTGTCGACTGGCTGCGTCGCGAGCGAATGTCTACCTATGGACTCTGTATGGTATGCGTCCGATCCGGATGGTTGGTTGTCTACTTACTGCATTTGAATTTCCTGGCACCGACACTGGCTAGACCGGAATCGCAAAGGATCTGAGGTGATCTGTGAACTTGCACTTACTTACACTTGTCCTTGCGTGGAGCCGAACAAGCTTACGGGCCGTTGGAGATGATGGATGGAGATGGAGGAGACATCAACTGGGGCCGATCCAGCTGTCACCAGACCAGACTAGACCAGACCAGACCATTACATGAATTAGTCTAGTCCTGGACGAAAGCACACCGCCTGGATAATCTATCTATCTAGATGATTGATTAGGAAGAGAATAATTGGGCGGTCTGTAGCTGTGGAAAGCTGAAACAGTGCTTTGTGAGTTGTGAGTTGTGACAGGTGAAAGAATGAGATTGGAGAGGTGTCAGTGACAGCTGGAACAGGAACTCATGGGACCTGCGTTGGGTCTTGCGTACGTATGCACTATACACACTGCCCACTGTGCGCATTGAGAGCTAGTCCAGGCCCTGGGAAGAGGCGGGAAATACTATAGCCTGTTATGTTATGTTCCCTAGGCCATCAGGGTGTTAGTTAACATTAATATGGCTGATATTTATTTGCTTTGACTCTCTTCTTGGACCCGATGCTGCTTTGTTATATGTCTTTACCCTAGAATTACACACACACGAGTCATGACAGGTAAGGTGTTTATTTCATGTCATTAAGTGGTTGGTCGGAAAGACACTGACACTTTACTGTTGTTGGTTGTTGCAAGTTGCAACACGGGTGACCGAACATTTACACCCACGCCTTGTTTTCAGGGGGAGCCAAGGTAAGTACATAAGTACCTCAGTACGGAGTAACTGCCAAGGATAAATATAGAGATGGGATCATTCCTCGAGAAAGCACCCGGAGATTAAAGTTCAGGATACGGAGGGGGATTGGAATTAAAGGGAAGAAAGAGACTGTTGACTCGTTCATAACTTAATAATAACTTATTAATAACTTACTTCATTGATTCGTAGTGGGGGGAAATAAATGTGGAATGGAAATAGACAGCCACAGCAACAGGGGGCGCAGGCCGTGGCTGGTCCGGGCTAAACCCGCCTGGGCCGCGTGTGCTTTATTCCTGTTGTTGCTTGCATTCTTCTCCATCCTTCCTCCTTCCTCCTTCCTCCTTCCCCATCCATCTGCTGCAGTCATGCCGACCGGGGCTTCAGCCCGCCAATGTGGATGCCAGACGTACATACATCCATCTTTGGCACTTTGCACGATGCCTGTCATTAATACATGAAGATAGACTGCTAGTCCGGTCGGACTGCATCCTGAGAAACGACGGCGCGGCCGGCCTTCCCCACCCTGCCAGTGTCCACCGTCCAGACTCCATCTAGACTCGATTCGACTCGACCTGCAACCTATTTCACGCCCGTCCATTGGTGCCCCCGGATCGGCAATCGGGCCCCGTTGTCACCGGCTGGGAATGCGCCCGTTGCTGGGACCTCACCACCTGGATACCTGCCTGTCTGGCGGAGACGCCGTACGGTATGCGGCATTCGGGCAGGTATTCGCGAGGGATCGCCTGCGAATACGGCACCCATCGAGACAAGACTGGGGTGGTAGCTATCTAGCTGGTAGATACGGAGTAGAGCGAACAAATAGGCTCGCACCTTGGGAAACCCAGTCGCATCTTTGGGCGCCTCACGCCTCTCCTGTTTCATCTTATCCCGCTGGCCTGGCGGCTCGCGTTTCAGGTCCCACCACCACGCTGCGCTTCTTTGTCGCCGCTCCACTCGACATGCCTGGCCCAAGAATGAAGGCGCCCTCGACTTCGACCGATTCGCCTGGTGCCTGCAGTGGCCAGTCTGCCAATTAGTGTTGCCGCCGGTGAATGGCCCATTGACCAGCGCCGGGAAGAGTGGGCTGGCCGCTGCTGTTATTATTATTATATCGCCCGGCCCCAGGCCTCGTCATGCATTGACATATTTCACTTTGCCTGCACATTCTCTGCCTTTCTTCTTCTTGGTCCCTGCCGGACCGTTTACCATCTTTCTTTCGCGATTGATTCCTGCACTTTGTATCACCTTCCTTTCGACCTCTTGACAGCCTAGACGGCTGTCTGCCATTCATTCTTTTCTTGCCTGCGTCGATCGTTCGGCGGCTGCAGCCTTTGGATCTCTACATCCTTGCCAGTCCTTGGGGCTTCACCTCTAATCACAACACAGATCCTGCTTGACAATACAGTCACAGCCACCATGCCTTCTTCCTTACTATGGAGCGTAGGGTCGCTCGCCCTCTCCTCGATGATCCTGCCCGCTACCGCCAGCAGCTACGAATTGGTCCAGACCTGGAAGGGCGAGGACTTCCTCGAGTTGTTCGACTTCTACACGGGCGCCGATCCCACCAATGGCTTCGTCACCTACTCCAACCAGAGCTATGCCGAGAGCACCGGCTTGGTCAAGGTTAACACCAACGGCAGCTTCTACATAGGGGTTGACCACACGAATACAATCAGCACCACCGGCGCCGGCCGTGAGTCGGTCCGCATCGAGAGCAACAAGTACTACGACCAAGGTCTGTTCATCATCGACTTGGCGCACATGCCCGGCAGCGCCTGCGGCACCTGGCCCGCCTTCTGGTCCACGGGTTCGAACTGGCCCGACGACGGCGAGATCGACATCATCGAGGGCGTCAACAAGAACGAGGCCAACGAGATCGTTCTGCACACCAGCGGCACCTGCGACATCTCCAGCCAGACCATGACCGGCACGCTGTCCACGACCCAGTGCGGCGAAGACGCCGGCACCGGCGGATGTGTGGTCAAGGGCACTGAGGGCTCCTCCGGCACCGAGTTCAACGAGAACGGCGGTGGGGTGTACGCCATGGAGTGGACGAACGAATATCTCAAGTTCTGGTTCTTCGCCCGCGACGCCATCCCCGCCTCCATCACCGACGGCACCCCCAACATCACCGCATTCGGCACCCCCATGGCCCACATGCAGGGCTCCTGCGACTTCTCCGAAAGGTTCAAGGCCCAGCGCTTCATCTTCGACACCACCTTCTGCGGCGACTGGGCCGGTGGCGTCTACAGCACCTCCGGCTGCCCCGTCAGCGACAGCAGCAGCTCGTTCAAGAGCTGTGTCGCCTACGTCGCCGAGAACCCCACCGCCTTCGAGCAGTCCTACTGGGAAATCAACTACATTGAAATCTTCCAGACCGGCAACTCCACTGCTGTCGCATCGGGTGTCTCTACCGCCGCCGCCGTCTCCGAGACTGCCTCTGTCGCTGAGACCGTCTCCGCCGCTACCGAATCCGCTGCTGCCACCACTGCTCCCGTTTCTGCTGCCGTCTCCGCCGTCGACTCCGAGACCCTGACCGACGCCTCCACCCCCACCACCTCCGCTGCCGTTGTCGCCGGTGCTTCTGCCGATGAGGGCTCGTCCGCCGTCTCCAAGACCACCAAGTATATCACCGTCACGACTACCTACTGCCCCATTGCTGCCAGCTCCTCTGCTGCCGCCGCTGCCGCCGCGAGTGCCGCTTCCGAGGCCAGTGGCTCCGTCGCTGCCGCTGCTACCCCTTCGACTGTCAGCGGTGCCAGCGCCGAGGCTAACGGTGAGGGGTCTTCGTCTGAGGCTGTTCCTGCTGCCGCTGCTACGCCTTCGACTGTCAGCGGTGCCAGTGCTGAGGCTAATGGCGAGGGCGCCTCTTCTCAGGCCGTTCCCGCCGCTGCTGCTACGACTGTAAGCGGTGCTGGCGCCGAGACCGGTGAAGGTTTCTCTGCTTCTCAGGCGGCTGTCGGTGCTTCTGCCACTCCCTCCACTCCCAGCGGTGCCAGTGCTGAGGCGAACGGTGAGGGCTACTCTTCCGAGGCTGTTCCCGCCGCCGCTGCCACTTCTTCTACTGTCAGCGGTGCCAGCGCTGAGGCTGGTGAAGGCTCATCCTCTGTTGCTGCTGTCGGTCCTTCTGCCACTCCCTCCACTCCCAGCGGTGCCAGCGCCGAGGCGAACGGTGAGGGCTACTCTTCTGAGGCTGTTCCCGCCGCCTCTGCCACCCCCTCCACTCCCAGTGGTGCCAGTGCTGAGGCTAACGGCGAGGGGTATTCTTCCGAGGCCGTCCCTGCTGCCGCTGCTACGCCGTCCACTGTCAGCGGTGCTAGTGCGGAGGCTGAAAGTTCTTCCTCCGCAGTTGCTATCGGCGCCTCTGCCACCCCCTCCACTCCCAGCGGTGCCAGCGCCGAGGCCAACGGCGAGGGTTCATCTGCAGCTGCCGTCGGCGCCTCTGCCACTCCTTCCACTGTGAGTGGCGTCAGCGCCGACGCCAGCGGCGACGACAGCTCCAGCTCCGTCCCGTCCCGCGCGGCTGTCTACAGCTCGGCCCCCAGCTCGTACGTGGTCTCTCCCAGCGGCCTGGTTCGTTCCTCCGCCGCCGTAGCCAAGAGCGCTCCCACCTCGGCGCAGGGCACGTCCGCCACGTCCGCCACGTCCGGCTCCTCCGGTACCAGCTCCGACTCCAGCTCTGGATCCACCTCCGGCGCCGCCTCCGCGACCACTCCCGTGACGCCTGTCTACACCGGCGCCGCCAACAAGCTGTCCCTCGGCACCGGCGCTTCCGGCTTTATTGGAGCGTTGGTCCTGGCCGTGCTGGCTTAGGCTAGGCTAGTTTGCTTCGATCTGGGTTGGTTGTTCTTTGTTAGTTGTTGATTGTCTTTCCTTTATTATGCTGCGCTGCTGTGCTGCTATGCTGTTCCTCTCGTGCTGTTCAAGCCGGATATCCCATGGATGTTGTCTTCAACACCTCATCGTTTGCTTGCTTGCTCTTTCTGTCTGTATTATAGGCTAGCTACTCTCCTCTGCTCTACTCTACTCTACTCTAATCCGCTCTGTAAGATGAGCTGAGCGGAACTGAGCTGAGCGGAACTGAACTGAACTAAACTCAACTGAACTCCTGCTTGATGTGGGTTGATTGATTGATAGATGGTATTGAGATTAAGATTGAAATTGCTTTATTTGCGTGCATTGTGCGTGTTTGCTTAAAATCTGGGAGATTGGGAGATTAGATAGATAGATAGACATATGGATAGAGGATACACCACAATTCAATTCGATTCGATTGACTTTGATTCGTACGATCCAATTCGATCCCATTCAATTCAATATAGATGGTGGTGGTGGTGATGGTGATTGTTTAAACACATTCGGTTTTTAGTAGGCTTTAGTCTGTGATGATATTGGGGGGGGGGGGTCTTTGGATGTGGATGTGGACCCGGGACCTGTTTGTTTGTTTCTATGTATATATATATATATACTCTAAAAAAGTCGGTGATGAGTAGGGTAGGATAGGGTTCTGGCGGTCATTGTTGGGTTGTAGTATGATGACTGTTGTGTGTGCCCTGGTTATGGTTATGGTTATGATTGTGGTTATGTAGTATGCGTGACTGACTGTATACTGCCTACTGTATAGGAAGTAGATGAAGGACGGACAAAAATAAAATAATACATTGATGAATACTGGACGATGGATATCGTTTTCCATATAGGATAGGTAGGTAGGTAGGTAGGTAGGTAGGTAGGTAGGTAGGCAGACAGACAGACAGACAGAAGGCAGACGACGACCTTGATCAAATCAGGCAGTCTACATATCTTACCTACCTACCTACCTACCTACCTACCTACATACAGGATATATACCTCACCTCATCTCATGCCCAAGAACAATAACAATGGCTAATAGCTAGATAATAATAGCCAGGTAATAAAGCTAGGCAATAATCAAATACCCAAAAAATATATCCCGCAACCATCAACCATCCAGTCATGCGGGGAAAATATGCGATGTCACATTCCCAGTCCCATTTCCCCACGTCTATCTGAAAGTACTAGATAGGGTAAGTAGGCGATCAGATCTTCCCGGCTTCCAGTATATCCTCCGTGCATGCATCCGACCCACAAAATATCTATCTACCGGTGGGTAAGTAGATACTATATAATACGTAGTACCTACTTAATCTTGACCGCTGTGCTGAAATCTGGATAGATGGAGATGATCTTACTTTCCCCGGAGAGGTGCATATGCTGTATGTGTATGTGTATGTGTATGCTTGTAGGGGCGTCGTCTAGGGTGGGCAGGGTGGATTGGAATATGTATAGGTGGATGCGTGGATCCATACTTATACATATATGTATACATATATACATATTCATACATATAAATATCCATATACATAGAGATATGCAGGGATTCTGTAAGGGGTTGGGCTGGTTGCAACGCTCGCTGCTTCTAATTCTACCAGGTACGATACTTTATTTGTGCATGCATTGCATTGCATTGCGTGATGTATGCTGTATGCTGTATGCTGTCTGTCTGTCTTTATCGAAGTTTACCCTACCCCTACCCCACAGAGACTTGAGGGTCAAGATTCAATATTCAATATTGCATGTATATAATATGTAGTCATCAGTAAGGGGCTGCCTCTGGACATACTGATATTGCCTTCAGGGACTAGACATACCACCATTACCTTCAGGTATCACTGTCCAATGTGGACAAAGGCATAAAGTAAAGTTGAATGTTTGTGCAAGATACCTCCCTCCACGAAGTCAATATCTCAATACATTGTGTGATGGGATATGATACATCCATTCATCCATCCATTCATCCATCCACCGAACGCCATCCCGCATAGGTGATTACCTATGTAGGGTATAGGTATCAAGGCAAGGTAAGGCAATATACAACCAAACCAACCGGAAAGAGCAAACTGATAAATTGACAAAGAGAACCCCCACCCTCCACACCCACTCCACACCCAGCGCACCAAGGCAACCAGAGAAGAAAACTGAATCCAACTAACCAGAAGGCAACCCCAAACCAAACCAAACCAAACCAAATCCCACTCGCCCTAAGCAGCAGCAGCAGCAGCAGCAGCAGTAGCAGCCGACCCTCTCCTGACAGCCTCAATAACAGACTCCATCCCGGGATTATCACACCAAATCCCCGTAATCTCCAATCCGGCCTCGTCCAGCATCTCGCGCCACTGCCGCTCCGACCGCTCGACGCCGGACCCGATGCTCATCATCTGGATGTCCAGCGAGGCCTGGAACAGCGGCACGTCAGTGTCCGGGAGGACGAAGTCGGAGATGATGATGCGCGAGTACGTCGGGTCCATGGCGGAGACGGTATTCACTAGGATCTTTCGGCAGATGTGGTCCGGCCAGTCGTGGAAGATGGCGCGGAAGTAGTATGCTCGTGCGCCTGGGGGTGGGGTTGTTAGGATGTTATTAGGAACTTATTGGGTTGGGTGGTTTTGGGGTTTGGTTTTCGTTCCCGGGGGGGGGGGGCAGTAATTCCGTCCGCTTCAAAATATGAAGTTACAGACGTAAGGTAAATAGGGGGAGAGAAAGAAAGAAAGAAAGAAAGAAAAAAAAAAACATACCCTTAACAGGCTGCGGATCCAGAAAACTATACCCCATACTCACAATACGACCCCCATCCCCATCCCCAACAGGCGCCTTATTCACCACCTTGGGCAAATCCTGCAACACCAACTGCCCCTTCACATCCGGGAAGCTATCATGGAACCTCACCAGATCATGGCCCTGGTTTCCACCCACATCAACCAGGAACACCGCCTCGGGATGCTCCCTCACCCCATCGGTCAGTCGCTCGACAGGGTACACGTCGAACCAGGCGGGCTTGCCGTGTCGCCGACTGGCCATGTACGAGTTGAAGAGGGCCTGGCGGGGCTTGTGCGCCGCCAGCCACTCGAACTGGCTCTGGCCCACGGCCCATTGCATGGGCGATTTGGAGTACTCCTTGGGCGTTAGGTAGGAGTGTTCCCGGAAGTAGGTGGGGAGTTGGGAGAGGGTGGGGAGGGTGAGGTCGTATCTGTTTGGGGTTAGTGTCACAGTCACATTGCTTCACATCATATTGTTGAGCTGAGCTGAGCTGAGCTTCATATCACATCGCTAGGTCGGTAGGTAGGTCGCTATATTGGGGTATTGCTGGAAGGTACTCCGTACTCCGTATGACAATGACAATGACAATGACAATGATCAATGGATAACTACTGGGGGGGGGGGGAAGGCAGGAAGAGAAAGGGAACACACATGCAAGGAATCCCATCACGACCAATGGGCTGGGTCAAAACGGGCGTCTTGTCGTTGGCGAAGTAGAGCTCGAACTCGGGGCTCGCACAGAGACCCAGGGCGGTGATCACCCGCATCAGACGCACTGAGGAGCATCATATGATATGTTAGTCGCGGATGCAATAAACGATGCTACCTACGACCTGAAAAGGTAACAGGTAACAGGTAACAAGTAACAGGTAGCAAGGTAACCCACCGACAAGCCCCCTCTCAGCCCCCGTCCTCTCCGCCAACTCCACGGCTGAGACGCCGCGCTTCCCGTTTGCCATCAATAGCGGGAAGATGCCCAGGTCCATGACCGTGCGGAGGGCGGCATTTTGTGGTGGCTGCATCGTCGATGGATGTGCGTTAGGCTATGTGACACGGACTGACGGAAACTTGGGTAATGGAGTGGAGTGGAGTGGAGTGTAGGGTAGGTAGGGTAGGTACGGAAGGCAGGTAAGGCAGAGAGGATACGCACCTGGTAGATCAGACGCAGGACCGTCTCGGTGGGAGTCTCTACCGCCAGACGCAGCTTGTCGATCAGCCCGAGGAGCTGGAAATGCGACGGTGCGGGGGACGTGCTGGGGTTTGAGCCCGGGGCTAGGGTTTGGGTTTGTTCCTGCAACGCGGCCTGCTTGATCTGTTCGACTAGAGAGAGGAGGGGTGATTCTGGCGATTGAGTCTCCATATTGTGATTATGCGCGCGTGCTGGTAAGCTGTAGCCAAGCTGGACTAGCAAAAAAAATATATACAGAGAAAAAAAATAAAGGGTCAAGAAAGCTGCTGCTGCGACGCGTCTTAGTCGATCAGGTCGGCGCTGGTGCTGGTGTTGGTGTTGGTGTTGGTGTTGGTATTGGTGTGATGTGATGCCGTCGAGGACAATAGTTACTGTAGAGCAGCGGTGAATAATCGATCGACTGCAGGCACCGACTGAGCTTATATAGCAATAATCCATCCATCGGACCAAATAAACGCACCTCAAAAAGCAACACCACATACAGCACCCAAAGTACCTACATACGTACCTAGGTAGGTAGGTACGTGCCTAAGTACCATCCAGCAGGTCAATCAATAATCCATCCACCCACATCCGTCTGTTAGATCTACCGACAGAACAGGGCGGTGTTCCGCCGGGCCCGGATTCTGAAAACGGCAACCCTAACAGGCCACTTGCATCCGCGGAATTCCCTATTCCCTGACGGACAAGGACAAGGATACCTACAGGAGCACAGTTGGAAGAAAGGAAAAAAAAAAAAAAAAAAAAAAAAAAAAAGAGGGACTTTCGTCAGTCAGACAGTCTCCCCTGGGCCAGATCACGATCAGGATCGGCCAGAAGGGGCCTCGAATCTTGGGTGGGTGTGACAGGACTCGTGCGGTGCGGTGCCTGCCTATTGTCTTGTCTGTACTCCGCCCGTGTCTTGTGTCGGTCTTGTGTCATGATGGGGCGGGAGGAACGGCCGATTAACCTACCACACACCATTCATCATCCTTCATCCTTCATCCATGTTCCTTCCACATTCCATCCATCTATCTATCTACGTCCTGCCGTAGTACGGAGTACCTAATAACCACACTTCAGCCTCCACCCCTGTCCCTCCCACCCGTCCAGGTCCAGCTGACCCTCCTCCCAAAATCCGAATCCAATCTATTCGTGGCAATGGCTTCCGCTAGCCCAGGCCACCGTCCCTCCTCTCACCGTTGAGAAAGAGTTCAATGGATCCTGGCGCCGATGCAGAACCTTGTCGTAAACCGGACTGCCGTGTGGGTTTGGGTTACCCTGTTCCTGGGCCAGCGCCACAACGCCACCCGAGTATATCCCGCGATATGCTGTTTTGGGGATCCTAAACAAACCCCTGGCTGGCTATCTATGAAGTACTAGTACTGTCTGTGGTGATTAAGTACGTGTGTAGGTACGTATGTAGGTAGATAGGTAGGTAGGTAGTTGCCTCTGGCCCAAGCTCCTATCTGGATCTGTATGTAGGAGGTACGTGTCGGTGATGTATGTATGAAACTATGGCATCCACACACCCACTAGCAGTGTCAGTCGTCATAGGTATGTGGCGACCATCCACTCCACCATCTAACCCCAATGCCTCAAACTCAAGGCAGTAAGTATTACTCCATCGCAACGACATCACAAGGGGCAAGTCAGTCAGTCAGTCAGAAGTGCGTTTCACCCCCCTCGACTCATCTCGCCTCAATCTCATCTCATCTCATCTCATCCATCCATCCATCCATACTATACTATACTCCGATGCGATGCGACGCGACGTACCAGTAGTATATAGTTCCAGTCCCAATAACCACCGCCCCGGGGATCGGACCCACGACTTCTCCTGTGCGTGTCGTGTGCCAGTCGGCGGAAATAGCAGTCGTGGGCTGCGATCGGACAGTGGCATTGGATAGATCGCAAATTAGACTCCGGGTCCGAGCTTCCGTCGTGATCGTGAGGCAGTTCTCAATGTGATGCAAGATTTGGAGTTAGGTAGGTACGTACAGCGCAGGCTGATCGACGGGCGGACTGGGCTATCCGATACGTTTGGCGTAGCAAAAACTATACTATAGTATACTATGCTATAGTAGAGTTACTGTGGTCGTAAGTACCTACGGTAGATGATACAAACCTAGTTCTGATGGGAATGGTGGAGTGAGGCGACAAGATGGATGATGGTAGATGGGTGTGGGTGGTGGGTGAGTGGATAGATGCAGCTAGGTAGTAGTCCGTAGGTAAGTATAGTAGGTACCTAAATAGTCGCGGAGGGAGTGCTGTGCCAGGAAGTTCGGGCCCTAATCCGCCCTCTTATTTGTTGAAGGAACGACCCGTGAGTCTCCGATAGTGCCCCTAGCGACGGTAGTCTGATCGTGGAGACTACTGTGTATGGTGCTGACTGCTGACCCGAGTGCTTATCCGCCGACCCAATGGGACGGGGCTGAGCAGGGCAATAATAATGCGTTCTCGACAGACAGACAGACAGACAGATGGTAACTAGCCCGTCGATCCCTAGCCAGACGGCCTTACCTTAACCCCAGACGCAGAGGGCAACACGAGCCGGCCACCCGGCCAATCACCATCCGCACAGCACAAAGAATCAGGGAAGATTAGATAGATCATGTGGTGGAGACCCAATATTGATCGTTGCTTTTTCTTTTTCTTCCTTCTTTTTTTCTGTTTCTGTTTCTTTTTTTTTTCTTTCGGATCCGGATGGTGGGCCGGTCGGTCGGTCGGTCGGTCGGTCGCCTTGTGCAATCCATACGGAGGGGAGGGACTTTAAATTCGAGGTACATACCATACCTACATAGGTAGATACGGCAGGTACTTCCATCTCCAGGAACCAGAAAGAAAAAAAAAAGAAAAGGACAGACCAGGATCCGGTGAGCGGCTGACGGCTGACGGCAGGAACAAAGCATTCGCAATCAATAGGCCAGACGGGATGGGATGGATACGGACAGCATTGGCGCCGTCTTTCTGCATTTCCAGGGTGAAGGTGAACAAAAATCCCAAATCCTGCAAAAGGTCTGGGGGAGGCATGATTGTTGAACAGTAGTAGTACCTACGGTAGTGAACTGAACCCCCCCCCCCCCTTGGCACCCACTCCACTGCCTGCACGGATGGATGCGTGCCTGATTCCGCACCTAACTACCCTAAAGAAAATGAAATAAAATAAAATAAATTTTTTTTTTCAAACCCCCTGTACAAAGTCCTCAACTGTACTTACACAAACGGGCCAGGCAGGCAGGTAGCAAGCAAATCGTACTCCGGACAGAGGTACATCATAGCAGGCAAATGTACCGACCGGTACTCCCCTGCGACGGGCGGACTTTTGTCACCATCGGACAGGTCACATTTAAGAATACTATAGGCTGGTTGAGCCGGGTTCAGCTGGTGGCGTTCCGGGCCCAAGCAGGAATGAAGGAATGTGGCTCTTTCGGCGGAGGACCCGAACATGGACGGAATATCACCGAACGCTAACTAACAGTAGAACACACGCTTGGATGCCGCGGAGGGAGGGAGGGCATGGGCAGTGGCATTGGCATTGGCATTGTAGGTAAAACACGACCCCATTCGGTGGTATCACATTCACATTCACATCAATAGCATTCAGTCACGGAGTAGATAGTGGTCGTTCTCTGTCTCAGACTCGGACTCGGACTCCGTGATGCCGCCATCGCATCGTATCCAATATTAGCAGAGGGCCCGAGTGAGGCGGAGAATTTGTCATTTGATTCGTGACTTGACCCATCCTGAACGGCTGAACCGGGTTAGGGCTACCACTAGATACCCGCGCGGTCCGTCTCCGTAAGTACCGTCCGTGCCTGGAGTGAGTGGATGTGGATAGATGGATAGTGGATGCGGAGTACTTTGCCAATTGCCAGGGCCATGGCCATTGCCATTGCCATTACCAGGGCCCAGCTGCACTCTGCAGAGCCAGCTGCAGCTGAAGCCGAAGGATGAAGGATGAGGATTCCCTAATCCCTGCACGGACCAGTTCGTCAGGTCGGCGGCGGCGGCGATATGTATGTATGTGTATGTATGTTTAGTACGGATGGCGCGAACTAACGAATTGGCCCCAGCCTTCCGAAATGGCGGTGCCAGAGGCAGGTCAGTAGATAGTACTGTACTCGTACTTCTTCGTGTTTGTTCTCCTTGAGAAGGGGAGAGAGAGAGAAAGAGAGAGAGAGAGGGAGAGTGATTGCTCCATACCAAACTGAATCCGCCCAGGCCGAGACTCGAGCTGGCATGCGCAACCGCCATTGTCCGAGCGAGCTCCACCGAGTCGACACGTCCGAAACAGCCAGAAGGAAAATGTTCAGGAATAGCCCGCACGAGCGCTTCAACCACGACAGTACCGACGGATACAGTGGGCCTGCCACTGCCTCAGACAGACACAGAAGCACTCGTTTCCGGGCATTTGCATTTGTCATGCTGTCTGTGTCTGTGTCTGTGTCCATTGTCCAAATGGTCCATGCCCCATGGAGGCCCATCACATCGGGGCTGGACTAATTTCCGCCCGCAAAAGTACTTTTCCCGCGCGCGCGCGCGAGCGAGCAAAGCCGAAAATCCTACCCAAAAAGAAGAAGAAAACGGAAGAGACAATAAGGATGAAAATAAAAATAAGAAGAAGTAGGTGAAAAAGCAAACAACACCGGCGTCCATTGTGCAAGCATCCTGGGAAGAACCCGATCAGCGATCGATCTCCAATCGATCGAGGGATCCAGGTTCCTGGGGCCGGGAGCCCGGGTAGAGATAGTGGTTACTGGGGCCCATCGGGGGCAGCGGTAGCTGGACTAGCTGGACGCTGATTGTCGGTGATGGCGACGCTAAGGAGCCTAGGAGGGGAAGGAGGAAGATCCCGTAGACGCGATGGATGCAACAGGATGCAACCATCCCTCATCATGCTGCGAACTTTGTCTCCCGCTCGTGCATCATCAGCTGCAGTGTGACTGACTGCCACTTGCCAACAGGAGCAGTGCAGGCCATCCACTCAGCATCCAGAATCCCCCTCGCCTCCCCTCGTTAGCAACCCGGCAACCGCCATGCTAGTGGCCTATACACGGCCGATCAGGTTCCTGGGTCGGCGGCACCTGATGCCTGATGTCAATCGTGCGCAACCAAAGCTCGAGCGAGGCCCAGCAGATTGATTATTCATGGTGCTTACTGACTGACTTACTCTATTCGGGCCCGTGCGATGGTTAGGGTTCTGATTAGCTTTGGCCCGATTGCCACAGACCCGCGACCACCGACGTAGGGGCCCCCCTGTCATCGACCCCCACCCCTGATAGATGGTGTCGGACGTCATCTGGACGGAGAAAAGCCAGCCTGCCAAATACTCGCACGGTGATACACCGCTCCGGGTGGCCAGCCAGCATGACCCGGGCTGTGCGCAGGCCCTAACAGGCTAAATCCGGAAATCGAACATCTCCACCGAACGCAGAAAAGGACTGCTGGTGTCAAGCCAAGCCCCATCTTTTGCCTTTGCAGCCGGCTCTGGGGGTTAAATACGCCATGGCTCCCCATCGTCAGGTCGGATCTTATTCTGTGCTTCAGCTTCAGACTCACCATCCTTCACCGTCATCATGGGAATTCCTCAGTATGCCGGGGTCCCGGACGAGGACCCCAAACCGACATCCCCCGCTGACCAGGTCGTCGCTCGGTTCGGTCGTCTTCACCTCCTCGACGACCTGATCCGCCTGCGCGCCGCGGACCCTATCCAACACCCTATCCTCGCCTATCCCTATCCCTCACCAGACGGTGAGCCGGTCTCGTATGAGTACTTCACCGGCCAGGACCTGGACTGCATGGTCGACCAGGCCGTGTACACATTGATGGAGTATGGCTTCAAGCCGGTAAGCCTGACCCCGCCATCACCATAACCCCCATGCTCACCCTCTGTCCCAGCCGCGCCACGACCGCGCAACGGTTGCACTCTTCACACTCTCCGACCTGAACATGGTCGTCACATTCTTCGCCCTCAGCCGACTGGGCTACACAGTGATGATGCTGTCGCCGCGGCTCTCGGCCACGGCCTGTGTCTCGCTCCTCGACCTAGTTGACTGCGACACGATTCTGTACGGCCAAACGCCTAACATCCGGGCTACGATGGGCGAGATCCTGCGTCTGAAGCTCGTCGCCTGTCGCCCGATCGTGCCACGACCCTCGCTGGACGAGGAGTCGTCCCAGGACTCGGTCCTGATGCTGCGGCGCACCCGCCACCCGGAGCTGCAAATCAACAAGATCGCCCTGATCCTGCACTCGTCCGGGTCCACGGGCACCCCGAAGCCCTTGTATCTCAGCCACAAGGCCCTGATGACCCATCCCACCCGCGGCCCGGGCTTCACCTCCTTCAACTCCCTCCCCTGGTACCACCTCCACGGCCTGTCCACCGCCCTGCAGGCCATGTATATGCGTCGCACGGCGTACATGTGGGACGCCTCGCTGCCCCTGACGGCCTCCACATCCGTCGCTGCCCTGGAGGCGGCCCGTCCGGAGTCCGTCCAGGGAGTGCCGTATCTGCTTCAGCTGCTGGTCGACAGCCCGCGGGGCGTGAAGGCCCTGCGCGCCTGCAAGTCCGTGACGTACGGCGGTGCGCCCTGCCCGGACGAACTGGGGGACCGACTCGTCTCCGAGGGGGTTCGCTTCGGCGGGTCGTTTGGACTGTGAGCAATCCCCTATGGCCCATAACTGAACAGGAGAAGGTTTGCTAACAAGGCCCCCTAGCACGGAAGCCGGCCTGGTGGCGGAGTCGATCTCCCGACCCGCGGGCGATCCGTTCTGGAACTACATGAAGTTCTTCGACAACCTGAAGCCGTTCATCTGGATGAAGCGCGTCGGCGAGATTGACGACCTATACGAGGCCGTCTATCTACCGGGTCATCCCGCCCTGACGGTGTCCAACTCAGACGAACCGGCGGGCTCCTTCCACTCCCGCGACGTCTTCAGCCCCCACCCCTCCATCCCGGACCGATGGAAGTACGTCTCCCGGCTCGACGACCGGATCACGCTGGTCAACGGCGAGAAGGTCCTCCCGCTGCCAATCGAGGGGTGTATCAAGCAGAGCCCGTTCGTGCAGGAGGCGGTCGTGTTCGGGGTCAACCAGGCCGCGCCGGGACTGCTGGTGTTCCGCGCAGAGGGATGCCCGATGCTCTCTGACGAGGACTACCTGGACCTGGTCTGGCCGACGATCGAGGACGCCAACTCCCGGGCGGAGCAGTTCTCGCAGATTGCGCGCGACCTGGTGGTCGTGCTGGCGGCCGATAGCGTGTGTCCGCGCACCGACAAGGGCTCGATGATCCGCGCGCAGGTGTACGTGCAATACGCCGCCGTGATCGAGAACACGTACCGGGCCGTCGAGCAGACGGCGTCCGGGACGCTCGAGCTCGACCTCCCGTCGACTGAGAGGCATCTCCTGCGGCTGTGTCGCGAAGAGCTCGGGTTCGCCATCTCCAGCCCCGACGCCGACTTCTTCGCCGAGGGTCTCGACAGCCTGAAGGCCATCCACCTCCGACGACTCATCCTGCGCGACTTCCGCATGCACGACGGCTCGGCCCTCGGCCATAACATCGTCTTCGAGACCGGCAGCATCGCCCGTCTGGCCGACCACCTCCAGGCCGTCCAGTCCGGACACCACAACGACACCCCGGACGAGATCGCCCTGATGCCGGGGCTGATCGAGAAATACTCCTCCTTCCAACAACACATCCCCCGGCCCATCTCCTCGTCCACCCATAAGAGCGTCGTACGTCCCCTTCCTCCCTCCATCCCATCCCCCCCCCCCCCTCCCCTCTCAACCCAACCCTAACAAGACCCACCCACAGATCCTGACCGGCCCCACCGGCTCCATCGGCGCGCACACCCTATACAGGCTCCTCAACGACAGCACAGTGACCTCGATCTACTGCCTCACGCGACGCAGCCAACCCCTAGACGCCATCCTCGCCACGCTGTCCGAAAAGAACCTCGGCGTGCCCCCGTTCCGTCTCTCCAAGATCATCGCCCTAACCGCCTCCCTCGACGCGCCCAACCTGGGCCTCGACCCTCCCACCCTGGCCTCCATCCGCTCCTCCGTCTCCCTGATCATCCACACCGCATGGCCCGTCAACTTCAACCTCCCCCTCCCGACCTTCGAACCGCACATCCGCGGCCTGCACAACCTCATCAACCTCTCCCTCTCCGTCCACCAGCCCCACCCCGCAGTGCTGCTCTTCTGCTCCTCCATCTCCACCGCGCTGGGCACGCCCGCGTCCTCCGGTCCGGTGTCCGAGTCGCCCATACCCGATCTCTCCGCTGCGTTGGAGATGGGGTACGGTCGCTCGAAGCTCATCGGGGAGAAGATCGTGAGTGCCGCCCGGAAGGCTGGCGCGAGGACCTACTCGCTTCGGATTGGACAGGTGTCCGGGCATTCGAAGAAGGGCATGTGGAATGATAACGAGGCGCTGCCGCTTATGGTTCGCTCCGCGTTGACGCTGCATGCCCTCCCGGATCTGGAGGTGAGGTGTTCGTGGCTGCCGGTGGATAAACTCGCCTGTTCGATTTTGGAGGTCGCGAGGGCGTGTTCCTTTCATTCGGACTCTGATGATTCTGATTCCGATTCGCATTCTCATTCTCATTTTGTGGATGAGGCGCACCGGGTTGAGAGCGGTGATGGTGATGACTCCATCTACAACCTCTGCAACTCGCGCACCTTCAGCTGGAGCGAGATGCTCGAGAGTCTCCGGCGGAGCGGGTTCTCCTTCCGCACCGTGCCCTTCTCGGAATGGTTGGAGCTTCTCCGACAGAGTGAATCTCGCGGGGAAGAGGACGTCAATCCGGCTGTTAAGCTGACCGGCCATTACGAGGCTATGTATGGTCGGGATGCGCCCGCGCCGGTGACGTTCTGTACGGAGAAGGCCGAGAGGGATAGTATGACCTTGCGCAATGGGAGGTTGAGGATCGTCCAGGATGGCATTCTGGCGAGGTATGCTCAGGATTGGTTGAGGAGGTGGACCGTTTGAATTGTATCTGGTTGCATGGTTTGGTATGTTTCGCTTCTTGTGCATAGGTATTGAGGTTGCTTGGCTTTTTCTGCCCCTGTCTGCTTCCTGTGAATATTGTTTGTCAGCTTGTTTGGGTTGGGTTGGGTTGTACATGGTTGGATATTGATATAGATAGATCCTCAGATACCCTGGTTGGGTTGCATATGCAATTGATTAGTATGGTTTGGTTTCACTTTCGGATTTCTTTCGTCTGTCTTTTGAGGCAGTGTTTTTCTTTCTAGGCGAGTGGAGCATACCGTATTCGACATTCAGCGACAGAGCATATCATCAAACCATCAGATCTAGATAGTAACTAATGGGCAGAGAACTAACCGTTGAGAGAGTTGTAATCAGAAGCTCTTGGGCAGGCTGGAGGTGCGGTGTTAAGCAGTGAGGAGTGATGGCACAATAAGAATAAGTTGTTATATTGTGTTATATTATGTTACAACCCCCCGAACAAGCAAATGACTTCAACCACTTACTTACCCCCATCCCATCCCAGCACACAATACCAAGCACCGTACCGTACCGTACCTATACATCTATACATATGTCACTAACCAGACACCCATCCTAACAACATCTACCCTCCCCAAGATATCCAGAGACCTCCTGTCCTGTTCTCTATTTCATTTGATGCTATTCCCATCAATATCAATATCATCCAAGCCAAGCCCAATCAGGTCGGTTCAGGATCAACCCCAACCCCCGTTCCATGCTCCTTACGTCCTCCGATCTCCCCTCCCTGTACGGAATATATGGTTCGATCTCTCCTCCCCGTATATGGTTCGATCTCCACCGCTGTGGTTGAACCGAACCGTGGAACGGGTAGATGTGAGTGTCAATTGTCAATTGTCAATTGTCACCTGTTAAGGTAGGTTTTCGGAGTGAGCGTGAGTGGGGTAGCCTTGTTTGGGTGTTTAGGGGTGGTTCTTCTTTGGACTTGGGGTGGGATTGGGTCTTCTGGTGGCTCTTCTTTGGAGTTGGGGTGGGGTGGTGGGTTGTGCTGGGTTTATGTTTGGTTGGTCTTTCTCCCCTAGATAGATACCCTCAACCTTAAATAGGTGGGTAGGGTTGATTTTGGAAGGAAAGGTTATAGAATGTTTGGTATACACACACCACACCACACCAGTGGATATCTCTTCTCTTGCTGTACGCATCGCATCGCAGTGCATCGCATCGCATCGCATCACATCACATCGCAGTGCATCACATTACCATCCTATACACACACATCACATATCATCATAACCCTCCCACTCCCCATCCCTCCCACAGCTATCCCACACAAGTATCCATTCTACCGATAAACATTCCCCAACGCCGTCTCCAACAACAACTTCGTATACTGCTTATGCAACCACAGGATATGCTCTGGCATCGGCGCCCCGCGGCCTCGCCCTTGCCCTGGAAAAACGCGCTCTTGAGCGCAAACTCCGCCACGCGCTCGTCCGGCTTCACGACCGCCGACATCTCAAACAGCCCGTCCGACTCCCGCACCGCCTGCTTCCGCGGCGAGTCGCCGCAGCGCACGATGATCCGCTCGTCCGTCTTCTCCACCACCTCGAAGTGGTCCGTGATCAGCGTGCCCACGTCGTAGTTGTTCGTCTTCAGCTCCGCGCGCGTCCACAGGTGCGTCGAGGTTTCGGGCCCTTGGTATTTTTTGGAGAGGTAGCGGCGTTGGTAGGCGTATCCTGTTTTTGGTTGTGGTTGGTTAGTTGATTGTGTGGATTGGGGAGGGAGGGGAGGAGAGTGTGGGAGAGATAAGGAATATAGGTAGGTGGGTTATGCGTCAGGCATAGTAGAACAGCTTCTTAATCAGGATCAGAGGAGAGAGAATTACCGAATCCACCCCACACCCCCCCGCAAAACGCCTCGGTCAATTTGCCCTTCTTCTCCAGCAGCGTCGGGTTGATGTCCTTCAGGGGCACGCGACGCACGCACACATCGTACGAGGCCGGGTTGTCGGACGGGTTGAACTTCTTGTACAGCGGGTGCTGGAAGATCGGGTCGGCGGGGGTCATGGGCACGAAGGTGTTGTGGCGCGTCGCGGCGTAGAACAAGCCGGCGGAGGCGACGCTGCCGATCGTGCCGACTTTGAGGGCGCTGCGGAGGAAGCCCATCGTGTTTGTTGTCGGTGTGGGTTGTGGGTTGTGGGTTGTGGGTTGTTTGGAGTTGGAGAGCTGGAGCTGGAGACGCAGACGGGAAGAGGAGAGGAGAGGTGAGATCATCGGTCGGTCGCGATGCGGCGGAGACGGACGGACGGAGGAGGCGGGTCGGGGTTGTTCCGGCGGTCTGTTGACCCTCACTACTGCTACCACTACATACTCGTACTCATACTCATACTCATACTCATACTCATACTCATACTTATACTCATACTGACACTGACCCTGACCCTGATCCTAACACAACACAGCGATTACAGCAAAAACGGAACCATCCTCGCCGTCCTGGCATGCCACCCCTCCCACTCCCCCCCGAATTTCGTCTGCAACATGCGCTCCTCATCGCGTATGCGCATCACCGTGAACCGCATCAACACCACCACCAGCGCACCCAACGCCCACCCTCCCCACCCAGACAGTCGCTCCAGCGTTCCAGCGTCCATCCCACAGGCCGCCGCCCCGTCCCACCGCAGCACCAACCCCAGCTGTCCCGCCGCAAGCAGCCACAGGCCCGTGTAGCTCGGATGCTGCACGAACCGGTACATCCCCGCCGTGACGAGACTGTCGGGCTGCGCCAGCTCGAAGGTGAAGTTGCGACCGAGGGAGCGGAATGCGGCGAGCCGGAGCGTAGTGCCGAGGGCGATGGAGAGGAGACACAGGGCTGTGGTGGGGGTCCAGGTGAAGAGCTGGGGTGGGAGGTTGGTCGGGTGCGGGCAGATGCGGTGGAGGGTGAGGGTGATGGTGTTATGGATGGCGGTCGGGTCGGTGGGCGTATTGTGTTCGTAGGTGTCGTCCGACTCGGAGTAGAGCAGCGCGATCAGCGCGTGGTAGATGATGCACAGGCACCCGAGGTGTGTGGTGATCGTGGTGATCGGGCCCGCGAGCAGGCGCACGCGGTCGGGAGTGGCCGTCGCGGAGGACGGGCGGTGCGGGGGCGTGCAGCTGCGACGGAAGAGATATCCGACTGCGAGGAGGGAGAGGGAGAGCGAGATGGAGGAGATGGAGGACATTTTGGTGGTGGTGGTGTTGTGGTGTGTGGTGGAGGGAAATGGCGGTTGGGGATGGAGAACATATAGTAGTTAACATATGTTGGGTTGGTGGATCCACTCGGCGACTTTCTTATACTTTCGGCCTATGGGCCCTGCCGGTCAGGCCCATCCCGAGTAGTAGCAAGTGTGTTTGTTACTGTGAAATTGAAATGGACAAGGTTATAGTTGATTTGAGATTTTTGGATACTGCCAGGTAAGTCTCTCAATTTTGCTCAGGTCTTAGGTACTAAAGGTGACATGTTCTGACACCACGGCCGTAGAGCAAATCATAGACCGAACCACTCAATCGACATGAGTCGACTGCTATAATTATATAACTAACAAATACCTATCTCGCTCCTGAATAACAAAGATGGAATGGTTTCATCTACCATACACGTCATGCGCACAATCAAGTCCACCGCCACGGTCATCGCATACAGATTAGAGGTGGGTAGCTAACTCGGTGAATAGATCGGATTTTCAGTCCGGATCTTCTAATCCGCACGGTCTTTTGGAGAAGACAGTATTTCAGCTTAAAACGTAACTCTCGCAACTATTATAGAGATTGGTAGTTATTATGCATGTATATGACCAACCGATTGAGGATCCTTTACTGCCTGGTTACTACCACATCTCTGGGTATTATCATCCAAGAAAGAAACCCCTTTTCCCATTCTGGGCACGAGATAAATAACAACAACCAACCCCCTAGAAGGACAGCACCAGATAAAAGCAGACGATATATAACTAAAAGCCTCATAGAACAACCAACCATCAATTACCATATCACATCAAAGCAAGCCAAATCAAACTGCAATAAACCATCCCCGCTCCGAACACCCACTACCGAAAAGAATCCAGAACATACATAATACCACGACCTACTCATTATATCCTAATTAAATCATCGTCCTCAATATTCCAACCCCAATGCTCTTGATTACCTCACCTCAACCCATCCACCCATTCATCAAATTCCCATCCATTATACTTCCCCTCTCAATTCTATTCTCCTCAATGCCCACCAGCCAGCTCAAACACCTGACTCTGATTCTGATTCTGCCCACTCCTGTGATCCGCCAGCTCATACCGTCGGTACACATCCCCTGACATCTCCCTCGGGGTGTGCAGCTCGCGGGGCGTGCGGGCCCTGGAATCCAGCATTATGCTGTTGTGAGATTGGGACTGGCGACGGAGGCGGAGGAAGAAGAACCCTGCGATGATGAGCGCGATTCCGGCTATGGAGACGCAGACGCCTATGGCGACTTTGGAGCCGGGGGTCAGGGATTCGGAGCTGGATTTGTTTGTCGTCGTCGTTGTTGTTGTTGATGTTGGGGGGGAGGTGGAGGATGCAGCCGGAGCGGTGGCGGAGGCAGCTGGTTCGAGGGTGGATGTGGATGTGGACGTTGAGGATAAAGATGATAATGATGATGAAGATGAGGTGATTGTCGAGAGGGTCGTCGCCGTCGATGCTACACAACCCAGGCCAGATTAGCCCACCACAACACCCAACTAACTATCTTCCACGAACACGATCATAATAATAAATCTATACAATACCTAATGTATCCCCATCCGTCCCATCCAACAAACAATAACTATGAAATACCTCCAGCGCAGTTGACACCTCACTCCCCGAGTCCGAGTTCGAGCAGCTCGATCCCACCTCGCTGGAAATCAAACTCGCGAAATACGCGGAACTGGCCGTGCAGAAGCAGCTGTACGACGTGTAGTGTCCGCCGTCTCCGCAGCCGGACTGCATGTCCCGAACGATCGTGCTGACGGGGTCGACAGCGCATGATGATAGGGAGGAGTATTCTGGGATGTTGTTGATGTAGTATGTTGTTGTTATTGTTGGTGTTTCTGATGCCGTGGCTGTGGCTGTGGCTGTGGCTGCAGGGAGGGAGGAAGCAAGGAAGAAAGAGAGGGCGGAAAGGTAAATATAGAAACGGGGTTTGGGGTCGGAGGATGCCATTTTTAGGGGATAGGTTGGTCGGAAGAGGATGGATGGGATGGGATGGGGAGGGGGGAGGTGAGATTTACAGGAGAAGGATCGGGTGAGGATGGATGGCTTCTATATACCGGTTTGGGACCTTTTTGACAAGGATCAAATGGAAGGGACGTGGATAATACAAATGTTTGATATTACTCGAACAGTACTCGGTAACAGTGTCATTTCGCCAACTAGATGGGTAGGTAGGTTAAAGATTCAGGGCGCATGGGGCCGTGGCTTTCAGCTGTCGGGGCTTGCCGCACACTAACCAAGCCCTAACCTGCCGCCGGCCAATGGACGCTTGGGGTGGAAATGAGCCTGCGGAAGGAACCACTGCACGATGAAGGATCATTGGTCTGCTAAAACGGGCAGCATCGTGCGATTGGCGCATCGGGAGAGATTGCACTTCGGGGTTAGCTTGCATGATTCAGATTTCGTATATCCTGGCATTATCCTTGTCAGATAGCCCGACGGATGAGACATGACCAACAGTCGGGGATGCGGATCAGGATGAGGTTGAGTTACTTATGTAGCCTGGAGGGCAGTATAAATAGCGCAAAGAAATCCGCGATGCTTCCAACCAGTGTCTGTTACATTCACCCATCAAGATGTATTCGATTACTGCTGTTATCCTGGCTTTGGCCGTCGGTGGCCATGCCATCTCGCCACGGGTAAGATCCCCAGATGCATCATCGCACACAGCTAGCTAACAGAAAAAGGAGTCCAACTCCTTGGGAGAAAGCCTCGGCATTAAGCCCGACTCGATGATCAGCTACGATGGAATTTACTTCGGCTGGGCTCCCAACTACAGCCCGCAGGTAACCCTAGCCGACCTCAACGAAGCAACTGGCCAGAAAGGCGCAACGTGAGTACACCTCCTCACACCCAACAAACACGCATTGATCCATTCAGATACAACGTCTACTCGCAGATCACGCAAGACAATGTGGACTCGAACTCCTACGACGGCAACGATCAGTACAATGTAGACGACATCATCTCATCCGGCGCGGTCCTGATCGCATCGCTCATGCCAACGGTCGATTGGACCGACATCACCGAAGAACTCTGCAACTCCGTTGCAGACTACTTCAAAACCACATTCACCAGCAAAAACGTCACTGTTTGGCTGCGATACGCCCACGAGATGAACTACTATGCTGACCCGAGCGTGGATACTTACCCCGGAGGCCGTGAGTGCCTTCCCTTTACCACGACCGCTTCCCCACACACCATGGAACTAACCAGTAGAGACATACAGGCGACTACTCCGCCTTCCTCACCACCTGGAAATCCATGCACGCAGCCACCCACCCCAACCCCCTGATACACATGTTCTGGTCGCCGAACGAAAACACCACCTCCGAGCCCGTCGCCCCCTGGTGGCCCGGAGAAGACTACGTCGACATCGTCGGCATGGACTACTACCCCGACGCCAGTGATCTACCGGACTTTGCTACCGCGTACGGCGATTTCTATGATACGTATGCTAAGGGATATAGTCTGCCGTTTGCGATCGCGGAGACGGGCACCCAGTTGGGGAGTGGGGCTGCCACTGTCGCGCAGAAGCAGCAGTGGTTGAAGAGTATCATTAACCCTGCTGCGGGGTTGGGGGATTATGATGAGTTCTATGTTAGTTGTACGTGGTTTGAGTATGGGCCGCCGACTAACGAGGTGGACTTTTATATCGTGTATGGGCAGACGGAGGCGGTGGTCGAGGAGACGATTTCAAATACGGAGAGTGGGGTGTAAGTAGGTTGGATGTAGGTTGTTGGGGGGTGGTTCGGAGGGTTGAATTGGTGAGGTGGATGGGTTGAGTGCAGCTGTACTTTGACTGTATTTCTACTGATGTATGCTGTTTTTGTGCAGCTTTGAAATATCTGTCTTTAAATATATAGTGGAATGGGAGGGAAAGCATGGACATTAGGGCTGAGCATGTATGCCAGGTGGTTGCATCAGGAACCGTTGAGAGTAATATGGTGGAACATTCCACGAAATATCAATCAAGACATATACCCGATGTAGCCAATCATGTGATGCAAGTTTCAGATACAATCCCTTGGACACGGGTATTGTTGAGATTGCAAGATATGGTACACGCCACAAATCTCCAGATTTGAGTCCATCCCATTTAGGCTTCGCAGCCGACTGGACCAATCACATCGCAGAGTCCCATCAGCACCCAGTGTCCACCACGACATACTTATATCGACCTCAACACCCGCCATTTTTTGACTCTCACCATCTTCGCTGCATTCTCACCTGGCTGGTTTAATTACTTAATTTTCAAAATGCCTCATATCAAAGACTTCGCCGTCGAAAGAGTACCCCCCCCGTCCCCCTTTTCTCTCTGACATATAACCCGAATGCCCTAACAAAGACAGTGGATGGACCTCCACGAAAACAACGCCATTCACAACCTCGCCGAGACCTGCTGCGCGGCCATCTCCCTCTCCGACCTTGTCTCTTTCTCCGAGACAGAGTCGCAGCCAGAGACACAAACATCCAGTACCCTCGTCAACCTCACCCGCAAACAAAGCTACGGCGCGATCCGCGGCTCAGACACCCTGCGCACCAACATCGCAAACCGATACTCCGACCCGGACCCTACCATCTCCATCTCTGGAGAGAATGCTCCCCCCGTCCCCATAACGAAAGACAACATCCTCGTGACAAGCGGCGGCATCCAGGCCAACTTCCTCGCGCTATACACCATCATCAAACCGGGAGACCATGTGATCGTGCAGTATCCGACATACCAGCAGCTATACTCGGTTCCGGAGTCGCTTGGCGCGGAGGTGAGTTTATGGCGCGCTCAGGAGGAGCGAGGGTGGGAGGTGGATGTGGAGGAGTTGAGGGGACTGGTCAGGCCGACGACGAGGGTTGTTGTGTTGAAGTGAGTATATACTATACTACCTTATCCTGCCGACATATCTCTGTCTTACGATAGAGGAAGTCCCACGCTAAAACACCTCCAAAAGTAACCCGCAAAACCCCACCGGCGCCTTCCTCCCCCTCTCGACCCTCCAATCCATCATCTCCCTCGCCCGCACCCACGACCTCACCATCCTCAGTGATGAAGTCTATCGGCCTCTTTTCCATTCCACTTCCCCCTGTCCTCCGTCTATCCTCTCCCTCGGCTACACCAAAACCATCTCTACCGGCTCCATGTCCAAGTCCTACAGTCTGGCTGGCATCCGGCTGGGTTGGCTCGCTTCGCCCTCGACGGCCATTCTGGACGCCTGCGCCTCCGTCCGCGACTATACGACTATCTCCGTGAGCCAGATTGACGACGGCATCGCCAGCGTGGCGTTGAGCCCATCGACTGTGAAGAACCTTCTTCAACGGAATATGGACCTCGCGGAAGCCAATCTGCGCCTGATGGACGAGTTTGTGGATGGGTGCGGTGGGCTGGTGGAGTGGGTGAGGCCGACGGCGGGGACGACTGCCCTCCTTAGGTTTAGGGACAAGATGGCCAGGGTGTTGGATGATAAGGGGTTCTGTGAGAGGGTGTTGCAGGAGGTGGGCGTGCTGGTTGTGCCGGCGAGGGAGTGTTTTGGGCGGGGGTGGATTTGGGGGGTGGGTGAGGGTTGGGTTTGTGCAGGAGGGGGAGGTTATGAGGAGGGGGTTGAAGGCGCTGAGGGGGTTTGTTCTGGGAGAAGGTTATGGGGAGTGTTCTCTTTTGGTGGGGTAAAGGTAAGTGGCGTTGGGTGGGTTTTGATGGGCTTGGTGGGGGGTTTTTTTCATGCCCACATAGATATTGATTCTTTATAATAAAAACCATCAATAACCCCGATTATAAGGATTATGGAATGCATGGGACGGGGCTAGAATAGAACTAGCTCCACGCCCTGCTGTATGAAATACAAGTCCCACGGGAGGGCACTTTCCGCGGCCCAGAACGCCTCCAGCATGTCGCGTGCACGGGTGAAATTGCCCATGCCGAGACGGCGCATGTTTGTCATGCGGGCGTGGATGAGCCGCCGTTCGGAGGGCTCGGTGGTCTCGCATCCGGCGCTGAAGACCGGCCACAGGATGAGGATGTTGGTTTGGGAGAAAGGCCGGATGTTCTGGATGGCTGTCAGGATGTGGAGCAGGTCGGCGCGCACGGTGGGGTGGTGGCGCGGGAGGTGCTGGACGCGGCGATGCAGGTGGAGGAGAGCGCAGTGCACGAAGGCGAGGTGGGTGTGTTGCAGTTCGAGGGCGAGAGTAGGTCCGTGTGTGTCTGCTGTGTTTGGGGAATGGTGCTGTCGAGGAGGGAGCGGATGGTGGTTTCGACAACTTGTGCTTCGAGTAGGATGTCGAGAGATGGAGCCTGTGTCCGGCGAGCTAAGTGTCCGATGCGGGTGAGTGCGGGGACTAGTGAGAGAGAGTATCCGCAGATATCGTCGACTTGGCTGTGACCGGTTTGGGGAAAGGGATTCAGGAGTCCGTGGTCGCTGGGCCCGGCAGATCCAGACATCCCCGCCAGTACGTCCATCGCGGTGAACCACTTGACCAGACAGGTCGTGAGCGGGTCCCTCGTGTTGGACTGCTCCACCAGTGCGGTCAGCAGTCGCATCACTCCCGTCAGATGTGTCCGCCAGACTTGCATGTTGCCGTTGCAGACGTCGTTCGTGCACAGCGTCATGGCCGTCATGGCCGTCTCGGGCCGCAGCATCTGCTCCGGTTCCATCAGGGCCGCGCCTAGCCCCGAGATGGCCCGGTTGGTGAATTTCAGGCACGCCATGCGCGACCTTTGGGTGTCGCCGCCGACCAACCGGCCGTGATGGCTACATGCTGATGCGAGAAGCGCGGCCAACAGATGCGGCGTGTCGAGAGCTGAACTGATCAGTCCGTCGAGGAAGAGCTTCGGCGCTGCCGGGAAGAAGACAGGGGCGGTCTGCGTCGCGAGAATGTGCATGAAGAACTTGGATTCCGTCGATGAGAGATACGGGGATGGAGTCAGGGTTGGCTGGTGGGTTAGCATTGAAAGGCCGAGGGTCGGATCGAGTTTGTTTGTCGCACGGGCTGGGCGTGGTTCCGGGGCCGGACCAGCTGGTCTTCGGTTCGAGCCAATAATGCTCAGGGTGTAGACGCAGCCTCTGGGATATCGGGTGCATCGAGAGCAGACCGGCTTGCGCAGGTCACACTGTACAGTTAGCAGGGTTATGGGGTCAGGCAGGGGTGCCTACCTTGACTTTCTTTCGGCGGCATTCTGAGCAGCCATCGCGGCGGCGTTGGGAGGGGCGATTGGGTGGGAGTGCAGTCAAATCTGATCTGCCCATGAGGCTTGGAGCTGTATGGGGGCTATTACACAAGGTTGAAGTGGTGAATGATGCAGATGGATGATGGATGATTGCTTGGTGTGATGTTGAGATGGACTGGGCTAGTCTGGTTCGGGACATGTAGGCGACCTAGCCAATCAGATGCTAGAGATGAGTCAGATGTGCAGGAGCATTTGGTTTGGCTTTCAGGTGCTTCCATTGCATTCTGCAAACAGTGTTGTAGACGTGAGAGTTTGATAAAAGCCAGATGGAGATTGCTGGCATTGGATTTTATGTTGGGTGATGCGACTATTTGTAGTCATCATCATGGGAGTATATTTTGTAAGAATGTATGATCCTGTATAGAGCAATTCATCCATGAAGTGGAAAGTGCTAACTATTGAAGATTGTGATTGTAAGACATCTGTGTAACAGCCATAACTGACGGTCTTGTGACTGGCCCAGCCCTAAATGGACTGTGTCCCATTCACTGCGACGTCGGGTCATCCGAGCAGCCAACACACACTCGTATTTCGAGCACCAAACCTGCGATATCGGGTTGCTTATCAAGGCTAGTAGCTCGTCAGCACCGACAAAAGGCGGGGTAAACACAAACCCACTCCGGGGTAGCTCGTTAGTGGGATCCTACTGGTCTGGCTCATTGCCAGAATGATGCCGGATTTTCCGACCGTCGGGTCGTCCAGGCGATCTAAAGCCCTGGCTATAGATAACTGCCGCGTCCGTCAGGACATTTGCGGGGTCCCCACGTTCGAATAACACCGTGGAATCGCTCATCATGGAAGACATGGAAGAGAAAGGCTCGTCAAGCCATCTGGACCTCGAAATGGAGGAACCAGTCCTCGCAGACACAGCGAAGCAACTCTCCAATCCAGACCCCAACGACCCCCAGGTAAACACTCTTCCTTTCATCCGTCTATCTTGAAAATGTTTCCTCTCGTCCATGACCAAACCAACTAACCCCCCCCTCCCCCACAGAACTGGTCCACCCCCACCAAACTGACCACCTACCTCACCATCTGCCTCTACACCTTCCTGGCCAACGTCAACAGCAGCAACTTTACCGTGGCCACCAAAGCCATCATCGCCGAGTTCCACGTCTCGCAGACCCAGGCCGGCTCGCTGGTCTGCTTCAACGTCTTCCTCTTCGGCCTGGGCAATCTCTTCTGGGTCCCGCTGATGCGCGTCGTCGGCAAACGCCCCGTCTACCTGCTCTCCATGCTGCTGCTGTGCATGATGAACGTGTGGTCGTCCCGCGCATCCAGCTACCACGAGCTCCTGGTCGCGCGCATCCTCTCGGGCTTCTCTGCCGCCGCCGCCGACGCCACCGTCCCCGCCGTCGTCGCCGATATGGTCGCTCCCCATGAACGCGGCCACTATCTCATGATCTTCCATCTGGCCCTGACAGCGGGCCTATTCGTCGGCCCGCTCATCAACGCCTACCTCGTCCAGGACGAGAACTGGCGCTGGATGTGCTATTTCCTCGCTACTGCCGTGGGTGTCGTCTTCCTCCTGGCTGTCTTCACCATCCGCGAAACAACTTACCTCGCCCGAAACGTGTCTCCCCGGAAGCGCGCCCACCGGCAATGGATGTCCCTCATTCTGGGCTATAACCCCGACGCGTCCTTCACCCGCACCGTATGGGATATCCTCTGCAATGCAGCTTACCCCCAACTCCTTTGGTGTTCCCTCACCATCGGTGTCTCCGTTGGATGGTACCCCAGCCCTCTCTTCCCTTCCATTCCCATCCCCATCCCCCTCGCCCCACCCCCGGATCACACATGGTTAGTTAATTAACCAATACCAACCAACCCAGGAACATCGTCGTCCAACTAACCGCATCACGCACCTTTATCGCGCCCCCCTACAACTTCCCCCTCGGCAGCATCGGCCTTCTCTCGCTCTCGGGCTTCATCGGCTCCCTCCTGGCCTTCTACCTCGGCGGCCGTCTCATCGACGTTCTCTCCACCCGCTACACCCGCCGTCGCGGCGGTCCCCGACTCCCCGAGTACCGACTCCCCGGCATCATCATCCCCGGCACGATCGGGCCCGCCGGCATCCTGATCTTCGGGCTGTGCGTGGCGAATCACGCGTCCTGGGCCGGCTCCGCGGTCGGTTACGCCATGCAGGCGTTCGGGGTGGCGGCCATTTCGAATGTCGCGGTGACGTATGCGTTGGATTGTTATCGGGGGGTGGGTTGTCTTTTTTTTTTTTTTTTTCTTTTTTTCTGTTTTTTTCGTGTTTGCCTTGGGTTGAACTGCTTCTGTTATCTCCGACAGACAATTGGACTTGCTTGTTAACAAACGTGGCAGATAACCGGCGAAGCGCTCGTCATCATCTTCATCATCCGAAACACCATCGGCATGCTACTCTCCCTATACGCCACCGACTGGATCGACCACCAAGGCGCAGCAAAGGTATTCGGCGAGATGACCGCCATCCAAGTCGTGAGCGTGCTGCTCGCCGTCCCGCTGTTTTTCTGGGGAGGCAGACTGCGGGAGATTACGTCGCGGTATGGCCCCATGAGGCGGTTTGAAGTTGAGGGGGTGTGATTTATCTATAATCATGCCGAGGCTCATCAAATACTCATCTCATATGTGGGTGGTAGTATAGTAATAATAATTATAAGATTATATGTGATTGTGGTGAATGGTCCGCCGCGTGGGCTGGGCTGGGCTGGGCTGGGTTCAGCCTGGGCTAGATCGTTGACCGGCCCGGATGCCCGGATACTATAACTACTATAGTATACTATAGTATACTATACTATCTGTGGTGATTATATTAATGGACCCATGCGTGAGACACGTGGCGAAGGCTGCTTCGGATACGCCGGGCTGCGGGCTAGAGCCTGGATGGTCAATGGTGTGGAACTTGGAAGGGGGATGGGATAAATTAGCGAAGGGGAAGCAAGGCTTTCATGCTTATGCAGGTGTCACGATCACTGTCAGGTGGCGCGTGACAGGCTTAGGGCTCGGAGTGACCGCAGTCTGCAAGTGCGGAGATGAAGCCCGATCGGATGGACTAACGGGTCTACATACTGGATGCCAACAAGACTCCGCCCCCAAACCCCATTCCCATTCCCAATCCCAATCCCAGACCCAGAAGCAGAGTGAGAGAGCAGCCTCACTCGCCCCATCCGTCGAACTAGCGACGGTTGGTTTCTCATTTCCGGTAGTCGAAGTCTAATAGATCGGCTGCGACAGAACTTATTTCGTCATTGACTGGTTTGGCTGCCTTGGCTGATTGATCGCCCTAAGTCACTGACTGGTTTGCCCAGTAGTGTGTTTTCTGTCCCCCAGACTATTGTCAGTAGGCAGACTGATCATCGAGTGCATGCATCTTCCAACTCGCATCATGCCCCTGTCGAGCTAATGCTAATTGCTCCTGAAGGAAAGTGAACCACGGAACCGAGGTCCCACTGTGCGAGGCCCGGGGCCAGGCTAACGAGGCTAGAGCGGGTGGGTCTGGAGGGCTGCCTCAGTCGCTTTTTACGATTTTAGCGAGAGCTTCGTTATTGCGTTTCCTCGTATTCTCTTACTCCTACCTACCCCGTGCGCTGGGCTAGCTGCACCTGTTTATCGAGTCCGATCCGGTCTCCCGGGTAGGGTCGCCATGACGATGTTAGCAGGCAGAAATCAGCACTGTGGTCATGCTTATGCTGCAGGATGGATGGGGTTGAAGAGTACTGTTTAGTGGTTTGCAGAATCTGCAGTGTAAATCCTGCCCTACCAAGTTGCTGATCCGACCAGAAACGCAGAAAGCAGAAGAATAGATTTCTGACTAGATAGACACCGCGGCGTTCCTGGGTGCCTCTACTCCACCATAATGGATCATGGATGATGGATCATGGCTCTGGTCCACACGGCGTGTGCCACAGTGCCGGACAGGCTAGGAGCCAAATTCCGAACCCGCACACCCCGACAGTGCGAGATGGAGATTCGGATCCTCATCTGGATGTTCGTCGCAGGCAGGCACCAGCTCGCATGCAAGTGAGATCGTCGCGAACGCTACCGGGACAGGCATTGGGGATGGATATACCACGGGGACGGATAGAACGATGCATGCAAGAGAGATCCCCGCGCCGATCAAGTCTTGTTTACCTTGGACTTTAAAGTTGAATATTCCTAGAGAATTCTGCGACCCCCGCCAAGCCCCTTTCCGTCGCGTGTGCCCTGCTCGGTTGCTTAGTTTTTTATTATTATTCCCTCTGACACCCTGCCCGGCCCTGTGTCTCCGCTTATTTAGGTAGCGGTTCCGTCGCGCGCTGGCCGACTTTGCTAGACTTAATCAATCCTTGCGGCTCCTGTTCTGCTGAATGAATGAATGACTGCTGCTGCTGCTGCTGTTGTCATGACCGCCTCGACCCTGCGATAGCATGGCCAACAGCACCATCACGCCGGCCATGGCGCCGCCGGCCGGCACGACCTCCAATTTTGTCGACCCGCCCTCCGACGGGACCCGGTTTCTGGTCGTCAATTGCATCTTTCTCCCGTTGGCCGTGATTGCGTTGGCGGTGCGGACCTGGACCCGCGTGGTGGTCGTGCGCAGTGTGTCCTGGGATGATTGTAAGTGGTCTGGTTTAGTCTGGTCTGGTTGGATCTTGCTGACGGGGTAGATGGTAGATATCATGATCGTTTCGGTGGTATGTGGTCTCTCTAGGTAGTTTCTTGCAACGCCAACTAATGGCCAGATCCTCTCGTGTGTTCTTTCTGCCGTGACTCTGCGTAGTAAGTGAGCCATCTCAACGGATCGCTTGCATCTGATCCTGACCCTACCCTCGCAGTGCTCAACTACGGCCTCGGGAGACACATGTGGGATGTGCCCGAGGACCACTACACTCCTTGGTTTCTCAAAGTGCGCATCTCCATCCATCCAGCCATTCCAGCCAGCATCGCCTCGCTAACCCCATCCCAAGCTTAACGTCATCGCCGCCATCTTCTACTGTGCCGGCACCGGCTTCACCAAGGTCTCCGTGCTCATCTTCTACCTGCGCATCTTCCCCAGCCAGGGCTTCCGCCGCGCGGTGTGGACCATCGTCTTCATCGCCATCGGATACAACGTAGCCAGCGTGCTCGTCAACATCTTCGCCTGCTACCCCATCGCCGGGTCCTGGGATTTCACCATCACCGACATCGCTTGCATCGACCGTCCAGTGTTCTACTTTGCCAACGCCGGACTGGGCATCTTTACCGATTTCGCGACCGTCCTGGTTCCGATGTACGTCTGTCCCTGTCCGAATTCCCAGATCCCGCTCATTAACCATGATGCCTAGACCATGGCTACGCCGTCTCCAGATGCCAATGCGACAGAAGATCGCCATCGGGTTCATGCTCGCGATGGGCTGTTTGTGAGTACCCCCCGACCGGGGAAAGTGTCCGCGCTGACGGGGATAGTGTCGGTGTGGTTAGCTGCATCCGACTATCGAGTCTGTATATCCTGCTCAAGAGCACAGATCTGACCTGTACGTCTACCTCTCTCTCCTCCTGGCATGCACTCATCTAACGCGCGGACCAGGGGTCACCACCAACGCACTCATGTGGTGTACCATCGAACTCAACCTCGGCATCATCGGCGGCTGCATCACCGCCATGCGTCCCTTCGTGCGCCGCTACTTCCCCCGACTGCTGGGCCTGTCTTCGTCCAGCGGCTACGGCGAGTCCGGGTCGCGCAAATTCACCCATCCCCTGAACTCGATCCCGCGCGATCACCCCGACTTCAGTAATCGCAGCCACCACTACTCGACGCGGCTGCGCGGGGGCGCGGACAACGAGAGCGAGACGCATATTCTCCCTGAGCTGGGGTTTACGGATGCGGATGGGATTACGCGCACGGTGGAATTTAAGGTGCAGAATACGAGGTAGGGTGGTTGATATCTATGTAGCTTTGTATCTATATTGTTAGTAGTTCCTGTGTATGACCATGTGTATGTATGTGTATATTTGCATAGTGGCGGCAAGTCACCTGCAGGCGATACCCTAACCGACTGGCTGAATCCCCTCGGAATTGTCCTGCTTCATGCTGCGCCTGGTTGTGGATCCCTCCTTCGCGCTAGAAACGCACTACTGCCCGTGCTAACTGCTCTCGGGGACTCGCCCGAGAACTCAGGGACCGTCAGCACTTTGCTTTGCTGCAAATGCCGGCGTTATCTGGACAAATTGCTCCTCCTGACGGCGGATGCCGCCCCTAGAATTCTCCCACTCCAATTAGTTATTCAACCCACTGACTCCTCATGCTAATTTCCATTTCATTATCCCACACAATGACATGACCTGACATTGACAGTGGTCAGCCAGCAACGCAGCAGACCTCGGCTATCGCCCTCTCAACCGCGTCCCCACCCTCCATGCCTAGCTGGAACTCTCTCTCCTTACCTTACCTTACCTCCCTCCGCCTCGTGCCAGTGCCGAACTGCCCACCCAACACACAGCCCACAGCCCAGCCAGCCCAACAGAACGAAGTAATGTAGCCTCCACCCATTAGGCACATCTGATTCATGCCTCCACTCTCTCTCGCTCCCCTCCCACCTGGCCTGATCACTCCCACTCCCCCCAGCGTGGAGATCAAAACGCGGCCCTTGTCCGCTTTCTTGATTCCTTCTCCTTTCTTCCCTTTCCCACACAGCACCGTCCTGTGATTCTCATCCATCATGCGTCTCGCTGTCGCTGTTGCTGTCCCGCTGCTGGCCGCCACCGGCGTCGCAGCCACAGCCGCAGCCACCGGCTGCTCCGCCCTCAACGCCTCGTCCCTCTCCGCCGAAATCTTCTTCCCCACTTCCGATGTCTACCGCTACGAGGCGCAGGAGTTCTGGTCGAATACCGAGATCATGGCGCCGGGTTGTGTGTTTCGGCCGCAGTCGAGCGAGCAGTTGGCGAGTGGTGTCGAGGCGCTGGTGAAGGCGGAGGCTGAGTTTGCTGTTAGGGGGGGTGGGCATATGGGTATTCGGGTATGTATGCCCTACAGGGGTGATTTGTGATGTGATGGGGATTCTGATCATGGTGTGCAGGGCTCGAATAACATCGACGACGGTGTTCTGGTTGTCATGTCCAACTTGACGACGTTGGAATTATCGGATGATCGCTCCGTCGTGTCCATTGGGCCGGGGTATCGGTATGGGTTTCTTTTCCCTCGCTTTCTTGCTCAAAGCTATCTCCCTACCCATATACTATACACTCTTCCCCTCCTCTCCCCCACACCCCCGTACATTATAAACTATACCCTACACACGAAATTAAACTAAACTAAACTAACCAAACACCAGCTGGTCCGACGTCTACGCCTACCTCTCCCCCTACGGCCTCGCCGCCGCAGGAGGCCGTCTCGGCCCCGTTGGCGTGCCGGGCCTGCTCCTCGCTGGTGGAATCAACTACTACGGCAACCAGGTCGGGTTCGGCTGCGACACCGTGATCAACTACGAGGTTGTCCTTGCGAACGGCTCCATCGTGAATGCCAACCGCTCCAGCCATGCGGACCTGTTCTGGGCGCTCAAGGGCGGAAGCAGCAACTTTGGTATCGTTACGAGGTTCGATATGGAGACGATTGATTCGCCCCTCGTCTGGGCGGGCATTTATACGGTTGCTGAGGAGTATGTGGGGAGGTTTTTGGAGGTAGGGCTGTCTTCTTTGTTTATTTTTTTTTTACTCTGTGATTGTTGTTTTCTTCTGGCTTGTTGGATCCAGCTTGAGGTTAAGATTGAGTTGAATGGTGTCGATGATGCTAACGAGGCTACAAGGCTACCGCCACCTACGCGGCCAACATCTCCAACCCCAAGACGCATATCGTTCCTGCCCTGGTGCCCGAGGACGGAGCCACTCTTGGATCCGTTATTTTGTTCTACGATAGCGCCAACGAGAGCTACCCCGACATCTTCAAGCCGTTCACCGATATCCCCGCCGTGAGCAGCACGCTGGGCTTCAAGACGCTGTATGAGTTTGCCGAGGAGACCGGCGAGGTCGTGACGCCGCATATCAAGTATGTTTTATGTTTCTCTCCTCTCCTCCCCTCTCCTCTCCCTCTACCTCATTCCATTCACTTTCTCCCTTCCACCCCCCCAACACGATATCCCCTCTCCACCCCAACCCCCACCACCATACGCACTCACAATTATATACGATACAAAAGTCCTAACTTTTTTTTTTTTTCAACAAAAAAGCGACATCTTCGTCGCCGGCACCATCAAAGCCCCCAACTACTCGACCCTCCTCTCCGCAATCAGCCTCATCAACACCACCTTCTTCGCCCAACTCCCCAAGCTCACCGCGCAGATCCCCTCGTCCAACATCTCCATCATCGAGCTCGACTTCCAGCCCATCGGGTCCGCCTGGCTCTCCGCCTCCGCCTCCCGCGGCGGAAACGCCCTCGGCCTCAACGCCTCCGAGATCTATATCTGCTACGCGGAGGTCGTCGAGTGGATCGGCGAGGCGTATGATGATATTGTGAATCAGTGGGTCGAGGAGACTACGTATCTTATTAACAATAAGACCCTCGAGGCGGGGTTCTATGATCCCTTTAATTATATGGGTGATGCTGCGGGCTTTCAGGATATTTTTGGTGGGTATGGTGCCGGGGGGTTGGAGAGGTTGCGGACTGTTGCGATGAGGTATGATCCCGATGGGGTTTGGCAGAGGTTTATGCCTGGGGGGTTTAAGGTTTTTTGAGTGGGATCGATGGGGATGGAGTGTTGAATGATGAGGAGGGAGGGACCTTCCTGCTTACTGGCAGAAGGATGTTGAGACTTTTTTTTTTTTTTAACTCTAGGGGTTGGGGGTGTTGAACCAAATCAGGTCTGACTTACTTGTGACAGTGAATAGGGTAACTATCCTTGTCAGTAAGTCAGTGAGTGAATCAGTATCCGGGGAGAGATGATAATCCAGTGGCTAGTAATTGATTGACCCGACTAGCATCATCATTCGCTATCCAAAGGCCACAGCACAAAAATAACATCATAGACCCATACATACATACATAGCCATCACCACCATGACCACCCATCCCAGCTCAACCCAAACCCACCCCCTCTTCTCCCCTCTCTTCTTCATTTCCCACTTACCCAGCAAATCATCTCCACATCCTGAAATTCATCCTTCAGAAGTTTGCAACCTTAAGAAGAAACCCCGGCCGCCTGCACCAGAAACTCCGCGGCCGCAGTGGCATCGGACCCATACGACAGATGCGCCATGACGTTCATGCCATTCTCGCAGACGGGATCGCCCGACGCACAGAACTCCTTCACCTTGGACGAGGCCAGCTTGCCGACCGACAGCATCTTGAACGGGTCGCCGAAGAGCACCGCCGCCGTCACCTGGCCCGCGCTCAGCTGGTTCGCCGCGTAGTGCACCACCATCGACCCCTGCGAGTAGCCGCCCAGCACGACCTTGGTGTTGGGGCATTGGCTGAGTGCCTCTTTCACGTACGTGACCATCTCCGTGCCGCCGTCGGAGCCCATGCTCATGATTCCCTGGATTGGGGGGGTTTCGTGTTAGAGGTGGGATGGAAGGGGGGGCGGGGAGTAAGAGGAAGGAGAGGAGAGGGGAGGGGACTGAGGGAAAAAAGAACACATACCGCCCAGTCAGCTGCATAGTTGACACCCTGCACGGTGACCTGGTTGCCAGTCAGAGACTGCAGCTTAGACGCAACCTCGGGTCCGACGACAGTGCCCATGTTGCCGATCTCGGTGGTTCCGCGCGCGAAGATGAAGGTCAGTTCCTTGCATGCCCCCGTGTGGGAGGTCACGCCGTTCTCGGTCGAAGAGCCTGTGGTTTTGGTTGGGTCTGTGAGCGGTTTGATCGGTCGATCGGGGCTGTATGGGTATGGGTATGGGTTCTTTTTTCTTTTTTTTTTTTTTTTTTTTTTTTTCACACGGTTTAGGCATTGATGCTGGGAAGGGAGGATCGGGCTTACCGCTGGTGAAGCTGCTGATGATACCACTCAGGCCATCATCGCTGCCGCTGCTGCTGGTGCTGCCACTGCTGCTGGTGGTGGCGGAGGACGACGGGAACAGCGAGGCCAGGGCGCTGAGCCCACTGGAGCCGCTGGTGGTGGCGGTGCCGGTCGAGCCAGTCGAGCCGGATGAGCCGGCCGCACCGGACGAGGTCGACTTCAGGGCCGAGGTCAACGACGAGAGATCGAGTTGACGCTCCTGGAAGGTGTTGGCTGGGGCGGCGAGTGCCGTGGCGAGGAGGGAGAGCACAACGAAGGACTTCATGATGATGGAGAAAGATTGATTGAACGAATGAACTAACGAGTGGACAAAATGAAGAGCGCTGCTCTTGGCAAATGATACGAATGAGTGAGACTAAAACGAGAGAACACGACGGAGGATGGGCGGGCGGTGCACTGCACTTGCTTGAGCTGGAGAGGAGAGAACCTTCACCACCGCAGGTTCAGTCGGGGTTTTATATCCGCTGCCCTGGGTGCGTCCAATTTTGGGACGTCGCAGCCGCAGCCGCAGCCTCGCAGCCACACGATCCTTGCACTGCGCTGCACTGCACTGGACCAGGAACGAAGAACGGGATCGACTCGAAGGAAGGCCCGGTGGGGGGGGAATGCTGTTCGGATCTCGGGCTGTGGATCTGTTTCATCGCTCGCGGTCGGTGTGACTGGTTCCATGCACCATCGGGGCTGAGGCTAGATCGGCGATGATAGAGCACAGCAGAGCAGACCAGAGTAAAGACCGGACCAGACCAAGAGTGTCGGATGGATCCGGCTGCGAGAATAACCACAGCCAGCCGGTTAGTTAAGCTTCATCTCCGCGTCTCGAAGTCCGAAGACCAAGGAAATGAAATGCCGGTCCCCATCGTCATCCGTGCCCATATCCAGACACAATCAAACTACCCTATACACAATCTGGTGGCGCCCCCCCGCATCTGAAACGCGCATGGTTCGACTGTCCCTTCGCGAATCCCCTCGTCCCACGGTTATCCCGCCCGCCCAGTGTCTCACCCTGCGACAGCCCTCGCACGAACCGTTATACGTCGGCGGCGCATGCACGTCTGGATGGTAGATGGTGGGTGAATGGCCCGACCACCAGCCGAGGCAGGTAGCAATAGCAGTAGCATATCCCTGAATCAGCCCCGACCAGGGTCTGTCGCCGATAAATTGCTTAATCGACGGCCTTAGTTCGACGGGTGGGGGTGGTTAGGGCTGCCCATTTTTGGGACGTCTTGGCGCGACTCGCCGCCCCCGAGGGATATGGTCATATCCGCGTCCTGGTTGACTTTTGTTTTATCTGATGTTCTGTGGGGATATTGCTGTGTTGTTGTTGTTTTTTGAGGTTTATTGGTTTTTGGAAGGTGGAAGGGAGAGGTATATTCGCTGCTCAGCTCAGGTCGGGTTAAACCTCGGTGCAACAATAACAACAACGAGGGACTACAACACTCCACCCCCCGGGTAGATAAACCCTATTTGACCCGTCCAACACCTGAAACAGGAACAGGATCACCCGGTAATTATTAAGTGTCATGGCATGCATGGGTTTGGACGTCTGCCTGGAGACAGCCGACCGGCCTGGATCACTTGTCCAGCCCAGTCTGGTGAGGTCATTGGGGGGGATGGCAGCACCCTTCATAATCACACTTGATCTACGTGAGGGAGATAGCACGGAAGGCAGAGAGTGAGGCTAATTGAGTAATAGGGAGAGGAAATACTACAGGCTGGAAAATGGGGCTAGCAAGAGTCAGGGACAGACACGTACTTGTGTCCAGAGTCCAGACTGCAGAATTACGCGGGAATAATGGGGAAAACAAATTCCGCCAGTCTTCGGTCCTGGTGGCGGATGAGGACGGTGGCTGTTGCGAGCCCATCCGCGTAGGCAAAGCTCGTATCGATCCTGAGATCGAGGAAGACTCTTCCCTGCGCGCGCTCGAAGGACTCGCTCTTGAAAGCCTCCTCTCCGACATCGACTGCGAGGTTGACAATAGGTTGCCATGCTGCCAGACCATGCATCAGTAAGCAGACCCTCGCACAAACACACAGACATAGGGGGTGGGAGAATACTCACTCTCAGGCTGCGAGTTCTGATCCAGCCGAACAAGCTGTAGGTGTTTGATCTTGGATTGTCCAGACATATGCACCATGGTAATTTCATGTCGCATCTGGGACTTCGGCAGCAGGATGAAAGCCCCGTCCTAGAAGTGCAAGTGTTAGTGGCGAAGATCCTTTACGGCGTGGAAGCTGGGTATTCGTTACCGCTCGTCGTGAACACCAGGGAACCACTTCCGTCCCCTTGCCAGGAGAATACGAATTATCGACTGCCACTCTCAGGCCGTACAACTGGCTGAACGTCAAGGTGATGGTCCCGTCGGGCAGCGCAAGGAGGAACGCCGGGAGCTGTGGGAGGCCCGGTCCACCCTCGTACACTTCAGGGACCTTGGGCTCTGCATGTTTCGAGTACACCGGCGGGGGCTCAGGGAATTCCTTGTCGTCCGAGGGAAGATAATGGTAGACGTTTAAGGATTCTTGGGATTCCGACGAGTCAGACATGTTGACAGCTCAAGCACGATTTGATCGGATGGGCAGGAGTATCAAGGGGCCACAGCGGAAGGGTCAAGAGCGCCTTATATACACCACGATATGAATCTCCATGACAGCCGAGGGCAATTGTTGATAACCAGCGGAATGGTGAGCATGGAGGTTGGCTACTTATCAGCCTCCATGCGTGCAACTGGATGTGGAAGAGCTTTCCAGGATGAATCGTGTCTGCAACACCGAACAAAGAATGAAAACAATGGCAAAGTCCGCATGAAAGACGATGGATCGTTCCGGGAAAGAAGACACAACAAAGGCGATGACACCGAGAATATCCGTGGAAAGGAGAACACCTTCTTCCAGATGGTTAATATCTACGGCCGTTCTTCCATGTCCCTCACCATTATGTATGGGGATTTACTCCACTATCCATGAAGCAGATGACTTCCTGACGAATGTGACAAAGGAGACTGCATCCCTCTATACTCTAAGCGACATCACTATACAGAGAAAAGCAAAACAAAAGACCGAACCGAAATATCAACAGAGCTACAAGGTACAACGGAAGGTCCCTTTTCAACAACGGAGTCAGGGAATGCTCACAGTATTTGCGCCGACCTGGTGCTCGTATTCATCGTTCACGGCATATGCTGTGAGTTGAACCTCTGAATCTTTGGTGATTTGCCAGTCGATACGAAAGGACAACAGAAATTTCCTGCTTCCTTGGAGATGATGAACAAAGAAACGGTCCAGCTGGACTCCCTCAATATCGCAGGCAACTGTATGGATTAGCCGAATACCAAGACGGTCAACCACTGGTTAGAAGGGAGGTGAGATACTTACTTCGACATTCTGAGGATGCAGCCGCTACGCGGTCATCACTCTGGACAAAGCGGATATATTTAAAGCGGGTACTGCCCTCTTCGTGGTATATTCTGAGAGACAGATTCCCCTGGTGGGGCAGGCTCACTCGCCGATGCTGGAGACGTCGCAACATAGCCATCAGCATTGAAAACAGACGGCCTCCTCGGAGGATCGAGACTTCAAACCTTCTCTAGGAACCACTGCAAGAAGTCCGTCATCATATACCCCACCAGGGGTGTCCGAGATGATGCCACAATGTCTGCGGATCACGGCAGTAGGGATGGCAGGGCCCAACAGGCCCCGCAAAGTCGCGCCGTGTGCAACTAGCTCGGTCCTGCGTTTGCTGTTACTGCCAAGATCGGCGTTCACAATGGAAGGCCTCACATACACATAGTGCCGCGGAACAACGATTGTCATGCCATCCGGGAGGGCTCGTCGAAACCGTTCGCGGAGGAACGGGATCTGGCTGATCCCTCCCACCAGTAGGATCTGTCCCAACAGTTGTGAGCATGCGACATGTGCATGAGTTAACGGAAAAGGCGAAGTATCGAGTGGAACGAGGGCTTGGCATGATAACGGAACAAGATTTAGCCCTTCAACCCCTGATCAACCTGGATCAGCCCATATATGGCCCCATATATGACTTCATGTATGCCTGATTATTGCCTGATTCTATGTCTATATAGCCCAACTGCCTGCGCAGCAGTATCGTAGAATCAGACCTTTATTATATCGTCATTCTAGACCTGACACGAAGGGACCTGGACATACGTAGTGGGCGTCCACCCCTGGTTGTCCCATAAGAAGCCGCACGGCCTCCACAACAACCTCTTCTATGGCGCCTCGGAGCAATTGCGGCTGGACTGTCATCTCCACCGCGTCAGGACCAAACTGGGGAACGATTGTCTCAGGTAGAGCCAGTGTCTGATCTCCATGGCCTTGAAAATCAATCTTCAGCCTCGCCACTCGCTCTAAAAGATTGGATCCTTGTATCTGGGGCTGTAAATCGCCTAGGTGAACCTGACAGTGTCGGGCGACCTCCTCCAGCAATGTCGCATCTATCGTTGCACCCCCACCTCTGGCAGCTTGGGAGAGTCAGCCATTTTCAACAACGACAAAGAGATGTGGTGTCCATACCTGTCGTGTTTCCGAGCAACCGGAAATGGGGGTTTCCCGCTTCATTTCCAACGGAGAAAGCCGCGACGTCCTTGTTGGCCGTTAGCCCGAGGGACTCGTCCGTCCCGGATTGGTATCACACTTACCACCGTACCCCCCCACAGTCGCATAGCTGTTGTCAAGCAACAGCTTCGTCCATTTGTAGTGGTTGGCTGCTGACTCCGCACTCTTCCCCCATCGAACAGTGCCACCAGAGTAGCTAATGGCGGACGGCGTCGACACACCGTTCTCGAAGTAGATGGACCGGATGAGAATGTCTCCGGGTTCGCTGCCATCATCTTGGACACCATAACAGACGCAGGTCTTTGTCGTTCCATAGTCGATGCCGACTACAACCTTCCGATTAGGGCTCGCCATTGTATCTTTCACTCCAATGGGTAATTTGTGTAAGGGATTGGTTGGAGCGATTGAGCAGAGGACAGGGACAGGAGCCAGTTTTATTCAGCCTGACCCATCGACGCCACTTGCAGGAGGCTTGATGCAGGGCTGGGTGGGCATTCGGGCCACAACGGAGGGTTTCAGTCTGGGTCTTTGTTGGACCGAAGATAGTTTGGGACGGTGTCACAAAGGGAGTCGCCCTCTCCCTCTCCCTTTTCCTTTTCCTTTCCCTCTTATTCTCTTACTTTTCCTCTCCTTGTCATCTCCCTCTTCTCTCTCTCTCGTCTACATCGCCCCGACTGTGTGTCTTGCCCTCATTAAAGCCCAAATTGCATTCGTCATGGTTCAAACCAGGTCTGCTAGCAAAAGGCCAGCGCAGTGGCCCTCTGCATCTGCCACCCGTCCAACCAAGCCGAGCAAACTGGAAAGGAAACGCAAGCAGTCGGCGGATGACGCTTGGGTGGACGTTCATCCCGACCCGCAGCTGGGTATCTCACGGCATGCGTGGGCGACTACGGTCATCGGCATCAGTCGTCTCCTTGACCGGGGCGCCGCCGGCTGGCTGCACGATCAGGGGATGATAGAATGCAAAGCCCAAAAGATCCATACCTCCATTCAATCCTGGGTGATTTCCTATGCCATCGGGAATGTCCGGGGGCTATCCGACCAGAAGCTCGACGGCATCATCGCCAGCCTGGAGGATTACTGCGTTCAGGAAAAGTGGTTCACCCTCGAAACCCTATTCCCACGCCGCGCCCTCAAGTACTCCGGGGAGCTCCTGGCTGGAGCGCTCCTGCAGAAGGCTGTCCACTCGGCATTCTTCGAAAACCCCTTCTGGTATTTGGATGGGAAGTCAACCCGTGACGATGATAGCGACGAGGGCGAGTTTGCAGCCAAGCTTGAGTATCTGTATGACCGCTTTTACGAGAGTACGTTCCAGAAAGACATACCACACCCATCCCTCCTGATTCCTGACTGTGACTGGCTGCCTGTCCTGTCCTCCTTTTTACTGACCTGGTCTTCTTCAATCTCTTCTCTAGCCAACCCGACCTTTGCCACCGTCTGGAAGCGGCAGACCCATCGACTGTCCAACTCTCTTGGCCGGCCCCAGGCCCCCCAACGCCGTGTTCGGCGAATACAACAGCCAGCGCCAGGAGGCCGTCGTGGAGCCCCTCGCCGATGCCCTTCTGGCGGATGAGCAATTCTGCCAGCTCCTCATCAAGGGATTGACTCCCGAGGAGGCGGCGGAGCGGCGAGCCTACCTAGTCGACATCTTCGGGGACGGTGTGGAAGCAATGTTGATCCTGGAGGCGCACCTGGGAGGGCATCGCACAATCAAGCGCCTCCCGGAACTGGAGCCCATCTACCGGTCTGACGACAAGTACGTGGGTTACACTTATTACACTACGCCGAGGGATTTGCCTCACGATGGACGCCGAATCCTGCTCGTCGTCCGCCCTGCCATCATATATTCGGACATCGAGGACGACTACGACATCCCGGGTCGGACCAAGCCTAACATCGTTCAACGTGCGCATGTTCTACTTGAGAGGAATGTCAAGTCCGAGCAGGAAGCGAAGGAAGCGAGGAGGGAAAGGGGAGAGAAGGAGGACGACGAGGAGGACGAGCAGGAGAAAGAAGCGGAAGATGATAATGGCACCACCGCCTGGGAAAAAGCCAAACATAAGAAGAACAAGGAGCGATACCGCCGTTCAGTATAGCTAGCTAGCTGTTTCTTTTTTTTTTTTTTTTTTCCATTTTTCCCGCTTCATCCTGCTACCGTCTGATTTCTCCTGTTTTGTTTTTCATCATTTTGTTTTTGTCTATGGTCCAATGTACGTTCCTGCTGTCCGGGGTTGTTGTTCTGGGTCTTCTCCATCGTGCATCTCGTAGTTGTGTATCTACACCCATCTCATGGTTTCCTGCTAAACGTGTACCCACCTACGGAGAAGTGCAAGTCCAAGCCCATGGAGCATATCCGCGGTTGTCGCAATGCCGACCGTGGCTCGTAATAATGATGACTGGCGGAACAACGACGTTACACGATGTACGGGACTTTTCTTTTTTTTATGGCGGGGGGGGGGATGAAAGGATTCTCAATCCCAACAAGAAGGGCAAGTGATGACAAAACCACTTCAATGGACGAAGGGAAGCAGCCCTGCATCCTCAATTGAATTGCAATCTTGATCAGGTACATGGATCGGCACCTGGGTCCGTTTTTCAGGATGAAAGCATAATGCCGTGTACACCATGACAGTGGAATACCAATGGCACATCATCATGGATGAAATTTCTCGTCACTTCCCAGATCTTTACAGAGCCCTTCACCAGATGGATTTTATCGTACAAGGCATGCAGTGTCTCTGGGGAGACTTTCTGTCTAGTGAGTCGTGTCTGTGCTGCGAGATGTCCAGGATCACCAGGCGGCTGTGATATTCCAGACCGCAAAACTCGCGCGGTACAGAGCAGATTCTCACCCCGTCCATAGATAATCCCTGTCTGCACGCATCCGCCGGCCAGCTCCCTTCGCCATGACTGGCGACCGACCGACTCCCCCTGCCGTCGTCATCTCAAACACACGCCACACGGGCGACCTGGCTATCCAGGGATGTGGTTTCTGGCATGACGATGATCTTCGGCGGGTTTCAAGTCGAACCTTGATCCTGCGTACCGGCTGCAAACTTTTGTTCTGGGGGTTGTGCGGTCTGGTTGCCGGCACACAGAGTGTTTCGGGGGCGATCATTGCTCGTGTCACTCTAATGTGAAGAGGATAGGCCGGGGTGCTGTGTCCGGACTGCTGAGAGCCAGCCGGGGTAGACTACGTCACTTCTACTCAGGACCAGGACCAGGACTCTTCTGCAGGGTGAGATGACGTCGCTGCAAACAGGCGATCTGTCTTTGAGTTTCCGGTATCTCTGCTATCAAATATAGAGAACCATAATCATCCAAATCTACCGCCCATCCACAGCCCTCAACAGCACATAAACCGCCTCCAGAACAGGAACATCGACCCCCAACTCCCTGGCCCTCCGTACCGGGCCCCCACGATAACCTCGATCTCCATCTTGCGCCCCATCTCGCGATCAATCTGCATGCTGGTCCTCACGGCCCCCAGCCTGCGCATCCGTTCCATTTGCGCGTCGACCAGGTCCTGCGGCAACGAGACCCCGCAGGCCGTCGCGACGGAAACCGCCTCGTTCATCAGCCGTCTGGTGAAGGGGATCGCGTCCGGAGAGGACCCCAGGAACGACTGCGTGTCTTGTGCTGTCAGTGTGGTGAGCGTGTTCCAGGCGCAGTTCCAAATGGTTTTGGACCACCGGATGGGTTGGATGTCCGTGTGCACGGTAAAAGGGGTACGGCTGGGGGTGAGCAGTATGGTGAATGTTGTGAGGCGGTCGGATTCGATGCTTCGGGGGAGGGTTGGGTTGGGGTACAGGCCTAGTTCGGTTTCTTCGGAGGTCGTGTGGATTGTTGTTCCGGGGGTGGGTTGCGAGGCGCCGACCCAGGTCTGGAGAGGTTAGGAGACTGAGTTGGGAAGGGGGGAGGTGTAGGGAAATTGAGGGGGGGGGGTTACCACGCAGGAGATGATAGTGCTGGAGGGGTAGACAGCGCGGAAGGGGTCTTCGTTTCCGACCCCGTTTTGGATGATTACGATTGTGGTGTCGGCGTTGATGGCTGGGGAGAGAGACTGGACTACGGTGTCGGTATCGATGGCTTTGTTGGTGCAGACGAGATAATCCGCTGGGTGGGTGAGTTCGGATGGGCTGCGGAGGACTGCGCTGGTTAGGGCTGGGCGATGCCACATGCCACTGTTCGCGGGGACTTACCGCGGTCCGGGTGGAAGCGGTGCTCGCCGTGGTTGGCGCTTTTCAGGAGGATACCCTGACCGCCAGAATTAGCGTATTTTTGCTTGATTATACGGCTTCGCAGGCGGACATACATTTTCCTTGACGGCCTGGTAGTTGGACCGCGCGATCACGGTGAGGCGGACGCGGTCGCTGCGCTGGAGGACGAAGGCATAGAAGGAGCCGATGCTGCGGGGGGTTGGTTAGTATTCTTGTTATCACTCACTGTGCTGGATGGGAACATACGCTCCGAGCCCATAGAGAACCACTTCAACCTGGTCAGCCATGGTGAGGTTGGAACAAAGTTGGTTGCACCAGACCGCACGGGCAGGTTGTTGTAACAGCAGCTGCGATGCGGGGTTGGCAGCATGGGAGCCACGGGGCCCGATTTAATAGCCGTCGGCTAATGGCAGCGCCATGCGAGCCCCCGATCTCGGGGGTCCCTCGGGGTTGCACCGATCTGAACCGATCTGAACCGTTCGGAGCACTGTTCACGGGTCCCACTGGCTAGGAATGAACCCTGCTCCTCCCGGAGAAAGCCCGAGCAGCCTGTGTTCGTCAATAGAGCTGTAGGAGACAATAAACATCAGGGCGGGGAGGATTTAATTTGCTTCAACCCCAGTCTGTCACTGTATATGATGATCACGTAACAATATTTTTAACCCGGAATCCCAACCCTAGACCAAATCCTGTCCTATGTACATAACTCCACCAGTCTAACCCATTATATATTACATCAGTCATATCACATTATTCGTAGTTTCCGGCTCGAGCCCGTCCAAAGACCGCAGCTCAATCGCCTCCGGGCCCTTCGTCGCGTCGTCCTCCGGCTTGTTCTCCAGATCAACCGTTTCCTCGTCCACCGCAAACCGCCACCGCCCATCCGCCTGCAGGAACATCCGGAACCCGTACCGCTTGTTCAGACTGGCTAGATGCGCCCGGCGCTGCGCGTTCGTCCACGAGTACGTGTTCCGGAAGTCGTTGAGCATGCGGCTGTGCGCGATCCATGGGATGATCGCCCCGATCGACCGCGGCATCCGCGGCCCCTTGAACCGCCCCCGGCGCGTCCCGAACACCACCAGCACCACCAGCGTGTCCAACGCGATGATGATCAGTGCCATGGCCAGGGACGGCACCGACGGGACCATCATCCACGTGTTCGAGATCACCGTGGCATTGGCTGCGGGAGCCATCTCGTCCAACGCCACCAGATACATGTTCCTCCAGATCGAAAAGTATGTGCTGTACACCCACTGATAGACAATCTGCGACTGCGCTATAAGCTCCGACGCCTGCAGGGGCACAATCTTCTGGTGCTGCTTGTAGAGACGGGCCACCAGGAAACCCGCCCAGTCGTACGACGACACGTACGATCGATTGCGCCCCGGTTCCTCCCCGACGAAACTCTGTGGGATCGCCGCAAAGATCTTGTTGAACTGGCCCAGGGCAACCGTGGCGTTGTCGTACATGGCACCCGAGGTGATCGCCGTCCCGGCGAGTGGGTTCATGTCAGAAATCTGGCCCCGTCGGTCGAAGGTCACCGAGAAGTTCCTCATCTGCAGGCGGGGTTCACACTGCAGCGCGATCGTGTTGTTGTCGGTGAACGGCGATTCCGCCGTGTAGTCCCAGCGTCCGACCACCACCACCGAGGACATCTGACACAGGTCCGCGTCTGACTCCGCAATGGGAGAAAGGAAATGGATGGAAAGCGCAATCGCCTCGCTGGGGCGCACCAGTGCCGTCATGTTCACCATACACTGCCGACTGACGTCGCGGGACGGTCGGTACACCCAGTACGTCTCGTCGCCTTCCTGCTGCAGATCCTGCGGTATTTGCAGCGCCTTGCAGTCCAGATCGCTCCCGACCCCAAGGGTGGTCGCCCCGTACAGTACGTCCGGGTCCGGGTCCGTGTTCTTGATCGGGACGAACGAGTAGTTCGGGGCCATCCACGAGAGCATGGGTACCCCGCTGGTGACGCTGGTCTGGATGAGATCGAATTCGGTAAAGTCAGGCGCAAAGTCCGTCCGGCGGAACAGCGAGGTGCTATAATTCTGATACAGCGATGACGACGGGAGGTACGACTGCGTCAGTCTCTGAGTAAACAGACCACCGGCAACGACCGACAACAGGATGTTGGCGACACATGCAAACGACACCAAGCCTAGCAAGAGGTGACGGTTCTGAATGGCTTTGCTCAGAACTGACCAGGGCGTTTGCGACGCATAGTTCATGGACAGCGACATTCGAGCGACAGCCATGCCGCGCTGGAGATGGACCCATGGCTCTAGAATGCTTATGTTGCGAAGGATGGAGTTGCACAGCGCCGCCACGGAGGACGCGACCATAGACGGCAGGAATGACGTAACGACCTGCAGGAAGCTCGAGCTCGACTGAGAGAGGTGTTGCAGTCGACCGTCGTGCGCCAAAGACGCCGCGACGACGCCCATGACGGCGATGACGGCAGCCAGGAAAAGGAATTCGATAATAAAAATCGGGATGACCAGGAAATGCGGCATCGGGTCGACACGGGTGCGGGTTTGCTCACCAAGGCGAACGGGTAACCCTGGCGAGGTTAGTTACAACTCGGAATGGAACGGGCTCCACTCACCATCTGCGGTTACGATCTCGAGCCGGGGTCCCGTAGGTCCCGGCTGCCATCGAAGCTGGCAGTTTCGCAGCATCTGGCGCAGCTGCCGCGTCGAGAACTGGTGGAACTCCGATTGTGGATCGGTGAGGACGTTGGACGGCCCAAATATATCGGTTAATATGCTGCACATGGCTCCGATAGAGCTGGGGTCGTTCTGAAGGACGTTGGGTCGCGTTCCGTACAAGTAGATGAGACAGACAGTGAGGACAATGCCGACAGCTAATATCATCTCGGACCACCAGGAAGCGAACGAGACCACCGCGATCGCCACCTGCGTCGAGAACCGCTCCGCCGGCACACTGGTCGGGTCTTGGTCTGGGTTGAACAAGCGGCCCATGGTGAGCACAAACGTCTCCACCACGCTCCGCGTGACCTTGGTCTCAAATTCATCCGGGGTCATTACTGTCGAGGCATCCAGCACGAGAAGCGGCTCGAGATCACCAAGGTCTTGACTGATGACCGGGAGCTCCGTAACTGTGGTATCGTTGGTCGTCTCGTTCCGTTCGATGAAGAGCATGTCTCCCGTGTACGGGGCTCGCTGAGCCAGTAATCCCTGGAAGGCATCGATGTTGAACTGATCTGTGGACAGTTCGCGCTGACTGCCCGGATAGCTGTAGATACTGGTGATGGAGCTGTTGGTATGCATGGAGACGCGGGCCTCGGCCTGGCGGTAGTCGATCTTGCAACCAAATATGCCGGCCGACGAGGTGGACTCCGAGCTAAGCTGACTGATGCTGTCAACGCCAGCCTCCGTCGCGTTGACTGAAATGACAATGCCGTAGAGGTCGTATGGATCATCGCAGCCGTGGGCAGTGAAGGCGTTCCCCTGAGGATGCTTGGATTGCGTCCTATTCGGCCAGACGGGTTCCCAGTAGCGGACCTGCAGATAGTCGGTGGTGGGGAAGTAGATGTTCGTGTAGTTGAAGTCCAGGGTGCACTGTTGATCCGTGCCGTCAACATCCTGCATCTGCACGCCGGTGATATTCCATGAGAGCGTGGACGGGTTTGCCGTATCATTGACAGAGACGGAGAGGTGGTCATCGGCGAGAACATTATGGCACGACAGCTGAGCCCAGTAGATCGTCTGGTTGAGCATCCACACAGTGCTTTCCCTGCGGTCCTCTAGGGTGATCTCGACGGGCGCGACAGCGTAACTGGCGGAGTGGGTGCTTCGCAGGCTGTCCCGGGCGGTGAGAACGGAGTCCATCGCTAACGTCTGGTTGCTTCGCTGCGCCATAATCCAAACCGCCTGCGTGTGTAGATCCAGCAGCTCCGGCCACGTCTTGATCTGTTCGTCCGACAGGATATCGAGTTCCCGAAGTTCGAGGAGCGTGCTCTGCAGGGCTGGCAGGAACATCCGGATGAAGAGGGTCGCGATGGAGACGACCAGTACGATCCAGTGGCCTCGTCTGGCAGAGGTGAGCGGGGTGAGGAAGGACTGGCCGAAGTTATAGTTGATGAACAGGACGGAAGCCGGCGAACCCTCCGGTCGCGAGAGCTGGAAGTATGGTTCTAGGCGAAGCACATCGTAATCGATGAAGGACCAGAGGGTGACAAGAACCAGGGCCGCGATGATAGGAAGGTAGTTGTAGGCGAAGGACTGGGCGTCGGACACGTTGTCGGTGTCCGGGAAAAAGTACAACCCCCCATATTGGTCGCTATATCGTCGGAGGACGTCGAGGGTGATGAGCATCGCAAACATGACCGTCGCGATCACGAAGAGATACGCCGGACGGAGGGCAACAGGCCGCCATCCTCCCGCGGGAGGGGGCTGGCCATGGAGGGGGCGCGCGGGGTGAGGACGTTCTACACACAGCGATCAGCGAGAGGGACGGACGGGCTGGAAGAGCTGGAAAGGATGAACAGCAGGCGACTCACGGGTGAAAAACAACCAGACATCCTGTAGACGCGTTCCCAGACCCCCGGACATGCTTGAGGGGCATGCTCCTCGGGGGGCAAACGGCGGTGTCGGAGGGGAGCCGGGTGCGCTGTCATCGCCTAAGGGATGGTTCATGGACGGCTGTCGAGAGCGGCAGGGGGCGTATTCATCTCCGGGGCGGGGTGAGATGGGGGGGATGACGGAGGGAGAAGGACATGACGGAGGGGGGATGAGGCGGTGCGAGGGAGGGGATGGAAGTGATGAAATAGAGGACAAGACGAGGCAACGGAAGGGGGAGGAGGAGAACGGACGAGGTGAGAGCGGCGAGGATGACGATCGACGTTTGAATCTGGCCGGCAATTCTTGATTTGCGGTAGTCGGTGGGGGTCATGGGCGCCAGGGGTCACGGTGAGCCCGGGGGGTCCAGTGTTCCTGGCGCCCCATTGGTTCGCCGCCGGACTGTTGCAGGCCTGACCGCCCAATCACCCGCTGACAGCGCGTTGGGGCGGGCCTCGATTGGTTCCAGAAGCAAACGCAAGTGGGGTAGGGCCTGGGCAGGGCTCAGGCACTAAACCTAATCGGCTAGGTATCGGCCTCAATCGGGCAAATGGGAGCCGCCTCTCGCCCCATCGGGCTAGCGCAGGGTTTGGATGTAGGGTCTGGTGGGCTGACGCGTACTCCACATCGTTCCTAGCACAAGGTACTACTTACGACACTACTATTAGATAGTCTGAATGGAGAATGGATTCTGAATAAACACCAAGTACTTCGCGGGTAGTAGTGTTGTAGGTAATCCGCACTCAGGTGCTGGTGATCGTAGAAGAGTTGGTGATCATGGTAATGGTAGCGGTGTGCGCGGAGCAGGACTCAGGAATTCATCCCTACCCGAGATAAGTTACCGTGTGTCCACGGCTGACTCACCCGCTCATCCAACAATGCCCCGTGGATGGATCCGGCAACTCTGGTCCACCACGGGAAATACTCCTCGGTGGTAGAACCAGAATTGACCTGGAAAGACAACCAAGCGGGAAATGTTTAGAGATGGAGAGATAGATCATCGTGGACGACTTGGGAGTCAACTGCCAGAATATATATTTGCCAAGACCACGACACGTCATATCCAGGACTGATTCCCACAATATTCAATCCAAATCAAAGGCAAATGTGAAAATGACAAGATCCTATTTTCTAGGTTCTATGATCAAGAATCAGGCCACTTCTTCTAAGGCTAATACCCTATTCACCTGATCATGTAGTATTTGCTGGTCTTTTGGTATGAGACTGCCGATGGAGACTCTCTAATCGCTGGATAGGTTAAGAAACAAAGACAGTGTCTGGAAAGATTGAATCAAACGAAATCCTGCCTATCAGCAAGTCTTTTAGCTGCACAGCGAGTAAACAGGACAAGGAAAAGAACGCGCGTGGGTTGCTTACATAATATTCTGCTCACCGCGAGCAAGACTTACCCCTCTGGGCCGCCCGTGAGGCTATCCGCAACCACGTCCCCCCCAACAATCGGCTTAAGATGGACAATCCGGCAAGGCAAAAGAATGGCTCTGTCATGGACGAGTGAGTTCCCTAGGAGAGTCCATAGGTCTGATGGGGCGTTCCCTACCTCCCCAGCTTACACCGGCACTAAACAGTGAGAACGTTGTATGCATCCTCTTGCTTACTTGACCTTTACGGAAGGGATTATCCACTAGGACATACTCGGTTCCATAACCTCAAGTTGCTTTATCCTTGATCGCTTTGGATAGTTGAAGCGACCTGCGACGGCCTATCACAAGCATTGAAATGACGACGCCGTGGGCCTCCGTAGGACACACCTCCTATGACACTGCAGCAAAGAGCTCGAGATTGGCGTATATGTGATGTTATTGGCAGGACCGGCAGAGCATTGGATATGATATGGCAGGACGCCTTGTTCTACCGGTTCCGACCGTCTGCTTCTGTGTCTGGAGTCAGAACAAAGACATGGTAACCACCGAAAACAGTAGGCTTCTACCAACAACTGCCCTGTTACACCAGAAGAGGCTTTCCTTGTTTAGCCCTAATTTGAGGAGCCTTACCGGAGCTATTTAAACAGTCTGGCATCCCCAGACAGATCAACCTCCAAAAGCGGTACCAGAACCGTGCTATTACAATCCCAGATTGATCCGCCAGAATGTCAGAAGTTGGTTGTTTAAACGTAGAAGACGGGATGAGAGAATGCAATCCTCATGAAAACGCGCCATCCGAGAAGGCCACTCCAACCTTGACTGATCTCCCTATCGAGGTCCAGGCCTTAGTCCTGGGGCATTTGGATCGCCAGTCGCTGGGGTCTCAACGGTACATTCCGGGCATTTGAAACAACTATCCTCAGATCGATGGTACTCAACACGATCGAACCGGAGTTCCTGGCCCTTTTTATTCTGCATATTGAGGCCTACCATATGACATGGGATGGGACACAGAACCCAGATAAGACGGCTTCCCGGGATGAGTGGATCCGCCTTTATGTGTGGTTTATATCCACTTCGTCATGGTAGAGACCTTCCTGGCCATGAACCGCGATTCCGACCGTGGTCTAGGTCCACACACCCATGACGGAGGCCCTTTTTTCAAGGAAACGTTTGCAAGCCTATTTAGACATTGGGTGGAATTATATCAGATCCTCGGTCTGCGCAGATATATTCACAAATTACACTTCGGTGAGTATTACCCCCTGTCGGCTTGGTCATTCAACATGAAATAGTAACCCGGACTCGGATTGGAAACCTATCTATGGGACCAAGATTTGCGGTAACACCGATGAGACACTGGACGAATTAAATGAACACCCGGAGTGGAATCCCTGGGGAGCTAGCCCCTCAGGTAGTTCTCCATGATCTTTCGTCTGTCTGAAACTGACACTCACAGTTCGCACAGAGGCGTTATGGCATTTACTACCTCCAGTGGCGTGGTAACGCAATGCCCCAAACGCAGATAGCGGGTGGAAAAGCCGAGAGACTTTCGAGGCTTGCAATCTTGTGTTTAAAAGGGACATCGAGATATTATTGAAATCGGGGTGACGACCAGATGATAAAGACAAGCCCTCTCTCCCCTTCTTGCAAGATGATACCAGTCTGTCAAGAGTCTGGCGCGATATGGAACTATTGTCATTGAGCTACCGGATCAGCAGATGGGATGATCATAGAGAGCTTTGGACGCTGGGACCTTGGGAGCCTGATATGGGATCAGAAGCGGGTGGCAGACGCGATTGACATACTCGCCAGTAAGAACCCTCAGCATTCGTATCCTTGGGATCCTATTCGCAACAAAGGGTAGTTTTGGTGGAGCGCAACCTCGCCTGCCAGTCAGGCCTTTGTTCCAGTCCATGGAACGTGAGCGTTGGGTGTACCTGATTTTTCAATTTAATTCAGATGCTATATTCCAAGGCAGAGCGGCACTCCTCTTGGTATGATTATGCAGGGATTCTATACGCAGTTTGTACTGCGAGACATCTCACGATGGTACTCCGCCAGAAGCTCCCGGAAAAAGCAAGCTTGCTGGTCGCCCAGACATGGGACTGCTGCGACCCAGGAATACTCTGACGGGGCATTCCGATAAATGTATATGCCATCGTCTGAAGAGATAGCGCCACTGGCTGCTGGAATGGCAATTGCCTTGTATGCACAGGAGGTTTCCTGACCTAGTGATTGATGCATATGGCCTTTTCTGGCAAATATCGTCTGGTTCGGAAAAGTATATAAACCAGTTCACTCCCCTTAATGAAGATAGCCCTTCTCAAGTAATCCTCCGAATCTGCAAGATCCATATCACCGATATTCCTTCGTATCGACAAGATGGCGCCAGTCCATAGCAAACCCAGCCGCCTCCTTCTCCTCCCGGCTGAGCTCCTGATTGAAATCCTGGGGTGTATCGATGACCCGAAATCTCTCGTGGCCGCAATACACTCCTGCCAGAGACTACAGGATGTATTCTACGCACATAGATTGCCTATCTTGCGGTCAATCTTGTACTCCACGCTGGGCCCGGAGCTGGTCCCATACGAGGCGCTGAACCATCAGGTAATGCACCACAACTGGGGGGGGGATATTAGTGTCACCCCAACAGAAGAGGATTTCAGAGCTCGGGTTGACCTCTTCTTCCAGCCGAATTATAAATGGAAGGGATCTGCCGAGCAGACAGTTGACATGATTCGCTTCCATACGCTCCTTTTTTGGTTCAAGGAGGCCGTGTACAAAAGGTTCATGAATTGCTACGACGCTAGTTCCGACAGCGATAGCAGACAGCGCGTGCCTACGTCGAAGAATGAGAATCACCGAATCATGCGGCACCTGTATATCATCTCTTTTGTCTTGCAGACCCAGATCGCTCTGCATATCAAACACGGACAACAGAGCCCTGTGCACCATTGGACCGAAGAACTTTTGGAACGCTTTGCGCTCAACTGGGTTGAGGTTGCGCAGTGTCGACGAATGAATGCCAGCCTGTACCACACCATGGGTAAGTGCCCCCTTGCCATCTGATATCCTGTCCAAGCCCCTGACATATCGGCAGTCGACCATCTTAGGTACGGGCTAGATTTCCCACCAAACAACCCAGGCGCGCCGGGGGTTTTCACTCCATATATGGAAGCATTCTGTGCCCGCTACCGAAATGAGGAAATGGGGCCAATTACAATGGTAGGTCCCCCATCCCCTTGCGTGTTGCTCTATGCCACTCATTTTCCTGCACCCCCAGGCCCTAACCACTGTCTTAGAGCAAGGATTATGCACTCTGCCACGTGTTTACGTCGATGACGTCAGATATCCCATCGGCAATCGACAGAGACAGTACGGTAGGAGTATTCGCTCTCTGTTTAACATACATGCGAAACATCGACGACGCATTGGTCAGTATCACGGCCAACTTTGCGAATCGCCCAGGTCGTAAACGAGGTCGCTCAGGCTTTCCTCAGGGCACGACCGCGTGTCAAGATGACCCACGCATTCTCAAGCTGGACCTGAACGACCTCCCTTTTGAGATGTCTCACGTCTTATTCTGGGACAGGGACCGGCTTGAAAATGTTGCCTATGGAGTTTGGCACCAACGGTTTATGGATCCGAGCGCCTGCAATACCCTGCGGGCCTTTCTCCAGAGAGGTTACGAGGCGTAGTCGAGTGCCACCGCCATTTTGTTTTGTATCTGACTTCAATTATGTAGTCTTCTTGATTGGATGGTTTGTTACCTTTGAATAGATAAATTCGCTCACCCAGGACAAGATGCAGGGTGCTTTGGTTGGTTTCGACTCCGTGATAAATCCATAGGAAGGCTCATGACATGTGCGCTGTCTACAATCAAGAAAGAATAGTGAATACATGAGCTTTTGCAAAATCGTGAACCCATCAAGTCAGCACTCACAAGTAGGAGATAAACAGCGTAGATGCAGTCAACATAGCCCTACAGCCACCAATAAATCGAGGTAGTGAGGACAGCAGAGCCACGCCGCGCCCTCACAACCTGCCGCAGCCGCTCCACAAGCTCAACCACAAGATGTTCAGCTCGCGGATGATCATTCTGAGTCTTCATCTCCCCGTCGTAAGCATCAGTATGATCCAGACTCTGCGCGGAGAACGTACATTGATGATAAATTGCAATTCGTCAGGCCCGTCCAGGTTATCCGGTCCGAGACCATCCTGGAACTGGATGACGAGGATTATCTGCATCGACCAGGCCTGTGAGAAGCGGCTGGAAGATACTGTTCGGTGCGCCGTGCTGTATGCCCTACTGATGTGGATGTGGAGGTTGGCAAGGCCGTTGTTGATCTTCGCGTGGTTAGCCAGTTGACGGGTGGGAATGGGGGACTGGTTACTCGGACCTCAGTTCGTTGGATCCATTGTATCGTACTCTCGGTGGCTGCTCCTTCCATATTTCTTGGGACTGGTGGGTGCTTTCGGGTGGAGTAACAAAGAAGGTGTGGGTTGGGTTGGGTTGGGTGGTTGGACAAAGAGGAATCGGGATCTGTTGTGGAGGAACAATGGCATGGAAGAAAAGGGAGAAAGAGGGTCAGGTGGGAAAAAGCGGAAAGCCAGAGAAAACAAAATAAGTTAATGAAGATATAGTCCCTTGAAGGCACACCCATCAGCTGAGCACCCCAGAGAGAGTTATAGCCCATCCCATCAGTGGCTGATCAGTGACAAGCGTGAAGATATACTCGTGACACTCTTCTTTTTTCTTTAAATCCATCATTATCCGGACTTCCTTGCTTCCTGACTATATGTCTCAAGTATGAAAGAGTGTATAGACATTATCGCATCACCAGTTCACTTCATAGTAGCCCTTTCTCTATCCCCATCGAGGACTACTCTGCTGGCTCAACTCTAATACAATGAAGCCACTGGGATTGCCTGGATGCTGAATTGATAACCTCCTGGAAAAGGCTCTCATCAACGGAGCATCTCCCTTTTTTTCTCTTGAATCGACTCACTTGGCAAAGTATCCTGTGAAGCCCCTTGACATAATCAGGAAGATACCGCTTGTCTTCCAAGCTCAACATCCCGCATTGTTCTTCTTCCGGCAGCCCCACGGGATATAAAACCATCTTCGTACTCCTCACCTCCACCCCCTGTCCATCATCCTCTCAGCCCACCTCTGCTGAGATTCACTGCACAGCGTATTCTTTTCCCGAATTTTTATTCTCCACGCCACATCTTCCCATAACCCAAACCCACGAACAAGAATACCGCATTCATGCAAGGCACGACGGAAAATCAGCTACCGGTAGCAGATGATCCCTGGACCAGCACCCTGTCCTTCAGACCACGCAATGCAAATCCTGACGCTATTAATCTAAATCGCGTCCGCTATGCTCGTGCCAAGAGCGAGCATGTTGTCGATGCAGACGGTGAGACAATGTCGATCCAGTTGTCTTGCCCAGCAACCCCCGATATGGGTCACGCCTACCGTCTGGTCAAACCTGCTGGCGAGAAAGACCGTGGTGACTTCCTATCGGTTGAGGTTTCCTGCCCGGCAAATTCGGACGTTGGTATGGATGACGTCTATCCCCCCGACAGGAATGATGATGCGGAGCGCCACACTGCCATTCTTTCCGCCCAGGTATCTTGTCCGGCCTCTCCGCTTATCAAGAAGCGTAGGGCGGAGACCGATCTCGCTGAAGAGGACAGTGACATGGATGATGATGACGATGAGGACGACGAGGACGAGGACGAGGACGATGATGGTGATAGTGATGGAATGCTCGATGACGAGACCTACGCAGGAATTGAAAATGGTTTTGAAAATCTGGCAAGATAGCAGCACGGCCTAATGGCACGAGCATTCAAGAAAACCTCCAGCGATGAGGTGTATATCAGTAAGGATCCCCGTTGGATTAATCTTTCATTCATAACCTTGCTTCCACCCTCCGTCTACCCACCAGACGAACGTCTTTTCAACGCTTGGTATAATCAACCTCGGCCCGAATTCGAACTGCCCGAACTTCATAAAATCCCAGTCGGGTGGGTGAAACACAGGTGGAGCTTGGGAGGCCATGGGGTATTTCTCCGCCCCGATAATGAGACCTTATATCAATTTATCGACAGGAAGGGTGTGATTGTCATGATGGAAGATATAGTGTTCGACCCGTACTACGGCCGCGGGAATGATGACATGAAGCTGACTGGTGAGCTCGCTCGTTTAACGCTAACATGGCATCTGATTCAGGGCTATTTGAATAAGCTTGACTTCAATTGGCATTTTTTCAAGGTGGAAATGCAGATGTGGAGAGTAAAAGGGCGCCGATATGAGGTTCTTGGATTGACTGACAAAGGTTATCGTGACAATGATGTGTCCCGTGCTGCAGAGAAAGTGGCCTGGGAAGAGTCATACGGAGCTCATCGCCGTCGAAAATCCCCTTTCTTTATTGGATATACTACGGATCCGAACACAGGATTGGTTTTCGAAGTTCATATGCCCAATGATCGCGGCCGTCCCGAGGTCCCCGATAGTGTTTGGAGGATTCCTGACACTCTCAACAGAGTTAATAGGGCGATTGCGGAGAATGGAGGGACTCCTGACTCTCCGGTTTGTGAGATGGAGAGTGATGATCCGGAGTATGATAGGAGGTTCTTCAGGGGAATCAACTATGGGTTTGCAGCGGAGAAAGGTTGGGGTTGGGGTGCCTGGTATTAGAGCTTCAATTTCGCACTCTCTTGATTCCACCCAACATCTCTTCCCGTGGGGTTGGAGTTGGACTTGATGGCGAGACACTGGTTACCTGTAACTTATTGGGTTATTGGTGGATGGTTTATCTGGTTGGATAGATTGCTGTGCGTGGAAGAAGAGAGGGGGAGAGATTAATGATGAGGGTGAGGAAGAAGGAAGTCGGTAGGGAGGTAGGTGTGGCACCAGTGTAAACGCAATGCAAGGCGTGTACTAGGTAACCATATATTGGAAAATGCAGACCTGTATAAAAGGAATTTTCATACAGTAAAACCAAACAGAACTTACCTACAGATTCACTAACAGTTGCACTCATTCATGGCAGAGTCCAGTTCCAGTCTAGTGCGACTGGTCTTATTATTTACCGGGGATGAGATGAGGTATCAGCTCGACGATCAAACCATCCCGAATGTTTCATCAAGGAAATTACTTTAGAAAACACATTAATCTGAGTAGGTCTGGCTGCCTAAGCGGTAGGTAGTTACAATCTCAGCAAAGACGTGAGTAATTAAGCTCTAACTTAAGACAAACTCCAGTCGCATTCGAAAGAAGTGGTGGTGTCTTGTCCGAAGCAAAGTTCTTACTAGGTAACGTTCTTGTCTTCTTCTGTCTCCAATCACGCAACCCACGCAACCAACGCATTAATCTTCAATCTCTCATGTCCGCATAAACCATAATCAAGGGTATTCCATCACAGACCCCACTTCCACCCCATATCCCAGTTATCGAGCTCTCGAGTTGGTGGATTACACCACCGTCTCATCCTTGTGAGAAGGTCCAGCAGTCTCAGCATGACCAGTCTCGACCTTCGATTCCACGTCGACGTTGCCATGCTCCATGGCTTCGACCCGACGGGTCCTCACGTGGGTCTTCCAAGCAGGAGTGCCGAGGTACTTGTAGCCGTTGGGGTCTTCGAACATGGCCTCTGTCTCCTCGAGGGTCTTTCCGGCTGTCTCGGGGAAAATGAAGAATACGTGGAGGAACATCACTGTATTGAAGATGCCGAACATGATGTAGGTTTTCCAGCGAATGTTGGCGAATGCCGTGGGTGTGAACAGCCCCAGCGCCGTGTTGAAGGCCCAGTTTCCGGAGGTCGAGAGAGCCACGCCTTTTCCACGCAGACGAAGCGGGAATAGCTCGGGAGGATACGTCCAGCTCACAGGGCCCCATGTGGGTGCGTACGATGCGACGAACAAGAATGTGCATGCGATTAATCCCTTTGCGGGGGGGCCGTGCAGACGCATAGACTCTGCTGCGACTCCATCGATACCGCCCGGGACGACCACGCCGTGAGCAGCCATGATACCACCGTTGGCGTACATCAGGATGGCCATGAGAGCGGCGCCGATGAGTAGGGGTTTGCGTCGTCCCCATCGGTCCATCCAAATCAGAGCCGGAAGGGTCATGATTACGTTGATTATGTACTGAATGGAGGATGCGAGGAGGGTGGAGTTTCCGGTATATCCAGCCATGGAGAAGAGGTAGGTGATGTAATACACTATTCAAAATCCATTAGTAGGGATTCACCCTCGAATTGTGGAACGAAAGAACAGTTTTTGTTTTGGATGAATGGGTGAGGTTCGGATTCGTATGGAGGGCGGGAAGTCGAGATCCGGCTCGGGGGGCGAGGACTTACTCATCACGTTCATGCCAGTCAGCTGCGACCAAATCTGCATGAACAGTCCAATCAAAGTACGGTTGATCATCCTGGGTTTCAGCAGATCCAGGTAGGTGATGTGCTGGAACTGTCGCTCGAACTCGCACATGTCGCGGATATCCTGCATCTCCAGCGCAACGAAAGGATGGTTGCGATCACCCTTCGCATGGACCAACGCCAGGACATGATGGCAGTCTTCCCAACGATCCTTGCGCGCCAACCAACGAGGAGACTCGGGAAGGAGGAGCATTCCGCAAAAGAGAAAGATGGCAGGCAGCATCTGCAGGCCCCAGGGAATTCTCCAGGAGGCGGTGCTGTAGTCGGTAGACTTCTGTCCTCCAATGTACGAGCAGCCATAAGAGATGCTGGGGGGCGGTTAGCTCTAATCTCCGAGTTGGACATGCTCTGGGGGGGCTTGACTCACTAGAACATGATCAGAATACCCCAGGTGATCGCCCACTGCTGCAGACCGACGAACCGACCACGCTTCGAGGGCGGCGACAGCTCACTGATATAGACAGGGACCTGGGCAGATTCGATACCCACAGAGAGACCGTTGATTATACGACCAACGACCAGCATACCGATGTTCTGAGAAGCGCAGACGATGGTGGATCCGATCAGCCTAGACCGCACCAGGTGTCAGCATAACGTTCTGCGAATGGCTCATGGGGACGACTACATACCAAATCACACAGCCGATCATGATCGACGTCTTACGGCCAATGCGATCCGAGAGGGGACCGGAGATCAAGGCACCCAGCCAAGATCCCGCCGCCATGGCTGCCGTGATGCCACCCTGGTTGAGAGACGTGGGGCCAGAGCAGTTCTCACTGTCGGTAAAGGGGGGGCCTTCAGGGCCCTGGTTAAAATAGCACTTGTAGGCATTCTCGTTGAGCTGGGCAGACAGAGAAGAGATGTCAAAGCCAAACAGGCCACCACCGACGACGGCGACGCCTGCGATCACGTAGATGTTGCCAATCAACATTGTGGTGCCGTGGATTCACTGGCCAGGCTTGGCTTCCTGGGAGGAGGAGGAGAAAGCGAAAGCAGAATGCGGGCGAGAGGGGGAGACGGCGGAATATATACGGGTTGGTCGAGTGCGTCAGCTGCGAGTCATCCCCGGACGGGGGACGCCCCGCATTATGGGATGGTGAATGTCAATCTCAGTCTTGGGGGAATGGACCAGGACCAGGTACTACCGTTGTATGCGGCCGGACCAACCCCCGATCCCAGCCTGTGCGTCGGCGCATCTCGTGGCTGGATCCAGCGGCTGGTGATTGGAGAATGAGGTCAAGTGATGCTACGATCAACCTGGCTTTGGCCATGAGAGGGATCGGGATCCTGGTCCGAGGACGGCCTGAAACTCTCTGGGGGGACAGAAAAGTTTCGAGGCTGTTGAGTTGGACCACCCAAGCCTGTCACCTGCGCAGACGGAGCTACACTCCCGAAGAGGCAACCAGACACCCGATCCGTTGTTTTTGTTTTTTTCCCCGGATCATTCACCCCACGATTCCCGGGGAATGGACCCTCCATCCGAGAAGCCAACTTGAGAGCGCTGGAGCTCTGGGAGAGCTTATGAGGCTTGGAGGGGCGCCGGAAATGCAACCACACGCGCCCAAAGTATAAATAAATAGGCTTATGTTAGCTTGTCGCCAGAGGCGGATGGCGCTCGCAGGCGTCGTGCCAGTAGTAGACCTGACGGCCCAGTCCGACGCCCCCGCGGCCCACTAGACTTCTTTAGGCGCTGCTGTTGACCCCGCGCAAAGATGTGACAGTACCGATACCAGCATGTATGGTATCGATGTAACCACCCACCGCACTGCGCTCACTGCGCAACGGCTGCCGATTCATCTTCTACTATTTCTCCTCACTCATGATTCTTCCTTCGAGGCTGACCTTCACACACGATATCCATCACATCATGCCACTCACAATTCAATATGAAGTACGCGCCATCTCCTACTCGACTGAGCTTCCTTGCTACGGAAGCCTGCATGGTCATGCGGCTTCCAGCTAGATCAAACACCCACACACTGCTCTACTCCCTCACCTCATTTGGCAAGATGCACACAGTTGGGCGTGCTTTGAATCCTCGGGTACACGCAGAAGGCACCGCCTCGCCTCTCCTAACAGTGACCGTTCCAGTCAATTCACTAGTACACGCCATCACAGAGCTTCCCTAAACCCACGGACCAGGACTTTTGGCGGAGGATACAACAGTTTGGGAATAATCTTTTCTGGGATGTCACTCTGGCTGTTGAGGTTTCTGGGCCAGAAAAATGCAAAGTCATTGTTTGGGCTGAGGTCCAGCAAGATTCGGGAACGAAATCAAGGATGTCGATGAGACAATGTCGCTCTACCGTGCCGAGTACATACATGATACAGACAAATCTCTCTTTCCTCCTCGATGAGAATCCGGGGAAGATCTTCGGGATCACCGAGTTCTTATATACTTTGTAGATAGACTGCGGAGACAGACACAGATCGATCGCTCGGGCGACAATAACATTGGATGAGGTTGATATCCCAGCGCAGGCACCTTATAGACGGAGACCAACCCCTCTCTTCTCTCCCTAGTTGACATCCAACGGCACAACCTAACTAACGATCGAGTGCATGCGAATATCCGCTCCCAAACAACAGCCATCCATCCCCCTGATCCCAGCCCCGCGTATGTCTCATACCGGTTACATACACCATCTCAGCTCTATTACCTCCCGTTACCATACATCCGTACACCCATCTGGACAAATTGAATACGCCGCAGATTGGCATCCAATCGTCTGGGCTCTGGGCTGAACTGAGTAAATAGTATCTACTGCGGGAGTGGTATGGGTGGCGCCAGGTTAGGCCCCCTTCCCCCTTAGCTCGCCCTCTTCTTCCCAGTTGCCACTATCCTGTAATCCGTGAGGCCGCGTAGCACGAGCCCTTTGCCTCGGGCTTTCATTAGCCCGCCTAGCCCGACCCCAGACTATCGCAGGAGGTTTAATATCCGGAGTGCAGATCACAAGCTCGAGTAAGCCAATGATTGTGGGGACTCTTTGTGTGAGTGCTGACGTCGTTTATGTCTCTGTCGGGGTTCGAAGTGGTCCAGTTGTCTGGTTTTCTTTGCTTCCAACAGTGGTGGTTGAATTGTTGGTAAGCGATATATATATTTTGCATCTGTAAGAATTTGGATCAGCAAAGACTTCAGTCCTGGACTAGCCACTCCCTCAATACATCACCTTCGTAGCTCTCCGAGGAGTCAACCAAGGTGACCAGTAAACTGATTCGGAGAGTTTGTTGCCTGGAAATAATACCATAGCTTGACAGGCAGCATGTGATCCAAGTAAACAGAAAGTGGAGTTTTATGCAGGGCACTATTATGCAGGGTGCAAGCGCTGGTTCGGGAAGGCGGAGAGGGCCAGAGCGCGGTGGGGTTAAGGTTGCATTCGCTATGCGGGGTGTGACACCGGCCTTTGGCTCTGCCCGCCCTCGAATTAGGAAACAGATGCGGCAGAATCCAGCATTAGCGACGTCGACGTCATAATAGCTTCACGTGACCAGGCGGTAGGACAGAATTCTGCCAGTGATGGCCAAAAGAGGAAGGCGGGGGGTTCGCGACGGCGTTCTGCACGACGCTCAAACATCGACTTCATCACGGTGGGTGGTTGAACAGATTTAGGACAATGTCTGTCTTATCACCTGGATAATCCATGTCCACACAGAGAATACAATCATGAGCACGTTGCAAAAGCAGAAAGTGGTCTTTGAAGGGTAGGTTTCGGAGTTTTCTCACTCACTGTCTATCGCACTGACATGGTTAACTGCTAGTGTTGCCTTGAGTGTCCTCACGGTCTAATGCCCCTCATACTAATCCTTAGACTATGCCTACCGCCTGGCGAATTTAAGCGCGTTGCTATCCATCATGCCCTCTTCTAATCATGCCTCCTTTGCCGCAGGACAAGAACAAACTTCCGAAGCGAGAATGCGGGAATGAAAAGCTGGCTGAGTGATTTTGAGACCTAGCCCCATGGATCCGGTACCACAAGTTACCTGATCGCCATTCTAGATACTAGACACGCAAGATGGTATCTAGAGGCTTGGGCTCCATTCCCACAAGTCAAATAGTGCCGGTGTCTGCGCACTAACACCCCCACACGTCATTATACACCCACAATTATTGACAATATACCCAGCGACTCTGGCGGAAATCGATTGATTTCAGAGAGAAAAGGAAGCATCAACGTTCTGCGTATCCGAGAAAAACGACTGCACCCAGTCCTCCAATGTCGCATCTCCGCCCAGGGAATTCACACTGAAAAGATAATCGTGACTGCGTTGGCTTGAAGGCGAGAAATTGTCTCGGACGGAGGGCATAACATTTCGCTCGGCTACAAGTGCAATCGAGTCAGCTGAGATGAAGTTTGGTTCTCCGAAAGATAAGCTCACCTTCATGCAGACCACTGCTGCTACTATCCTCGTGTGACGAGAGGGATGCCTCAAGCCCGACGGTAAGATCACTCTCTTTGGTAAGACAACCACCCTGACTCTGACTAGTGCCTTCGACAGCCCTTGCGAGTGTGAGATTTAACACGTCTGCCGCCCTCTTTGCCTCGCAGGAACGGGAGGCTTGACGCATCCAAATGGCCCTCGTTCGACGCAACGCTGTCACGATCTCCTCGGTCCGATCGAGCATCCGCCCGCGGTGCACCAGCGAGCATAAGATCATCATCGCTGTGAGGAATTGATGGTTCATACTTGAAGTTATGCGCCAGCGCATTTCCTGAAGTTGCCCGCCAGGACAGGTCTCCTCATCGAGCACCTGCTGGATAAGCAGCATGCTCAAACACGCGTCTAGACATGTTGTATGGGAATATGCGAACGAATTGTCTGTTTGTTCTATTTCAAAAAAGCGGCGGTGTAACATGATCTGTCCCTTGTACAGCATGTGCTCAAGGAAAAGTCGCGACATGATAAGCTGTGGCGAGTCAGTCACACTAGCTGCCATTTCCTTCATTCTCAACGGCGGAGGAATGGTAGTAACCGCTTCCTGAAGAGCCCTGTCTGCCTGCATGACTTCTGCATATGTTACTGGCTTGACGGCGTCCGCAAGGTCGGCAATCTTCCCCAAAGCCAAGACCATTCGGCTGCGGGCGATGATTCCCAGTGTGGTTGTGTACTCAGTTTCCGGACGCGAAGGGGGAGTCTGAGCTGTTTCTTCGTCAAGGTCGCTATCATGCAGATTCCGTGGCTCCGCAGTGTCACATTTCCAGTCCGAGATCATGCGTGGCATGCCCATTTGGCTGGACAGAAGGACATCACTCATGACCACTGTTGCCCATAGTCGGCGCCGCATCTCGCCTTGCAAGGGAGAAAGTCCGGGAAAATGGCTTGGATCGCGATGGTAGCCCATGCGAAAAGCCATATTGACTTCCAATGAGAGCAGAAACCAGATGTGACGATCCGCATCCGGATGGTGCACCATTTCAATGTACAGGTAATGAATCACTGTCTCGAGAACGTATGGACCTGGTTTGGTGTACTCCCCTATGACAAGACATTGCACTGTCTTTTCATGGTAGAGATCAATCTGCAACGATCGGTTGGCTTCGCCCTCTGCTGGATCCGAGGCCATCACAGCGAGACACATCATGCTGAACAAAAGCCCGACCCAAGCAATTGGGACCTCCAGTGGGTTAGCCCAGAAGGCCTCGTACTTGAAAATTAGTCAATACAAATATCTCAGCAACGCCATTAATGGAGACCTACTTCTCGAAGAAAGCTCGGGCCGTGGACCGCGGCTGATAATGTATCACGACAACAAACCTTCAGTTACAATGTGACAAGATGGAACAAGGGCACATACCTGAAGCAACAAGGTCGAGGTAGTTAAAATACCGTGAGATATAGCGGTCCACCGCAGACTTGGGCGGGAGAGCCGCAATGATTTCAGTGCGCGATGTTGCCCGGGGACATCCGTACAGTACCAACGGGCGCGGGGAGGGAGGCTCCGCATTAGAATCATTACCTTTCTCATTGTGCGTATCGACCGGATCGAGCTGTTCTTCGCGATCGCAGTGAGCCTTAAGGTCGGCGATACTATCGAGAATCGCCGCCCAGTGCTCACCAGTCACATACCGAAGTTCTGACCCAGAGATGTGCATGCTTCCGCATTCTGACTGCCCATCCGCCACACTGCCGGGCTCCTGCCGTACATTATTATCACTAGATTCAGGCGTGGGCAGATGGGTCGTTTTTTGATTGGCGTCCGGCATGAGAGACTTAACTAGACGCTCCAATTGGACTACACGATCGTGGACTCCAGGCGTTCCGTCTCGTGACGGCTTTGTCCTTACATACACGCACGGCTGGCCACGCGACGCGCAGTTGGAACACGGCTGTAGGCGATCACACCGAGTCCTGCGTTGTCGACACGTGTTGCAGGAGAACTGTGGCTTGTCCCGCCGTCGACGGGGCTTGGTGGCAGCCATTTCGGAGAGAGCTGTTGGCTCGTGCTGCATCGACATGTCTGATGCGATGGAGCAGGGTGGATGCTTCTGGAGGTTTAAGTAGAGAGGTTTATTCGCTCGCACGGTCTGGACCGGAGAGGACTTTAGGGGAGAAAGGCCGCCCTGCGAGAAGGAGTGATGGGGGCTGCCGTGCCTGACTCCCTCGTACTAAATGTTCAAGCTAGTACTTTCCGGGATTTTGTGGGTAGAGCCTAATATAAAATCGTCCTAGTCCAGCGGGAGACTCGGCTTCCCGATCAACCCGCCGTATATACGGCCGCCAAGAGCATGTGGTTCGCATATACGACGGATGTGGTGGTTAATCACTCGAAAGCTTGGAGCTCAGAGATTACCATGTCATCATCGATTTGTCACCTGGTAATTTCTTGTCACCCTTGTCGCTACTTTGTTCTCTTGAAGCTTCGAGACATAAAATCTTGATATTCAACTGATAAACAATTTTCTGACTGGTGAGTTGACTGGAAACTTCCATCTTAAAGGCGTGATCTAGGGATATTCTGTTTCAGTGAAGCTTCCAGGCACAGCCATAGCCGTCAGCACTCACGCTGGAGTCTTTCCACTCAACGCCACCCAGCACCAAAAATTGCCTGCCCATCCTCCACCTCGTGACCTTGTTGACTGTTGTGACTGTAGGGGTTTGAGACACCCCGGACATGACCATTGTTGATATAGCCAATGTCGAAAAACAGGCACTGGGCTTTACCTTCTACCTCTGGTCTACTTGCGGGAACAGCGAACTGGAACCACACCCAGCAGAACCCTGGTGCCAGCGCCGATCCTCTTCCGATCCCCCGGTCCATACACCGGCAGCTTCGTCGGAATGTACCAGTGGAACCCCTGGCTCCTTGCGATCCTGTGGGGACCGGGACCTTGGTACTTGGTGTCTATCAGAACCCAGTCAAAGGTCGGGTACCGCTGGAGCTCAAGACGGCCCGGCTGCGGGTCATGACGGGAAATCCTGATCTGCAATGCAAGCTGACTGTCTGACTGTATTGAGGTGCGTTTCAGTGTGCGTGTCAGGATCTTCCCCTCAAGCGTGGGTGGCCGCTTACTACGAGACGCACCAGATCGTGCTTTGGGTCGGTTGCTCTTCTATTCCCTGCCCTTACACCTTGAGTCACTCGGTCATATTACTGTCACCTCACAGTTCACCTTATCAGAACCCTCCTTAGCTCTATATTGTCTGTTTACTTCTTCCCGCTAATGGCGTGGTCCCAGTATCACTGTGAATCTCAAGAATCTACCCTCTCACCGCGAGTTCGCTATATTAGGTTGAAGCACTCGGATATGCCTTGTCTGTCTAGTACTTTGAGGACCTATATATCTCAGCGTCAACTCCAGGCCGGTTTACAAGTACAGGGCGTAGCGTTATTCTAGGATTCTAGGTATGATCTTCTTCATGACACCGTGATTTTCGGATCCTAGATTAGCTGTTTTGTAAACGAAGCTCAGGACGATAGATACTCGCAAAGGAAGCTGGCAATGAATCCAGGGGAAAGCTGATCCCTGAGACCGGGTTTTAGAATCTCTGATGATAATCATTGAATATGCACGCAGTGAAAACCATCATCCAAAAGACACAGTCCAGAATCAACCTCACAAGTGCCGTAACACAGTACCCCATCCCTGCTGAAAGAATACAGGCGTGAATTTGTGTAACCGTACTGTACTTCAACACGCAAAACACACGGGGATCCCGGGATCGCGCCGAGCCACCAACCAGGCCCGCCATCTCTCTTCCTCCACTTTGGAACTTCCTCACCTCCCACCAACCAAACCATCAAATGCAGATCAAGAATAAGTCTCTCATTTCATCAAATTCGCTTCAAACAAAATACACAGAATGTCAAGTGGCGCCAGGCCTCAAGATGCACAAAATACCTGGTATCAACGTATCATCATATCAGAGAACTCCACGCGATGCAATCCACATCCACTACGAGGAAGAAGAAGAAGACGTGGAGTTGCTGGTCCGGTTAGACGCCGCGTCATACAGACCCTTGATATCCTTCTTCCACTGGTCCTCATCAACTCGCTTGAGTCGCCGATCATAGGTCATCAGCCCGTTGATCTCGCCCTCCACGTCCACGGTCTGGGTCCAGACTGCCACGCTGCATGCGTACAGACTGACCTGGCCCTGCAGCTCCGTGAGCAGGAGGTGGCTGCGATGGTTCCAGGCGTCTAGATCCGTGTCGATCTCGTAGGTTTGGTTGATGCTGTTGATCGCGTCTTGGTTGTTCCAGAGACTGTGTTGTGTGGCTGATTAGAATCTTGTTCCTTTTCGAAGGTTAAGATATCGATGGTATTGTAAGAGAACTTACTGCTCGATTGAGACGTTGTTGCCCAGGCCCCCGAATTCGCCCTGGATGCCGATTCGCTTTGGGTCGTATGGGGATGAGTCGATTGAGTAGAAGGGCGTGCCGCATTGGGGGTTCGCATAGTGGTGGTTGTCCTGAGGGGTGTTAGTTGGTCATTTGGATTATCAAGAGTCAGAGTCGGAGTCGGAGATCTGGCTTACGCTGAAGTCACCAGCTCCGTGGTCGTGCCAGCCGGAGGTCGCATCAACCAGGCGGGTGGGATCAAGCTGCTGCACGCGCGACGTCAAGTCGAACTCCGGGTAGTAGCTGGTTATCTGGCCCCAGCCCTCGTTGTAGATGACCCAGGTAAAGATGCTGGTATAGCTCTTGAGCTGGTTGACCAGGAGGTCAAGTTGACGCGAGAATTCCTGCTGCTGCCCGTCATCGGGCAGGATGTTCTCCAGCGGCCGAAGGGAGGGCATGTCCTGGATGACCAGAAGACCCATTTCGTCACATGCCCGGTACCACAGTGCGGGCTCGACTTTGATCTGTCACGGCGTTAGATGGATTCGCGGTTGGGGGTTGGCTTACTTACGTGCTTGCGGACCATGTTGAAGCCAAGGTCCTTGAGGAACTGCAGATCATAAACCATCGCTTCGCGGCTTGGAGGCGTGTACAGTCCATCCGGCCAGTAGCCTTGGTCGAGCGTTCCGAAGATGAACATGAATTCTCCGTTCAGGAGAGGTCGAACCACGCCATCCACCGTGCCCTTTGAGACAGTGCGGAATCCGGTGTAGCTCTGGAAGGTATCGTCTCCCATGGTGACTGTCACGTTGTACAGGGTGGGGGAGTTCGGAGACCACAGCTTGGGATCGGAGACATTGAACTGGAAGGGCTGGTCTGAGACGCCGCTGCCAGAGCCAACTACCTTGCTGCCGTCAATCACAGTAATGTTGACTTCCGTCCCGTTTCCGTACACGCTGTGAACAGTGACATTGACTGGAAAATTATAAGCTACAGAAGTATCGCATGAGCGGTTATTACTGACCTTGGCCGTGCATGTCAGCGGTGAGATCTAGCTGCGTGACATAGTTTGCCGGCACGGGCTCGAGCCACACACTCTGCCAGATTCCACTGCAGGGAGTGTAGAAGATATGCGACGGGACCAGGCGCTGCTTGCCGATGGGAATGACATAACCGTTGAGATCTGTGGGATCATGCACAAAGATAAGACTGCAACTGTCAGCTGAGTCCATGGCACATTGTACCTGGGTTGACTACTCACAGTTCGTTGGATCCGGAGGTGTCGAGATATGGCGAAATGTCAACAGAGAATTCGAAATAGCCGCCACGGTGAAACGATGCGTTTTTGCCGTTGACGAAGACAGTGGCTTCGTAGTCCACGGCTCCGAAATTAAGCACCACGTCCTGTCCAGACCAGTTCCCGGGAACGGTGAAGTTGGTCCGGAACCAGGAATAATACGCGTCGGTTGCTTGGATACCTGGGCGATATCAGAATAACTGAATACTTGATCGAGCGAAGAAAACCTACCCGAGAGGCCACTTTCAAGGCAAGATGGGATCAGTACCTCCTGCGCGAGGTCTTGCCCGAATGGCGGACTGTACACATCATTCAGGCTGGAAGCGCTCTGGTACTGCCAGACACCGTTTAGAGTCTGCCACTCGTCACGCTGCAAACGAGGACGAGGGTATTCAGGCCATGGGTTTGTTCCCACATCTGCTGTCCAATTGGTATCCAATGGCGACTGCTTTTGAGCATACTCTGCTGTCGTTCTAGCGGCAAGTTGCTGAGGTGTCCCGATAGTTCTCGCCGATGAGGCGGTTAGGAAAAGGGTCAGATAAGTTAAGCCCCAATACATGTTGGCAATGAATACAGGATTTTTGAGTTAGAGGACGACTGAACAGGACGAAGAGTGCGTGGACCGAATATTTATATTTTACACCTCGCCACGGCACTCCGGGCAATGACAGAAATGGACTTAGAACCGAAGCAGCATAGGACTGAAATGCCGGGGCCGCATTTATTGTCTCCCCCGCATGGCCATGGCTCGTTGGCCCACCATGGCCGACACAAGGGCCATGGCAGCCCCACTGCGATGGTGAGTCGGCTGCAGTTTCGGTCAAACGCATGGGACGTTTCTCCTCCGCAGGATTTGCTTGGCTGATACAGTGACAGGACGCGAGAACAGCTAAACGGGGAGGGGAAAAAAATAGCTCTACAGGCTCCACGGCTTGCCACTTGCCAAAATTGATCCTCGCCGATCTACATATCCACGTTTTATGGGTTTATCCACAGCTGGAATAAGGCACCGTTGGTGTCTCGTGGTTCCTCCGGGACGTCCCAGAGAGACAGCAGATCCTGCGTGGGATAAGGTGAGCCCCTGGTACCTGCCCGCCCAATCACAGCAAAGCCCTGAGAGCATCCACTGGAACCGACGGGGAAGTAAAGGATTGGATCAGACGAACAGCGAATGAAAAGAATTTCGCTCGAGCAGATCCAAGATTCGGGGTCGATTCGAACTCTAATTTGCCATCCCCTTTTTGCGCCCTGAACACTGACCCGGGGTTCCTGATTCTTCTTCGGGAGTAAATCCCAAGCACGGAGGCATGATTGCCGAATCCGGTTGCTCGTCACCGAGCATGAGACATTGACCGTCACTGCAGTGCAGTGCATTATTCTCTCACAATGAGAACCATTGTCAGGCCCGCATATCCCTCTTTCATGCGGCCTCAAGGATTGGCTCGGCGTGTGGCTCACCGACAAATCAAGGATGGGAGAGTATGCAGGATTGCATCAGCCGAGCGATCGGTATTCCATCTCCGCGCTTATCCCGTATACCCATTTGACGGGCCTTGCGCTGCTGTCAGCCCTGCCAAGCTATTTAATATGGCCTCTGTCTGTGGCTGCGTCTCCAGCGCATCCGTGGATATGGCGTGTATATCATATCGCCGTCTTGGGCTGACATTTGTCAGAGTGACCTACCGCGGAAATATTATCTGACATGCGAAGGAATGTCCCAGGCTCATTTTGTGTCTCTGTCATGTCCACATTTGCACTATGGACTGCACGTCGGATCATTTGTCTATCGACCACTGGTTCGAAGCAGATCGGATCGCTCGGATCTTAGCACCGGCTTCATTCGCCGCAGTGATAAGGCTGGGGGTCGCGTCGAGGGGTGAATTTCTCCGGACTGTTCTCCAGACTGCAAGGTCGATGCAGCGGAATGGCTGTTTTATCTGCCATGCCACCCCCGCTCATGTCGGGAGTGAAGCATTCTAGGGCTTGGGCCCTCGAGCTGTTGACCACATGGCCCGATCGCACTCTTGGTATCTGCGCCAATCATCCGACAACTCCTCATTGGGCGTGGCAAATTCATCGCAACATGATCTGAGCACACTCGAGTCACATACTTGTTCGCCATGCTAGAGGCTACATTGCTGTCACTCGAGCAGAGATACGCAGACCAGGCTAAGCCCCGCTCCATATGTTCAATGCTTTTTGTCCTCTTTTTGATGCGATATCGGTCATGATAGGTCTAATTCTTCCGAGAACCTCCGGAGACCTCCCACTTCCATACGCGGGCTTCTCGTCGTTATCTACCTCTTCCTCTTCAATGTACTGGACGCCAAGTATGCCGTGGGCAACATCGGCATCCTTCGGACACGACCAGGCCATGACTTTTATTTCCCCCATTCGCTCTTGATATGAATTGCAGAAATATCGAAAAAGATCCAGCCTGGTTGTGCATTCAAAGCTGGTCACTGGTTGTGTTGACCAGTTCGTTGCGGAAGATACACTTCCTGTCGGCCGACAACCCGAAGTGTGACTGACGGTTATTGATCCTCCGATCCGCACCAAGTTTGGAACCAGAGATCGACTTGCCCTCGGCTCCCATCTGAGCACCGGTTGTGTGGTTCGTAGCCGACTGAGTTTATGTCCGGACCGACCTCACATGAAAACGTGACCCTGCTGGTGAGCAACCACCGACAGAATCAATGACCCCAGAATCCAGCTAATAAAGCGGATAATAATAACGCCCGAAGGATCAAGTGAAATTAAAGGAATCCTCCACGTGAGATCTTAGTGTCGACTCCAGGCAATCCAACAAGTCGCCGAATCATATGTTGTAACGGAGTACTTAAGGAGCAGTTTCAGCCCGACCGATCGGCGCGACATTTGCTTCTCCAACTCTCTCTCTCTCCCAAGGATACGACCACAACCACAACCCCAACGAAACACCCAAAGTTGCTCTCACGATGGCCTCGGGACTCATCTTCGACCCCTACGCCCTCCTCCGGGTCGCCCCACTCGCCTCCAGCACCGGAAGTCTGGTCCACGCCACCGTCGAGTTGACCGTGAACTCCGCCTTCCTGCTGCCCTCCCTCCGCAAGCAATCCGACGCCCTCCTGCCGGCTTGGTACGGCAACGTCTTCTACCGCGAGGTCGTCGTCGTCGTCGCCCTCAATCTGACCTCCCTTACCTCCGCCATCGCCAATATCTATCTCGCTCCGGATTCCCGCCCGTGGCCGCTTTCGCGCACGACCTTCTACTGGCTCGGTTTGATGGGCACGATCGGACATATGTTGTTCGTGCCGCTGGTTGCGCCCCCCATTCAGCGCATGGTGGAGGATACGAAGGCGGAGAATGAGGCTAGTAAGGAGATGGATACTTGGTTGTCTCTTCATCGCGTGCGCATGTTGGTCGCGGATTTGCCGGCCTGGATTGCGTTTGTTGGGTCGGCGTTGGTGGTCTGATTTGGATTCCGTGTCCGAGGATGCTGGCTGGCTGGCTGGCGACTTTTGGACTGCTCCGAGGGTACTGCTTTTGCTATTCTATCCGTGGATGGATGATAAATTTCGGTTTGTTCGAAATGGAGGTTTTTTGGACTCTCTATCGGAATCTGGCTTTGTTGCTGAGAAAACCTGGACGATTAGGAATTGCAGATGAATGTCTGATGAATGATTTTACGTACCTAGTTCTTTTTATTCCATCCGTTCCCTCTTGCGCATTGTGCCTGGAGTCCCTAATCCCCTCGCAGCATCGATTCAAGATCGAGTGAAGCAGAGGGAATAAACCTATTCATCACGCCTCTCAACCCTCCTTCCCTGGACCAAGTCAGTCACATCCGATCCTGTAGCTAGATGTATTCACAACCCGAGCGAATATAAATAGGGCCTTCTTGACCTCGTATCTCCGAGTTGATCTCTTCTTCTTACACCCATTCCAGAGATTCTCCGATCTGAACTCGACTCTTCGAACAACAATGTCTTTCTTTCTGTTTACTTCCTTTGATGAGATCCTCGATAAAACAGGGTAGCGTTTCCTTGAGTGGTATTTCAATTCTAATACCACACACAAGTGCAATGCTATTTTCCATACAATATCCTTCGCTCATCATATGGACAGAAATAAACGGCGTAATCGATCATGTCTTACTTCGCCAGGATCCAAGGATAACCCAGACAAAGTGGTCTGTCTTCATTGACGTACTGAAAGATGAGCGGAATAATCATGGCAGTGAACTATTATTCTCTGACAGTGACGTCCACCCATAAGACTGTTGGTCGACTTGTTGAAGCAAGAAAAGTAACCAAGTATTGCTTATGGTCTGCGACATACTTTTTATTTTTTTTTTCGTGGCAAAAATGCCCAAGCTTCGCAGCGAGCCCAGCTGCAAGTAATGGTATTATCACTGCTTTAAGGCTGATCGTTTGTCCGGAAGACCAGTCATCTGCTTGTATACGACGACAAACGACGGATATTGCTGGAATCATACCATCATCCCGATATCTGAATAAATCTTGCAACAATTGACTTTAGGAAGCTCAATAAAGGAGATCACCAGATATTGATGATTGCCGAACACAGGCTCCGTACTTGGATACAGCGGTAAGATGATCACAGATAATATCATCGGCAAGATTCTACTCTGAAAATTCATAGGCTCACAGAGTACGTGGACAGCGCCGAACATTATTTCGGGGAAACTGCCAATTCCGACCCCTATGGCTTGGTTGAAGGTGACAGTTACTGTGAGAAACATAGGGTTAATTATAAGTCATCCCAACCAGGAAATGGAACGATTGTTTTTCAAGGACCCCTGGGCTAGATGTGATGACAAGGTTGATGACCCTGTTATCATCAGACAAACTCACCTACCATGTCCAATCTCAATTCCATCTGCCTCCCCCATGGGAGTATCTTGGTATGGAACAAGCAGTACACAGAAGCGACCGCTTCAGAGTCAGACACCTATCAGAAATATTGTCGATGGGCTCTTTCTCTTTCTTCTTCTTCTTTCTGAAACCCTTTTACGACTTGCCCTTGCTGGAACCCTTCTGCAGTTGATTCATATTCAAAACTTCTCTGGTTCATGGTCACGAAATTTGTTTATGGCCTGATTCAGTTGAGACCCTTTTGCAGTTGATTCATATTCGAGGGTTCTCTGGTTCGCGGCTTCACGAAGTTTGTTTGTGACCCGATTTGATCGAAACCCTTTTTTGGATTGTTCTTGACAGAACCCTTTTTCAGACTGTTCTTGACAAAATTCTTTCACGATCATCAGTAAGTGTTTCACTCAGAAGTCTTTGTGAGATATTCTGGGTCTTGAGACTTTTGGCTTCTTGCAGTTCTAAGGTGTCCGATTTGTTTAAACCTTCATGGCTAACTGCTTTAGTGTTATGCTGTTCAACTTTATCTTGCTGTCAGGCTGTTTTCTCCCCTTTCTTGAGAAGACTGCTGCTTTTGCAGCCGGTTTATCGCTCTCTTTCTCTTTGTTGTCTCTCGTATCAACCCCTCGGGCGTCCGCAGTAAGTAATATTTGAGAATCTCTTGCTGGGCTTTGTGACTAACTGGGGATAGACGCCGCCTCCTCGCCGCACCGCCGTCACCGCCGCTGGTCCTGTCTTTGGGTCTGTTGCTGGTTCGGTTGCTGTTGCTGCTACCACCGCCGCCGCCGCCACCACTGCTGCTGTTGCCACCACCGCCGCTGTCGCTGTTGTTGTGCCGGCCCCTCCCGCGCCTATCGCCGCGGTAAGTAACCGTCACTCAGGCGATACTAGTGTGGCTAACCTCTGAGAATAGCCTGTTGTTCTTCCGGCGGGTGCTCCCGGGGCGGTCTGGCCTCCTATTGTCCCTGTGCGCCTCTTGCTATTCGCCATCGTGGAGAAGACGTTGTCCTGAACAACATTCTCGCTGCCTCTGTCAGTCGCGGCGTGTCAGTTCGCGGGCCATTCTCTTCTTCAGAGAGCACACTCAGACTTGTATAAGATTATATGTCTCGCAAGATATCGGAGTCGCAAACTGGGCTTAGGCTCAGTTTGTGGACCTGTTCGTGGGGAACTGATTCGCCGGTATCTTCAAACAGACTCCAATAATCTTGCCGGGCCTCCCCCCCTGGACAGAAGCGCAGCCCCTGTCAGATCGCGAGAGGCGTTGGATTACGCAGCCGGTGTTGAGATCTGTTTTCTTCACAGGGTTTAGTAGCCTGCATCAGCTGAAGATCCGTGCCCAGCTTCGCGAGACTTTTCTTATAACTAGAGCTGGCCGGCTCCCTCCCGCCGATCAGGTATATAGCGCATGCCGCAATTCTTCAGGTTCGAAGGCGTTTACAGTGTGCGTCAGTGGTGGATATAATCAGATATGCAATAACTGCATCCAGGCCGGTCACAAGGTCTGCTCCTTGCAGAACTGAGTGATTGGCTTGCCAGTCTCTGTCCTCGCGAGTCACTGCTGCAACTCGCTCGCTGCCGGCACGTTCGTAGATCTTGACGGGTGGCCTTCTTCGTCGTCATGTCGTTCGCTTTATCTTGCTGGACAATCATGTCTGGCACTGTCCACAATCTGATCACGAACAACACATCGGGTGCTTCTGGTCTCGAAAAACAAATTAATAAAGTGAAAACGAACACAAAGCAAAGAATATAATGAAATTAAGTATTCTTGGGTTGAATGATTATTTCTGTCTTGGAATAGCAACATGTTGATGGGCGTTGGGAGAGAGTGCTGGGTATGATATCGTGTTTCTCTAGTCGTTGCCAGTCGAGATTAGTTCCAAACAGCGTCTTGTTGGCTATAGCTTTTCCATTCTGAGGTCTTCTTCACTCAGTGCCATGGTATTTTGTCACATCAAATTATATCGAAGACGAGTGTCTTCACCTTTCTCACTCCCTTGTCCCGGTGGAAATCTAATTCAGCGGCTGGGACCGTCTATAATCAATCTTCGTGTCACTAAGCAAAGGATCGGTGGCTAACTCACCCCGGAGTAAACCATTATTGTCAGCCGTATTCTTTCATTTTCCCATTCTACTTGCCAACCTTCCATCCACACCGTCCCCTTATCCCCCGACTCGCCATCCTCGCCTGATGAACAATTTCCCTCTCCTTCTCTCGCCCCCCGTCGACTAACACCCCATCAGCAACAAGCACCCTTCCATCCACCATCGTCATCTCCACATCTCGTCCCGTACATCCATGCACGACAGTCGTGATAGCAGAGACACCCCCCTCATCCTCATTCTCCCACCCCCAAGGCGCTGCCCCAATTCCACCCCTTCCATACGGATCCAGCACCACCAAATCCGTCTTCTTCCCCACCTCCAAACTCCCAATATCGCCTTCCAAACCCAAAGCCCTCGCCCCGTTAATCGTTGCCATCTCTAGCGCTATCTCAGCCTTCACTACCCCCGCATCATGACGAACACCCTTATGGAGTATCGACGCGAGATGCATCTCCTGCATCATATCGTAGTGATTCGAACAAGGCGCACCGTCTGTCCCCAGCCCCACATTGATCTTATATCCCGGTGCCAACATCTCCGGAACGGGCGCTACGCCCGACGCGAGCTTGAGGTTCGAACTCGGGTTATGCGCCACCGATGTCTTCGTTTCCTCTAAAAGAGGAAGATCGACATCGAGATCCAGATTCACCATATGTGCCAGCACGAGATTATGGGTCGCTTCCCCATCATCCCGAGTCTGTCCACAGAGATTTGCATCCCGGATGAATTCCATCGCGCTGCAGTGATATACCTCGTGGTAGATGTCTCGGTCTTTAGGCGCTTCCGCGCAGTGCATCGTTATGGAGATACCGTGTTCGGCGCATGCGTCGCCTAGCCCCCGGAAGAGGGATATTGGGGCGCCGCGCGGTGTCCCCGCCCCGGCCCAGACGTGGAGTCTGTTGTGGTGGGTGCTGTGGTGGGTTGAGTGGGCGGAGATGAGGGATGGGATGGACATCGCGAGGAGGTCTTTGTCGCGTGGGTCGGTGATGGAGAGTTGCCGGTTCGTTTCGGGGAATTTGACCAGTTTGCTCTGTTAACCGATCGGCCGGGTTAGGTTTTGGTTTGGACGTGGAGGTCCAAGTGGGGAGTGTGGGGTGGACACGAACCAAGCATCCCCGGATTCCCATCTCTCCTACTGCGTCGCATACATTCTCCCATCCTGCGCGGTGGGTGATCATTGGGTCGAGGAAGCAGGTTGTTCCGGTCTTGAGCATCTCGGCGATGGTGAGGCGGGCGGCGTGGTAGCCATCCTTTTCCGCGTAAGAGGATTCAAGCGGCCAGATGGCGTCGCAGAGCCAGTTGTGCAGGGGGAGATCTTCGGCGAGGCCGCGCAGGAGCGACTGGACGAGGTGCGCGTGTGTGTTGATTAGCCCGGGGATAATGATCTTGCCGGTGCAGTCTATCGTCGTCTCGGGGGTAATGTCGGCTGGGACGGGACAGTTGCCGATCGCCGCGATGCGGGTGTCCTTGACCAGGAGGAAGCCATCGCGGATGATCTCGCGGGTGTTGTTGATGGTGATGATGGTGGCATGCAGGAAGAGGGTTGCTTCGGGTGTTCGTGAAGTCATGATGATCGTTAGATGTGTATATCCTCGTCGGTTTGCTCGCCAGCAGTAGTCGGTGGATGGATGGATGATGTTGACAGCTTTATCCGGGCGGGGACGATCCCTGTCGATCTGCCAGTGATAAGACGAGCTCGGCCGAGGCATCAGCCAGTCATCCGTCAGTTGAATCCAATCTTATCTTGCAATCCCCGTTGTCGGACGCGAGGAGAGATATACAAGATGGACCCTCTCGGCAGTTGTCAATTCCTGATGGCACAGTCGGTCAGTCAATGCCGTTATGGAGACCAAGTCCATCCCCATCTCCACCAGCGAGAACCCTTCCATTGTGGGGGAGGTTGAGGACCTCCCGTCCACGTCCAATTGGCAGTACTGGAAGCACTACCTGACCAGCCGAGATGGCTGGATAGGCGACTATGTATGTTCCAGATTTCTTTGAGGTGCATCGCTAATTTCTCGCAGGATTATCTGTATCTCATCACGCCCAACATATATCCACTTAATCGGCGCTACAAGGATGTCGAACCTCCCTTTTATGGTCTTAACGATGAGGTCCCGATCCTTCTGACCCTCATTCTCGGCCTCCAACACGCCCTGACCATGATCGGATCCATCGTGTCCCCACCCCTGGCACTCGCCAGTGGGGCCTTCTACCTCGACTCAGTCCAATCCCAGTATCTCGTCTCTGCGGCGTTCATCACCACCGGCATTTCCACCGCTCTGCAAGTAACGCGTGTGCATATCTTCAAAAGCCCTCTGTACATCGGAACAGGCTTGCTATCTGTCGTTGCCCCAACGTTTGACGTCATTGCCGTAGCAATGAACTACGCAGATGCACGGTACAAGCGCGGGACCTGTCCAACCGATGAGAATGGCTCCAAACTGGCATGTCCTGAGGCGTGGGGTGCCATGTTAGGGACACTTCTGTGCACCGTGTGGATTCAAATTCTCATGTCGCTCGTCCCACCTAAGGTTCTTCATCGAATCTTTCCCAAGGTTGTCACGGGCACTCTTTTGCTTCTGGTCGGAGTGTACCTGGTATCCAGCGGGATGGAGAATTGGGGTGGGAGCTCCAACTGTGAAGGAGGTACAGGGTATTATGCACTTTGTCCGGATATAGACGCTCCGAGGCCGTTGCCATGGTATGTCAAGCCGCTGTTGTGACTGCACAGACCACCCCTAGAAAGGTCCAGACTAATGTTAGCAGGGGAGATCCCAAGCTCATCGGTCTGGGGTTCAGTGTCTTTGTCACCATCATCATTGTCGAGTTTGTCGGCTCCCCACTCATGAAATCGGCCTCCGTGATCCTTGGACTGGCCGTTGGCTGCGCAATCTCTGGGGCAACGGGGTACTGGTCTCGCGACGAGATCGACGCTGCTCCCGTTGGCACCTTTCTTTGGGTTCACACGTTCCCCTTATCGGTAGATGGCGCTCTCGTCCTCCCGTTGCTTATCATGTTTGTATGCGAGGCTGTCAGCTGCATGCCAGATATCCTCGCTACAGCGGAGATCTCAAAGGTGGACATTGAGGGCCGGGAATTTCAGAGCCGTATTCAAGGAGGGATCCTGTGTGACGGGTTGGGAAGTCTGATCAGTGCACTGGGCACGTCAATTCCCATGGTCAGTCAGGCTGGTAATAATGGAGTTACCTCGTTGACTGGATGTGCTGTACGTTACCCCCTGGATTTCAAGTGCTCTGTGCTAAAGGCTACAGAGCCGACGCGCGGGCTGGTGCGCCTCTGCCTTCCTGCTCCTGATGGGCATCTTCGGCAAATTTGGTGCAGTCTTCGGCTCCATGCCGCCCTCTGTACTTGGGGGTATGCAAGTCTTCCTATACAGCACGATAGTTGTGGCCGGGGTACGCGTCCTCGCGCTGGTGGACTTCTCGCGTCGTAATCGGTTCATTCTCACCGCGTCACTCGGCATCGGCTTCATGGACATCGTGTCTCCTAGCTGGTTTAGCTCCGTGTTAGCGTACAGCGGGTCGAACGTGCATCTGCAGGGGTTTGAGGAGGGGATTAATCTGATTGTCGAGACGCCGTTTATCATCTCTGCGGTGGTGGGGGTTGCGTTGAATCTGATGTTGAAGGAAGAGACGAGTAGTCGCAGTGTTGGCAGTGTGCTTCCGGAGTAGACCGAGAAATCCAGGATAAATAAAGAGACCGGGGCCGGTCACCTGCCTGGGAACCTGACCTGGGCGCGTCTTCAAGACGCGTTTCTTGCTGCTTCACTTTCTTCCCTTCTTGCCCGCTTTCAACAGATCAAGCTCTTATGAATACCTGTCAGTGTGGGCCATTGCTTCCGCGCAGGGCCTTCGGCATCGTCCAGTGAGTACAATACAATCGAGCAAGCTACGTACATCTAGCTGTCATGCAGTGTGAGTTGCTAGGACAAATCTCTTTGCAAGACCCGAGGAAAGTCAATCTCATCAAGAAGAGTGGCATCGTAAGGCAGACAGGGCTAGAGGGCTAGGGAGCCGGAACAGAACGCAGATACTGAATCATAACAACTGCCATGGCTTTGTAAGAAGACTATTTCATATCAATATCGAGAAAATATATACTGATCATTGCCTCATCACACAGCCTGTTCCATGGCCTTCAACTTCTCCTGCAACGCGGAAAAATTCCTCTTCATCGCCTGCGCATTGAACTGCTCTCCCGTCAGCAAAGGATACTTCTTCTTCGGTCCTTGAATCAGCGCATCCTTGCATGGCTGATTGAAGTACGCGATGCTGTACCGATCCCCGAAATAATCCCCCGGCTCCGACGGCGCCTTGACACGGTGAAATGTCGACTTAAACCGATCGTCCGACCACGACATCAACAAATCCCCGATGTTGCACACAATATCCCCTGTATGTGCCTCCACGCGTGTCCATTCATCGCCGATCCCAAACTGTGTCACGATCTCTCTTCCCGGACAGATCTCCAACCCGCTCTGCCCTTCTTTCTGGAACAGGAGGGTGAGGAAGTCCCAGTCGGCATGGGCACCGGCACGGTGGTACGTCTTGCCGTCGGGCTTCTCAGGCAAGGCGTAATAATGGAGGAGTCGCAAGGTGGTTTGCTCGTTTGGTCGGGAGACGTCGTGGCATTTGATGAAGAAGTCGTCGTCGAAGCCGAGTCCGCGCGCGAAGCAGCGCATGAGTCGCTCGGAAACGTCCTGGACGCGATGCATGAATGCAAGTGAGACGTCTTTGAAGCCCGGGAGATGCTTATCGTCCATCCACAATCCCTCCATGTTCTCCCCGAACTGCAGCTGATACGACTCTTTCGTGTCTGGCTGACCGGTCGAGGGCCTGATCTGCGCCTTCTTCTCCCATCCGACGTTGTTAGCGTTCCACGGGACAGTGCCTTTGATGTCTTCGGAGAGCGAGAAAAAGCGCTCGGAGATGGTGAACATGGCTTCGATCTCCTCTATAGTGAGACCATGGTCGCTGATCGTAAAGAAGCCGACGTTTTCGGCGGCGTGGACCAGCTCGGCGGTGATTTCATCGATGCGGCTGTCGAAATCCCGCAGCGAGATGCGCGGAATGGGACGGTCGACGTATCGGGTGGCCATGATGCTGCCAAGGAAAGGGGTGCGTATAGTGGAGGTACGATGAGGTGTTAACGAGGCGACTAATATAGTCCGGGGGCTTCCCCTCACTCGGGCTCGGCCGAGCTTATCAAATGGGCTGCGATGTCGGCCGTTCGCCCGCCCTTATCAGGGTTCAAGCTGCCAGTCCCCCAACCTCCGGCCGACCCCCAAACCACCATGAGCGCCATCCGTCGACGTCTGGCATGTGTCGAATGCACGCGGAGGAAGATCCGCTGCGACAAGGTTGTACCGTGTCGCAATTGCACCCGACGGTATTCCCTCCACCTTTGCTTATCACAACCCCCAGCTAACCCCACCAGAAACATCACCTGCTCCCGCGCGAGAGGCAACGACGATGAAGTCGAGCGACTCCAAGCCCGCGTCCAGGAGCTGGAATCCGCCCTCAGAGACGCCACTGATACGCCCTCCCAAACCCTATCCGGGTCTGAGCTCACCCGCCATGATAGCACAACGCCCGCCCCCGAGGGAGTGGAGTCCCCCGAGCGCGAAATGGCGGACGCCGCCACCATCCTGGAGTTCCTCGCCTGGGGCCGACGGAAGAACCCGGCCTACCACGACATGCTGGCCCGCGAGAACGGTGTCGAGCATCAATCCCCCGGCGACGTGACCAGTAGAGACGAAATAAACCCCGAGCTCGGCGCCGCCCTGGGCTATCTTCAGCTCCTCCTGCCGCACCGCGACCTCCTCCAGCAGCTCGTCACCTACCACTGCGAATGCGTCCTCTGGTACCACGGCTCCTTCCACTCTCTCCGTCTGCAAGACGACATCGACGCTTTCTACCGCATCGCCAACGGCCGAATATCCCACCCCCGCGTCGACTTACAATGGGTTGCCCTGCTCTTCTCCGTCCTCACCGGCGCCCTCGCCTGCGCTCCCCGCAACACCGCCCAAGCCTGGGGCGTCTCCAGCTGGGAGCAAACGCCCCTGGCCCAGCGCTGGTTCAAAGCCGTGTCTACCTGCCTCCACCACGCAGACTTCACCGCCATCCACTCCTCCTACGCCGTGCAAGCCATCGCGACCCTGACCATGTCCGCCCACCTCCTCGGCTTCTCCAACAGTCTCTCCGTGCTCCTCGCAGCCGCAACTCGCATCGCGCAAGGGCTGGGGGTACACCGTCTAGGCCCGGAACGCGAAGACACAGCTACTCCATCGTTAATCGACCGCGAAATCGGTCGAAGAGCATGGTGCCAACTCTGCATCCAGGACTGGTTCTCCATCCCCTTCTCAGAAAGCTATCTCATCCCGCGCGGATGCGTCAACACCGCCCGTCCACGAAACTGCCACGACGAGGACATGCGGAAGCTCTCCGATGATGAACCGACCCTGACAAACTACTCCCGCTTCTTCTACCAAGTCGCAGCCCTCATGCCCTCCCTCCAAGATAACATGACCGCCTCCAACACGCTTTATACCCGCTACGAGAAAGTCCTCGAACACGACCGTAAGCTCCGCGCTCTCGCCACGCAGAGCCTCCCCTTATACCTCAGAAACATCCCCGTAGAGGACCACCCCGAGTGGCCCCGCTACGTCCCCTGGGCCCGTCGCAGCTTAGCCATCAGCTCCTCCCACAAGATCATCATGATCCATCGCAAGTTCCTCGAATTGAGCTTCACCAACCCGGTCTTCGCCCGCACACGCAGGACGTGTGTCGCTGCCGCCAGAACTATCATCAAGGAGCAGAAAGAGGCTATTCATGATAGCGGACCCGTCTTGTGGATTCATCATGCTTTTAGTGTCGCTGCTAGTGTATGTCCCTGCCTCGCTCACCAGCCCCCTCTTCCCAAAAGTACCCCTACACCTCCCCTACATCTCCCCAACCCAAACTCATACTAAGAAAGAAAAACCAGATAATCCTCTGTCTAGACCTCTTTCACCGCCCCCCCTCAGACCCAGAAACAACCTACCACCGCCAACTCATCCACGACGGCCTAGAGATCCTCTCGCACAGCGAATCAAACATGATCGCCCGTCGCGGCGTGCACCTCCTCGAGGCTTTACTCGCTCGAGAACGCGACAGAAACGAGGTCACTCATTTACCTTCTCCGCAGCATGAGCGGGACGGGACCGGTTACGCGCACGCTCACGGCGACAGCGATCTCGATCTGGATCTGGTGGGTGTGATTCGGTCGTTTTGTGAGGAGGGGAGGTGGTCAAGGACCCGCAGTCGGACGCTTTCCCGGGATGGGAGTCAGGGATGGCCGCCTGTTGAGCGGGTTGGGGGGTGGGAGAGAGATGGTCTGGGAGGGGAAGGGGAGTGGGAGAGGGGGGTGCGAGGTCGAGGTCCAGGAAGGGACAGGCGGAGTCGTCGACGGGGGCGACGTCGCCGTCGTTGGAGGGGTTGGCCATGTCCTACGGGTTGGAGTGTGCGGAGAGCTTGGAGGATATCCTGGTGTTGGCGACGAATTACGCTAATTAATTGGGATTGGATTGGATTCCGATTGTGACTGTGATTATGATTCTGATGGTTAATTGGGCGGGAGTCTGGTGTTGTGTTGTGATATCAATACGCTAGATGCAACAAAATCACTTATTTTCCATTCTACAATTTCTATTCTATCGTTATCCATAAGACAAAACAGCAATAACCATATCAGATTATGTGGACACATTCTTTCGATCGGGTCTTTGCTACATTGACGCTCTACGGAGTAATTCTATAGATTCCTCGGGCATCCGGCATGCATGCATCCATCGTCCCATCCTCACTCAACGCAAGATAAACTTTCGCCACCCACCCCTTACATTGAACAAACCTCTTTGCCATTGACTATACAAACTCCCCTCCAGCACACACAGACCATTCATAAAAGTGAATTACTATTGAATATATTTTAACTATTAGATATATATAGCTACCTACCATTTATATATGTATGCAAGAACCAAGTACCGACACGACCAACGACCAACGACCAACGACCAACGACCAACGACCAACGACCCCACCAGCTGAACGAACATACTATACCGCCCACCGGGTAATGTGATTTATTGCATCCAATCAAGGAAACAACCATCGCTCAGCTGAGAGAACCGCCACACCACACCACGCCATAGTGAAAAGGAAAAGGAAAAGGAGAAGGGAAAGGCAGAGGAAGAGGGGAGGGGAGGGGGCTGGTATTAGTGCGAAATCAACAGGGAATGGAATAGTCCTGTCGGGGTTGAGGTGTAAAGTAAAGTAAAGACAAGTAAGGTAAGACATGGGAATATTGAATGAAGAGGATAAATGGGTTGGACATAGGAAATAGGAAATGAACTGAAATGAATTGTGAGGGAATGTGAGGGAATTTGAGGGAATGTGTGGCACAGGAAATATTAATGCAGGGAAAGGTGGAAGGAAAAGTAAGAGAGTGAGAGATTAGAACTCAGAAGGAAAGAGAAAGATTGAAAGATTGAAAGATGGAATGTCCCTCAGATGAGATGAGGTGAGAGGTATCACAGACATATCGCATTATTGGTACATGAGAGCAGGTGGTCTTGGCCAGCTGTCACGATTGAGATGGGTTGAGAGAGAGAGATAGAGAGTACGGGATCACGGTCGGGATCAGCAGCGTCACTGGCGCGCGTTATCCAGCAGGAGCTGGGTGGCCTCGGACCACCCCGAGGCATCGGCCATCTCGAGGACGGTCTGGCCGGTCTCGTCTTTCTGGCTGACGTCGACGCCGCCGCCCTGCTCGATCAGCAGACGCAGAAGTGCGAGGTCGCGGTATTCGATCGCCTGCATGATGGCGTTCCAGTCGCGGTAGGTCTTGTTGGGATCGGCGCCCTTCTCGAGAAGCAACTCGATCATAGAAACGTCACCGTCAGGGCATCGTCGGATCGCTTTGACGAGTGGCAAGTGCTCGCCCGGGGCGTTGGGATCGGCGGCTCCCTCGTTCAAGAGAAAGTTGACGATGTCGACGTATCGCTCCCGCAGCGCGGTGGTCAGTGGCGAGAACACGCCACCATTCTTGTATTCCACGCTGGCACCGGCTGCTAGAAGCAACTTGATGCTCTCCAGCTGGTTCGCCAGTACTGCCATCTCCATGACTCCCTTGTGTGCGGACAGGTCAGTGACAGCGGGAAGCAGCATTTGGAGAATGACGGGTGACTTCACGGCCATGCATACTGGCCAGTCCTGACCGCGCTGGTTGGCATCAGCGCCGTGTGCGAGTAGGAAGGTGAGGATGTCCGTGCGGTTCTCCCGGATTGCGGTAGTCAGCGCCGTGTGGCCCTGGGCATTGCGGTCATTCGGGTTGGCTCCCCCCTGCTCCACCAGCCATTTCAGCGCCTCCAGGTTGTTCATTTGCACGGCCATCTCGACGATGCCTGGCGGCTGGTGGAGGTCGGCTCCAGCATCCACCAGGTCAGCGAGGAGTTGCGGACGGCGGTGGGTAACGCACTTCCAAGCCGGGTACTCAGATGCCATGACATTGGGGTCGGCACCGTTGGCCAGGAGCAGGGCGAAGAGGTCGGCGCGGTTGTCGCGGATAGCCGAGCAGAGCGGGGTGTAGATGCCGTCCTTCTTGGAGTTGGGGTCGACACCGGACTGCAGCAGGATACGCACGGCATCAACATTGTTGATACTCACTGCCTGCTCCATGATACCGGGTGTCTTCTTGACATCGGCTCCGCGCGCAAGGAGGACGTGTAGACAAGCTGGGCGGTAGATGGCCGACCAGAGCACATGCTCCGGACCCGGCAGGTTGGGGTTCGCTCCGCGGTCCAGCAAGGTCGTCACAATGATGACTTGATCGGCTTGCACCGCCTCAAGCAGCGCCGTCTTGCCATCGCGGCCCTTGTGGTTGGGGTCGCTGCCCGCCTCTAGCAAGAGGTCCACGAGCCGCTGCGGCGCCCCTTTGCGGATGAGTTCGATCAAGATCGTCCTGCCGTTGCGCGTCTCAAGATTTGGGTTGCCGCCGTGCGCGAGCAGCAGCTGCACTAGGTGCATCTTGGTGTTGGCGATAGCGCAGCCTAGCGGTGACTCCCGATCCAGTCTGGCCGTGTAGTTCGGATCGGCGCGGTACTTCAACAGAATTGTCGCTCCATCAATAAAAGACTCCTCTACCGCTGCAAGAAGCGGCGTCTTGCCGTCCTTGTCTGGCACGTTTGGGTCGGCACCAAAGAGAAGCAACAACCGCATTCCCTCGAAATCGCGCTGACTCACGGCCTCGTTGAGCGGATGAATGCTGTCCACCATGTCCGGCGAGACACCGCTGTCCAGCAGCTGTTCCATCAACTTGTGGTTTCGCCCGCGCACCGCGGAGGCCAGGGCACTGCGTAGCTGGGTGACGCTCGCGGCGCTAGTCCGGCTAGGCGCGCGATGAGGCGGGGTCACGTCCACTGTAGGCTGGGTGAACTGGGCTGATAGCCCCAGATCGGGATCGGTATCGCTGTCAGCTTGCATCAGGGTGTCTGCGCCTGAAGCCAACGAGCTCGTGCGAGTCGGGGGGTCCTCCGGGAGTCGGCGGAGACGTTGCGACACGTCAAAGGAAGGTCGTAGTTGGTCGGAGCTGGCGAGGAAGAGAGAATCGAGTGAGAGGATGGAAGACAAGTTGTCTGAGATGCTTTCGGGGGGAGGGGGGAGGGGGGCGCTACGGACGCTCCCGCTCGTTCTGGGGTCAATAATCTGGTCGAAACTGGGCGGCCCCTTCGGGGGCACTGCAGGCACAGGCTGGGAGGGCGGTGGAGAAGGCTGCATGGAGACGACCGGGTGTTTCCTTGCAGCCGTCTCAGGCAACCCACGTTCAAGAGACTTTGTCTTGTTGATGCCCATGACAGAGCGACCTTTCGCCATGCGGTCGAGCGCAGCAGCTAAGCCTGCGTACCCGATGCCCTCGGACTCCTCCGGACGGGTTTCCCCGAGCGACCAGTGAAATGCCATGACACTGATCTGGAGAGTTTCCGTCGTGTTCTTCAGCGACTCGCGAATGCGACTCAGTTCCTGACCAGGGCGGTGCCATCCTCGCTGCAGTTTTCCCAGGGCGCCGCGGTGCTCATACTGGATCAGCTTGGTGATGACCTTGTCGAGATGTTGGAAGTCGCGATAAGCGGCGACGAACTTCTTTTCCACCTCCTGGATGATCACTTCGGGCAGCGCGCGGTTAGCAGCGGTCGACTCGGTGATTCCGGCTTCAATGGCCCACAGGGCGCGACAGGTATCGAGGAAGGTCTGCGCCAGATCACGGAAGCCGTCGGGCAAGTCGTGAGCGGTACTGAGGTAGTCGAGCATGTGCATGGAGATGCGATTGCCCAGCTGCGTGGCCTGCGCCGAGACGGCGAAGACGGCATCCTCCGCCGTGGGAGCCATGGTGTTCGCGAGGTGAGAGTGACAGCTTGTCGTCTAATTCGCAGGAGGGAGGGAGATCAGGTTCAGCTCCGGGGCGCAGGGCAGGAGCTCAGGATTTATTTGAAGGCCGGCGGGCGATCCAGCGTGCGCGAGACAATCATTTTCGGGGTCGACCCGCTCGGCCTTTGCTACGTCCACGGTTGGATCACCCCTAATAGTGAGTTTCATTGGCCTAATCTCGGGCTGGTGACGGAATTGCGTGGATGCTCCAGTTAAAGGGACATGATCAGGAACGGTGGTGCGCCTGATAACCGGGGGAGGGGCCAACCATGTGGCCGCCCAGGCTTTCAGTCAGCGGTTCCCTTAATTCCCTTGGGCCTGCACCGGGATCTGACTAGATTGCTTCGATGGGTCGATCGAATCCTTGGCCAGGGAGAGTAGTGGACCCAATCGCTTGTCTTTTCCTCCCGCGCCGTTGGTTGTTGCCGGGTCCTGCTCGGTTTCAGTCTCCCACGCTTCTTCTTTGTGCACACTCGAGTGTTTCGGTGATTGCAAAATGGTGTCACTCTGGAGGAGCTCCGGGTCATCTTTTGATACCATGACGAGGGCAATTGGCTAGGAGCAGTTCATAGACTTGCAGTCGCAGTAGTCCCAGCTGAACTGTGGGCGCAACGCTAGGCGAATGCTCGGGGGAATGTGAGTGGTCCGATCCGCCTCCTAGACGGGATGAGGGCAAGGCAACCTTCACCGGAACCAACCCAAACTTCGACGGACCCAAACCTTCATGCATCGCGCCGAGGGATTCGCGCAGCCACGGCGCAGGTGGGGACGCGCAACAATCTCTTTGACTGTGAACCCACCAACATCGGTCCAGGCCCCGTAGCTAATAAACCCGCCCTTTGTTCCACCGGCTGCCTGCTGTCTGCCTCCGTCGGCTCTGCTGGACGGGCGTCGTGAGAGGCTCCCGTTGTGGTACTGCACCGGGGATAAGCTGATAAGGTGGTGATCGACGGTCTTGGAAGGTGGAAGAAGGAAGGTGGGAAGAAGGGGGCTCCTGAAACCAGGCCCGCAGCGTGATCCTGCTGCGAATCCTTCGAATCTCCCGCGTCGACGATGAACCCGGTCTCTGGCTCCAGGGTCTCACTCTGGGGATTATTATTGTGGGAGTGCTGGATTGGACTCGACTGCTGGCCTGCTGGACTGCTGGCCTGTCAGCTCAACCTCCACTGACGAACTCTTGACTCGGGACATTTGTTTCCCTGATGACGCCGGATGAGCACTGATCGGTTCTCGACCTGCATCGAGGCGGATACCCCGGTGCGATCTAGATCCTGTGTGGGGAAAAAAATGCCGCACAAAGGTTATTTATTAGAAATCGGTGGGGTGCAGTGGTTTTGCTCCCGATGACGATGACGATGATGACTATGATCGCCCCCCTAAGCCTGGAAGTAACTGCACGCTTCGAGAGAACCGAGACAAGAAATGATGGCCATGTCGTGTCATGGATGCAACGATGATTGTTGCAGGGAAACAGATGGCTTGTTTTGTTTCGCAGAGAAGATGAAGACGCGCTGCAGCGTGGCTGGTCCGCGTCGCCGCCCGGACTGTCTGCATAAGACGGTCACGTGGGATGAGTCAGCCGTGCACGGGGTGGGTCTTGTGCAGGCATAAGGGGCAGCCCCTGATTCAGTGGCGACTGAATAATTGGGCAAACCATCCAATACGAGGGAATGCACGAGGACAAAGAAGACAGCTGTCCTACCAACGAACTAACCTAGTGCGTTGAGGAGATTCAGGGCAAATTACCGGCCTACCCATAGTGTGAGTCACATCGTGGTTCTATATTTCTCAAAAGAGGAGGGATTATTGATCACTCGGGAGATATCCTCCCCATGCCGAGGTATAAGTGTCATATGCCACTGTCCTCAAGTACTCGATAGATACCAGCTGAGGATGGATTGACAGCCAGAAAGTCAAATCCCTGCAGGACATGAGTCGGTTCAAAAAGCCAACTTTTGCCAACGAGAACCAGGGTCCCACTATTAGGCTGCTAGACATCTGCAAGGGCGATCATTCCCATCTTCAAGTTCCTACAGTGTGCCAGGTAGCACCATGAAGTAGGGCAGTGCCCAAAATCAACACAAGACTAGGAAACCATATCGATCCTTCGCCCCTCTCGACTTTCCTCAATCCACCAACCCTAACCAACACCAACAACCCCCCTATCATTCAACCCACTCGGCCCCGTCGGCAGTCACACCTGAAACCCCCCCCTCACCCTCACTCACCTCACCCTGAACTGAAGAAACGGCCCGTCCTTCATGCTGGTGAAACACCACCGCGTCTCATACTCGCCCTCGCGATCGCCCGTCCCCTCGCCAACCCGCCCCAACTGCCCATCCGCCGCTCGCATATCGAACCGCCACAAAACCCGCGCCATCGCCACCGTGAACTCCATCACCGCCAGCCCCTTTCCAACACACGCTCGAGGCCCAACGGAGAAAGGGGCAAATGAGCTCGACGCGGACGTCGTCTTCTCGAGCCACCGCTCCGGTCGGAACACGGACGGTTCGGGGAAGACTGCCTCGTCGTGATGCAGCGCGTATATCCCCGCGCCGACCTCCATTCCTTCCGGGATCAACTCTCCGTCGATCGTTGTTCCGCCGGCGAGAACCTCCCGCCACAGTGCGCCTCCCACCGAGGGTGTCAGGCGCATCGCCTCGTCCAGGCACGCGCGGAAGTATGTGCATGACGAGAGCGTCACACCCGGACGGATGTCCTGCACGTCGGCAAAGGTGGATCGGATCTCCGCTGTTGCCGTCGCCAGCGCATCGGGATACCGAGTGAGATAGAAGAACGTCGCCGCCATCGCGATGGACGTCGTGTCGGAGCCTATATATCAATCACATCTCTCAGCTCAGCTCACTCTCCCCATCGTCGACGAACAGCACAGCACATTGCGAATACATACCCGCCACAATGAGCAGATTACTTTCCGCGTACAACTCCGGCGCCGGAAACCCCTCGCCTGTATTCGGATCCTTCGCGGCAAGCAGCTTCGAGCAGATGTCCACGACTCCGTCACTCGGTGGGCTCTTCCTCCGTTCCTCCACGATCATTTGCGATGTCCGACCGAAGCGCATTGCCTTCTGCAGCGCCCCGGGGTAGACGAAGCGACCGAGCCCGAGGGGCTCGATGGCAGGAAGTTCGGTTAGGATACTCACGCGACGCATCTGAGCCAACATGTCGTCGAGGATGAAGTGGTAGTCCGGTTTTTCGAGCGCGTGTAAAGAGCGCCCGAAGACGAGCTCCGTCATGACGTCGAAGGTGTAGTAATCGCCTGGCGAGTGTCAGTTTTAGTCCGTTTGCCGATGGGGGCAGACGTACACCACTCGGACATATTCTTCGGGCATGTCCATCCATCGTCTGTTGTCTGGTAGGCAGGACTGAAATCATCCTGTCTCTCCGCGAGACGACTGCAGAGCCGATCCACCGTGCGGAGGAGAGTCGGCTCAAGGAGCTTTAGATTCTGGTCCGACAGCCCTTGGCTCAGGATGCGACGCTTCCGACCGTGCACTTTGTTGTCGACCGCGGTCAGCGTGCTGGAGAAGCCCTTCCGCAGGCCAATGCTGTGGTAAGACGGGCTTTTCTGGACATTCTTGCCGAAGCCATAGATATCTGCCCCGTCGTCGGTCAGTCTGTCTGTCTGTCGTCTTCTGGTCTGGGGGAACTACATACCGTGGAACCCGGTACTAGAAGCGAATATCACGCGATGTGGCGCGTATCGCACGATCGGGCCTATATCAAGGTGAGTGAGTGGAACCGTCCCAGAAGATGAGAGTGAGACAAGAGCTACCATATTTCTTGTGACACCTCAGCATATCAACATGCAGGTCACCCCGTTTACCGTAGTAGACGGCCCGCCAGCTCGTCAGCTTCGCGAGCCACGGACCGGGGTATTTCGCCAGCGGGTGGAAGTACAGTCTGTGGATGCAGAGGGCAACCACCTAACACAAAGTCAGTAAGTCGGTATGTACATAGTACAACGGCGCGGGGATTGGTGGTGCGCACGTAGACAAAACCAGCGAGTCCCCCCCAGCCCGCGACTCGCAAAAGTGATTGAAAAAGGTCTGTCACAGACGATGCCATAGTCCAGCGGTCCATCATGGATTGAATTGACCAGAGTTGAGGGAATAAAAATGAACACCCAGACAAAAGCCCATCCATCTCATCTGGGTTTTAAATATGGAAATTAGGCAGCGAGGACATGCTCAATCCATGTCTGCTGTCTCAGTCTGTCTCCGTCTCTCTCCGTCTCTCTCCGTCTCACTCACCGTCCCCGTCTCCGTCTCGCTATCTCCGTTCGGGGGCCTCATGACACACGTACTCGGATCTGCACGCCTGCGTGTCGCCAACTCCACCCGTCCAAAATTCACTCAGCTTAATAGGCAAGATGTTGCTGACATCATCATCCTCGCCGTCATCATGCATCGACGAGACGAGGCCAGCGAGACAAAGCGGAATAATGATTCCCGTACACCACCACTCCGCCACGCTTATCCGCAGCTCCACCCAACCAATCTATTGTCCGGATGGGCATCAGTCCATGTGATCGGGATTATTATTAGGAAGCGATCAGGCGTCCAGCGCGGGACTAGCTGTGGCCTTGTGCCGGTAGGTGAGTTGTTAGTTGAGTCTTAAAATGAGATTAGACGTATCATGGATAGATTCCAGACTTTGGGGGGAGGGCTGATATGCTTTGGCATACAAAGCATCACCCGGCAGCGTACGCCCAATAAAAGGCATATTCCCACAAATAATGCATCACACACAATAGCCATCTGTTCGAAAGTCTGGTTTGGCGTCGTAGCTGGAACTATTCACATTCTACATCATACACGCTGCATAACCCGAGTCAGAATAGAGCACCTTTCTCAGCAAAACAGGCAGAATCACCTGCACCCAGCCTCTCGATTAGCACTTCACTTCACGAACGAATTTGACACCGTCATTCTGATTCCGATAGATCCGTTCTACATGGGCTTCCTTTTCAAGGCGAAGATATACTCCCTTCTTGTCTTCATTGGACTGGATGCTCCTGATAATCTCCCTCGAGAGCCATGGGTCTGTGTACGACGAGTGCGCTTCATCGATTACAATCACTGCCACTGGACTAAGATATTCTTCATGACGATGGCCCGGAAAGTCCGTTTCGAGCATCTGAGAGAGTCGTTTCCAAGTATCATCATGGGTTATTCAACTTCTCAGGGGATGACCACCTCTCAAAATGAAAGGTCCTTCCCCCGATGGCTGTATAATAATCACCAAGGAGCTTAGCAAGCGTCGTAATGTCACTCGCGGAGGTGCCAGAGACAAAGGCAAACCTGTGAATATTGAGAACGGTCGCAAACTTTCTCACTGTGTCCCAACGAGGAGATATGAATGAGTTACTGGTGACTGCTCATCGCCACATCATGTTAGTTATGGGCTCAAACAGCGGGACGGAATCTGACCTCCGGGTACCTGGTAAGGTTGTAGCACTTCTGGACGGGGTTCCCACCTGGCATTTACCAAACCTGGCAGGGACAGCTGGGCGTATCTTCCGTATTGGCCAGAGCTGCTACCAGGCAACAGTTTTTGTGCTGACATCGGCTGCCCCTCCTACTTAGTGTGTTCTCCTCAGGCACCAAATATTGCACGGGCATCTCAACGCGTCTTTGCTCCGGGCAACTGTTGCTGCTAGGCAGAGTGTCCCGCCTGATGAACGCGTCAATCTCCGCATCCTGGTGACTTGCCAGGGAATGATGGTATTTGAGGTATGCATCGCCGAGCTTTAACTTGGATGTAAAGGCGAAGACTTCCTGGTGATACGGACATTCTATGTAGAGTTGGCATACTGGGACAAATGCGGTGTAATGGCCGGCAGCCACGGTGCGATCAAGCGCGTGGTCTGTCTTGACGCGCGTTAATGGGCGTGTTAATGGGATCGCGCCTAGGGTGATGAAATAAGACGTGTAGACTATTGATATTCAAAAGATGAAGGATGGTGGGAGAGTGGGAGATGATACGGAAAGGAATTTTGCGGAGGAGAGAGAGATGAGACAGTGAGGGTGGAAAGCGGGAGAAGGGAAAGAAGGGAGAGAATCAGGCTTGGTCCAGACTGCCATGGGCTTGGTTGTACCTGCACATCGCTCCATATAGTAGTAATTGCCAATGGTCGCAGTCCACCAGTTGCCTGATACGATGTGACTGGGAGAAATAACCATCCAATCGGTTCAAAGCCATGGTGTGGCACCCAATATTGAAGTTGAAGAATTGGATAAATATGTTGTAAATCTGTGAATATGATGGTGCTATTCATCCGTATTGAAATTGTACATGACGGGAAAATATATAGTGCCTATCCCAGCCATCCTCCCGCCACACTCATTTAGTCCCAACAGTCCGGAATGAATCCAGGGACATGGCTGGTTAATTCTAGGATTGATGCTTAATTAAGGCCATTATGAAACAATTCCCTGCCCGTTGCATAATTATCACCGATCTTCACCAAATCAAGCCAATCTATAAGCAGTCTAAAAATAAGCAATCCTTCGTTCACGTTTTCTCCCAGGGCAAATAAAGTAGTCGGAAATACGTTCCGGAATATAGTTTCAAAACAGACCCGCTCTGCCAATCCCCGACCATCCAAACGAGACTATATCGCTACAACATTGCAATAATAGTTCCGAATCATCCCAGATACCTTTTTCCAGCTGAATCTTATAATCGCGAATATGTCCCTTCCTGCTCAAGACCTGATCAACCATCAACCATCATCCATCATCCAAACAATTCAACGATCCCAACACCACCACCACCACCACCACCACCCATACAAACGAAATACCACCAACCCAACCGACAAAATGCCCTTCAAACTCCTCCTCTTCGTTTCCCGCCTCCCGCACATCTCCCCCGAGGCCTTCAAATCCCAATACGAAGAGCACATCACCCTCGTCAAGCGTCTCGCAGGGGATACCTTCCCTCTCCTCCACAAGCGGACCTACCTCGCGCGCACCACCGTCGACATTCCCCCCGAGGGCGCAACATCCCGCAATGCCAACACCCCCGCCACGGTTCTCATGGGGCAGCAGTCGGACTACGACTATGATGTTATCGCGGAGATTACCTTCGCGGATCAGGAGGGCTTCGCGGCCTTCAGACAGAAGGTCTCTGCGCCGGATGCGCCCGAGGCGGCGGCTGAGTTGCACGCGCATGAGGCGAAGTTTATGGATGCGGAGAAGTTTGGGATTGTGGTGGTGGGGGATGTTTTGGAGACGAAGAGGTGAGGATGAGGAGAGTAATACGTGTGATTTATACAGAGAGAAACCGAAAAAATACCACCTACATACACTGCCCCCCCCCCCCTCTCCCTAAATATCCCCAAACCATCCCATACACCCCATACACCCCACCTAAAACACATTCCCCCTAACCTGCTTCACCCTCTCCAACCTCACATCCCTCCACATCCAAACCCCCGCCATCGCCAACGGCAACACCCCCAACCCCACAACCAACATCCGTTTCTGCGCCACCCCATACGCCCGAATCGTCGCATCCCTCTCCACCGTCCCGATCGGAAACTCCAACACCCGCGCCATCGACCCATACAGCTCCGCCGCCAGATACTTCTTTTCGGCGGGAAGATACCGTTCCAGGTATACGGGCACCGTGCTCGTCCAGATCGCGCCGGAGATGGCCGCCCCGATTCCCCCGCCGATTTTCGACCCCAGCCCCACCAGCGCGAAGGAGACCGCGATCGTCTCGTGGTCGCCTGTTGCGAGGCCCGCGATTTGATGGCATATCACTAATGTGCCGCCCGCGATGGCTTTGATGATTTCGCAGAGGATCACGTGGCTGATTGGGCTGGTGGGGGCGCGGAAGGGGATCATCAGCGCCGTGCCGAAGAAGAAGAGGGGGGTTGCGACGAGGGCGGGCGTTTTGAATCGGCCGAGGTGGCGGATCAGGCTGTTGGGGTGGTTAGTGGGGTGGGTGGGTGGGTTTGGAGGGGAGGGATGGGGGACGTACATTCCCACGGGCAGGGAGATGAGGCATGTTCCGATGGTGTAGATGTTGGAGATGTAGCCCGTGTCGCGGATGTTGGTGTTGAACACGACTTGGAGGTAGGATGAGAAGTACAGGTCCCAGCAGCTGTTGTGGTTAGGGAGCGTTTGCATTAGGGTTTGGGGATCGGGGACTGGGGCTTACTAGAAGCTGAGGAAGAGCGCGCATGCCAGAATGCAAGCACCCAGTAATGTTGGGTCTCTGAGACGGCTGTATGGGATGAAAGACACTGGAGCGCCGATTCGCTCCCAGTAGACGAAGCCGACGAAGCATATCGCCCCCAAGATGAGCATCGCGATGAGGTCGGGTGCCATCCATCGCTCCGTTAGAGATGGGCTCCACATGTTCCCCGAGGTGGCCAGAGTCAGTGGCAGTAGGATGAGGACAAAGGCCGCGGTGATCAATATCATGCCGATCGCTAGAGAGTCGTGTCAGCCTATTGTGGGTATCGGGGCAGGAGATGACGGAAGGCCATTGAGGCAAAAGAGGGATTCCTCGCTCGGGGCTCCCGATGAGGTCTGTCAGGAGACGTACGATCAAACTCCACCGCATAATGGATGAAAGAATGCATCCTCGAGCGACCCTTCCGCTCGCTGTTTATAAGACCCGCTGACTCGGCTGTGTGTCGGGTGTTCCGGAGCAAGAGGAACAGCGGCGCAGTCACGAGAGGTGTCAGGATGGCAAAAGTGCCGAATCCCCACCAGAGGGCGCCATTCTGGTAAAAGGCCTGGGCTGCGGCAGGACCGGCGAAAGTGGTCGCGACATATGGGAATGATGCGATGCCGTAGACGAATGCTCGATTGACGAGTTCGGTGGTGTCGGAGAGGAAGACGTGCAGGACGTAGTCCATGCCGTTGTAGCCAACCCAGTATATAATCTGGCGATCGGGTTAGCATGGACGGGATGAGATACAGGTGAGCCATACCTGTGCCGCCATGTAGGTTTCGATGTTGCGACAGAGAGCCATGAGTACGAGACCTGGACAATCAGTATCGGGCGTGATATCTTGTTGGAGTGGTGGTCGTACCCAATGTGCACAGCACCACCATTATCCCGAATCCTTCCGCGCGCCCCCATATATCTATCAGTTTGGCGATGGGGAGCTTCGAGACTCCCCCGATGATGCTGGTGAGGACATTCGTGGTCGCGATCAGCGAGTGGTCGGTGAAGGCGGAGTAAACGTAGGGGTTGAGGCTGCTGGTTGTTTGTTGCTGTAGGGAGTTGACGGAGAAGATGAGGAAGACCCTGCAGGGTTAGCTTGGAGATCCCATCGGTGCGCGACACCTACAAGGCGTATCCGGTGTAGAGGGTCCGTGTGGACCAAGAGGAGGCCAAAGCCTCCATCTTGGCTACTCCATGGGACGTGTGTTCTGGGGATGTCTGATCCGGAGATTCGGGGATGGCCTCATAGCCGTCCTCGCGGGGCCGATCTGCCGAGCGCGCGTGTCGGATCTCATCAAGCACCTCGCAAGCTGCGTCGTACTGGGTCCGCAAGTACCCGAGCATGGTGACGCGATGTAAACAATGCGGTATAGAACAAAGAGGACGGGTGAGTATCGGACCAGCAGCGGCCAGCGCTTGGGTCACTACATGGATGAGGGAGTGAAGAGGGTAGATATGGAGGTGCCACACAGGAGAGAAGTGAGCCGAGCCGGAAGCCGAATGTGCGAGAGACGGTCACCGATGGGATGGCGCTGGATCCTATCGCTGCTGGCGGACTGGTGGACCCCGTCCTACTAGTCGCGTCGCCGCCGCCCCGTCATTGGCGCTCAAGCGAGATTATCGTATCTGATGCGTCCATCAGATAAGATCCTTCGGCTTGTTGGATTCAAGGGGGGGAGGTCAGGGTGTTGCTTTCATCCCACGACACAGTGCATGGGGTATTGATTCCCGGGGATTTCCCTCGTATATTCTCCCCGCGTACCGCTCTTCAAATGCCGTTCCAACCGTGCTGTCACTGGCGATCGGGTGATTCCCGTGGGAGAGAACGGGTCGCTCGGCGCAGACCCCACACCAGGTGGGGATAGTCGCACAAAGGTGGTAAGACGCCTTTTATCTATCGCTGAATGTGACAGATGCCAGAAGTTTATCCTGGATCTTGCACATGGAGAGTTGGCTTCAAGAAGCACTTTTTGTACTGCTGGGTTGGTCTTTGAGAATCTATGCTACAGAATCTCGGCTGTCAGAGAATTAGATAACTAGACAACAACAGCGTCGGAGGAATATTATGACGTAGATTGGGTTGGCAGGTTTAAACCACTGGAAAACAAACAAGGTGAAGGGAAGACACCAGTAAAAACGTCCGAGGCATTTGTGGATTATCTGCGCCGGTTCCACATCCACCTTCCACTTCTTCATCCACCTCCGCTCCTTAACCTTCATGAGATGCGCGGGTTTGGCGAATCGGCCATCGCGGAGCAATTGCGAGGATACCTCCACGTCGCAGGTGTACAGGATGATTCCTCCCGGGGAGACAGCGAGGAAAGTGTCGACCCCGACGCGTTGGAAGGGTTCATACCCGTTGTGCCATGCGTCGTTGAAGAGCGGCAGCGGAGGCCAGTTGGCCGTCCACGCGGACGGGAGAGCCCGCAGCCAGGGCACCACTAGGGATTGTCCCACGAGCAGGCCAGGGACAGAGGGATCATGTATTTCGAGTTGCTTCGGTGTATATACTAAACATTATCTTGAGTGTACGTTCTTGTAGAAATTGCTTTCTCGAATATAGCTCTTGCTGTATTGCTCTTCCTAGATAACCTCATTCCTAGACCCAACACACCTTCAATCAAAAGACCCTGTCATGAATTGAAGACCAATTAAGCGCACAGACATCACCCCCTTTCAGCCCCCACCCTTTGCACCAACCAACATATCAACCCTACGCACTCCTAACCACCTCCTCCCCAAGCACACTGACCACCTTCTGCACCGCCCCCCTCGCCAACATCGCCTTCTGCCACCGTGTAAAATGCGGAAACTCCTCCTCCCCCCGCCACGCATGCTCCCCCTCCCGACCCCCATGAAAAACGTGATCTGCATGTTCCACATCACGAACGCCAGGTCTGCATACGTGCATTTCTCTCCCACGAGCCATTCTTGTGTGCTGAGCACCTTGTCGAGTACCCCCGCTACCCGCTTCACTTCGTTGCCGTACCGGATTTTGGCGGATTCGGGGGATTCCCCGTAGATGTTGGCGTGGAAGAGGTTGAACGTGTTTTTTTTGGGGGTGGGGGGGGAGGGAGTTAAATGGGTTATGCATATGTCTGGATTTATTATGGGGGTAGGATGTGAAGAGGGAGAGATGGGTGCGTAAGGTGAGGTGAGGGTAAGGTGGGGGGAGAGGGCTGGACATACCACGCCGACTGCCCGAAATACGGCCCCTGTCCGGAGGCTTGGAAATAGGACCACTGCGCCAGGTGGTATTTTTCGGGGAAGGTCGAGTATGAGATCTTGTGGTCTTTGTCATAGGTGTCGATTAGATACTATTTTTTTTTATGTTTCTTGTTAGTGGCGCTTCGTTGGGGTCTTGGGCAAGGGAGGGAGGGTATGTATGATATATGTATGTATGTACCTGCACGATGGCGCCGGATTCCCACAGAGTCAGGTCGGTGTTGGGATCGATGATGGCTAGGATCGGTTAGTAAAGTACCTACCTACCTATGGAGAGGTGCGAAGTGAGACAATAGAGAGAGGCAATGGGGGGGGGGGGGGGGGAGTATCTGACCTGGCACGCGGCCGTTGGGGTTCACATCGGTGAAGGGCTTCTGCTTGAGCCCGTCGAGCTCAACCCATTCGGTCTCGTAGGGGAGGTTCAACTCCTCAAGGATGATGAGGACTTTGGAGGGGTTGGGGACGTGGTCTACATCGGTCGGTCAGATCAGGTCTCCTGGTCATGTTTGAGATGAATGGTGCTCACTTCTCCAGTACAGCTTGATTGGCTTGAGGGTCATGGTTGCGGCTGCCGAGCTCGGGCCTTGAATAGAATGGATGATGGCGAGAGAGTTAGCTGTCTACAATATTTGGATGTTCTTATTGTCGGCTGATGTCTCGCGCTGCTCCAGATATTTAAGAGGGCTGGCTATGGCTACAATAGTTTGATGTCTGTCTCCTCCCATTCCCAGTCAGAAGACGGGGCAGTGCTGGACATCCTACAGCCTTACGACAGGGGCTCTCCGGATATTTATTGGTGGCCTAGGATTCAGCCATTCCGTTGATCCAATTCAAGACTCTGCTAAATGATGACATAAAACAGTCACCAAGTGTATATATTACCGAGAGACGGTAATGGTAAGTCCTTAGTTAGCGAGCGGGCTGAACTGTACCTGGCGGCCCACCAATGATGTCCCATGCAGAAGAGGCCATGGATGCGCTTGTATACACGGAGGATTCCTGAGCCAGAACTGTTTTCGCAGCGCTAAGAATCATACTAGTATGCTAAAGATAGTTGATTCATCTGATCACACATGCACGTGCACATGCACATGCGACATTCCCCCCCCCTTGTTCGAGACCAAGTCAGGCAGCCGGCCTCATATAAGTGCGGGGTCCAATGCTCGCATAATCAGAGCACATTCATTATCAAGCACACAGCCCACCAAACAAAGTACGTCCGAGATGGACCTGACAGCCCCTGTCTTGACTGGCATGCGCGTAAGCCCTACCTAGTCGAGCCTCGGCTAATCTGGAAAATGGCTACGACCACAAGTCTCGACAGGTCCACACTCCAGTATCTAGGCAGCAGGCCAATGTGGTGGTCGCGGGACAGCCTCATCCGCGCGCCCCGGGGCTATGACCGTTGGTGGGGTTCTGGATCATTTGATTTATCCGTGGGCTTTAGATGGCTTGGTCGGTTGGTAGGCTGATGCAGAGATACTTGCAGGGATGTGTCCCGCCACGCACAAGGAAGAGAAGCCCACGGCTGGGTGTTGGTGATCCATATATATGGCCACGCACTGCTCTCACCATTGTAACCACCGGGGACGAGTCTGGGGGCATCTTTGTAGTAGGCTGGTAATGGCAGAGATACGATTGAGGACACAGGTCAGTTGTAATAAAATGCGAAAGCTCTGGTACACAAATTGTGGAAGTTCATGATATACATGTCAATCCTACATCAAACATGCATCAGTCCCATTACTCCTGCACCAGACTCGCAATATCCTGCGCAGCATAAATCTTTCCAATCAAGTCTGTCCCATCAACAAACGCCTGAATCCGAGTCGCCGTCGCGTCATCCAGCTCAACCGCAAGACGAGCAAAGCACACTTCCATACATTCTCTTTCGCTTTCGCATGATCCGACTGGAACTGAGGAAAATCCAAACTGCTGAGGTTCATCTCCGCCACGTCCCGTCGCTGAGACCCGTAGTCGTTATACTGACGGCACATCGTGGCTAGGTGCGATCCCAGAGCCCGTGCAAAGTATTTCTCCTGCACGGAGGAGAAGCGCGTAGGGTCTGTGCCGCTGATGTGGCGGCAGAAAAAGGTGAAGGAGTACGGACAGCTGGTGTTATTGGCGCCTGTCGTGCGGGCCCAATTGAAGTATGATCGAGAATCCTGCTTTGGATATCTGCTGCGGCTCGCATCCTGGAATTGTCTGGATCTCTCCGGTTCCTCTACGACGTGGTTGTGCGCAGCTTCTGGCCGTTTTCTGACACCGTGGTGTTGTCGGATGTGGTGGATATACTCTAGCAGCACGTCTCCTACCTCGAGAAGGGACGCAGTGGGTGTGGTGTCTTCCAATGGCGGTGTTGGTTGCAACTCGCGGGAGAGAGCGTCGGGTTCGCTTGAAGGCGAAAGAGGATCTTCTAGAGACGCCATCCAAACCCTCAGCCCTGATCATCCTCTTCAACTCGACAGCGCTGACCTCAGGTGGCGAGGCGAGGCGACCACCGACTCCATATTCTCGTCTGCTTGATAATTAAGCATCGAAATCACCATCATATCCCACAGGGTCCTACTCGTCAGGGGAAACCCCAATGCAGTGTTCACACTACTCCACGCGATAGGGATATACTCGAGATATTGATCCCCCGTCATGTCCATCTCATCGCGGGAAAAGACGTCCAGTCGCAATGTCCTCAATGATTGGGAATACAGTTACGCCTCTGCCACAGCAAGAAGCATTGCGCTCGCAGAAGTGTTGTTAAAAAGAGGCAGCCTCCCGAAGAACATTGCCATCCGCTGAAGCTTTTTCTCGGGCATTACAAAGATAGGGCGTTGTTGGGCTGAGAGGAGAATGTAGGGCTGTGGATGGGTCAGGTGGGTAGATGGAGCGATGTTGACTACAATACTAAGAAAAGATTCCTTTGGCCTGGAATGTTTACTTCTATTACCAGTAGCGTAGCGAGTCCAGGAGTCAGTGAATGGAGGCCAACTCCAGTGACGATCCACCCTCCACACACGTGGGATGTGAATGTGGTGCCATCTCTCGGACTCCGGGGCATCGCCGGTCCACCTCGCGGATACCCTCAGCCCTCAAGAGAATCTCGATCCCATCCCCTGCGCTGCTGGAAGGCTTCTCTCAACATCGATCCCTGATGGAGAAATGGCACCACCCGAGACAGTTCGGTTTATAAGTGCCCTGGGGGTGCTCTCGCCCGCGCTACCTGTGCCAGAATGACCTTCCTGCGCCTCACTCACATCGAGTCCACTGCCTTGATGGTCCATCTCGTCCCGTTCCTTGGAATGGCGGGAGCGGCCGTCGCGAGTCTGTCTCAACTCGCCACCAATGGTGCGTTCGTGGTGCCTGATCCTGATCACGATCTAAACGTGGCGTGTCTATCTAACTCCGCCTATCTCCAGGTCACTCCACATGGGGCACTCTGCCGTCTCCCAATCTTCCCCAGTTCCTGACCGACGGGGTTTGTATATATCTACGTCCCGGAGACCATGGCATCACACTCGCTAATACCCTCTATCCAGACTTCCGACCTCGAACCACCCTGGGGCAACGTAGACCCAGCCGGCCCCCCTCCCACCACCGGAGTGACGCGTCACTACAACTTCACCATCACGCGCGGCTTCAAATTCCCCGATGGCTTCAACAAAAGCGTCATTCTGGTCAACGATCAGTTCCCCGGTCCCTTGATCGAAGCCAACTGGGGCGACATAATTTCGGTTGCAGTCACCAACAACATCGACAGTCAAGACGAGGGTGTGACTCTCCACTGGCATGGCCTCACCCAGAGGAACACCCCCTGGAACGATGGTGTCCCCGGTGTCTCTCAGTGCCCGATCGCGCCTCGTGGGGCCAGCAGCTTCACGTATATCTTCCAGGCGGATCAATATGGCACGGGCTGGTACCACTCGCACTTCAGCGCCCAGTACGATGATGGGCTGTATGGACCTATGGTCATCCATGGCCCGCTGCAGTCGGAGATCACCTATGACCATGATCTGGGTCCGGTGATGATCTCTGATTACTACCGTATCGGTTACTCTGAACTGCTCGAGTTGAGCTTCTCGGACCCGCCACGGACTGTGAGGGCTGATGATAATCTGATAAATGGGAAGGGCGTCTATGATTGCAATGCCACTGAGGTGGATGATCAATGCCTCGCCGGAGCAGGAAGAGCCCGGTTCCAGTTCCAGTCGGGGAAATTGCATCGCTTGAGGCTCATCAACACCGGCTCGCTTGCTAATCAGAAGTTCAGCATCGATGGCCACGAACTGACCGTCATTGCGAATGACTATGTCCCGCTGAAACCGTATACAACCAGGGTAGTCACCCTGGGTCCAGGGCAACGAACGGACATAATTGTCAACGCGACCGGCTCTCCCACCGACGTGGCCTGGATGCGATCGGACATGGACATGGCATGCTCAGAGAACTCAACCACAACCGCCACCCACACCGCGCTGGCCGCCATCTACTATGAATCGGCAAATACAACTCTCCTCCCGCGCACAAACGGCACCACCTGGGAGAGCAACAACTATCGCAACGACCCGCTAGACCTCACCGTGCCCTACTACCCTTTGATACCCCCGGAACCCGAAACCACCCAGACAGTCACCATCACCGTCAGTTACAACGCCACCACCTTCGCCATGTTCATGGACGGCTCCTCCTTCCAGGCCGACTACAGCGAGCCCGCCCTCCTGTCCATCAACGAAGGCAACCTCTCCCTCCCCATCAGCCGCAACATCTACAATTTCGGCTCCAACTCCACCGTGCGCCTGATCCTCAACAACACCGACTCCACCCCTCACCCCATGCACCTCCACGGCCACAACTTCTGGGTGCTCGCGGAAGGCATCGGCGCCTGGAACGGCTCGATCACCAACCCCGAAAACCCGCTCCGGCGCGACACGCATATCCTGCAGCCCGGGACGGTAGATGCACCGTCGTATTTGGTCCTCCAGTGGACCCAGGATAACCCTGGTGTCTGGCCGCTGCATTGTCACATGGCGCTGCACGCGCGTGCGGGGATGGTTATGTTGGTTTTGGTGAGTCAAGATGAACCCTGCCTGGTGGGGATTCGTGGGGGGCATACGCTAAGATTGTGCTATCTGTCTAGGAGCGGCCGGACGATTTTGCAGCGGAGTTCTTGTCTGTTCCCTTGGCGACGGCGGAGACTTGTCGTGATTGGGACGTGTTTCGCCGGGAGGTCTAGATACGTGGATCAGGAGTCAGATGAATAAGGATCGAGCGAGGTTGATGACCCTGGCAGCGGAGGGGCCATCCTTCCACCTGTGTAAGTAGTAGACTCGGTCCTCGCGCCAGCAGAAGCAAATAGTACCGCACCAATTGCCAGTGAATCACTAGTCCGCGGAGAATGCGCGAGTTAGCCGCTGTGACATGTTCTACCCAGTGCACGATGTGCCGTGGCCAGACAGGGTTGGTGGAAGTGGCATGATAGATGCACCCAGTGAAATGTCGGTGGCATTAGGGCTGGTCTCGAGGGAGCCGTGGAGACATGCACGGCGGGCGTGGGGATAGAATCAACAGCAAAGCAACAGCATCCTCCTTGTCCTTAGCATTAGCCGAAACCGCACTCTTGCGACTCGGTCAGCTCTGCTCGATTATCAACTCTCTCGATCGTTGAGCCTCTCCCATCCATCCCCAATATGGCTCTCCTCGCCATCCTCATCCTCCTCCCAACCCTAGTAAGTCCCCATCCCTCCTCAAGTCCAAGTCTACCTCCACTCACTCCTCACCATTCCCAGTACCTGACCACCCACATCAGCAACAACCTATGGCTGCATCCCCTCTCCCAATACCCCGGACCGCTGCTCTGGCGGGCCTTCCGATTCCCCTCGCTCCTCTCCATGATGCGCGGGGATCTCCCCCACCGCATCAAGCAACTGCATGAACAATACGGCGACATCGTGCGCGTCGCGCCCGACGAACTGTCCATCATCAGCCCAGACGCCTGGCGCGACATCTACACCAGAGGCCGCGACTTTGTCCGCCCATCGCAATACAAGGACCAACCCCCCGGCAAGACGGCGTCCAACCTGATCGCCTGCTCCGAATCCGAACACGCGCGTCTCCGCAAGATCCTCGCCCCAGGCTTCTCGGAGAAATCCGCCGCGGACCAGGAACCCTTCATCCAGTCGTACGTCGACAAGTTGTTCTCCAAGCTCGACGAACAGATCGACTCATCCCCAACCCCCTCCCCCTCTGCCCCCTCCACAACAATCGACCTCGTCGAATGGATCAACTACCTCGCCTTCGACCTCATCGCCGACCTGACCTGGGGCTCCTCCTTCGGCTGCCTCGACGGCCTAACCTACCACCCGTGGATCCAAACCGTCGGCCAATTCAAGGCCGCCATCATCGTCGGCGCCCTGAAGTTCTACCCGGCCCTCCACGCCCTCCTCATGGCCATCACTCCCTCTTCTGCCCTCCAACCCGTCATGGACATGTGGCGCCTCACCGAGCAGAACGTCCGTCGTCGCGCCTCCCAGTCTCACCCCTCTCCCTCTCCCTCCCTCTCCCGCCCCGATCTCGTCGGAACCATGCTCGCCTCCGCCCAAATGACCCCCGAGGAAATGGAAGTCAACGCCATGTTGATCGTCGCGGCCGGCAGCGAGTCCATCACCACCGTTCTCGTCGGCGTGATCAACCATCTCCTCCGCTGCCCGGATACCCTTTCCACCCTGGTAACCACTCTCCGCTCCACCTTCCCAAGAGAGGAGGATATCGTCGGCTCCAACCTCAAATCAATCCCCTACCTCGACGCCGTCCTCAACGAGGGAATGCGTCTCTGTCCCACCATCCCCGACGGCATGCGCAGACAGGTCCCCCCCGGCGGTGCCACTGTCGCAGGCCATCCTCTTCCGGCCGGGGTAATCGTCTCCATCCCCCCGTTCGCGACGTATCGCGCCCCGCGCAACTTCGTCCATCCGGCGGACTTCGCCCCGGAAAGGTGGCTGGGTGGTGAGCGGTTTGGAAACGAGAGGAAAGACGGCTTTCATCCCTTCTCGCTCGGCGCGCATAATTGTCCCGGTCAGAATCTGGCCTGGTTGGAGTTGAGGGTTATTCTGGCTAGGTTGTGCTGGAGGTATGATTTGGGGGTGCTGGATGGGGCGGAGTTGCCTGTCTGGGAGGAGTAGGGCATTTGGTGGTTCTGGGATAAGTTGCCGTTGGTGGTGAGCGTGCGGAGGGTTGATGGGTTGGTGGGATCGCGGCCTGGTCTGTAGTTATGGCTTCAACTTCAACTTCGGGCTAAGTGGCTGTTGAGCTGAAGTGATTGGTCTGTGCATTCGGGCTGAAGTGGTTGTGTCGGGAAACGGAGATAAATTCCCTAGACCAAGGTGTCTCGTCTACAGTCTTCTGGTTAGAAATGTCATTTTGGCTGTTCGGTATGTTGAACGCCCTGCAAATCGGTTAATACTTCCCCTATAATACCATGAACCATCCGGTTGATTGGACGGAAAGATTAAACAAGAAAGAAGAAAGAAGGGTCAGGTACGCGTCAAAACAGTTAAACAAGTGATTCTACGCGCGCGTATGAATCAAGGATATGTCAAAGAAGGACCTGGTTTTAAAAAATAGGGCTAGTATGGCCTGATGTTAAGCAAAGAGTAGAGAAAGGGCTGCTCATAACCTATCGCGACTGCGTGGAGGAGAGGAGCAATGTGGTTGGTACGGAGTAGAGAGGATGTGGATGTGATCCGAGGGCTGCGGGCTGCTGGTTGGTCATCTGTCCACTTTCGGAGGAGCTAGTCCTATTCGGGCCTGACACTCACCTGACAAGCGGGACAGGCGGGCTGCCGATCCCTGCCCTTCCGGGGTGGCCCGGCGCTAAATAGTTAACTACATCGGCACTACTTAGTAATGTCTGTCACCCATGGCACTTACTACTAGTTAGTTACGCCGCCCAGCTCATGTATGCATTTTATGCAAAGCGCCAGGCAGCGTTGTGCAAGGCAGACAGGCACCAGCCTCTCTCCCCTTTACCCCGCCTCCAACCTGACATCCCCTGCCTCTTCCCTCACCCTGATCCTCCCTGCCATCTTGGGTCTTGAGGAGTGAGAGGGAGCGAAAGAAGATTCTCCATGCCTTGAGCGATCGCATCCACCAGAGAACTCCCAACCCGCGTTCGTGTCTCCGAGAGCCGACCGTGGTCTGGATCTCGACTGTGCCTAGCGAGACCGCATGCCAGATCGCCCGACCGGTGCAGCGTCCCATACAATGGGGCGTAGGAAGAACATACAAGGGAGTGAAGAAAGCATGGAAGGTCTGAGCCCCGTTTGGCATGAGGAGGTAGGCTTTATGGTACAGTGAAGCGAAGGTGTGTTTCAGGATTAAATAGCAATGTATGGTCTAACTAATGTGGAACGTGGTATTAGAAATCAACGCAGTGTCGGGGCCGCGTCGCGGGCTTCACGGGAAGGCCACAAAACAGGTGCTGTTGGCCTGGGATTCCTCCCAGCCAATGCACTTCCAGCAGCTCAGCATACCCGTGGGGTCATATTTGTTCTTGATGGAGAGCAGGGTGTCATAGTTGTCTCCCCACCAGGCCTCGCGCCAGTCCTCGGTGAAGGCGTTGGCCTCGTTGCTGTACGCACCGCTGCCGGGGGTGATGCGCTCGAGAGTCGCGGTCATATTCTGAAGGGTGGCAATCTTCTCCTCGCGGGTCTCCAGGGTGCTGTTCCACGCCCAGGTGCTGCCGGAGCCGAGCTCCCAGATGGCCTGACGCCAGGCGGGAGACGCACTGGTCGAGCCCTCGGTGTAGTTGTACAGCACAGGTCCGACAACGGGGATGTAGGGGGTCTGGCCGTTGGCCAGGAGGAGCTTGAAGAAGTCCATCAGGTCGGCGCGACCCTCGGCGGTCTCGAACACGGACTGGGGAACCAGACGGCTACCGGCGAAGTGGGTGACACCCACGCTGACCGAGCTGGAGGTGACGTACTTCTCGTAGAAGGAGTACCAGGAGGAGAAGTTCTCTACGGTGGCAGAGCCGCCCTGGGCCTTCGCGTACGCGATAACGTCCGCGAGGGACTCCTCGGCCTCGGCGACGGAGAGCAGAGGGGACACGTTGACCAAGGTGTCGCCGGTGATGTGGCCACCCCAGCCCTCCTGAGACCACTTGACGGTGTTGTTGACAATGATGTCCATGAAAGGAAGGACGTTGGTGGAGTTGCTGGTGAACTTGATGATCGCAGCGACGAAGCTGATGGTGGGCTCGACGCGGTGCGAGCTCTCCAGAACGACACCAAAGGTGCCCCCACCGCCACCACGCAGGGCCCAGAAGAGATCCTCGTTCTGGCACTCGTTGGCGATACGCAGCTGGCCATCGGGGGTGACAATCTTGTACTGCACGACGCGGTCCACACCGAGACCGTACACAGGCGAGAGAACAGAATGTCCACCGTTCATGACCCAACCGCCGGAGAGGCCAACGGTGGGGGAGTAGCCACCCAGGATGGTCACGTTGTTCTGGTGGGCAAATTCGTACGCCTCGTCGAAGTTGACACCGGCGCCGGCCGTGATGGCCTTGTAGCTGGTCTGACAGCCGGAGGGGACAAAGGCCGGGCTGTAGGTGAGATTCTGCAACTTGCGCGTCCACAGGGACAGGGTACCCTTGCCGCTGCTGCGGGTGAGGTAATCGTGGCCGCTGTTCTTGATGGAGAGGCGGGTACCGGAGCAGTTGGAGTATTGCATGGCCTCCTTGACATCGTTGGCATCGGTGACCTCCAGGTAGTAGGAGGGCATGTTACCCTGACGGCAGGTCTGGTTCACATAGGCCAGGGGGTCGGTGGGGTCGGTACTATCCAGAAGACATTGATCCTGGGGGAAGGACGAGCACATCTCATCCTGGTTGTTCATGTACCCATTGGGGGAGTTGGTGCGCAGGTAGGGGTCGGTGTAGTTGGCCTGGATGATGGCGCAGGCGGCATCGTTGGGCGTCACTTGCTGGCCATTGTAGCTGGAAAAGCAGGGCAGCGAGAACGGGGTGAGAGGCTGCACGCGACCCTGGACGGTGGTGTTGAGGCTATTCAGAGTGCAGTCGCAGCCACATGCAGCGGTCAAGCCCAAAAATTGGGCGGCCACAGCGGCGAACGACATCTTGTATGCGGAAGGCGTCATCGTGCCACGCGGGACAGAGACAATCTCGGCGAAAGAGGACGGGGATCAAAACGGGGAACGGGCGACGATCGCGTGCATTTGAATGAACGGTCGGACCAGACGACAGGAGATTTTTTTTCCTCAGTTCCGGCACGCTCCGTCCGGCCTTCGGTCAAATGTTGTCTCACCGTCTCGTACGATGGCGCCGCTATCGATTTCTGCGGTGGAGGGTGTTCGATGGTTCGTGGGCGATGGAGCGGTGCGGCACTGCGGACGACTGCAGGAATCGATGGTTGCCTGGGTCTGCATCCGCTGCAGACACGCCAGGCCCATTAAGCCCCGTCGAGCCCCATCGAAGATCCACGGCCTAGGGTCATTCAGGGCCTGTGATTCGTGGTACCGGAAAACATTGACGCAGGTCCCCGTTTGCATCTGAGGGCTTCGGGCGATGTCCGATGATGCCGTGCGTGCCACGCAACGCCAGATTTGCCGGAGAGCTGCCCCCTCCGCTAAATGTCTCACTTTGATTGCGTAAGGGCCATCTCCGACCGACCGTGAAGACCTAGAAGAACATAGTCCATCGGACTAACCGGGGGGTTGGCCCCCTGACCCCCGAAGGCGCGGCATCCCTGCGACCGCACGACTCACGAGGGACGATGGATTAGATGATCGGGACGATCCCCAGAGTCCGTGGCGATGGGATGCTGGGGTTTCATCGCCATCCATGATCCGAAGCAAATGAGCGCGCTCAGGAGTGCGGACCATCCGACCAGCACATCCTCAATCACCTAGACTGATATCCCCAACGCGCGTACCGGGTTGACTTCGCGCTCCGTCAGCGAGGCAGCGGGAGGGCTGAAAGCTTAAAACGCCCCCCCGAGCCATGGAAAGGAGGTTAATAACTTAAAAGATCATCTTGGGCTGTGACAAACTAGTGCCGCCTACCAATCCTCATCGTAACTCCGACTCTGAAGAACTTTCCTTTTCGGTTCTGGTGGCGACGACAGCACACTCGTAATATCAACCCACGCAGCCAAGAGATGTTGGTCCCCTTTGGTCGAGCGCCCCCCTCCCGACTGCCTGGCAGCAAGACTTATATGGAATCGTGACCCGCCTCGTCGGCTGTTCTTGCAACGCTGACTCGCACAGCTGGCGGTGCAGGATGACCTACGAAGAAAACCGATATTGGAAAAATGTCTTGACCGTTGTGCCCATCTGTGGCGCCGCCGTGGCCACCCTCTCCTACATTCTCCGTCTCTATTCTCGTCGCTTTACGAGTGCGGGCCTGAAGTTGGAGGACTGGCTGATGGGCATTGGGCTGATCATTTCCTACTGTGCCACGGCCTTTGTTGTTGATTGTGAGTTGTCTGCCTGTGCTTCGGCGCAGCGATGACGATCATGCCCGCTAACGATATCGTTTGCTTGCAGCGGCCTTCAATGGCGTTGGATTGTCACTCGGTACCTTGCCGGTGGATGAGCGGCGACGGATCCAGTTTGTATGGCGCCCTTGGTCGCCTGGTATTTGATTCAGATCGAACTAACACCCGCCGATGTTCACAGGCCTCATGGATGATCCAGAAATTCTGGGCGCCTTCCGCCGCCTTCGTAAAGATCTCCATCGTGATATTTCTCAAGCGCATTCTGGGCACCGTCCGCGCCTTCTCCATCGTGTCGAACATTCTGATCGCATTCATCGTCTGCTGGGCTGTCACCGCCTTGCTGGGCAACACTTTCCAGTGCTGGCCGGTGCAGTATTACTATGATAAGACGCTGGACGGACATTGCATGGGTGGGCAGCGGTCATTTTTCCAGGCCATGGGAGCCATTGCCTTGGTAGAGGACGTCATCATCTTATGTCTGCCGACTCCGATCATCTGGGGGTTACAAATTACTTTTCGCCAGAAGGTGGCGGTGACGCTGGTGTTCTCACTTGGTGGACTGTAAGTTTTGAGACCAGGGTCATTTGCAGGATCGCGCTGACAGTAGGACAGGGTCTGTATCTTCAGTTTGATGCGTCTGATCGAGTTCCGCGAATTCATCACCACTGATCTTGCCTGTGAGTTACTACTTCTGCCCTCCATGCTTTGATTGCGTCAACTGACTCTTCGCAGCGTCGAGTGCCAAGGAATCAATTTGGACTTGTTTGGAACTAGATGTATCTGTTATCTGCGGATGTCTGCCCCTGATGAAACCCTTGATCCAGGGTTTCTTGGGAAAGGTCAAGAGTGGAGTCTCCAAGGGCCGCTCGCACCCATCGTCCGGCACCAAGCTCTACGCATTCCCGTCCAGCGCTACGCACAACAATGAGGGCTTTTTGCAGATAGACGATCACCTTGGATCGCAAGCCTCCAAGGGGGCCGAGATCATGGCCAGTGATAGTCGGAGGAGTTCGGATGTTGAGATGCAAGGCATCGCGGTGCACACGCGGATCCAGCAGGATGTTGAACCCGTGCCCACCGATTCCACGGAGGCCCTGTCCGGCGGCCCTTGGGCCCGGTGAGCGACCGAGCTATCTAATTCACCTCATCGTGCGACGGCCTGCCCTTGAATGGAACCAGAACGGTGTCGCTCACAGGCTCATTTCCGTGATTCCGAGCCCGCGCACCCTCTGGTTGGTGTCTCAGACGGACTTTCTACTCAGGACCGGCGTTCGGAACTATCTACTACTTTATTCGAGTCAAGTCACCGACTCATTCATTGCCTGTGGCCCTCCAGTCGCGACCCACTTTCCGGGCACCGCCGACTGATTTGTGACTGGCATTTGCAGCCCCAAAAGTTTAAAATGATTAAGACATGGATACCCCGATTGCATTCTAGCATGTCTACGAATACTCCACACGAATAGATACTCACCGATATAATACCCTCAATTCCATCAAGAGTTATCCACCGATTTATTCAGTTTCACGCACGGTCTATAAATAGATCGCTGGGCAGCCTGCAATCTCACATGTAGCGCGGGAGATTAGATGCCGAGGCATGTTTCATGATTCAATTTCATCAGGATGCGACGTCGAGACCCTTCCCGTCCCGCAGGGCAATTTCTGCATTGGCTCCGTCCGTCATTTGCATTGCTGTGCGGAGGGGGATTTGCCGAACCGCACTAGGTAACTACCGTGAAACCCTACGAAATCCTCCTGTTCGGTGCACTAAAATCCCTCGAATCCTTCGGAGGTGGCTGTGTGCGCGCAGCTCATCCTTCTCGAAACCTGGAAGCATTCGAGACTATTCCGGTTTGGTTGAAACCATGGATCGGGCATTCGGGAGTTTATTCTGCGCCTGATGTGCGACAGTGCGACAATCTGCGCATCACCACGAGCACACCATCCATGGTCTCCACACAAACTCCAGGTGAACTGACCATCAAACTCGCAGCGATCCATTATGCCCGGATATCCGCGCCCGAGGATCTTTAATTGACTCGTTATTAAACTTCATTAAACTTCGGCCCAGAAGGACCTTGATTTGCGGGTGGGCCCTGGCGGTCGTATCTGATCAGACCAGCCCGTCCGCCTTGCCTCATACAACAGAGATCGCCGCTGGTCTCGGAGACTGGAGTAGAGTTGCGCCAAAGATTAAGGGCCAACGGCGACTAGTTCCCCGTGGTGTAATGTTCGAAGGGATGATCGCAATCTACGGGCACGTCTGGCACATCGTTGGGCTGTGGGATTGGCAATGCAATCGGCCGACTGAGTCATGCTGTCTGTGGGGTTGAAGAGGGGGGGGGTTACTCATTGCAACAAGACGTGCTCGGAGTTAAGTCGGTTTTGACTTGAGCTGGTCTGGTCGGTATACAGTTCTGCGACGTGGGGTTGAGACACTGAGGACTGTTTGTCGACGACTGATCAGCGAGAGTGCATTGAGGCCAAGGTAATCAATCATTCGTGCTAGCCATCTGACTATGTATAAATCATGCATCCCGATTGAATTTTGCAACAAAAGTTCATGGCAAAAAGGCACAGCAGAGCAGTATCACCGTTTATTGCCAGGTTTTACCAATGTGGCTGAGAACACAGTACTGAAAGGAAGAATGAGTATTTAGAAGAAGAACCTACCGTCATGGCAGAGCAGTGGTCGCAGTCTACCGCCTAGTTTTTACCACACTGTGATTGGAGCCGGAGTACCTAAAGGAAGAATCTGTCGTCGTGGCTGATGCTGACTCTCTACTTTATAAGAGTAGGACGAACAACGTCTCTGCCTAAGCAGCAAGGCTCTGCCAGAAATTCCACTCGCATAGTCTCCGCACAGAAGCTGACAGATGCCCTGTCCAGTGTCCAGTCAAAGGCTGAGCTGACTCGGAGGGCGGGGCGAAGCACGATGCTCCGATTCGGGTTGACTGTGGACGATCGGAAAGATGAGATGTTTGCATATCCAATTCTCCGTATCATGATGCAATATCCCATTTAGGCTGTGCAACTGCCTACACTGCAGCAGGCTGTGAAGGCGGATGGCAGCATTTTGTGTTCCTTTTCTATACACACACTCTATGCCAGTACCGACAATGATATATGGAGGTCTCAAGGCTGCAGCTCCATGATGGGGCCTTGATCCAACCCGACCCATGAGATCATGAAAGCGCTTCTCTTCTCCTCACCGGGGCGATGCTCAGCAAATACTTCACGAGACGAAGAAACAACCAACCCTCCCTTGGATGGGGCTATCAATAGCATCGCCAGCCAGCACGCTAAACCGACTGCAGCCCAGACTCCCGAACACGGCCGCTGATTGGCGTGGTCGTGTAATAGGAAAGACCCTTGGCCGCATCGGGGCTAGCACCATGGCAGCCTGGCTCGTATCGCCCGCCAAGCATCCGGCATCATGAAGCTTCTCAGCCTCGAAGACGCGTCCAGATCGGATTCACGACTCTTGACTCTCATTGCCCGGATGAAATGGTGTGGTGAGGATGGGGGTTGATCTTTTCACTCCACTTTGTTGCTGCCTGGTCGCCATTGCCGAGTACAAAGGGGCTGTTGTCGCCAGGGATGAGGATATAGATCGACTCAAACAACCACGGAGCAGTCACTTCTCCTTGCAAGGTCTCCAGACTACGGGTTTTCTTTTACTGTCCCTGAATGCTGAAAGCTTAAGCACTCATCATGAGCGCTACCATAACATCACTCTCCGCAACAACTGCGGTTGTGTCCTCGACACAGACATGTACCAACCCCAAACCAGGAAAACATGGCTATCTGCCCCCGGAGGCGTGTGATGTGATTCTCCTCTACGTGCCTTCCCTGGCAGCTGCAATCCTGTTCTGCATCCTGTACGGTCTGACACTGGTATGCCACGGCGTGCAGGCGTTCATGTTCAAAAAGGTACATGTCCCTCCCTGTCTCTGACATCCACGGAATCATTCTCACCATCTCTCAGAAATACGCCTGGGTAATCATGATGGGTGCAAGCTGGGAGTTAATCGCCTTCATCTTCCGCGCCCTGCTCACACTACACCAAAGCAATTCCGGATACGACACCGGGTACACGATCATGTTTCTGCTGGCTCCTCTATGTATGTATCTTCTCCAACCCTTCACCCTCCACTCTTAGAACCCACCTCTGACAACAAGCAGGGATCAACGCCTTCTTATACATGACTCTCGGCCGCCTCGTGTACTTCTTCATTCCCGAACAGAAACTAGTCGGCATCGCAGCCAAAAGCTACGGTCGGATCTTCGTCTGGCTCGACATCGTGGCCTTCCTCGTGCAGCTCGTGGGTGCCGCCTTCACCACCGATACCGACGCGCCCACCAAGACCATCATGCTGGGCGTACACATCTACATGGGCGGAATCGGGCTGCAAGAATTCTTCGTCCTGATCTTCGCCGGCCTGACGATCCACCTGCACCGGAAAATGCTGCTTCTAGAGCGGGTAGGACAGCTAGACCGGGATCGTCTAACCCGCACAGGCGTGCCATGGCGGTGGATGTTCTACACCATGTACACCGTCCTCGGGATGATCACCGTACGTCTCCTCCATCTTCTACATCCCTTCATCCTCATCTTCATCTCCATCCCCACCCACACCCACAACCTTACTAACCCCCCCCCCCCCCCCCTCCAGATCCGAATCATCTTCCGCCTCTGCCAATACGCCCAAGGCACCAACCCCAGCAACCCGGTGCTAACGCACGAAGCTTACGAATACGTCTTCGACGCAGTACCCATGTTCATCGCCCTGGTTCTGCTAAATGTCATCCACCCGGGTCGTGTGCTCAACGGCCCGGAATCCGAGTTCCCGCGACTGAGTCGTCGCGAGAAGAAGGCTATCAAGCAGGAGAAGAAGCGGCTGAAGCAGGAGCGGAAGGCCGCGAAGAAAGGTGGTCGGAAGGGCGATCAGGGGGATTATGATTCTCTGCCGTTGCAGGAGGAGGGGAGTGCGATGTCACTCCCCTCAAGTCCAGATGCAAAACGTCGCACAGATGGTGGCCTGGCCTAAGGAATTTGACGTTCTTTGAGTTCTCGGATGCCTGGATGCGGTATCTCAATGTTGGGAGTATTGCAATCGCTGGATTTGCAAGCTTGCATGTATTTGGCCCGTATGAGATACACATTGCCACTGGCATGCGCCCCTTGATAGAGTTGATACTGGCCATCGTCCTTCGTTACTGATCCGAGAGCTCGACGCTGGAGCTGAGTGAGTGACGAGGCTTTTACCTTCCCAATCAAGCGATCGATGCTTTCATTACCGAGCAGGGCTGCCGATGCAACGGAATTCTGATCACTGTCCTCCAAGACTGGACTCATTTGCTGACAAAGATCGGATTACCGATCTCTTGCGATGACGAAGCGGGATATGGACTACCTATCCCTTGTGATGATAACCAGATATGGATTACCTATCCTGCCCCCAGCGATGAGCTCGCACCTTACCGCGGTGTTGGGGTTTAGTAGCCTTTACCGGCGAAGCTAAGACGAGCTCCACTCCATGGACATATCCAAGTGCTATGCGGGACCATTGCGATGGATCAAGTACATCATACCATGTAAGCAATACGCTTCAACAAATAACACCTTCCATCACACCCTGTTGCAGCATCTGGATAATATTGAGAACGGCACATATGCCAGTCTTGTAACAAAGCTTGGCCCGGTCCGAGCGTTTTCTCTGGCCACCAAAGCCAATGCGCGAGTAACATCCGTGCAACCGCTGCAGGAAACTTGATAGACTAATAACAAGCGAGGCGCTTTACGGAAATGGTCGCCATCTCACCGTGCCACTTACTATGTCGATAGATCTGCCGAATGCCGAATACGGAGATTCCAGTATACTGCACCATGGTATGCGCAGCGTAAAAACCCTGCTCATGGGCTTGGTCCTTACTATATGATATCACATAGCGCTAAATGAGAGCCTTCTAGTGTCATCCTATCACGCGAGTTTTCCTCCACGTCCCCACCTGCAGTCATCCAGTCTCACTGGGTTACAGCCCCCAGTTCCTCCGAACTTCCCCCGGCAAACAACACCCCCGGGGCGTAAATAGTCCCCGGGGGTTGGACCTCGGGGACCCCCTTTGCCTTTCCCGATAGCACAAGGCGATGACACCATCCTACCACGTGGTTGGCCAACAAGAAGCCCAGGTCCGGATTTTAGACATTCCAGAGCTTACTATCCTGTAGTATACATACTGGAGAGGGAGGGCATGTAGAGATGGTAAAAATAGAGTAATGTTTCTGTTTAATGTTTGTGATACTAGATTTGAATTGTATTACACTGGTTATAGATTACTTTCTTCTAGTTTTTGGTCTGTACTCTGTAACAGTAGCTAGAAAAATAATATAGTATTAATTATTAGAATTTAGATGTTTATGATTGCTTATTATTGTTGACAACTATTTGGAATTATTTACAACTATTTGTAATCTTATCACTGTCTATAACCTTGTCTTAACCAGCCATAAGCAACCACAACCTCTCTATCACTTTAGTCAGGCCCAGGCCCCTATAGTAGTATGTATATAAATCTCTCTAACCGCTACGCCCAACAGTCTCGCGCCATCCCTCTTCTTCCTCAATCCTCATACACTAACATAGTACACAATACACATCCTCGACGCAAATGCAACCCAACCCAACCCAGCACCCCAACATGACCATCATCCCCATCATCCCCATCACCCCCCATTACAGCACCCCCACCCGCAGCCTCGCCAACCCCCAGCTCGAGAAGCCCTCCATCCAAGACACCATCCGCCACCTCGGCCTCACCCCGCACGTCGAAGGCGGGTATTTCTCGGAAACCGATCGGGATGTTCGCCGCATCCTCCGCAAGAACGACGGACAGTACGACCATGCTGACACCTCCCCCTCGGCAGCGGACAAATCGCTCCCCCACCGCTCCTTGAGTACCAATATCTTTTATCTCCTCACTCCGATGACTCCCCTCGGCGCGTTCCATTCGAATAGGAGTCGCACGATACATACACTGCATCGCGGACGGGGGGTCTATGTGGTTCTGAAGAGTGGGGGTGGGCGAGAGGTGCAGGTGGAGGTGGAGACCTTTGTCGTCGGGCATGATGTCGCCAGAGGGGAGAAGTTGCAGTGGATCGTCGAGGGGGGCGATTACAAGGCCACGTTTTTGATCCCCGATCGGGATGGGAAGGGTGAGAGTGAGAGTAAGAGTGACGGTTTGTTGATTAGTGAGGTGAGCTAGTCTTTGGTTTCTTCCCTTTCTTCTTTCTTTTCTGTTGAGTTCTTTCTGTCTTGGGTTTGATGGATTGGCGTGAGTGGAGTGGATGGGATGGGATGCTTGCTGACCGGTTAGACGGTCATCCCCGGCTTCGAATACGACGACCACGACTTCCTGAAGCGGGAGGACCTTCAGGCGATGGTCGGTGCGAAAGAGTTTGAGCAGCTGCAGTGGCTGCTCCGGGAGAACTATACGCAGGGCAGCGATTTTCCCTGATCGGATCGGATCAGGTGGTTCCTGTTGCCCGGATTCTGGTTCTTTTGACTACCTGCGCCATGTGGGGATGTGGCGTGGTTGGTCTGGTGTTTCGATATACCAGGAAGATGGATCAAGATATGATCGGGGGATTAGGGTTGGGTTGGGTGGCTGACTCGGCCGGTTTCCCTGGAAGCTTGTCCAAGACCAAGATTATCGATCCAGCGGGCCAGGCTCGGAGTACTTTTCAAGGGCTACGATTTGATACTTTTTATTGGCTGGGGTGTTAGGAGTTTCAAGACTGAATACTATTGCCCTTTCTATTCATTATAAATCTGTCAGAAATGGGTATTGCAAACATGCGCAGCAGGATATACATGAGAAGGGAAAGTGCATTCCATGCACGAGAGATACATCATCACAGGAGGACAAGGTGATCATCATCCTTAGTAGAGAGGGAGCTTGTAGGCATCAAAGTCGTACACCCAGGTCTGGTACGAGGCCTCGTCAAAGACACAGTCCATGACCGTGCCGTTGTTCTTCCACAACGGCCGCAGGGGCCACGCGCACAGCTGCTGCTCTTCGCCCTCAAGTTCGCCCGAAAGCACCGTCGCGTTCAGTCGGGTCGGGAACACGCTACCCTCCACCCACTCGATGAGCGTCTTGAGCGTCGTCTGAGGGAACGGCCCGTTGGGCTGGGTCGTCGACGTGGCACAGTGAGCCGCTCCCGGGATCAGGTACAGGCGGTTCCACTCATTCAGAGCGTCGGAGCTCTCCTGGAAAGTCATGTTCGGATACATGATCTGACGAACGGACTCGTGGTAGTGGACCGATGACCCGGTCGGGATACTGGGATCGGACTCGCCGTGCACGTGGATGATCTTACCACCCGCGGATTGGAAGGGGCTCAGATCGGGCCAGGTAGTCTGGAGACTATCCTCATACCGCTTCCAGCCGAGTTCCATCCACTCCGCCATCGTGTCGTAGGTGACGTTCTCGAGGGTGGAGAGGTTATCCGCGTCGCGAAGCTCCAGGAAACGGGCCACCCACTCACCACCAAGGGAGGTGATGTCCAACTCCCATGTGTCCGTGTCGTAGTTGTACTTGGTGGCAGCATCATCGAAGGTGGCTGAAGGTTGATACCAGATGTATGCCCGGCGGCCATCGAGAGTTTTCAGACCGTCGAGCATCTTGGCGGCCGCGGCCGCTCCAAGGGCTGAAACAGTGCCATTCTGGGCCGGGGTGGTGTTGGTCATCGAACCACGCTTCTTGAGAACAGTGGTCGTGGTCTCCGCAGGGCACGAGTAGGGCGCCCCCACGGCACTGGTCACATTGTAGTGCAGCTTGCACAAGTCCGTGCGGGCCACAACACCATCAATGCGGCCATCCAAGGCATCGCAAGCCGCGATGGTCAGGTTCACGATCTTTTCCAGCTCACAGGTGGGAGGGTAGTATCCCATGGTGTGCTCAACCACGTTCGGGTAGAGGTGGTTCACCTGCTGCTGTCCGTACCTGTGGTTTTCACCTCATTAGCATCCATCTGGACAAGCCATCTCCACCAAATTGTGAGGGACATACCTGATAGCCGGGGCACCGATGACCGCACCATCCCACTCGTCCGCGTACCGCTGGATTTGGCTCCACCTAGATATCAAAGTCAGCCGGAATATCGCCAACGCTTCTATGAGGACTTGACTCACGGCTCACGGCCACCTTCGCTGCAGCCCTGGTAGTATGCGTAGAGCTTCTCGGTGTCGGTGAGACCGTAGAAGTTCCGGCTGAAAGCCTTGCCGATCACACTCAGTTCATGGTGGGCCAGGTAGCCGAACGCGTAGAGGGTCTGGTAGTTGATGGTACCATTGGCCAAGAGGAAAACCGCATCCGCGCTGGTGTCAAAGCTGCCGAAACCACCGTCCGTGATACCGGCCGCAGCACCATACATCACACCACCGGGGAGGGAGCTCGTGCCGGCGTTGATCGCGTAGCCACCACCGCCGGTGGAAAGCCAACGGTTCTGGAAGTCGTCCGGCGCCGGGAACCAGATCTCCAACAGGTAGGGCGTGTCAAGTCCCGGACGGGTATAGGAGAGGGTAACGTTGCAGTAATCGAAGGAGGCGGCGGCCGGGTAGAAGTAGTCCCCCGTGGTCGAGGCGTTGTAGACCGCGCTGGCGGTGATTGAAGACGCGTCAATCTCGAGGCCTTCGATATCATCGCTGATCGGCAGGGAGGACTTGGCATGGCTGGTCGTGCAGACGTCTGCCAGACTGGCTGCCTGGGCCAGCGCAACCGTCGTGGCCCCGGCCAGGACACCGAGAGCGGATCTCATTGTGGAAGGGGTGCCTTCACCGACAGGAGAAGAACAGACAGGGGTGGGCAAGATGGAAGAATTGGAAGCGCCTGTCGAGCAAGAAGAGACTTCAGGACGAGCGAGGCATGCCACTATTTAACTTCCTGGAGACTCGGAGGTCTCTGCCATGTCCATCCCTCCTTGCTGAGGTGAATGAACGGTCGCCAGTCCCAATTCCCACCATCATTCGTCGAAGGACGCGAACCGATCCCATACATCACTGATTATGGCAACTCTGGGTGTCGATCCTGTGTTGGATATTGAGGAGTATCAGGTCGAACTTCGACCGTTGCTCTTCAAACGCAGAACGGTGACGTTGGATGCCCCCAACCTTCCCGCGTTTCCCCCGCCGGGTGCAAATAGGATGGTCGGGAAGCATAGCAGGGCCCCACCCACTGGGGAGATTCTTCTTCTTCAGGATGGACTGGGGTATCGGAGATTTGCTGGTCGGAGGACACGGACTGGGCTGCACACTAGAGAAGTCTAGTCTGCCCACCAGGCGTGACAGCCGAACTTCCGGTTCACAGTGGCTGGCATAGCACGGCGCGTGATTCCTTGTAGCCGAAGACCATGTCCGCGTCAGCCGGTCAGGACATCTTCTCTGTGACGGGGGGGGATGGATGCTGGACGAAGTGTCGTGTCAGGGCAGTAATGGTAGGGAGACGCGAGATGCGTACCGTGCCGTTCGCAGCATGAACGGCTGGATCCAGGGACTGGCGGAAAAAACGTTATCCTCGACAAGTCTTGGCCACGAGAATCAAAGCTTGGCATGCTGATCCTGGATCCATCGGTGCTGACGTCGGAGAACCTACCTCTGCAGTCAGAATGGGATTGCAGGGAACGATGGCCTGGGGGCTAGTGTGTACCTGCAGATGGTGGCGTCATCCAACATCCCAACCCTATGAGAAATCTGGTGGTGGTAGATGGAGGTGTCACGGTACTAGTAGATAGTGGGGGGGGAGGAGGTGAGAAAGAGAAGGAGAAGGAGAAGGAGAAAGACAACTGGGAATCTGCGCCGACCCCCGGGCCGGCGTCTTTCCCGAGCCAATCCCGGCCCGCGGCGGGGCGTGCCTTCCTTTTCCGTGGCCTTTCTGTTTCCTTTCTGGTCCCTTTCTGGTCCCTTTCTGGTCCCTGTCCTCCCCCATCATTTTTGCGGTCCTTCTTCTTCTTCTTCTTCTTCTTCTTCTTCTCCTCCCTGTCGATTTCCCTCCACACCCTGACCTGATCATCCACCTCCCCATTCAGCGTTCTCCTTCATCCGCCTAACTTCCTTCCTGGCCCCCACCCCCGCTCCCCCCAACGAACGATCCGATTCTTTCCCAGCGCCTTGATGCAGTGGCTGTCGAGCTAGCCAGCCATCTAACGGTCTAACCACTGCAAGACCCACCTCCCAGCAATACTAACTGCGCGCTACACCATCGATGTATATTAGATGCAGGATATTAGATTGCACCCCAGCGCCCTACCAAGCACCCCGGTGGATATCCCGTGGCCTGATTACCGAATGCGGCTATTTTCTCGAGTCCGACACGATGGCTTACGAATCCGGATGCCATGCGTGGTTGTACACCGTCCTCCATGGAGTATTGGGCGATTAAGGCGCTGACAGGATCAGCAGGTCCTTGTCCTGACCCCGGAGATGAGCAGTCTCATGTGCCACGTAAGGGAGAGAAACCCAACATGCCGGAGCAATGCGGGGGGCGCGAGTCCGTCGGAATGCGACTTTCTTCGAGGGTCTCCCCAGGCCCCCCCTGGCAGATAGATAGATTACTCCAATTGCTTTTCTTCCCCGAAAAGTTGGGGTTCCGGCTAATCATATACCCCTCCGCTCGGACGTTTCAACGCTTAAACTCCCGGCCAGATAGCTGACGTCGGTGGCATCTCCAGCTAGCTCGGTTAATTGGACCGTCCATTTACCCTGGACCAACTGGAGTGGTTTCCGTTACTCATCCTGCGTCGGTGCCCTATGCAAAAACAAGGAATGAACGGGTGTACGGTGTAGTACACTGTCAATCGGTATAGCATGATTCCCCGGGATTACGCGGTTTGGGATGGGGACTCTGCGGCCGTCTGTCGGTTCTTGTTCCCGCCAAGCCGTTGGCAGTCAAGATAGGTCATCCTTTCGCCTACCCTTGATCGTCACACTTTATTGTCAGGTCGGTCATTTCCATGCATTGTTGCCTGGAGGCCAAGGCGTCTGTCTGGATAGTCGCGACATGAATCCGACAGACCGTGCCAGACATGCACCTGAGGCTCCGAGCAAATCAGCAGAGGCCCTGATCACCCGGACTGGGAAGCTGTGGAGGGACTCGAGAAATCTCTTCAGTCTAGTGCTGATACTCCATCTCACAACTTGGGATCCATCTCCCCGTTCTCCACCCATATAGCGTCTCCCTTTCCATTTGCGCAAGCTCCCTACCGCCAGTGTGCGCCCCATCAGAATAAATTGTATGATATTACTCCGAAATGGGGCCGGTCACCCCACCTTCTGGGCTAGCCGGGGTTGAGGGACGACTGAGAAGCATGCGACCACCAAAGAGGTCACGGATTGCGGTCTCCGGCCCCTCGAAACTATCAAATCTCGGTCTTGACTGTCTCTTCACTAATCATGTCTCTTCAAAGCCGCGTAAGACAACCTATGGGCCAACATGCAAAGGCTAGAGATTAAGCGAAGCGTTACTCCCAGGAAAACATCTTGTGGGCCCTCCAAGTACAGTCGTTCTTGGGTTGTGGTGACATACACAGTTGACTTAACAACACTGGCGTACCTCGACTAGCCCAGGCTTGCCACATGAACCTTCCGTGGCCATCGAAACTGTCATGAGAGAACTACAACGTGCTGAGAGCACCAAGCCCTATGGCTGACCCAGAACCTGAGCAATAGTCTCTGTTTCACGTAGCAGCTCTTCTTCGCGCTTGATCCTCCCCATCACCTGTACACAGCAAGGGACACCTTCAAGCTCGTCCGGAACATCTTCACATTGGCTTTAGTAGGGCGGTTTAACGGAGTCCACAGGTTGACTTACATCGTGGCCTATATTTGACATCGCGAACATACTGGGCATCCTCGAGCCCATTTGCCTTTCCGCATGGGATTATTATAGCAGGATACTAGACACTATCAGCTCAAGTCCCTTTCGAAAAATGCCAGCGCGTATACATCCAACACATTGGCCAAGGTTGTGCACAAAACCCATCCCACTGGATCATGGCGAGGGGCAGTCCCCTGGTGCCCCGTCACAAAGCCCAAAAGGCGAGGAGGGTGGCTTCTTTGATAGAGGGTGTTTCTAGACTGGTCACTTCAAGGCCGGAGGCTTTCAAGGCGTCGACTGCTGCAGTGAGGGCTTTGATGACTGGGGCATGGACCGGGAAGTGCGAGTCTTCGAGAATGAACCCGAGAGCGGTGCGCCAGGTGGTGAAATGGCCGAGAAATCAAATTGCCAAGCGTCTGCCTCCACCACCAGACTTGTGAATAGGGCCAGATCTCGTACTGACGTTGCCAATGGCCCTGTACAGGGATTTACCCCGGCAAGTTCTTTGCGGTCAGAGCCTGTCGATCCGGCGTGTGGGATCCGGTCGATGCATGGCCGGAGCCTAGAAGTCCCGTTGCAGATGGCCGGGATCCGGATCAAGCCCACGACATGACATCGGTTCCCACGCCCAGGATCGAACCCCGCATGGCGATCAACGCGCTTCACCACCGGAGGACCCATCGGCATTGGGATTGGAGCGGTGGGGGTTGAGAGTGCGACCAAAGACATGGCTATGGGTTTCCGCAGCCTTGCGTTATAATCAGCCTATGATGTGATTCATCCGTTGGGCTCCTGACCATCAGTGTGTCTCGACGTAGGGAACTGCGCCCAGTTTGAGCAGAATCTAGAAAAGGGTGGATTGGAATCAACGGGGCCGGGGTCAACGAAGGACGCGAAGCCAATGTCTGACGGAATGCCTGGAACATTGAAGATATCCTGAACCATTCAGTATAATCTCGTGCTTATATGGCTCTTTCTTTTAGGAACCCCGCTTAACTGAAAGGCCATATCGGTGCGAACAGAAGTGTGGTGATGTGCATATTGCAACCCTCCTCGTCGGTCTAAGCCCAGGATCATCGCGATGATCTCCTGGCCCCGCACCGAGTCGACAGCTCACCCTGCCAATTTCACCCCGACTGGGCATCTAGACTGCCAAGAGGCAACAGTCACCGCGGACGGCACGTTGGGGCAAGTTCCGACGGCAGGGAACCATGTGGGATAGGACCCGAAAGGCCCTTGTGCAGGGGGGCAGCCAGTGGTCAGCATGGAGCTATGGGCGTGCATGATCTTAACGGTGGGGAGAGGCGTATTCTTGGGATCTCTTCTGTCATCCAGTACTATCCATAGCGCAAAACTACCCAGGATCTAAGCGCGTCGTAGTAACATCGCCCTATATCAAATATCAGAAGGCTCTCTGGATCAAGGACCAATGCAGTATCGCACAACAAGAGGTTTAATAAGGCGCGTTCGCAGATCACTAGATCCATCCAAGAATAAGTACCAGGATTTCCGTGAAAGAGGTGACCTGGATCCCTTACCCTGTTCGCAAGGGTTTGAAAGCAGGGCGTGACTGAGCAGAGAACGATAAACCCTGGGGTGAAAAGCAACAGGGGTATGAAGAATCAATGGTCTGTTAACTCAGAAGAACACCCGAATTAAATAACACACAGAAAACGAATTAATTATTTGATCAACAAAGATCGCAAAAACCACGCCCGGGGTGGGACCAAATATCCGCCGATAAAAAAAAGAAATGACAAGAGTGGGATTCGAACCCACGCCATCAAACGATGACCAGGAAACTCGGGGGAGTTGTCTGTCAAGGTAAACCTTAACCTGGCGCCTTAGACCGCTCGGCCATCTTGCCTGTTGGATGAGATAAGGGCCACAACAGGGGTATATTATCGTTGCATCAGTGTGACTGGTTGAGAGAGCATGGCATTACGAGTCGCTCTGATTCATCACCAGATCTCTGGAATCCATCTTCGGTGGAATTACTGCCTGATTGACCCTCTGGAGCATTAAAATGTAATGTAAGATGCAGTAATCTCAGCTTGGGGGGGGTGGGACGTGGAGCATGTCCAGGTGGGAAGCTTGACCGAGATATATATAGTGAATCTTCCCGCATCATGGTACCTTGGGAAAGTACTTATGCTATGCAGACCCCACCCTGTTGACGGAGGAATGAGGACAAATACTTTACTCGCGGCTTGAAGACAAGGTGTATTTGAGCTCCAAGTCTGCAGACTGCAGACTGCAGACTCGAGAGTGATCAGTGGTCCAATGGGATCCAGCCCATATAGACCCAAACTAAAACCATTATTCAAAGATCCGATTCAATGTATCAGGTAGGTACGCGGAGACCGACGCACCTGGTAAGCGAAAATTACTCACCTGTCACCCTGAAAAAGAAGCAACGTGGCTATGCATCATTCAGGTTGCCCGGCATGTCTGCCCACTCACCCTACATGAGGAATATCAGCTGATCGAGTAAACATATAGGCCCACGAACAGCCCTGATCCCCAAGGGGGCCCACCCTCCCAACCTCAAACTTTCCACCAAATGCATTCCAGGTAATCAAGGACATCACTGTCAGCCAACGAACCCTAAAATCAAATCTCAAATTCCTCCCAGCCTGGACCGTCACAACAACGCATTCCTCCGCCAGACTTAAATCCCCGGATCTGCCCCTGCCAGCTCCATCCAGACGGAACACCAAATCCTGCTCCACGCCCCCGACAACTCTCCAACATGCACCTCTACGCTCTTGCAGCCATCCTACTCTCAACCCTTTGCCTGACCTCAGCCTACGCCCTCAGTCCCGAGGACGAGTTCACCGCGGCAGGCTGCCCAGACACCACGAGCCCGTATGCCTCGCATTCCGATCAACTAGCCGCCTGGGAAGACTTCACCAGCATGCTCTACAACGAGAAGCGCATCACGGAAGCCTTTGACAAGTACGTCGCGGCCGGATACATCAACCACTCGCCCCTCGTCCCGGGGAACGGCGCAAACACCACCATCGCGGAACTGTCGCAGATCGTCCCCAACGTGAACTCGGACCTGCAGCGGGCCTACGTGGGCTGGGACCGCAATGGGACTGCTTTCGGGACGGCGCATACAAAGGTCACTGGCGGGGGTGCGATCGGGATCCCTGACTCGGCCCTCGTCGATATCATTCGGATGGTGGGCACCTGTTTGGTTGAGCATTGGGATGTTGAGCAGTCGACTGAAGGGAGTCATCCCAACCCGATTGCGTTCTTCTTCTAGATGAGAGTTTTCTGTCCAGGCCGGCAGATTTGGAAATATACAAGACCGATGGGGTTCAGATATGGAAATTGGAAAAGCGAGGTTCATGGTTTTCCCATTTGACAAGCCATGCATGCACACTGCGAAGAATATCACGCTCGGTTGCAATAGAAACGGCTGTTTTTCTCCTGTTTTATCCCTGTATATGTACTAAATTTAGTGTCATGCCGGATTCTGCTGCTTGCCCCTGGTGATGTTACGGGACTATTTAAAAGCCGGACCCTGGCAGGTAGGCATAATCCTTGATTGATTGCACTGCATGCTGAAAGAAATGCATAGCATCTTATCACCTGCCATCTGCCTTTCCAGGGTGTGTAGGCCTCTCTATCCTGCGGTACGAGTACATTGTCGTGGTTCGTTGCAGCCCTCAGGCAGCCCTCCCGGTGGAGACTACCCGAAGTGGTGATGTCCCCCGCGGCACTGCGACAACAACTCGACAACTCAACCACGCATCGCAACAGCCATGAGCCATGAGCCATGAGCACCCCTTCTCGACAACGGCCCAGCTCGAGCGCCAAGATCTTGGAAATCCCATCTAGAGCTGAGTAGATCTGGATGGACTTGATCTGTCAACGGCGGGATGAACCCCTTCATGGAGTAATGCAGCTGGGTCTATCTTCAGGGTCGAGTCGGTCTACCGCAAGGGAGACGCCTTGGGTCATCGATCATCGATTTATCGTGTCTATGTCTATGTCCATGCTATCGCTATGCAATCCGAAGAACGTCCGTTCTCCATGCGTAACCCATTAAACCAAGATACATGCAAACAGTCACTGTCCTCTTCCCCTTTCTCTCTCTCCGTGTGTTTAGATTGGCTCATCCCTCGGCTCGATCAACACCTCGTTCACCGACACGTGCGCCGGCTGGCGCAGTGCGTACACGATCGAGTTGGCCACATCCGCCGGATCGAGGATCTGCGCTCCCGACGGCTCGCCGTACTTCTTGATGGCCTCTGCGTCCGTGGACATCCCCAGGAGATCGGTGGCCGTGTTGCCCGGCTGCACGCTGGTCACGCGCAGTCCCATGCCTGCGGTCTCCAGGCGCAGCGATTGCAGCGTCGCCTCCACGAAGAACTTGCTGGCCGAGTAGACGCCCAGACCTGGGAACACCTTGCGTCCGGCGTCTGAGGAAATGGCCACGATGTGGCCGCTTCCACGTGAGAGCATGCCTGGGACCGTCGCCGACAGGCAGTGCAGGAGACCCTTGCAGTTGACATCGACCGTGCGCTCCCATTCATCGGTCTTCACGTTCGCCATCATCGTGAAGTACATCACTCCGGCGCACGAGATCAGGTAGTCCACCGGACCAAGCTCGTCGGCCGTGGCCTGGAGCAGGGAGTCGACCTGGGTCTTGTTGGTGACGTCGGTCGGGCGCACGATGACCTTGCTGCCATGCGCAGTCATCTGGTTCTTGATGGACTCGAGGGCCTCCACGCGACGCGCCGCCAGAGCGACATGGCAGCCCTCGCGGGCCAGCGCGATCGCGACGGCCGCGCCAATGCCCGACGACGCTCCCGTCACGACGGCCACACGACCGCTCAGGGGGCCTCGGTTGACGGGCTTCGCGGTCCCGTTCAAGGCCTGCTGCCGAACCGGGGGCTGCGACAACCACCCACGCGCGAACCAGTGCCGCGTGTAGGTCTCGAGCAGCGCCCGGTCGACCTTGGGCCGCTCCACGACCGCCCGGAAGGGCCTCGTGGCCGCGTTGTCCAGCACGACGATGCCCCGGAGGAAGTCCACCGTGGGCATGCCACTGCGGAGAATGTCGACCGTGAAGGCACCATCACCACCCTTGACCGCACCCCGCTTCTCGGTCCACAGGGCCACCCACTCGTCCCACCCCAGGGACTTGGTCGGGTATCCGAGCTCGCGGAGCGCGGCAAAGACAGCCCGCGTGTCGACCGGGTTGGGGTCGCCCAGGTGAAACACGGTCTGCTCCGCATGGGTCTGCGTGGCCAGGTGGATGATGGCCTTGCTGACGAAGTCTACCGGCGTCATCTCCGCCCGCCAGCCATCCACGTCCGGCGCGTAGCCCAGTTTGATCGACTCGACGATCAGGGCCGACAGCAGATCCCAGGCGTTGGCCGACCCCGTCTGGCTGTGGCCACTGATGGTGCCGGCGCGATGGATCTTCACCGGCAGTCCCCGGCGACCCGCCTCGAGCACGAGCTGCTCGGCCACCCACTTGGTTTGCCCGTACCCGTCCAGCAGCTTGTCCGGCACGTCGGCCACATCCAGCATGGTGTCCTCAGACCAGCCCTTCTCGCCCGAGGGGGGGAGGACGCCGTTCGTGGACACGTATTGCACGGTCGCGCCGCCCTTGCAGGCCAGACGAAGGATCTCGCGGGTGCCGCCGACGTTCGGGCCGCGCAGGGCCGCATAGGGGTAGACCAGGTTGACAGTGGCCGCCGCGTGGACGATGACCTGCACCCGCGACGCCAGCTCGTCAAAGGCCTCCGGGGAGAGGCCGAAGCGAGAGCGCGAGAGGTTGCCGGGCAGGATCTCGACGCGCTCCATGATCGAGTCGCGCCAGAGCCCCAGATCCAGGAGGTTGCGGCGGATTCTGGCCACACCCCCGGGCTGGTCATCGTTGGCGGGATCGGTGAAGCGCACCAGGCAGATGATGTGGGCCGAGGTGCTCTCCAGCAGGTCGTGCAGCAGGAACGCGCCCAGGAATCCCGTCACGCCGGTCAGGAGCACCGTGTTCGCCTGGTCGACGGAGCAAATGGTGGCCTTGTCCGGTCGGATGCTGTCATCCAGGGTCGCATCGGCACGCAGCACTGCCGGGAGGTCCGCCTGCACCGCCGCCGTGTGCCCATCGCGCACGGCGCGCACGGTTTCGAGATGGCCGGTGAGGGTCGAGTTTTCGGCCAGACGAGCGATCGGCACGCGGAAGCCAAAGTGGCGCGACAGCCGGGAGGACAGATCGGCCAGGGACAAGGAGTGTCCCCCCAGATCGAAGAAGTCGTCCGTCGGCTTCAGCAGAGTGCGGGACGTCTTGAGGGCGGTGGCCCAAATGGCCGCGACCTGGTCGAGGCCGATCGGATCCTTCTCCACCGGCTTGCCGTTCCCGTTGACGTGGTCCACCGTGGGCGGGGGCGGCAGGGCCTTCAGATCGACCTTGCCCGTCACCTCGTGGGTCGGCAGCTCCGTCAGTTGCACCCAGAGGGCGGGGATCATGTACTGCGCCAGGGACTGAGAGAGCACGCGGCGCGCGGCGGGACTGTACCCGGCCTCGTTGATCTCCACGGGCGGACGGTCGGCGGCATTGTCGCGGTCGGGCACGATGTAGGCCACCAGCTGCCGCTCCAGGCCGTCGCCATGGGCCACGACGGCACAGTGGCTGACCGCCAGGCTCTTGACGATGTCGTTCTCGACCTTGGCGGGCACCACGGAGTACCCGCGCAGCTTGATCATGGACCCCACGCGCCCGGTGATCTCGAGGAGTCCCGAGGGCAGCAGTCGCGCGAGATCGCCCGTCCGGTACAGACGCGCTCCGGCCTGGGCGTCGAAGGGGTTGGCAATGAAGGCCTTGGCGGTGGTCTCGGGGAGGTTGAGGTACCCGCGCGCGAGCATGGGCCCGGCCACGAAGAGCTCTCCGCTGACCCCGGTCTCCACCGGCTGGCTGTTCTCATCCAGGATATGGGTGTTCTTCGGGTCCATCGGGGGCCCCACGGGGCAGTACAGCGCGGTCTCGTCCAGCATCTCCCGGATATCTCCGCAGGCAATCTCGTGCGTCTCACAGGCGCTGTAGCAATTCAGGAGACGGGTCTTGGGGAGGGCTTTCATCGCCCGCCGGGCGAGTTCGGTGGTGACGACCTCGCCGTTGAGCCAGAGGGTGCGGAGGTGCGGCAGGCGAGTGCCAATGTGTGGGTGGCGGGCGAGCACGGTCGCCAGGAGGGTCGGGGTCATGAGGGTCTCGGTGACCCGCTTGGCCGCGAGCAGGTCCACCAGGGCGGCGGGGTCGTAGCTGGCCTCGTCGGGGACGGCGACGACGGTGGCCCCCCGCAAGAGCGGGCGGAGGATCTCCCAGATGAAGAAGACGTTGCAGGCGACGCGATCGCCCGGGTGCAGGTCTTGCACGCCGAATCGCAGGTTGTAGGAGAGCACGGGGGCGCGGTGGGGGTTGGCAATGCCCTTGGGCTTGCCGGTGGTTCCCGAGGAGTAGGAGACGAAGGCCAGGCGGTCCAAATCGTCGTCGGCGGGGAGGGGCGCCAGCTCGGTGGCTGAGCCGTTGGTCTTGGGGATCGGTTCATCGAGGGTGATCAGGGGGACGTCGGCTTGGATCTTCCCCAGCTCGGCGCGGCAAGTGATCACGACGGCGGGGTTCCCGTCGCGGATCACGTCGTCCAGCAGCTCCGGAGGGTATGCCAGCTCGAGGACGAGGAAGGCCCCGCCCGCGCGGAGGGCAGCCAGGCACGCAATGACATAGTCGCTGCTCCGGGGGAGAAGCACGCCGACGAGGGAGTCCCGGCGGACGCCGTAGTGGCGCAGACGGAGGGCGAGGGCGTCGACGTGGCGATCGAGCTCGGCGTAGGTGTATGTGGTGGTCTCATCCTCCAGGGCGAGAGCGTCGGGGGTGGCCTGGGCCTGTTGTGAGAAGAGGGCCGACAGGTCTTTGGTGATGTCGATGAAGGTCATTTTGGCGGGAGTGAGAGGGGGGGAGGTGGGGGGAGGAAGAGGTGATTGAGCAGTGGTCGAGGATAGCCAGCTCCGATGGATCGCGGTGGGAATTAATTCAGTCGAGAAGGGAGCTGATGGGGGGGAGGGGAGGGGAGGGGAGGGGAGGGGTCAGATGTGGCGGTTCTTCCTTGCAGGAGAGGGAAGAGGGAGGAAGAAGGAGGAGGAGGAGGGATTGAATGGATGGATGGAGGGAAGACTCACGGGACGGCGAGGAAGGCCAGGTTTTTGAGGCGCGGAGAAAGCAGCAGCAGCAGCAGCAGAACAGCTGCTGCTCCTGTTGAGCTTCTAGTGGGTGGGGAAGGAAGCTGATAAGGAGCAAGTCAGCGTCCAGAGCAACGGCGAGCCTGTCACATGCAAATGGCCGTGCCCCCGATTGGGTTAGCATCTCTCAACGCTCTGGATTAATATCAGGAGAGAATAATAATGCTGACAATACTCAGTACTCAGAATGGACTCTGGGTTGGTCTCTCGTGTTCTTTGATGAACCCGTGGTCCCGGGCTGCGATCGCCATGTCGCCATGCGGAGCCAATGGGCGACAACCCATCAATCCTCCGCTGTGCCTCTGCCTCTGCATCTGCGACCTGTACTTCTTCTGTCTACTGTACAGCTGTACGGAGTAGTACTTAGAGAGGTGTGATCCGTCGCACCAAATGGCTACCCAATTCAATGTGTTCCTGGCCCGGGGGAAGGGAAGACGGGGGAATCCAATCGACTGGGGTCGCGGGCCTGGTTGGGGATGCGGTTCGACCCGATCGGGAGCGTCATTGGCTGCGGCCAAGCCGGCAGTGGGCCAGGCCCCCCAATCAGAGCCCCGGTCTGCTGCACCTGGCATGTGATTGCGGGTCTGCCGGACAGTGTTTGCTTGGTTTGTCTGGTTTGCAGGCGCCGGCGGACATCTCCGACCGGCCAGGCGCTGCTCTCTCTCTTCCTCTTCCCCTCCTTCCCCTCCCTCACGCTCCCTCGATCCTCCGGTTGCTGGAGATCCCCGTCCCTGCCGCCCAGATCTTGTGGCTGCCTCCCGCTGCTCTCGCGGTCATCACTCTATCGGGCCAGCCCCCCTGCAGCTCTGTAGCGCCCTCCTGCACGCCTGCACGCCTGCACCCCCCGCGTCCGTTTGCCAGTATCCAGGCAACCCCCGTCATGCGATCCATGATGCCCGATCCCTGCGTCTGAGTCTGCATGCCGCCCACGGGCCACTGTCCTCCACCAATCCCTCTGATCAACGAAAACTATCGTCTACTTACCTATCCCCTGTCACAAGATACGAACCTGGCGTCCTACCTGCCTTTGTACGGAGTAGATAGTAGTTCATCCATGATCCTGGCCAGACACGGACACTGACAGCGGCAGTCGGATCGGGACAGGCGCACGGTCCGGGCGGAAATGCGCGCCGCGAATGGCCGGTCGGGCGAAGATGCCTCCTCTTCTGGTGGGATTGGATGTGCAAGAGAGAGTCCAAACGCGTGTCCATGACATTCAACCCCCAGAGAGTCCGGAATACTGTTACTATTATACATGTCCAGACGATCAGGATTCGAGAATGAGACGAGGAATGAAGTGCTGCGGGGACTTGGGACATGAGGTGGGCACCTCCCAACAATGGAAGCAAACAATCGGTCTAATGGTATGGATGGTATTCAGAAGTCCGTGACGACGACACCGACACTTCTTCCGTCAACCGGATTGTGTTCCTGCCTTCCCGGCGTCTCTCCTCCTGGACAAAGCTCCCGTCCAGTAGCAAGTCCTCCGACGAGCTCGGCGTGGTCCCCGCCTGCATCGCCTTCTCGCCCGCTCCAATGCTGACCTGGTATGTGTCTTCCCCGGGGTACGGGGCCAGATGGGCCAGCTTCACTCCGGCCTCACAGCTCGGCCCTTCCGACGGGGAGACCTGGAGGTGTGAAAGCCAGGTCCCAAACAACGACTTCAGGGCGGGGGTGGAGAGTGCAATCAGGGTGCTGCCGATCTCGGACGTTTCGATCGCCAGCATCGGGTCATATGCCCAACTGCCGTCGGAGGACCACTGGCCGATGAAGACGAGGTACATGCGGACCGACGAGATGACCAGGACTCTAGGAGATGGCTCATGTTAGCGGCGGGGGGGACACAGGCAGGCAGGCCCAGGCACTCACAAGACACCGGGGAACAGGATCAGGGACAGCTCGAGTTTTCTCTTCCGGGAAACATGCAGCCCGTGGATCAACAGGGCCGGGAGCGTCAACATCATCAGATCGCAGATCAAGGAGAGGACCGAATTGGCCACGTACACCTCCCCCCAGGTGATACACTGGTACTCGTTGATCTGCGGCTGCCAGGCATACGGCCAGAGACCGGTCACGGGGAGACAGTGCAAGAGCAGGAGGAGGAATTGGACCAGGTACGCGGCCAGGAGGAAGCCGGCGGAGCCCTTGATGGCCAGCGAGATCTTCCGATGGCACGATGCCAGCCGCTGGTAGAAGGCCAGTCCGGACAGGCGGCAGGTGAACAGGGCGGTCGTATACAGGACGTGCATGACGAAGTCGTAGACTTCGGTCTCGTCAACCTGGGTCAGAGACAGAACGTACTCGATGTACTCGATGTGTCGGCCACTGCCCAGATCAATCAAGACCATGCACAAGGCGACGATCGGGAAGTAAATCAACTATCAAGACCGTCAATATGAAACCCGGCTCCGTGAGAAAGGAACAGGGCTACCACAGTGAGGACTGCCAAGGCGTCGTCCCAGCCAAACTTCTTGACGATGAACAGCCGGGCGTAGCACCGGGCAATGACGATGACGGTGGCAAGGGCACTGACGCAGAAAATGGCGATCTTTGCGGGCTGGTCTCGCGACTGGGCCAAATACTCCAGAGTGATCCCGGCGGGTATGCGACCCTCGGCCGCCGCAGTCTCAATCGCGGTCGATATTTGAGGCATTGTTTGGGGGAGTTTGTGCCAACTTTGCCACTAGTTCAGGTGGGCATTCTCTCGAGGACATAAAGCCCAGTGTCTGGCAGACTTGACGTAGAAGCGGTGCCAGGGGGGGGAGAGAGCAGCGCCGCACCGATTCAATATCCATGACCCATGTCAGTCTGCTTGACGTGCATTGTTCTGTATCAAGGGCCTAGAAGTGGACGGACCACCCCACCCGGCTTCAGGGATTGTGATCCTACGTCTGTTCGGCCGTGGCGGCGTTAGCCTGGCTGGACGCCAGCGGATGTTGGAAATTGGAAGCTGAAACACCCCCCCCCCCCCTATCATCCAGTGGATAGTCTGCTTTCTTGCCCTTCCACTTATCAGCGCCGACCCTCGACCTATCTGGCTGTTCCCAGATCGACAATGTCTATATATCCAGATAGATACATACATGCTGGAAACCGACAGTCTGATCGCATGGGGGCTAGAGGGTGGATGCTCCATGCGAACCCCCATACGCCGGGACTTTTGCTGCCGGGGTGAGCGGGCCAACTCCAGGCAGAAGGCATAGACATCCTTGTCAATGGATCCATTATAACACCCTCGAATATGCGCCCTTCATGACCGGGACTCCGTTGGGGGGGGTAGGTAGGCCGAGACGCCGCAGGAGACGCCGCAGGCCACCGGCAAAGCACTACTCGACTAGTCGCAGGGTTAGTCCCTACCACGGAGAGACGCTTGCGTGGTCCGTTGGCAGTGGGATGGGATGGGATCTCCCCTCGGATTTGGTTTGGTGTTCTTCTGGTCGGGCGCATCAACCTGCATGGCTCCTCGTCCACATGTAGGGTTTGGGGGGAACGCAAGTGCCGTGACAGGCGCAAGCGTGGGGAGATCAAGCATCGCAGGGGCCGATCCGGAGGCCGATGCGCTGCCGCCTGCCGCTGCGGCGCTGCGGTCCTGCGGTCCTCCTGCGGTCGCTATCCGACGATCCACTCGGAGGATGGATTCGCCTACCGCACGGCATCCACTCATGCCAGCCCACAATAGATAGACCGCGCTCCAGCCACTCACCAGTCCGTTCTTTCCTGCCGGCTCTGGCTGTCTGACCGCTATTTAAACCAACCAACCCTCCTACGTCCCAGAGGTTGCTTTGTCGTGCCAACATTTTCTTTTCCCACCGGCTAGCAATCTGCACACTCTGATCCAGGATGCCTTCCGTTGGGTCCTGGCTTCTCAGCACGGCGTTGGCGTCTCTGGCCAGCGCCACCGGCCTCAATGACAGCCTGGTCGCGCAGCAGATCGACACCCGTCCGTTCCCCTACGATTTCCCAAAGCTGGGGGTCAATGGGTCGGACCTCTTCCCCATGCGCCGCTGCCAGGGCTTCCAGCTCGAGGAGGCCAGCATCGACGCGATCCAGGCCGAATTAGGCTCCGGTCGTCTGACCGGCGTGCAGCTGCTCCAGTGTTATCTGGAGCGCATCTACCAGGTGCAGCCGTACACCAAGTGAGTGATCGACCTGCTTTGACCGCCGATCCATACTGATGCGCGGTGCCAGTGCGGTCCTGCAGTTCAACCCCGACGCACTGGCCATCGCGGAGGGCTTGGACGCGGAGCGCCAGGAGGGTTTCGTGCGGGGCCCGCTGCACGGCATTCCCTTCCTGGTGAAGGACAACATCGCCAGCAAGGACAAGATGGAGACGACGGCGGGCAGCTGGGCGCTGGTGGGCTCGGTGGTGCCGCGGGACTCGCACGTGGTGCACCGTCTGCGCGAGGCCGGGGCGGTGCTGCTGGGCAAGGCGACGCTCAGCGAGTGGGCGGATATGCGCTCCAACGACTACTCGGAGGGCTACTCGGGTCGCGGTGGCCAGTGTCGCAACCCGTACAACTTCACCGTCAACCCCGGGGGCAGCAGCTCCGGGTCCGGCGTGGCGGTCACCAGCAACCAGGTCCCGTTCGCCCTGGGCACCGAGACCGACGGGAGTGGTAAGCCCTGACCCGACCTGACCTGACCCCGAGTCGGACACGTCGTCCGGACATGTAATGGCGGCTAACCCTGGCAGTGATCAACCCGGCGGAGCGGTGCAACGTCGTGGGCATCAAGCCCACCGTGGGCCTGACCTCCCGGGCGGGCGTCATCCCCGAGTCGCTGCACCAGGACACGGTCGGCACGTTCGGCAAGACGGTCCGGGATGCCACGTATGCCCTGGATGCCATCTACGGCGTGGACCCGCGCGACAACGAGACCGCCGCGCAGCTGGGCAAGACGCCCGCGGGCGGCTACGCGCAGTTCCTGACGGACAAGTCGGCCCTCCAGGGGGCGGTCTTCGGGCTGCCGTGGCTGTCGTTCTGGCAGTACAACGACGCCGCGCAGAACGCGCAGCTGATGGAGCTCCTCGCCCTCATCGAGTCGGCGGGGGCGACGATCATCAACGGCACGGAGCTGCCGTACTACAAGGAGATCGTCGACCCGGCGGGCTGGAACTGGGACTACGGCACCGAGCGCGGGTATCCCAACGAGTCGGAGTACACGTACGTCAAGGTGGACTTCTACAACAACATCCGGGATTACCTGGCGGAGCTGGGCAACACGAACATGCGGTCGCTGGAGGACATCGTGCAGTACAACATCGACAACGCGGGCAGCGAGGGCGGCATCCCCGGGGTGAACCCGGCGTTCGCGTCGGGCCAGGACGGGTTCCTGGCGTCGCTGGCCACCCAGGGCATCATGAACGAGACGTACTGGCAGGCGCTGGAGTACTGCCGGCGCACCAGCCGGGAGGAGGGCATCGACGCGGCGCTGCACTACCAGGGCCGCAACCTGACGGCGCTGCTGGCGCCGCCGGACTTTGCGCCGTCCTACGAGATCGCGGCGCAGGCGGGCTACCCGGTGGTGACGCTGCCGGCGGGGATCAACCAGGGGTCGAAGATGCCGTACGGGCTGGCGCTGATGGGCACGGCGTTCTCGGAGGCGACCCTGATCCGGTACGCCAGCGCGATCGAGGACCTGCAGGTCTCGTCGCACACGCGGTGGCAGCGCAGTCTGGCGACGTGGAGTGGGTATCTAGACCGGAACATTCCTGTCAATTAAGGCTGTGATCTGCCTCGGTCCTGCACACATGCCCTGTCACTGTATTGTAGCTGCCTTTACCTTGTATAATGCTACTGTGTTCTATCACCTGCCCCCCTTCTTCTTCTTCTTCTTCTTCTTCTTCTTCTCCTCCCATGCATGCCATCTGCGCACGTGGTAGGTCCGTAGGGACCAACCCCCCGGAGAATTGGCCCGCGGACGACGCCACCCAGCCCTGGCTTCTGGAAGCACGCCCGGGGTACCGTGAGGGTCGGCCAGGGGCTCCCGACCAACCAGCGGCCCACGTGGGCGCGGGAGTGGCCGCGAGACGTTCCGCCAAGCGCCAAGGCTCTCCGCCAAGCGCAACACGAAGAGCACCGTGGAGGACTCCCTGAAGGAGGATAGTGGTACGCAGGTGCAACTGAGTGCCACCCACACCACCCACGCCACCCATCGCTGCGATCCCTGGATCTTGACCGTTGCGCCAAGTCCCTCTCCGTCTGTCCTACCCCCCCCCCCTCCTCCTTGGCGCTGCGGCCCCGAATCAGACCCCCCCGCGTCGAAACGTGCCTGGCGGCGGTTCCGCTCTTCAGCTCTGCTTGAAGGGCAGTGACAGTGAATGACCCCGGTTACTTAAGATCTGCTCGTCCTCGCGGGGTTGTTCTCTTACTTATTGTCTTCTTGTGCTCTTCTCCTCTTCTCTTCTCTCCTCACCTCACCACACTCCTTCTTCCTCACTCCCTCTTCCCCCCCAATATCCGTCATCATGGCGGTCCTCCACGCCTACGACTACGTCTTCGCCATCGGCACCCTCTTCGCCATGTTGGATGCCTTCAACAACGGCGCCAGTAAGTTTCCTCCTCCTCCTTCTCTGTCTTCTTCGCTGTCTTCTTCCATCCCCTGTGACCTCTACTAAAAACCTTCTCTCCCAGACGATGTGGCCAACTCCTGGGCTACCAGCGTCTCGTCCCGCTCCATCTCCTACCGCCAGGCCATGATCTTCGGCACCATCTTCGAGATGCTGGGCGCCATCACCGTCGGGGCGCGCACCGCCGACACCATCAAGAACGGCATCATCCCCAACGCCGCCTTCCAGGGCAACGCCGGCGTGCAGATGCTGGCCTTCACCTGCGCCCTGGCCGCCGCCTCGTCCTGGGTCATGTGGTGCACGCGTCACTCCGCCCACGTCTCCTCGACCTACTCGCTCATCGCTGCCGTCGCGGGCGTCGGCGTGGCCACCGTGGGCGCCTCGCAGGTGCAATGGGGCTGGAACAACGGCAAGGGACTCGGGGCCATCTTCGCGGGACTGGGCATGGCACCCATCATCTCCGGGGGCTTTGCGGCGGCCATCTTCATGCTCATCAAGCTGGTCGTGCTGCTGCGCCGCAACCCCATCCCCTGGGCCGTCTACAGCTCGCCGTTCTTCTTCCTCATCGCCGCCACCATCTGCACCCTGTCCATCGTCTACAAGGGCTCGCCCAGCCTGGGTCTGAGCAAGAAGCCCGGCTGGTACATCGCCGCCGTGACCATGGGCACCGGCGGGGGCGTCGCCCTGCTGTCCGTGCTCTTCTTTGTCCCCTTCGTGCACGCCCGCGTCATCAAGAAGGACCACGGCGTCCAGTGGTGGATGTTCGTCCTGGGCCCGCTGCTGCTGCTGCGTCCCACCCCCGTCGAGGCCGCCCACGCCAAGATCCCCAACTACGCCGTCGTCCAGGACGACTCGGACGTGTTGTCCATGCGTTCGCCCGATACCCTCCGCGGCGTCGACGCCCCCAAGGCCGCCCCCCTCGCCGGGGTCGAGTCGATCCAGTCGGACGAGAAGCGCGTGGTGGCGGGCGAGTCGGCCCAGCTGACGTACCAGGAACTGATGGCGCAGTCGGAACGCCGGCTGAACGAGCGGCTGCTGCAGAAACGCGGTCCCATCGGCTGGGCGATGCGCACGCTCCGCGACAACCCGCTCGGGGCGGGCCAGATGTACGAGCTGCACAACATCCTGATCCTGTTCAAGCGCATCCCCGCGATGGTGGTGTGCGGGCTGCTGTACGGGCTGCACTACGACATCCACGCGGCGCAGTCGGGCATCGCGGGCACGCCCGAGGGCCAGCGCATGCAGCGGGTGTACGCGCACGCGGAGAAGTACCCCAACGAGGTGGAGCACACGTACTCGTTCGTGCAGGTGCTGACGGCGTGCACGGCGTCGTTCGCGCACGGAGCCAACGACATCGGCAACTCGGTCGGGCCCTGGGCCGTCATCTACTCGGCCTGGTCGACGGGCAACGCGGCCGCCGCGAAGGCGCCGGTGCCCGTGTGGCAGCTGGCGGTGCTGGCGGCGTGCATCTCGATCGGGCTGATTACCTATGGGTACAACATCATGAAGGGTATGTGGTCTGTCTCTATCTGTTGTCTGCCGATATCGACGATGCTAACCGGACTAGTCATGGGCAACAAGATCACGTACCACTCGCCCAGCCGCGGCTGCTCGATGGAGATGGGGGCGGCGATCACGGTGCTGGTGTTCTCGCAGTACTCGCTGCCGGTGTCGACGTCGATGTGCATCACGGGGGCGACGGTGGGCGTCGGGCTGTGCAACGGCACCTTCAAGGCCGTCAACTTCCAGCGCGTGGGTCTGCTGCTGCTGGCGTGGATCATGACGCTGCCGATTGCAGGCACCCTGGGGGGCGTGCTGATGGGGCTGTTCCTGAATGCGCCGCACTTTGCTTGACCATCTGGAGAGGATCCGGAGGAGAAAGTAGCTAATCTATTGTCCACGGGGAGTGGTGGTTAGATGACTGTCGATTAATCATGAGCAGTGAGGGTGTAGTTAGTTAATCAGTCCATGAGATTAATCGAATATGTCCCAGACAACTCAGCAGGTCACACTAAAACATCCCGATGGCGACACAGCTTGAGGGGAAGTGAAATAAAATGACCCGATGATAAGATCCGCCGAGGGGAACTCTTTTCTGTCACTTCTCTTCTTCTTCTTCTCCTTCTTCCTCTTCCTCTTCTTCCTCCTCTCCAACCTCACCCTCACGCTAACCCTAACCCTACATCCCCATCCTCTACAGAATGACATCCCAACCACGGTACCGCCTCGGGGTCGACGTGGGAGGCAAGCACCTCCGTGTACTGTATATCCAGTTCAAGACCCAACTAATCATCCACAGGCACCAACACCGACGCCGTGCTGATCTCCCTCGATCCCATCGCCATCGTCTCCTCCCATAAATCCCCGACCACGCCCGACATCACCTCCGGCATCACCGCCGCCATCCGCGCCGTCCTCGCCACCGCTGATGTCTCTCACGTTCTCTCCGCCATCGAATGCGTCATCATCGGCACCACCCACTTCGTCAACGCCGTCGTGCAGCGCTCTCCGTCCCTGCGCCGCGTCGCCGTCGTGCGTCTCTGCGGCGGTCCCCACGAGGGCTTCGGCCGCGCCATCCCCCCCTTCGTCGATTTTCCCGCCGACCTGCGCGCCCGCATCGCCCCCCCGCGCCCGTATCTCTGCCACGGCGGGTTCCAGATCTCCGGCGAGGAGATCAGTCCGCTGGACGAGACGGAGCTGGAGACCGTCGGGCGGGCCATCGTGGCGGACGGGGTGTTGGACGTCGTCGTCGCGGGCATGTACGCGCCCCTGGACCCTGCCCAGGAGGTGCGCGCTGGAGAGATCCTGCTGCGATCCATGACGAAGGCCTGCCCCGGCGCGACGCCCCGTATCACGCTCTCCCACCAGGTCTCCGGACTGGGGTTCCTGGCCAGGGAGAACGCTGCCATCCTCAACGCCACGCTCCGTCCACTGGCCGAGCGCACAATCTGCAGCTTCCAGCGGGCCATGCGCGCGATCTTCCCCGAGGCGCTCGTCACGCTGTTTCTCACCCAGAATGACGGCAGTGTGCTGGCCGCCAACGAGGCCGTCGACCTGCCCATCCGCACGTTCAACTCGGGGCCAACCAACTCCATCCGCGGCGGGGCGTTCCTCTGGCGGACGGCAGCAGAAGAAGAAGAAGAAGAAGAAGAAGAAGAAGAAGAAGAAGAAGGGAGCGGACCGACGCGGCACCCGCGCAGGGCGGAGCCCCTGGTGGTCATCGACATCGGGGGCACCACCTCCGACAGCGGGCTGCTGCTGCCCAACGGACTGCCCCAGATGAGCTCCGTCATGAGTCTCGTCGGCGGCGTGCGCACCAACTTCGCCCTGCCCGCGGTCGAGAGCATCGGGCTGGGGGGAGGCAGTCTCGTCCGGGGCACGGAGGAGGAGGAGACATGCTCGGTCGGTCCCGACAGTGTCGCGCACGAGCTGCTGGTCCGGGCCCGTCTCTTCGGGGGCGACTGTCTCACGGCCACGGATATCGTCGCGGCGGCATGGCAGAGACACCGTCCCTCGGGGCCCAATCCGCTGCACGGGCTGGGGGACCCGGCCCATCTGGCCGATATCACGCCGCGGATGGCCACCCGCGCCCAGAATGCCATGCGACGGATGATCGAGGATCTCGTCGACCGCACCAAGGTCTCCCGGGAGGACGTCGATGTGCTGCTCGTCGGCGGCGGCGCGCCCATCGTCCGCACCGACGAGCCTCTCCGCGGCGTCCGGCAGGTGCAGACGGTGGCCGGGGGTGAGGTCGCCAATGCGGTTGGAGCGGCCATCTCGCGCGTCTCGGGCGTCGTCGACACGGTCGTGGACACCTCCCACGGCACCCTCAGGGACGCCCAGGACCGGGTCTCGCAGCGGGCCCTCGGCCAGGCCGTCGCCCACGGGGCCCGGCCCGACACGGTGCACGTCGCCGAGGTGACGCTGCTGCCCATCCAGTACGTCGAGGAGGCCAAGGCGCGCCTCGTCGTGCGCGCCGTGGGCGAGCTGGACCTCGTGGCTGTTCCGGATGGTGCCCTCGACAGGCGGCTCGAGGCTGTTCTTCCCGACTCGGACTCGGATCCAGCCCTAGATCCCACCCCCATGCCCTCCCTCACGCACCCCCACCCCCCCAGCCAGACCTCCAGGCCTACCGCCCCACCATCCAGCACCGCCAGTGGATCCTCACCCCGACCGACCTGGACTTCATCGCCTGCGGCTGCAAGATCCTCGGCTGCGGGGGCGGCGGCGACCCGTACCCGGAGCACCTGAGGGCGCTGGCCCTGCTGCGCAGCCAGCCCGGTGGGATCACCGTCGTCTCGCCCGACTTCCTGCCCGACGACGCCCTGGTCGGCTGGACGGGCTGCATGGGCAGCCCCGACGTGAGCCTGGAGCGACTCGAGAACGGCGAGTGCGGGCAGGCGCACGCCGAGCTGATGCGGGTGACGGGGAGTGATGCGGTGTCCGGCTTCATGGCGGTGGAGATCGGCGGGGGCAATGGGATGGTCAATCTCGCGGTGGCCGCGCAGGGCGGCGTGCCCTGTCTCGACGCCGATTTCATGGGCCGCGCCTATCCGACCCTCTGGCAGGTCACTCCCAACGTGTTTGGGTCGGCGCGCGGCGAGGCGCTGGTGCCCACCACCATGGCCAGCGGCGATGGGTCGTTCATCACCATGACGCGCGTGCGGACGGACCGGCTGGTGGATCGGGGGCTGCGGGCCTCGTGCGTCGAGATGGGCTGTCGCACGGGCGTCGCGGGGCCCCCGAAACGGGTGCAGCTGGTGCGCGAGCAGGCGATCCTTCACTCGGTGTCCCTGGCCTGGTGGATCGGGCGGGCCGTGATGCTGGAGCGCACTCTCGCGGATAGGGCACGGCGCATCGTCGAGGCCGTCGGGGGGACGGCCAGTGCGGCCGTCCTGGGCGAGGGCAAGGTCGTGGCCGTGTCGCGGGTGCTGAAGACGGGCCACTCGTATGGGGTGCTGGAGGTGGACGGTCGCCTGAGTGCCGGGACGACCCCCGCGACGATCCGCGTGCCCTTCAAGAACGAGAATGCCCTGGTGGAGGCGGTCGTTCGGGGAGAGCAGCAGGTGCAGGTGTTGGCGGCGGTGCCCGATCTGATTGTCGTGCTGGACGCGGAGACGGGGGCTGGCCTGGCCACCCCCGAGTATAAATACGGGCTGAAGGTGGTGATCCTCGCCATTGCTGCCTCTCCCCGGTGGACCGACTCGGCGAGGGGGATGGAGCTGGGGGGGCCTTCATCCATGGGGTTTGAGGTCGAATACGTGCCGGTGGGGCGATACTGTCCCCCTCGCAGTGTCATCGAGGCGTTTGCGGAGGGCTGATCTATTGATCAGGAGGTGGGAACCGGGCATTCATGGTTGTGGTATTATTCAACCGGATCTTTACAATGGATGTTTTTTTTTTTGTTTTTTTCTGGCCATCTATCAAGGGTAGTAGTTTTATATATCCCACAGTCCCGACATCCCCGGACATTCCCCGCAATCCCATCTCAACCCTAACTGAAGTACCACCCTACTAGAGATATACACACACAGCCCTAAAGCACACTAAGCCCCATTCTCCATTCCCCAAACCAATCTCCAACTCCAACCCCCCCCCCCCTCTCCCCCACCGTTCTGTTCTGGTGGGAAACTCCCAATCTTAGTCCTATGTAGTGAGATATCTTGCAAAATTTAAACTATCGGGGCAATGGCGCATCTGGGAGCGCGTCAGACTGAAGTAAACTTCGGCCATAGGATTTCATCTGCAAAGATGTCCCTGTATATCTGAAGGTGGCCGGTTCAAGCCCGGCTTGCCCCATTATTCTTTTTCTTTTCTCCTTTTTTTTTTTTTTTTCGCTTTTCTTGGGTGTGAGTGGGTCTCGACCGAGGGCTACACTCACTCACTCGATGTTAATTTGCTTTGGGACATCACTATCTGTCTGTCTGTCTGTCCGTCATACTGCGACTACAATACTAGTACTACTAGGGACTATGATGGATAGCCCTATATATTACTCTACTTTCACGCCACCTGTTACCATGGCTATAGCACAAATAGTTTGAAGATCTAGCGTTCGACTCTGGGTGAAATTATGTACGCAGCAGCCCTTTCTGTCGACGACCACACTGGCAGATGATCCACCCCTTCTGCCTCGCTCCTGATTTACCCGATGGACGGTCGATATCGTACTTTTGTTTCATATCTGAACGTGTGAACACCCTTCGAAGAAAGATTCCATCACCGATCACTCACACTCACCCGCACCGTATTCCGTACATGGATTCGCCCCGACTCGCCATCCTCATCCTCATCCCCATCCCCATCCCCCCACAGCACCTCCTCGCTCGACCCATCCCCCGGCCCCGCGCGCGCGTTGCTCCCATACAGATCTGGCCCCTGGTACAGCGGACCCTCTTCCGAGTGCGGCATCCCCTTCTGCTTCTGCACATGCAGCTCGTGCGACCCGCTGCTCTGCCCTTCTGCCATCGAGGAACCCCGGCGCACGGCCACTCCCACGAGGCCCTTCAGCGCGGGCAGGGACAGCGCGATGATGGCCGTGCTGACCTCCGTGTCGGACCACACCATCACCACTGAGAAGTACCACGTCGCGTCGGTGTCCCTGATTGCCGGGATCATGGCGATGATGCGGCAGATCGAGGTCCTGCTGGTCGGTGAGTAGTGGGTATCGCAGATGGGATGGTGTCGAAGAGATGGCGGTCGCCAGGGGAGACGGTAGGGTAGGCGACTTACATCACGGCACTAGAGACAATTAGCACACATTCCCCGTTGAGACCGGCAGGGACATACAAAATCCCAAAACACAACACCACCGCCAGCGCCGTCTTCCGCGCCGGACTCGCCCGGATCGAGAACACGATCTTGACCGGCAGCAGCAGGATGATCGAGTCGCAGACGATGGTCAGCGCCGCGGTCGAGATGAACACCGTCTGCGAGCCCAGACAGGTCCCCTCCGCGGCCCCCCACAGCGCCGCCAGGGGGATGCACTGCAGCGCGATGACGAGCACCTGGGCCACCAGCACCGCCGTGACGAACGCGAACGAGGCCCGCAGATAGCCCTGGAACTGCGGCATCGGGTTCAGTCGTCGGTAGAACGCCAGCCCGGAGATGCGACACGTCCACAGCGCCACCATGTACACCAGCTGCGCGGCCACCAGCCACTGGTACAGCAGCGGGGCCTCGGATGCCGTGAGGGCCCAGATGTGTATCCCGGCGCCGTATCGGAGGACCTGCAGCGAGAGCGCCATCACGACGATGTTCAATAACTGGGACGTCGTGTCAGTTGCGATTTCTGCTGCTGCTGCTGCTGCTGCTGCTGCTGCTGCTACGGCTCATCGATCGCAGACTCACCAGCGCGGCGCAGATCAAGCCATCATCCCAGCCAAAACTGCGGATGAGGAAACCGCGTGCGTAGACCCGCACCAGCACGACGAGGGCCGACAGCGCCGTGACAACGGCGATGCCAATGCGCGCCTGTGGACGGCGGTCTTCCGCCAGAAATGCGGGCGTCAACTCGGGGGTGGACGACATGACACAGTCCGCTACATGAGACAGGTCGAGAGGGAGAAGAGGAGGGGGTTCAGATGTAGATTCATCGGAGGGGAAGACATCGGTCGCGTTTTAGCGAAGTGAGAGTCCCCCCTGCAGCATGCAGGTCTGCAGGTCCCGGGGTGAAGTCGTAGCAAGGGATGGCGATGGGCATCCGAAATCCCAAATCAAATCCCAATTTCCAATTCTCGAGCCATGCAGGACCCGATCTCAATTTCCAGGCGATTTTCGTCCTTTGCTATGCGCACAACTGCCAATGGGACATCGCCCGTCCGTCGGATATATCAGCCTGTGGGAAGGATGCGAGCCATTGGATCGCCCACTCTGCAGTCTGCTGGCTAACGCGGAGGGGGGGGGCATGGATGACACGGACACTCTGACAGCCTTGGTGAGGAAATTCAAATCTCGCATCAACAATGGGTCCTGGCCAGTTCGACCCGCGGCTTCATCTCCGGGGCTCACGATCGATTGGCTCTGGGGCATCTTTTGCTCCACTCGCCACTGCGGCCGTGCCGACCCTATCTAGTCAGCATCGAGCGGTCGGTTAGATGGGCGGGGTCGATGGAGATGGATGGATGCAGCTATGCGACGTGCATCGGTGTAGATATCTCGCGCGAGTCGAGTCAGCCCAGAGGGACTGACAGAACCGTCTGGATATCTGCATATCCGGATTGCCTCCTCTCGGCCGCGTCACTCCCACCAGATCGATGCAACCTCACCAGCAGTCGAAAAACCACCCCCTCACACTCACTAGAGTCCCGCGAGAGACTATCGAGGACGGACAGTCGGGTCTAGTGACAATGGCGCGACACTAAACCCCACCGGCGCTGGCTGCTCGCCCACATTCCGCCGCCCCAAATAAATACCGAGACAGGCGACGGCCGCCCAGCAAGGGATCGCAGGATTGCAACTAATGCAGCCCCATCCCATTCTTGAGGCCAGCCCAGCATGCCTGTCACGGTCGTCCTGCTGCTGCCCTTGCTGGCGGCGATCGTCCTGATCGCCCTCAAGCGCCGCTACGCCACTGCTCTGCGCGACCTGCCGGGCCCCTGGCTGGCCTCCGTGTCCAGCCTGTGGCAGGTCTACCAGCTGGTCAAGGGCCACACCGAGCAGGAAATCATCCGGCTCCATCGGAAACACGGTCCGTGCCTCGCCGGCGACTGTCATCCCTTCGGAATGCTAACCGCCGCAGGGGACTTCGTGCGCATCGCCGACAACGAGGTCAGCGTCGCCAATCCCGATGCCGTGCGGGCCCTCCTCCACGCCAACATTGCCAAGGTAGGTGGCTCGTGGACCCTCCTCTGTCCTCAGCAACCCATGCTGAGATCGCCAGGGCTCGTGGTATGCCATCTTCAGCCTGCCCGACTACCACTATGTCAACCAGATGTCGGAGCGCGATCCCCAGCGCCATATCCGCAAGTCACGCAACGTGGCCGCCGGGTATGCCCTCTCGAACATCATCCGGTCGGAAGCCCAGGTCGACGCCCTGCTGGCCCAGCTGGAGGCCCGCTTCGACGAGCTGATCGCCGCGGGCCAGCCGGTCGAGTTCGACCGCTGGTTCAACTACTTTGCCTTCGACGTCGTCGGCGAGGTGACCTTCTCCAGCCCGTTCCGCTTCCTGGCGACGGGGACGGACATCCGCCACGCCATCGCCAACACGCGCGCCCTGGCCTTGTACATCGCCATCATGGGCCACTACGTCTGGCTGCACAACCTGACCCTGGGCAACCCGCTGCTCAGCCGGCTGGGCCTGCAGCCCTCGTCGCACATCTTCGACACCTGCCTGGCCGCCCTGGAGCAGCGGAAGCAGAACCCGGCCGTGAGGCTGGACATGATGGAGCGCTGGCTGCACGCGCGGCGCACGTATCCCGACCGCATGGACGAGGCCGAGGTGTTTGGAGCCGCCGTCGCCAACATCGGCGCGGGCGCCGACACCACCAGTGCCACCCTGCAGGCCTTCTTCTACTACCTGCTGCGCCATCCGCAGTATCTTCACAGGGTCCGCCGCGAGGTGGACGAGGCCCGCGCGGAGCTGTCGCCGATCGTGTCGTACGCCGAGGCAGCCAAACTGCCCTATCTGCAGGCCTGCGTAGGTGACCCCATCCATCCATGTCCTAGACCCCGCACAGCCCCGAACGAGCTGCTGATGAACCCACGATACCAGATCAAGGAAACATACCGCTTCCACGCCGCGACGGGCACCGGCATGCCCCGGGTGGTTCCTGCAGGGGGACTCACCATCGCCGGGCGGCATTTCGCGGAGGGGGTGCGCATCCTGTCTTTCGATATACCCCTGTCGACCCGCTAACCAGCTCATAGACAGTCTTGAGCATCAACCCGTGGGTGTTCCACCGCAACCCGGCGCTGTTCGGGGTCGACTGCGACGACTTCAACCCGGAGCGGTGGCTGGATGCCGAACGGGCCAAGCAGATGGACCCGTTCCTGATTCATGTAAGCCATCCTTGGTGCCTCCCATGGCATATCACTCCCGGGCATACTGACGTCGCAGTGGGGCGCGGGCTACAACCAGTGCCCCGGACGCAACCTGGCGCACTTCGAGGTGTCCAAGGTGTGCGCGACGCTGCTGCGCGACTTCGACATCGAGGCCGTCGACCCCAAGCAGCCGTGGCGCTTCGAGACGCACTTCACGGCGGTGCCGTACGGCTGGCCGTGCTGGATGCGCCGGAGGGCATCTGTAGTAAGTAAGTGAGCAGGTAGATAGTGTCGGGTGTAGATCGGGTGGAGCAGTTGGAGTCGTGGCGGGTGGAGATGCCGAGTGGGGATGAAGCTCTAAAACGAGTCATTCTCCAACAGATGGGGCTGTGGTTTAGTGGTATAATATTCCCTTAGCATGGGAGAGGTCCGGGGTTCGATTCCCCGCAGCTCCATTACTTTTTGCTTTTTGTTGTTTGGGTCGACTGAAAATGGCTTCCATCCTGTTGATATTGATCGAGTCATCGTCATCGATATCCTCGTCGTTGAGTGGCCTCTGACGATCTCCCTCGGCCTCCTGCAGCTGGATTTCTCCACCCGCATATAATGCGACTCTTCCTCGTGCTCATCGATCGATCGGCTTACTGTCCTGGTAGAGAGAGAGAGAGAGAGAGAGAGAGAGAGAGAGAGAGAGAGAGACAGACCCTCTGTTTCAAGTTGCAACATGTACTCCAACCCCGATCCCTCCATCGTCCGCGCCGGCCCCGACTTCTTCCTCGTCGCCTCCTCCTTCGAGTACGTCCCCGGGGGTTCTATGTCCGCACCACCGATATCTGGGACTCGAGCTCGTGGTCGGATCCCGTGTATTTCGACCAGGTGGGGTGTGGAGCGCACCCCCCACGCCACCCTCAAGGACTTTGCGGTCCACGTCGTCACGGTGGACCTAGCCACCGGCGCCTCGACGCGGGGCCGCTCCTACTACCTCTTCACGGCGGAGGGCGGCACCGAGAACGGCCACTGCGAATGGGTCAGCCGCAGCACGACCGGTCCGTTGGGCCCGTGGGAGGTCGGTCCGAAGAACCAGGACGATCCGGTGGAGGATGCGCAGGGCCAGTGGTGGGCGGTGCTGCTGGCGGTGCGCCCCGTCTGGCGGGATTCCGGCTGGGAGGAATCCGGGTTGGGTGGGTTGACCTGTTCCTGCAATGCGTGCGATCCTGCTCATGTGCCCAGGCCGCAAGACCTTTCTGGTCCCCGTCGACTGGGAGGATGACTGGCCGGTGGTCAACTGGTCAACCCGCGGGCAGACGATCCCCCTGCAGTCCGACAGTGCCCTTCTGTACCGGTTGTCCACCCCCATCGCGTGGCGCGATGACTTCACCCGTCCCGACCTGCAGCTGGGGTGGTATCGGAAGAACAGTCCTCTTGTGCGTGACTACTCCCTCCGCAAGCAGACCCACCGGTTCTGTGTGTGGGAGACGCGGCTGTCCTTCCACGCGACGGGCAGCGGTTCATCCGGCGGCGACTGGCCCGGGGCGAGACGGTGGAGTGCGCGTTGGGTCCGAGGCGGTCGGATGTGCGGCTTGTGGTGGAGTGCGGGGACTGCGATCGGGTTGGGGTTGAGGAGACTGGCGATGAGGATGAGGATGAGGATGAGGATGAGGATGAGGATGCGGATGTGCGGTGGGTGGGGGGCGGTGGAGAATGGGGATGATGCTGAGGCTGTACGCGTTTGGGGAGCGGCAGCGGTGGAGGGCAGCCTGATCGGAGGGAGGTGTCAGGCTGGTGGGTGTGTTCAAGTCTGCGGGGGATCCCCGGTGGAACCAGATCATCTATGATCGCCATGGTTAAGGAGAGATCCCGAAAGAGGGATCCCAACCCTTTGTAAGGAAAACCCTGGGTTGGGATGCCGATTCAAGAGGGAGCGCAAGAGTAGAGAGGCAGGCATCCGATCAGCGACGAGGATGACCAACTAACTAGTATTGCGGCCGCCCATTGGCTGCCACCCGCGCCAGGCACCCTCCCGGCCCTGCACTAGGGCCCGGACAGGCCTAGTGCCAGGGTCTGGCCCCGCCCGGGTCCGTGGTAAAGGGGGTTAGCGGCTGCCGGATACGAGATGGGGCTGGCTATTAATATTCCGCTGCTGGTACTTATAGTTCACTATAACTACTTAACTACTTAATCCTTCCCCTTCTCTTTCTCTCGCCTCCAGCTCCAGCTGGCTATCACACCCTCGTTCCCACCTTCGTCCCACCTTCGTCCCTCATTTCTTCCTTCATCATGACCCGCGCACTCCTTCTGGCTCTGGCCCTGGCCCTGGCCTCCGTCGGCCTCGTCTCCGCCCAGACCTCCGTCGTCTCCATGTTCATCTACGATGCCGATCCACAGCCGCTGGACGCCTCCATCATCGGGAACGTGAGGCACCCACTGACAATATATATATATATGACTCATGCTCATGATTGACTCATTAGGATGCCACCGCCACCACCTACAGCGTCAACTGCCCCCCCGGCACCGACAGCGATGACTGCGGCATGGGCCCCGGCATGACCGTCATCACCGGCCCCCAGACCACCATGATTCTCGACAGCCCCGACGAGGATTTGTGAGTCCCCCGGTGGGGTGGATCCCTCGGGAGATGATCGTGGCTGACCCTTTTTCTTTTTCTTTACAGCTACTACACCTGCGTCTGCTCCCTGGACGGGACCACCTACGCCGTCTGCGCCGAGACCGCCAGCGGCGACGGCGCCAACTTCCCCGGCACCTCCACCACCACCCTCGACGCCGACTTGGAGCTGATGCCCGTCACCGTCACCGCCGGTTCCGCCACCGGCGTCGCGGCCACCACCGCCCACGCCACCGCCGATGCGCCGACGGCCAGCAGCACGGACAACCAGACCCAGACCCCCGCCGTCTCCACGGGCACGGGCACGGGCACGGCCACGGCTGCCTCCGCGTCCGGTGCCTCCAGCGCGGATGCCTCCACGGCAGGCGCATCCGCCACCAGCAGTGGTCGGGGATCGCTGGCCACCGGGGATGCTGCCCGGGTGCTGGGAGGCGCTGCCGCCGCCGCCGCCGCCCTGGTCGCTGCCGTTCTGTAACCGGTCCCTGGCGCAGTGTCATCTGTCTTGTGCGTAGAAGCACCACTTACGTATATAATAAGAGAAGCATTCGGACTGGGATTCGTGCAGCCGTGGAAATGAGATGAGGAAAGGGGACTTGTTTCTGGTTGTTCGCAAGTCGTAGTTACTAAGATACATGATGAAGTGGCTCATCGCACATGTTTATGGACATGTCCATTGATGACGATCGCGTGCAGTTTCTCCTGGTCCTGCAGCACTGCAATGTCCGCGAGAGGGTCGCCGTCCACCAGAATCACATCCGCATAGTACCCCGGCTGCACCTTGCCCAGCTCGTCCGGATGGCCCATCATCTCCCCCCCCAACGCCGTCGCCGCCAGGATGCTCTCCATCGGCGTGTACCCGAACCGCGTCACGAAGTGCTGCAGGTCCCGCGCGTACGTGCCATGTGGCGTCCACGCGAACCCGTAGTCGCCGCCCGGGAGCATGCGGATGCCCCGGCGGTGCATCTCGGTCATGGCCGTGCAGGCCACATCCACCTCGTGCCGGAGTCCCTGCTTCTCGGCCAGTTCCACCGTCACCCCGTAGGGGACAGCCGCCCCGGCGCAGGTGGCAATGGGCAGGTTGATCGTCGGCGCCACAAAGACCGAGTCCTTGTGCCTTTCCAGCAGGTCCATCCCCTCGGCGTCGATGAAGCTGGCGTGGTAGATCACATCCACCCCGGCCACCAAGCACATCTTGACGGACGCCGCGCTCCTCGCGTGAGCGCACACCCGCTTTCCCCGGTTGTGGGCCTCCTCCACGGCCGCAACGGTCTCCTCGAGCGTGAAGTAGGTGTCCTGGCTCGGCATGTCATCGACGAAGTTGTCGCCGGTCATGCTCAGCTTGACGTTATCAGCCCCGAGTTCGATGGCTTCTCGCACGGCTTTGCGCATCTCGTAAGGGCCGTCCGCGTATCGCGAGATGCTCGGGGCGATGGCGCCCCCCGTGGTCGTGATCTCGGGCGCATTGGCCAGGCTTCGCGGTCCAGGGATCAGGCCGGACTTGATCGAGGCTTTGACGGCGATGTCCAGCCGGGGTCGGGCGGCAGCCGCCCCGAAGCACATCGTGTAGCCGCAGTCGAGATAGGTCTTCGCGGAGTGGGCGGTGAAGAGGACGTGCTCTTCGGCGGGCAGCTTGATGAGGTCGTCCAGGTTGCGGGCATTGTTCCAGCTGAGGTGGGTGTGTGCATCGATGAGGCCGGACATCAGGGTCTTCCGGCCCTCGCCGTCGATGATGAGTGCCCCTTCGGTGGCGGACGGATCGACCTGTCCGACGGCAACGACACGCTCCCCTTCAATGAGGACGCTGCCAAGGTAAGGCAGACGGCCAGTCGAGTCGAGAATGCGGACATTCTGGAAGAGAATCTTGGCCGGGTCGCCCGGTCGGTGGTTCTCGAGGGTGATGTCGGCAGGGGTGGGCCGATAGGGCACAGTGGCGGACTCCGAGATCGATCCCATGGTGCAGGGATGCCAACGGTGGAACGATGACAGGCAGAGAAGGCATACAGAAGCGCCGCCTCGTCTCTGATTTAAACAGCCAGTGTCTTCAATGCAGACCAGAGAGAGGCCCTGCGAGGTGCTTTACTCCTGCCTAATGCGCCATGCTGCAGCTGCTTGACGTATGTAAGAGCGGTCTGTAACGTCATCTGCACCGCACTCCATGGCCCCTATGCTGCAATGCAACCGCAGGGTTGTTCATCTACCCAGTGACCGAGAAGCGGGGTTCGGCGAAGCTGGTAACCGAGGCTTTTAGCAACTGTGAGGGGTTTCCAGCTGGAGAAGCTCGGGTGCATGAGTCTTCACGAGGGGCATCTTGAGGGTCGGTGGACCACACCTGCTCGATGAAGCAGAAATCCGTCAACCAGCTACAAAGGATCTATAGGCGATACATGAGAGGTTTCATCGTCTCGGGCGGATGACTTGCAGACACAACTGAAACCAGTCGAAGCCATGTCGAGAGCTGGTGGAGACGCAGGACCCAATGGCCGAATGCCACGCTGCTGGTGTCACTAGCCCTATCGACCCCGCACTGTGCATGGACCAACGCTGCCAAAGTACGGCCATCGAGGCCATCCAAGCCATTCCCCCAGCTGGTGAGGCAGGCAGAATCAGAATCGAGCCCATCTGTTCCTGTGGTGGAGGATCGACTTGGGAAATGCTCTTTGCGTTTTCCTCATCGTCCCGGTCTACCATGTCTGATAATACACTTTCTTTTGATCCTTCGTCGAAACGATCCCAGATTTGTCGGAGTAGATCATGGCCTAGGTCATAATTCAGGAGCCAAGGTACGGGAATGTGCCGATGCCGATGGTGACGCTGGAACGGGATCGGGGGATGCGAATCCGGCTCGGGACCCCACCGTCATAGCTCTAAGGTGGCGATCCATTGGAGCTGCAATAATGAATGATGGAAGATGGAAACCTCCCGGACAGACCCGTGCCCGCGGTCAGAATGGACTTGATTGGCTTTCTCAAAGTTCGAGGCACGCCAGGATGTATATGAGGATGGACGTCCTGGAATTGCCCCGGACTGTCTTTGGGGTCAAGAGAAATGGTCCACTGCGTGACAAGGCTCTGGAAGCCCACTCGTCAGTCAGCATGGATGGGTGAGGAGTCCCCTCGCACTGGGGATGCATGATGTACGTAGGATGTAGGCATCGGGCTGCAGGTTCTTCGTTTGGAGTGATAAGCCCATTAACTTGGAACGAGTGAAGTCTTCCAACTGGCCAGTTTGCGGATGAAGCGGACCGGGACCCCGAGCGACTGACCGACCGGGGATGAACCTTCCCTCGATGGGGACGGCAAGCGGTGACGTGATGGGCTCTCGCGAGGAGGGGAATGCGATGGCCCCACTGAAAGAGATCCGAACCGTGTCGGATCTCCCCGTTGAGTAATAATTTCCTGACCGACAATCCCCGCATGAGGGGAGAAGAAAAAGAAGAAGAGGAGACAAGAGGCGGGAGAGAAAGGGAGAGAAAAAGAGAAAAAGAAGGGAAGGAGAAGAAGAAGAAGAAGAAGAAGAAGAGGATGGATCCCTGCCGCCCGCGCCCTTATAGGCAGGCCCTGGACCCCAACCCCCCCTCCATTCAATCGATCAGACCCTCCATCCCTCACCAACCTCCGTTCTCTCAATCAATAAATACCTCCCATGTCTTCCTCGCCCTCCCTCCACCCCCTCCTCGACCACGGCATCCCCACCGGGGACCCCAGCTTCCCCGGGGGCGATCTGCACTGCCGATGCCCCGCCGACCGAGTGACCGTCCGCCTCGCCAGCAACGTCGCCCACAACCATGCCTGCGGCTGCTCCAAGTGCTGGAAGCCCGCCGGCTCGCTCTTCTCCCTCGTCGGGGTCGTCCCCCGCGACGCCCTCTCCGTCACGGCGCACGCCGACAAGCTGTACATCGTCGACCCCGAGGCGGCCATCCAGCGGTACGCCTGCCAGGGCTGCGGCGTGCACCTGTACGGCCGCATCGAACGGGAGCACCCGTTCCGCGGCCTGGACTTTGTGCACGCCGAGCTGTCGGACCAGACGGGGTGGCAGGAGCCCCAGTTTGCCGGCTTCGTCTCGTCCATCATCGAGCAGGGCTTCCCGCCCCAGGGCATGGAGGAGGTGCGGGCCAGGCTGCGGGGGCTGGGCCTGGAGACGTACGACGCGCTGTCCCCGGCCCTGATGGACCTCATCGCGACTTTCACGGCGCAGAAGTCCGGGGCGCGCTCGGCGAATCTCTGATGATGGTGATAGGAACAGCTGGAATGGATGCGCGATATGATGAGAGGTACTATACCTTGGAACCCCCTGAAGCAATGTGGACGTGGGGGGATGCAGCAGGTGGGAGGAAGCGATCCGGAACAGGAAAGAAAGTAGAGAAAGCCTTACGACTACTTTTTAGTCACTACTACTACTACTACTACTACTACTACTACTACTACTACTCCTCTCGTCTCTCTCCATCTCTCTTCACACCACCTCCCCTCGCTCTTGCTACCAGGCTATAGACACTCCCACTACTCTCCCTACTGCGTTTACCCGCCTACGGGTTGGCCCTGTGAGGTGGTTTCTTCATCCACAATGGTCTGGATCAGATAGCCCTTGATTCTTCCGTAGTCCGGGAGCCAGTATCTCCCTCTTTACCATTATTCCGCCTACTAATGCCCCAGGTTCACACAGCAGACCGCGAACCCGGAATCCGCACACGCATCGCGACCCGTGCCAACTATTGCAGCAACGATTGGATCGAGGGCAACCGCGCGGGTCTGCTATCCACCCCCGACAGGCTGCGCGGGGGTCCACTTCCCCCGTCGGTCAACATGCGATGTAGAGTGTTGCTGGATGGACCCCACAGTGGCGGAGGTAGATACCGTGAAGACTCCGGGCATGCGGCGTATGGCCCGTCGCGTGGGGGCCCAGTGGCGTTGGACGCATCATCTGTCCTGGAATGACCACTCATTCCCCAGGAGGGAGGGGATGCCGCCGGATCAGTCGGCGGAACGGGGTCCGTGGGAAGGTCGCGGGTCCGCCGTCGGATCCGCGAGGACCACATCTCCTTGGGCCGGGGGTGTCCGTGGGACTTCAGGTACAGCCCTATGCAGCCAGTCAGCCCGTCAGCCCGTCAGCCAGATGCCACCCTGGAAAACGCCGTTCCGCACGTACCACAGGCGTTGCAGGCGGGGAGATCATTCTCGTCGCGTCGCCAGATGGGGGTGGTCTTCGTGCCGCAGTTCTGACAGCCCAGGATGGAGGCCAGGCAGCCGATCATGAGCGAGTCGCCCGTCGTCACGAACCGCTGGGCCGGGACGACGTAGTAGGAGGTGATGGGGCTGGTGCGCGGGGCGGAGCGGTACAGCTTGCTGGGTCGGGCGGAGTTCTTGGACCGGAGGTAGATGCCGCAGGCGTTGCAGATGATGGCGCCGTGGGGGGAGCGGCGCCAGAGGGGGGTCGAGTCGGTGCCGCAGTTACTGCCAGGAACAGACAGGCCTTAGATGCACCATTCGGGCAGAAGATCTCACTGGGCTGGCTGGGGGGGGGATAATGGTTTATTTACCTGCAGTGTCGCCCGTCCCACCAGTCCCCGGCATACATGGGAGGCAGCTGGCAGGCAGTGCATGACATATTGATCACGATGATGGATAACAACAGTGATAATAGGACTGCTGGAGTGTGGGGGAGGCTGTTGTCTTTCACTCTCAATGACCGAATCCAGCGGGCAATGGAGGAGTCCGGGAGGGAGAGGAGGAAAGGCAGGAGGAGGAGGAGGAGAAAGAAGAAGACATGCGGCGTGGGTCTCCCGATGCGGTCTAGCGGGCGGCCTCGCCTCGCGGTCCCTCCCCGGCTCTCGGGCTCCCAGGCTTCCCCCCGGACCCGCCTGACTCAGCGGCATTGGCAATCGGCATCAGCATCCCTGACGGGTGACGACGCCGCCCCACCCGGCCTTGCAGGGCCTCAAGGACTGTGTATCTAGTGTGGACAGTCCATGAGGAGTGGCGCACCAGAGGGACGTTGATCCAGAGAAAGCTGGAGGTTGCACGGTGATTCGGGGGTATTTCTGGTGGCTGATGGTGGTAAGGATACGAGTCCGAGTGGAGAGTGGAGGCCTCCAAGTCTCCCCCTGAGGCCTCAGGCTCGCAGCCCTCTCGGGCCCCGAGAACGTTCCGAGCCCCGATTTTCCGCACTTCCGGATTTCCGAGGGGGTTTAACACTCTACTACACTCTACATTTAACCTACACTCACTCCACAGACTCCAGTAATCCTATCGTATGACTTACTCCTGCACTCAGGGGCTGACTATGGGACTTTGGGTTGACCCCCGACCGCCGACCCCCCGACAACGTTCTCCATCCGCAGCCATGGTACATATCTAGTATCTGGTGGGATACAGGAACGACTGCGTGCGGACACTAAGCCTCTCCCAGTATAGCCAGCTCCACGGCCTGTGAAAATCCGATTCAATCAGGCAAGACGCCTTGGCAATCCACCTTCAATCATTCAACTGCCGATTATTTGGCTCCACCGGGATCCAATTCAGGCCATCCCGTCTCTCTTCAAAACATCTCCGTCCACCTCTACGGAGGACGGTGCCGATACATTACTGCTTCCAGGCCATCATGCAACAACGGTCTGAAAAATTGGGAAGATGTGTCCTGTGCGGCCCACCTGGATGTACTATCGACCCGAGGCCCCCGCGATGTAATTCGATCTGCTTGCGTTCCCTGACTACTAACCATGTTCTTTCACATCGCGTTGTTTCTGGCTTACCAAACGCGTCGATCAGAAGGGTTTGGCCCCAGGAGCCGTTGGAACGACGGTGAGCCAGATCACAGCGAATACTGCCGCCGGCAAATTACCATTATCGCTACCTTATGTGCCCGGATTAACCGAACCTGTGCATAGCCTGATTGTCGCATCGCCTGCAGGGCCGGAAACATCAAACCGAATCACATCATATATCTACACTCACACGGAAGGCCCGTCAGCCATGGCAGTCGAATCCACCTGCCGCAAGAACTCCCCGGCCCGCGCGGCACAGTGACGCGCCTCATCCTTGAAGCCCATGATCCACCCGATCATCAGGACGTCGTGCGGCACCTTGTCCTCCACATAGAACTCGACCCGGGAGGGGTTCCCCGCCACGTCTCGGAACACCTGCGCCAGTTTCTCGTGGTCGTGGCAGAGCACCTCCCGACCGCCGGTGAGGATGAGCGCCGGCGAGGGGAGGACGAAGGGATGCCAGATGGGCGCGACATACGGCTGGACGTGCTCCGTGATCGCCAGATCGCCCAGGAACTGTCGCGCGCCCCGCGACGGGAACGAGCCCGGGATGTACTCGGTCTTGTAGTTGGCGCTGTGGTTCCAGTCGGTGGGATCGACGGCGGCCGGGACGTCGCACCAGGGGGACCAGAGCCAGCTACACTTGGGGCGGGGAGCTCGGTGGGGTGGTCGTATTCGACGATGTAGCGGAGCAGGGCCAGCACGAGGTGGCCGCCGGAGCTGTCGCCGCTCAGCACGACGCGGGAGGCCGGGATGCGGAGGGTCCGCAGCAGGTAGACGTACGCGGCGAGGGCGTCCTGCAGCTGGGCGGGGAAGCGGCCGTTGGGGTGGCCTGCCAGCCGGTACTGGAGGCAGAACATGTAGCGGGCCGGGGTGTGATCGAGCAGATTCTGGGCCAGGAAGCTGCAGGACGAGGAGCGCCCGTCGCCCAGGATGTAGGAGCCGCCGTGCAGGTGGAGGATGACGTGCTGCCCGTCGGCCAGCGCGGGCTCGGCGGCGCAGGGCTCCGGGTACCAGGTGGCGCCCACCGTCTCCGGATGCACCGCGGGGTCGGCCAGAACGCCCGTGTAGAGGGCGGGGGGCGCGGGCTCAACCAGCACAAAGCGCTCGGACTCATGGTGCGGTTTGAGCGAGACGGGCCATCTCATGTGCAGGGCCGTGAAGGTGCGCAGGAAGCCCTTGAGCAGGGAGCCAGCCAGGCCCTGGTGGTAGGACCAGCTGGGGTCATGGCGGATGCTGGAACCAGGCGACACGATGAGCCCTGGGGTAATATGGGTTTTGATGTAGGAGGGGGGGGGGGGCAAACAAACCTGGCGGGGGCCATTTGGGGGGTGGAGAGAGGAAACAATGAATGGAGAAGGCTGATTGATGATGAAGCAAGAGTAAGTCAGTAGTTGACAGTTGAAGGTGGTACTTCGAGGCCAAGCTTTGGACAAGCTTTAAGGCCAAGGAGGATCTCCACCCGGTTGCACGCATCTGGATAACTTGTCCACAGAGTACAAGTCTTGTATATCGTGAGGCCAGTACTGTGTAGTCAGTCTACCTCATTATGACGTGGTGATGCCTGGATTACCGGGCGCCCAGAACCAGGCACCAGGCACACAGGCATCCGGCACCCCTCGCCGGGGCAGCACGGTGGATGACCACATCGACTTCTTTCTCCTTTCTCCATCTCTCTACTCGATCGCCCACTCAACCGAGTCAACCCTCGATGGATCCCCCCTTCTCCCCCTCCCATTCGTGGCAGCGGTCTGGCGAGAGATGACGCGATCGACGGGCCCGATGGTCAAGTCTACTACCCTGGATAGCTCCCTTTCCCCTCCCTGCTGCCTGGACGCCCTATTCAGTCAACTTCCCCAGAACCTCGTGGTCGTACGGGCGGACCCTACCCCAGACATCATCTCAGCCCCCCCAGCATCATCATGGTCCGGTGGGGAATCCTCGGTACGATCTCCCCGATCCCTCGACACGGCACAGGCCTTCCTGCGCGCTATCGATGCCCCTGCGACCACCCGTGCCTACGGGACCTACGACGCCCTCCTCGCCGATCCCGCCGTCGACATCGTCTACATCGCGTCGCCCCACTCGCATCACTTCGCGCATGCGCACCAGGCCTTGACCGCCCACAAACACGTGCTGCTGGAGAAGGCCTTTACCGTCAATACCGCGCAGGCGCAACTGCTCGTGCAGCTAGCCCGAGCGCGAGGCCGGTTCCTGATGGAAGCCCTGACGCAGCAGGTGCAGCAGCTGGTCCGCGACGGAGCGATCGGGACCGTGCAGCGCATCGTGGCGGATCGCAACCTGGGGCGGGATATAGAGACACTGTTTCGGACGTGTCGACTTGTGAATCCCGCTCTCGCCGGCGGAGCCTTGTTGGATTGTAAGTGACAACTCTCGGGAGGTAGATGGGCGACACGACCGAGCCAATGCTGACTGGGAATGGCGGGTAGTGGCCGTATACCCCCTCACTTGGGTCTTTCTCTTCCTGCATCCGGAGATGTCAAGAAACCCTCTGGACCCGCAGGTGGCCAGCTCGGTGATCCGATACCCAGCGACTGGAGTGGAGGAGACGGTGACCGTGGTGATCACAGCCCCCGAGGCGAAGATTCAAGGCGTGGCCACCGCCAGTCTGCGCGTTAGGGCGGACCCCAGCGAGCCCGGGGTACGCATTCTGGGTACCCATGGGCAGATCCAGGTCTTTGGCCCGGCTGCCCGTCCGGACTGGATCCAGGTCGTCGAGTATGCATCCACACAAGCGCCCGCGGTGACGCGCTTCCTGATCCCTCAGGGGCATGGGCTATTCTGGGAGGCCGACGAGTGTGCCCGGTGTGTGCGGGACGGGCGATTGGAGTCGGATGTGATGCCCTTGGCGGAGACCCTCGCGATGATGTCGGTGCTGGACCAGGTACGGGCGCAAAATGGCCTCCGCTTCCCGCCCGAGCTAGAATCCATCGCAGCATGACGTGTCCTGCATGACTCATGCTGATGAAGCGCAAATCCGCGCTGCGACACATTCACAACACGCGTGTCAGTCGATTTTATGAACACGAGATTCAGAATAGTAATTCGATCATGGCTTTATGTAGCGGCCATGCAGGAGTTTGTGATGTACCAGGACACCGCTCGCAATCCTGCATCCCGTCTGTTAGATACCTGCCACAGCAGCACGCCAACCCCACAGTACTGCCCTGGAGTCAACCCACCGCCAACCCGCGAGTGGAAGTGGAAATGGAGATATCAACCCTTGCACGTGATCTGGACCCATCACGTGATATTAATGCATCTAGATCACGTGCAAGGGGCATGGAGCAGGCACGCGCTGATTGGCAGGGAGTGAGTGCCTCGGCGATCAGTGGGAATCGGCGGAAGGGAAGGAAGGCATTTGGGGTCTGGATTCCCCCCCCGTTCCACGGCGTTCTGGAAGAAAAATTTTTCGTCGTCGAGATCGATGGCCGGTCGGCCCCGACGGCTAGGCTTGCGGCGACCACTACCACACTATGGCTAGTCCACGTCAAGCCGACGGCAGTTGCAATATGCCCCGTGCAGCCGTGCCATAACCGACTGTCCACAGATAAGAACGGCCAGGAAGGATCTGGATCTCCCACCACTCAGAGCCCGTCGCTGGTGCCACAAGATCCTGCAGCCAGTCGCCTGCGATTGCCCGCGATGGAGAGGCTGTGCATTCTGCAGTGCGATCCAGGCCTGCCATCCACGTCTCTCCGTCTCGATATAGCAATCTATTTGTCTTCACCGGACCGGTGCCCAGTGTCTGTCATCACTTGTCAGTCAGTTGGCAGGCCGTTCGCACTACGCCCCTGGCGGTGGCGCCTCGGCTGTTCATGCCTCTGCCAGCTGCACTACACTTCAGCGGGCTTCACCGGTGCGGCAGTATTTATATAATCCCCCCCCGTTCTGCCCGACTATTGCATGGCTCTGTACGCGAGTAGCTGTGGATTGGGGCCAAGCAGCAACATTCCGAGTCCCTGATCATGCATCTCCGGTCAGTGACAGACCTGCGCGGCCATTGCTGTATCCTCTTCGGCTGTGGTCACCACCTCTCCCACGACGACATTGGCCCCTGCGTCCACAACAACAGCGGCAGCGGCCACTTCCACGTCCACGTCGACTTCCACGACCGCTTCCGTGTCATGTAAGTTTCCGTCTTGCGGCTTGTGGACAGGCATCGTGCCGACACTGATGGCATTCTAGCTTCCTCCACAGCAGTGCTGGTGGCGACCGACAGCAGCGGCCAATTCACCGCCATCAACGATGCCATATACTATGCGCAGTCGGCGGGCATCCCCACCGTAACGGTCAAGGCCGGCACCTACACCCAAGCCGTGACCGTGTCGGCCACAGCCACCGTCACCGTCGTCGGCGAGTCCAGCAGTGAGCGCGACTACAGCCAGAACCAAGTCACCATTGAGACTAATAAACCCTAATAAAAAAAACCCTTGACCATCTCGGTCAATGTTCTGGGTATTACCTTCCGCAACATCAACTTTGTCAACACGGCGACCGGCAGCTACGGCGCTGCCACCATCCGTGGCTCCAAAAATGCCTTCTACGGCTGCCAGTTTGTATCCGCGGGCAGCCTGGGCATCACTGCCAACCTGGGGCTCGCGGTGATTGCGGACAGTTACATCGAAGCTCTGGACAAGGTCATCTATGGCTATCCCGACATCTACCTGTACAACACCACCATCATCCCCGTCGACTCGAGCGCGTTGCTGGTGTACAACAAAGGTGCCACCTACAACTCCGTCCTGTACAACTCCACCGTGGTTTTCGACTCCTGCTCCGTTGCGCAGAAGTCGGGCGCCACCAACAAGAACGTCTACCTGGCAGCCGCCAACAATGGCTACGGGTCCGTGGTGGTCTATCGTAATACCGCTCTCGGTGGCCTCATTGCGGCGTCGGGCGTCTACATGGACTCGTGGACATCGAACACTTTGAACTTCTATGGAGAATACGGCACCACAGGGGCCGGATCGTACGCCAGCAACGAAGCCACGCGCTCCAAGTATGTCTCTCTGCTGACAGCTCCGGATCTGGCCCGGTTCTCCATCGCCGAAGTCTTTGCCACTGTCTATCCCCAGTTTGCCACCAGCAGCACGGACTGGGTGGATGCCGATGTCCTGGCAGCCATCAAGAGCGCCGATGTCATTCAGCAGACGACATCCAGTGCCAGTGTCGTATCTACTACCAGCACCAGCGCGAGCTCTACTTCCAGCTCTAGCCACATGTCGACTTTGGCGACTGGGACAGCCTCCACGGCCGTCGTCTCGACCGCCGGCGCTTCAAAGTCTGTCACAACGTCTACCGCGTTGATCAAGACGGCGACTACGTCCAAGGTCACTGTCGCTTCACCCGCGATCACTACCGGCTCATCCACGGTTGCGGTTACGACATCGTCTTCGACTGGATGCTCTTTACCCTCCTCGATGCCCACCAGTGCTTTGGTGGTTGGTCCCTCTGGTAGTTGTGCCAAATATACCAGCATCGCCTCGGCCGTCGCGGCTCTGCCATCCGACAGCACGACCCAATACATCTACATCCTGTCCGGTACCTATGACGAGGCCATTACGATCAGCCGAGAGGGAGACACCATATTTCGCGGAGAAACCACGAATGAGCTGGACCAGACGAGCAACACTGTGACTATCATCCACAGCGCCGCGGTGCTGTCCAGCAACGGTGGCTCATCCTCGACCGCCGCCTTCCAAGCGACGCAATACTATGCCAAGGGACTGTCGTTTTACAACATCAACTTCGAGAACGACTACACACCCGCCACGAACTACATTGCAGTGGCCATTGCCGCCAAGGCCCAGGTCCTGGGATTCTATGGCTGCGGCATCAAGTCGTCCCAGGGCAGTCTCCTTGTCAACTACGGCGCCTTCTACTTCTCTGACTGCCGCATCGAGGGAACAACCGACTTCATCTGGGGCTACGGCGGCATTTACGTCTATAACTCCCGCATCATCTCTGATGGAACCACGACAGGCCAGACGATTGCCGCTCAGTCCTATCAGAGCGAGTACGGCCCGTCACAGTTCGTCTTTGACACCTGTGCCTTTGTTCCCAGCGACAGCTCGGTCCCGGAGAGCAGCACCTACCTGGGACGAGACTACTCCACCTCCGCCAGAGTCGCGGTCCTGAACTCCTATCTGGATGCGCACATCGCGCCTGTGGGTTGGCTGGTGTCGGCATCCTCTACCAACGTGACGTTTGCCGAGTACAACAACACCGGTCCTGGCTCGTCGACGACCTCCCGAAGCAGTCATGTTGACTTGTTGACGACTGACAGCGCATACTCTGTCGCCGATGTCCTGGGCAGTACCAGCTGGGTTGACACGTCTGCTATTGCACCATTCTCCGGCTTCCCTGACTCCGTATATGGTAGCTCGGCTTCCTCCTCGACTTCCACTACTGGTTCGTCCGCTGCTGTTGCTTCTTCTTCTGCCAACATGAAGGTGACAGCGACCTCTTCAACCGCTGTCTCAGCCACCAGTGCTGCGGCGACTAGCACCAGTACGTTTGTTGTCTCCCAGAATGCCACTGCCGGACAATATCGTAATGTCACCGCGGCCATTGCCGCCTTGCCCAGTGATGGCAAAGACTACACGATCTACATCTTGGCCGGTACCTACACGGAACAGATTTCGATCACCAGATCCGGAAAGGTCACTCTTCGCGGCGAGACATCCTTCGAGAATGATTACACCCAGAACCTCGTGACCATCGAGTATGCTGATGGAGAGTTGACGAGCGCTGGAAAGGACGAGAGCACCCCGGTTCTCTATGTGAAGAAGACGGATGGCACTGGCCTCGCCCTGTATAACATCAACTTCCACAACACCTTTGCCAAGACCAGCAACACCGCGGCATTGGCGGCCGACTTCTATGGCACTGAGATGGCGGCCTACGGCTGCTCGTTTATTGGATATCAGGATACCCTTTTGGCCAACAAGGGAACTCAGGTCTTCTCGAACTGCTACATCGAGGGATCGATCGATTACATCTGGGGATACTCGACGGCCTTCTTCCATCAGTGCTACATCGCCACCAACAGCCCGGGAGCCTGTATCTCAGCACAGAGTCGTTCATCCTCGACTGCGTCCGGTGGCTACGTCTTCGACACTTGCTACGTCACGTACACTAGCAACTATGGGTCTACATACGGGGAAACCTATCTGGGACGGCCCTACTCGGAGTACAGCATCGCCGTTTACATGAACTCCTACCTGGATAAGCACATCAGCAGTGCCGGTTGGGAGGAGTGGTCCACCAGCGAGCCCAACACCGAGTATGTCACGTTTGGCGAGTACAATAACTCTGGCCCTGGAGCCTGGTCGTCCAGTCGTGTCTCCTTCGCCACCAACCTGACCGCCACGGAGGCCGCCTCCTACACCTTGTCGGAGTGGATTGGCGATACTTCCTGGCTGGACATGACGGCGTACAACTACGTCCCCTCATATAGCTTGACCGGATCGTCTACTGCCACCACGACTACCACGACCAGCACGTCGAATTCGACTACCACGGCCACCTGGGCCCACCCGACCAGCGGCACGGTACCCCCCACAGGGGCCGTTCTCGTTTCAGTCGGAGGTTCGGTCAACGGTTCATACAGTAACCTGACCGATGCTCTGGCTTCGCTGCCGGATGATTCATCCACTCAGATTATCTTCATGTACGCCGGCTCGTACGACGAGCAGGTGCCCTCCATCGACCGCGATGGGCCTGTCATGATCATTGGTTATCAGACGGGCAGCCCCGGTGCAGGCTACGCAGACAATCAGGTCACTGTGACCTTCTCGCGCGGGCTGTCTGTGAGCCCTCTGCCGACCGGTCATTCCGACGCTGAAACCGCCACATTCTCAACAGCCAGCAACCAGATCGCTCTATACAACATTAACATCATCAACTCGGATAACCTGGATGGCTCTGAGTCGTCGTACGTGACGCTGGCGGGCTCAATTTACGGCTCTGAGATCGGCTTTTACGGCTGCAGCTTCACGGGCTGGCAAGACACCCTGCTGACGGGAAGCACGTCGGGTTATCAGTACTACGAATCGTCTTACATCGAAGGTGCCATTGACTTTATTTGGGGATACTCCAAGGCCTACTTCAAGGGCTGCACCATCGGCGCCAAACGGCAAAAGTCGGCCATCACTGCCCAGAGCCGTGCCTCGGCCAGTGCAGTGGGTGGCTATATCTTTGATCAATGCCTGTTTGAAGCCGCCGCGGATGCGACGGTTGACCTGACTGAGTATGTCTACCTGGGAAGACCCTACTCGGAGTACGCGCTGGTGGTGGTCAAGAATTCCTACTTGACGGACATCATCAATCCTTCGGGCTGGAAGGTCTGGAGCACGAGCGATCCACGCACAGACTATGTCACATTTGCCGAGTATAACAACTCTGGCGCTGGCAACTGGGAAAACAATGCTGCGTCCCGTGAGGCCTTTGGGAGCTGTACTTTGTTGACTTCGGACACCTACACTTTGGATCAAGTCATGGCGTCAACTGCTTGGATTGATCTCACGTACTGGGACTCCATTGTCACCCCGGAGCCCTCTTCGACGACGACCGCGTCCAATACCACGACCGGATCCAACTCGACCACCGTCTACGATGGAAGCACTCCTCCCGCAGGAGCCTACATCGTCTCTAAGACGGCAATCGCCAACACCACCACCTATGACACCATTCAAAGCGCGCTGGATGCCCTGCCGACCTCGAGCAAAGTGACGCCCACCGTCTTTATCTACCCGGGCACGTACGAGGAGCAGCTCGTGGTTGACCGATCCGGAACGACGATCTTCATGGGCTACTCCAACAACACCGCTGACTACGGCAGCAACCAGGTGACGATTCAATACAACGATGGCGTCAGCACGCAGGCCAACGAGTCGAACTCGGATAGTGCGACGGTCTACGCGACAGGTAACTATTTCCAGGCGATCAACATCAACTTCGTCAACAACTATGGCACGACCAAGGACTACGCCTCGCTCGGGTTTGCTGTCAAGTCTAGCAAGTACGCCTCGCTGTACGGCTGCCAGGTGACAGGTAATCAGGATGCACTCTTGATCAACGGGTATTTCTTCGCCAGCAGCAGCTACATCGAGGGCAACGTTGACATGATCTGGGGCTCGGGAGCCGGATACTTCCTCAACTCGACTATCTCGCCGAATGAAGACGACATCAACCTGACTGCTGACAAGCGATCCACCGACACCACTGCCGGAGGATTTGTGTTTGACCAGTGCACTGTTACCCCCGCTGCAGGGGCCGGCAGCATGTCTAAAATCTCCCTGGGACGGCCATGGAACGAATATGCCCGCGTGGCCTACATCGAGTCCTACCTGGATTCCTGTGTCGAGGCCGCCGGTTGGCAGGAGTGGTCTACGAGTAATCCGCAGACGAGTGGCGTGCTGTTCGGCGAATATCAAAACTCCGGTCCTGGTTCATCGACCACCGATCGGGCTTCTTTGTCGACGGTATTGGACGGCAGCACCGTGGCCCAGTTTGAGCTGAGCACCTTCTTTGCCTCGACCTCGTGGATCAACTTCACCCACATGGAGGGCACACCCTTCGTCCCAGACAGCTCGGTAACTACCACAGCCACGGCCACCAGCGCCCTCACATCCGCTCTGGCGACTGCCACAGGTACTACGGTCACCGACATCCTCACGGTCACTGATAAGGAGACTGTCTACACGACCTATACCCCAGCCGACCGAACCTCGACGGTTTTAGTCACCGTCACCCAGGATGTTGGCACCACAGTGACACTGGCTGAGTCGCTCAAGACGACTGTGGAAAAATCGACCGTGTCCACGACGACGACGATTACCGAGCCGACAGTCACCACTGTGAAGACCTCAGTGGTTACTCTCGACGACATTGTGACTATCACGCCTGCGCCGGCTACGAAGGCCACCACGGTAAAGGATACCACCACGGTGACTGCCACCACCACGAAGGCCGATGTGACGACCACCGTGAAGAGCACCGTCACCGCCACCAGCACCGTGACTTCCACTCCCAAAGCCTCGACCATCACCACCACGGTGGCCAGCACAACCACGAGCTTCAAAACATCGACTCCTGGCACCGTCAAGGTCACCTCGTATACGACTGTCACGACAGGCAGCGGGGGTACTACCACTGTTAGCACCAAGGCTACCACCACGACGGTCGATGTGACTTCCACCAAGACCACCACCAAGACGGTCACCACAACCCTCAGCTGCATTCCTGCTGCCAAAAAGAAGCGCGATCTGATCCGTCCGCGGGCTGCGACCGTGACCGAGTATACCACGTTGACCACCGTGGTCGAGACCTTGAGGGTCGTCGCCTCGCCCACAGTCTATGTCACCTCCACGGAGACTAAGACCGCGGGCAAGACGACGACCCTCAAGGCCTCGACGAGCACCATTACGAGCGTCTCCGTCACCACAAAAGCGGCCACCGAGACCATCCCTGCCGTCGCCGTCTATGTCACCTCCACGGAGACTAAGATCGTGGACAAGACCACCACCCTCAAGGCCAGCACCGTCACCGACACCATCACCTCGATGGTCACCAAGACGGCCACTGTGACTGCGGTGGGCGAGACCAGCACCGTGACCAGCCTCAAGACCGCGACGGTGAAGACCACCGTCTCGTTGCCGAAGAGCACGATCACGGTGACGAAGAACACGGTGACTACGGTGAAGGAAACCATTACCCTGGCGACCCCCACTAGCACCGTACTCCAGACTGAAACGGTCACCCTGAAGCCCTCGGTGACGATCACGTCGCGAGCCACCAGCACCAAGACCTCGACCGTCGACCTGACCGCCACCGAGACTAGCACGGCGACCAAGACGTCCAAGAGCGCCAAGGCGTGCGCCACATAAGCACGGTGGGAAAAGGGTGGATCAAGGTGATGTATGATAGCTGAGCCGCGTGCGCTAATCTGTATAATAATCCCTAGAGAAGTGGAATCTATTTTGTTCTAGTTGATTAGTCGATCAAACTTGGTATTGGGTAGTACTGCTATGCGTTCATCAAGGATCTAAAAGACGGCTTCTGAGAAGACGCATCCAAATTGGCTTCAAAAGCCGACGACAGAGGCTGGATTGGAAACCTAGTCAGTTCTCCCCTCCCGGTGGACCAGACGCTCTGAACAGCAGACTTCTGAAGGTGTGGCCCTCAACTGATCTGGAAATGTTTGGCGATGCGTGGCGGTCCTTGTTAAGCTTTCTTGTTACACCTCGACGACCAGTGGGGCGATGGGTCGGGCTCCGCAAGCACGAAGTCTGTCATCGGCCAGCCTCCTTTTCTTGACTGTTTGCTTGTCTCCTTGTGGTGAAAGTTTAATCTCAGCCACATTCTGAACCGATCTCCTGCCATGAACCACGTTGCGTTGCCATGTCATATTCTCTGTCACTTCCCGTATTGGTAATTATGCGTCTCTCGGTGCAGGTTTATCCCTAATCACGTAAGCAAGCATAACTGCCGTAAGATCACTGGCAGATCACGTGAGTCATGGGGAGAGGATTCTGCGGAAGCCAAAAGATGGGGCATCACCGGCTGGAGTGGACACCTGGGTGTTCTAAATGAACATGTCGAGCGAAGCGCGTTTTGTTTTGTGGCTGCGGTAATTCTGATGGGGGATTTGCCGAGGATATTGGGTTGTGTTGAACTGGTGCTCAACCCAGACGATGTATATATATTTTACAATGGGGAACACACGCTCTGCCTCTTTAGCTGACACGCCATCCGAACATGGAGCGTGGTTTCAAGGAGAAGATGATATCTCTAGTGTTTCGAATCTTGAATACAAAAAAAAGAAAAAAGCCAACCATTGACTGCACTCTCATCCATCCACCTCCTGTATCATCTACCCTCCACAGCCAACCGATTCCTCCATACACTCAGCAAAGCGACCGTCCCTGTCCGACTAGGGCAACGCCAGGAGAACAGAAACATCACTCCACCCACTCAGGGGCAGGGATCACTTCAGTCGCGCTTCCACAACGACCATGGGCACCCCCGACGCCTTCCACACGTGGGCCAGCCTCAGTCCCGCGAGATCGAGCAGCTGGGCAAAATGCTTCGCCGTCCGCTCCCTCCCCCCAAACGTCATCATGGTGAGGTCCATGTAGGCGTTCGTCGCCGTCGCGCCCACCTCGGGGATGATCGTCTCCGTGATCAGGATCCGGGAGGTTTCGCGGTCCATGGCCGCGGCCAGGTGCGTCAGGATCTGCCGTACCTCGTCGTCGGGCCAGTCGTGCAGCACGCGGCGGATGTAGTAGACGAGCGCTCCTGGATGCCGTCAGTCCGGATGGTCTCGCCCCGGGGCAAGCACCCAAGACGTGGAGAGAGGCTTACCCTGGACCGGCTGGGGCTGGAAGAAGTCATGGGCCATCGGTTCGATGGCGTGGGCCGTCATGTCCGGCCCATTGTCCGCCAGGACACTGGCCCGGTCCTGCAAGATGAACCGGCCCGGGAGGTCTGGCAGGCTCGTCCGGAGCTGCTTCAGGATGTGGCCACGGCCTCCGCCCACGTCGATGATGGTGGGGGTGTCTGGATGCGCCAGGGGCCCCAAGGCCTGGGCGAAGGGATACAGCCCGATCTCCGCCAACAGGGAATCTTCGGCCACCATGGCATCGTTCAGCCGTGTGGCCCGCGCCGGGCTCTGGGAGATGTGCTCGAACATGGTCTGTCCCTCGCAGTCATGCACCAGGGTGTAGGGGTTGCTCCGCAGCCGGATGTCATGCTGCCAGCCCTGCTGGCGTAAGAACTCATGGGCGCGGAGCATGGCGGGGGAGTACTCTTCCGGCAGCTGCTGGGGGGCAGTCGCCGCCACGCCAGCGGGGGGCCCAACAAGGGGACGCCCCAGGACGGCAGCGACCCGGTCAGCGCATCGCGCAAGAAGGTGATCCGCAACTGGGACTACCTGACGACGCTGAACAGCATGGCGCCGCCCGAGGGGACCGGGACCGGATCGGACAGCCTGGAGGACGTCGAAGGGGTGCAGGAGATGGCCAAGCACGACGCGGTCGATGCGCCATCGGGCATCGTGCGGTCCACCGACTACTCGGTGACGTGCACGCGCACCTCGACCTAGATCCGGATTCCTGGTCGAGGTGGGTGGTGGATGGAGAGGCGTCGGGCATGGGTTGCAGGGATGGGAGTTGGTCTGTCCTACAGTGGTCGCGTGTTGGGATGATACTATATTTCTGTGGGTGGTGGTGGTACGGATTGGCATCAGGCCCGGTCCCATGTCGGTTGCACAAAGATAGAAACAAGCACATGCGTCTGTGACTCCCCGGAGGAGCAACGTCCTACAGATGGAGTAGCAAGTAGCAAGTAGCATATAACAGCCTTGTACCTGGCGGGCACCAACCACATCGCCCGGGAGCCCCCGGAAAGGGTCGAACGATGAAATGCGACTGGATCTGACGCACCAACCCAACCCAACCCAACCCAACCCCGTGGAATGGCGGCATCCCACGCCCCCGCTTGCATAAGCACCGCAGGGGCGCGCATTACTAACTGCTGGCCTGCATTCTCTGCGTATTCTACGACCAGCAAGGGGTCTCACTACTTCCACAAGCCAGTCAGCCGGGGGCGTTGTCTTGCCAGTTGGCTCCAGTCAGACCCCAGTAACGACCACACGGTGCGGCGCAACATCCCCGGGGCGGCGGGGGGCGGCGGAGCGGAGGGTGTGCCGCCACCTGCCGCGCGTGGCTGCGGCGGGCGATCCCAGATCCTCAACGTCCGGCGGCTGCTCGCCCCCCCCGGCCGCCATCATCGACTGGCGCACCGCCGCGCCCGCCGACTTCTTCGTCCCCGCCACCCGCGACTCGACCGAGGGCTACGACGCGCCCCGGCTCTACTCCTACTGGCCGGGGATGACGCCGGACGAGGTGATGGTGCTCCAGTCAAGTGCCTCGACGCGCGCAGCCGCTGGATGGCAGGGAGGGAGGGTGGTCCGGTTGAACCCCCGGGTGTTCGGATCGCGGTTGACCTCGGACGTGTTCGCGTCGCGGCCATCTTCCATCGGGACGTCCGATGCGGTGGAGTGGAGTGTGCCCCGGGGGCTGTTGTGTGTGGGCCGGATGTGTTTTTTTTTTTTTTTTTTTTTTTTTCTGCGTCATCATTGTCTGTCTGTCTCTCTTTCTTTCTTGTGAACAATTGTACATTCCAGCGGAACAGGGCCATGCATTATGTAACCGACCGGAGGGACTAGGCCAAGGCTCGGTGAAAAAAAAAAAAAAAGTGGCAGACGGGCGTCTTTGGTCTGATTTGCCTGGTAGCCTCGCGATCCTGCCGGTGTTCGTGTTCGCTGTCCCTGCAGATCGGTGACCGGCAGTGAGACAGACGGCAGGCCGCCAGCACCGCTCGGAGGGCCGGAGGGGCGGTGTCGGAGGGTGCTGGTGAAGGATATGGCGAATAATGGTGAATATCCAAACCCTCAAACCCTCAAACCCCCGAACTCCCGGGTTGGGGTTACAGAGTGATTAGGGAGTGGTCTGCCGGTGAGACCCTGAGTGGGGGACGGGGTGGTTTGGGGCGGGTTGGGGCGGAGGGGGATTGTTTACTATTCCTGCCATGGTAATAATAATAATAATAATAAGAATAATAATAATTGGGTTGGTTCATTCCCATACACGAGTCTCTCTCTATCTACCTGCGACTGACCAGGACGGGGTGTGTTGCGAGTGCTGCCACTAATTATCTACTGCCTGCCCCTGTCATGTCCACCGGTGCCGTCTTCTAGAAAGCCCGACCGGTCCGGTTCAGCCAGGCACACACACACACACAATTGCAAAGTGCCAGCCCCAGCCCCAGCGACCTCCAACTCCACTCCTCCACGAGCCCACCACTCACCGGTTGCCGCCTGCTGCACAGAATGCCCCAAAGCCTGTTTGCCGCCGGGGCGGACATATTCTTTGGCTGACCGATAAGCCTTTTGGCCGGCCAGCAGTGGTTGCGTCACGACCAGGGTCTGGCGGCCGGCCATTGGGCCAGTGTCACTCAGGCCTCTCCCACCGCCACCCAACGGGAACCCTCCCTGGTCAGTCTGCGCCAGTCGCGATCGCCCATTCTAAAGATAACTGTGGGCACGGCGAGGGCTGCTGACGGAGCCAGTCCGTTAGGGCCAGCCTCGGATCCACCCCGAACCGCGTCTTGCCCCCACTCGGGCTGGCAAAAAAAAAAAAAAAAAAAAAAAACTCACTCTTCCTCCAGACAGACAGACAAGACAGACGAGTGAAACGGTCGGTCGGTCAGGTCGGCGGGACGCCGCTGGGCAGAACAGAACAGAACAGAATTTTCGGTCGGCCTTCTGGGGGGGGGTATCTCTCTCTCTAGATACTGGGCGGTCCAACCGGGAAATTAACCAGCCCGACAGCTGGACAGCTCGCCAGGCACCCGCAGAAAACCGGCCAGGGGAGAAGAATGACCCCCGAACCCCAACCCACTCCAGTGCAGACTGCAGCAGACTGCAGCAGACTGCAGGCCCGGTTTGATTGCGCAGGACCAACAACCTGACCTTCCAGGCTCCCAGCAACTGGGAATCGCCCAGTCCCACCAAGGATCGCGATCAAGGAATCCTGCCTCCTCCCGTGCACGGACGAGTCAGTGTTTATCTATCTCTCTCTCTCTCTCGGTCGAATGATAGACTGGTGGCTGCCGGATCGGTTCTCTCCTGGACGAGAGATAGATAGATCGATGGTCTCTCGTAGTGTCGCCTGTCTAGTCCCATCCGGTGTCTATCTATCTAGCGTCCACCAACCCCCCCCCCCGTCAGCAGTCAGCAGTCAGCAGCCAGCATCGAGCCACTCTTCTTCCTCCCCACTTCCGTGGAAAGGAATCCAAGATCATCATAGGATGGCGAGAGACCGATTGCAGCGCATCTGCCGGGTAGCGCTGGGGCAGGCACCCAATCATGGCGGCGTGATATGACGGTTCTTATTATAGCTGGCCACCCGATGGCGACAGGAAGGGAACGGTGGTCTTGTCTTGGATCTTGGGCTGCTCCAGACGGCCGACTCCACCGCGGGCCACCGGTTTGAGACGGTCTCATGTCTCTTCTGGGTGGTGATGATGGCGAAGAGCCCTGAACGGATCAGAGTTGGCCCCGTCGGTCGTCGTCACCGGTGCCGTCGCCCTCTCTCTCTCTTGCTCTGTCTGTCTCGCACGCGCTGTATCTTTCTAGCCGCCGTGTGTGTGTGTGTGTGTGTGTCGTAGTTAGTCGACTGTAGACAGACAGAGTCGTAGTCTGTTTCCCCCCCCACACCCTACCCTGTCTTGCCCTGATAGCGTTCCAAATCCTCCGGGCCAAAAATCCGGCTGTCGTCTGTCTGTCTACCTGTCAATTCTTTCTCCATTCCCCATTCCTCTTCATCTCCCTTCCTGTTCCTGTTCCTGTTTCTGTTTTTTCTTCCTGTTCCTATCTTCCGTCATCTCTCTCTCGGTCTGAACAACGACCAGCCACTCGCTCTCCCTCCCTCTCTCTCTCTCACTCGCTATTACCCGCTGTTCTCTTCCCCCGTTCGTTCGTTCGTTCGTTCGCACCCTAAATCCACCCTCTCGACACGTCTGGGCATGTGGCATCTGTAGGGCATCCCGTTTGCGAGATCCGGTAGGAGTCGTAGGATCGACCATGATTTTTTCTCTCACGATGCGCCTCTCCGCGGCGCTCCTCCTGTCGTTCCTGAGTGTCGGCGTGGTCGGCTGGCCCTACAACGAGTCGCTCGCCGACTACAACCTCAACGAGAACCAAACCGCCACCGATCCCGCCGACTACTGGGGGGAATGGGCCAACCACACCTACCACCCGTCGCCCCAGAACTGGCGCTTCCCCGTCTACACCATCTTCCTGGACCGCATCGCCAACGGCGATCCCACCAACGATGACATCAACGGCACCGCCTACGAGCACGTCGTCGACTCCAACCAGATGCGCCACGGCGGGGATCTGGCCGGGCTGGTCGACACGCTCGACTACATCCGCGGCATGGGCTTCAAGGGCATCTACTTCGCCGGCACGGGGCTGATGAACCTGCCGTGGGAGTACGACGGCTACTCCCCCGTCGACACCACGCTGATGGACATGCACCACGGCACCATCGCGGACTGGCGCCGCACCGTGACGGAGATCCACGACCGGGGCATGTATGTGCTGATGGATAACACCCTGGCGACGTAAGTCTCTCTTCTTCTTCTTCTTCTTCTTCTTCGCGCTGACCGGGAATAGTCTGAGTAACCTGATCGGCTTCAAGGGCCACCTCAACGACACGGCCAACTTCCGGGTCGACGAGTACGACGTCGAGTGGATCACCGACCGCCAGTACGTCGACTTCCACTTCGGCAACGACTACAACGAGACGTGCGACTACCCCCGGTTCTGGGGCGAGGATGGCTACCCCTACGACACGGGCACGGTGGCCGAGCTGACGGGCTGCCGCAACAGCGACTTCGACCAGTACGGCGAGGTCGAGGCGTTTGGCAACTTCCCCGACTGGGAGCGCCAGCTGACCAAGTTCGCCTCGGTGCAGGATCGCCTGCGCGAGTGGCAGGCGCCCATCCGGAACGTGCTGACGCGGCACTCGTGCATGCTCATCGCCAGCCTGGACATCGACGGCTTCCGGTTCGACAAGGCGGTGCAGTCCACGCTCGACGCCCTGGGCGAGATCAACCACGTCTACCGGGAGTGCGCGCAGCGGTACGGCAAGGACAACTTCTTCCTGCCGGGCGAGATCACGTCGGGCAACACGTTTGGCAGCCTGTATCTGGGACGGGGCCGCCAGCCCGACATGGTGCCGGACTCGCCCACGGCCGGGGCGGAACTGACCAACGCGTCGGCGGCGCAGTACTTCATGCGCGAGGACGGCTACCAAGCCCTAGACGCCGCGGCCTTCCACTACACCATCTACCGCTCGATGCTGCGCTTCCTGGGCATGGACGGCAACCTGGTGGCCGGCTACGACCTGCCCACCGACTTCATCGAGGCCTGGAACGACATGCTGATCACCAACGACTTCATCAACGCCTTCACCGGCGAGCTGGACCCGCGCCACATGTACGGCGTCTCGAACCAGGACAACTTCCGCTGGCCCGCCATCCGCAACGGCTCCGACAAGTACCTGCTGGGCCTGTTCATCGTCACCCTGGAGCTGCCCGGCATCCCGCTGATCCTGTGGGGCGAGGAGCAGGCCATGTACGTGTTCGACGCCACCGCGTCCAACTACCTGTTCGGCCGCCAGCCCATGACCTACCAGACGGCCTGGTGGACCCACGGCTGCTTCAGTCTCAACACCTCCAAGTTCTACGATTTCCCGGACGAGAAGGGCCTGTACGGCTGCGAGGACATGAGCCTGACCCGCGACCAGCGCAACCCGGCCCACCCCCTGCGCAACCTGATGAAGCGCATGTTCGAGATCCGCGAGAACTACCCCGTGGCCGCCGACGGGCTGAACCTGCAGACCATCGCGCAGCTGACGACGGACATCTACCTGCCCGGCTCGTCCACCACCCCGACCGTCACCGGCCTGTGGTCCGTCCTGCGCAGCTACTACCCGGGCGTGCAGACGCAGGCCAACTCGACCAACGAGACCATGTGGCTGGTGTATCAGAATGGCAACAAGACCGAGACCTTCGGCAGCAGCTGCACCAACTACTCGGCCGCCCTGCTGGCCCCGTGGGCGTCCGGCACCAAGCTGACGAACCTGTTCTACCCGTACGACGAGCTGACCCTGGCGGACGGGCCGTCCAACACCACGTACGGCTGCGTGGCCAACCTGACGCTGCTGCCCTGGGAGTATCGGGCCTACGTCAAGTCGGCCGACTTCGTGCAGCCGGGCCCCACGGTGACCGACTTCACCCCGGGCCACGACGCGCGGCTGCTGTCGTCGACGGACGCGGGCGAGACGGTCGACATCCAGCTGGGGTACTCGCAGGTCATGTCGTGCGACGATATCACGGACGCCCTCACGCTGAACTCGACGACGCTGGCGGGCATCACGGCGACGCTGGACACCTCGAGCGTCAACTGCACCAACATCACGGCGCGCACCACCGACAACAACTTCATCGGCGAGGTCCCCACCGTGTGGACCTGGTCGGCCCAGCTGACGAACGTCTACCACGGCGTGCACCAGGTGACGGTCAAGAACGTCACCTCCGCGGCCGGGGCCTCCACCGACGCCGTCGACCGGTTCCTGTTCCGCGTGGGCTCGGCCAGCAACCCCCTGATCTCCCCCCTGGCCAACTACTCCACCACCCTGGTGCACAAGTCGGACAGCTCGGACAGTTACTACATCCAGCACGACGCCGCGGGCGCCGACCAGTTCCGCTACTCGACCAACTTCGGGGGCAGCTGGTCCAACTGGACCACCTTCACGGGGGCCAACACCAGCGTGGTCTTCCCCAAGTGGAGCGGCACCGAGGACCAGAAGTGGAAGGGCACGCACATCCGCGTGCAGTACTTCTCGCGCCTCACGGGCAGCAGCGACTACATCCAGGAGGGCGATTACGGCTGGAAGGACGGGGTGACACGCCGATTCCCGCACCTGTGGTGGAACGGGCCCTACAACCAGTACGGCTACGACGCGGGCCTCAACAGCAAGTTCCGCTTCGACACCGACGAGCTGCGCTGGAAGTTCGACTTCGTCTACGAGTGGCCGGCCGTGGGCCAGCTGAGCGTCTGGGGCATCGACCCGGACGGCGTGCCCGACACCGAGTACGTCTACGGCGACGTCGACAACTCGTCGGTCGTGCAGCGGCTGCCCCCCTCGTACCTCTCGTCCAACGTCATCAACATCACCACCCTGCCCCCCTTCCCCCACCTGGGCTGGACCATCTCGCTCAACGACGCCACCTACCGCTACGACCTGCTCCCCGTGGGCTCGGGCTGGGCGCAGCTGGCCCTGTACGTGCTGCTGTGGGTGGTGCCCATCCTGATGGGGCTGGCGGGCATCGTCATCTTCATCCGCACCTTCTACCGCGTCCAGCTCAACACCGACGGCAACGTCGTCAAGGAGGACACGCTGCCGCTGGTCATCTGGCGCCGCATGCGCGGCCAGGGCCCCGGCAGCGCCGCCGCCGACGACGACGTGTCGGAGACCACGCTGGCGGCCGAGGCGGTGCCCCCGGGCATGGCCATCGCGGGGGCGGCGGAGCAGCGGCGCACGGTGCTGATCGCCACGATGGAGTACGACATCGAGGACTGGCAGACCAAGGTCAAGATCGGCGGCCTGGGCGTGATGGCGCAGCTGATGTCGCAGCACCTGAAGCACCAGAACCTGGTCTGGGTGGTGCCCTGCGTGGGCGACATCGACTACCCCACCGACACCCCGACGGAGGCCTTTGTGGTCACCATCCTGAACAACCCTTACTTTGTCAACGTGCAGTACCACCAGGTCAATAATATCACCTACGTGCTGCTGGACGCCCCCGTGTTCCGCCAGCAGACCAAGGCCGAGCCCTACCCCCGCGCATGGACGACCTGGACAGCGCCATCTACTACTCGGCTTGGAACCAGTGCATCGCCGAGACCATCAAGCGCTTCCCCTCGATCGACATGTATCACATCAACGACTTTCACGGCTGCCTGGCGCCGCTGTACCTGCTGCCCACGCGTACTATTCCTGTCTGCCTCTCGCTGCACAACGCCGAGTTCCAGGGTCTCTGGCCGCTGCGGACCCAGCAGGAGAAGAAGGAGGTGTGCTCGGTCTTCAACCTGCCCGTCGAGGTGGCCTCCAAGTACTGCCAGTTCGGCAACGTGCTGAACCTGCTCCACACGGGCGCCAGCTACCTGCGCTTCCACCAGCGGGGGTTCGGGGCCGTGGGCGTCTCCAACAAGTATGGTAAGCGCTCGTGGGCCCGGTACCCCATCTTCTGGAGTCTGGACAAGATCGGCAGTCTGCCCAACCCGGATCCCACCGACACGGCCGCCCTGGACGACAACACCGCGCCGCCCCTGCGCACGTACGAGGAGCGCATCACCGACAAGCTGGAGGCCCAGCGCTGGGCGGGCCTGACGGAGAACCGCGACGCCGACCTGCTGGTGTTCGTGGGCCGCTGGTCCAAGCAGAAGGGGGTCGATCTGATCGCCGACGTGTTGCCCGCCGTTCTGGCCGCGCGCCCCCAGGTGCAGGTGATCTGCGTGGGCCCCATCATCGATCTGTACGGCCGGCTGGCGGCCATCAAGTTGGAGCGCATCATGGCCATGTACCCCGGACGGGTCTTCTCGAAGCCCGAGTTCACGGCGCTGCCGCCCTGCGTGTTCTCCGGGGCCGACTTTGCCCTGATCCCGTCGCGAGACGAACCCTTCGGATTGATTGCCGTCGAGTTCGGCCGCAAGGGGGCCCTGGGGATCGGATCGCGCATCGGTGGTCTGGGACAGATGCCCGGATGGTGGTACACGGTCGAGTCGGATGCCACGCGCCACCTGCTGCACCAGCTGCGCACCGCCATCAAGTCGGCCCTGGACTCGGCCCCGGCCACGCGCGAGGAGATGCGCGCCAACTCGGCCAAGCAGCGATTCCCCGTGCTGGAATGGATCCAGAAGCTCGAGACGCTGCAGCGCACGGCGTTGCGCATCCACCACACTAAGAACAAGGACACCGTCGCGGGCGAGATGCCCGAGTCGCAGGAGGCCTACTGGGAGATGCACAGCGTGCGCTCCTCCACCCTGGGCCTGCCGGGTCTCACCCGCCAGTCCATGGCGTCCGGCATGGAGACGCCCCCGGCCCAGGTGATGCAGCATGCCCAGTCGCGTCTGCAGGAGCTGCAGGCCGGCCACCGGGCCAGCACCCTGGGCCGTCAACTGTCGCTGGGACGCCGTGCCGGACCGGGGCAGGGCCGCCGGCGCCAGGCCAAGAACCTCCCGCGCCACAGCCAGGGCTCCTCCGACGACGAGCGCGACGGCGAGGAGGACGAGGAACTGGACGAGGACGAGGAGGACGAGGGCACGCAGCAGGTCAACTACATCTCCCCCGAGGAGGCGATGCGCGCCGTCAACAACACCCTGGGCACCCAGGACCTGGGCGACTCGCTGGCCACCCAGCGCCACAGCCCTAACAACCTCAGCACCCACTCCCTGGCGGGCCCCCGGGCCTCGTACTTCTCGGTGCCCGGCTCGCCCAACCTGATGTCGCGGGCCTCGTCGCCGCTGCCCCCCTATCCCTCGTCCGGGGGGGCTTCGGGGCTGAACACCCCCCCGTTCGCGCACTCCCACAACGTCTCCGTCCTGTCGCTGCCCTCCATCGTGGGCGACCACAAGCCGCCGGGGGACCAGAAGCAGCCCCTGTTCGAGCTGCAGAAGGTCGACCCGACCTTCACCGACAGCCTGGGCCACTTCACCAAGCGCTTCGAGGAGCGCCTCGCCAACCTCAACAAGAAGAACTCCATCACCGACTACTGCATCGAGACCTACCTGACCAAGAGCGAGCGCAAGTTCTACAACATGTACAGCGACGCGCAGCTGAAGAAGCAGCCCGAGGCGCCCATGGCCTCGCCCTCCGCGGCCGAGCCCTTCGTCCAGGACACCCAGTACACCCCCATGGCCGATCCCGCGGGCACGGGGGCGGCCGTCCCCTCCAAGGACACCGACGAGATCGACCGCTGGCTGGCCCGCCTGGGCTACCAGCGGCCCATGGCCCTGCAGCGCTTCATGCGGCGCCGCCTGGGCCAGTGGCCCGTGTACTCGCTGTTCCTGGGGCTGGGCCAGATCATCGCCACCAACTCGGCGCAGATGACCCTGCTGGGCGGCACGGTGGGCGAGACGGCGACGAAGCTGTACATCATCGCGGCCATCTACTGCCTGTCGTCCATCGGGTGGTGGTTCATGTTCTACCGGTACCCGTCGGTGTTTGCGCTGTCGGTGCCCTGGTTCATCTACAGCCTCGCCTTTATTGTTATTGGCGTCTCCCCCTACGGGGCCAGCGACGTGGGCCGCATGTGGGCGCAGAACGTGGCCTCGGGGGTGTACTCGGCGGCCTCGTCCAGCGGCTCGCTCTTCTTCGCGCTCAACTTTGGCGACCAGGGCGCGGTGCCGGTCAAGGACTGGATGTTCCGGGCCAGTCTGATCCAGGGCATCTCGCAGCTCTACACGGTGGCGCTGTGGTTCTGGAGCTCCAAGGTGACGGCGGTCGAGGTGGCGGGCGTGTCGACGCTGGCCCTCAGCTCGTGGCGCCTCACGGCGGTGGTGATGCCGCTGGCCCTGATCTGCTTCGGCGTCGGGGTGCTGCTGGCCCTGGGCCTGCCCAAGTACTACCGCCAGGCGCCCGGCCGCATCCTGTTCTTCTACAAGTCGCTGTTCCGCCGCCGCATCGTGCTGTGGTTCTTCTTCATGGTCATCGTGCAGAACTTCTTCCTGGCCGCCGCCGTGGGCCGCAACTGGACGTTCCTGTGGTCGTCCGGCCACGCGAAGGCCTGGCAGATCGCCATCTGCGTCGTCTTCTTTTTTATTGTTGTCTGGGTCGCCCTGCTGGTGCTCTTCCGCATCCTGTCCAAGGAGCACAGCTGGATCCTGCCCGTCTTCGGCCTGAGTCTGGGGGCGCCGCAGTGGGCGCAGACCTGGTGGGGCACCTCCAACATCGGCTACTACCTGCCCTGGGCCCCGGGCCTCACGGGGGGCGCCATCATCTCGCGCTGCCTGTGGCTGTGGCTGGGGGTGCTGAACGAGGTCCAGCAGGTCGGCCTGGGCATGATCCTCCTGCAGACGCTGACCCGTGTGCACGTCTGCTTCGTCCTGCTGGCGGCCCAGGCGATGGGCTCCATCGCCACCATGTGCGCGCGCGGCTTCGCGCCCAACAAGTTAGGGCCCGCCAGCATCTCGCCCGCGGTGGGCACCTCCGTCGACAAGGTCGCCACCCCCTGGTTCTGGATTGCCCTGTTCTTCCAGCTCCTTGCCAGGTCAGTTTGCCTTTTTTTCCCCCTTTTTTATTACTGACCGGATGCTAACCCTGTTCCAGCTTTGGCTTCCTCCTCTTCTACCGCCGCGAACAGCTCAACCGGCCCTAAGCCATGCTCGATCTCTTTCGCTGCCTGGTTTTCTTTTCTCTTTGCTGTTTTTTTTTCCCCCGTCTGCTTTTTCATCGGTGGCCTGTTCCCACCGCATCCTGAGCGAATGTTTATCTATGTATCGTATCCCCTTTGACACATGGCACTGCGGACTGGACTGTACAGGGGTGGAGGATCTAATCAGAGACACCGGCTTCGGCGGGGATGTCTGTCTATTTCCTTGTTCTGCGATCTGTTTTCTTTTCTTTTCTTTTTCTTTTTTTTTTTGGTCTCCCTTTCTATGAGAGGTCGATCCCTCGCATACCGGTATGATTTATACCTCGTGATGTATGGACTGTTCTGTTTACTATAGAGATGATCCTTGGTGTATAAATACATGTTGTGTACATACAACTGACTCCTGTTCCTGCGCTGCAGATAATCATACGCGGCTGTATAATTTACATTCAAAAAGTATTTCACATCGACATAGGCGATCAGTGTTCCCAATGAACATATCACCCGTCACGGCGGGGACCAGTCCGGGGAGGTGTTGGCCGCGGCAACAAGGTGCTCGGCGGACGCATCCGCGGCCAGGGGATACGAGAGTCGACTCCGGGGATGCATGACGCCCGGGCATAGACCAGGGACGGTCCGGTTCCGGAATTGTCAGGACTCACTAGTCTACAATCATGGAGTGCTGCGTGGAGACAAAATCAATATACCTGGATTGTAGTGTAAGACAGTAATCTAAGGGAGTTATTATCACTGAGCCAAAATACTAATATTATCCGCAGTTATCTGCAGATCTCTAGAATCTTATATATATACTCAAGTATACCCGGGAGAAGATGGGCTTTATCCTTGTAAGTATATATATCCCGCGGATATTATTTCTTATATAAAGGCAGGCTGCCGCAAATAGTAGAATTTGTGAAGGCAAGTGGATCCAAGTCCTGAGAATCTCAGTGTGGATTCCGCCGGTCGGGTTTTTTTTTTTTGATTCTTATAGATTGCCTATCTATACAGAATATATAAATAGATTATATATATTTCTATCTTATATCTATATATTTGACTGGGATTTATTATCTTTATTTATAATATCTAAATTTAAGATATATATAAGAGATGATATCCGCGGGCTAGGCATACTTACAAGAATGAAGCCTATCTTCTCCCGGGTGTACTTGAGTATATATATAAGATTCTAGAGATCTGCAGATAACTGCGGGTAATGTTAGCCTTTTGGCTCAGTGGCAACAACTCCCCTAGGTTGATGTCTTACAGCTCCCGATCAAGAAGAGTCCCTGTGAGTAAGCCAACCCTTCCTCTCTCCATGGCATGAACCCACCTGACCTAATCCGCGCCCACCTGATCCGGCCCAAGGAGACTCTGGCGCGCGAGGACGAGGTGGAGCGGCACCTGGCGGAATTCTAATCCAGCAGAAGGGGGAGAGGAGAGGAAAGGGGAAAGAGGGAGCAGTGTCATCGCCATCATGATTAGTTCGGCTGCAAAGAGCACGGTGTGCCGTGCCGGGGTCTTTTAGCTTCATGCAACCAAAGAAGTTGAAACGTGTTCAATTAATTAACCAAATGATAGAGAGCGACTGGTGGACTACAAAGTTATCGCTGTAAGAGACTGGCCAAGACAGAGACTTCTGAGTGATCGCGCGTCGTCTTCATCCGATGGCACCAGGTGATGCTGGTGAGATCCTTACCCTCCCCTTGCGACGGGTCCGATTCGAAAAGGAACTCGCCGCCAATCTGGCGGGAATCCCCAGCTTTAGTGGCCAGGCCACTTGGCACATACTTCAACGCCTGCCAGACGGACTCGGCGACGATGCGCGCCATGCCTTTGCGGATGTACGCCGGGCGGGGGCCAAGCGCCAGGGAGCTCACCATCCCCAGCGCCTCATAGAGCTGGGCCGTCGGATCGGAGTAGATGGGGAAGGGGCAGCCCGTCTCCGCGGCGTAGTGGTCGATCAGGCCCGGGTCACCGCAGCCGACAATCACGACGGCGGTGCGGGTGGGCAGCTGGGCCAGGAAGTCAGGGGTGATGGTGTCGGAGAGCGATCGCAGGTACTCTTGGCAGCTCTGCTCGCGATTAGCAACTTGCATGATGCGAACCGAGAAGGTCGCTCACCCCGCAAAAGAAATGCCGCACGAAGATGACCAATGTGCGTGGGGCGGCATCAACCCCGGCGTAGAGATCCCGGAAGGAATGCTCCTTGTGCTCGCGGTCGAGGACGGTGTAGCTGGCCACTTGGTCCAGGGTCTCCGCGGAGGGCAGCTGGTCGTCGGTGTTTACCTCCCCCTGGAAATCGCCGGCGATATCCGTGGGTGCGGGGGGGAAAGACTCGCGGTCGGAAGCAGCGGAGGCCTCCTGGACCTTGGACTCAGGTACAGCAGCAGTATCTGACATATCTCGAGTGAATATCTGTCGGGGAGGTGTTGACAGGAAAGAGTTTATCTGACGCGGGTGCGATCGGCGGGGAAAGAGAAGACCCATCCGTTGGACGGAGTACGGTGGGCCATAGCCGCTAGCGGGCACGGTCACGGGACCAACTGCTGACCAGCCGGGTTGCGCCGTACCGTGGGGGGGTGTAACCCCAAAAAAAGTCTGCAAAACCCTTTTAAAAATCGTACTAAACCCTAATCATTAACCCTAATAATACCTTTAATGTAGTACTAATAACCCTACAGATTTAAGTCTGGGCTAAAGATTTAGTCTATAAAGTATATGAATAATAAATAGAAGAGCAGAAAGTGAAAACCCTAATAACCCACTAATAAAAGTATTTGCACAGAATAACATAGTAGACCGCTGGCGCAAGTTATCAGAAGATTGTGACTAGTTATGACCAGTTATAGTCAGTTATAAAACAGTTTTTAATAATTACTAATTAAAATAAATAATAAATATTTTTATTATTAAGAACTTTTCTCAGGTTTCTCAGAAAGACTTCATTGAACTCTCACTTTCTTATACAAACTGGGTGCGAAAGTGAGGTGAAGATAAGAGAAAGATAAGAGAAAGATAAAAGAAGTAAAAATAAGAAGAATCAAAGATCAGATAAATAAAAAAAAGACTAAAAACTAATTTAATTTAATTAAAATTAATTATTCTGATTAAAAACTGATTAGTAACTGTCAACAATGTGGGCAGACTGGCCAGTTCGCTGCCTAAGGCTCGCCAGTTTGCTGCCTAAGACTTGCCAGTTCACTGCCTAAGACTTATTAATTTACAGCCTCAGGCGAGTTAGCTGTCTTTTTTAGGGTTTAGGGTTTATTAGGGTTTAGGGTTTAGGGTTTAGGGTTTAGG